GTTCAATCGTCACCTGACTCTCCAAAGAAGCACGATCAACCTTGATCACGTGAGACTACTCTGTAGGATCATAACACGTACCTACTTATCTAGCCGCCGGTTGTTTTGTTCCTAGATAGCTTTATTCTACGCTATATACGCCTTTACCCTCTAGATTTTATCGAGTAGCGACAAAAGCTTATCCGTTATCTTTAAAGCGTTCTCTTTATCCGCTAAGATCTTACTTATAAGGTTATCGGCTACGGCGTTAAGACGCGTAACTAAGGAAGTTACGTAAGGTTTCCCTATCCGGGTATACTAAGTATAGGATATAATTAAGAAATCCATAATAAAGAGGTAGTTATAGTTATAGCGACGATAGAGGTCGTAAGGATCGAGAGTAGAGAAAGAATTTTAAAGGATCCGGTTTATACAACGGAGTTTGTTTTTAGTTTTAGAAGAAGCTATTACGGATAACGAAGAATATAGGGGAACTTACGATTATTTATATAGAAATTAGAGTTACGGGATTCCTAAGGATAGGAACCTAAGGAGGGAGCTAGTATTACGAATACGGTAGAGAAGTTACGGGATTTTACTATTAGGAGGAGTACGTAAGCTAATTAGACCGGAGGAGTCTAAGCTTAGAGTACTTAATACTCGCTCGCTTTCGAGTAGCGAGTACTTAACGCTCGACGGCCGTCGAGTAACGAGTACTCGCCGTAGCTACTCGAGCGAGTAGGACGAAGACGGGTATATAGGAACTAAGAATACCTCTAGTATTCTTATATTTAACTTATATTACAATCTTACTAAAAGGTCTATAACTAATTAGGCTTAAGTTAGTATCCTTACCCTTATTTAATCGTTACTTAACTCTCTAAAGAAGTACGATTAACCTTAATTACGTAAGACTACCTTATAGGATTATAACAAGGGATTAAGAACGCGCGGGTAGTAGCGCGTATTAAAGTATATTCGCGATTTCGATAGGTAGTAATAGCGTCGAGTACCTCTAGCGCGATATCCATAAGTTAGAAAGAAAGAAGAAGAAAGAACGCGTAGGAAAAGAGGTAGATACGCGGGACTAACGCGCTTAAGTGCGCCACTTTACCGTCTACGCCGCTTTACCGTTAGCTACGTTAACGATACTACGAATATTTCCGAACTAAGCATTCAGGGGCTTGTCGAGCTAGGACCGCTGCTCCCTCTTGAGAGGGTAGGTGAAAACAAACGTATTGAGCTCGAATGGCAGTAGAGCCGCTTCGCTATGTACCTGTCGGCAGGTCTCCAGAAGGGCCACTGAGTATCGACGTCGGATGTCCGGAGGAGTATTCAACGTCACCCATCGTCCGCCGTCAGTGCACCGAGAGTGCCTTTGGTCATAGCTCTCAACATCTGCAGTGGTTTCGCCGTACTTGACGGTTTGCATTGCATCATCCTCGCCGCGCTGGGCATTGCATATGAGCATGCCAACGGGCGCGGGCCATTCTGGGCCACAGCCGGCATGCAATATCCCTTCAGACAGAGCAAACTCCCAAATGCGGTTCCGGATCTCAGGGGGCAAGGTGAGGAGTGTCGGCTTGGGCTTGGGTGCGCCTGGTGGAGGTGATGGGGGAGGAGATGGTGCATTAGCAGCCAGCAATTTGGCGGTGTTTAGAATGCGTCCTGTCCACTTCTTCTTCTTCGCTGGTTCATCTGTGGTAGAATCTCGCTTCCTCTTCGATCCGGCCATCTTTTGCAAATTGGATCTGTTCTGGTAGAGTTAGTGTTGACAGATGCTTCTTGTGAGCGGCTACTGTTCTTAACAGCACTCAGATACCGCATGCGAGGACAAGCACAAAGGAGCGCCTATGAAACTTCTATTATCGCATCCGCTTCTGGCAATACTCGATAGATTCTTTGACATCAGCATGAAGAGACAAAGACATTGGAGACTTGAGATGACGGCATGCGTACTTGGAGTAACTTCGTAGTTTTACTTGAGAGAAGACGTAAAATCGGTTGACCGATCACGTAAGAAGTGCTTGTGGTACGATGTAGACTTGCCTGAACATGACAGCGACCGCTCAATGCTCCAGCCCACCAAGGCGTCTTCCCCCTCGCCCCTGAATCTGATCCTTCATGGTCACTTCCGAACCTCCTCCTGGTTAAGACACGTTTGCTTCAGCAATCCCACGTCCGTGCTCCTGCAGACCACCGCTACTTCCGCGCTACTACAGCTTCGTTCTCTTCCACCCCGTCGCTCTGCTGCTCGCTGGCGATCATGGCCTCCAGCTCCGCGTAGAGCGGCTTCAACTGCTTCGGGGTCGTGTACGCGCGTGTCGGGTCGCCAAAGCAGATGGCAGTGGTCACACGAATCAGATCGAGTGGTTGCAACGCCAGGAAGATCTCAATCAGTTTGCCTCGAATCACCTTGAAGCGGTCGCTCTCATTCCTGATGGTCGCGAACTTCTGGTAGAAGAAGGTAAGATCCTCCAAGTTCGGCATCTTCTCGACCAGCTTGATCCAGCCGGGCTTAAGGCTACCGCCGAGTGTGATGCTGAGAATGGCCTTCTTCTGGCCGAGAATGCGTGTCACTGTGAAGTGGTCGAGGTCTTTCGAATTGCGAAACGAGAAGGTATTGAGCTCGAAGGGCAGCAATGCCGCTTCTAGGCGAATCTGCTGACAACTCTCCAAAAGAGCGAGATTGTAGCGTCGGCCAGTATAGGTAGGGTAATCGATGCCCTAGGTGTGATGTGGGCAGCAGCGAGCGTGCCGCAAGTCGTAGATCTCGACCGGCTTGGTGCCGTAGCCGTGGCGCATCAAACGTGCCGTCTTTTCGTCTGTAGGCCTCGCGGTGCATACGTGAGCAGTGGTCCGACGAGTTCCACGCTTGCCTGGACTGGCGTTGATGTGGATTGTGCCTTTGGACAATACGAGGTCCCAGATGCGGTTACGAATTTCTGCTGAAAGCGCAAGAAGCGGCGACTTAGATGCGTTCGATTGTGTACTGTTGAGATACGTTAGCACGACGATGCGTCCGCTGCGGAGATGGACGCTACTTACATCTTGTTGCCGAGCAACTTCTTGCCGCCCTTCAACACGCGGCCTGGTCCTCCTTTCTTTGCTTGCGATGCAGCCGGAGCCGCCTTCTTCGATTGTAAGGATGGTGCAGCCTTCTTTGCCGTCAATGAGAGGGATGCGACCTTCTTCTCCGCCGGTCTGTAAGGCGCATCACTTCCCGCTTTCCTCTTAATGCCGCCCATACTAGCTGCAGAGAGGTAGCGAAGTGCCTTGGGGTAGGTATGAAGAGGAAGAAGAAGAAGTCCAAGGTGAAGAACGCAGCCTTTGAACATATCAACAAAAACGGGGGGCAGGGAGGCGTAAGTGGGCCGCTCCCAAAATTCACTCGTAACATGTGAATTCTGCTTCGAGATCCTGCCTCAGGCGGAAGATTGGCGGATCTCTGTATGGTCAATGGAAGGATTGTTCCTTCTACATTATACAGGTCTGAGGTGTTAGTTCAGTGCTTTCAAGCCGTCGAGTTACATAGTGCTTACAGATGCTTTGTACATCCTGATCCGCTCCACAGTACAGATCAACCGCGCACAGTTCGACAACATGAGCTCGATCTGATAGCCAACGACCGCATTCATCTTGAGTCTCCAAGTGACAACCAACGCTCGACACCTCCACCCTTTCGATCGAAGACAATGCTGCTACTCCTCCTCCTCGACCACCTCTTCGACTCTCGGCGGGTTAAACATCGCCTCCAACTCCTCATGCAGTGGCCTGAACAGGTTGACGTTGGTGTACAGCCTCGGCATATCATAGTACCCACGATGGCCACGACCAGCCCGGTCGGCCGATCCATGGCAGATGGCAAGCGTCGTCTCGACTCCCATCTCCTTGAACTCCCCAAACACCTGTAGGAGCTGCTCTCGCACCACGTCATACCCTTTGTTCGCCTGAGTCAGGTGGTAGAAGTGCTCGTGGAATAGCGTGATGTGTTGCACCGACCGCATCCTCTTTATCAACGCCAGCCAGTTGGAACTCAGAATGCCGCCAAGAGTGATGTCGACGAGGGCTTCCCGTTGGCAAGGTAGGAGTCGGTTGGCGAAGCGCTCCAGCTCCATCGCGCTCCGGAAGGAGAACGTGTTTATTTTGAACGGTAGGAGAGCCGACTCGTGGTGGATTTGCTTGCAGGTGCGCAGGAGAGCGATCGAGTAGGGAGAGCCGGTGTACTGGTCGCTGTCTTCGCCGTCTGTGGGGTAACATCCGACGTGTCAAGATTCGTACGTACCTACGTCAGGACGCATATCATCCTGACGCATCGTGTTCGCCATCTCCTGGTCGCTCTTCTTTGAGGTGCAGGTATGGGCGGTGATGTGAGGTTCAGGACCCTTGCCTCGGGCGGAGAAGATGTGGACAGTGCTAGTGCGCAGCGCGAGGTCGTAGATCCGGTTCCGGATTTCCGCAGGGAGACGAAGCAGCGGCGAGTTGGTTTGGTTGAATTCGGTGCTATATGGACTTGTCAGAGAAAACGTGCAGCATATCAACGGTGGAACTCACGGGTCGATTGCTTTATTCGAGCTCCTCAGAATCCTTCCCGTGCGTCTCGTCTTTGTCAGTGGTGCGGCCAGCCCATAGTCGCCCGTCTTTCTCTTCGACCCGCCCATGTTGGCTGTAGCGGTCTGGCTGCGGAGAGTTGGTCGTGGAGAGTTGGTCGCGGAGAGTGTTGTGGGAAGACGGATGCGAAGAGTCATTCTCGAAGCTGTGAACCCAATGATATAGCCGCGAAGATGTGTTTGTGCTGTTGTGGTCCGCGTGGAGAAGATTGAGGTGGAGGAAGCCTGGCGCCAAAGATAATAACAAAGGGGAGTCGGGGTGGCGTAAGCGGAGCCACTCCCACGTGGCAACATTCACCCGGAGCATGTGACTTTTTCGTTCAAAGTCGCCGCATCAGGCGGACAGACTCTGAGGCATGCCATGCGGGCACGGCCAGCACAACGGGCTGGAAGGAGGAGTTGGCGCACCGTGCCTTAGGTTCTGGACGACCTCTCCGTGATATACGAGTTCTGGAATGCGTATATCAGTGTCCTCAGGCCCTCAAGAAGTATCTCGCTCACCGAGAAGAGGGAAAGGGCAGTCCAGCAACACCTTCATGTCCCTTGAATCCGATCAGAAAGCCAGAGCAGTGCATACAACCCCTGGATGACCTCTCCCTTCTATAATGTTCTGCAATGCTTATATCAGCGCTCTCAGCCCATCGAAAGGGATCCCGCTTACACGGAGAAGAAGAGGCTGCGCAGACCGTTCAGACCTCTGAAGTTTGCCAACCAGAGCCGGAGCAAACCCCCTCCCCCACTCAACAAAGCAGAAAGGTGAAAGGTCGTAGCGAAGTTGATTCTTCTGTTCTCGCAGGCAGCAAACGATACCGATGGTTTGTTCGCAACAGCAACCACTGCGTCTCGACAGCGGAGACCCCCACCTGGCTCCATCCTCGACCATGCCAAGCCCAAGGCGACCGCGACCATTACCCCCCCTCAAGCGCTCATCACCGTCCGAAAAATCCCAACCCGACTCGTCCAACTCCGACACCTCTTCCCAAACATATACATCGGTATTGCGCACAGACAGATAAACACATGCACGCCCCCAATGATACAAAACACTTCCTTCGGCCCCTGGCTGGAAATCCAGCTAGCAATGAAGTAATTCATTCCGAAGCTGTAAATATTCCGCAAGTTGATCGCGGCGAAAGCTTCAGGCGCTTTGTCCCGGTGGCAGTCGGTCAGGTAGCCGTAGATGGCGATAGTAACGAAGCCGACGGAGAAGTACTGCAGGCCGTAAAAGATGACGGGGCCGATCCAGGGGTCGTGCACTTGGAGCGACCAGCCGAAGCCGAAGAAGGAGATGCCGCCTAGGAGGAGGGAGATGGAGATCATGACGAGTCTGTGCAGCAAGGGCGAGACGGTTAGTAATGTCCTAGGGACACGGCATGAAGGTGGACGTACCTGAATTCCGGCTCGTAGACGCCCTTGTTGCGGCGCGACATGAACTTGACGATCCAATCTGCCAGCGGTCCGGTGACAAAGGCACCCACGATGGCGCCGATGAGTGGTGAGATGGCGACGAGGCCAACTTCTGACACGGAGAAGCTGTACGGCTCCACGGTGAAGACCTGCGCGAGGATACTGCCCACGACGACAAGCCAGGAAGTCGTCAACCCATACGCGAAGAACGAGAACAGCACTTGCGGGAATATCAGCATCATCAGCGGCCGCGTCAAGACTTTCCAGAACGCATCATCGCACTGCCGTCCATGGAAGATCTTGAGCTCGTGGGCGTAGCTGTGCTTCGGCTCGGACCAGCTGGTGTTGGTCTCGACTTGCTCGATCGTCTCGACCTTGGACGACTTGTCGAGGCCCGCGCGCTTTTCTGCCAGCTCTTCCGTGTGGTCGGTGGTGCCGAGGTCGGTGTTGTAGGCTTCGTCGCGGCGGTAGGCGGTCTCCGGGCAGAAGAAGAAGAGGACGAGGATCCAGACGCCGTAGAGGACGGCGCAGATGCCATACGTCCAGTTCCAGCCGAGGTCTTGGATGATGTAGCCGCTGATGATGGAGCCGCCGCCGACGCCGACGGAGAGGCATCTGTAGGAGGTATTAGATCAGGAGTGGTGAGTGGGTGACCTCAATGGCAACTTACAATCCCCACATGGCAAGTCGAAGACCACGCTGATGGACAAAGTACAGGTCTGCAATCGTCGTCGTGACAAGTACTTCGAACGGCGACATCCCAATACACCCCACCAGCCTCGACGCCAGCAGGGAATTGTACGAGTGCGCGAAGTATCCCCACAAGCTGCTGATGAACAATAGCAGATTACCCAGCAGGAAGATCGGGCGTCGACCCCAGATCACGGCGAGTGAGTTGGTGAAGAAGCACGAGATGCCGATGACGAAGATGCCCCAGCCGAGACCGCCGTTGAGGGCGTTGTAGGACATGTTCCAGTCTGCGGCCATTTGGGCGTAACCGGGGGAGATCATGGGGCCCTGATGGGTATGTGAGTATAGGTGCGGTGGTGGGTAGTCATTGTGAGAGACCTACCCATGCTCCGACGATGGCGGTGTCGATACAGATGAAGAAGAGCATTAGATCTTTCTTCCATAGAGGCCAGTTCAGCGGGTCGTCTGTTGGGGAATTGTCAGCGTTGGTCGCAATGAAACTGTGAGCGTACACTTACTTGGACTCCGCGATGGCTGCGGGACAAGTAGGACATCTGAGTTCCTCCCCTTCCCGTGCTTCAGCAGCGAGGTGTTGAGACCTTGTCCGTCCGCTCCCAGGACGTCCGTTAAGAGCGCCGTGCCGGGCACATGCTCGAGATGGCTGTCGTCAAGCACACCGAGACCCATGGTTGCTGCTGCTGCTGTTCAAGAGACACAATGGCTAGGAAGATAACTTCGACTGGTTCAAGGAGCACGTAGGACGCAAGTAGGACGCTGGAAGTCTGGCCTCTTTTAGGGCACCCGTCCGCGAGCCGGTAAAACCAGCACGCGCAATTGCCGGCTCATGTTTCGTGTATATATCCATGCGAGGCCATGGCAGACATGCAGCGGAAGATGTGGTCACGTCCAATTGAGGCTGCTTCTCCGCAGACACTCCGCAGAAAGCAGGTCTTTCGGGTGGTTGATCACCCGCCGGCAGTTGTGTTGGTTGTGTGGGGTGTGGGGTGTCTGGGGATGTGCTGGCGCTGGATGGGATGGGGGATGGGGGCGATGGCCGGTCTAGAAGTGTGCCGGGGTGGATAAAACTGTTGGAGACGCAAGAGAATCTTTTGTTGAGGTATGGTAGTTGCTCTGGAGCTACGAGACCAGATGGAATGAAGTGAGGTGAGATACAGGCTGGAAAGAAGCTTACTCTCAAGATCAAGCTCATGGCGCCTTTGCCCAGGAGGCAAACAAGCGTGAGGCGCCCATGGCCGGCTGCTGGGTGACAGCTAGGAGAGTCTCTCCAAAGAAACAACTTGAAGGGTTTGAAGACATGTTGGCAGGAGTTAATGTGTTTGTAGGAGCTGTTGAGTCTCCCTTCAACCACACAAAACACCAGGCACTATCGGCCAATTTGTTTCTCCATTCTCCGCTTCAGAAGGTTGACATCGAGCACCTCCCTCCGCCTTCTTCACTCGCCACCACCCCATACATCCAGAACATCGGAAGGTTTTGCTTCCCGACAACAGCACCTAAGCACTGTGACGAGTAGACATCTCAAGCACAGCCTACGATCAAGACAGCTTTCATTGGACCTGCGAGGCGCCGCAGAGTCTACACGTCACTGGCCGTCACAACTACGCGGATCAGCTTGGTAGGTCTGGACGCGTTTCCTTTCAAGCACTTCTCTACCATTTCTTCCATATAACCCTTCTATGCTGCCCATCTGTGCCCGTCGAACAACAACGTCCCAAGCAACAAACCACTTCCGCTCAGCACACCACAAACTCACGTTCCAAGCTCCACGCTCCACACCAACAACCAGAACAGCAACAATGTCCTCCGCACCCGGCGAACAGTTCGAGGTCCGCCAGACTTCCACCTCTGAGGACTACACCCCCGACCCCTCCAACTCCATCAAGCTCTCGCCACAGCGACAAGCCCTCGTCGACGACATCATCGCCCTCTACTCCTGCGAACCGACCATCCGCCGCGTGGAACGCTACACCTCGGACTGCGTGTACGATGACCAGTTCGTGTATGCCAACGATCGGTACAAGATGGCCGGACAGTGAGTATTTCTCGGGTAAGAGATGTCTCCTGAGACCAAGATCTCTGACCAGACTTCAGGTGGTTCGCCCTGCCCAAACTCTTCAAAGCCTCCGTCAACGAGCGCTACGAAATCATCAAAAACGACCGCGACCTGATCCAGTTCAAGAACGAGCAGAGCTGGACTTTCAAGCTCATTCCCAAGACCGCTACCATCAACGCGCTCGTATCGCTATCTCTCGACCCAGATACGGTCGACTCCGACTTCATCCAGGTGAAGTATCACAAGGACCAGGCGAATGATAAGGATTACAGCCACGAAGGCGTGGGGTTCAGTTTTAAGAAGTGGCAGGCGGACAAGGTGATGCAAAATATGGACAGCGAGGAGGTGAAGTATTTTGAGAAGGACAAGGGGGCGGCGAAGGAGCCGGTGCGGAAGTATGGGAGTGGTGAGGGGGCGGCGGAGAAGGTGGATCATACTACTTCGGATAAATCATGAGGGAGGAGACATGGTATAGAGACATGAGACGATGGAAGATATGCCTTAACATCATCTACTCCGGTCGACAGCCTCAATCATGAACTCTTCTTGTTCTTGTCAACAGCACCCTCGACCTTCCCAGCCGCCGCACCAATACCTTTCGCCGCCTCATCGCCTGTCTTCTTCGCGTCAGGATGGATGCCAGAGCTCGACTGCTTGTTGCCGCCCAGCTCGTCGATGAAGCTGTTGACGTTCTTCCTTGCACTCTCGCTGGCGTCCTGTTGATTGTTGGTGGCGTGGAGGCGGAAGGTTTGGGATTGCGTGAACTTACACCGACGCCTTTGAAGGCGCCCTTCGTTTGGTCGGCTGCTTTTCTTCCTTCTGCCATTGCGATCTTCCGGCTGATACTACTGTGGGACAGTCTGTGGACGGATGTTGGTTGTTTGTGTATTCACGATTTACGGACATTATCTGTCTATACCTCATCTTCATACCGTCGCCACTGTAATCTTTACGTCGACGCGGGACGATTCGGCAGCGCGAATCAAGATTGTGATGCACGATGACATATGTGACGATTCCAGGTTCCAGGCACGTGTCGCTAGCGCGAAAAAAGCGCCACTTCAGTCGCATCGATCTTCACCAGCCACTTTTGCAGAACATCAACACCTTCTCCCACTTCATCCTCTGCGCCAACCGCCCTCTGGACCATTCGTGAATGTGTCGCCCGCTCCTTTGATCGAGTCGCCCGGCTCTACACATCGCAAACACCACTTCCAACCCCACCAACCCCGCCACATTCCACCTCAAACCCGTCGCAATGGAGCCTCACACGCAACCGGGCGTCCACCCAACCTTCCCCACCCTCTACCAACCAATCCCCAACCCGCTCCCTCACGCCCTCCCACCCCCGATCAAAGAGCGCTCCCTCCGCGCCCCCTTCGGCATCGACCCGGACCTCTACCACTTCGCCCTCCGCCCGGAAATCCCCATCACCTTCGCCGCCCTCTACGTCCTCTCCGTCTTCGCCCTGAACGCGTACAACCGCAGCCGCGAGCACAAACCCTGGGCCGTCAGCAAGCAGACATGGTTCCGCTACTTCGTCGTCGTGCACAATGTGCTGCTGTCGCTGTACAGCTTCGCGACGTTCCTGGCGATGCTGCGCGCGATTACGCATACGCTGCCGTCCTGGGACGCGGAGAATTGGGCGCCGCGGACGGCGGATGCGTTGTGTAAGCTGCATGGACCGAGGGGGCTGGGGGATGCCGCGACGTATAATACTACGATCAATATCTGGGAGGTCAAGAATACCGCGATTCATTTGGGGGCGCGTGGAAACCCGGACCCGACCGATGTTGGGAGGTTGTGGAACGAAGGGCTCGCGTTTTGGGGCTGGATGTTCTATGTGAGCAAGTTCTACGAGGTCATTGACACGGCTATCATCCTGGCCAAGGGCAAGAGGAGCGCGACGTTGCAGACTTATCATCACGCTGGGGCGATGCTGTGTATGTGGGCTGGTATAAGATACATGAGCCCGCCGATCTGGATGTTTGTGTTCATCAACTCGGCGATTCATGCAATGATGGTGAGTCCACCCTTTTAGTGGTGGAGTGGTTGAGATTGTCTTGCTAATTTGTCTGCAGTACACCTACTTCGCGGCCTCAGCTCTCGGCTACCGCGCGCCACAAGCTTTCAAGCGCACCTTGACTTCCCTTCAGATCGCACAGTTCGTCTTCGGCGCGTCGTACGCTGCAGCACACCTCTTCGTCCAATACGACATCCCAATGCAGGTTCCATACCATATCACGAACGTCGTCGAACACGCCGTCTCCAGCGCAAGCTCGGCGGCAGGCGCAGCGACAAAGTCAGCTGCCTCAGTCGCATCCGGCATTTCCTCCTTCGCAGAGTCACCGACCGTCGCTCCCTCAATGGGCGCGCTCATCAAGAAGCTCCTCCTCCGCGCAGCAGGCGAAGAAGGCGTCGCAGAGCGCATCGGCATGGAGCAGAAAGTGCGCGATGCTGTGCGGGATCCCCTTGGCGTCGCCGGCAACCAACTCTCCGGCATGGAAGACAAGGTGGAGAAGTGGTACGAAAAGCGCTTCGAGACGCACTACCGCTCAGAGTGGACGAAGGTTAACTGCATCGACACGAGCGGCGAAGCATTCGCCATCTACCTCAACCTGCTCTACCTCATGCCACTGACCTTTCTCTTCGCCCGCTTCTTCGTGCGAGCCTACACGCAGCGTGGAAAGCGTAGTTCCTTCTCGGAGGCGGTCCGCAGCATCTCCGAGTCAGCCAAAGATGCTAGCAACGAGACAGAGAACCAGGTCGAGAAATCCGGCAAGAAGGCAGAAGACGAGCTACAAGAGCGTGGCCCAGAAGTCAAGGACGAAGGGCAGAAGCGACTCGATGAGCTTAGGAACGATGTCAAGTCGTTAAAGGAGGGCACGTTTCGTGAGAGGCGAGTGAGCGACCGCGTGCAGAGCTACGAGAAGAAGGTTAAAAGTGGTGCGGAGAACGCGAAGGACGCGGCGGTGGATGCGGCGCAGAAGGCGAAGGGGTATTTGCAGGGTGAGACGGGTGGGACAAGTAGTCCGAGGAAGGGGAGCCCGGCGAAGAAGGCGCCTGCGGAGAACGAGAGTGCTGTGGAGGATGAGCCGGCTGCTGGGAGTGGAGGTGATGCTGCACAGAAGAAGGGCAAGGATGGCTCGGCCGGTGCTGCGAATGGCTCGAAGGACAAGGATGAGGAGCCTTCCAGCGGCGGCACGAATGCTTCGAAAGACCAAAAGCAAGACTCTTCGGCCCCAGAATCCGACAAGAACGGCTCTTCCGACAAGAACGGCTCTTCCGACAAGAAAGACAGCCCACAAGCCGCACCGAGCGAGCCAGCCAAAGAGGAAGAAGCATCAACCGAGCAACCAGCAGAAACCCAAGACGAGAATATCGCCGACTCCCAAGCGCTCCGCCCCGGCACCGGCAAGAACGGCGAATCCCTCGCCTCATCCTCCGCACAACCAGGAGAGTCCGAAAACAACGACCCCAAGTCCTCCCGAACCGAAGAACAAACCGACGGTCTCGCCGACGACGCCGAGCAACAAGGCCAACAACCCGAGCTGAAGGACCAAGAGGACACGGACGCGATGGGGAAGTCGGGGAGTATTATCGATATCGCTAGTAAGAAGGCGGAGGAGGCTAGTGAGGAAGCCGGTGCGGAATCTGGTGGTGCAGGGGGCAAGAACGGTGGGACATGAGGTGTGCGGCAAGCCGGGCTAATGTCTGCGTCTGTAGGACGAGCAGCGCGGCGAGCGGAGCGGGGTGGGCCGACGACGCCTCCGCCTTTGACGCGGACGGGCTCTGAAGTGATGGTTATCTCGCGACCTACCTCGTCTGCGTCTGCGTCTGCGTCTTCAGCAGCATCATCGTGGGAGAGCCCGGGTCTGAGGCGCGCGCAGTCTTACGCCGGGGGAAGTCCGATACGAGGCAGTCCGGCGAGAGCGCTGTTGACGAGACGGAGCACGAATATTAGTACTAGTTCGCTTGGTTTGCGGTAGGGGTGGGGGGAGGGGATGATACCATTGTGTGTGTTTGATTGATTGACTTTTTTTGCAGCGTGGTGCTTTGGGATGGGAAAAGCGGTGTGGGATGGCGAGGGAGGGAGGGGGGAGTGTGTTGTGTAGATAGGTAACTGCTGGAATCCTAATGTCTATCCTGCTGATTTCATCATCAGTGGGTACCAGTTTTGGTCCCATACCTTCCAGCATGCGAATGTGCTCTGATCTGGCTGCGAGTTCTACATTCCGCGCTCCTGACGTACGTGCGTCTAAGCACATAGAGGCAAAGAGAGGCTCGAAGGCGATGGCGGACACGCGGTGCAATGTGCGCAACAGATCCACAGGATACACGAGGAGGTGGTACGATGCGAGCATGCCAACACATTGTTTGTGCTGCTTTGTGATGCCTTCTTGTCACCTGGGTCTGGCGCCGCTGCTGGCTTTCTTTCTTGAGTTTCTGTTTTCTGCAGAATGAGTCGTTACGAGGACGGCTGACCTCCCGATATATTCATTGGCAGTGGAGGTGGATGATGACAACTTTGACGAAGCGCTGGGTGCCGTTGAGATGGGTGTTGAGGACGGAAGAATCAACTGACAGTCGAGAAAGTCCGACACCACTGTTTGATGCGAAGGCTGCGGAGGATGCCTTGCCTCCGCTATCAACTACGGGACTGCCCTCTTCGGATGGGGAGGGTCTACGAGACATACCAGACGAGCAAAGCCAGTCGACCTTTTCCCAATGCTCCCCTCCATCTTCCGTTCGTGGTCATTCCTCCGCGACGTCTCACCATCTGCGACTTGGGCGACATCTTACGCTGCGTGTTCGACTTCACCCCAGCACAAATCCATTTGCTGAGTATCCAGAAAGTCTTCAAAGCCTTTCATCGCAAATCGCTCCCGAACATGTACAAGAAGATGGACGTCGACCTCCCAGACACAGAACTTACCGAATGGCACAAGGCGCTGGTGAAATAGGGACACCCTGGCCTGCAGTACGCGCGAACCTTGACTCTCCGAACTGACAGGCCACACATAACCAGCGCCGTGGAGTTGAAGTGGGTGCGAGACTTATTGGACCGATTCGAGAGGGGGCTACTGATTCGGTGTTCGTGAGTGAGGCCGTCGGAATGCCTGAAGCTGCGCTGCTGAACGTGAGAAGCTGGGCCGCGTACACCCAAATGCCGGCGGCGCTGCTCGAATTGCTATGGAGTCGCCAAAGGAACCTACGGAGTCTGGAACTAACGAGGCTATGCACGCCTCAGGACGAGATCATGCTGCTGGACACATTTGATCCGCACTGGGTTAGATGGTATCCCAACTTCACCGAGCTTGTCGTTCGACCGAACATTAAAGACGGTGCTTGCGCCGCAGGGCATTCTTTAAAGCACTTTGTACGTCCGAGGATCGGAGACTTCCTGACCTATGTGCTGTTCGACCATGCTGACCTTCGAATTCTCTTGACTTTCCAGAATATCAAGGAGCTCGTGGTATACGGCCATCTCTGGGAAGAGGACGATATCCATGGAAGGGACTGGAATGAAGCGAGCCCCAGCACGAGGGACAAACTTGGAGAAGGCTTGTTCCCATCGCAGCCCCCGTCGTTTGATACGCTGTTATCCAACAGCGCATTCAAAGCGTCCAACCTCAGAACGCTGGACCTACGCGACGTCAACCTACGCTTCTGTCGAGAATCGTGGTTTGTATTCCAGGATCTAAAGAACCTGACCAGCCTCGCGCTCTGCTACTGCTTGCACCCTGATGTATTCCTGACTGCGCTTATGCGCGACTCTGTTCCCGGGCTCGAGGAGACCAAGTTGGTTCACAGCGTCGCCGACGGAGGCGGCGATCGCACGCTGATCGAGCTCGCTGTACTTTTGAATACCTGTATCTCCTTCTATCCACCTCCGGACAAGGCCAACGACCAGAAGGCCGGGCTTCGTACGCTAATCCTCCATCTCCGGAACCTTGGAGACGATAGTCAGTCGACTGCACACGCCCTCGGATCCCGCATAGGAAAGCATGGCAAGACGCTGCGGAGTCTCTGCCTCGACTTCAGGTACAGCGACAGACGCAAGAATCCGCTTCCGAGAGCAGTAGTCTGGCACGCGGCGGCCTTGAAGCAACTTCTACGTGACTTTTCTCAGCTACGAGAGCTAGCGATTGCAGCGCCGCCGTGCACGTGGTCCTACCAGGCAAAGCGTTGGTATGCGGAGAAGAAAGACTTCAAAGCAGCAATTGTAAGTAGGACAACATGCTTCGATCGAAGCGACTCACTGACGGTACCGGCAGAACGTCATCGTGGATAATACCAATCTCACCGTGCTGAATCTACTGGACTGGCCGCTCGACTATCACCCCGAGGCAGAACCTTATCTGGCACGCCTCCGTCCAGCCCCAATTGGCAAGGCTTACCAAGGACCTGTTTGACTACATCAACATCCGTTCCCACCTGTTACGCCAAGGCTGGAACGAATTTGAGGTCATTGCTTGGGGATGCCGGGAGCAGGGTACTGCTTATCCGCTGTACGTACAGAGAGCACGCTGGAGTTCGGGACCATCCCAAGAAGGAACGTCAAGTATCTGCTAATAGCTTACAGTCCACGGTATTTTGCCCAGGGCATGATCAAACGCGATCACAATGAGTATGGGGACACCGCTGCAGTGCAGATATCGCTGCTTAGAATTGAGGCAGGAGAGGATGGAAGGAGCGATCTTGTCCTACGAATGGCTCAACTTTAACAAGACGTCTCGTCTACACACCAAACCGCATGACTTCTACCTAGAGGACGAAGAGGAGCTGAAGGAACAAAGGCTTGAAGGAGCTGGTGCAGACGGTGGAGGGCACAGTAATGCTGTGTTTGACTTCGACAGTGATGAAGCAGAGGACGGCGACGCTTGACAGACTAGAAATTCTGGTTTTTGGCTCAGTTGCAGGAAACGATTCAAGGTCCGTGTCACTAAAGAACTGCATTGCACGCCATACCATGAACTCAAACCCCTCTTCCGTAGGGCGGACCTGCAGACCGCGGTACTTGTCGCAGCGGTATATCCTGCGTCCTACCCGCCGCTCTCACCGGCTGACCCGCTCCACATGTGCACCTAGGTTGATGACGCTTGTCCACAAAGTACATAAAAGCAAGCAAAAGCAAATTCAAAGCCATCAACGCCGTCGCAGTCCATGTGAGCGCCAGGAAGTTGTGCCCGAGATACGCTGCTAAGCCGAGATCATTGCCCAGGAAGTTGACCACTTTAGTTGCGGCGAGAGCAAGCCCGTGGGCTACGATGGAGGCCAGGCCGAGAGCGATGAATGCGAAGAGAATGAGCACAGCATTCGCGAACGCCACCTTTCTGCTCGGTGAGATGGCGGCCCAGATGGCCAGCACAAGGGCAGCGATAACATGTACGATGCCGATCCAGTAGACGATCCGGATCAAACTCAACGGGTCAACAGCAGAATGCTCCTCACAGGCATCAACATGGCTATGCACACTATCCGGTCCCGTCGGCGTCGGAGGTCCAAAGTCGCCCATCGTCATATTCGTCCCGTTCTGGAACACATATGTGCCTCTACAGCTCGCCATGACATGGACATTGTAGAAGTCATGAATGTGCATCTCGTCGATCAGACCAGTGTAAGCCTCGTTGATGAGCTTGATGATCTCGTTTTCGATCTTATTGACGATGGAAGTGGCTTCGCTGGCAACGGCGGATTCGACTGAGTTGGCTTTGGAATGGAGGTAGGATGTCGCTTCGCTGATTTCGCCTTTGCCTTTGCTCTTGAGCGAGTGGACGTCGGAGGCGATGTGGTGGGTTGCTTTGCTGCCGAGTGACTCGATACCGGAGAATATGTCTCGTTCCACCATGGGTGCCATGGTGATGAGAGTTGTCGGTGCCATAGTTGGTGTTGCAGGCAAGATGATCAAGTCGGCTCGCTTACTCAAGCCTATGTCGTCCAACTGAAAGCTTCTGACTTTGTTCTCGAGCTTCTGGACGACGTTTTGTCCGATCCTGGAGGTGTTGAGGGTGAAAACGCTGTAGTCTTGCATCATGGATGTTGTGTGGCCCGCGAAAACGCAGAGGATGGACAGTATCAAAGATATCCCTGTGACCAGCACAGGTGTGATGGCGAGGAGTAGTATGGGCCAGCTTCGTTTTCTAGACTGAACTGAGGTGACATTCTGTTGTCCTGGATAAGGCTGCTGTGCTTGATATGGCTGTTGTTGTGTCTTCTCGGCCTTTGCGGCTCTGGATTTCTTGAAGGCCTTCATGCCCATTCGGAGAACCGGAATTGCAAACATTGTGTGTAGCTTTCAAGATCAGCGTGAGTTAATCGTGGGTCCGCTATTCAGCAAACAGTGTGGAATGTGATAGGTGGTAGTCAGACCAGTGTCGGGGCCGACAGCTTGGATCACTGGTCGCGAGATTGTTCCAGAGCAAACAAAGGGGTCAGACAAAGATTCATATCGTGTCTCGCACGCGAGACCACATGGTCACAAAGGGGTAAATCAGGCACTCGGCACCTGGTAATACCGGCAGTAGCCGCTCTTTGTTCCCAGTCTTGGTCTGCAGTCCAGGTCTCATTGAGTATCCGGTGGTGTCGTAAAGATACAGCAAGATGGGGGAAGCGTTGCGCGCGAGTCAAGGGTACCCTTCGGCTTAGAGAAGGATGGCATGCATGGATTGCCAGACACAAATCATGCATTCCAGGTGTTGCCACAGGGCCGATATGGCAACAGGACCGTTTTGAACCGCCTCTAAAGCACCAATTCCCGCGCATGGTGTTGCAGCGGAACACCTAAGTTTTGCTTTCTTTCGGAGTTCTATCGCCATCAGCGTCTCTTCTCCCCAAAAGCCAGTCAACCGATTCTTGAACATTGCCATCGTTCTCTCTGAGAGCAAATTGCGCCTCAACCGCAGGAAAGCCCATATCAATCAACTCAGCAAGCTCACGGCCATCTGTTCCTGCATCCCGTGAATCATGCTCGGGAAGTCTTGTTCCTTCGATACGACTGCCGAACTCTCTGTTCATCACAGCGACCGGGTCGCGGCCTTGCCAGGTGACCTTGGTGAAGCGGATACACTCCTCGAGCACTTCAAGGCGTGTTTTGCGCTCTTCAGAAGATAGCGCAATCTCCGGAATAGTCGTCCAACCATGTTTCCTCTCCTCGTACCGCATGGTTTTCATGTCCTCTCCCCTGCCTTCTGCTGTGACCTTCTTGCACCAAATCTCACTCTGCTCCCAGAGCGTGTCCAGACCTGAGAGGATCAGCAGGATTTTGGCATTCTTGTCCAGGCCAACACTGGTATCTACCAGGCCAGGAGAGGCACGCGGATGGGCGGCCATCTCACGGCTGACGTAGGTGGCGGCCAAATGGTCGTCGATATCGAGGCGTTTATGCTCTTTCACAGGCGGCATGCGCTCATGCCGAAAGCGCTCGCTGGGCAATTGACGGAGGTCGAGGCTTGGATAGAGAAGCAGCAGCGGTATAGGCGTAGCGTATTCATCCGGGATGGGTGATGGCCATGCCGGGAGGCCTAAGCTTGCTGGCACACTGAGAGCCATGTTCAGTGCGATATTGCCTCCACTACTTGCCCCGCTGAACGCAATGCGTGACGCATCTAAGCTGATCTCTGGTAGAGGTGGCAGAGGGATCTTGCCTTCCTCTCGCTCTTCCTTCGGACCGAGTTTTTGGAACCATTTGTCCTGGAGGTGCTCGGCTATGCCTCTTCTGAGGACCTCGTAGCCCGCATGTGAACGATTGAGGAGCGCAAAGGATACATCTTCAGCATCCTCGATGGCAGCAGGAAATCTGTCAGGAGTCAGCAGAGCAGATTACATGACTCGGCGATAATGAAAAAGAAGTTGGTTCGAACAAAGAAGCGGGCATGGTGTACTGACTTGTCTGCAGGAGCCATACGATAGTCCACACTGATCACAACAGCGCCCAACTCTCGGGAAAGGCGTCCGCAAAACGGTGCCTGCTCAAGGCAGCTGCCAAGATAGAAGCCTCCACCATGGAAGTCAACAACGACAGGAAAGTTGTCCGGTGTTGGAGCATGGTTCGCTGATCCAGGGTTGGGGAACCTGACTGGAGGCACAAAGATATACAGAGGGATAGATCGTCCTCGTTCCCTCGAGGGCAAGTCGAGAAGGAATGGTTGAGGTCCTAAGGGATTCGTTATTCGAAGCGTCTCGATGGGTACGGCTCGCGGTAGGCGCACGAGTGCGGTTTTGAAGATGGTTGATGGGGATTGTCCTCTGAAGCGTTCTAGCTTACGCCAGATGTTGTGCCGGTCAGACATGGTGGAGATGGGGAGTGTTGGAGTAGCAGATCAGTTGGACGATGGAAGCATTGTCGTGGCATTAATGCTTCAAATGCTTGATCCATCAGGCCCACCGCGACTTCCGCGTACCTCAAATTGGTTGATAAAATGTGATAGGTGAGGTGAGCCTGTCGGAAGGAGGCGGGTGGCTGTGTGATGTCAGTGCTTTGAAGGCTTTCCAAGTTCTTTGCAATCCAGGGATAGTCTTCAACAACTTCCTACATGTATGTCCACCTCTATCGTCGGATCGAATGATTGACGGTGAATGTGAAGTCGAACGATTGCGTGCATAATTACAGAATTTCTCCAAGACCGGGCGTGAAGCCATCAGAGGAGATAGCTGAGACGATGGCCAACTCGCTCCCTACGACTAACAGCATTCGAATGTGAAGATGGTGTTCCGACGTCTAAGAATTATACGGTTAGATTGAGTCTCGCAATACTCAATAGCCTACGGGTCACGAACGAGCACCAAGCACTCCAAAGACTTGCACAATAAAATGCACGCTGCACAAGGTTGCGTCAAGATGATCGCCACTTCAATAATCCATGCTCCTGTGGGTAAGTGGTAGGAGATTCTTCGCGTCGTACACTCTTCCCTTTCATTATCCCAACCCCGTATAACATCAAGTATGAAAGCCATCGTGGTCGAAAAGTACGGCGGCGTAGAACAACTGGTCTCGAAGGACGTCCTAGACCCTACACGCCCGGAAGGCCTCGACATTCTCGTACGGTATGTACTCCAACTCCATCCTTCTCTGGTAGGTGTTACTGATCTTGCCGCCAGAGTCAAAGCATGCAGCGTCAATCCTATCGACATCAAAGTTCGCTCGAGAGTCTACGACGATTTCCCGGACTACTACGAGCACGTTCCAAAGGACAGCTACCAAGTACTAGGCTACGATGGCGCAGGAGTCGTGGAAACCGTTGGAAACGATGTCAAGGGCTTCAAGCCAGGCGATGAGGTCTACTACTCTGGCTCACCTATCCGTCACGGCAGCAACGCCGAGCTGCAACTCGTCGACAGCATGTCAGTGGCAAAGAAACCCCACAATCTCAGCTTCGTGGAAGCAGCTTGCATGCCCTTGACCTGGATCACGGCGTACGAAGCTCTCGTCGAACGCATGGAGATCCAGCCGGGCGAGCAAGCAGCAGTCTTAATCGTCAATGGAGCTGGTGGTGTCGGTTCAGTAGCCTCGCAGGTCGCCCGTCAGATCCTCAAACTACCCGCGGTCATCACGACTACATCTCGACCGGAGACGACGGATTTCAGCAAACGAAAGGGCGCTACCCACACGGTGAACCATCGCGAGGATATTCCAGAGCAGATCTCGAAGCTTGACTTGAAGGTCCCGCTGAAGTACGTCTTCTTGACACACTCAACGGCGAACTATCTGCCGGTTGCGACCAAGATCTGCGCCCCATTTGGCAAAATATGCTCGATTGTCCAGACGAAAGACTTCCCGCAGTACGGTACAGAGATGATGGCGAAGTCGCTGACTTTCGTGTGGGAGCTGCTGGGGACGAAACCTTGGTACAAGACTGATGTCGGTAGCCACGGCAGGATGCTGGAGGAGCTGAGGCAGTTGCTTGAGAAGGGAGAAGTGCAGTGCCATCATACGCAGACGCTGCCGCTGACTGCTCAAGGCTTGAGAAAGGCACATGAAGCCATTGAGAGTGGTGGCAGTATTGGGAAAAACGGGTTGAGTGTTGACGATCCTGGTATTGGTGGGCAACCTTTTGCCTAGTCGTAAATTGATAGCAGTCACAATTAGACGTGGTTCTCTTTGGTGAGCTGGTCGTGATCGTGGACAGATCAAATTCTGAATCATTTCCTGCTTTGCTGATATCCGACTTCTTAGTAGTGAATATCAAGGCAGACGCGTGGAATGCTCGACTCAATCAATTACCATTCCGCAAGAAATTGTATACCAAAGAATGGACTGTGTGTAAGGTATGCTTATGCATCTGCTGTGATCTCGGGACGGGATGCCGAGGCACCGGCTGAAGGAGCTGAGATGCCAATACAATCTCACCTCAGCCTGCCGATGGTCTACCCTTCGTGTTGACACGGCGGAGAACGTCGAAACTTCATACCATTGCACAGCATGGCGAGAATTGTAGAGGGAAGTTTTCACTTACTAGAGTTTGGATTTAGGATCGGGTTATACGGCTTGCTTGCGGTATGCTCTCAACTCCACAAGAAGGGCGAGGCTGACATGGGCAGTTGTTGGCTTACGCGGTGCTCAAAACTGCATACAACATCTCACCTCTGCATCCTCTGGCGAAGTACCCAGGTCCTCTGCTCTGGCGGGCAACCAGGTTGACAGCATCCTACCACCACAGCCGTGGTGATCTTTACAAATGCATCGCAAGCATACACGCTCAGTATGGAAGCACCGTCCGACTCGCTCCTGACGAGTTATCTTTCAGCGACCCCTCAGCATGGCCGCAGATCTACAATTCGCGCCCGCAACTGGCGAAGACAGACTTCCATTTTGCTCCAAGTGACGAAGCGAAGCTGCCGAGTAGCATGATCACCGCGAACGACGCAGAGCATGCTCGCCTTCGCCGTCTTGCTGGCCCGGCTTTCCTCAATGCTGGCATCAAAGAAGTGGAACCAACAGTGCAGCACTATGTAGATTTGCTGTGCTCGCAACTGACTGAAGCTAGCAGCGAGGGTTCGCAAAACATGGTGGAATGGTTCCTCTGGTCGCTCAACGACGTTATTGGGCAGCTGGCTCTTGACCAGGAGTTTGAATGTCTCACCAAGCGTCGGATGCATCCCTGGCCGGAGTATTTGCTGGATGTCTTGAAACAGACAGCATTGATAAACCAGTTCCGAAGGTTTGGGATCTCCCTCAAGATGTTCGCCCCGTTCATGAGCCAAGAGATGATCAATGCTCGTGATAACTTCCTCAACACTGCAAGCAACGCAGTGAAGGCGCGGCTCGCTCGTGAAGACGAGGAGGACTTTTCGACTGAGAAGAAGCGGCCGGACATCGTCGGCCTGCTGCTTCGCGAGATGAGGAACAGTGAGCGGCTCAGTGTGAGTTCCTTTACTCTGATCCATCCGTGGTCCTCTGGACACACGCTCATCCATCGCAGGAAGCAGAAATCACATCCAACAGCATCCTCATTGTGGGCGGTGGAGCTGAAACAACCAGTACCTGTCTGTCTGGCACATTTTATCACCTGTTGAAGACACCACGCGTTATGCAGAAATTGAAGGATGAGATCCGCCGGACTTTTGCTTCATCGGAGGAGATCACTCTGCAAGCGGTTGGCAAGATGGACTACCTGAAAGCTACCATCGACGAAGCTCTGAGGATTTTCCCTGTGGCTTCATACATTACACCAAGGATCACACCAAAAGGCGGTCATGTCATCGCGGGGGAGGTTATACCTGCGGAGGTAAGGGAGTCCAGAGATACTGAGCAATGATCGATCACTGACGAACAGCACAGACGTACGTCTCCATGGGCCAGTGGTACATGGGCCGCTCAGAGAAGCTATTCAATGATCCTCTAGAGTTCAAGCCAGAGCGTTGGCTCGACACAGCCGACTCCGCTGATCGAGTCGGTCCGAACGGCATGACGCCTGACGAGTCTTTACGCCCGTTCAGTCTCGGCCCGCGAAACTGCGTTGGAAAGCTGTGAGTGATCCTTTGCCGCTTGTCCCAGGATGTCTGGACACTGACGTTCCTCCCAGCCTTGCTCTTGCCGAAGCTCGACTTGTCACGGCCAAGTTGCTCTGGCACTTCGATATGGAACTAGACGGTGGACATGATGCCTGGATCGAGGGCGCGCGTTTCTACATTCTATGGCAGCTCAAACCGCTCATGGTCAAGTTAAAGCCGGTTGCGCGATAGCATGGGATCGTAAGGCTGAGGAATGTTGGTTTGGAAACCAACACTGAGGCTTTTTGCCCGACCAGTAGGCCAAAGATGGTGCGTAGCTCTCTTGAACGACTCAATGAGCATTGAGACCAATGCATACCATTGGATGCGATGTTGGGTGCTGATTACCCGATTGCTGTAAGCCTTTTCTCAAGTCGATTTAGCCATGGTGGCCTCCCAGAGTGCTCGGCTCGCTCTATCGTGCCGATAACGCGGCCGCGGCAACAGATCGAAGTGTTGTCGGCGAGCACTGATTTTGCAAGCTCTCCCAAGTCGAGTAACCGGATTCGATGGAGCAGAGCCGACGACACCTGTCTTGGCCTATAACAACCTTGGTGTCCCGTTTGTGAGACGATTGCAACGATTGAAGGATTCATTAACAACAGCGAACATCTGCCGTTAGTCATCGTACATCATGCAAGGTAAGTTTTAGCTTCTCGGCAATCGCCTTGCAAACCCTTGCCTTCTTGAACCAACATGGGATAAATGTACTATGCTTCACCGGAGCGGCCGTGCAAAGGCTTGGTAATGTACGTCATGATTCGCAGCCTTGTCTTGTCGTGAGCATTGCAATCTTCGCTTGAGGATGCTGGATACGAAGTGAAAGGATGGAGTGTTGTATTGGTGTGAAAGCATGGCTCGGAGGGTGCCGAGTAAGGAGGACTGGGAGCGCTTGAGACCGCAGGTCACGGAATGGTATCGGACGAAGACGGCGGAGACGATAGTGAGGTTGTTACGACAAGATGGCTACTTGGTCTCGCAGAAGATGTTGCGCGATAGGTAATTACAGACGTCTGATGTCCCTCCACGACATCCATTCTGATGCTGTCGTAGGTTCAAGGCGTGGCGAGTAGAGAGGAAGTACACCAACAACGGTCAGACCCAGCGACGGCAAGTCCTCTCACGCCGGCATGGTTTGCTTTCCAACGAGCAGACGAGTCTCGCTTCCCGGTCTCGATATCCTCCTGAAGACTCCTCGAGGAATGTTCTGGGAGTGCAGTTTGGAGCGGACGCACTCATGAAGCCAGTCCCAAGCCGTGCACCGAATACACCAGAAGAGGAGTATCACCTTTCCCACGCCTTGAGCCAGATCTCTGGATACCTGGATCGCCTGGTAGAGCAAGGCTCGTGGAGGAACAGGAATGAGACGCCTGCCTTCGAAATCCAGAAGTTGGCAGCGGACACCCATTTGGCCATATCCAGCCAGAGCGCCGGCTCCTCGCAATCGTTCAATGACCTCCGAAGTCTCGGAGAGTCTACCTTCATCCTCATGCCCAAGTTCAACGCCGATGGATTGCTGACGTTGCATCCAAGAGCACTGACAGCTCTGTTGCGGTTGGTGGTCGATGGAACGTCCATCCCGAACGCCATGGCCCTCTGGGAGGCTCGGACGCTGCAGACAGTCAAGAACATGTTCCGTGATGCTGCAAAGGCCGCCCTGCCGGCGACCCATCCTATTCCTTTGCTCTGTGGTGTTCGGGCCGGGCAGTCGCAGGATCTGCTAGCCAGGCAGTTCGAACTGATGGATGTTCGTCTGTACGCGAGGATAAGCCATGTTGACAAGGTATTCGTGGCTCAGGAGCAGATATATGGCTCGAGGGTCCTAGCGTCGCTGGGATATGTCCAATGGGCTGAGACGAAGTTGAGCGCGGTCATAGCAGATCTCTCCAGTTACAGTTGCCAGTACACGTACGCCGAAGCCAACCGAACGCTCGGATACGTCCTACAGCAAGCTTGTGCCAGGCTCAGACCAGAGCAGGTTGACAGTAAGCTCGAGGAAGCAGAAGGAAGTGCCAGTCTTGCGTTGGGTGCTTTTGTAGGAATCGGCATGGGACAATCCAACGAGGCAGTGTACACACGCATCTGTCTGGCGGACATCCTGCGGCAGCGCAACAATCTGCGTGCTAGCGAGCGGCATCTCAGGGACGCCGTAGACATCTGCGAGACCAGAGCCGAGGGCGAAGGCCAGCAGCGGGTTCAGCTCTCCAAACTGGTCTCAGATCTCCACGACGTGCTAAGGCGGGAGGACAAACGTGCAGAAGTGCGGGCGTTGGAGCTGAAGTATAGCGAGCATTTCCCAGAGAGTCAGGCAGATACCAACGAGTCTTGTGCCGGTTCGTGATTCGCTGATGCATTGTATAAGTTAGCGGAAAGCTTAGCGCTGCAGGTGTAGATGTTTGATCCCGAGACCGAGTCGGCCAAGCGAAGGTAGCAGGGTCGTGCGAGCCATTGGCCGATAGAATGGTATATGTAGGGCTGGCATCGCAAGATAGACGTGTCAGTTACTGCTCAATCGACCGGAAAAATCGTTGCTGCTTCTTGTCGTTTCGTATCGGTCGTCGCTACATCCATGGAGTTCATCATGGACGATTACACGCTCAACGCCACATACCTGGTTCCGTACATGCCACCAACGGCCGCCGAGTGGGAGGCCTTACGTCCGTTGGTCATCGATCTATACGTCACAAGGCAGAAGACTGCACGTCAGATCGTTGAAGAGTTGCGGCAACATGGCTTCCTGGTAACGTAAGGTCATCCCACTGCTTGGTGTTGATAACTGGCTAAACAGTTGGATGTAGGGAGAAGATGCTCCGCGATAGGTTGAGACAATATGGCGTCCGGAAGAATCAGTTGAAGAACCGAAGCTCGGACAATGTCGTATCCCCATGCCAGGGGGCAGGACCGAGCGCAGGTTACGGTGATTGACGTAGAGTCTGCGTGCGGATGTGTGGCCGAAGGCGAGGAGGATGGGAAATGGAGGCAAGCTTTTGTGCGCCAGGTAGAAGGCGGTCCAGATCGAACGACTGCGACAACCACGGGACCGTGCCACTGGGAATGGATCCGAATGTGTTCAGGAACGTGGGTTTGTGAGCGAGCTGCTCCTTCGTCATTGGAGTCAGTCTCTCTTGACGAAGTCCGTGTGCGATCTGCTGCTGTGACGATGAGAAGGAGCAAGACGTTTCTGTGCAATAAAAGATAAAACATTACCATTTGCCCCTATAATCATTAGGATCCGCCCACCCCTTCGTCATCAATATGCCATTCCCACCCGATGTTCGTTTCCCAAAGTCAGGACGATCCACCCTACCGCCCCCCCTTCATCCTTCAACGGCGTCCAATGCAATGCGAACCGCTCAAGCCCCATCAGCGGTCTCGCACACAATTTCAGATCCAGAGTGATCGCATTACCCATCTTCAGGGCGCTTTTCACCGAAGACTTGAACTCCCAGTTCAGCGATCCAGTGCCATGATTCGAGAGGAATTTGAAGACGTCGGCGCCGATGGCGTGAGCATGGAGGGCGGATTTGGCTTTGATGGGGAAGAGTGTGTCCGCGAGACCGGCGGAGATGAAGGAGATGAGCCAGGTGCTGTAGTTGATGATTATGTACTATGGGCAAGTAGTGAGCCATTGTATCGGACTGAAGAGTGGATCGATACTTACATTGGAATAAGCCGTGTAGAATTTGTTGATCTGACTTTCCAACGGAACCTCTTCCATCTGGTTAAGCAAGATATTCTCCATGCCTGGCGTTTTCTGAGGAGCGGCGGACATTCGACTGGGTCTTCGAAAAGCATTCAAGAACGATTGACTGCGAGGCTGTCGCAGCGGCGGTGGCGCAGAAAGCTGCGTGGCCGGCTGCTCCTCTTCTTTCGATTGCGACAATATTCGCAGGACGTCGGACTGGTTGTGTATGGTAGAGGAGCAGTTGATCTGTCCGCCCAGGAAAAAGATTGGTTGTCGGTCGTGGCCCTGGCTGGTCTGAGAGAAGAGTGGCGTCGTGTAAAGCAGATTCCAGAACGGACTGCCGTCTTTCCGTAGGTTGAGCAGTAGCTCGACTGACTCCTGTCGGTGTTCGATGGACCTCTTGAGCCTTCTGATTGACGATTGATCCGTATGCTGGCCTTGCAAGAATCGGCAATTCCGAGGGATGATCTCGGACCTAGAATATCCAGTCACCTTGACAAAGCCATCCGAGGCGAACACGATGGGGTTGTCGGCTTTCGATGGATCCGTGAGAACGAAGCAGTCTCCAAGTCCAGCATACTTGTTCTGGTCGTTCCCCAAAGCCTTCGCAGCGCTGAGTGACATCTGCTGACGGACAAAGTCACTGTAGATGTTGCCGAAAACAAGCCGTTCCACGTCCGCCTGCGCATCCTGCCACACACTTTCCAGCAGTGGCAATGTCGTCTGCAGCGCAGTCTTGGCCTCGCTGTTGACTTTGAGCAGTGATTGCTCCTCGATGTTGATCTGGTTCGGAGCGCGGCTGGAGATGTAGTCTCGGTGGGTTTCATACATGGATTTGCGAACTTCGTCTACTAGAGCATGATGCCGTTGGACCCGCGCTAGGAATTCCATGTTCTCGCCGGCCAGCCTGGATTGCGAAAATCTGAGCAGCTGATGGCTGATTGTTGGATTCTGAAGACACGTCTGGAACACTGTTTGGGAGAAGAATTCCGGCATCTTGGTGGAGGACCTTGCATTGCTTCTTCTGCCGTCCCCATCTGAGAGGACAGAAGCTGAAGTCACGGACGGAGAGAACGTGCGCTTTCTCTGCGCATCCATGGAGATGGTGGGCCGAGCACTGTCAATGGACAGCATGTCGATTTGGCGGCCATCCAGAATAGGCTCATCGGTACTCCTAGCATGCAGAGTCTCTTGCGCGCCGTTGTGGTCCGCGCCGTCCAGGCCGTCCAGGCCGAACGTGGACGTGTCTTCGGTCTCACTGCTCGCGACAGACTCGGTTCTGAGGATGAATGTTTGAGGACTGATAGGGTCCAAGGGGGCTTTTAGTGATGGCGTTCGTCGTATGTTTGTTTCGAAGAACTCCCCGCCAAGTGAATAGTCGCGGCGCAGCGGCGAAGGCGCCATTGCGGAGGAGAGTAGGTGTAGAAGAGTGGCTAATAATCTACGCGACGCAAGGTGCCACAAGCGCGACTACTTGTACTTTGTGCTGTGAAATTACTCGATGAAAATCATCAAATTGCCAGTGGTCTGGGGAAGGAGGTGACAGGTCGTTTAGGGCAGCCATCTGGTCCTGCCGTTTCGCTTCCCAGCGCCACACGGTCACCCCTCCGTAAGCTGAAGTTGGAGACGACAGATTCGCTGCTGGGACCAACCTGGTTCCGGTGCCACAACGTTTCATCTCAACGCCTCTGCATGGTTCACGCGTGCCATACGCGGCTCGGCGAGGCTAGTCTTACCGAGTCCCCAGGAACGCAATCTTGCAGTGATCTTCGGTGGAAATGGCGGCGAAAGAGGGCAACTTCGGCACTCGGTTCGTCATGAAGACAACTGGAAGGTAGTAACTACGTATCGCAGAAGTCCAAGATGTTGTGCCGCGTCTCGTATCGGCTCAGGACGATTTCCCCGGGGACGCAAAAGATTGTGAATCTGTCTTCTGGCGCACGAGTATGCCACGCGCGCATCTCGTGTCAATCACATGGATGAATGGCAATGGCGAGTCCAGCACAGTAGGTTTAGGAATGTGGCGCACCAAACCATAGACATGCCGGCGACCACCTCTCCCCGTCCTTGAAAGACTCTTCCCGTCCGCGTACCGATCGACTCGTTCTGCCGCATCCGCTGCTTCCGCGAAGAACGTTTGGCATGATAACGTGGCCCAGATCTTGGGTTCACCAATCGAATTCCAGAACCGCTGGCGATCGCGTACATAGGTCTAGACCCGCAAACTTTCAGATCTTGGCAAGTCTCCCGACAACCGCACCTTGTACCTTTGCTCGCCTGGTCGTGCTACAGACCACTTCGCCCTCCTACGAGCATGGTAACCCGTACAAGTACACAGTACTGCTGAGCGCGCAAAGAGCGCTGTAAGACATCCTGGGGAATGGTGCGGTCGGATCACCTCACCCTGCAGCATGGCTTCCACCGACCCTGGCCTCCGCGAGGCGCAACGCCGCCAGGCTCGGACTGAGAGCCGACGAGAACGGTAGCGAGACCCCGAGAGTGGTCATTTGCGACAAACAATGATTGATCCTCGCGCACAGAGAGTTCTACGAATATTATGACGCCCTCGAACACCTATCCGACAAAGTCCCTCAGTACGTCGACATCACTGACCCGGCAGCACTCCAGCGCCATGTACCAGTCTCCTCGCCTGACAAGGCGCTCAGTGCATTTTGTCAGCTTGGTGGTATGTACACGATGTCGCCCTTCGGTATGGGGTGTTGCTGACCACATATCCTCACAGCGGTCCAACTCAGGGCTAAACGTGGGCTCTTGTTCTTCTTCAACCAAACGTATGTACCGCTGTCACCCCTCTCAACCTTCTCAACCGCTCACCCACTTGGATATAGGCATGCTTTCATCCTTGCTGAAGCCACTCCCACGCTCTCGCTTCAAGACCACAGCCGCCACAAGGATGAGCTGTGGATGGGGTACTCTAAGATTGACCGATCTTGGTCCGTTTGCGAATGGACCATTCAGCTAAAGCGCACGCGTGTTGATGGAGACGAAACATCTGATCAGCTGCCGCTTAACATCATTCCGGATCTGAAGGGCACCCAGCAGTTCTGCACTTACCCTTATGTGATTGATGCTCCGCGGATGCGGTTCTACGCCGGCTGCCCGATCGTTTCAAGAGGCATCAACATCGGTGCATTCTGCGTGCTGGATGATGAAGTACGTCCCGGGCTATCGGAGCAGGAAAAGACGTTTCTTCGCGAGTGAGTTGAGCCCATCAGTGAGGTCTTCGAGGCCACCAGTGGCACTAGGCGGTGCTTCGTGACATTCATCCCAGCAACACAACGATTCACGGCATACTTGCTGACTCTTCTGTCCATTCTTCCAGAATGTCGGTGACTGTGACACAGCACCTCGAAGGCATTCGTGCCCGTGTAGAAAGTGAGAGGGGATCCAAGCTCGTGGTTGCCCTGGATACATTCGTACAGAAGTCTTCGGAGTCGAGGACGCAGAGGCGTACCGGTAGGTACTTGTGGGCATAGGTTGCTCCTATGGCACTGGATGTTGCTGTACGAAGGATTGCTGACGGTTTCATCCTGCTGTCATATAGGTAATACCTCGCGTTCGCAAGGCCGTGGTCGTCCGGTTAGAAAAGTGCGTAGTCCTTTGGTTCATCAACAAACGCCACCGTACCCAGGTCAGACTTCTCAAGCTTCAGGACTGCCCTCGCCGCAGCGTGGCGACCGCTCGGATACCGCGAATAGCAGTAAACGGCCATCGCAATCTGATGTGGAGGCGGCAACGCATGCCCCACCACCGGACGGCGCTCATGAAAGCCATAGCGATCGCCATCCCAGCACCTCGAGCACGAATACCACACCAGATCATCCTCAGAAACAAAATGACAGAGGCAATTACGGAGAAGAGCTCCACGCGGCTGCTGTGGAATCTACTCTCAAGGCCACGTTCCAAAGGGCTTGTGGTCTCCTACAGCGAGCCATCGATGTCGACGAACTCGTTTTTCTTGATGCTTCCGTGGGCAGCTGGGGCGGCCTTGCGAAGGGCGAGGAGCTTTCAGAAGCACTCACCGATTCGGGCACTGGCGGAACAGATAGCGAGGACCAGCAACAACCCGTGCTGGAGTCGAATCGCTGTCGCATTCTTGGCCAGTGCCATGTTCCCAGTAATACGGCACTCAGCGAACCCTATTCGGCCAACAGCGGCATGAGCGAAGCGTTCTTGAAGACTATGCTTCGGAGATACCCCGATGGAAATATATGGAACTTTGACAGCATTGACGAGTCCACGTCCTCAGACGATATGTCGCACCCACAGGGCGCAGCTCGCACAGGCCCGAACAACACTACTCAGTCCAAGGCGAAGAACCTCAAAAAGAGTCGCAGGGGCGAGGTGGCTGAACTCCAACGCATATTCCCTGAAGCCAAGAATTTGTGTTTGTTCGGCCTTTGGGATTACACACGCAATCGCTGGTATGCCGCTTGCGTCCTGTGGACCTCTGATCCTATTCGGCTTTTTGCCAGCGAAAGCGAGATGAATTTTGTCGCTGCCTTTTGCGATGTCATCACCGCCGAGGTGCACAACCGGGAGGTTGAAAGGTCGGACAAAGCTAAGGCGGTATGTTACCTCTCCTCGACACAAGCCTTCCTCACATATGATAGATGACGCTGACTCCTTCCCCCACCTATACCAGACCTTTATCTCCTCCATCAGCCATGAGCTCCGGAGCCCTTTACATGGCATATTGGGTTCTGCTGAGGTCCTGCATGATCAACCACTCGACGATTTCAGCCAAAGCATGGTGGCCCAGATCACCGCTTGCGGGAAGAGCCTCCGCGACATCATTGAAAACCTTTTGGACTTTTCTCAGATCAACTACAACGCGAAACATGGCGCACGAAAGCCACGCAAAGACATACTCAACGGCCTCAAGTCTCCCTTGTCAACAGTCTCGCACCCTGGCACCGTCGATTCTCAACCCGATTCTCCAGACATCCGGCTCGACGATATCACGGAGGAGGTTGTGCAGTCGGTTGTTGCCGCATACCTCTTCAACCAGAAATTCGACATGAAGAAATCTGTCACAACCATCCTCGATATCGAGAACCCGCTCAAAGGTAGTTGGAACAGTAATATCGAGGTCGGCGCATGGAGAAGAGTGGTGCAGAATTTGTTGACCAACGCCTTGAAATGCACCGCCGAGGGACACATCTACGTCACCTTGAGGACCGAGCGTTCCACAAGCCCGACTACACGACTGAATGCCGTGCTCACCGTCCAAGACACAGGGAAGGGAATGTCACAGGAATTTGTTGACAACGAGCTATTCGCAGCGTTTTCCCAAGAGGACACTTTTCTAGAGGGAACGGGTCTCGGCATGCACATTGTTGCTCGTATTGTTCAGTCACTGAATGGCAAGATTGGTGTCCAAACGGACCAGAAGGGTGGCGGGACCTCGCTGTCCGTCACGGTTCCGCTAGAGGCTTCTTCACCGAGCAGCAAGGCTGGCGCTCCCATGCCGGTACCAGCGCGACTCAACGAATTGACCGCCGGCATTTTCGACTGTAGATCAGGCGAGTCGACGACAGCTCAGTCAAAAGCTCAAAGCCTTCTGCTCAAGACCGTCACAAAATCATGTCACCGCCAGGGCATCGAAACAGCTCGCATTGACCGCACAAGTCTTGCGCGCCCCAGGTATCTGAATATCATCACGGAAGAGGACTTGCTTCAATATCTGCGGCAGTGGGAAGCGGGCGAAGAAGGGGAAGTGCAGCACGCTCTTGCCAGCAAGCCACTAATTGTCCTCTGCAAGAGCGTAGATTCCGAAAGACACCTGAGGTCACGGCTTGACAGTGTACCCACCGGCCATGCTGTGGGATACGTCGTTCAGCCCTGTGGCCCGGCACGAGTGCGCGAGACCATTCTCTCAGTCTTTGAGAGAGAAGGGAGCTTCTCCAACAGCATCTCACGAGATCTGAATCACGACGCCGTCTCCGGCGCTCCGAGCACACCACTTAGCACCCGCAGGATGCCTGTGCGAGCGCACACAACAGGCGAAGCTAGTGTACAGAAGAAGGAGCCCAGCTCAATCTCCGGCAGTACTAACGACTCAACCTTCAAAATCATGGTTGTCGAAGACAACATCATCAACCTCCAACTTCTCCTCACCTACGCACGCAAACAAGGCCTCTCGTGCATCAAAGCCGAAGACGGCAAGCAGGCCTTCGAAGCCTACAAGCTCGCACACGAAACAACCCAACCCGACGTCGCAGACGGTAGCACCTCGCCTTCCCTCCCTCGTGTGATCCTAATGGACATCAACATGCCCACCATGAACGGCTTCCAAGCGACGACAGAGATTCGTGGATACGAGCGACTACATGGTCTGAAGCCGGCGAAGATTCTCGCGCTGACAGGGCTGGGGTCCGCGGAGAGTCAGCGGGAGGCTTATGCTTGTGGGTTCGATTTGTTCTTGAGTAAGCCGGTGCGGTTGAAGGAGTTGACGAAGATTCTGGAGGGGTTTAAAACGGATGGCTGAGCCGATATGCGGCAGCGGTGCTTATCGACTGGACCGATCATCGTTAAATCTGCACTCATCGGACGACGATACCGAGCCGCAACCTCGCACACCGAGAGCGAAAGTCCTGGCAACAAATTGCGACTCCGGGTGTCAACGGATTGCCGAACTCCAAACCCTCTGCACATACCGCGACCTGGAGTCAGAAGGATTGCTGGATCTTGGACTACTAACTGACCTGATTACTCACCGAACGAGAGTCAAGGAGGGTACGCCAATCTACAAGGCCAAGGCGCGGCAAAACGCTCCCGACAAAGAATGGTGGATCCGCAAGTACGTCCTTGACGGCCTCGAGAGTTGGATGTTCAAGAGAGCGATCTATGCCAATGGACGGCTATGACAGTGGGGAGCAGACCCGGCACTGGCGAAGTCCACACCACCCGCGTGTGGACGTAAAATCACTGCAACCCAAGCACCTCCTTCAACTCCGCCACCTCCGCATGGTCCTGCGCATGCCGCATCCGCTTGAACCACACCACCTCACCCTCCACAAACAACATCTCGCCACCCAGCTGCGATGGACTACCGCCGGAAAAGACATTCGTCGGATCCATCATGGCGGCCTTCATGGAGAGCAAAGCCGTCTTCACCGGCCCTTGCTTCACATACGATGGTGTGCTGTCTCCGGTGCTCATGCTGGAGAGCATGCCTAGTTTAGCGTATAGTTTGCGCGAAGGATCTGTGTAGACCGGGAAGCCGGTGTCTGCGCCAAGGATGTTGTGCATGGTGCGGGTGCGCCAGGAGGGTATGGGGGTCACGTCGCCGCAGCCGATAATGGTCAGGTTGGTCCTGGGCGTGCTGGACGAGAGGAGGGACGGTGGTAGCTCCTGGCTTATGGTTCGGATGTAATCTTCGCAGGACTGAGAGGGCGTGTGTTAGTGGGTGGTGGATGGCCGGCGGGAGTGCTACGTACACCACAGAAGTAATGACGGATGAAAATTGTGAGATTCTGAGAGCCACTTCTGTCCTCGTACAAGGACTTGAATAGGACTTCGTTGCCTTTCTCGTCTTTTACAATGAGGTCGCCTGCTTCTCTGAGCGTTTCAGCGGTTGGAAGCTCGTATTGGGGTTCGTGCTTCCCTCTGCCGTGTTCACCTGAGGTCGTGGCCATTGCTCGCTGAAGGAGACTTGACCCAATGCTGTGCTTGCGACAATTCAAATGTTGTTAGGTGGATTTGGGAACCAGCGGTCAACGATAGGGACCTGAAAGTATTTGCTGCGTAGCCAAGGAGGGAGGGGCTGGTCGTTATCCAGTCCAGGCGATTTATACGAATGCGATTCTGAAGCCCAACTTCATCCTGGCTGAAATACGAGTTCTACACCACCTTATTACGTCAATTCGACGGCCAACAATTCAATGCTGTATTAAATCTCACGGACAAGTCGACACCATGGCGACCATTCACGGTCTATCGGACCAACGGCAAGGCGACCCAGAGGCATTACTTTCGACTTCAACACCACGGGTATAAAGCGCCGCTTCAGGGAGCAAGAAGTCCACCGGCATGGGAGAAGACCGCTCAGAGAGCAAGACTCGGAAGAAGAGCATTCCGAAGAATGCAAATGCTGCGATAACTATCTCTTCATCGCTGCTCCCAAACCTTTCATGAAGCGTATTCAAGAAATGTCTTCCGGCAACGTTCCGTCTGCCAAAACACTTCCTGATCCTCAAGTCAGCATGGCCGCCGGTCTGCAGGACTAAGGTGATGGACCAATTTGGGATCCAGGACGCTGGTGACCTTCCTACCACTGACTTCATTGGCTTTGGCACTCCCTCTTACCATTGACTTCATTGGCTTTGGCACCCCTTACCATTGACTTCACTGGCTTTGGTCTTCCCTCCTATCCGTTTGAGAGTTTACTCTTGAGCCTGCACCCCTATCGGCTGGAGAGTTTACTCTTCGGCGTGCACTCCTACCCGAGAGTTTATCTCTCGTGGGCTTCAATCCTACTCACCCGAGAGTTTATCTCTCGGGATATGAGAAGTAGCCGGCCAAACCGCGCGAACTGTTTTGATATTCTGTTTGCCCCGATGGCATGGCGGTCCTTGATGGCACCATTCGTATTCATGAATGTCGTTGGCTTTCCGGTATTCGTAGAGGCATGACGCCATGTAGACTCCCGTGTCGTTCAACCAGATACTTCTAGTCTCGTACCTCCACTTCGTAGCCCATGCTGCTGCATTGCTGTCTCCGGGTACAGAGGGCGATCATCTGCCGCAGATAGGTCTGCGGTAAGAAGTCCGTAAATCTCGAGGCATTGCCTCGCATTAGGCTAAATGGAAATATGGCTCAGGATGGTCTCACAGCTGCCTTTTTGGGCAAGTGCCGAAGTCTGTCCAATGGGTGTGGTTTCTGCATTGTGGATCTCCTACAGAATGGGAACTGCGGAGTGTAGCGCGTGGGGTTGCGTGGAGGAGAAGGAGGAGAGGGAGGAAGGGTTGGGGAGACGGCCACCGTGAGCGGTCAACGTCTGGATAAATGCGAGGACGCCAACGTCTGGGAGCTACTCTGAACAGAGAAGCCCCGGCAATGAGGGTAGATCGTTACTCAATATAAGCTCACGAAGCTTCTCAAGTATTTGAGAGAGACATCCAAGAAGTCTTGTCCTTCCACCATCAGCCTCCCCTCAACCTCCACCAACCATGGCACCACCACAGAACAACATCGTCACCAGCACCAACCGCGGCGACACCACGATCAATGTCCGGGAACTCCTCCAGCAGCCATGGTACAAGTATCCGCACCTCAGGAAGCTCTACGCCTGGATGTCGGTGGTCCTGCTCGTCCAGGCAACGAACGGTCTTGATGGTATGGTGCTAATGTGCAAGATCAATCACAACGATAGCACTGACTACATTGACAAGGATCAATCATGAATGGCATGCAAACGCTCACTTACTGGCAAAGCTATTTCAATCATCCGACCGGAGCTCAACTCGGCCTGTTCAATGGCACACAGGGCCTGGGTGGTGTTGTGTCGCAATTCTTTCTGTGGTGGTTGGTTGAGAAGATTGGCCGAAAGCTCACCATCATTGCTGGGGCTGTGATCATCATCATTGGCGTATTCCTGCAGTCGTTCGCGAATGGCTTGGTCATGGTGTGTGCTGGAGTGTCTTGAAAAGCTACCGCATGTCACTGATGCCTGCTCTGCTTTTAGTTTGCTTGCGCTCGTGCAGTCATTGGCCTTGGACTGAGCTTCGAGTATACTGCTGCGCCAATGCTGGTGACTGAGCTTGCTCACCCAACCCATCGAGCGCAATTGTCGACACTCTTGAACACCCTGTACAACTTCGGTGTAAGTCAATGTACTTCCGACAATGCTTTTGCAAGTATTGACGGTAGTGGAACAGGCAACCCTGGCTGCGTGGATCACTCTCGGTACACTCCAGATCCAGTCCGATTGGAGTTGGCGCAGCGTATCGCTGATCCAGATGTTCCCGTCCCTTATCTCCATCACGCTCACATGGTGGGTTCCGGAGAGCCCCCGCTGGCTCGTTTCTCAAGGCCGCAATGAGGAGGCATACAAGATCCTGCTGGACAACCACTGTGGTGGAGATGAGAGTGACCCTCTGACGTCGTTTGAATTCAACGAGATCCAGTCCACGTTGACCTTTGAGAAAGAGCACAGCACTGGCAGCTGGCTGGACCTCGTTCGTACGAAGGGAAACCGACACCGGACCTGGATTGTGTTCACCTGCGCGATCGCCGCACAAGCGTCTGGAACAACGTTGACTGGCTATTATCTGGCGGTGGTCCTGCGAACGATTGGTGTGACGAACGCGCAGCATCAGGCGATCATCAATGGTTGCCTGACGATGTGGAACATGGGTCAGTCTTTGATGAGCGAGTGAGTTTACTTATCTGAGGTATTGCTGACACTTCCACCGTATAGGCTGGGCTTTCTGGGGAGCATTCGTGATTGACCGCTACGGCCGTCGACCAATGATGCTGACATCCTTGACTGGCATGTTGGTGTTTGGTTTCATACCCTGGACTATCTGCAGCGGTGTTGTAGGTTCCACAGCTCGAAAGATCTGGTGCGCGCGCTGACTGAGATGGACCAGTACAACGTCGATGGCAACGTCCGCGCCGGGCAGGCTTCGCTCGCATTCATCTTCCTGTTCACGGCCTTCTACAGCACCGTATGGAACGGTATACTGACAGGTTACACTGTCGAGGTCATGAGCTACGACATTCGGTCGAAGTTGATATGCACACAGAACCTGCTCGTCCAGGCCACGATCACCGGATTCAACTACCTCAATCCAGTCGCGATTGAGCATATCTCCTGGAAGTACTATGTGGTTATCTGCTGCATCATCCTGTTAGAGATCGTCCTGGTTTACTTCACCTATCCTGAAAGTAAGCGCTCTTCTTCTGCGTGCGGCTGTCAGGCGGGATGCATGCTAACGGTCCAACAGCATCCAAGATCACGCTTGAAGAGATCTCGACCATCTTTGATGGAAAGCATGCCGTGCACAACGACCTGCTGGCTAAGCAAGAAGACCAGGAAGAGCCGCTAGACGATCAGAAGGGAGTTGCGGTTGAGAGACGTGAGGTGTCAACGAACGAGGCGTAGTATCCAGTCAGTCAGGATCTCAATAGCGGACGAAAACTTCGTCGTACTGTCACCCCAGTAGTCGGATACCGTGAAGTCCAGTCGTGAGTTCTCCGTGGTCATCGACACGCGGTATCAAAATGCCTGATGAGGAGCAGGACACAATGGCATGAGGTTGATTGTGGCTTGGCGCATCTTTCGGAGGAACCTGTGTCCGAGGTCTCTGCTTTAATTAGACCTCAGCTTTAATTGGTAGGTCCTCCACCACTTTAATCCCGCCATTGGGGGCTGATTCCTGCACGATGGCACATTGTGCATGCTTGCCATTGTTCCGTACAGTAGTCCATCGGGGGACGAGATGGATCGAAACCATCAAAGGTATCGCAGAGCTCCCAAGGATAAGCCGTTGCGCCGGGAGTCGACCAGAGGGAATACTGGCGATGCGAAGCAAACCTCGCTACTCCTCCAGACAGAAGAACGACAGCTTTAGCAGCAAGGCTAGAAAGACTCGAAGGATCACTGGAGGCTAGATATAGCAGCGCCTCCTGCACAATCATTTCATGGCCTGTCCTCTAAAAAAGCCATCTACTCAGCCGCTTCCGCGCTGAGTGCCTGGGTAGCCCTTGGATTGGTAAGGTGGATACACATACTCTCTTCATCTTCTGCTCCGAAGTACCGGGATCGCTCCTAGGTCAACAGACAGCGTCTTGAATCTCTCTTCCTCTTGTTCTGCGGCGTGCTTGGAAGAGAAGGGCCGCACTTATTAGAAGGCAGAATGCGATGTACTGCTCGCCCATCGAGCAGGCGGATAGCATTCCCACTGCGCGCAGTCTTGTTCGGTCTACTATCCTTCCTCATAACATCTGCGCATGGAAGATTGGTGAAGCGAGACGAGGTCAACTACTGCATCAACCCCCCAGCCGCGGGGCCATCGGAGGACTTCTCGGACAACATATCTTTCACGGTCGGCTCCGTCGTTGACATTGGGTGGGTGACAGACTATCCGTCTGTTGCCTTGCAACTATGCCAGCAAGGCCCGGACTCTACCGCTGCGTGCTACCCGCTGTTTCGCAACCAGGTCTCGGTGACGTCTGTGCAATGGACGGTGGGCCTCGGGGGCAGTGGGTTCATTCTGAGCGACGGCCAGGGTACGTGAGGAGACAGGTCATGACCTTTGATTGCTCGCTAACCTCTGGCCCCGCGATAGTCTTCTACTTCCAGGTTTTCAATGGCAACCTCGACTCCGAGGATACCTTCACATGCCACTATTTCAACATTGTCGAGAATGGCAAGCAGACCACGCAAAGTGTCGTCACCGCAACAATGAATCCTGGCGCTGTCGCCGCGTCTTCCTCATCTGTCGAACCCTTCGTCCAGACCGTTACGATGACCCCTAAAATCACCCTACAAGCCGCTGTTGTCTCCGCAACACCTTCGTCTTCGGTCAGCTTTACAAGTACGACAAAGGGCTCAACACAGAGTCCGAGCATTACCAGCGAACCTTCAAGCTCCGGCCTCTCTCAGAGCGCCAAAGTCGGAATCGGCGTCGGTGTGGGCGTGGGTGTGGTCTGCCTCGCAGTTGGGCTGCTGATAGGCTTCTGCCTCTGGCGACGAGGAAAGCAAAAGTCTGCACAGACACAGGATGCACAACAGCAGCAGCAAGACCCGTTCTTGCCTGCAGTCTACCAGGCCAGCAGCGGCGAGACACAATCCGCCTTCAGCGCGGATCCGAAATATGCACCAATGCAGCAGTACGGCTATCATGGTGGAGAGTTGCCGGTGACTGAGCGGCCGGCAGAGATGGCTCATGGGGGCTCGCCGACGCAGGAGTTGCCGGGTTCACAGCCTTTCCAGGCGTATAGACCGGGTGCGACATGAACATGAGCCCGGCGATGTGCATAGAGTGCGAAGCGGCATAGATTTGCTTGACATTCTTGTTTTCAACAGCGAGGAGTTGGAAGGTTGTGAGCTTTAGGAGTGCTCCATTGCGACTGCGATACCACAGAGTCTGTTAATGACTATATGCATTTGTACAAGATCAGGTCGGCTACTGAGATCAGTACATCATCTAAGAGAAGGGCATGTTCTCACGACAACGTAGAGCCTCTTTTCGTCATCACATCCGCTGCAGTGGCATCAAATCCATCGGGATAGCAGAGAAGAGAGTGCTCATTCAACCGATGAACGAAACGTCCCATGGCCACCAAGCCTTCTCTTCAAGAACAACAGCCGGTGTAGTAGCATCAAGATGCTCACTATCAGGGAGAAGCCGCGACTCGAATGCTGGGAACCACGCCACCTCTGGCGTAGCTTCTAGGCACAACGGCCTGAGAGCAGTCGGTACAGTGGCACGAAAACGAGTCGTTTCTCCGAGAGCATTCCGACAGTTCGTCGAGCGTGTATGCTTCTCCGCTACGCAATTTGGTTCTCACGGGCAGTTCAACGGAACATCAAAGGCATTCGCGGCTTCGAGAGCCACAATATTTACCAGGTTCTCAGGCTGTATAAGGTCTGCTATAGCTGCCTGGGACTGTGTCTCGACGGTCGGAAAACGCCACATAGAAGGTGCTACAGCCACCACAAGCGCTTTGTGTCTCGGAGAAGCTTACAGAAGCCACCTATTGTCTCCCACTCGCCAGATAGGCCTCGTGCAGCTTCTTCTGCCTCTCCCAGTCCTTCTTGAGTTTTTTCACTCTCGACTTCGCCAACGGCTCACCACTAGCATCCTTGGTCGGCAACCCCTCCTCATCCCACTCGGAGAACTCCTCATCCGCCTTGAACATTTCGACGGGATTCAGTTTGCCCTTCTCCAGCTTCTCTCGCTCCGCTGCAGCGGCATCAGCCTTCGCCTTCTCCTTTGCAGCGGTTTTTGATGCGGCCACTGCTTCCCGGTCTGCCTTCTCTTGTCGCAGGGATTGGGAGAGTGGCCGGACGAGGGATGGCAGACCCTCGCGGTCCTCGAGGTAGATGTCTAGGTTCCAGAGTACGCGATCGCGGAGATCGTCGCAGGCGGCGAGGTAGTCCTTTGGCGGTGCACCCTTCTTGTGTAGGCCCACAACCGTGCGCTGGAAGTCGGCGTTCGCATTGGCGTACGGCTGGTTGGCACCAAAGGTCGTGTCCACATCTTCCATCTTACCTAAGGCGGTGAGGTTGATCCTGCCCGCTATCGCTTGCTCTCTCACGCGGTCGCGTAGGCGAGCTAGAGGTAGAATGAACGGCTTGGCTTTTTCGGGTATGTCGTTGCCGGACCATCCGACTTGGCCGGTGGGCGGTGATGGTTGCGAGTCGAGGCCAAACATGTGCACCATTTTGGTGATCCAGCTCGCAAGGGAGGTGCTTGTAGACAGCGCTATTTGCTTGTCAGGTGTGGAGTTGTACGCGGTGATGAGTTCAGTTATGACGCGCATTGCTGATGGTGTGTCGAAAGAGTCGGAAAGAGCGTCACCAAACTTTGCTTGGGCTTCGTCTAGTCGGAGATCCATCTCCGTCTTCTGTGACGCGACGGAGTTGCCGTTGCCGTTGCCGTTGATGTGTGGCTGTCGGGACTGGAGATCTCGAACCTTGAGAAAGAAGTTGTTGACACGCTCCTCCCAGGCCAAGCCAGCTTTGACAAGGTCAGGAGTAATCTCTAAACCGTCCTTCCAGTTGCCGAGGAGGAAGACGATGCGAAGCCCACGCGGCGTCCATGCACCCTCTGACAGTGCTTGCCTAATGGTAGTGAAGTTCTTCAGCGATTTCGACATCTTCGCTCCAGAGATCGATAGGTGGCCAGTGTGTAGGAAGTAGTTGACCCATTGGTGGCCAACGTGGGAGTCAGAACGATTGCACCAGTACGCTTCCGACTGCGCAAGCTCGTTGTCGTGATGCGGGAACGCCAGATCAATGCCGCCAGAATGAATGTCGAATTGCTTGCCCAAGACGTCTGATGCCATGGCACTGCACTCGATATGCCATCCTGGTCTGCCCTCACCCCACGGGCTTGGCCAACTCGGTTCGCCTGGTTTGCTGGCCTTCCAAAGCGCAAAGTCAGCAGCCGAACGCTTGAACCCGGTGTTCTTGGCGACCAAAGCGCCCTCGCCATCAGCCAGCATCTCCTTGTCGTTGCGGTTCCAGGGCTCCAGACGCGCGTAATAGCCGCCCTTTGACTCCCAAGCGCCGATGTCGTAGTAGACGCTGCCTTCGTGCTCGTACGCAAACCCGTTATCCTGTATGCGCTTCACGAAGTCCACAATTTGAGGGCCGTATTCAGTGACGCGAGTGACTTTGTCCGGGTATCGAACATTGAGCGCCTTCATGTCTTCGAAGAAACGCTCTTCGTGCCGCTTGGTGAGAATCGTAAAGATGCCGTGGTCGTTGCCTTTCACCGTTGACGACCGCAGTGAGTCGATGTAGGGTAACAGAACACCCGTGGTTCTCGATACATAGTCTTCGAGGGAGGGATCGGGAAGCAGCTGGGCTTCTGCTGCGGTTCGAGCAATGGTGAGGTGCATCTTGACCTTGGCCTCTTTGTCTCCTGGCGGAGTGCCGTCGTCCGTAACGCTCTTGCCCTTCATGACGTGGCCATATTTCTTGTCCGCTTCCTCACCAAACTGCTCTGGAGCCACCTGCGAGTCCAGCAAAGGTAGATTCTTCTGTGCATATGCATTCAGTGCCTCTGCCGTTGTCTGCCGAATTTCTGACGAGATGGCCTTTTCCACCCCGTTCGAAACCCCATCCTCCTGCTCGCGTGCTTTCCGATGCTCTTTTAGCCACTCGGCCAGAAGATGCTGTTGTCGAGCTGCAAGGATGATCTTGTCATCGACATCTGTGATGTTCATGACAAAGTTGACGTCGAAGTGGAAGTAATCCTTGAGTATTCGGCGTATGATGTCTTGAGAGACGTAGTTTCTCGCATGCCCGAGATGCTGTTCGCCGTCAGCCTCACAAGGCAACCATGTCTGATATGAAACTTACAGCATCATCGTAGACTGTTGGCCCGCAGGCATACCAGCTGACTTTCTTGGGCTTCAGCGGGTAGAAGGGCGTCTTGGTACGGGTGAGACTGTTGTACACTCGAATGTTGGGCGCTTTCGGGTCGATGCTATCGGACTGAGGAGCGCTCCATGGCGGTTGCTGTACCGCCGCCATACCCCGTGAGAAGGTGTATTTTGGTGGTGTGGTCGAAATCTGTGGGGATGATCTCGTTCGCGAGTTGTGGTGCAGTCTTGCTATGAGATCAGGAGCATGATCCAGACAGTGTCGTGTCGAGGAGAAGAAGGAGCGCATGAAGTTGGCTCATGGATGAGTCGAAGCCGCATTTTCCAATGTCCGTCAGAGCTCGAGGCAGCTGGACCCTTGCATGTCCCGCATCCTGCTTGCCGATCTCCGCCCGCGCCGTTCCCTTAGCTTCAACTCAAAGTGGCCGGAGCCCGGTCACACCCCCTTCCTCCACGGATACAGGTCCTCCGACGACATCAGCCCCACATGGATTCAATCGGCGAAGGAGAACAGTTTCAGCTCTTCCTGCTGTGTACGAGACAGCCGCCAAGGACTATCAACACGCAATCCTGGCTTCTCCAAGGCAACAAAAGCTTTGAAGCGGCCGCGTATGTCCGCGTTGGCAGGAGGCAGAAACATTTATCAAGAAGAGTCATTTGTAAGCATTTCAATGTGTATATCCCTCTCTTCAGCCTTCCACTTTCCCTACTGTGCCCTCAAAAGCAATCATGGCGGTCCTCGACATCTCAATCTACTTCGACTTCATCTGCCCATGGTGTCTGATCGGCCACAAGTCCCTCGACAAGGCCATCAACCTCTACCAACGTACCTACCCAGGCGGTCGGGATGACGAGATCCGATACAATCTTCTGCCATATTACCTCAAGCCAGATGCTCCACAAGGCGAGAGCGTCGCTGCGCTAGAAGCCATCGAGAGGAAGAATGGCAAGGAGAGAGTCAATGCCATCCGGACCCGACTGGAGCGCGTTGGGAGAGAGTACGGAATCGATTTCAGCATGGCTCACTTTGTCGGCAGCACGCGCGATGCCCATCGCATGCTGCGGTTCGCGCCAGTTGAGAAGCGGAAAGAATTGCTCGAGGAGGTGTATCGGTTGCATTTCGAGTCGGACCTGGATATCACTTCTCACGAGGGTCTTGCGACGGCAGCTGAAAACGTGGGCTTGAGCCGGGTAGAGGTGCTGCAGTTTCTCAGCGGCCAACAAGGAGGCGAGGAAGTGGATGAGCTGGCGGCAAAGGCCCGGAAGCAGGATGGTGTCGCCAGTGTGCCCACCGTTGTCATTGGTGACCGGCGGCTGGAAGGTGCAGAAGACGTGGGCGAGTTCTACGAAGCATTGATTGCTGCGAAGGAAGCTGCGTCTGGCTGAGAAAAAGGTGATGGGTCGAGATGGACCGGACGCATCTTTCTGCCGGGTCTATGGAAGTTCCTTCTCAACATGGTCTAGGATTGGACGATATGTCTCACTGCGCCAAAGGCGTTCAGATACTCTGTTTGGCATTTTGTTGGCAGACCGCATGCAAGTCCGTTCCTGTAGATGCCAATGATACCAAATTTACAGCTTGCCAAATATTTGGTCCTGAATTGATAGTAACCAAGTCAGCACATTCTTGTTATCGAAGAATAGTTTTCGTGAAGATGTCTTTTATTATCAAGGCGAAAGATATGTGGTCGAAGCTTCTGAGTCAGCCACCGCGTCACTTTCAAAGCGGGTGGCCGGGAGCTTGATTCTGCGGATGCAGACGGGTATGGACGCTATCAGAAACAACTTTTTGCGCGCCAACATCTTTCTACACACCATTGGAATCGTCACGGGCATAGCATAGCATTGAGGTAACATGGCGAGCAAGGCGCCCACCACGGGCAACCTCACGCCCGACTTCGTGGCGACGGACTACATGAAGTTCTTTGGAGCTGGCGCGTTGGCAGCATGTGGAACTCACGGTGTATGTACGCGCGCGGTCAAGCAACTCTGACCAGCTTTTAATGTTCGCAGGCCGCCACGCCAATCGACGTTGTCAAGACGCGCATCCAAGTCGACGACAAACTCAAAGGCCAAAACATGCTCCGCGCAGGACGATCAATCGTGGCCGGCGAAGGAGCGGCAGCTCTTCTCACAGGCTTCGGGCCCACAGCTGTCGGCTACCTCGTGCAAGGCGGTGGCAAGTTCATGGGCTATGAGTTCTTCAAAAAGAAGTTCGTCGACTGGGCTGGGACGGAGCAGGTGGCGACGAAGTACCGCATGCCCATCTACCTGTCCGCATCAGCAGCCGGAGAGTTCTTTGCCGACATCGCGCTGTGCCCTCTGGAGGCTACGAGGATCCGACTGGTCTCGCAACGAGGGTACGCTACTGGCCTAATACCCGGCTTTGCACGTCTGGCGCGGGAAGAAGGCTTCCGAGGATTCTACTCTGGTTTCGTGCCTTTGATCTTCAAGCAAATCCCGTACGCTGTGGGTCAGTTCAGCGTACACGAGTTTGCGAACGAGGCAATCTTTCGTGCCATGGGTCCGGAGCGGAAGGCCAAGCTCAGCCATATCGAGGCGACTGGTGTTGAGCTCGCATCCGGCATGACTGCAGGTGTCGCGGCCGCTGTGCTCAGTCATCCTGCTGATACGCTGTTGTCGGCCATCAACAAGGGTGCTGGTGACAAGGGTCAGTCTACCACTGGGAGAATGTTTTCTTTGGCGAGAGAATTTGGCCCGAAACGTCTCTTGCTTTCTGGGTTGGGGCCCAGGGTGGTGATGACCGTTGGCTTGGTATGTTGCTGAGCCCTTGAATAATTTCCCTGATAAATTGTGTGAGATATCTGCTGACGTTTGCTCCAGGTCGCTGGACAATTCGTCATCTATGCGCAGTGCAAAACATTGGTCGGCGCGCCGCCAGGCATCGAGATCCATAAAGAGGACTAGATATCAAAACATTCACCACCATATTGAAACATATGAGGCAGATCCCTTGCTGGGATGAACAGCAATACCTGGGACCCCAGCACCAGCACTTCGACTGGACACTTGACTAGCAGGAGCGGAGAAGATCGGGCAAGCTTTCCTCTTATGTACAGCCGCAAGGTTATCCATGCAAGATCCTTGGTTTTGGCTCTTCAATGGGGGTCGAATTACAAGGAGGCTGTGTTTGGCGATAGAAATTGACGACGTGGTATGCTGATACTGGTACATAGACAGACCGCTAATATCTGTAGGCCGCCGAAAAGGCCTAGCCTTCTCTTCCAAATCTTCCCTCACAATTGACTTCCCTTCTCCACATCTGGCTGCCCAAGGCCTCCACTACAGCCACAGTCTCCATCTTCCCGAGGGAGTAGTAAAACCTTATGCTGAAACCTTATCCCGCGGACCGGACCACAGCAGACCCGCGGGGTGCGAGATCGCTCACTGGTTGATCTGGATCTCAAATTTTACGATCCATTGCTTCTTTACCTAGGTATGTAGTTGGCAAATCGTCAGTCAAGCACGCGCCACATGCATACGTCGATCTGGAGCCACTGCGCCGGAGCTGCTGCTTTCGCATGACCTCACCTACCTGCCTTTTCACAAGGCTCACCCGTCTGCCTCCTACATTCCCAAACAAGGGCCCCCTCAGACAACTCAAACGGTCCAAGCAACATGAAAGCAGAAGAAACCACCATTCACAAGACTGGTCGTGAAGGCCCACCAGATCTCCGACTCCTACATTTCAATGATGTCTACCATCCAGCGACTGGGACCGAAGACCCAGTGGGCGGTATTGCGCGTTTCCAGACAGTGTGCAATTACTACCGGGACGACGAGAAGTTCAAGGATCTGCCCAAGGCTATGACGTTCTTTTCTGGTGACGCTCTGAACCCAAGCCGCGAAAGCACGGTGACGAAGGGTGCGCATATGGTGGAGGCGCTGAACAATATCGGGATTGATGCGGCTACCGTTGGGAATCATGAGGTGAGTTGTTGGATCTCTAGCGTTTTGATCACCTACCTGGGTGGAAATTGGAAGCTGATGAGAAGCTTAGTTCGACTTCGGAGAGGCCAACTTCAAGAAGCTCGCTCAGAGATGCGACTTCCCATGGCTCCTCGCCAATCTCGACGACCCAAATGCGGGAGAGAACATGTGTTTTGGCCAATGTGAGAAGTCGAAAATTATCGAGGCATCCAACGGGCTCAAAATTGGGATCCTTGGGTTGGTGGAAAAGGAATGGTTAGAGAAGATCAACACCTCTCTCCCAGCCAGCCTCCAGTGGAGAGAGCCGATCGAAGTGGCCAAGGAAATCGCTCCTCAGCTGCGGGAACAAGGCGCCGACATCGTGATCGCATTAACCCACATGCGCCAACCAAGAGATTTTGCTTTTGGCGACGGCATTCCTGAAGGTCTGATCGATCTCATTCTCGGCGGCCACGACCACGAGTACGAGTACCAGGTCTTCAAGAGCGGAGCCACTTTCCTACGATCTGGATCTGACTTCAAGAACCTCAGCTACGTCGAAGCTCGACGCAAGGAGGACGCGAAAGGATGGGATTTCGACATCGTGAGGCGAGACATCGTTCGCGAGATCCCGGAAGATGAGAAGACCTCTGAACTGGCGGAGAGGCTGGTCCAGGACGTCCACAGGAAGCTCGGCAATCGGATTGGCTTCACATCCGTCCCTCTGGACGCCAGATTCGACACTGTTGGGCAGCAGGAGTCGAATTATGCGAATTTCGTGGCGGATTTGATGCGCTTGTACTACGAGGCGGACTGTGCAGTGTGCACAGCGTTCACCATCAAGGGCGATCAAGTGTACCCGCCAGGCGAACTCTTCCTCAGGAATCTTGTTGACTGGTATGGAGACATTTCTCTGTGTGCGGTTGCTGATGCATGCTGATTGAGCACCCAGTCATCCGTTCGAGGACCCCGTGGTGGTGGTTAGGGTCAAAGGAAAGGCGCTTCGCCACGCTTTGGAGAATGGTGTTAGCCAGTATCCAGAACCCGCTGGTGAGTATCTTCAGAAATTCGATTTGGGAAGAGGCATACTGACAGGTAGTCGTTAGCTTGCTTCCCGCAAGTCTCCGGCATCAGGTACTCCTTTGATGGCGAAGCCGAAGCTGGCAAGCGAATACGCGAAGTCGAAATGAACGGCAAGGCCTTGGACGAGAATGCAGACTACACAGTAGCGTGTCGAGCATTCCTGGCTTCAGCCAAGTGTGGGTGCTCTCTTCAAGTGCTGTTGACACATCCCATTGCTAATCATCTCCAGTGGGCTATGAACAATTCCGCGTCCACGCCGAAGGCGGCGGAGCAGAAGAGGTCGTCTCAGAGGAAGAGGGCGTTCTCGTATCTGGGTTGCTACGGCAGTACTTTGCATCAATCGAGATCGTCGACAGCATGAAAGGGTTGGCTCAGAAGGAAAAGAACCCCACATCGCAGTGGGACAGAGTCAACGACGAGATGGACAAGTCGCACCCACCTAGGGAGTCCTCGAGTGACGGGAAGAGTGGTGGCAAAAAGCGAAACGCTGATGATGGCAGTGACGACGACGAGGAAGTGAGTTCTCGGAATGAAGAACGGGAGAAGAGGTTACAGGTGGCGAGGAAGGTGCTCAAGCGATGGCGACGAGTGGCTGGAATTCAAGGTCGGCCGGAGTTGGCGAGCGAGCAGGAGCATGGCGAATTTGTTGTTGGGTGGACAAAGGGTATTGCGCCGAAGCTGGATGGGCGGATACAAATGGTAAGCGGTCAGGCTTGAGGGATGGCGAAGTAAGGTAGGCTTCCCGCCCAAGCATAGTTGTATTATCGAGTCTTGCATTAGACGGCCGTACTAAGTCCTCCAGCAGATATAGTGAGCGTCCGCATTACATCCCTCCGTCATAGTTTGCATCAGTGCTGTTGATACCTGGCAATGAAGGCAGATGATTATGCTTCCATCATGCAAATTCGTACAATGTCCCCCAGCAAACCCAAACGCCATAGAGGTCAGGCATCCAGCCTCTCAAATGCTGCTGCTACTCCGGTCATGAATTCTTTGCTTCCTCGTCCTGGCCTGTCCGTCCAGGCTGTTGACTTGTGGTCGATGCGGCTTCTTGTTGTGCTCGAGCAGCCGCCGCCTTTGCTTCTGCAGCGGCTTGCTCACGGAGCTCCAGGTCCCTCTTGAATCGTGCAACAGAAGCTATGAGCCGTTCCTCGGCCATCTTCGATGGCTTTGGCGGCTCGTATGCTGCAGGTGGCGTCCACGCGGTTCTGTCGTGCGTGTTAGGTAAGGCAGCCATGGTGTGTAGGAGAGTGGAGGAGCATACTCCCGCTGGGATGGGCTGGCGGCGGAGACGCCATTCGAAGAGACCGTAGGTTGTGTATCGCCGTTGGCGGCCATGGCTGAGGTGGATGAAGTCATCGAGGGCCTCTGAGAGCGGATGTCTGGTCGTGTGATTGTGCAAGGAAACACCTGCGGTGGTCACACGCTTTTGAGTCGGCCCTCATGCATACCCGGCAGAATGGCTCGCGTGCTCCCCTTGCGGCAACGAACGCTGCAGAACAACCCAGACGGCGTTTGCGACGAGACATGGACGAAGCCCATTTGCATCTTTTCTCGGCTGCCTGCATCTTCGACGGGTCAGGCCCAACGGCATCGCCAGGCGTGCCAATGGGATGGGATGCCGAGCGGCCTAGATCAGCGCCCGGCGAAAGTCTGCTCGAGCGCGACGCGAACCACGTCGACGCCCGCAACGTTGCCTCCCGCTCAAAACCAACCACATCGTAGATACGTCCTGACCGCCGGGCGTCGACGAGCACGCCCGGAGGAACACCGCATGACATACACCGTACTCGGTGCTGCACAGCTGTCTTCGCAGGCCAAGCGCCTGTCTAGCGGTCATTCCTGCCCCCCCTGCTCTGCTGCATGAGCACTCAATGCACTCCACCCAAACCAGTCGCACGCTTGGGAGCTTGAACCGGAAGTGCAACCCGTCATCACTCGATCGCTCTTGGAGCGATCCAGGGAAGGCATAGGCATCTGCATTGGTGAGAGGCTCAAGCACACACAGATGCGGCCAAGGTAAGCGAGCGACACCGGGCTTGCAGACTGCATGCTCTGTGTGACCTGGTGACTCACCGTGGCGCTCTGGATCTACTACCTCCATCCCGTTCCTGACGGCCAAGGCGAGCGAACCACGGATCGTGCGTTGGCGACAGCAGTGAACAGCTGCCCTCTCGCCTCGTCTTTCGCTTGTCCATATTTTTAGCCGATACAAAGATGGCAACTGTGGCATCTTCCGCAGCATCTAGAGACGAGAGACATCGCACACCCTTGCCGCAACAGGCAACTGAGGTGGCCTTGACTGGGACCGCCAGGCCGGCCGTTCGTCTTCACGCCTTGGATCATCTATTTGCAAGCCACGAGCGTCCAGAATGTCGCAGATCTCACACCTCCCATATTGGCGACTCTTGGAAGTCTCGCGAGTGCACGGCAAGCGGCCAGGGACATGCAAATCTGGAGACCTGCACAACATGCACCGTCGACCCTGCTAGGCTGTTCGGCTGCTTGCACCCGACATGGAACTACTGAACGGCAGCGCACTTGTCCATCCTCCGCATGGGCCAATGGCAGAGGCTTGCTGCATCTGGGATCTCAAAGCTGACTTCAGCTCTTTCGCTACGCCCCAGTACGTGATGCTCTCCAGGCTAGGAACACGGATTTGAGACGTAGCCCTTCGGAATCAACCAGACACTTCGGATATCTCATTAGACGGTCTTTCAATACGACGACTGTGGCACCGTACATGGGGAGGATCGGAGTCCGCAGACCCCGTTACACCACGCCGAACATGTGTTCCACCGCCTCCGCCGTTCGTCCCAGTGCGTGCGACCTTTACAGCCGTCGGGACGCGGCATTGCGGAAGAGCGCGAGGACCTGCGGTGTGACGAGGCCTTTCAACGTCTGTTCGCGTGCTCGACGAATGGTGTAAGTAAGACATATCTCGAGCTGTTCGACCTCGGGCATGAAGACCGCCCACTGCTTGGTCACCAGACACTGGGTAAGCTGGCGAGAGGAAGAATTCCATGTCAAGTTCGCAAACCTACGGAAGCTACGTCTTACGCTGCAAGCATGGACCCTACGATGATTCGCTTGAAGTCGCAGCTCTGGGTCTTCATCAGCAATCTGTCGGCGCATGCCGTGCATTTCGTTCTACAGCACCCTCTACGCACAGATGGGAATATTGCAATTTGCGAGTATTTCCGAGAATCCACGCTAACATATCCGAAGGCGAGCCCATGCTCGAGAGGTAGGTTGTTTCGTTCCTTTGCTGCGTAAAGCTGCCCCGTGGTCTGAGGAAGCGAAGTAGGTCGTCTGACTTCCGGCAATCGAAATGTGCATGAAGCTGCGTAAAACACATCCTGACCCGACTCGCCAGACAGACCAACCCGTACATTTGGCGCAATGCACTAGGTCCCCCTCTCGGAACTACAATCTGAATCGACGATGGTATCGAGCGCAGGATCACTCAGGCTGTCTTATTCGCTGAACGCCACCACCATCTTACCGAAGTCGCCATAATCGCCGGTAACGACATCTCCAGTCCCCTCGGGGATAAGGACGACGCAAGTTCCGGTCGTCACCCACTGCCTTTGCCCAAGCTCAATGCCGTTCTCGCTAAGCTCCTTAACAACCCAGCCCAGCGCGCGTCCCCGACACCTCCCAACACTTCTGCACCACTCCCGACTCGGACAAAGCTTCTCCCACCGCCTTTCCATCCCTTCACAGTATGTACTGACAGATCTCGAGCTCGCCAGTCGGCCGCCTCAGTACCCAGCACGAAGCTGTCGACACACGCATCATCAGCAGTTAGCAGCGGAGCGCCTGCAGCTGTTCAATCATCGTACTGCGAGTCCGGTACATCTACGCCTACGACAAGCTCATCCGCGTCCCAAGCGACCTCCGATGTCTCATACTTTGCCCGGCGAGGCGTGAGGACCCTGTCCATGCGAAATACGAGTTCCAAATTCGCGACTTGCATCCGGTTTGGTCCTAATTGTACGGTATCGCCTAGTTTGGTGACGCGTTCGTGGAGGAAGTGGCCGGCCGGGGAGTAGGAGAGGTTGGAGTGTTGGCCTGCGGTGCTTGCGGCCGCAGTTTTACTGCCGCAGAGACGAGAGGTGGTTAGACGGAGGACGTGCCACTGGATTGCATAGCCGTCTGGCACGTTGAGGGGGCGGATTGGGTCTGGGAGAAGTGGGAGGGTCGTGCCAGTTTCCCAGTGGGTGATGAAGGTGTTAGATGCTTCTACGTCCGGTGATGGCATTTTTGGTTTGGCACAGGAGTGTTCTTACTTGCTTCCAAGGAGATGTTGAGTCGATCCCGAGTAAGGTAGAGTTCTGTAGAGTTGGATGCTTTGACCTCTGATGAGGTCTACTCGTACATGGCATCACTACATGATGAGAGGATATTCAACCTCCTTTCGAGCGAGGAGGAGATGGAGCAGACAGGATGGAGCAACCCGTCTTTCGTTCTGTCCAGTGTCACCGTGATACCGGGGCAGATGCATGTAGTTTCTAATATGGAACTAAGCCTTCGATCACGACCTGCAGGCTCCTCCACCCACAAGCTTACTTCGTTGCCAAGGCCAGCCACTCATGTCGTTAGATGGTCGATCCTTTACATCACTTCTACTCATTGAAACGATCCTCGAAGTCGACACGACCTTTTCAAGCCGATTTTCAACTGCGACAACCTTCGTAATCTACGAATCAGAGCCTCCCAGTCGTCGTGACCTCTCAAGAGACCGGCCCAATCGATCATGGCTGAACTTCAGAAGCCTAGGACTCTCGAGGGCAAGATGTGGGTGCCATGAGTTTGACACTCTGGCGTCTCAGCGACAACCCTGACATTTCCGTAGTGCCATAGTCACAGGAGCATCACGCGGCAGTAAGAAAGCCCGGAGGTGTTGAGACGAGGAATACTGACAACCCTCGCAGTCGGCAAAGCCATCGCCTTCGACCTGGCCTTGCGTGGCGCGAAAGTGGTCATAACCTACTCCAGCGACCGCTCGAAAGCACCCGTAGAGCAGCTCATCTCCCAAATCAAGGTCGAAGCCAGGAGCTCAGCGATTGGCGTACAATGCAATCTACAGCACCTCTCAGCTCCAAAAGAGATCATCGACGCCTCCATCCAAGCATTTGGCAATCACATCGACATACTCGTGAACAACGCAGCAGCCATCTCAGCCAACTTCATCTCCGACATAACGCCAGAGTACTTCGAAGAAATCTTCAGCTTGAACGTACGAGCCCCGCTCCTCATGGTCCAGGCAGTGCATCCACACCTCCGTGCTCCGGGTCGCATCATCAACATCAGCAGCGTGGCAGCTCGGAACGGCTACCCTGGGACCGGAACCTACGCTGCTTCTAAGGCGGCGCTGGAAGGCTACACACGAAACTGGGCGGCTGAGCTTGGGAAGGACGGTACCACGGTCAATGCTGTTGAGCCAGGTCCTGTGGAGAGCGAGATGCTGGATCAAGTTGATCCCAAGACTGTTGAGGCGCAGAAGCAGCAGACGCCTGTTGAGCAGAGGGTAGGGAAGACGGAGGAGATTGCTGAGATTGTTGGGTTTCTCGCAGAGCCAAGATCATCTTGGGTCACTGGACAGTGTCTTAGCGCGAGCGGTGGCTATGCCACTTATTGATCGCCTCCGCGAAAAGGGTGCATCTGCCTCAAACGTCGATCCCCTCCAATCCAGATCGATCGAAGCAGTTCGTTTCCATATGAGCCCCCTCCAATCGAGCCACCTAGGCATCGCCTCTCAGTCTCACTCCACGCAGTTGAGCCTTATAGATCTGACTGGAACCGGTGGAACCTGGCAATGGTTCATCATTTCCGGAGTTTCGACCTGTACGACGGTCGATCAGCTGCTTGATCTTGACGTACTAATGTTGACGACAGAGCTTACGTGTGAGAGTTGCGAAGTCTCTACGCCGCAGAAGTTATCGGCGTACGATAGAATCGTACAATCTCCAAAGTCCGTTGGCTTGTTCCCAGGCCACCAGTCAGGCCCATGCCAAGCATAGGAAAATGCGTAGGCAACATGTGCGCGTTCGTCGTCAGGCCACCGATAGCATTCACCATCAGCTTCAATGACATCGGGAACGTGCTCTTTGACGTTGAAACCTTCGCCTTGGCAGGTTGTCTCGTTGTAGCGGTCGAACAAGATGTGGAAGTCGAAGAAAGGGATGTGTCCTCTAGGTGAAATCACTGGGAGCGCAGGTCGTGCCGTGACAGTCGAAGACAGCACAGCCATAAGCGCAGCCGTAAGCGCGGTCTTTGAAAAGGCGACCATAGCGAGAGTCTCCGAGGTTCGAAAATGCACACAAGTCTTTAATAGATGAGCTAAAAGTTGTGAGGATGTCTGAGCTTGCGAAGAAGATAGAAAGTTAGTTGAGTACAGTGCGAACAATTCTTATATCTGGTGGGTGGGAGGGTGGTAAGCAACATGATGACCACTACAGACAGCGCGATTGCTTACCTGGATGAAGATAAACGCCATATGCGGTCATCAAAGCCGTATCACAGCCGGTAGATCGATCCTCTCAACAGTATACTCGAGTGGCCCGCACTCGCTCAATCGGTTTTCATGTATATGGTGGTAAGATCGGCTGTAGAGGACTTGCCGAAGAGAGAGATACCTATAGGCCGCTTCCGGCTGGCGTTCTTGTCTACGTTTGAGATGCATGCATTCCGTAGCCCTTGATACGACGATGCATCACGTGGTGAAGCTGGAGCGGGAACGAAGGTGGCGAACGCAGATTGTATTGAGGACCGTAGCTGATGAGACCACCACAGTCATTGCAGTCTCTGGACCATAGAGCAACTCTACCATGTTGATGGAAGTGGCTTTTCCTATTCCACGCACACCAGCCTGACTGACTGAGCCGGAGGCAGGGTACGAAAACGCCCATTCAGATTGTCCGGACTTTGAACCTATGTTGTTCCATGTCAGCTTGTCCTCATATCACAGCTGTCCGAGGAATGCCTACATGATATATATACCCGGTCTCGGTAGCACAGTACTCGTCGCTATAGGAATACAGAGTGCAATCACCGTAGTCCGACGGGGCGTCTCCGGGCCACTAGGCGGGCCCGTGGCGTGCGTAGAAGTACGAGAACGCGGTATGCGCTCGCCCATCGTCCCAATTTTTGCACTGGCCATCGGCCTTAACGACGTTGCGATCCTGTACGTAGTCGAAGCTGAAGGGCTTGCCTTCGCATTTGGCCTCCGGGTTATCGTAACGGTTGATGCTGATGTGAAAGTCGAAGAAAGGGAGAAGTCCCCTCGACTCGATCTTGCGGGTTGCGGGGCGTCCTGCGACTAGCGAGAGAAGTGTGGCCACGAGCGCGGTCTTGAATGGTGCAATCAAGGTGGAAGCCTGTAAAAGCTGGAAGCGTGCAGACGTCTGAAAGGTGCGATGAATTTGTGCGAATTCCTGAGCCTTTGGGGAAAATGGCGAGTAGGTGGACAGCTTGGGCAAGCATCATATACTGTCCATGGAATTGAGGTAAGCAACATGATGACAACTAGCAGCGGGGCGATTGCGTACCGGAATAAGTCCGGAAGCCAGGTCAATCGTTTGAGCAGTCCTCCCGAGAGGTCTGTACACAATCAAGCGCATTTGTGAGCTCGTCGCAAGTGAACATGTGCATTGGCGAGGTGCTGATGCAACAAGATGCCACAGGACCTGATCAGGACAAGAGCCAAGGAGATGAAAGCAAATCAAGATGGGATCAAAGTATGACCTCGGTACCAAAGTATTGGACCGACCACTACCCGATGAATTAATGCTTACAAGCTCCACCATCTCAAAGTTTATTCTCGGTCTTGAACTTGTCCCATGCCTCGTTAAGCGTGCTGAACACAGCGGCGCTGACCATACGTTGCTCGGTGGTGGCATCTTGCGGGATCTGCAAAGCGTGTCAGAAAGGCTCTGCATGTACCGGGCCATCGTGTCCGCTCGACCGCCTTGATGGATGAAGGGGCTTACCTTGTCAGGGTGCACCTTACCAATCGCCTTCATATAGACGATCTTCACCCTTGCTGGCATGACCAGGTCCGACATCCCGACCTTCTTCCACCCAGCCTCCGGCCACAACACAAGATCCATGCTCTGCAACAAAGCTCTCAGGTTGTCACTCTTTCCACCCTTCCATGCCGTCAGCTTCGCGTCCACACTGTCACCGAGAGCGAACTTCTCGTCCTCTTCCCGATTCGCCTGTGCATTGGCGGCTCGCAACTTCTTGACCGCGTCTGCCGATGATGCAGAAGACAAGGTTGGCCGCTGTTGAGTGTTGCCCAAAGACTTCGTCGGCACTTTTGCGGCCGATGTACGAGTCGGCGCTGTAGGTTTCGCAGCTGCTGGTGGCTTCGGTGCTGCTGCCTTCTCACATCGGTCTCTGCCCCGCAGGCTGACAGTCCCTCCCACCCCTGCTTCAACAGCTTGCCGCCACACCGCAGCGGCATCATTGTATTTCTCCATGTGCTCCAGAGCTTCCGCCTTGCGCATGAGAGCTTTGCCATAGAACTCCTTCATCTCCTTGACCCCTTCGCCAACTCCAAGCTCGATGCTCTCGCCCGTGCCTTGGCTCGGCCCAATAACCTCAAGGGCGCGTTCGGCGTCCGAGACAGCAACCTTGGCGTCGCCAGTCTTGAGTGCTGTAAGGGACCGGTTGCTGAGGATCACAATTGTGATGGGATGGCCAGTCGGCAGTGGCATGAGAGCGGCAGTGTACGACTCGTGCGCAGCAGCATAGTCGCCTCGTTTGAAGTGCTCGCCACCGGTCTTCCGATGAGTCGCTGCGGCCTGCAGCGCGGTAGGCGACACGGCGGGGACTGTTCTTTGTGGCGCTTTGGGCCTTTGAGGAATCGGCGCTGGCGAAGGTCTTGAGGCTGGCACTGGCCTTGCGGAGGACGTCGCATTTGGCGGGACCTTGGCTGCGGGAGGCACTGACTCCGAGCTGAAGAGATCGACGTCCTTGTCGGCCTTCTGCTCAGGCTCGGGCGGGGGCTGGGCTGTCGGTCGTTTCCGGCGGGCGGGGCTCACATACGCCTGAGCAGTTTGTTCTTCGACTGCCTGTCGGCTGAGCTTCATCGCTGGCCGCCGATCGGAGGGAGTTGCTGTAGGCTGCGCAAGGTTGGGCCGCGCCGGTCGGGTCGGTAATGCTTCCGCCGGCGAACGCCCTCTGCTCGATGGATGTGACGGTGGCGATGGCCGCTTCATCCTTTCGCTGTTCTCGCGAGGGCCGTCAAGTGCAGCAGCCTCGTCAGTGAGTCCTGCTGCAAACGTGCGAGGTTTTGGTGCTGGAGCGTTTGGTTGACGTCGCCGCGGTGGATCCGATTCGACGTTCGGGTCTCGCATCCATTTTGGTTGGCTTGTATCTCCACCACCGGGCTCTTGTTGAAGTTCTGCAATGGTCCTGGCCATCTGTTTCTGACTGGCCTTCCACAATGAGTTTGCAGATTTCCACACCTTGCTTCCAAGCTCCTGAGCAACATGTGCCGCATCTTTGTCTCCATTCACTCCTTCACGCTGCCTCGCTGCGGAGTTCGACCGACCACCATCTTGGCTGCGCATCCATGCTGGTGTGTCCGCTCGTTCATCGCGCTGTCTTCGCTGCGGCGACCGGCTGCTGACTTGTGGACTTCGTGTGCGTGAAGCTGGTGTCTCGCCTCTCGCTTTCTGCCTCGACTCTTCGTGAGCTTGCTGGAGTAGCCAGCCAACTGCACCCTGGACATTGCCACCCGTCTCGCTCAACGCAATCCTCGCCGTGTCCACCGGAAATCCCATGTCTACCAACTCGGCCAGCGCTCGATCTTTCGGTGCCGCAGCAAGCTCGTCCTGCTCGTGCTCTGGCTCGTTCGAAGGCCGCCTCCTGTCACTGCCAAGCATATGCTCCTGCGAAGACTCGTCCGGGGCCTGCGACTGGGTTTGTGGGATTGGCGTCACCGGTTTCCCAAGGTCACCCAGTATGTCGTCGTCCTCATTGGTAGCTTCAGGTTTGGGCGCAGTAGCATGCCCATTGCTGGGGGAACGCACGCTGCCGAGGCCGAAGAGGTCGTCATCTCCTTCCACAGCCGCGCTGGGGGCTGATCTCGTTGGCATTGATTGCTGCGCAAACGCTGGTGTATTCCTGCCACTCGCACCAGCAGATGATGGCGGCGGCGAGAGGTGGCTGGCTGCATCGACCGGTGCGTCCTTGTTGAAGGCCGCCAGTATATCGTCATCGTCTTCCACAGGCGCTGCCGGACTTGGTTGTCGCTGAGCCGGTGTGGATCGACCACTACCCAATGTTTCCCAAAGCTGTGAACTCTGCTCTTGTTGTCTGCGCCTCTCCTCGATCAATTGTTTCTGTCGCTCTTGCATGGACACATTGGTGGTAGGCCTTTGAGTCTTGGGACCGAGAAGGTTGCCGAAGGAGTCATGGTTGGCCGGAGTCGTGGGTTTGGGGACGTTGGCCGCACTCGAAGGTCTGCTGAGATTGGCGGGTGACGCAGTGCCGGATCCTGGGAGCTGTGCCGGTCTATAGCCGCTGTAGGGTGTCGGTGGCACAGACGGCTTGTTGCGCCAGTCTTCTCCAAGAAGGTCGTCCATCACGGCGCACCCACAGGCTGAGTTGTTATCATGATCGGGCGTTTCGAAGTCGGAGAAGGTTGCCAGTGTTTGAAGTCGAGGCAAGGTCGACCTGGAATCAAGTTTCTCCGAAGCCGGCTGATCTCTTGGCATGAAGATGACTGTGCTTTTCGTCTTGTCCCGGAACACCGCTCTCCAGCATCAGAGATGGTGCGCGGCTCGAGCTATCGATGCATTCTCGTCTCTCGAGGCTCTCAACAACTCCTCCAGCAGCTCCAGCAGGCTCTGAGACTTCTCATTCCGCCCGAGATGGTGTCGTTGACCCGCTGGACCTTCAGAATGGCGTACCATGGACTTCAAGCTCTTTCCACGGAGATATTTGCTAAAACGATGCAAGTATGGACGCTCTCCTGGCTTAGCAGCTTCCGTTGTTCGTCCTGGATGGGACTCAAGTGTTTTGACAGCGCCTGCGACCCGGAGATGGCAGTATTCGGTCGAGAGAACACCGGCAAGACTCGTCTGTGAGCAGGGCGGTGGGCGGCTTGCTGCCTTCTCCAGCTTCGCCTGAGCTGAGAAGCGTGATCAGCGTTTGGTGTACCGGCGCATTCGCATACTAGGTGATGGAGAAATCTGGTGTGAGTTTCGTTGATGCCGCGAGGGGAGTTGTCCGTCTCCAGCATCCCGTGAGTTGAGCAGAGTGGTCTTCGCTTGTTGTACTGGCGCGGTCACAGATCCGATAGTGGAGAACTCTGGTATGAGATTCGACGATACTCGATGGCATGCTGTCCGTCTCCAGCATCGCCTGAGCCGAGCAGTGTGGTGATCGCCCGCTGTACTGGCGCACACACAGTGTCGCAGTCGGAGAAGCTGTGGTCCGAAGCTCGGTAACAATGAGTTGCCTGTTGTCGTCTCCAGCATCGCCAGAGCTGAGAAGTTGGTCATGGTTCGCTTCACTGGCGCGGTCGCAGAGTCGGTGGTGGAGAAGTTCGTGGTGTGAGACTTGTTGATGCGAGCTGACGTGCTGTCCTCTCCAGCATCGCCTGAGCTAAGCAGTGTGGTGAACGCTCGGTGTACTGACGTAGTTGCAGAGTCGCCGTTGGAGAAGCTGTGGTCTGGGACTCAGTGAAAATGAGTGGCGTGCTGTCCGTCTCCAGCATCGCATGAGTTGAGTAGGGTGGTCATCACTCGCTGCACTGGCGTGGTCGCAGAGTCGTTGATCGAGAAGTTTGGTGTGAGACTCGTTGATGGTGGAAATGTCCAGTAAGTGATTGATGTTACAGCAAGAGCTCTTTGATTGAGGCTCGATCGCTGGGGCTTCGTCATGGGGATCGTGCATGTTTGATGGTGCAGTCGATTAGTGAGTTTGATGCAAGACAGGTCCATTAGTCTCCCCTCTGGCCCTTGATCATGCTGTGATGGCTGATTGCGATCAATAGATGAAGGACCAAAGGGGATCAATCTTTTGCGCTGCGTAAAAGCTGAACCGTGCAAAAGTTCAGGTCGAGGGGGCCCATGCCTCGCCTGGCCTAACAGAAGGTACTCTTCCCCCAGGTACGGGTACTCGCTACTGTTAGGACTTTCCGGACCCTGGGTACTATCCGGCATCATCATCTGCCCCGCAAGGTCTCACGATGATGATGTTGGCTGCCGCCGACGAACGGTGCCAAAGGCTTCGGAGGGTGACGGCTCCGAGCCAGAAGGAGGGTGATGAGGAGGGAGAGGAGCCAGCTCGACGGCCGGCTGTTGCTGTTGCTGCTGCTGCTTCTCCTTCTCCAGCGTCTTAGTATAGTCGGCCCAGACTATAATTTGGGTCCGAATGGCCCCCACGACAGCGAACACCACCTGGATGGCCGACTCGTACCACGGCCGCGGCGAACAGCCTGCTCTGACCGTGCTAAGAGCGACGGTCACGGCACCCACACCACCAAGCAGGGCAAACAGAAGGACCTTCTTCGAGGCCGCCGGCGAATAGATGTCGCTGATCGACCGGACGAAATGCGCAAAAAGGAGGTACAAGATGATAGCGCCCCAGAGCACGTCGATCACGAGCAACGCGTGAGCGTCACAGAGAACGCCGGAAAAAGTCGTATTCTGACTGATGGCGAAGCCATCACCGCCGACCTTGGGTATTACTGATGGTTCCGCCATCTCGACGATCAGCTACAAGAAGGTTTTGTATGACGGCGACAATCACGTGCGACAGGGCGTTTGTTGTTGTTGTTGCTGCTGCTGCTGACTGTCGGTGCTGCTGAAAGTCGAAAAGAAGAAAGAAAACAGTCAGAAAAGTCTGCAAGTATGAGCGCTTCACTAGCGCGCCTTCCTCTAAAACAAACAGCAGGTAGCAACGACGACGGACAGCGTCAGAGGCAGTCGCGACGACGCCACTTCAATCCCTGGAGGATACTGAACGTCAAAATTGAAGAAAATTGCAAAATAGTGCTACAGACTCAGTCCCGACTCCTATTAGCAACCCACCTCCTGATCACAAACTCCCTCACCTTATACCTCCCGAACACCTCACCCACCCCACCCTCCCAATCCACCTCAAACGGACTCGGTACCTCCACATAAGCCAACACCAACGTCTTCTTCACCTGCCCCTGCACGCGATTCACACAATGCAACCACCACCAGTCCTTCTCCCCCTGCACCCTTCTCTGCCCTCTCCCACCGGGCGAGTTCCAGTAGCGATGCGAGTAAGACGGCATGACGAGGACGGCAAACTCAGCGTGCGAGAAGACCGGGCCGCGGTTGTAGAGGAGGTAGTCGGCGCCGAATTTCACGCCGGGGCGGACGACCCAGCCCAGGGAGCGGAAGTGGTGGTAAGTGATGTAGGAGAGGAGGAAGGGGTCGTCGGGGGCCGGATGGCAAGTTGAAGGCGGGAAGGTGGAGTGTTGGGCGAAGAGGCTGAGGAGGGTTGTTGCGGTGTAGACTGAAGGTGGCGGCTTGGTGGAGGTGGGTGGCGATTGTGGTGGGAGGATGGTGAGGACACCGAGGGCATAGGATAGAAAGAAGGCTTCCTCGAGGGTGAGTTGGAGGTGTTCTTGGTTGTCAATGTTGGGCTCTGGAATTTCCTGGGCCTCGATAATCTCATTGGCCTTCTTCGCATCGTCCTTTTCCAAGTCGGCGGGAGTCTTCTCATGCAGAGGTTCGCTCACCGCATCAGTTTTCTGATCTTCCGCCAAAGTCTCGTCCTCTGCCTGAGCCTGAACCTCAGACTCTGCTACGTCTTCTTCCTTCACATCCACATCCTCCGCCTCCAGCTCACCCCTCTCCGCCAACCTCTGCCTCTCAATCTTCTCCCTCTCCGCCCTCGCCCTCTCCAACTTGAACAACCTCCTTTCCTCCCTCCGCGCAATCGTAGCATCTTCCGCAGCCTTGCGGCCCCTGCTCCCGCGCATCTCACTCATCACACGCGCCTTCTCTCGCTCCAGCCAGCTAGGCTCACTCCGGCTCAAAGTCCCTTTGCCAAAGAAGCCCATCTCCCACAGCGCTCGCACATGCTTTGGATCTGTAACGTGCACTGATCGGGTTTCTAGTGAGAAATAGCCAACATACGGTTCCTCGGCATGAGATGTCGGCGGGTAAAGAAGATGGGATATCCAGGTGTATGCTATCCTTAGCAGAGAAATTGGGTTGGATGGGTGAAAAGCCGGCAGTGGGTGGATCTCGAGCGGCAACGGTTTTGAATGTATCTGAGCGAAACTGCAGCCTTTCTTCTTTGGTTTCGCTGGTCTGTCCTTGGGTTGGGTGGTGGTCGTCTCCTTCGGAGGCGATTGCCCATTCGCCGCCGGTAGGGTGGACATCTTAGAGCACAGTCCGTGACTTCACTGTACTGCAGGCCTCAATATTGCTGCTCATGGAATTCTACAATAACGCCTGAAAGTGAGAGTCATATGCCAACCAATTTCGAAGACCGAATTTGGCAGCTCGGCAAAACCTGCGCCGATTGCTGGGCGTCGGCAAGCCGAAGCACTAGCGCAACGGCGATATGAGTGATGAAAGCTGGGGTTGGAGTTTACCTAACGACATCTATCTACTGCACCCACGACATGTCTTCTGCAGCACGGTGGACGCTTCGCCTACCCAGGAGGCACATCACCTTCTCGACAGCTCCTGCGCGCAACAGCTTTCGAGCACCACAGCAGAAGCGATGGCTGCAACAACCCTCCCGATCCCTCCGCCGCGCAAAGGGTGTCCTAGCGCGATCCTCGAAGTCGCAAAGAGAGCGACAGATCAGATCTACCGCCGCACGCCCTCAGGGGCAACCTCAGCAGCAGAAGGGAAACGAAGAACAACGTCAGCCTGAACAGCAGCAGCCACCACAAGAGCAAGTTGGCCGCAACACCCAACTCGCCACCGCGCTCGCCGAGTCAGACACCTCAGATCTCGTCGCCGACGTCCACATCCCCGACGATGCAGGCGGTGTACTCCCACGCAACCACCCGGCGCTGGCGATTCTGGGCAATAGCAGTCTGGTTATCCAGCGCCAAATCGAGATGATGAACGTCATGCTCGGCTTCGAGCAGGCGAACCGATACATTATCATGGACGGACAAGGGCAGACACTAGGCTACATCGCAGAGCAAGACCACGGCATAGGCAGGACACTGGCAAGACAGCTGGCGCGCACACACCGCAGCTTCACAACGCACATCTTCGACGCCCAAGAGCGGGAAGTCCTGCGCATCCACCGCCCCTTCGCTTACATCAACAGCCGGATTCGGATCTACGACCCTGTGCCGGAAGGCGGATACACCGACACCGCAACCTCAACAGCTCTGCAAGGCGTCTCCGCCTCCTCAGCCATCTCCCAGAACTCCGTCGCCCAAACCTCCCCGCTCAAATTAGACGACATGCGCATCATAGGCGAAGCCCAACAACAATGGGCCCCGCTCCGCCGCAAATACAATCTCTTCACCTACCGCGCCCTCGAGCCCGCACCTTCCGACACCAGCACACCCCGTCTCGAATCAGGCGACAAGCCCGATACCTCCACCACAGCACTAACAGAACACACGGCCCCCGACCGCGAAATCGAAGCCGGCATGTCGCAGTTCGCGTCCATCAACGAGCCTTTCCTATCCTGGGATTTCACGCTCCGCGACGCCGACTCCCAGACCGTCGGTTCAGTAAACAGGAACTTCGTCGGTTTCGCGCGCGAAATCTTTACCGACACCGGCGTCTACGCTCTGCGAATGGACAGCGCGGCACAATCCTCGTCCCTCGAATCCGCGCAGGGCGAGGAGCTGGCGAAGTACGAACGCGACGCGACGGCCATGACGCTCGACCAGCGCGCTGTGATGTTGGCGACGGCCGTGAGCATCGACTTCGACTACTTCTCCCGACACTCGCACGCTGGCGGTGGAGGGTTCATGCCGTTGTGGTTCCCGGGTATGGGTGGTGGGGCGGCTGAAGGCGGGGCTGCTGGAGGTGCGGCGGGGGCAGGCGCAGGCGCAGCAGGCGAAGCTGGCGCTGTGGGAGCAGCTGAAGGCGCTGGAGCGGTCGGCGGTGCTGCCGGCCGAGGAGTCGCGGGCGCTGGCGCAGGGGCAGCGGAGAGCGGGATGGCGGGCGCGGGGACTATGGCGGGGTATGAAGCTATGCAGCGCGGTGCTTATGGACAACAGGGCGGAGCACCGCCAGATGATATGAGTCCGCAAGCCCCGGATGCTGGAGGCCCGGTGAATCAATTCGGCGAGACGCCCTTCGGGCAAGACCCATCACAGAACCAGCCGGGCAACGATGACGTCTGGGGTGAAGGGCAGGATCCTTGGGGCGGACAGGGGTCGAGCGGTGATGGAGGCGGAGGCGGAGGAGGAGAAGGTGGAGGTGGGTGGTTGGACACGCTTTCGGACTTCTTCGGTGATTGAATTGGTCGGTGGTGGGCGGTTGGGTGGTTGGGTACTCTCGGCTCCTTTCTTTTGCGTAACAGCGGCATTTCCATGGGAGGGTTGGGCATTTTCGGTATACCTGTGGGACGATAGATGGGACGGATGGGGGGGCATGAGTTATGATTGTATTACGATACCCGGGAGAGTGTATGAGTAGGTAACAGAAATGGCTCGCAGACAGTCATTGCAATATAGCCACGAGAGGTGTAGATGAGCACAAGGTTACTCTTCTCCTCTCATCACTTTCATTGGAATTGACCATGGTCTGTCTCGCTGTGCGTCCTGCGTACGAGCGAAACAAGAATTTGTGCTGTTGGAAGGAAATTGCGTCTTGTTGTTTTGAAGTCCTTGTGTTCGGCACGTAGCACCACGAATGCAGTTCGCCATGCTCGGTATATAGTACACGTGTACTACCACACAACGCCTCGCTATGCCCACGCCACTACTCCCTCACACCACTACTCCGCCCCACCCTCTCCAGCCGGCCGACTCGCAAGCACCTGCTCCCCACCCTGCGCCGTCCCTCCACCACCTCGTCCCGCCCTCCTCGTGTTCGCCTCTGCATCCTTGTCCGAATTAATCTTCTCGACAATCTTCTCAATCTCCTCGCCTGCCAGCATCTCGACTTCTTTCCCAGGCGCCATGATCGCGATCTCGATGTTCTTCGCGCCGGTCTGCACGACTTCGAGCAAGGATTTGATGGCGAGTTCGATGGTGTCGGGGCGGGAGAGGTCGTCTTTGTGGTTGCGCTCGAGAAATTCGCGGACGGTTTTGGAGGAGCGGCCGATGGCGTTGGCTTTCCTGTAGATGTCATTAGTAAACCGAGGTCAATGTAAGGTGGAGAGGGGGGATGCATACCACGCAGAGTAGATCCCAGAGGGCTCCGTTTGGTAGAGCCTAGGCACCTTGGTCCCCGGGTCAAACCCAACAACCAACGTGCTGATCCCAAACGGCCTCACACCTCCCGACTGCGTATACCGCTGCTGCACACCCGCAATGTGCTTGGTGATATACTCCACCGTCACGGGATCCTCGACCGTCAAGCGATGACTCTGCGCCTCTATCCTCGCCTTATCCACCAGAATCCGTGCATCGGCGTTGAGGCCGGCGAAGGCGAGACAGACGTGCGTGTCGACGAGCGAGATCTTGGAGGGCGTGATGCGCGTGTCTTGCAGCTTCATGGCGGAGCGCTTCTCGCAACCCAGGACGACGATGTCGCTGCCTTTGACGCCGACGGCGCAGGTGCCGCGTTTGACCGCTTCGAGGGCGTATTCGACTTGGAAGACGTGGCCGTCGGGGGAGAAGACTGATCATCGTTAGAAGGTAGGGGATTGGAGGATGTGGATGCGTTTGCCTACCGGACAGGGCTCGATCATATCCGCTCGCCATGTTGGAGGTTGTGAGCCCGTTGGCTCAGTGTATGGCTAGGATAGGCGCAGTATGGCGAGGTGTAGTCCTGGCGGGTTGAGGAGACCAAGTAGGCTTTCGTGGTCGTTAATGTGTTGATGCAAGGCGGCGAAGTTGGATGTTTCTCTAAGGTGTTCGAGCTCTCAAGGCGACTTCCAGACGCGAAAGCTCGCTAGTCTCGGGTCATCCCGTTCCTGCATGTAAACGCGATGTTGGAACTCTCAGACGTCTTCTACTTGCAATACAACCGAAGTTGCGTTACATTGAATACGTTGAATTGTATCGAACTGGCGAGCTCTTGAAATACTACTTGGTCCATCGCACAGTTGACGGTGGTGCTACAAGTCGATTGATAGGTATGGTCCAGTCTAGCCGGGTATATGGCGAAACATCCGTCATCGCAAGCCGATGCGGAGACCTTTGAGAGAAGCAATGTACATAATTTATCTTCCCTACGCTCGCCGGCCATTGTAACATTTCGTATCTTGGTGAATTCTGAACACGCCGCTGTTCAAAATGCCTCCCCTCCACCGCACACTGCCCGCCCTACGGCGTATACGCCTCGCCAACACCCGCTTCCAAACATGCTCTCGCCTCCAGACCTGTCGAAGTCCAGTATACTCCATCGCCCAACAGTCAAGATGGCAAGCTACCGCCGCCCACGAGGCGCAACCCACAGCCGACGAGGGCGACGCTTCGAAAGACACTCCCGTGAAAGAAATCCGCTACACCTCCGAGTCCTACCCACAAGTCCAAAGAGACTCGCGATTCAAAGAGCTATCTTCGGATGATGTCAAGGCGTTTCGAGACATACTGGGCAATGCCTCGAGTGCCATGGTCGATGGGCTCAGCGAGGACGCATCAGACGACATCGAAGGCTACAACGCAGACTGGATGAAGAAATACCGCGGCCATGCCCGTCTCGTCCTCAAACCCTCCAGCACAGAACAAGTCAGCAAGATCTTGAAATACTGCAACGACAACAGCATAGCCGTCAACCCGCAAGGCGGCAACACCGGGCTCGTGGGAGGTTCTGTCCCGGTGTTCGACGAAGTCATCATCAACCTCTCCCGCATGTCGCAGATCCGCTCCTTCGACGACGTCAGCGGTACTCTCGTCGTCGACGCCGGCGTCATCCTCGAGTCCGCTGATTCTTATCTCGCCGAACGCGGCTACATCTTCCCGCTCGACCTGGGCGCGAAGGGGTCTTGTCAGATCGGCGGCAACGTCGCGACCAACGCTGGTGGTCTGCGTCTCCTGCGCTACGGAAGCTTACACGGCAACGTCTTAGGCCTGGAAGCGGTCTTGCCGGACGGCACCATCATGGACGACCTCACCATGCTGCGCAAGAACAACACCGGCTACGACCTCAAACAGCTCTTCATCGGCGGCGAAGGCACCATCGGCATCGTCACTGGCGTGAGCATCATCTGTCCGCAGCGCAGCCCCGCGGTCAACGTCGCATACTTTGGGCTGGAATCGTACGAGAAATGCCAGCAAGCGTTCCGCGAAGCGAAGAAGCAGCTTTCTGAGATTCTTTCGGCGTTCGAGATGATGGACGGCAACTCGCAACTCCTCTACTCGCGGGCATCTGGTGCGAAGCTGCCGTTGGAAAGCGAGTACCCGTTCTACTGCCTCGTCGAGACGAGCGGTAGCAACACCGACCATGACAGTGAGAAATTGAACACGTTCCTCGAGCACGTCATGGGCGAGGAAATCGTCTCGGACGGCGTCGTCGCGGAGAACGAAACGCAGCTGCAATCCCTCTGGGCGTGCCGCGAGGGCGTCAGCGAGGCCAGCCAACACTTCGGCGGGGTCTACAAGTATGACCTGTCGATCCCGCTGCAAGAACTATACGGTATCGTGGCAGAGTGCCGGCAGCGGATGGAGGAGCAGGGACTCATGGGCGAGGGCGAGGACAAGCCGGTAGTGGATGTAGTGGGGTACGGACACATGGGAGATTCGAATCTGCATCTGAACGTGGCGTGTCGACGGTATGATAAAGCGGTGGAGAAGGCGCTGGAGCCGTGGGTGTATGAGTGGGTGAAGGAGAGGAAGGGAAGTATTAGTGCGGAGCATGGGCTGGGGTTGGCGAAGAAGGAGTTTATTGGGTACAGTCGGAGCGAGAACATGATTAAGCTGATGAAGCAGGTGAAGGATTTGTACGATCCGGTAAGTCGATACGCACGGACTTTTGGAACGAGCGGGTGCTGACTTCGAGGTGCAGAAGGGAATCATGAATCCGTACAAGTACCTCTGAGAGACATGTGCTGGGGTTGAAGAACAGGACGGAGGGAGCTGAAGTCAGTTGCATGAGAACCGCGCGCCTATCGCGGCGAGGAAAGTGCACAAAGCCGAGTCAGTGTGCATACATGTACAGAAGCGTGCTATAGCATGATCATGACCACGCGGTGGTTGGAGGACAGAAGGTCGATTGCGAGACAAGCGCTCGGCTGAGGGGCCCTCGTGATGGTTTAGTGGCTCCTTCTTATCGTTTGAGCCCCGCTAGATCTCCGCCGAGGGAGGGAGGAAGAGGATGTGAACGCTGGTTTGAAGCGGCATAACGATGTTGTATAAAGAAAGCGAAGTGTTGATATGTACACACACAACGATAGCACTGTAGATTGGGAAGTGCTGCTGTTGTGGGAGCCTGTCGTGATTCCTTCTTGGTTCTCACCTGCAGCTCGTCTGGTTTCATCGAGCATTCAAGCGGGCCGAGCTAGGTACATGACATGCTGTCCCAGTTGTCACCACTGTCCACTGCCCGCCCTGGCTCTATTCTCTACTTCCACTTCGGTGAACTCGACCATCTAAGCTGCCCAGTATAGCATGCCAGAATATCCCAGGCACATCACCAACAGAAGCATGCGGACAACGTCATAACTCACAGATCCGAAGTATTGCCGGACGTCTACCTCTACGCCTGCCTCATCGTGAGATCGACGAGTACGATCCAAGTTCTGTACATCTGGCGCTGCACTGACAAGAACATCAACCTTACCAACAACACTTGCCTCTGTGGTGGAGAGTCCAATGTCCCGTGTCCACTGAGGACATCCTGAGTGGACGTTGGCCGAGGAGCAGCCCGGCAGTCTACACACTGGATACCCATAGCCCTTCCACCAACGCCCCCCGACCCACTACCGACCACCCATCCGCCGATATCCCTTCAACAACCCAAGACGAGTATCACTCACCAGCAGCACCAGAATCTACAGCACCAGATCTACCCCCATCCGAAGTCCCGACCTCCAGCCACCCCACTCCCGCCCGCCCTCGCAAGCGACGTCGGCGGGAACCCCATACCTCCTCTCCTCAGCAGGGCACTACCTCCGCCACCTCCTCCAAGCCGCACCCCCGCAAGCGCCAACGGGCGTCCCCGGACGACACTCCCCCAGCCATCCCAGACCCGAGCATGCGGCAGGACCCTACCCACGAACTCCGACCCCGACCCTCGACCAACGGCTCCTCGCAGAATGGCTCCTCCCCGCACACCAACGGCGCGACGAAGAATGGCGTGGCAGCGGAGATGGAGACCAACGGCTACCACGGCACGAACGGCACAATGACTGTGGGAGGGCAGCAGAATACGTCTCCGTTCTATGGGCATGATAGAGAGGAGGTGACGAGGATCTTGCTGCAGAGTCTGAATGATCTGGGATATCATGGGGCGGCGAAGCAGTTGAGCAGTGACAGTGGGTTTGAGCTGGAGATACCGAGTGTCGCGGCTTTCAGACGGGCGGTGCTGGAGGGCGAGTGGGAGGAGGCGGAGGTGTTGTTGTTGGGGCAGGAGGAGGCAGAGGGTGGGGTTGCGTTGGGAGGTGGAAGGGCGGTTAGTCCGACGTGGCGAAAGAGCAGGTTGTCGGTCGGGAGTCAGAATGGATTTGCGAGGCACGGGCTGCCGTTATCGGACGGAGCGGACACGACTACGCTCAAGTTTCTGCTCCGGCAGCAGAAGTACCTCGAACTGCTGGAGGGTCGGGATCTCAATACTGCGCTGAACGTGTTGAGGAACGAGCTCACACCACTCAAGCGGGATGTTCCACGATTACACGCTCTGTCAGGGCTGCTGATGTGTCAATCAGAAGACGACCTCCGATCACAAGCAGAATGGGACGGCTCCCAAGGTTCCAGTCGAACCCATCTGCTCTCCGAGATCTCGCGCTCCATCTCCCCCTCCGTCATGATCCCCGAACATCGCCTCGCCACCCTCCTCTCCGAAGTCCAAGAACAGGAAATCCTCAACTGCCAATACCACAACACCACCGCCCAACCCAGCCTCTACACCTCCCACGCCTGCTCCGCCGACGACTTCCCCCTCCAACCCCTCACCGAGCTCCGCAACCACTCCGACGAAGTCTGGCACCTCCAATTCAGCCACGATGGCAGCATGCTCGCGACGGCGGGTAAGGATGGACTGGTATGCGTCTACGACACCGCGCGCTGGACTATTCGCCACGAGTTCCGCGAGCACGAGCGTAGTAACACGCCCGCCGGCGATCGCGGGGTCGTGTACGTGGCTTTCTCCCCGGATGATCAATACCTCATCTCCTGCTCGCAGAACAACGAGTTCGTCGTCGTGAACGTGCGGGATGGGCGACGAGTGGCAGTGGCGGATCACTTCGACTACCCTGTCTCGACAGCCGCGTGGCTGCCAGACTCCCAGACATTCGTCGTGGGGACGCAAGGCTCAAGAAGGCCTTTGGGACTGTACAGTTTGCGTGTGAGTAACGGTGGAGGTGGAGGCGGGGTGGTGCGGAATAACGAGATCCACTCGTTCCGCGTGCCGCCTTGGACGCCCTCTCCTTCTCGGAATGGGAATGGAAACGGAAACGGCAATGGGGACGCGGCGTCTACGTTCCGCATCTCCGACTGCGCCGTCTCCCCCGACGGGTCACGCTTAGCGGCTACGACGCTGGACAATAACCTCCTCCTCTACGACCTCCGCTCGCGCACCAAAGTGGCCGAGTGGCCGATGCAGGATAAATTGACCTCCGTTACTTTCTCCGCCGACGGGCGGGAAGTGCTGCTGAACATGAACGAAGGCCGCGTCTTCCTAGTGAACGTCGCTACCGGGGAAGTTGTCAGGTGGTTCGAGGGCGTAGCGCAGCGACAATTCGTCGTGCGGAGTTGTTTTGGCGGTGCCGGGTGGGAGGGCGAAGGGGGCTTTGTGGGGAGTGGGAGTGAAGGTCTGTCTTGCCATTTTCTATCACCAGTTTTAGGTTGGAAGGGTTTACTGACTGCTGGTGTGTGAAATGCAGATTCCCGAATCTACATCTGGCGCCGGCAAACGGGCCTCCAAGTCGCTGCGCTCGACGCGCACGCTTCGGGGGCGGTGAACGCGGTGGCGTGGCATCCGACGGATTTCTCGGTGCTGGCGAGCGCGGGGGATGATCGGAGGGTGAGGATGTGAGTTCCTTCTTTCGTCTCCCTTCTTGTCTCTTTATGGTGAGTTTGCTGGGCTGTCTGCTAATCATGTGGTGTGCTGTAGATGGACGAGCGCCACACGCCTCCGACAACAGGCACAAGCACAAGCGCCGCAGCTGGAGGCGGGGCCCGGGGCGTCGAGGAGTAGTTTGAGTCTTGGGGGGTGGGGGCGATAGCATTGATTGCTGGGGTGGACTATTAGATAGCTGTTGCGTTAGCTTTGGAACGAGAACGAGAATGCAAAGACTCTATACTCCGCTTGGAGTCTGGCTCTGACTGTGTATCAACCGTATCGGATTGCAGGGCACGGAGATGGAAAGCGGTGAAATGGAGTCCATGCAATCTTTGTGGTCTATTCATGTGTCTGCTCCTGATCCTGCGCATACCATATGCACTCATCATAGCTCATGCTGGTCTTTCAACTCTCCCATCATCAATCCATCTCATGCATCACGCCCCCACGTCTTCAGGTGTTGTTGTGTGTGAAAAAGGCATCTATTTCTCGTAGATCCACCCCTCTTGCGCGCTCTTCCAGCTCTGCACCTCCTTCTCGTCGAACCAGAGGGCAATCTCCTTCTTCGCGCTCTCGACGCCGTCGCTGCCGTGGCAGACGTTGCGGCCGACGTCCTGTTTTTCACCCCGTCATCAGCATACACACACGACTTCAGAAGGAGTAGGTTTGGAGGGGGAAGGACGTACAATAGCGAAATCCCCACGAATGGTGCCGGGCTGCGAGGCCAACGGGTTCGTGGCACCGAGCAGCATACGCCCGGTCTTGACGACTTCCTTGCCCTCCCAGACCATGGCGCAGACGGGGCCGGATGCCATGTCTAATCCCCCCCACTATATCAGCAAACGCCCTCAATCCTCAATGACGGTGTGGCACTTACAGGACACCAAGCCCTTGAAGAACGGCTTATCGCTCAAGTCGGCGTAGTGCTTCTCGAGGTGCTCTTTGCTGGCGGTCATGAGCTTGATGGCGACGAGCTTGTAGCCGCGGCGCTCGAAGCGCTGGATGATTTCGCCGATGAGGCCGCGCTGTTGCATCGTCCGTGTCAGTTATTGCTGTTCGAGGAGGGAACGGGACGGGGTACCTGGACGCCGTCGGGCTTGATTGCGATGAAGCTGCTCTCCCAATAGACATCAGTATCCCCTCTTTAGTTCACCGCTCAAGCCATTGGGTGGAAGGTGAGGCATACGTTTGCTCCATGTTGACTTCTTGTCCGGCGACGATTTGACTTCTTTTCGAGAGTATTGCTCGATCCTTGATTCCCACTTTGTCAAAGATGTTGGACATTCAAGAGGTGAGGTACATGCAGAGAAACCTGGAACACTTCAATGTTTTCGAGAGAGTGGGGCTGCTTGGCGGGAATCACATGCAAGAGATGTGATAAGATTAGATCTGAGGAAGTAGACACTTTTGGGCTGTTGACATTGGCGAGCGCAGAAGAGAGGGATATATGAAGGGTTGAGACGTCGTGATGAATTGGATCAATGGTTTGGGCAGAGGCTGGAAGGCCTTGGTTGCGGTCGCGTGTGTGCTCTGTTTGCTTGTTACGCCGGCTGGTGAGTCGACCATCCATATTACAACCAATAGGTCCTGGAAACAGCTCCATTGACTTCTCCACGCAGTAACGGTCAAGCACGAGAACTTCAAGACCTGCGACCAGTCCGGCTTCTGCAGACGGAACAGAGCATACGCAGACACCGCGCTGTCAAACTCGAAATGGCAGTCTCCTTACACACTAGACTCATCTACGGTCAAGTTCGACAAAGGCATTTTGACTGGCGTTGTGGACAAAAAGATCACAAACACAGACCAGACAGTCCGATTACCTTTGAAGGTCACCTTCCATGAGTCAGGAACGGCACGTGTAACGATTGACGAAGAGAAGCGCCAGAAGGGCGAGATCGAGCTTCGACATGACAGCAAAGCGCGGAAAGAACGGTATAATGAAGCTGAGAAATGGGCGATTGTTGGCGGGACTGTTGTCAGTACTGGCGCCGCTCTGAATAAAGATGCTGAGAAGGGGTCTACAAGGGTCATGTATGGGCCCGGAAGCAAGTTCGAGGCCATCATTCAACATGCACCGTTCGGAGTCCAGTTCAAGAGGGACGGAGAGACGCAGATCAAGCTCAATGATCGCGGTCTGATGAACATGGAGCACTGGCGGCCCAAAGTCGACAAGCCAGAGACCGAGCAGAAGGAGGGCGAGGAAGCTGTGGTTGCTGAATCGGACAACATCGCTGAAGATGAGAGCACTTGGTGGGATGAGTCCTTTGGCGGCAACACCGACAGCAAACCTCGTGGACCGGAGGCTGTGGCTATGGATATCGAGTTCCCTGCCTATCAGTATGTCTACGGTGCTGCTTCACACGCCGGACCACTCGCATTGAAGGAGACAAGGGGTGGGGATGGCAAGTATTCGGACCCGTACAGGTTGTACAACAGCGATGTGTTTGAGTATGAGATGGACAGTCCGATGACGCTGTATGGTGCTATTCCGTTCATGCAGGCGCAGAAGAAGGATTCGGCGGTCGGTGTCTTCTGGCTGAACGCTGCGGAAACGTGGATCGATATTACCAAATCAACGTCGTCTGCGAACCCGCTCAGTCTGGGCATTGGGGGGACGACCAGCACGGATACCCACTGGATCAGCGAGAGTGGCTTGCTGGACCTTTTCATCTTCCTGGGACCGACACCGCAAGATGTTATTGGAGCGTATGGCGAGCTTACGGGATATACGCAGCTACCACAACAGTTCTCCATCGCGCATCACCAATGCCGCTGGAACTATGTGACCGACGAGGATGTCAAAGACGTGGATCGCAAGTTCGACAAGAGCAAGATCCCGTACGATGTCATTTGGCTCGACATCGAGTACACGGACGGCAAGAAGTACTTCACTTGGGATCCAATGACTTTCCCGGACCCCATCAACATGCAAAAGCAGCTCGACGAGCACCAACGCAAGCTTGTGGCAATCATCGACCCGCATATCAAGAATGAGGGCGGCTACTCCGTCGTTGACGAGCTGAAGTCGAAGGATCTAGCGATCAAGAACAAGGACGGCAACATCTACGAAGGCTGGTGCTGGCCTGGCAGCAGTCACTGGATCGACTGCTTCAACCCCAAGGCCCGTGAATGGTGGAAGACGCTCTTCCGCTACGACAAGTTCAAGGGCACAGCAAAGAACATGTTCATCTGGAACGACATGAACGAGCCCTCAGTCTTCAACGGGCCCGAGACCACCGCACCCAAAGACCTCCTCCACCACGGCAACTGGGAGCACCGCGACCTGCACAACATCAACGGCATGACCTTCGTCAACGCCACCTACGACGCCATCCTCTCCCGCGACAAGGACGAAGACAAACACCCCATCCGCCCCTTCGTCCTCACCCGCTCCTTCTACGCCGGCAGCCAGCGCTTGGGCGCTATGTGGACCGGCGACAACCAGGCCGCCTGGCCGCATCTCGAAGCCAGCATCCCCATGGTCCTCAGCATGGGCATCTCGGGCTTTCCCTTCGCCGGCGCAGACGTGGGCGGCTTCTTCGGCAACCCGAGCAAAGAGCTGCTTGCACGTTGGTATCAGGCGGGAGCTTTCTACCCTTTTTTCCGCGCGCATGCGCACATTGACACGCGGAGAAGAGAGCCCTACCTCGCTGGTGAGCCATATACGCAGATCATCTCGCAAGCGCTGCGGTTGAGATATAGCTTGCTACCAGCCTGGTACACCGCCTTCCATGAAGCCAGCACGACGGGCGCCCCCATCGTCCGTCCGAACTACTACGTCCACCCATCGGATGAGAAGGGTTTCGCAATCGACGACCAGCTGTACCTCGGCAGCACTGGACTCCTCGCCAAACCCGTCACGAAGGAAGGGCAGGAGAGTCAAGACATCTATCTAGCAGACAAGGAGAAGTATTTCGACTACTTTGACTTCTGGCAGTACGAGGGACCGGGGACTGTTAGTGTTGCTGCGCCGTTGGATACGATTCCTCTGCTCATGCAGGGTGGGAATATCATCCCGCGCCGCGAGCGGCCGAGGAGGAGTTCGGGGTTGATGAAGTATGATCCGATCACTCTCGTCGTTGTTCTCGGCAACTCTGGCGATGCCGAAGGCACTTTATACCTCGACGACGGCGAAAGCTACGAATACCAGAGTGGAGCCTACATCCACCGCCGCTTCAAGTACTCCACATCCACCTCTTCTCTCACTAGCGAGGATGTTTCTTCGCCAGGGAAGAAGACAAAAGAGTACCTCAAGCTCATGGAGAAGGTGAGGGTGGAGCGGATCGTCGTTGTCAACGCGCCGGAGGGCTGGAGCGGGAAGAAGGAGGTTGAGGTTGCAGAGGAGGGCGGGGCGAAGAGTGGGAAGAGTGGGAAGGCGGAGTTGGAGTGGCATGGGAAGGTGGAGGGGAAGGCTGCTTGGGCGGTGGTGAGGGATCCCGGGGTGCGGGTTGGTGAGGGGTGGAAGATCCAATTTTGAGCTGGCGTCGTTAGCAGCATGTTAGCATGTACCGTGTAGATAGAGCGGCATAGATTTGGAATCTCTGGCTAAGGTACAGTAGCGGGACAACGCATTCACAACTTTACCGCCTGGTTTTCGCCGAAAGTCCCATGGATCCTTTGTTCGAACGCATTCGGTCGTCACTCTGCATGACATGACATTTGCATGCAGCATGAATACAAATCTCCCGAGCTCATATCGCTAACTGCCCAAGGCGGCTTAGTGTTGGAATAATCCCTGCTGTCAACAACGTCTTCGCTTTCGACAACACTTCCCTTCTGAAGAACGATTGTCTTGAATCATGACAGATCCTGACTACTTATTGAGAGGCTGTCAAATATCAGCACGTCACACGATCCATATTCATAGTTTATCATCGGATCCGGCTGTTGTTATCCCGCGATTAAGACAATCCAAATCACAGCAAATCAAGCTTGCGCATCTACATGTATTTGGAAGCATGGCTGCCCCCACAAGCCCATGCGTGCCATATGCTTCCCCCTTCGCTTCACGGATTGAATGCGACGTGGATTCGACACTTGCCAGCGGACTTGACGGGGATGTATTTGGAAATCTACGAATTCGGCCGTCGAATCATTCTTCACGCTGCCTCCTATGGATGGGTCTCTGGCAACGGACCAGGACTTTGGGGGCCGTCATGATGCATGATGGAGGTAGGCCAAAGCCTACACGAGCCGTGAGGCGGTCTTGGGCGTGGTTGAAGCATGGACTTGAGAGGTGAGGAAGTGGACCGTCCGTGAGTGAATCCATCTGCGCCTGCTATCGCGAATGCGCGGGTCAACAAGCCGTGTCTGCGTCAGGAAGGCTGCTCGTCCCAAAGCTCAGTGCCATGCAGGAAATGAGGAGGAGGCAGAAAGGTGAGGAATCGTTCGCCTTCGTTTTCAGACACGACGCCTCTTCTATGCGGTTTTGCTAAGTAGGTCGAAGCCTTTTCGATTCACTTTTGAGATTGTGTTTGGAATTGTAGGAGGCGTGATTTGGAAAGAGAGAACTATCGGTCGTATTGGAAAGCGAGAGGAGGATCTTGTGTATAAGTACATCTCACTCGAGCACTGCCCCCTCGGCGGGTCCGAAGAGTCAAGACGATCGGAACGCGGACACCATGCCTTCTGGTCTGCAGAAGACGACGCGCAGCAAGACGAAGCGAACGAATGTTAAGAGCGGCAAGCCTGAGTCTTCGACGACATCTTCCTCAACACGCTCGGCTTGTCAACACCAGTATCTGGACTCGGGAGAGCAGACGGCCATCGAGAGCTGGAACAACACCGTACCGCAGAAGGCAATGAAGGCGAACGAGATGCCGGATGAGCGGGACCCGGTGATACAGGCGTATCTGGAGGCGAAGCTGTCGCTGTTCCAGAAGGCTGCGGTCAATAATGGCGCCTATCGCAGAAGTCAGAGTGCGAGTACTGTTGGGTCTGGGAAGTCATGATGGCAGGATGATGTCTTCTGATCTACGGTCACATTGCCGACGATGATGAGAAGTGCTTGTGAAGGCATACAGGTTTGACGTGGATGTTTAAGTGGTAAGCACATTGACTTGCTTATGACTGGCTCAGAAGTTGATGCGATCATCCAGACGTTCCGGTATGTCGGTATGCCGTGACGGGCATACGACTATAGTTTGATTGTCGGACAAACTTCCGTCACAAACTATACACCAACTCTGATTGTCGCGCTAGACTACAGCTTAGGTGTCTTCGAGGACAGTCGTATACTGTACTCTGATCGATGCGACACCGACACGTCCTAACAACAGTCACGAGATGCGTCAAGACTGTCGGCTACGAATAGGGCCACAAATCTTCTCCGAAGCAGGTTGTTGGTGCTCTTGCAAAAGCAGTTGGGTTGATGCAAACCGTGTGAGGAAGAGGCTGGCAGGTGATACTGATAAGCGGACTCTGTTGCCTGTTTGCTACACGGTGAGCACCTGAAGGGCCGGGTCATATGAGGTGCCGGTCAGACCCAACGCAAACTCGATTCAAAACACCACAGGGGCAGCATTGATCTATTCTAGACTCGATGATTGATCCGTCGGAGTGAAGCATGATACCATCGACTCTCCCCACCACACCGAACAAAGGACAGACTCCCAACGCCGAACCACAGTTCACAAAAACCTTACCGCCTACTCCGAAACACCAGACTACAGTACAAAAGGCCCAGATGATACCTCCACACGCAGACCGTGGTACTTAGTCCACACCTCACTGGCAGATCCATTGTCCGGCTTACAATCTCCGCCATCACCATATGTGCTCACCATGGCTCGTCTTGGGCGCGACCAAGGTGGACTGCTAGATGCTACCGAAGACTGCGATCCGGGAGTTTGGGCGCAGCCATGATGCTTTCAATGCTTAAAGAGATGCAGCGACCTCACTCTGCTTCGATGTCGTTGCCGTCTTGCTTCTGAAGCCTTTTGCATTTTCTGGCAGTATGGAATTGGGATCAAGAGACGCATCAACCCCAACGATAGCACAAAACGACATAGGCTGGCAAGCACTCGCCCCCGCCCTCGCCTGCACCCTCCTCGCAACTCTCGTCGTAGCAGCACGCTGGTACACCCGCTGCAGAATCGCCAAATGCACCGGCCCCGATGACTGGATCATCTTGCTCTCCCTCGTCCGTCCCCCCTCAACCCCATCAACAACGCCTCCGCTAGCCCACTAACGCCAGGCTGCAGATCTTGTCCATCGCAATGACCGCCCTCATAGGCGCCGAAGTCCACTCCGGTGTCGGGCGGTACGACGCCGACGTCCCTGCCACCACGGTCGCGAAGCTGGTGGTCGCGACGAACGATCTGTGGATTTTGGTGGTTAATGTCACCAAAGCGTCCATTCTCACGCAATACCTACGCATCTTCAGCAGCCGGGTGATAAGGATGTGTTGCATCATCCTGCTGCTGTGTCTCTTGCCGGCGGTCGCTTGGGGCGTGTTCGGCGGCACGTTCCTGTGCAGTCCGGTAGCGAAGCTGTGGGATCCGAGCATGGAGGGGAGTTGTATGAGCGCTGTGGATTACTGGTACTCCGTGGCTGGGATAGACATCGGGCTGGACTTCCTCATCCTGCTCCTACCGCTCCCCGCTATCGTACGGCTGCGCCTACCACGCAAGCAGAAACTCGGCTTAGTCCTGGTGTTCCTGCTGGGCTTCTTCGTGTGCGTCGTCAGCGTGGTGCGTGTCTGCACCGTCCTGGTCTCCTCGCTGAAGGGGGACTACGTGGCTTCGGGCGTCTGGGCAATCGTGTGGTCGGCGGTGGAGGCGAATGTGGGGATCGTGTGTGCGTCGTTGTTGGCGCTGAAGCCGCTGGTGGTGAGGTGGTGGCCGGGGGTGTGGGTGGAGGAGGAGGTGCCGAAACATTGTTTGCGGTTGCCGAGGGTTGAGACGGAGGTGGGGGAGGAGGAGAAGGAGATGGTGGCGGAGGATACGAGGGCGACGAGCATGCCTGTGTCGCCGAGTAAGGGGAGCCAGAGCTGGAGTCGGAGGGACACGGTAAAGACAATGTCGTCGAATGGCTCCGTCAGCTCGCCGTGGAGTGCTAAAGTTGGAGGGTGTCCTATCGAGGCTGGAAGAAGGGAGGGACTAAGTTTGTTCGATGTGCTGCACGAAGAGGCAAGCTTGGCTCGTATACCGTCAAGGCCGGAACGGAGTAAGATGCATATGCATAGATGGGAGTAGCAATCTCTTCGTACAGCTTCCGTCCTTCCATTTGGCCCATGTCCTCATCCATAAGGACTCCTCCCCCCCTCCGCCGCCCGTCCCGCCCTCTTAACCAACCAATCCTCTCCCTTCATCCACCCAATAACCCACCCCGGCACACCCTTGCCCTTCGCCATGCCCACACCACCTCGCTTCCCTATTGGCACGAACCACGACTCCTTTTCCTCCTTGACAAACACCTCATCCTCCAACGCATCGATCTCCGCCTGATTCCCACCATAAGGACTCGCAAGTCTGTACTCATGCGCCAGCAAATCGTTTCCGAGATTCTGCATCAGGGCTGGGATAGCGGAGTAGACGTCTTGGAGGTTGTTGCGACTATAGACTGCGCAGTCGCCGATGGCGTAGACGCGAGGGCCTGCTTGCCCTTCATCTAGACGGAGGGTGGAGGGGTTCGTGAGGACGTTGCCGTGGGCGTCTTTGAGGTTGGTGGAGAGGAAAGCGGTATTGGGTGTCACGCCGGTGCAGGGGATGTAGAGATCTGCGAGGAGGGAGGAGCCGGTGCTGAGTTCGAGGCGGGTTGGTGCGGTTGGGTTGGAGGGATGTTTGGCGGCGAGCACGCGGGTGGAGTGGAGGGGTTCGACGCCTAGTTTGCCAAGTTGGCGTGCGGCTTTGGCGCTGATGGCCTGATTGGGCTGGGTCGGGAGGCAACGGTCGGAGCCGGTGATGAGGAGGATGCGTTTGGGATTCTTGATGCGCCGGCGTTTCGGTAAGGAGTGTTTGTGGTAGTTGAGATATGCGGCGAGCTGGCCGGCTGTTTCGACTCCTGAACATCCACCTCCTGCCACCACGATTGTTTCGGCTGCTTCTACTCGAGCATGGAAGTCGTTCAATGCGCCAAGCGTATTGAGGTGCGGCCCATGAAGGCTGAGTAGATCGCTGTGTGCTGAGCTGCCTGTGGCTATGATGAGGGCATGGTAGCCGAGCGTCTGCACTTTCAGGTCCGTCGGAACGGTTGAGAATTGCACTGCGCTTTTCCGCTTGTTGATCTGACCCGCCCTCTTCTGCGCAGTACTGCCAATGAGCTCGATCGTAACCGTCCGAGCGCTCGTGTCCAGCGCAACAGCCTCGCCTTGGATGATGCTTGTCTTGTGCGCGCGGTGCCGATGTAGCGCTTGCTCAAGAGGTATGAAGAGCTTGTCGCCTTCAACGAGCTCAGGAGAGACCAACACGCGAGGTCCAGCGACGTTCCAGTAGAGGTGCGTGCTCGGGCTGACGATGATGAGCCGGTAGTTCGGGGCACTGGAGGTGATGCGAAGCTGGTTGATGGTGTGGTCGAGGAAGTGGTGCGCGACAGCCAGTCCAGCGTATGATGCGCCCAGGATGACAATGTTCAGAGGCTCTGCGCCCAGCCCAGTTGGTACCTTCGAAATGCGTGCATGGCCGGAAGACTTGCGCGGTGTCGCGTTCGTGGGCGGATGATTGTTCAGAGCGTCTTTCAGCGTTTGCTCTTGCTGGCTGTACCGCTTAGCCATGTCTATCGAATGGCAACGTCGTGGTGTATACTTGCGACCTCTAGGCGGAACATCTCTCTTCCGTGTGAGGCTCAAGCTCTGGTGGCGCATTTGTATCTGAAAGTGGTACGAAAACAATGGCAAACATTGTGAGGAAGAAAGGAGAGATGACTGGTTCAAGGAATGCGGGAGAGAAAATCGTGGTACCCCCTTGCATCGAGAGAAACAGTCTGGCCAAATGGTGGATCGCTGCTGTTGTCATGATGGACATGCACGCTCTAAGCATAAGGTGTATTCCAGAAACACGCGCTCAAACCCAGGCGTAGCAATAAGTGGTATCGCAAATAACGCCGGTAGCTCCATGCTGAAAGCAACAATCGGGAAGAGACCTCGCGGTCGACGCACGTTCGTGAAGCACATTATCGAGCCTCAATGCCACGCTGGCAGGGTGCACTACAAGACAGGTCAGCCCACACAGTCTTATGCGAAGTATGTCGTTCGGTCAAGCATACAATACCCGTATCCCTCTCCTGAGCCGCACGCGCCTCACGCGCCTCAGCCTCACTCTTCTCCTTCTCCGGTGTTCTGACAGCCGGCGTCTGCGCGCGCGACGGCACACATGACGGCGTTGTGGAAGCAGGTGTCGAGGTCCCCGTCGAAGTTGGCGCAGACCTGCGGCCCTGGACCATACCCCCGAATATGCTCGCTAGCACTCTGTGCGGTGGAAGCGACAGAGGTGCTGGCAGCGATTGCGCCGCGGTTGTTGAAGGCGTTGAGCATCTTGCTGTTGTTGTTTGACTCTGTGCCTGCGCTTGGGCGGCTTGTTGTCGCAAAGTCTCCTCCTGCTTCTGCTGTTGTTCTAACTTTCGCGCGGCCTCGGCGACTGCGGCGCGCTCTTCGTAGTAATGCGCTGGGATGGTGTCGACGGGAAACATGGTGAAGTCGGATCGTGGTGCTTTCGTAGTAAACTGGTGAAATTGCTGCTGGAGGTAGAGGACGCGGCTATAACAAGAATCAGGACTGCAGGGCGAAAAGCGTCGCGTGCTTACCAACACTTTCCGAACGTGACCTCCCGAGTCGCACACCAGGGCTGTGCCTGAAATCAGGTTGGCCCGGTGCTGCGGATGGCTGATCGATCACTGTTCCCGGCGCCCGGTTTGCTGGCCTTCTGCTTGTCGTGCTGATTTCACAGGCGCGCGACTGCTGGCGTACCTTGGTCAGTCGCGGCCTCGGAGAAAGATTCTTAGACCGATAGCCTGCCGTGAGGTATGACTTGAGGGTGGTAGGTCTTGTCAGGAAGGATGAATAAGTGATTGAAGAATCAGAAAGTGGCATCTGGCCAGGGCGATCCCCGCTTCCCCGGACGATGGAAAATCAGGGTCGCGCTAGTCGATGTGTGGAAGGAGCTTAATTGTCTTCAAGATGTCTCCAGTTGACAAAGATTCTAATGGTGCAATGGACCTGTGAGAGGTGTAGTAGTAGATGTATAGTTTGTATGTGATGATCTCGACCCTACTCTAGCACAATATACTTCCTTAACCGATCCGGCACTGCGTTCAGCAGACTCTTGCTCTCCAGCCACTTCTTGCTGAACAGCCTCTCGGCATACCGATACGCACCATCGCACAGGATCGTGACAACGGTATGCCCCGGACCAAGCTTCTCCGCGACCTCCTTCGCAGCAACGACGTTCAAGCAGCTGCTTGCGCCAAGGTACAGTCCTTCCTCGTCGAGACACCGGTACACCATCTCGATCGACTTCTCGTCTGCGATCATGAGTGCGCCGTCCAGGAGGTCGATGTCAGGCTTCAGATTGTCCGTTATCCGTCCTTGGCCGATGCCTTCGGTGATGGAGGAGCCTTTGCGCTCGGTCATCTTGCCGCCCGAGGAGACGTAGGTGTAGACGATCGAGCCGGGAGGGTCTGCAACGTAGCATTTCACTCTGCCTTCGCTTGCCGTCTTCAAGTATCTGGTAACGCCTGCAATCGTCCCAGCTGTACCCGACCCGCAAGTGAATGCATCAAGCTTCCCCTGCGTCTGTGCCCAGATCTCTGGCCCAGTCGTCTCGATGTGTGCCTGTCGGTTTGCAGTGTTGTCGAACTGATTCGTCCAGACGGCATTGTCCATCGCCTCCGCATGTCGCTTGGCCTGGTGGTTGTAGTTCTCCGGGTTCTCGAACGCCACAGCAGGCACTGGGTATACTTCTGCCCCCAGCAGTCGCAGCAGATCGATCTTGCCCTGTGACTGAGTGTTCGGCATGTAGATGACCAGCTTGTAGCCTTTACTCCTGCACACATGCGCGAGACCAATGCCTGTATTGCCGGCTGTGCCCTCGACTACCGTGCCGCCGGCTCTTAGAAGGCCCCTCTCTTCCGCATCCTTCACAACGTACAGCGCCGCTCGGTCCTTGACACTGCCGCCAGGGTTTTGGAATTCTGCTTTTCCAAGAATCTCACAGCCGGTCTCTTCGGAGAGCTTCTTCATGCGGATCAAGGGCGTGTTGCCGATTGCTGTTGCAACGAAGCTATGCGATCAGTCAATGTCGCTGAGCCGGTGCGTAGGGATGGATGAATGCGCGTACCTGAAACGAAGCCATCCTGTGCTATCCGTTGCGCCTTCGAGATTTCCACGCCATGAGGGTTCATTGCTTCGACGGCGGATGACGAGAACGTCGAGGCTGATCGGAGGGCGGAGTTGTAGATGGCAGGTTTATACGCGACCCGCAGCGCCTGACGAGCGAGCATTGGTGCGAACGGCAGTATGGTCGAATAGGCAGTTACAACTTTAGTGCTCGAGTTCGAGCCCTGCGGTTTTGCCTCGATGCTCGATCATCGGTCGAACAAGCTTTTCGAATACGCGCTAATCGGATAGACCCGCTCGCAAGGCCAGCATGAGGATGGAGGATGGAGGATGGAGGATGGACTACCTCGATGGCGGTCAAGAACGGCTTGGGTTATTGGGAAGAGTAGCGTAGAAGAGAAGAGTGACTGGACCAAGTTCAATATTGAAAGACAGGACACTCGTTGTGCCTTTCAAGTAGATGTGAATCTTGCTGCTCAGGCTGTATACATATGCTCTCGTCCTTCTCACTGCCTCATGACCTCGGAAGGATGTCGCCTCTCGTGCTCCACTAACTACATGCGGTAGGAACTGCCTAGCTGAGCATGCTGTCGGACGGCGGTGCGTGACCAGCTGGTCAAAAGGTCCGAGATGGCTCTGATCGTTGAGATCTGTGGGCCAGAGCCTGACATGACGAGATCTTCTGCCGCTTCGCTGGCACCATCGGCGGCACTGAGAAGGCTGATGGCCGGCATATGCGGCATTCCAGATTTCGAGAGTATGCCGACCAGGCACTCACTGTTCCGCAAACAGACCAAGGCCCAGATTGTCATCCATATGCTGTTCCCAATCATCGCTCTCACTGCTTTCCATCGCCCGACGCGTCGGCAGCGGCCGAAAAACCAATTCTCGCACCGCTTCGATGCGGCTCTCCGACTTTGGTGTGCCGTCCGGATGATCCAGCTTCTTGAGCATCACTGCCAGCATCAGCTGCAGCGTGTAGTGCGCGTCATTGCCGGCGCAGTGGAGCGATCCGGGCCGGAACGGAAGGTCGTGGGCGAGGATCAGCTTGCCCAGTTTCAGCAAGCCAGCAACAGGAGAAAGGAGCAGTCCCACGTCAACGGTACCAATCACGTTTGGCAGCGACTCTATCGCCGACCCATACCTGCCCATCATACAAACTTCGGTAGTCCATAGAGTATGTCCCACCAGGATGATGTTGGGGTGTGAGTTCAACAGGTTGTAGAGAACCTGTGGTAGCATTTCGGTGGTAATCCTGGTTGTCGGGGAGAAAAGAGAGTGCCGGCGGTAGCTCGTAAAGGCATAGTTCTCATCGTGGACGGTCAGTCTTTCTTGGTCGTTGAAGATCTGCTGAGTGTCGAGAGAGGAGATGCCAAGTGCGTTGATACCAGCAGTCATGTTGCCTTCGATGTCAATGGAGACGAGTAAATACTCTCTCGACGGTGGTAAGCCGGTGCTAAGAGCGGACGCCAGGTCTTCCAGACACTGTAGCCCACGATGTAGATACGGGGCCTAAAGAGACAGATAGAGGGATCAGCAGGTGTTGTAGAGTCTTGTCCCGTAAAAAGAAAGCACTCAAAAAAAATAAAAAAAAATCACCAAACACTCGATGGAAAAGCCCTCCCGCCGGTCGCATCGACTTACCTGGCGTTCTCTGTGCATCATTATGCGTGTCAGCTTGGCCTGCCACGCTGTGAAGCATGCCATCCCATCAGCCAGGAACGTCTCTTGCCACTCTTCTCTGATCCGTCTCAGCCGAGCACGGTAAGCATGGTAGAATGCATTGAAATCGTTGTTGTATGCGGCCTGAATGAGAGGCTCTTCATAGTTGTCATCTTCTTCCAGTACCAGGCCCTGTCGATACGCCGGCCAAGCACGGTAGATGACATTTGTCATCGTGTGAGCAGAATCTGCCGGATGCCTGATTGTTTGAGTGTCGCTGGAGCAGTGTGTAGCAGGGCGCATCAGGTGTGGGGTGTGATAATGAGGGTGAGACTGCAGCGTGTGGCGTGCTGTGTGGAATGGTGAGGATCGCAGAACCGAGTTCGTCAGGTGGTGATTGAGTGGTGATCGGCAGTGTAGCAGGATATCTCGGATACGGTAGTGAAGATCGCGAAGCACAAGCAAGGATGTCGCGAGCCTGTGAGGTCGTTTTTGTAGGAACTTCTAGGCTGCTGAGAAGGCTGTTTGAACTCAAATGAAGTGTGGAGCGCCCGCAGGCCAATCGACTATATGATTAGGGTCAGCACCCTTCGCTGGATCTCAGCTGATTACGATATCGGCTGTGCTGGCTTGAGGGGTCCTTTAACGCACTGTCGTGTAGGTCGGGTGTTTGCCCTCGCTGCGCGATAGAGGTGTAAGGCAGTGATTGGCGGCTGGCCGTTGGCACGAGAGAGAAAGGGGTAATCTCGCGGAAATCCTTAGAAGGAGATATGTGTTCAACAGAATAGACAGCTTTCATCAATCACATGCAACAAAGTCCAAGTGACTCGCAAGTTTGATCAAACAGGTGGCTTGGCCGAGTGGCCAAGGCGCTAGGGTGTCGTACATGGGGCTCATAGGTCTTCTCTCGTTGGCCTGTGAGCTTCAGCATTCTTTAGAATACCTCTCCTAGTAGGTTTCCTGCATGGGGTGAGTACAGTCGCCTCAGCGTTGCATAATATAACAGACTCACGATGAATTCAGTTCGAATCCCGTAGCCACCAATATCTCTTTTTTTGCCCTCTCTCTTCGCCAGATGCTTCAAGGACAGACTCGCCGATGCCGATGGCTCCGGGTCCAGTCGAATTTGACCTTGATTCGTGGCGACTGTTTCGACTCAATTGCAGCCGATGCTTCGGGATGACAAAGCAACGCTCGCTTCGTCGTCGGTAGATTGACGTACGCGCCTTCCCTGCCCCTCAGGTGCGTCTGAGTACTGAGCGCTGTTCACCCAGTGCTTGCGCTCGGGCTGAGGAGAAGCAGGTGGGTCACTCAGCTGCGCAGCTGCTCGGAAGCACTCTTACGGCAACACTCAGACGCCTCTCCAAGCGGCTTTTGAGTGGAATTGATCCGGCCGTGGTTTTCTTGATGGGTGCTCTCGTTGAATCTGCTTCACGGTAGGCTCAAGTGCCGCTATGTTTTTGGCATGGACCAAGGCTTTGGCGTGCACCTCAGCAACATAAATGACATGCAGACTCGGCACCAGCGCCAACATCAGCGCAACAAAGAGACGCCAATGGTTGAAAAAGGAAGGAGTGGGTGGTCAGTCAAAATAGTGGAGGGAAGGAGCGAACGAGGTGAAGTCGAAACTGCTCAAGGACTAGTCATGCACGATGCGGCAGTGGCCGCCAGTTGTTGACAGCTACGTCAGCAAGTCAACAGTCAACATCTTGACTTTTCAATGTACACGCAACTCCCGGACCAAACCACCTTCATTGTACCATACAAACAATGCCCGGCCGTGTCGCACGAGCAGGTCGCTCCTCCGCCAACAGCACAGTCTCGCGTAAAACCTCGACACAACAACTCAAGTCGGCCGGCCGCAACAGCTCTCCAACAACAGATGTACCAGACGAAGGCGCCAACACGAGCCTACGACGCGCCATATGCACCGTCTTCGGCGACGCACAGAGGTCCACTGCCGGACACCGAAAGCTGGTGATCAGCCTGCGCAAGATCCAGGAGCAATGCGCCTACGAGCCAGTGAGCTTGACCAAAGCAAAACACCAGGAGGACTTTGAAGAGGAAGACTTCAACAGCGAGGTGGTGCGATGTGTTCTGCGTATCTTGCCCGTACGCAAAGCAGAGCCTGCGGGAGACAGAGTGGTGCGCTTTCTGGGCACATTCTTGAACTCTGCTGGCGGCAAGGACAACCAGATCGCGAGCCAGAGCGATCCTGACAGCGCAAGCCTGCCAGAGACGCCGACATCAAGGCTGGTCTCGCAGATACTCAACACCCTTCTTCAGCTGCTCACGACCAAGGACAAGGTGATAAGGTTCCGGGCGACGCAAATCACAAGCCATATCATCAACAGTCTGGACACACTGGACGACACGCTATTCCACCAATTAAGATACGCGTTGCTGAAGCGGATACACGACAAGGAGTCAATGGTGAGGCTGCAGGCAGTCTATGGGCTAGGTCGGCTTGCAGCAGAAGTGGAAGATGAGGACAAGGGCGAAGACTCCGATTCTGAGGACGACGTGGGAAGAGGCGTTTTGGAGAAACTGTTGGTGGTGCTGCAGAATGACCCTGCTGCAGAGGTGAGGCGGAACCTGCTCCTCAACCTACCTCTGACGAAGGAGGTTTTGCCATATCTTCTCGAACGAGCGCGCGATTCAGACGGTGCAACGCGACGAGCGTTGTATGCGCGGTTATTACCAGCCCTCGGGGACTTTAGACATCTGAGCTTGACGCATCGCGAGAAGCTGTTGAGATGGGGATTACGTGATCGTGACGAGAGCGTGCGAAAGGCGACCGCCCGTCTCTTCCACGAGCGGTGGATCGAAGACTGTGCTGCGCTACCGGCTGCGCAGGCCGCTGAGGAGACAGAGGGCGAGGGCGAAGGTGCACAGAAGCCTACCAACCAAGCTGCAGACCCTTCTCTTGATGCTCTGCTGGAACTACTTGAGCGTATCGATGTCGTCAACTCAGGCACAGAAGGCGGCATTGCTCTGACCGCTATGGGCGAGTTTTGGGACGGTCGACCAGACTACGTCGAGTACGTTTCCTTCCCCGACACCTTCTGGGAAGACCTCAATCCTGAGCTTGCTTTCGTTGCACGTACCTTCAACGGCTTCTGCCGCTTCAGTAAAGACCCTCAGTATGCCGGACACCGCAACTTAAATACACTGGTCGAAGAGAAACTGCCCGAGGTCACCAAATTTGGCTACTTCCTGGAGCGCGAACTGAACAAACTTGTCGAGACCATGCACGCCGCAGCAACTGGCGAAGATGAGGATGCAGAGGAGGATGCAGCGCAGAAGGAGTTCATCGTGGAGCAACTGCTGCACATGGCTCTGACGTTCGACTACTCAGACGAAGTGGGCCGACGCAAAATGTTCGGCCTCATGCGTGAAGCACTCGCCTTACCCGACTTGCCAGAAGAATCAACAAGGCTGGTGGCGGAAGTCTTGCGCCTTGTGTGCGGCGAAGATGCAAAAGGCGAGCGCGAGTTCTGTGGGATTGTGCTGGAAGCTATCGCCGAAGTCCATGATACTATCCTGGGCGAGGACGAAGAGACAGCGCAAGACACCTCAAGCGTGGACGAGTCTTTCCATTCCGCTACGGAGTACGCCGAAGATGAAAACGGCGATACTGTCGCCAAGTCGAAGTCCAAGAAGAAGAGCGGCGAAGAGCTGAGTCCAGAGGAGGCTGAGGAGAAGGCGGTCAAGGAGATCATGGTCAATATGAAGTGCTTGCACATCGCCCTGTGTATGCTGCAGAATGTCGGGTGTGACCTAGAGCAGAACACGCACCTTGTGATGATGCTTAACAATCTCATAGTTCCTGCCGTGAGGAGCCAAGAGGCGCCCATTCGGGAGAGAGGTCTGTTGTGTTTGGGCTTGTGCTGTCTGCTTGGAAGGGTGAGTCGCGATTGATACTTTTGCCATTCTGACCGTACTGACACATCAGCAGAACCTCGCAGAGGAGAACCTCACCCTCTTCCTCCACTGCTTCACCAAAGGTCACCCAGCCCTCCAAACCATCGCCCTTCAAATCATCGCCGACATCCTCATCACTCACCCAACTCTCCTCGCCGAACCCAACATCGACGCTAGCACAACCACCGAGCAGCCCGAAACCAACCCCCTCCTCAAACCCGTCCTCAAAGTCTTCTCCAAATCTCTCAAATCCGACGACCCTTCCGTCCAATCCACCGGCGCCACTGCCCTCTCCAAAACAATGCTCAGTCGACTCATTACGGACGCTGACCTCTTGAAACAACTCGTCGTGGCTTACTTCGACCCTGACACCAGCACCAACGCCCAGCTGAACCAGAGTCTGAGCTACTTCTTACCAGTATACTGCCATAGCCGCGCCGAGAACGCGCATCGCATGGTCCGCATCGCACCTTCTGTAATCGCCAAGCTCGTCGTGATCCGTGAAAACCTGCTCGACGAGGCGGATATCGACGACGATAGCAGCGAGGGGATGGTCAAGCTAGGCACTGTCGGTCAAATGCTACTCGACTGGACGGACCCGCGCAAAATCGTCGGGTTCGCCGAAGCAGCTGGCACGACCGCTACCGCCGACGGAGCGGGTGAGACGCAGTATCTCCTCGTCGAACGCCTCCTCGATCGCATGAACTCGAATCAAGTCTCCAAGGACGAGAAGAAAGTCCTGTTCTCCATTATAGGCAAAGTACATCTGCCAAACGGCGCATGCTCGCCAGACTTGTTGAAGGAGTGTTGCTCCGAGGTCGCGGTTGCTTATGAGCAGGGTCTGGCGACGGATGTGACGTCGAGGAATGTGCTGAAGAAGTTGCAGAATCTGCTGATGGAACAAATGAACTCTGTCATGGCGGCGGAGCGAGGTGGTGGTGGGGCGGAGGAGACGGTTTTGGAGACGACTGAGCTGCCTGTCGATGCTGGTGCTGAGCCTACTGAGCCGGAGCTTGAGGAGACGGAAGGCGACATCATGGCCGGGTTCAAGGAAGGCGAGACGGCGGCGGCGGAGGAGGTGGATGATGAAAGCGATGTTACAGAGGTGCAGAAGACGTTACGGGATACCACGCTTGGAGCTACGGGTTTTGGGCAGACGACTATTGGGGCGCCGGATGCGGAGGGGACGAGGGTGGTGTTGGGGGATGGGGATACGGAGATGATGGATGTGGATGATGAGTATACGGAGGTGTAGTTGGAATAGTTGTGTTCTTGTGTATCTCGTAGCTTGGGTTCTTCGAGGAGAGAACCATTCAATGCACCGCAATGAAAGTCACGAAGTCTCGCCAGCCTAGTTGGAGTACTGAGGACGTCTGCCGGCCAAAACAGCAGATATGGCGCATGGGTGTATATGGCGACATGCCTTCTGCATTCTCGACTGCGTCTGGTAGTTGAAAGCCTTGCTGTCAGCTCGACGACGTTCTAGACCCCCGTCCCGTCTTCCAGAAACGCGAACAATCGGACCCGAAACACCGCCACTTCGCATCAACTCTCTCTAGGGCCGGGTATGTCTACTGCCACGCCAGCAAAACCCGGAACAGCGTGTCTCGGCTGCCGTCGTCGAAAGCTGAAATGCACGCGTGAAGAAGGCGGCTGCACCAACTGCATGAAAAGTCACTTGCCATGTGTCTATCCTGTGCCGGAAACTGGTGTGAAGCGGAAACGGGGTCCTTATAAGAAGGACGGGAAGGCGAGGGAGAGGCATCTCGAGGAGCTGGTCCGGTATCTGGGGCCCAAGGACGATGCTGGGGCGGATCGAAGTGAGCGTGTGAATCGTGCTGCTTCATCAGAGGAGCCAACACCTTCTGGTCGGGAAGTACTCGGGAGCATTCAGTCGAGACGAGATGCTGCCGGGCATGCCAACAAGTCGGAGGATCTGGTCAAAGACGCTCTGGTGGCGTTGACCGGGTCTCATGTCTCCAACAACGAGGCAGAGGACAAGGAGGCCTACCCTCTCCAAAGGAACCCACCGTCCGCGGTCCAACCAGGAGGTATCGCGCAACACCCAACCGCAAGGAGGATCTTTGTGTACTGGAATATTTACGTTACTCGCGTGGATCCGATGCTGAAGATCATTCATTGTCCTTCCTTCGGCAAGACCCTGTTCACGGCTACGGAGGACCTTCGGGCTGCGGGCTCTGTGACGGAGTCGTTGCTGTTTGCTATCTACCACGCAGCTGTGTCGACATGCACGGCACGGGAGGCTCGTAAGCGGTTCGGCGAGGAGAGGAGCGCTCTGCTCCAGCGGTATGGACGGGTTGTTGAATCGACCTTGGCTGATAACTATGGTACGCCGGTACTCGAGTCGCTGCAAGCTTTGGTGATATACATAGTAGGTTACGTTACCCGCTTGAATCCAGAGCATGCTAACCGCTATCTACCAGATAGCAATGCGGCGCGATGACAGCTTGACGAATGTTCGAGCACTCTTCTCATTGGCAGTTCGCATGGCTCAGCTCATCAACCTTCACAAGGACCCAGGCCAGGACTACACGCCTTTCGAGACGGAGATGCGCCGAAGGCTCTGGTGGCACATCTGTGGTCTCGAGTCTGGAGGGGCTGAAGAAGGCGGGACGAGGCAGTCTAGTGTCATGGACGGCCGCAACGTCTCGATGCCAGCAAATTTGAACGACATCGATCTCGACCCGGAGGCAACGGACCGGCCTCAGCCTCGGACAGGAGTCACAGACATGACATGGGCGCTCCTACGATGGGAGGTCGTGCGGCTGACGCACGACATAAACGAAAGTCAAACGAGCCCACAAGACAGCCGAATCCAACGGCAACCAAGAAGCGATCAAGGCGGAGCAGAGGCAGATCTTGAACACTGCTCGGAAGAAGCTCGAAGATGACTTCGTCCGCCACCTCCACCCCTCGCGACCCATGGACTGGCTTTGTATCGCCTGGGTCGAAGGCATGCTAACGAAATGCCGCTCGATGATTGACTTTGCCATTGGGCAAGCGCCTCAAAAGGACCTATCGCCAGAAGACCGCTATAAGATGCTTCAAGCATCTGTCGACATCATCCGACTAACGCAGGCGGTGATAACCTACAAAGCTGTCGAGAAATGGTCCTGGTACTTTCGGGGCTGGATGCAGTGGCATGCAATCGGGACGCTGATTGCCGAGCTGGGGTATAGCAAGAATATGCAGTTTGTGAATAATGCTTGGGCGGTGCTGGATCCTATCCTGGCCGACTGGGAGAGGGTGTATGAGGCGAAGAGGGATGAGCCGGCTTGGGAGCATGTGAATACGCTTATCAGTCGCGCAAGGGAGAAGAGGCAGCAAGTTCCGGTGCAGCATGATAACGCACAACAATCGGCTTCAATCCTATCTGCGCCAGGACACACAGCGGTACCGACAGCTGTATTTTCGACATTGTGGCAGGACAACTGGGGTCAGCCTGACAATACTTCAGCTCCGCAGCAGAAGGCTTCTCATCCTCATGCGGGTCCTGCCTCCTCCGCACCACAATCAATGGGTTGTGCACCGATCATGCCGGGGCAAGACTGGGACTTTGGCTACATGGATGGCATGCCTGAGATAGACTTCTCGGCTTTCGAAGGCGTCTTTGGGGACACAGCGTGGGACTTCTCCAGCCCATCGACCGATTTCGGCTTAGGAAGCGCAGGCATATAGAAAATGCAGCTTATGTTCGATTTGTCCCTCACCGTCCCACTATCTCCACAGACGCCTAGATAAAAGTCAAAGCAAAAGCACTAACAACACTCAACCCCACCACCGTCCACCCACTCGTAATCACCTTCTGGTTCGTAATCATATGCGTAGTATCCCACGCCAAATGCCTCAGCCCATTGAAACTGTGAAACGTAAACGGCAGCGCGAAGAACATCTTGGTCGCCACCTTCGCCAGCCACGGCCACGCGCCGAACGCCGCTGCCACGCTCGCGCTCTCCATGTGCAGGCCGATGTAGGGGGCGACGAGGTACAGGGAGCCGAAGACGTAGAAGGCGCCGCTGAGGGTGCAGCCGGTGATGCGGTTCAGGGCGGAGAGGTACCAGGGGATCTGGGGCGCGTAGATGCCGAGGTGGGGCGCGACGGGGCGGTTGAGGCGTTGTTGCGCGAGGATCTTGTCGTGTTCGGTGGTTTCGGTGATGGTTTGGGCGGTTACTTGTCTGTAGGGAGGGTTTGTTGTCAGCGTTGGGCATAGCTGGGGGAGCTAGAGGGGTTTGCTCGCCTCCTCTGGAAGCGGACAACATTGCCTGTAGCGATGGCGGCGGGTGTTGACAGTCTCAATGCGTGGTGCTGGGCCGTTACTGGGAGATGGTTAGAGCTGAGCTGTCCTCCCTCCGCTGAGGATGATAGACTCACGTCGCCGCAGCGACTGCTGCGCTGCCCTCTGTGCCAACATCTTTGCTCCTTCAACCTGATCTGGTGTCCAATGGCAGTCTTCACGCTGTCCTTCAGAGCATGGAGGTGGTGGTGATGTCGATGCGGCGGACCTCGGAAGTGCCTGCCGCCAATCGGCCAACCAATCAGCTCCAGGCGTTAGTCAGCGAGCAAACCTGCTTCAACCTCAAGATTCATGTTCTCCCGCTTCTTCTTCTTCTGGTCAGGAATCTCAACCACCGTCTGGACTACCTCGTGAAGGCGCGGTCACGGTTAGCACTTATTGTGCTCGATTTCTAGAGCAATCCACCCGGTCGTTAATCTCGCGACAGCTGGTCAAGATGGCTGTCGAGATTCATTTCAAGGGATACATTTCATTCTGCTTACTGACGTTCGCATCATTCCCAGTTCCTTTGACTGTCGGCGGACTGGACTGAGCCACATATCAGCGGTCATGCGCAATCCTGAGCAAAGGTGCTCCGAGGAAGCGAGCGCAGTCTGCTGTAGATGGGTTCTGAAGGCACCTTGGACATCAGACCATTTCGCGGTGGCAGCTGTGGTTGCAGCTACAAGGCACTTTAGGGCATTCCAGTGTTCTAATAAGTACAATTCGCATTGGCCGTAACATCTAGAAGTGGTATCTCTGGTCATTCCCATTCCCATTCCCATTCGCATCTCGTGCGCCATTCTCCATCCATTATGCGCCCAGTCCATTAACTCAGACACTGCTTTGATGGCATCGTGCTGATATGCATGCCCATATAAGCTGTATCGAGCGCCCTCGCGAAGCGATTCCCTACGTCACACATCCAGCTTCCTTCTGCACACGTCAACCCTCCCTCTGCATCGTGGTCTTGGCAGAGTAATAACTCCTCCCATCATCCTGCTCCGCACTCGCAGCCACCGCCTCCTTCCTCGGCGTAACCGGGTGCGCCCTCAACGGATGATCACCAACCGGCGGACAGTACACCCTCGCAAAAGGCTCACTCGACCTTTTCGGCCCTTCATAAGAAGGCAAACGCCTACTCGTTGGCTTCCCTTCCGCACTAAACCTCCTGTGCAGCGCCGTGGCATCCAACGGAACCGATTCATTCCACTCCGGAGGGCCGACGTCCCATCCTCCAAACAGAGAGCCCTCCTAGAACACAGTGCCGTCGGACAGGATCATGATCGGCGGCTCCTTTGTGTTCGGCCGTGACACCTCGGCGATCTCTCGTCCGCCTTTCCACGTGCCGGCCTCGAGCATCTGCGCGAGGCTGAGCTTGTTGGAGCCCTTCAGGTCGAGGAGGGTGTTGACTTCCTCGAGCAGCATGTCGAGGAAGCCGACGGTGAGGGCGCGCCATTCGACGATGACGTCGTCGTCGGCAGTGAAGAGCGGGACGACTTCGACGTTGGGCTGGCCTTGGCGGGTGGCGTTCATGTGGTATTGATCGAGGCCGCGTTGTTGGTCGTCTGGTTTCAGGGTAAGGAGGCCGGTGTCGACAAGCAGACCGCCATTGCGATACTCCGGTAGGCCGGTCATTAGCTCCACGCCCACGAAATGTACATTTGCCAATTTCTGCATTGGCACCATCAACGAATATGTAAGCCATTGCGTGAGCTTGTGGAATGGCACAATGTTCTCCCACGGATGTGTTGGGTGTGATGGCATCGAAGCGCACGGCCAGGCATCTCCTAGAGGTACACCATCCACCTGAGTCCTGGTGTTTGGCCAGATGTTCGAGAGTCCATCCATCAAAGTGGTCCAGAGCGTAGGTAGAGGTATGATCGGAACGGCCGCCACGTGGGTCGAAGGATGACACAGCAGGTAGTCCAGCATGTTCCCAGGCCTGGCCTCCAGCCCAAAGATCTCCTGGTTCTGTAGAGCATCACTTAGCCGTATTAGGAGGCTCGTGCGGCCCTCGAGCCCGTCAATCGGGTTGTCGTTGTTCACTTGCAAGCCTCTGCCCATCTTCTCCACCGTCAACTTCTTCAGGCCGCCGCTGTCCACCTGGAATGGCTGGTCAGGGTTGCTCGAAAAGAGACCCATCTTAAACATCTCCAAACTCGCAACTGCCAGCCCCTCACTCCGCCGGAAGATCTTGCCGCTCTCTTTTGACTTGTATTGCCACTTCGTGCCTGCGCCTGCATCTAGAAGCACTGAGACCAGGAACAGATCAATTAGCCTCCGCGTCCGCTCCTGAGCATCAACTGTGCTTGGCCAGGTTGCCATCAGCTGGTCCACCCTCGGCCGCCCGCCCACCTCGAAATGCTGCCATCTGCCGTGTGGTGGGATCTCGTGGTAGTTTGGATCGAAGTCGCGCTGAGCTGGTGATTAGCCGGCCATCCGCTGAGACGGTTGGTTTTCAGCTACCTTGATGATTGACACCACAAATTTCGCCGTGTCATTGAACTTGCTCATATCCACATGAAAATGCCGTAGCTGATTCCGCCTCGCCTTCTCCAGCACCAGCTTACTCCTCTCGCGCACTGCATAGATGCTCCGCAAGTAGCCCGCCGGGTCTATGTTCGGGTCCGGCGCCTTGGGGAGCGGTATGTTGGGCATGACTGCGTTCTGCGCAGGATTACTATTGGCGCGGTTCATACCAAAGGGCGCCTTCACAGCTCCGTTGGCGTGAGGTTGGAGGTGGGCGTCGTTGTGGTTGTTGCCGTTGCCGTTGCTGTGTCCCCGACTGCTGCTCTTGCGCGAGAAGAGACCCATGTCGGCATGCGGCTAGCCGTGCTGTCTCTGGCCGGCGGGGCTGGTGGGTGACACGGTGCGGGTCTCGCCGATCGGTCGATGTGGTCGTGCCCAAGGTTTGGGTGCGGGGCGCAGTTGCCTGTGCTCGGAGGCGCGTGCGCTGGAAGTGGTGGTGGTGGTGCAATGAAGAAGTCGCGTTGTACAGAATCAAAGGAGTGTCAGAAGCAGATGTGAAAGCCGCAGCAAGGAAGGGAGTGGTGTCGGGCTATGGCATTGAGAGCATGTCCCGCCTAATGGAGGCTTAAGGTTGGCGACACCACATGGCGAGAGGAGCAGGAGCTTCTCTGAGGCACAAGCGCAACGGGAGATTAGACTCGGCCGCGGATCGACCCCCATCAGCCGTCGCTGCCGTTGGAGTCCGGCTCAGGAACAGGCAAATGCTTGCTCTCCAATGTTGATGATGAAAGTACATGTATGTAGGTTGCAGGGCCGCGGCGAGGCCATCAAACTTTCACTACTCCACGGACATCCCGACGGACCCTTCGACACATCCATATACACCGACGATGCTGTGGAGAGTGTGGTTGTTGTGTTTTTGCAACGCCCACTGCGAACTGCTGCAGACCCCACATCTATATGCAAGCGAGATGTGCATTCGGCAGGGGATAAGCATCGCTACCCAACAATGGAGCCCACCATTTGCTGGAGCGTTTGGGTGGACGGTCCACAGGTCAGCAGTTAAAGTATATCAAATCTACGGGGGAGCTGTGTTGCATGTGTTGGTATCGAGATCTGCATCGCTTATACAGCACCGCCGACTTCTCCTCTCTCCCGATAACTTGTCGCCTGGACTAAGGTGGCTTCCCGTTCCTGTTCCAGCAGCTACTCGTCAGACGAATTGGGAGAATGCTCTGGTGTTTCGAACTCCGTCTGACTCGGCATCACAACCGTGAAGAAAGATTATATCCAACCCGCCAGCGCCACCAAGATATTACCCGATCGGCTTCCTCACTCCCGGACCCAACAACCAGCCCCCAGGTGCCGTATACTGGTGCTCGGGGCACTTCGACGCACTGTGCAACGCTCGTGCTCGAGCGGCACGTCGCGCAATAACACACAGACCTTGACGATTCCCTCGTGGCGAGCTGTCAGTGCGTTTTGCTATGCGGGTTGTGGAGCCGCCGGGTGATTGTTGCGGCGTCAAATTTACCAAACCATCGACATCGGGAAGATACTGTATGTTGCTGCCTCGCTACGTTGCCGAGCTCGAGATCAATACACATCTGATGCCAGTAGTATTCTCAATTATTTTTTGAACTCATAAAAGAGCCTATCGGTAGCACAACCCGACGCCAAAGCATACGGTGCTTGCAATATCTTGACCAGATGTCGTCTCCAGTTGCTTCGAGCTCGATTCTCCAACTTCTCCGCCTCCCATGCGCCTATGGAAGTGGTATCTCTCACAAGCTACTCTTACGCATTCGGCCACGGGCTGAGATGCTGCCAATTTGGTGTGCCATATTCCATTTCCGGCTAGAGTGAGAACAGCTTCAGGCCTCTGTCTTGCTGCACCGCAGATACATGTGTCTTGTGTCTCAGCCAAAAACATAGTATCGACTTTCCTGCCTGCCGAGGAGATGCTGGAGATGCACCGTGTCGAAGTGTATTGGGGGGTCATGTGCTACTCATCGCGCATGGCTGTGAGGCTGTCAAAGTACGGCTGTGTCATTTGATCGTCCCCATGATGAAGTCGCTGCAGCGTTGATCTCGGAAGTTGGACGATCGCAAGTCCTACTTTAGGGCAGAGCGAGAGATGCCGGCCAATTGGCACAGAGCGGGCCTTTTCCCGCCCTGTTGACCACGTTTTCCCTCGACTGCATGTCATCGAGTCTCCATGATCCCGGGTCGCTCACCGCGCGCGAGTGCGAGCTTCGCGGCTGCATTTTGCTCTCCACGAGTCGGACCACGACAGCAGACCCGGCCCAGAGCTCGTCATGACCCCTCGTTCTGCCAGAAATCGCACGAGTCGGCGATGGACAGGCAGCGTCACGAACAGGCTTTCACACAACAAACGTAACTGCACTTCGACCTCCCTCATACAGTTGAGCGCGACGGGAATTGCGTTATAGGTACCGTCATATTAGGTAAAACTTTCCAAACGATAACTCCAACGCCGCTCACCGACAACGCAACGTGGCAGCCGCGCCGTGATGGCGGCTTCTTGCTGGCCGAAAAACTCTTCCAAGTACCCTTGCCGTGGTGTCACTGCTTGCCCCAACCCGCCCTCAACTCTCCAGCTTTGCTGCTGCTACTGCGGCACGTTCCTGCGCTAAGAGCATACCACCGCACAAACTAACCTGACACCTGCGCGACAAGCCCTTTCGGAACCATCTCAACACTGCCTGCTCCTGCATCTTCCGCCGTGGTCTTATCTAGGCCTGGAAGCTGCAAAGTACATCCGGAGTTACACCCGGCGCCGATCTCACTCCATCGTTCGGTTCACCAAGGCCGACCGGTCCTTGGTTTTGACTCGAAGCATCTCCACGGCACCACCAGACGGTAAAGTCGATTGACTTCAGCTTTCTCAAACACAATCTCGCAACACAACGTGTGCAACACCAGACTTCTGCACATTCCAACCCCGCTTCCCTGTCTATTCTCCCACAAGTCGACCAATGTATGCCCTGTGATGCCCAGCAAGGTTGTGGCTACCATCAACTCGAGTGAGTCCTTGCATACCAAACATGGGAGGCAAAAGTGCTGACTATACACGCCACAGCCGGAAGGCAAGCAGCTTCCTTCATTCGAGCCGCTGCCGCCGTGGGATGGCACGTCAAAGCGCAAATCCGGAACCGAGAAGGGCTGGTGTACGACGAGCTGTCCGAACTCCCCAATGTCGAGTTCATAGAAGGTGACCTTGCCGGTCCGCAGCGAAAGCAGATACTCGACAATCTGTTCTCGGGCGCCAAGATCGCCTTTGTCAACACCACGCACTGGGGAGATGAAGTCGCCATCGGCAAGGCCTGCGCGGACGCTGCCAAGCGAGCAGGCATCGTCCATTATGTATACTCGAGCATGCCGGATCATTCTACCTTTGGCAAGAATTGGAGGGCTCTACCGATGTGGTCGTCGAAGTTCGCCATCGAGAACTACGTCCGACAGATAGGCATTCCTGCCACCTTTACTTATACCGGCATCTACAACAACAACTTTACATCCCTACCATTCCCCTTGTTCCAGATGGAGCTGCAGGATGATGGAAGCTTCGTGTGGCAAGCGCCCTTCCACCCTGACGACCCTCTGCCGTGGCTGGATGCCGAACACGATGTTGGTCCTGCACTACTGGCGATCTTCAAGAAGGGTCCGAATCACTGGAAAGGGCAGAGGTGGGTTTGACTTACAACGTGTTACAGCTTATGTACGATGTACTGACATACTTCATCAGGGTAACCCTCGCCTTCGAGAAGCTAACCCCCGTCCAATGCTGCGCCCGCTTCTCCAAAGGCCTGGGCCGACCAGTCGAATACGTCCACGGACCCATCCACGTCTCCGTCTCCATCCCATCAGGCTACCGAGAACATCTCGAGATCCTCCAAGATACCCTCGGCAACAAGCGCGCGCCCTACTTCGGCCCCGACCTCGAGTACCCACGCGAGGGCCGGAGCATCTGGGAAGGCTGGCGCGGCATCGAGGAGTACGCGCGCGAGGTCTTTCCTATTGAGGAGTACAACAACGGACTCCGATGGATGGAGGAAGGGACGGAGGGTGGGATGGCGACGCCAAGTGAGAGTAGCAGCACGAGGCCCACCACACCTGCTGGGCAGCCCATGCAGCACATGGCGCTCTCGGGCGCCTACACGCCACGCTCGCATCCTGAAGGCATGGATGGGGATATGTTCGTTGGGAGTGTGTGATGATACGGCGTAGTGAAAGAGTCTTCGGAATGGCATCCGTTGAGGGCAAGTCGGGCCGCTAATCCGCCAAGATAATTTCGAAGACCAACATGGAACATCACGCCAGCACTACAGCACAGTGCGACGGCGAAGATAGGACGGCGAACATGCGCGACGATGGAGTTTGCATTGCATTGCATTCGTGTTGCTGATTTGCATTTGACACATGTCAGGGGGAGGGTATCGGGATGGGCGGAGAAAAGTTTTTGGTTCTCCATGGCGCTACTCACGCGCCTTCGCCTGTTGGGAAGCGCTTGATATTCAGCGAGGTCGCTTGCTCTCGCGCATGTTGCATGGGTATCTTTCGGTACTGCTGCGTGGCGAGATAGGCAGGGTGGCATCACACGGCTGCTAAGAAGCTGCTGCACGCGCATCAGGCGATTCAACCACACCGCGCACCATCTCACTTCTTTTTCTGCTTCTTGCTTGGCGGCGCCGCACCACCACCAGTGCTATCTCTCGACCGCGCCTTGCCACCTTTATCCTGCACCAGAGCGCGGATGTCGATGGGCTCGTCATCATCATCTTCGTCTTCTTCGTCCGTATCCATGTCTTCGAAATCAATCTCCGAGATGTCATCATCCTGCGCCTGCGTGAACAGCTTCAGAGCATTCGGCCACAGCTCCTCCGCAAAGCTAATCGCCAATTCCTCGCCCGCCTGATGCACCTCCACCGCTTCGTCATCATTCTCCTCCTCCTGGTCTTCATCCTCATTCGTATCCTCCGCAGCATCCCCCTCACTCTTGGCAGCCTTCATCCTCTTCTCCTTGCTCTCCAAGTACATCCTATTAGCCTCCTCGCTCTCCTCCGCGCTCACCCACCTCCGTCCACTCACCCACCCAAACCACGTGAAAAACGACGTGTTGCTGCCATTCCACGAATCCACCTTCTTCTTCAGCGCATAGTACTCCGGCAGTGTCTTGGCCGTCATATCACCCGTCTTCTTCCGGGCCTCCCACAGCGCTACGGCGCCATCCGTCAGCCCTTCTGTCAAATCCTTGCCTTTCTTCCAATGCACCCTCACCGGCTCCGACACCAGCCCGCTCCACCCATCCTTTGCGCGGCGGTGCCAGAACGTCTTCTCCAGCACCGTGTCCTCGAAGTCCTGGTTGGGTTTGAACTCGAGCTTTATGCTGACGCTGCGCGGGTTCCCAGAGCCCTTGTTATCCAGCTCCGGTCTCCGGACTTCGATGTTGAGGAGCGATTCGGCGATGATGCGGCTGTCGTGCGGTTGGATCCATTGGTCGATGTCGGGGGGTGCTTGTTCGATGACGAGGGGCCAGAAGTTGGGGATTTTGCGGGTGACTTCGGTGCGTTTGGCGTAGAGGGGGGCGCTGAGGTCGTATTGCTTGCGCACTGTAGTATTGAGGTTAGCGATCGGTTCTTCGGAGGTAGTGGTTTGGTGGTTGATGGAGGCTTACTGATCTCGGTGTCGACATCTTCGAATTCTGCTTCGATCAAGGCGAGGTCCTCGTAGGATACTGGTGGTTCTTCTCCTTCTGCCATGTTGTTTAGGTTGTTGTGCAGGTAATTGTGTTTGCGACAATGTCTCCAACGCCTTTAGAAAGCTTTCTGTCTTTTCGGCCAGAATTTCTTCAAGCTCGGACGTCATGAGGCTTATTCTGGACTAGTGCGATCGCGAGAAACCTCATTTGAACCGCGACGAACCTTTTGAGGACCGCGCTCAATGACGCCGCCTACCTGGACAAACACGTCTTGGGTGGCCATGTCGTCCACGGCCTCATCCGGTCCAACCCTGTCCCTTGAGCATCGCAAAATCGGTCGGACGGAGATCGCCCGGCAGTGCGTCGACCCTTGCGCTGATCACATTCAACAACATCGGAGGCCTTACTCTTCATGTACATACACTACTGGGTCTGAACTTCACGTGTAGACTCCCCGGACAGACGGTGCAGGATGGTGAAACATAACATGGTGCTCGACGGACTGCCGGAATGCCTCCCTATCGGAAAGACAGCGCTTGATACTCGGTAAGACTGCGGCTGACCTTTTGAATTCTACTTGTAAAGTCTCTTCCCCAATGTCTTGCTTCGGCATATGAGAGATGCTATATTGCTGCCCAATCGCTCGAAAGGGCTGGCTAATGGGGATGGGCATTCCTTGCCTACCGGGCTGCCTCTCCGACAATTGTGTTGAACCACCATCCGGGGATGTCTCGCCATCTCAAGCGATGAAAACCTAGACCATGAATTTCCCAACCAACCACTGCCGATCGCTGGATCTGTATACTCGGCCGTGCTCACTGCCAGAGCCTTGCCTGCACCGTCGACAGAGCACTTCCGTGTTGAGCATGGTCCTAAACCGTGCACTTGCAGCCTCACTCGGGTTCATGCCGGGTGACAAACTACTGTGCCCAGAGTATCCCTTCGAAGGGCCGGGCATGGCGCATTTATACGCCGTAGAGATTCCTTCTTCCGCTCCTCGCGCCTTGCGGCTCTTGATCCACCGGAGAATTTTTGATTTGAAAGAACACCCACAATTGCACCAACACCTCCCTCGATTACACCATGACAGTACCCATTGCAGGTCGTGGACCCCAGATATTGGCCGTCTACGGCTTGTTCACAGCGCTCACCACGTTGACGGTATCCCTGCGAACTTATTGCCGGGCGTTCGTTGGAACCAACTGTTTCGGCTGGGATGATGGGCTCACGGTTGTTGCTTGGGTCAGATCTCCCGGTCCTTGCCCACCACTTACCGCGAGTTTGCATGCTGACGACTGGACATCAGATTTTCTTCGTCTGCTACTCATCATTCGCGATTGCAGGTGCTCACCATGGCACTGGCCAACATGCGTGGAATATCCACCCAGCTTCCGATATCCCTGTCGGACTGAAAGTAGGTCTCCCAGGTGCTCACACCCACATTGATTCAATCTGATATGGACCAGTTCTGGTGGCTCTGCGAACCGCTCTACGTATTGTCAAACATGGGCATCAAAGCCAGCATAGGCGTAATGCTGCTTCGGCTGACGATCGACCCCATCCACCGATACACCATCTATGTGACTTTGGTCATCACCGAGCTCTTCAGCCTCGGCTTCTTCTTCCTCTTCATCTTCCAATGCCAGCCGTCTTCGTACTTCTGGACGCGGTACGTCGACGGAAGTGGAGAATGCATCGACCCTCGCATCACGATTGGCTTCACATACGCATATTCTGCCATCACGTGCGCAGGAGATTGGATCTACGCCATCTTGCCCATGATATTGGTGTGGAACTTGCAGATGCCGAGGACCCAGAAGCTCTTCGTCGGGGGTGTATTGGCTATGGGAGCAATGTAGGTTGTACAAAGCGCGAAAGCAGTTGACTTCAGCTAACAGTGGCTCAGAGCGTCAGCTGCCACTATAGCCCGCATACCGTATATCAGCACCATGAAGGACACCGACGACTTCCTTTACGCGACCACCGATGTTGCACTCTGGTCATGCTGCGAGACCGGCCTCGGCATCACCGCTTGTTGCTGCGCAACTCTGCGGCCACTCTTCCGCACCTGGCTCAAGCCTCTAGCGACGCACCGTCTTTCGCCTTCTTCGAGAAATGGAGCTTCGCGAGCGCAGGAACAGCATGGCGTTGCGCGGGTGACGGGCAACGCCGGCCATTATAGGCAGCCCAGCAAGGAGTTTGGCATGGGCAAGAATTCGATCATGTGTAACACTTCGCTGAACGTATCTGATGAGGTCGAATTGGTCAGCAAAGGGTCGGAGCAGAATGATGAAGCGATTCAAGGGGGGGACAAGGCTCACAACTACCGGCATAGATGGTAGCCCGCATGTCTTTTGCGCCATGAGAGTTCTTGTATGCCGAGCACTCCGGTACGATGTTAGGACTTCCGAAAGTCTCTATGTAACAACCACCTCGTATTGGACTCAGTAGCATACTCTACGTCAATCGTTATCTAAACTGAGGAGAAAGTGGTTCAATGTGAGGTCGCTGTTCTTTTTGAGCATGAAGTGGAGCACTAGGCTGATTTGCAGCCTCTGATTGGGTGAATCGTGTTTGCGGTGAAGTCGCGCCTGGCTTGTGTTCCGTCGTATGATTTTTCTTGAGCAGACATATCAAGCCATTGAGCACTCACAAACTCAATTCTGGCATTTCGGCGATTGGCGTTGACTAAAGTAAGTACCCTGGATCAGAAGGCGACCGGCAGGACGACTCGGCACGGTCTTTTTGAAAAGCATTGTGAACAAACGGACAGCCACCGTAATGCCGACCACCCTCAAGGATTTCGAGACAGTCTTCCCGACGCTCGTCAAAGACTTAAAGGAACACTGCGAGCACTACAAGCTTCCTGACCAAGCCCTGACCTGGTTCGAGAAGGTAGGTCTTCTGCTGCAGTACACCCCTGGCCAAGCATCGATTGACTGATACTAGCACGAATAGTCACTATACCACAACGCTCTCGGCGGAAAATGCAATCGCGGCCTCTCAGTCGTCGACACAGCCCAGCTGCTGCTCCAGCGAGACCTCAGCAAGGATGAATTCTTCCGCTCCGCCACGCTCGGCTGGATGATCGAGCTGCTACAGGCCTTCTTCCTGGTCAGCGACGACATCATGGACTCCTCCAAAACCCGCCGTGGTAACCCTTGCTGGTACCTTATGCCCAACGTCGGTATGGTCGCCATCAACGACGCCTTCATGCTGGAGAGCAGCATCTACCTGCTGCTGAAGAAGTACTTTCGCCAGGAAAAGTACTACGTCGATCTGATGGAGCTGTTCCATGAAGTCTCATTCCAGACCGAGCTGGGCCAGGCATGCGACCTCCTCACCGCACCGGAAGACCACGTCGACCTCGACAACTTCAGCTTGGAGAAATACACCTTCATCGTCATCTACAAGACCGCGTACTATTCTTTCTACCTTCCTGTGGCCCTGGCCCTCCACTTCTCTGGCTTCGCGAGCGAAAAGAATCTTAAGCAGGCGGAAGACATCCTCATTCCTATGGGCGAATACTTTCAGGTACAGGATGACTACCTCGACAACTTTGCCGACCCATCAACGCTGGGCAAGATCGGCACCGATATCCAGGACAACAAGTGCAGCTGGCTGGTCAACCAGGCGTTGAAGCGGTGTGACAGCTCGCAGCGGAAAGTCCTAGAGGAGAACTATGGGCGGAAGGACTCCACTTGCGAAGCGCGCGTGAAGAAGCTGTTCGACGAGTTGGAGCTCGAGAAGGTGTACAAGGAATACGAGGAGATGCGTGTGAAGGACTTGAGGGAGAAGATTGCGGCGCTGGATGAGAGTGAGGGGCTGAAGAAGGAGGTGTTTGAGGAGTTCTTGAGGAAGATTTACAAGAGGACAAAGTGAGCGAGTCTTATCGTACTGCGCTAGGGCTTGCCATAGAATTAGATGCGTGGTGTTGTTGTTTTCAAAAGCAGGTCGTCCGTTCGGCCTTGCCAAGGATCACCAGTTTCACCACCAACCCTTGCTTCAAACTCTCTCTACTCTTCCGGCATTTCCATTACAGTGTAGATTCCATTGATTTTATGTCAACGGGGCACTGTCAATTGAAAGGGATACTGTGGGACGTTACATCTCGCCAGATGTAGCAGGAGCAACTGGCCCGACGCCCACGGCCTTCGCAGGAGGTGGGTGAAGTGGCGAAGATGAAGTGAAGTTGGTTCTGAGAAGAATCGCTTGTGTCCAGACTGAGTCATCTTCAAGGCATAAGAACTTTCTTCGGCATCGTAGGAGTCACATGGAGGACGATACAGTTGCTCGTGATGGTCTGCGCTGAATGTGCGGATGTTTGCTCCGGTCATTCACGCCTACAACGCAAGACCAAGGAAGGCTTCGGGAGCGACCAAGTACAGATTCAGATCTGGTAGGTTCAAGACAGCAAAGGAAATATCTCGAAACAGCAAAGGCTACCAACAACTTCACGTGGAAGCGACAAATCGGCGACGACCGCCAGTAGCCTTGACGGCAAGAACCACATAAAAGCAACCTCCCACATCTCCTTGAAGCGGAGCATTACTATCGCCAGCAGTCAACATGGGCGGCAACGCATTCGCTCAAGCAGCGGCCGCTGGTCAACCGAAGCTCAACACACCACGGATGACCCCCAAAGAATACGACGAGCTCAAGTCGATCTACCTCGCGAAGCTACAGAACTGCATGCCTGCAGCCAAGGTGGCATGTCTCGTCGAAGCGCCAGAGAAGGAAGACTACGGCGACATGGACATCTTGGTGGCTATCGACCGCAAAATGGACTTCATCAACTTGGCCACCGCCATCGGGGCTGCCGGACTCATCTGCCACAGCAGCGGCGGACACCAGATGTGCTCGCTCGCGGTTCCGAAAGATGGGTCACGCCATGGCGACCTTCCGGTCGTCTACAAGATGGTCCATGAGAATGCGGTCCACCAAACTGGCGTTCAGCTTTCCATCGAGACCACCGACGAGCAGTACGCTCAGATCGACGTCGAAGTCATCCCAACGGAGATGCTGGAATGGCACATTTTCTACAGTTCTTACGGCGATCTGTCTGGCCTACTCGGCCATACTGTGAAGAATCTGGGCTTGAGGATCACTGACAGCGGGCTCTGGCTCCAGATGATCGAGCTTGATGTCGCCAAGAGCGTCCCAGTGCACGACCTTGCGGATAGCGATGGTCGCATCTTCTTGTCCAAGGAACCAGCGAAGGTCATGGAGTTCATGGGCCTGCGGGAGACGACTTTCGACAAGGGCTTCGCAACATGCGATGAGCTGTACTCTTGGGCAGCCAGCTCTCGCCTGCTGTTCCCAGAGACGGTCAAGAGCAGCTGGAACAAGTCTAATGAAGGTCAGCGCGAGCGCAAGCGAGGAATGTATGCGGTGTACTTCAAGGAGTGGCTGCCTCTGCGGATGGACATGAAGCCGGACCAGGACGAGGAGGAAAGGCAGCAAGCGATTGCAAGACTGCGTCAGGATGTACAGAATGATGCTGTTGGGTTCTTTCGAAAGCGAGAAGAGTACGATACCAAGCGCCATGCGATCATACTGAAGACGCAGAACATGATTGCGGCGAACCACCTCAAGCCCTTGGTCGCCAAGCACAGTGGTACGGAGGGCAGGAAGCTAGCGGAGGTCTATCGTGCGTTCCAGAGACATGTCGACTTCGATAGTCTTGGGCAACCGTATGTGGCAGAGACCGCACACAAGAACGAGCAGTCGCAGCTCTACCGCTTTCTCGCAGACGACGGAAAGACTTTGAAGGATCCGGATGGTGCAGATGCGTGGGTGAAGGAGCATTGGGAATTGTTGAAGACGATGCTGCGGCAGAAAGGTGCTACTGGCGAAGCGCATGCGGACAAGGGCGTGGTGGATAAGGAGAAGGCTGCTGCAGGCGGAGATTGAATTCCTGTATCGATGGTCAACGTAGCCGATGGACATGTATGTCCAAGGAGCGAACCACGCTCCATCGACAGAACAAGCAGCTGGCATGAATCGACGTTGCATCCATCCCGGCACGTGGAACGCATGTGCCGTTTGACTCCATGTTCCTTCCGAACCTTGCTTGACACAGGAGCCGAGAACTGTGCACCCCCACACGTGTGCTGCCGGAGATCCGAAGTGCGACATGGGAGCGAGTCAGTGTCATGAAGCCACATGGTCACAGACTGTGGAGTAGTGTCCGTGGGGCGTTTGATAGTCCGCAACGGTGGCGTGAACGTTTTCACAGTAGCTTAGGTAGAATCTCGGTCGTCGAAACGCCGAAATCTGGGTCTGGTTTGAACCGTTTGATGATGTGGACACCACTGTGGCACAGTATCCGGCTGGTCGGAGCATCGTGCCGCCAACTTTTTGGTGTATCGAAAGCGTCCTCTCATTCTTACTTATATTGGTGGTTGGAACGATTTTGACTTTCGCAAGTTTTGCGCATTGCGGTGCCAATCCCCGACAGATGCAGCCAATGCCTTCTTCTAGCACGATCTAGGTATTGTCTCCTGGTTCCGCTGATGACAAGTTTGACAGGTCCGTTGTCCCATCGTGTCCATGTTGACAGGTGAGGTGAGGTGGAGATTAAGCTCAACACTGCCGATGCCATGTGGCTCACGTGGACCGTATCTGCTCCATCGTGTGTGGTTCTATGATGAGACGAGTCATTGTTTGTAGAATCGAAATTTGCTGACGGAGAGCTCGCATGTCGACGAAGCGAGCACCGCGGAGGCCCGGGTTTCGAGACAGACATTCCGCAGGGACCATCCAAGATGAAGATCCCGCTGACCCCATTGCAATTCGCGTTGACCTGTTCAGGAAGGTGGAAGAGCTGCCCAGGCTCGCCTGTCATCCTCCATCAATAGTACCGCAGATCATTGAGCATCCCTGGTCGACTGTGAGGATCGCAAGCGCGGCCTCACTCATAGGACTCAGGACTCAGGGAGCAGAGAAAACATGATACGGCTGGCGCGGTAGTGGAAGGAAGCATACTTTCGGGACATTAAAGTACCGATGGGTAGAGTTTGCGCTTGATGGGGAGGAAGAAAGGTTGATAGTAGACCTCGCGTGGCCAGCACGAGCAGACCCGGCGCCAACCTCGAATGTAGATCTGGTTTGCACGGCGTGCGATTAGCATGTCTTGGAACCAGAGCCAGTCGGTCGAGGCGATGGATCCGATGCAGCTCCAGTGCCGTGGGCCGTGATCCTTGAACAACACTTGGTGTTATGAACAGCGCGGAGAAGATTCGGATGTGCTGTAGATCGGGCAACACTCGCCCTTGCATCTCGCTTGGGTGTTGGAGAATAATACCGAGAGGTACCAACGTCTCTCGCAGTCACTGCCATGAAGGGCGAGTCTGCCAAGGATGTTCAAATGTCACCTCGCGATAAGGTTCACTGTCAACTGTCGATCTGCGGAGAGCGTAAACGCACACGGCGAGCACGGCTTGGGAGCAGTCCATCTTGATGATCGAGGTTGTCCTGTGATCAAGACACCTCCGCCAGCCCCAGTCTCGACCCAATCGTGGACGCCGCTCGAGATGAGACCAACACAGCCTTGCGAGAGGTATGTAGGATCTACACTCTAGATCTCGCAGGGTCACAGTTGATGATCAAGCGGTAATGATCCACGCATGGGTGTCTGGTGAGGCACAGTCCCCCTCTTCGAACGCGGATGCAATGGCCGCCCCGCAAACACGATATTGCGATGTGAGACATGGACCAAAGCGGACCAAGATCCAGCCAGCCTGGCCAGCATCGAGGGTGATCATTCAATTTGTCAATGCTGGCGAAGCAGCGGCAACCAGGCTCGTTGAGCCTCATCAGACTCCCAATCGTGATCGCGAGGCACGGTACGTACCTGAGGTACACGGTACACCCCTGCCTGCTCGTGAAGAACTTGTCCTACCGACCGCTGGTACGCTAGTATGGTTGTAGATCGTTGCAGGACAGTGCAGGCTCAGAAGCCGAGCATCCTGCTGTTGCGCGCTGGACGTCCCAAGATCTCCCTGCTCCTGCGCGCTTTGATTGAGTGGCTTTCGCCAATCTCGCTGGGTACTGCCAGTCGGTCTCTCATAGCCCACGGAGTATGTAGTCGACAACACGAATCTGACGGACAACCAGACGTCAAAGCGTCGACGATGATGGCTCGTTCAGTAGTCCCCCCTTGGCGGACAACGGCCACTAGTTGGCAGATTCCACTCGTCATCCAGGCGCAGAGACAGGCGCGGGCTCGTCTTGCCCGCCCGCACACACCCACTCCATCCCGTCATCCCAATCGATCGGCACGGATGCCGGCGCTACACTTTCAGCTTGGTCTTTGGCTGCAGCGCTCTCCCTGCTTTCCCGCGATCTGCTCCCTATACTCCCGGCTCGACGTTGCACTCATTGGCTGCAGCAAATTTACACTTCAAGGCTTTGGTTTGGTGTGCTCGTCTATCCACTTCTGCCTCTTTGTGCTCGCGGGTCCCGGTAACAGATGGGTCGTCCCCCCTGCTCAGTCTCGCCCAAGGGCAATTTTACCGCTCGAAAAGGCTGTTCGCAGAGCAGCATTACGCCCAAGAGGCTCTCGCTGGCCTGCATCGTCGATTGAGTCGTTCGGCGGGCTCGGCCGATCATCCTCACAGCTCCCTAAAGCTACCCGGTCTCGCTGGGCCATCTGCTGCCCCTGCACACTCCGCAGCCGCCGTGTGTGGAGTTCGGGGGCTAAATTGACGGGCATTGTAGTGGCCGCAACCCTGAACCGCGCTATGGGCATCCTTGAACACTCGCCACAGGCGTCTTGACCTTCGACCCTCGATCCGAATCCTTGGGCTCTCTCAGAGGCTCTCTTTTGTCCGTCAACGCCATTTCCAACGTACCCATTCGAACGCTTATCTGGCCTCTCGTTTTCCCTCCTCCAACCGAGCGTGGTGTCATTGAGCTCCGACTCCACCTTTGACTAGTGCAGGGTACAGGCTTACGTATAATCGATCGTTTCCCGGTTCCATTTCATGCCTTCCTGTCGTTGAATTGCTCTGCTGCCGGCAGCTGTCCCAACTGCCGTACAACAACTTTCACGACTCGTCCGGTCAGCCACAGGGCGGAACCCTCCTGGACATTGGTGCTTTCACGAATACCTTCTGCTTACACCTACTCTCTGGACTGGGGATCTTCATCCGTCTATCCTTACTGGCGGCGGAGGTCCACTGGAAGCCGCTTCCGAGCGAGATCACGTTGTGTCGACACATACTGTAATGTTGCGTTGGGAGGCTATCATTCTGCTTCGGAATAACGAAGCCACATTGCGGACCCATTTCCCTACGCAGGCGCGGCTCTAGTAATGGCATACCATCCTTTTGATCGGCGCTCTACTCAATCAACTGAGGCTCCAACACCCTACCATCCACGGCACACGATGGGCCTACCGAGACCGCAGGAACCGCGACCATCGCTCCATGGCTCATGGTCCGACAGCTCGACCGCACCGCGGCGACCTGCTACGTACTATGGGCCATCCCAAGTGGATAACAGGTCGCAGTACCCAAGTCTGCCCGGAGTCAAGGACATTCTTACGGATACATCTGCTCAACCAGGGCCTCCTCCTGCCGCGTGGGGCTCGCATGGTCAGACCAGTGCACATATCCCCAATGGAGACACGTTCTACCAAGAGCGGAGCTTGCATCCTCCCATGGCGCTGCACCCGCCTCATATCCAGACTGGCCATTCTCCCGGACAGCAGTCGCGCCCTTTTGAAGTCCCTGTCTTGGACACGACCCGAGTCAATAAGCATGCTCCTCATGCGGTCCCGATCTCGCCATACTCGCGTTTCCCAGACTCCGCTCGAGATTATCCTGAGACCCATCCTGAAGCTATGCAGCAGCGTTTTAACAGTATGCACGTGAGCAACGGGACTCACGTACCGAGTGCAGCGTCTGTCGTTCCAGGCGACGCACAATGCCCGAGCCCAGCGGCTGGTTTCGATCGTCCGTCGAGGTCTCCGAACGCTGGACAGCCTAGTGAGAACCAGAGAAAGTACTTGGGCACCCATGAGATTCCTGGCGATGGCGCGTACCATCTATATGAAGGAAACTATCGCATACCTGCGTACGTCGACGGCGAGCCAGTCAATCCCGCGTGGGGGCTAACCAAGGCTTTGAAACCACGGAAACGGCTGGCCTTAGCCTGTATGGATTGTCGCGAGAAGAAGATCAAGTGTGAGCCGGGTGCGCACAGCTGCGTGCAGTGCGAGAAGGCAAAGCGCCCATGTCGAAGGTCAGCACCCCTCTGCGTGGTTGTTGCCGACACAACTAACGACACGACAGATCAACCGCGCAAGGCCCACAGAGCACCGCATCTCCCAGCTCTTGGCAAGATAATGCTCCTTCTCCTCCTCGCAACAACCCGTCGACTTCTGCGCCCACGCCGGCCTTAGAGCAGATCATTTCGCAGGATGCTTGGAACAAGCGGCGCGATCGAGCGGACCCCTCGCCTCCCAACGGTCCGAGTAAGAAGCAGAGATCAACCTCGCCTGTGTCACAACCGCACGAAATACCTCAGACGACGAAAGTCGACACACCAGGTTTCCCGATCGCTCCAGTCACCCAGGCTGGTGGAAGAGGGCTCATGAATTGGGATGAAGACCCGTACAGTATTGACCCAGAGCTCACCATGCATATGCTTGATCTCTACTTTGAGCACATGAATAGCGCTCTCTACTGGCTGTACCCTCGCGACCACTTCTTGCACTGGACGCGAACTTGCAGCGATAAGTGTCAGAATGAACGGATGGTGCTCTATGCCATGCTTGCTGCCGCATCGGTCTTCGCTCCCCACAGCTTATCAGGTTTCGGCAAGGAATGCGCAACAATCGCTGGAGATGCCATCTCCAGCCAGTTAGGAAAGTTCAACGTCGCGGTGGCCCACACGAAGATGATGTTGGCGCTTTACCATTTTGCCAAAGGATCGGTCGGCATACCATGGGACCACGTTGGATCTGCTGTCAGGACTATCACCTTCGTACAGCTGCACACCGAGCAAGGCTGTTACGATGATTCCACATCAGCGGCACAGCCCAGAATTGAATTTGCTTTCTCCACGGAGCAGCTTGCCGAATGCAAGAGACGAACTTTCTGGTCTTGCTTCCTGATGGACAGGCTGGCTGGCCCTACAGTGTGCATGATCAAACCGCAGGACATCTTTCTGCGGCTCCCGTGCTCAGAGGATGACTACGATCAAAGCATTCGTTCCAACGCTCCCTACTATCCGAACGAGAACATCGACCCGTCTTTGGCAGACCTTACACCCTCAAGCTCGCTGTCGCCAATGGCATGGCTGGTGCTGGTAGCTAGTGTTTTGGGAGACATCATCGACTCCACCTTCTGCGCGCCCCATCGGCCGGCTGCTACCTACCGCGAGGCATACCAGAAGTTCTACTCCGATGCAAGGTATCGCCTCCAAGCCTGGTCTTCACAGCTACCGCATTACCTTACCTACAGCGAAGCCAACCTCAACGGAAGCATACAACGTGGCTACTTTCATGCTTTCGTCTGCATGCATACGCTGTACCACACAGCGCACATGAAGCTCAACCAGTGCTTGCGCCACGCACAGATGCCCGAAGTTATCACGCGCAATATTCGGGAGGCGCATTTCCACGCACAAGAGCAGCTGCGCATGATGACAGCAGTCCTTGGAGCAAGGCGTCCTACTCAGATCGATGGCCGATCCACAGAGTGCATGCTTTCGATCCCCTTCGCGGGATATGGCACCTTGGTCGCCATCGACATCATCGGTGCCGGCGGACCGGAATCGAATCTCCCGCCTACGCTTGCGCTGATCGAGGGTGGCCTGAGGTGCCTGCAGGAGCTTTCGATTTTCTGGAACAGCGCCAAGGACCAGTTCAAAGCCTGCGAGAGACGGTATTGGCAGATCAAGAAGGTGGTCGTCAGCGGACAGAAGTACGACATTGGCGCATGGCTGGGGAGGAGGTGGGGTATCGAACTCCCCATGGACCGTGATCTTCCCAGAGACCACGATGTAATTTACGGACTTGGAGAGTCCACGGAAGCGATAAAACTGTATTTCGATGCTTTTAGGGAGGATTGAGCTTCAACAGGACATGGTCAGATTTGGGGGGACTTCTGGATGCGGCCAGACCCAAGGGGAGGATAAGCATCTTAAGGGAGTTGAGGAGGTTGTGCAAAAGGGTTACAACAGAACTGCGAACTGTATAGCAGGAACTCTCAACTTGGCGAGACGATGTGTATACGATAACGGCTGCTGCTCATCCTGTATCCAGGTCACTGCCACTAGCTGTGCAGACCATAAGGACTTTCAGTTCACGCTTCCTCTGCCTCTCAGTCGCAATTCACTACTAGACCAAAGCACCACGCTTCTCCTCCATCGCCATGCAGACAAGGACCGTTCAGGTTCATCGCTACCCGGCCGCTGGCCGATTCGGGATGTTGCATTTCACGAGCTAAGGTCGGCTACAGAGCCGAGTTCGACGGTACCAAGCCTCACTTGACCGGGCTTGCCGGGCAGCAATAGCACAATACGAACTGCTCGCGAACGGGCTGCATGGATCCGGGCGCTAGTTGGTGGCATCATCGCTATACCTTGTGCTGATCTGTTTCGTATGCAACGGGCAAGCGAGCTGATGAAGTAGTGCAAGCAGATTAGATGGAAAGGTGGGGATAATAAGCGCACTCAAACAGCACAGTCGAGCCGCTTTCTGGGCGTACTTTCGAATGCCTACGGTCGATGAACTCGGGCCCACGAACGAGTCATAAGATAGCATGCTCGAAGCATCATTTGATTGCATTCAAGCGAGCTACTATCCGCATGCGCAAAGATCGACCGGCTGGACAGCATCCGAACCGGCATAAGAGAAGCCGAGACATGGTACGGTGCTTTGACCCGATGTTTGTCTTGTCCCGAGTTCTTGCAAGGATGAATGCAAGGTACCGCGTCCCCTCTTCAGTAGTTGATTGCGAGATACCGACGATCCTTGGCAGGTCTGCTCGCTCGTGACGCCCAGGACGGAGTCCGCTCCGGGCGATGCTCGAACCGCAGCGTATCCACTTCACGAGTCTGTGGTCGAGTGATATGAATGTTGATGATGGAGTGATGCTTTCGTCTGGACCACCCATTGGATGTGATGAAGCGAACATAGATCCTTCCCTCATCGATCGCTCGGCTGGCCTTGCGAGGACATGTCTCCATCCTCACTGCCACGAGCATCTTCCTCGGCAGCCACGCTATCCCGTGCCGCACGCTGTGGATCTTTTGCTTTCTTCTCCATGATGTCGAGGTGGGCGAACTCCTTCTTCGCCAGCTGCACATTGATTCTCGCGCAGTTGAAGGCAGCCTCGTCGTTGGCAATGACGATTGCCAGATTCGTGTTCTCGGTCAGGCGTGTGATGAAGAACATGAACGAGCCTGTCTTGACTTGCATCTCGGCGAAGGACACTTCCGAAGCCATGGTGCCGGTATGCTTCGCCATGGAATGCTTGTGGGTTTTGAGGATGCTGCTCAACCGCTCGAAACGGTCCGCAAACGGGTTCTTAACCTCGGACCCTCGAGATATGTGGGTTACCACCAAGCAGGTGGTGCGCTCGTACAGCATGAGCTCTCGTGCATCCAAGACGTCTGCCAGCTTTGAAAGCATGTTCTCGATTGCCGAAGCGTTTGGCACCAGGTAGTAGATGACTTGCGTCCAGGCTCGGTACAGACTCTGATCCCAGATGGAAGTAGCCCAGAAGCCGACTTGGTCTGGCAAGAACTCCTCGTCCTCGCATGCCTTCCGGATGTCGCTCGACTTCTTCTGAAAGATGGCCGTCTTCTCCTCTGGTGGCACGAGGTCCATTTTGTGGATGAGCACGAAGATCCTGCTGCTTGGGCTGTACTCATGGAGCGCTCGTATGGTAGAGGCGAATGATAGCATGTCCGAGGCGGTGTCTTTGGATGATACGTCGAAGACGAAGATGAGCACGGCGACATGCGTGAACACGTGAGACCGTTGGTTTGTCAGATAAGACTCGACGAACGAATCCTGACTGCGTCTGGTCAGTAGGGTGGCATGGACTAATAGCTGTCTTCGCTCACCCGCCGCAATCCCAGAGATTGAGCATGAGGTTTCCCATGAACCGGATGTTGCTGTGCTCAACGTCCACTGTAGCTCCCAGCCGGCGGACATCCCGCGCAACCTTTCAAGATGTTAGCAATGATATTACTAAACGATGAGCTGGAACATACATAGTTTGAGAAAACTATCGAGCGCATTGATGACTTGCCAGCTGGAAGAACTGTCAGCGCCATATTTTCAAATTCATTTCAGGGGAAATCGACCCCCTGAACGACCCATGAGCAACACCTTGCGCTGCTTCTGGCGCTTGCTGCGCTCCATTCTGGCGTCTTGTAAAGGTCTACATGTGGTGGTGGTAGATCCGTGGGCGGTTGTTGTGGTTGAAGTTGAAGTTCGATCTCGGAAGCAAGACCGAGAGCGAGACCGAGAGCCACCTCACTCTCTTCTGGGCCTCAGCCACTTGGTAGAACGTTACGAATGTCTGGCGGATCGATGAAAGCTGTTCTGCGGACCGAGAAGCTAACAAGGATGCCTGTATAGTGCATCCTCGCTGGTCTAAACGGCCGCAACGGCACCAGCTCAAGGCAGACTGTCGCTTGACGGTGGACGACGCATGACTTGTACCATCAGAAACAAGCTACATCGGGCTCTTGATGAGCCAAATACTATGTCTGACATCATGGCACAGGTGCATCTGACCATTATCATCCAAACATTGCTACAAGTATAGAGATTCTAGAGGTAAGCGTTTGTGCAAGGAAAGGACCAGTTCAACAATGACGATACGATCTATGGCAGTGTGCGTTCATCCACGAGTTCGTAGCACACAATCCCCTTGCCCGCCTTGATCGCTGTCTTCACCTTTGCAGCCTCCGTTGACGCCACCGTAATCCTGACGAGCACCATGAAACTGCCCGCCGCGACCGAGAGCTCCGCCAGGACTAACCACGCCCGCCGTGCTCGCCATGCCCACCGTACTGATCCCTGCTGCCGACTCCATGCCCGTCGACGCGATGCTGGTCTCCCACCCCACACTTCGCCTTGCCTTTCCCCTTTCCCGGGCCCTTCGTCGCTTCATCGTCACGATCGTACCCGCTGGCGAGCAGTCACAACTGCAGAGCAGCTTGAGCGTCCTCAACGGCATCGTGCACCCCGTTCTGCAAATCCGCGCCCAGCACCTTCTCTGCGACAGTTCTCAGCCCGGGCTGTCCTCTCCTCTGAAGGTGGCTGTAGATCACCTGCGTGTCTGCAACGTTGCTCGTCGCGAAAACGTCCTCCTCGATCCAGAAGGTGGGGAGGTCATGCTTTCCGCCATGCAATGACGGTCCTGTTCGCAACGATCTCCTTGACCCACTGTTCAACTAGGGCGGCGGGCTGGGCTCCGTTGTCGAACAGCATGTCCGGAAACCACACCATGAACTAGACCGGCGGGAAGAACTTGCGGACGTCTTCTTCACGGTCGTAGGCGGCGTGACGTCTAGGACTAGCTCGCCCTTGGTGTTGATGAATTGCAACTCGGCCGCCCTTAGTGTTGGTGATTGCGATGCGTCCGATCTGGTGGCGACACTTAGCCCATTTCTTGTGCAAGTAGTTCTGGAACTCAATATCCAGGGCAGCGGGTTCACCCAGGAGCAGACGATGGTAGAGGGGGTAGACCTGCGTGGCCCTGCATTCGTAAGGTCCATCTTCTCCGTCGTCACGAGTGATGATGTTGGACGCAACGCAGGTAGAGGCGGCCGGAACATCATCAGGCTGATCTGAATTGCCTCCGTGATTAAGGTGAACGTCCAGCACGACTTCAGCCCCAAATTTGATGATCGGCTGCCCAAGATATCGCCACCTTGAAAACAACTATACAGAGCGGACGATAGAGTATACAAGGAGATGATATGTCGAAAATGAGGCTCTCAGTTTGGAAAGATGTAAGTTGCTTGAAGAACGAGCTATGTTGGACTTTCGTCCCTACTTACCTAGTAACCAAAGTCCGTCAAAGCTCAATCAATTGCCAACTGATTGTTGCTCGAACAAGACATCGCAAACACCCAAGCTTCTCGCGCAAACTACCGTTGTCCAGAGTACTTCGCATGTCCGTCGTGTAGTGCCTAGTGTGTTCTGGTGTGTAGCAACGCGGAACGTCGAGGTCAAAGGCCCTGCAGGATGAATCATGCCGGATAAGAAGATCAGCTCCTGCCGTCCTTCCTGCCGGCATCCTGACATGTGCACCTCCAACCTCGCAGTCTGTGTCTTTTGGTGCGAGCCTTCTTACCGACGTCCGCCGCGCCCTCCTCGGCCTCTGCCTGCTTCGTGGTTGTTGCCGAAGCCTTGGCCAGCGAACCCACCTCGACCTCTCTCTCCACCTCCATGACCCCCTCTGGTGCTGCCACGACCGCCGCCGCCACCGCGAGAAGGCCCGCCACGCCCGAGACTACCACCTGGAGCCCATCCTTCACCTTGCCCTTGGTGACCATAACCCTGGTGGCCCTAATTAGTATAGCCCTAATTCGGGTACCCTTGGTTCGTGTAGCCCTAATTCGCATAGCCATGACCGCCATTCCCGGCCCTGCTCTGACCAACTCGCCACTGACCCTGGTACTCCTGCCCTCCAGGTCCACGACCACGCCCGGCCTGCTGACCCCATCTGCGTACCTGCTCTGCTGCCCTAGCTACCCGTTCCGCCTCAGCCCCAGCCGCACGCTCCGCCTCGATCCTGGCCTTCTCAGCCTCACGATCGTACCTGTTCTCCACAAGCCACAACTTCATCGTGGTCTGCGCATCCTCGATCGACGTGTGATGTCCCATCTGCTGCACGGAGACGCCCAGAATCCTCTCAGCGGTGGTGCGGAGACCCGGAGTGTAGTCGCGAGTCTGGAGATGACCGTAGATCACCTGAGTGTCGACGATAGTGCTTTTGGCAAAGACGTCGGGTTCGAATATGAACGCACTGAGGTCATGCTTGCCACCGTGGACGATGACGGTCCGGTCGCGGATGAGTTCCTTGGTCCAGCGCTCAACCTTTGCGGCAGCCTGCGCACCGTTGCATAGCAGCAAGTCTTCCACAATGATGCCGAACCTCTCTGGAGGGACATTCTTTTTGACCTTGTCTTGACGTGGATAGAATGCGTAGACGTCGAGCGCGGGTTCGAGCGCACTGTTCACGATGGTAATGCGGCCGATCCGGTGACGCCAGGTTGGCCAATCTTCGTGCTTGTAGGTTTGAAATTCAACATCGATCGCGCAAGGCTCGCCAGGGAGAAGGAGGCCGAATTTGGGGTAGACTTGTGTGGCGCGGCAGTGGTATTGCGCCGCTGGTTGAGCATGTTGGGTGGATGTGCCCTGAGACTGGGTGGGATAGATGTTATTCATGACATTCTGCTGAGCGGTCGAAGTGCCTGTGGCGGAGTTGGTGATGGTGGTGGTTGTTCCTAGGATCAGCGTCGTGTTGTGGTGGACGGAGGTCCTGCCTCCAGCAGTTGTTTGGTTTCGTTGCGAAGACATCGCGCCGGATCGTGTGCGGTGTGATGTTTGGAAGAATGTTCTTGCGGAAGAAAGAGGGCCTTACAGAGGCTTCAATTGTAAAGCTTCGGCGCCTCTGGGTGAATTTCCCTGCCAGCTGCACCGTGCGCGGTAAGCGAATGTACCTGGCGTAGATGCCCAGGTCCGTCTGTCCAGTGCGTGGGATTCTAGATGGTTTGGTTGAGGGTAAGTTGATGGGATGTGGTCTTCTTGGACCTGATTCGAATGTGAGCAGGTCGAGTTCTCGCAGAAGCAAGAGAGCCCTATAAAAATCTTCCATGCTGTGTGTATAGAGGTAAATAGGACGATTCACTGGTCGCCGCGTGGAGCTAGCCACTAGCTGCATATTGAGTGAATGTAATCCACGCCGTGCAACGCAGATTACGCAAGTTTCGCACATTCACAGCTGGAGTAAGATTAGAAGTACAAGAAGGGAATGGCGGAGCAGAGACGGAGGCAGAGGAGAGGAAGACTGTGGACTTATGGGGATTGGACCGCTTCTTTATTCTGCAGTAGGGCAAGCGTGGTAGCGGATCGGTCACAAAGGGACCTTCAACCATGGGCCAAGCCAGACGAATGCGTTGGACGATGTTGTACAACGCCGCGTCTGTTGTGATCGTCAGCTTCGTCTTGCACAGATGCGGCACATACAACCATACCTTGTAGACATGCCCTTGGAACGATGTCCATCAAAAGGACAGCGATGGAGACGAGACGGTGGCGCTCTGGTTTTGCATCTTGAATGTTCCATTTCGCTTTACTCAAAGCCCCACTATCGGACTTCATGTCCTCCCGCCATAAAGGCATCCCCAACGCCTCGCTAATACCAAGTAATCCTTCAGCCCATCTTGAAAACCAGCATGACGACCTCACACCATTCCCGCTTCCTGCACCCTCTGCCACACGACGTCCCCCAGCGCCTCTTGATCCAACTCCTTCTCATCCAGCAACCTCACCCCCTTCATGATGGCATCTACAACATGCTCAGCCTGCTCCCTCTTTCCATCGTCTTTAATTGCATCTTGAAGCACTCCTTCGCTGTACGCTCTCAAATTCGGCAGAATCAGCTCACGCACACTCTCCGCACCAGCAACAGTGGTCAATCCCAAAATCGCGCCGTAGTGGGTTCCAAGTGGCTTGTGTGAGTCCAGGAAATGCTTTAGGCAGCTGCGGGCAATCCTTGGCTTGAGCGTGGAAGATGTGCTGCCGTACTTCCGTGTGACATTTGCGAGCAAGCTGGATGCATAGTCGCGGAGCGCAAAGTGCGTCGTAGCGCCGTCCTGGGATGGCGAGCCGAGACGTTTGCCGAGCACGCAGGTCAAGACGGAGGGGACAAGTGACGGGATGTAGGGCGCAAGGTACAAGCTCGGGTTCTCCAGTAGTGAGGAGATCAACATCATGCTCTGTGTAAGGACGAAAAGTGCGGAGAGGTTGTGGGTGACTTTGTCGGCCACGAACTGCACGAAGTAGGGGACCAGTTGGTGTAGGCCAGGATCGGTCTGCAACGAAGCGAAGGCGGCCGCGCGGTACTCCTCGTTGTTCTCTTCGAAGATGGCGCTGCATGTGCGTTCGAAATAGAGTTGTAGCTCCTTCGACAGCACATGCTTCACCAGTGGCTTGACCGAGACATTGTCGTTGCCGCTCATCGCAGCCAGGGTGGAGTTTGCGCCTGGTCCCTTCGCAGACAGCTCTTGGTTCCGCTGGTCTGCTTGTGAGGGATTCTGAGGTATTGTAGGCTGCACACCTTCCACCGCCAGCCAGTGCGCCGTGAAGCTCATCTCACGTGGGACTTTCGGCAACGGCGCATTGATGAGCTTCTCAAAGTCCACCTCTTCATCTTCCACGTAGAACAGCGGCTGGCCTGGTCCTATCGAAGCCTCGCCGAAGCGCAGTGGTCGTGTTGATTCGTACCCGTAGAGGGGTTCCACTTCGAGTAGTCGTAGTGCTTGTGAGATGTCTTGTGTGGTAAGGGTGGTTCGTTTGGAGTGCCGCATGAACTTCAGCGCCTCCTCCACCACCTGGGCCATTCGAAACTCGACATCGCGCGCGAGGTGCTCGACGACATCACGAGGTAGTGAAGCGATTCCTATCGACTCTGCTACGTCGATGACGTTCTCCGGGTTCCAGACGGACATGGTGGTGGTTTAGTGAAGTTGTGGTTTGTCGGCGGAGGTCAGGGAAGGCGCGGTGATGTTGAAGCAGTATAGCCGCTCATCCGCATCGTTTGGTCGGTGCTGGATGCTCACGGTCGATTGAAGGCTCCAATATATCTTTGCGCTTTCACCGCATTCACACGTTCATGAGAGCTCCATATTCGAGGTCGAACGTCGGGAACGTCGGGTTCGTCGGGAGGAGGTAACCGGGCCGAGCCGCTCCCGCTGTGCTCTTCACTTCACCGGCCGCTCTCTACTACAAACCGCGGATTTCTGCAAGCATCTTGACATACCTAGGCCATCAAACCCAAATTAACGTCACTTTGGCAAACCATCACATGTATCTCGCTGAGCGTAGCCACATCTGGCCACTCGGACTTTGCTGTAGAGCGTCTTGCCCTGAACAAAAACGCCAATCGGGCTTTCGGGGCAGAACACGGACGAAACCACAGCGCAGCCCGATATCACCCGTAGCATAAGTACATACGTCTCGTCTCTTCTCATCAAACACCGCCAAAGACAGCTACCAGCAAGCCGATGAGGAAGAAGACTCCGTCAGCCGAAGGACTTCCAACCAACCCCATCTCTCCCGACCAGTCACCATGGACTCCCTGACCATCGCTAAATACATCTCCATCCCAGCAACCTTCATCCTAACCGGCTACGGCATCTCCGCCTCCCAATCCACCGTGCCACTCCTCTACAAAGTTCCCACAAACATCTCCGCCGAAGTCTTCAAGGGCGTCTATCTCAACGGCAAATCCTTCGTCGCTCCCGGCGCCATCATCTCCGCCAGCGCCCTCGCATACCTGGCTTACGCCATCCCGTCTCAGAGACAACTCTACGCTGCAGCATGTGGATTGATTCTCAGCACACAGGTCTGGACTGTAGGCGTGATGCTGCCTGGCATCAACCGGATCATGGAGATTTCTAGGAGTGTGGTTGAGCAGCAGAAAGCGGACGCCACGGGGGAGACGGTCAAGTTGATGAAGGCGTGGGTGTTGCAGAATTGGGTCAGGGCTGCCTTGTCAGGGGCGAGTGGGTTAACCGCTTTGTCTGCTTGGGTGGGGGGTGCTTGAGGGATCGGGGTAGTTGGTATTGTATATTAGCACTGACAGCAATAGTACTTCTCCTTTCATCCATACTGGGGTCGCTGGTGTCATGATCCTTGGAACAACTACGGGCGCCTAAAGGTCAAAGCTATCTTGCTGGGGGCGGTGGGACATAATTCCTCTGCTGGTAACGTTACGACTCTTCTGATATGAATATGCGGCCTCCCCAAGCCGCTCAATCATCAATAGCGTTCGCAAGAGGTATATTGAAACCATCGCAGGAGACGAAGGTCGCTCAAAAGCTCTACAATGTACGTAAAATCACAAGCTTAGGATAAATGGTGGAAAAGATGGAAGGCGAAGAGGTAGGAGACTGACGATAGCAAGAAGGAAAAGGAGCTGGGGAGGAAGCGTACGCTGTTAAAGGGTCGACAAGAAGACGCAAAAGCTCCAGAGCACGAACAATGTTGGACGATCCATGGTCAAGTCCGAGACGAAAGGACTAGCCGTCTGCTTCGAGTCCGGTCTTCATGGGCTGGCAATATCTTACAGCCCATCAAGCATGGAGCGCAAGAAAGTGCAGCTCGACATACTGCTGTCTCGTCCATGGCAGCACGTTCCTACAACCTCTGGTGACGTTGCGGTAGAGGTCAGTTGGACAAGCATATCGTGGCCTCGAGCCCAAGACAAAACGTGCTGCAACCTACTCCTTGAACAGAGTCCTATATGCAATTCCAACCGTGCTATTCGCAACGTCATGCTGCAGACTTGTCTGAAATGTGTTGAGCTGACTGATCACAAGCCTCCCTTTTCCAGCATGGCGATGAGTGATCAGCAGGCAGGAACTGAGCGCTCTTTCCGCTTCCTCGAAGTGCTCGAGGCTATATCTTGACGCGTGACCTCGACAACGGGCGTGGCGGTAGGATAGCGGTCGCAAGCACCTCGTTCACGACGGCGCCATGAGCTGGCGTCCACTGCAGGTGCTGGTTCCATTGTACATTTATCTATGCGGTACTTGTCCTAGGTGCGAAAGTGTGGGCTTGCTGAGAGTTATATAGTCTGCGGTTCACCAGAGTCTGGAGACTTCCTCATGCTGTGATACGGCCGTGGGCAGGGAGAGATTGCAGAGGTTGCTCTCTGGAGCGAGGTCTGAACCAAGCCGTCAGCACGGACCATATTCACACATCGTCCTCCACCTGACATCTGTTCTCCACCCCGCCCCGACATCCTCATTTGCAACGGGGCATGACAGCATAGGGCGCACACCTCACTGCCGCAAGAATCTTGATGCGGTATAGTTCACAAGACGTGGACGTCCGTTGTTGGCGCCTCAATCGCGATGATAACGCTCGTCGCGCACTCATCCGCTGATATTGGCACGATCAAGTGACTACCATCCATCGCCGAGGCATCAAGATGTAATACTTCGCCAGTACATCCATCAGCCAAGAGATATCAGCATCGGAGGCGGAACAATACGAGTCTCACGTTGCCGCAATGAGATGTTGCTGGTTAGCCCCATGGCCTAGCTCAGCACAAGCGGCTGAACAAACACCGCACCGGATATAAAGGCGTCTCACTTCGTCCAGCTGCGCGATAGAAAGCCCATTTCGTTCTCGATAGAGTTATAACAGGCATTGCAAAGAAGTGGAAATAGCAACCATGTTGTTGTCGCAAGAAGAACTCGAGAAGGCCCCTTACCTGCACCAGGACATTGCCGACGTCCGTCCGTCTGATACCACAGGTAGCAGCATGCTAACGAGCGTGATTAGTTCCTCGCCAATGCTCCAGCCCCGGAACACCCACCTGATCCGGATCAAGAACTCCATCTGACAGTCCGCCAGACGCTGAATGCGCAATCCGCCGCCATCATCAAGAAGCTCGGCGATCCTCCAGAAGGGACAGCGGAGTTCTACCAAGAAATCCCGGTCCGTGATGGGTTCAGCAGCTCCTTGAAGATTCACAAGCCTAGCAACGGCGGGGGACCGTTGGTCGTCCTGGCCTTTGGCGGTGGCTTCTTGGGTGGAGACAACGACCAGCTTTCGGAGGTCGCTCGAGGACTGGTAAAGCTGTACGGTGCCACCGTCGTGAACATCAGCTACCGCGTTGGTCCGGAAAACAAGTTCCCATACGCGGTGTGGGATGCCTGGGACAGCTTGATCTGGATCACCGACAATGCCTCTGGCGAGGAGCTCGCAGCGGATCCTTCGAAAGGCTTCATCATGGGCGGAGTCTCTGCCGGTGGTGCTCTGACGGCTGTGCTGTCTCGTAAGTTCCAGGGAGCACCATTGAAACATGGATTGACCGGCCAATGGCTCTGCATCCCTGCTATCATGGAGAGCAACCAGGCGCCTGAGAAGTATCGGTCGTACCACATCTCCAGGGAGCAGAACTCCAATAATCCGACGCTGCCTACGGCCTCGATCAAGGTGATGTTTGAGCTCAGCAAGATTGACATCGACTCGGACCTTGCCTTCGCAATCAACTCGAAAACCCCAATGTCGGAGCAGCCCAAGTCGTATTTCCAAGTTGCTGGCATGGATCCGATACGAGATGACGGCCTGATCTATGAGGAGATGTTGAAGGATGCTGGTGTGGCAACGAAGCTGGACTTCTATCCGGGCTGCGTTCATGGTATGTTGCTGAGGTGGAGGCGCAGAGCTCTCTATCTACGCTGGACCGTGTGGTGCATAAGTCAGAAGTGCTGACGATGTTTCCACAGGCCATCAAATGTTGGTTGAGTCGATTGATCTTGGTAAGAAGGTAAGCTGCGCCCAGATGCATCCACCTCTCTTGTATATTGTTCTGATTGTTTGCTGACGGGATGTTCGCTTCTCCGCGTAGGCGAATATCGACACAATGGTTGGCTTTGGCTGGCTGCTCGGTAAGGAGGTCAGCCGCGAGGAGGCGGCGAACGCGTATGGTGTCAACGTGGTCTAGGATTGGCCGTAGCAGGCTTCGCAAAGAGTCTGTTGCCGTGTGCAACGGCTGAAAGGTCCCATTCCGTGCTATACCTAGCCGTCTCGGCGACCGCGAGGGCTGATCCCTCCGTTACCACAAGCAAGCCCTGGTTTAGGTCCATAACGCTCCTGCCGGCGTCATTGACAGGGCTGAACAAGGCGACCGACGTAAACCATCTTTGTCTATTGGAAATGTTGAAAAGCAGCATACGGTGAGGTTTCATTACGCTAATGTGGTGGACTTTGCTGACGGCGGCAAGTCACGCTGAGGTCGCTCCTTCCTCATCTGTCGCTATGCGCTACTGGCTAAACTCAAAGCTGGCGCGTGATCCTTCCACCTCCTCGCGCTTCTTCTCCTTACACGTCAGTAACAACATCCGCTCACCACGGACTTGCTGTTCACGCTACATCACTTGGCTCACGCTGTCTTCATCTGTTGAGCATCACCACTGTTTTCGCTATCTCAAGATGAGTGGCAACGCCAAGCGTCCGCTGCCGCCGTCTTCGAAGGACGGTGAAGACCTGTGGCAGAAGCGTGTACGCATCGACAACACCACTGCCTCTACGCGCACCATTACCGCTTCTAAGCCATACAGGCCATGCCTGCACTGCGGCAGCGATGAGCACGACTTCACCAAGTGTGTCAACGAGTGTTCCCACTGCAATGGTGAGCACTTCTTCAGGCGCTGCCCCGAGCTTGGGGTGGACGTCTACAGCCCGCAAGGGTTCCTCGTCTTCGCCACCTCCAGCGCGACCAAACGTGCTATGGAGAAGCTGCTACCGTCAAGCACACCAAGCGAAGAAACCAAGACACCACCGTCAACGACCGCCGACGTGCTGGCCAAGTTAGACAGCATCAGGGCTGAGCTTGATGCGAGTGGAGTCTTTCAGCCTCGCAAGGATGCTACAACTACAGCACCCACCGCCGCGGTCGACGAGCCGGCTAGCATCAAGCGCGAGCCTGGCACGGATGGATCATCACCACTGCGCGACCTCCCGGGCGGTGAGCCCACGCCGTCACCTCAGAAAGAGATGACGCAGTCGCCGCCAAAAGCTCCTGCTGCGACTAATCCGACAATCATCAAGACGGAGTGCGAACCGAAGACAGCTCGCTCAACGCCACCGAGCGACCTCCCGGTTGCTGAGCATTCGGCGTCTCCGCCACAGAAGCAGCCTGAGCAGACCACGAAGAGGCCGACGATGCTCAGCAGAATGCTGCGTGTCGGGAACGTAGCCTGTACGACCACCAAGGAAGAATTGAAGGCTTTCTTCAAAGGCTTCGATGTCGTCACGGTCTCGGTCCCCCTCGCTGACCTACGCACTGCTCGTGCTGTTGGCTATGCCTACGTCACCATCTCTCCGGCCTCAGAAGCTGCTCGTGCGGTTGATGAGCTGATGGGCAAGAGCATCAACGGACGTAAGGTCTCCATCACTGTCGTCTCCGGCCCTGCCTCGACGCCAGATGAGCTGACAAAGACATTCACTCCTTCTGCCAAGGGTGAGCCCGCTCGAACCGTCACCGGAACGAAGGACCCAAGGCCTCAGCGTAGCCGCACGAGCGCTTTCTGGGCGGGGCCTAGAAAGGTGTCAACAGCTTCACCGCTCATCAAACCACCGCCCCGATTCGGGCTGCCTAAGTCTCCGTCAATCGCAGCAACTGGAGGGCTCGCTCACCCGGTGGTTGTGCCCACCTCAGATGAGACCAAAGCGAGAGACGAGATTGCAAGACGACAGCACGCAATCACGGAGACGCGGAAGCTGATCGAAGCCAACCGTCAGGTGATGGCCGTCTCTCCGCCCGAAAGCCACCATCTGTCCCAGCAAGCCATCGTCATGCACGAGAAGACCATCGCAACGCACCGGGTCATGATTGCGTTGGAGGAGCAGGATATCAAGCGTAGGACCGTCATGCCGCAACAGTCCATCATCACGCAGCAGCCCACCACGTCGAAGGTTCAGCCAGCCGCCCAGAACATCTCTCAGCAGCCAACGCCACAGCCAATTCTCGCGCAACCTTCAGCGGCCGTTACCAAGCCAGCGATGCCGACGATCAGGCGGAACGGACAGCGTGATCATGCGCGCGAGCAGCGGCTGTGGACTATGGTCAACAATACGGTCAGAAATGCTGTTGAAGAGACATATGTCAAGGGCAAGCCGTTCAACGGCAAGGATTCGAAAGTTGATCGTCTAGACCCAGCGCTCACTGAAATCAAGGCCATGATCTTGGGCGAGCAACAGTAGCCGTTCTCCCAGACACGGACCGCTCGATATGGGCTTTTCCAATTGTGCACTTGCATGGCGGGAATCTCGAGATGTGGGAAGAGGCGACTTGTGCGAGATGAATACTCTATGTGGGACATGAAGGAATGAGTATGGCAAAGGATACTGTGGACTTTGTGTAACAAGGGCATTGCACGCCTGTACCTAGCCTACCAGTACCAGTTCTAAGCATTACGCAATGGATGAAGCAACGACGACCTCCCTCTCACCTCCCCAGCAGCAGGACTCCCTTGCCTGCTATTCGTTTTCATCGGGCTGCCTAAGCGCGGGCTCCGCGGCACGCTCGTCGCTCTCGTGCCCATCCTGCCTCTGCTCGCTTCCTTGAGCCTCGCGATTTCTTCGTCGCGAAACTTCATCCCTGCCTCCCGATCCGTGAGAAGGGCTTTGAGCTTCTTGTTCTCCTTCTCCAGGTTCTTTGTATAGCTGTCGTAGCCCATCTGTCGTAGCTTCACCTGCTCTCCAGAAGCCCTTGTCTTTGCAATGCCAAGCTCATCTTCTAGCTCGTTGTTCTGAGAAGCGAGTTGTTGCGCACTATTCGACGAGCTCTGGTAGAGGTCACGAACATACGCCAGATCTCGCTCCGCTTGCTCCAATCGCTTCTCTACTTTCTGCTTCTCGAGTACGGCGTCTGCTGCGGCAAGTCGAAGGGCTTCGTATTCTGCTCGCTCGGGCACCGAGTGATCGAGCAGTCGCTCGTTGGCTTCGCGAAGTTGCTGTTCCAGTTCTTTGTTTTTGATGCGTATGGCGCCTTGCTCGTTTAAGCGCTCGACGGCTTTCTGTGCTGTAGCGATGGCAGAGTCTCGCTCTTTCGTCACTTCCACAAGATGAGTACGCTGGTCTTCGTGGCGGTATTGGAGGTCGGACAACGCTTGTTCGTGCTCGTCTAGGCGGCCTTGTGTCGTCATCAGAAGGTCTTGGAGACGCTTCTCCGTGTCCGTCACTGCCGGTTGAGCGATTTCGGCGGGTTGGCCGAGAGCATTCGATTGTGTCGATCTGTCAATCGAGTCACTGACGTGTGTGATGTCGACATCACCGAAGCGGGCGCGCTTGCTGTTGGCAGGTTCCATGTCTTGAGATCCATCTTCAGGTCTAGGACGCTTGTTGTTGTTAGCAACGCCTTGCTCCGTCCACGGCTCGATCTCGCTTTCGGTCTGGCTATCAAGGTCTTCGAGGGTGCCTAGAGCAACTAGTGGCCACTCCGGCGCATTCTCCGTAGTAGTCAGATATTCTGCCAAAGCAGCGGCAGAATCTTTGACGGAGAGCTGTCCTCCCTCCAGCTTGCCGGCTTCAGTCCTTAGCTTGTAGACGCCGTTCACGACGGCTCGTGCCAACGCTCTTTCAGAGAGATCGGCCGAAAGGCAGCGCTCAACATGCTCTACTGTGTACGGCACGACAAGCGAGATGAAGGGGCACCATGCGCCATCGCGGTTACGGAGTGCTCTGATCGTAGCCGTGTCGTGCCGAGCGTGATTGTCCATGGCGATGACGAGTTGTGCAGGCGGAGGATTTTGCATCTCCTGATCGGTGCTGAGCAGTGTTACTCGCAAGCCTTGGGAGCCTAGGGTGTCCTCGTCGACGGCACCTGCATGGTGCGGATCTATGCCAATGCCAGCTAGAAAAGTTTCAAGCATCTGCACAAACCTGCCCGGACTCGACAAAATCACAACATGAAGCTCCTGATCCCTCAGCCGATCAATGAGCTCCTTCAAAAACTTCAACTTCGCACTGCACTTGATATCCCACTCAGCCTGCTGCGAAGCCTCAGTGTCGTGCTGCGTCAAGGTTTCGGCGTTATCGAGATCCGGGTGCATTGCGACATTGCGGGCACGCTGTACGAAATGGTTGATCTCTTGCATAAGCTCTTCGTCTTGATCGGAAGAGGCGAGGAACTTCTCGACCAAGTGGCGATGGAACCATACAGTCTGCGGATATTGATCGCGCTGGTGTCCGAACATGCCGATGGGGATGGTGTAGAGTGTGGCCTTCTCGGGATCAATGTCATCGCCGCGTTGCTTTGCTGGCGTTCGCTCAGCTATGACCGAGCCACGACGCTGTTGGTCATTGCTTGGTGACTCTTGAGCCTGCGGTAAGAGTGTCCCGTACCGCTCGGATGTGTTCATGTCCTCTTGAGTAATGACGGCCAGTGGAGCGTAAGCTGGTACAGCTGAAGGGGAGCGATGTCCATCGCCATTGAGCAGCATCGGTGATGCCAATCGTGCCGGAATGGGAGAAGCTGGCGCGATTGTAGGTCTCGCTGATGCCTGCGGGTTCGAAACAGATTCCTGAACAGCAGGTACAGGTGCAGCAGAAGGTTTCTTCTTTACGGCGTTCTTCCACTTCTCTTCGCGCATGGCTTTGATCTTCTCCTGCAGAGATCTGCCACTCTGGGGCGTGCTTTGGTTGTCCATCGTCGATCGATGTTCTGGTGTTGATGGGAGGGACGGTGGAGGTTGTACGCTATCGCCAAATTGACCAGTCTCGATGCTTTGAGAAGGTGGCTGGCGGAGGGGGCTTTTATGTAGCAACAATGAGTTGTCGACCGGGAGACTGAAAGGCAGAGAATTGATGGTTGAGTACTGTGTGAGTGGCTCTCCACTCTCATACTGAGGTTGCGTATTCGGCCGACTCCACTGTGGATCAGTGTGGAATGCCGGTATCTCCCTTTCACTCAGCTGCAACGATACTTGAGTCTTGAACGGAGATTCCAACCACGAGCTCGAGCCCGGAGCGTTTCTGTCACCAAGCTGATGTTCGTCCGGTACTCTTCGGGGCGGGGCCGTTACGCTGAATGGACTATCCAACGTCGAGCGCTCTTGTGTGGTGTCGAGAAGATCAACGTACTGCTGACGGCCCACGTGCTGAGCTGGATGAGAAGCTTGCGAAGGTTGAGCTGACTCTGACGGCCGATGCAACGAGGTGCGCCCTGCAGCCTGAGCGGACGATCTGCGAGGCTCAGCTTGGACTGCGGAGCTCGGGGCAGAACTCTGCTGCGAGTTGATCTGATTTTGGGATGGCACTTGTTCCTTGCGACTAGCAAGGGCTCCAGGTCGATCAGTGATCAGACGAACTGGGCTACTTCCTCCGGCTGAGGTGTCAACGTTCCGTGGATGTTGAGCCGGATTCGAGACAGCGCTAGACGTTTGCTGGCGTCTGGCGCTCTGGTCCGAAAGGCCGGTTTCACCGCCGTTGATTAATGGCGGAGGCTCGTCTCCAGCAGCTTCTGGCCGCCTCTCTTCAGCTGAAGCCGGGTTCTCTTGAGAGTTGATGGTAGGTGCTGATGGTACTGGCACTCCAGATGAACCCACTTTCTGTGCCTGCGGAGCCGAGGAAGATTTCGAAGTGGTTGTGGTAGGGACGTAGCTCGAAGAGGCGTGGAAGGCCTGCGAGTCCGGGACAACGTTTACAGAAGCCGCCGATATGTTAGCAGGCGCAGACTGAGGCAGCTCGCTTTGCGTGGTTGGCGCAACACTAATCTCTGTTGTGCCTTCGGTCGTACCTGTGGTGTCTACAGGATCCGGGACGTACTGAGATGCCTCAGGCGAGCGTCGTGGCGGTGAAGAAGGTGGGTCGTTTACCTGTGACGAGCCGACCGCTTGATAGGCGCCTTCGTAGAAGCTGGAAGGTGGCTCTGGGTTCTGAACTGCAACAAAGACTTGCTCAGGTAACACGGGCGCTTCTGGGCTGTCGTCTGGTTCAAACAAAGGACTGCCAAGATCCGCAGTAGTCGCAACTTGCTCGGCTCCCGGTTCGGTATGTTGGCTCTCACCGATCTCAGGAAGGTCTTCTGCAGTAGACTGGACCTGATTATCGTCGGCCTGGCTTGCAGGTTCTGGTGGCGGAGGCGAGCTTTCTATGATTTTCCGCGACCGGGCCTTTCGTGGTCGGGGCGGCGAACTTGTAGCAGTCTGAGCAGCAGAAGCAGCACGCGACCTCGCAGCAGCAGACTTGGCCCTTTCTTGTTCTGTATAGCGTCAGCTTCACTGTTCAAAAGGGTCAGGCACTTTCAACTGCTATACCACGGCGTTTCTGGGCCTTCTGGTTCTCCCAGTCTTCAATGGCCAACCTGTTAGCGTGCTTCTTGGGCTCCCAAGTATCTTCAAAACTTTCGCCGGTTTGCTCGTCGTCCTCCCAGCTGATATGGTACTGGTTGGTAGTTTCGCCGATGATAGACCTAATCTTATACTCCTTGTTCGGATCGACGAAGCCGTGAGGGTGCGGCTCTTGTTTTGCTGGATGATTTCAGTACATACTATCAGATCTACCTTACTCGTTAGGAAGGCTTACACTTCTTTTTCTTGGTGACGGATGTTGTTAGCTTTCTCTTCGCCATCACGCGTGCCCCTTGCGCGCAAGGAATCTGGATTGAACGCTATGTGCAGCCATCGTCAGTTCTCAAGCATGAGTATTCAGAACAAGTGCAGTCTGCGCGGAGGATATCGTATACGCACAGAATCGCGTGATGGAGGAGGATGGTCTTCCTGAAGTGAGGTCGTCCGCCAGGTCTTGGCAGAACGTTGCCGATCTGCTTTCGAGTCGTCGTGAGTGGATGATGAAGAGGAAAGCAGTTTCGGAGTGGCAACCACGACTCAGAAGGTCAAAAGATGTAGAACTGTGGTGGTTTTTTGTTAAGTTGAGGTGATGGCAGGACTGTCGGATATAGCATGACTGAAACGAGACTGGTAATGAGCAAGTGAAGATAGGAAGTGACGAGTCACTGAGACCGAGGTGAGCTGAATGACCTGGACGTCGTACACAAACAAGGCTTCTCGACGTGCACATGAGTGAGCCAACAGTGAATAGTATGGTCTTCACGTGTCGCTAACTCGTACGCCACAATGGCTTATCTTCCACATCTCAAAGTACCGTTCTCTCGGCGTACGCTCATGCCGACCTTCTTTCACATTGAGCTACCCTCGCCATCGTAGGCTCAAACAGTGTTGAAATTTAATTCGAACACACAGCTGCATGCTGACGCCGCTTACTCTCTCTGCCCGGGGTGGACCTCCTCCTCAACCTTCTCCTTGCGCTTGCGCTCCAGCTCCTTGATCTGCTCTGGCGGCGAGTCCTCAATCAAGTCGCTGTCCTCGTTGATGCCGGACCACTTGGGCAGGCCGTCAGGGATGTCCATCACACGCTGGGGGTAGAACATGTGGCATCTGAAAGCAAACGGTGAGCTTGGCACGCCCACTGACCAGTCTGTGAAATGCTGGCACTCACCTTGGCTTGAACCGATCCCTCGCCGTCTTGTCCGGGAAGTCAATCAAGCTCGGGAACATCAAGATCATGTTCCTCCCCTCGTCCATGATCGGGCTGTGGCAGTACTTGCAGCGTACTTTGCATGGAAGCTGGTGCTCAATGCTCTTTGAAGTCGGGTCGTACCATTCGAGGTGGTGGTGGCCGTCATGGAAGTTGATGTCACCCTTGTGGAAGATGGCGGCCCATTGGAAGGGTGCAGCTGTAGACGGTTAGTATGAAGCATGGGTAGATTGGATGGGTGGAGGCATACCATGCTGCTTCTGGCACGTCGTGCAATGGCACAGCTTGCTCGCCAACGGCGTCTCTCTGCTCAGCTGGAACTTGACCTCGCCGCAATGGCAGCTACCACCCAAGACCGCCTCGAAGTGCTCTTCCCTCTTGTGGACTCTGTACGGCTCTCTGAACTTCCACAGATCCTTCTCCGGGACCTTCTCGCCTGTGGGTGCTTCGACCAGTTTGTCAGACATAGCGTACGTTCGTTTCGAGACAATGCTTGCAGGAGATGTGATTGGTGCAATGAAGGCTCGTCTGCTGGAGCTTGCAAGTGGTCTGGATGCTAGGGAAGTGATGAAAGGCCTTGACAGTTTGCTGCCGGCCATACGTTTGAATCAAGGGGGGTTTGGGATTTTGAGGCAGGAGCGAAGGGAGACGGGCGTACCTACAGGACATGCTGATCCAGAATTCACGCTGGCGTGACGCGCTGCTGTTGACGATGACAGGTTGATGAGATCATGGATGCCGATTGAGGAGAGATTTCAGCCTCCTCCCCACACAAACCCCTGTCTCCAATGCAAGATTGAGTTTGCAGGGGTCAACGATGGGCCAGATCTCACAGATCTCGTTCCTGGCACGCGATGCTCGGCTCTGCATGGCTTACTCCTGTACCGCAACACGTCCCGTGTTTAAATCAAGGGCGTGCCCTGATTGTAGCAGTCTCATATCCTCGAACGGTGGGCGAAGTAATTTGAGCGAGCATTCTCGCAGATCTAGTCTATCGAGATGGAGCTACCGAGCTTAAAATGAATTGACTTGCCGCTCGAAAGCGCCTCAAGCTCAGAAATCTATACATCAAGCGGCCCAGGAGGGGCGGAAGAAAGGAACAACGTCTTGGTCAAATTCATAGCACCGTCCACACATCCTCTCGAAGACGGTATCGCAAGCCTGGCTGACAATTCGTCACGGAATCGGGTTAACCACTGCTTAAGCCCCTTCATCCAAACTTGCCAAAGCACTAAACGTACTCAACATCGCAGCCGGGCTCCTCCCCTCCAACCGGCGATGGCTGAGGGTGCATCATGGTTCTGAAAGTCGTCGGGTGTACTGGCTTCTCGCCGTGGGTTCGCGTCGGGCGAGGGTGTCGCGTAGGACGAGGGCGACGCGTGGGCTTTACGGTTGTCGCGGCCGCAGTGCTGGTGACGGTACTGACTTCTGTCGCGCCGGAAGCTGCGGTAGTGGGTGACTCGGAAGAAGCTGGCGAGGAGGTTTCATCGGCAGGAGGGGTGGGCTGCGGCGGGCTGATCTTTGTGGTGCCGGTGCTGTCGGAATCATCGGTAATGATGGGTGAGACGACAACGCTGGACGCAGTGCTGGGTGCCATCGTTGTGCCCGTCTCGGCAGAGATGGTGGTCTTTTCGCCAGAGGCAGCAGCATCGTCGCAAGTGAAGACGTCAGGACCTGGGCGAGTATTAGCACATGATTCAATCTCTTTCGACTTGCTAAGCAAATTTTACCAGGGATAGTGTAGCCGCCATCTGGGTATGGCTGGCCCTCGCTGTTGTAAATGTCGATAAAGAGGCCAGGGTCATTGGCCTGCTCATTCGAGATGGTTAACTAATGTCTCCGACTTTTAGGACCCAGCAGACTTACAGAGTAGATGCCTGGAATCGAGTAGGTTTCGGGGGAGGTCGATGCTCCCCCGGACACGCTCAGCTGGGCACATTCCATCTGGAGCCAGTCAGTGAAATACAGGTGCGCGGCAAGGTGTTCGACGAACGTAAAATTGTGCGCTGCTGGGAAGGGAGGCGTTATGCAGTGCGATGATCTCGAAACGGAGCAGGTAGTCACCGTCCTCGACGCAAGTCGGGATCTTGACGCTCTGGAGCCCACCAGCGTCGATGAGGGTATCGACACCCCAAGTCTCGCCGTTCAGGCCTTCTTCTGCCACTTTGAACCAGCCGTCGCCAGGAGCGTTCGATGGACTCTCTGCGGCGTCGGAGACCTTCTTCATGTAGGCCATCACAGGGCCCTTGTGAGGGGAGTCGATGGCTATGTTGTCCGTGTACTCGTCCGCGCCCGTGGCCGTCAGGTCGTGTTTCCATGCTCCCGTCACGGTGTCGCCTGCCTTGACCGGGATGACTTCAGAGGACGAGGCGAAGCCAGTCACCGGTGCTCCATTACAGGCCAGGGAGTCGGAATTGACATCGTCGATGAAATGGTTGTCTGCGGGCATGTAGATGCCGGCGCCTTGCGGGTAAGATTTGTCGTTCACACTGATGGCCTGCATGATGGTGTGTGCGGAGGCCACGCCCAGCGTGGCCAGAAGAGATGTGAGAACCTTGACAGACATCTTGAAAGAATGGAGAAACGAATGAAGACTTGCAAAGTGAGCGTGGTTAGATGGAGGAGGAGAAAGGGTAAACAGAATGGCAGCGCTCCATCATATATCGAGTCGACAGCTGGTCGGGCAGGCATATGCCAGGCGCCTGACAAGACGTGGAAATGCAGGCCGTTCAGGATGCTGCGACTGAAACTCATGGTGCTGCAGCGAGTGGATAGACTGTACTTGGCGCATAACGGTCGTCGACAGTGCGAAAAGCGTTTGCATCTGCATAACACGTAGGCAAGACTTACAACTTATGGTGCTGCCATCGATACACGATACACAGCGCGCAAGCCGTAGACATGAAAGCGAAAGCGAATAGATTTGTCCGCAGTCAACCTTCGACTGATTCTTGAGACCCGAGCGGGAACAGGAGGGCGCTTCCAGATTGTCAAATCTCTACAAGGCCGTCTTGGCAGAATCCTGGCTGGAGACAAGCACACCGCCGAGCACGTGGTCAGTTTAGCGCCCATCACAGTGGCGGATGGACTATGTTTCAAAGGAATCCGTCCGTCGTGCTATCAACGGTGATTGTGGTTTGTACGTGGGATCGTGGATACTCCACTGCAATACTGAAATACCATTGAACATCTTCTTCCCACCTTTTACTACGCATGCTCGCCGCGTCAAGCCTTCCTTGCACGGGTCAACAATTGCGCACGCAACACTGAATCGGGTCAGATGAAAGACTGATAATTGTGTTCGAATTCTCCGCTACTCAATTCGAAATGTACGTGCCGTTAGGGAACTTCAGAATATTGTCAGCAGATGCGGACATTGGAGGGATACCGGCCAACCTACTGAACACTGGTAATAGACCGCGCAAGAACCGTCCAGATACTCGGGTTCTGGCCCAGCGTCGTTCAGTAGGAACGCGCCTACGCCATGTGCGGGCAGCTGCAAGGTCATGTTGCTGCAGACAAAGGATCAGTCCAGTGTTTCGCTAGGTCGGCGTGCTTGAGACTCACCGCACTGCAACCCCCACGTCCTCATGCTTCCACAGATCGTACACAGAATACTGTCTGCCCGCGCGAATCGTCCAGCTTTCAGTCAAGTTGAAGAACATCTCTTGGGGTGTATCTTGCGTGTTCAATATCATGAAGACGGATCCGTAGCTCGAGTTGCCGGACCAGTATTCTGCCGGGTGCGTCGCATTCGATGTGTAGTCCGAGTTGATGCCCCAACGAAACGGGCTGATGTTTTCGCCGACAACGGGATCTTGGTTGATCTTGATGAGGTCGCGGTTTCCGAGGATTTCAAAGGTCTCTTCTGTTGCGGTTGAAAGGTCCGCGCTGATCAGGAGTGGTGATTTGAGTAGTGCCCATGCTGTGAAATGGCTCTTCGACTCCTCGTGGGTCAGGTTACCGGGAGGACTGCCCTGGCCGACGTTTCCGATTTCTAAGATGTCCAGGTCGTTGTGGCCGTAGAAGTCAGTTGCCCAGTACTGGAATGATGCCGTGTCGATGATTGCAGCTAGAGGATACCACGTCGGTTTGATATCGCCATTGGTGCGCCACGACTGTCCAAATCTGCGTCCCCAGATCCATGGCTGCTGCCAGCCCCAGTTGCACAATGACAACTGGAACGTAACGCCAGTTCGACAGGCAAATTCGGCAATCGCATCTGCCATGCGCTCATAGCTACCTACTTGGTTCGTCTGGGTGATGTTATCGGCAGGAATGTCTTCTCTATAATCAGCGACATCAATTGTGCAGCGTTGGGTGCACTACCTACAGCAATTGTCGTACTTGAGATAAGTCATGCCCCAGGAGTACCAAGTCTCCAAATCTTGCATCTCGTGACCGTACGAACCCGGGTACCCTCCGCACGTCTGATAACCATGATCGCCGTACGCAGCAAGTCGCATACCCATCGAGTGAAGCTCGTTCGAAAGCGCCGGGATGCCTTCAGGAAATTTGTCTGGGTCTGCCACCATATGGCCGGATGAATTGCGTTCTTTCATGGCGTAGAAATCGTCCAGAAGCATGATGTTGTATCCCGCGTCCACCAGGCCTCTTTCCTGCATGATCTTCGCCTGGCGTGTAACAAGCGCTGCATCATAGTCCTCCGCAAAAGCGTTGAAGGTGTTGTAACCCATGGCCGGGAGACGGCCAACGGGGCCTTGCAAGCTATCTGCACAGTGGACTGCGGCAGCCAGGGCAATTACACTCTGAAGCATTTTGCGAGAGAGCAAGAAAGGTGCTGATATTGAAGGATTGAAAGTGTACTCTACCTCGACCCAGCATCCGCAGTCCAGCAAGCTTTTTATCAATAAAAATCGTCAAGGACAGCATCCCCACAACCACACATTCGGCATGTGGAGGCACAGCATAGCACAGTAAGAATCATTCCGCGTAGTTACAGTGCAGTCTTATGCGGTGAAGAAAGAGGAGTCCATGTTTGGAGTTCGGAGCAAGGCCTCCGTCCCCGCATTCGGATAGATTGAGGCATGGAAGCGACGGCTGCCGGAAAATCTTGTAAGTGCCTGTTCACGCCAGGGCTGCGGCAGATCGTTTTAATATCATATTCCAGGCAACTCTGCCACTCAGCTCAGATATCTACACCCACCAGTATTTCCCAAGGCAAGAATGGAGCACGGGGTACGGTCCAGTGGCAGCGTAGTGGTATAAGGCCGAACCGAGAAGCATTCCACCATGCGATGTGCACGTGTGATCTGAGAGCTCGACTCCGCGAACATAGTTCACGTTCCCTTCCTGACGAACTGCGCCATAGCAGCGTCGGGCCGGCATTTGAGCGTCGGGCGTCTCAAGGTGTCTGCGGTGAGGTATCTGTATGTCTCTATGAGCTGCGCAAATGGTCGCTGCATTCATAGGACAGTCGCGATACGTCCGAGGTGTACTTCGAGAGACATCCAAACAGACCGGTCGTTTCTAGACGTGCTTGGCAGAATGGAATCGAAGGGCTTTGTCGACATAGGCGCAGGCACTCTTGGTATCTTCGTAACCAGCGTGAACCATATTCGCATCTCGCAAACTCCCTCTTTTCCTTGCCTGACCGTCCCAGACCATGGCAGACAGGTCGCATCAACCCAGCCTCGCCGCTTCCCCCTCGTCATCCCATATCTTGAACTCCTCCTTCTGCTTCAGCCGCTCATCTTTGAGCATGCGGCTATCGACTCTCACATCATCTCCCTCAACTTCAAGCCTGGCTTTAGGTTCCTTCGCCTGTTGAAAGTAGAGTTAGAATCACCCAGATCATGTCTCACGAGTCTCACGGCAGGCCGTTGTGTCCAAGGCCAGGTCAAAGGCGAATGCTTGAAAGCTGAACATGCCTTCGAGGCAAACTCGGCCAGGAAGCTCGCGCAGCCCTTCAGCCTGAAACATAGCGGCGACGCGTAGAGGGGAGGTTGTAGGAACGGTTACATACCTCGATCAAGAAGTGGTTGTCGCAATGCGGGCAGTATTCGTCGCTCTCCTCAAACTCCTCCATATTCTTCCGGAAGCACTTCTTGCACTTTTTGCACGCGAAGGTCATCTCTAGCGTCTGTTTGAGCTCGTGCGATTGCGATTCGCCGTGACATTGCGCGCAGTCGAACCATTGTCTGCAGCAGGGCGAGCGGATGGAGACCTGGGCGTTGAGGATGTGTTTGCTTTGGTATATTAGGACCTGGCGCGTCGTGTATCTCTTCGCGAGTGTGACATGACTTACCACATTGTATCGCTAGTTCGGAAAGACGAAGATGTGGCCGTCTGACGCGGGTCGATTTGTTGGAACTGAGACCTCGAAGATCGACATATAGAGTTTAAGCTCCAGCGGCAAGGGCCTAGCGGCCCGCCAGCCATGTTTCAGATATTCTGGGGTATTCAAGGCGCAGAGGCATGTGCTTCACGACTTCTAAACATTAAGTCGATCACAGGAGACCCACAACATAGGTGGATTGCTTGAACATTCGCAAAGCAATCGGCACATGACGACCACAGACTCCAGTCAAACCACAACAACACTCTCGGTTCCGCCGGACCCAGTAAGCAAACGCTGAGGCGACAAAGCCACCTCACGACTCGAGCAAGAAGACATTGGCGAACGACCGGCTTCGTGGACGCAAGAGCTGTCTTTGCTTAAGGCATATCAAGAGTGGGAAAGCTGGACCCTTCAAGATCAAGACTCGTCGATGGCAAGCAGCGACGGACCACACTATTGAGCTGTAGGCTCCAGTGGGCATCGCAGTCCCAGATGAAGGAGCCTCGGAGGCCACGGCATTAGCCACCTGTGCAAGATGGAGCGCACCGATAGAAAAGATGAATCGTCAATCGGGCCTGTGTCGTCGTTGCGATCGAGGTTTGAGAACCTACAACAAGACAAAGGCACACCACCCGTATCGCCAATCGCCGGTCGACTACCCTTTTCGACAGGACCTCCCCAGACCACGACCAGCCGTCCAACGACCCCGGCGCTAGGAGGCAGCAGTCATGGAGCTAGTGCTTTACCTCATCTTGAGCCGCCCCAGGCAGTCCCACGGTTGCGTACTCCGAACACACCACTGTCGCGACCACATTCCATGGCGTCCACCACACCAACACTCATGTCGCCGCCTCTTCTCACGGTAGACTCACCCCATTCTCCGGGAAGGAAGAACATGTCGGTGGATCTCCGCTCTCCTGACACCACTGCACCGAACCTCACCGCCGCCCCTCACTCGCCTACCAAAGCCCACCATGGCAGAACACTCAGTCGAACGGCATCTCCCGCATTAGAAGCTCGAATGTCCGCCTTCCTGCAGGCAAGCGATGTGCCAAAAGCACAGTCTGACGGTGCATTGACTGCTCCGCCTACACCCGAAATGAGACCACAAAGCCATACAACCAGTGTACCGCCACCAGTCAATCGTGCAGGAAAACCGAACGTGCCGGTCAAGCCTTCGAATTTAGCACAAAAGGCCGACAGCTTAACCGCACCAGAACCAATTGGCGACGTGGTCGACCAAGGTGCTTCGCCATTCAGCACACCGCCGGGCAGTGGGACAAGCTCACCTCGCAGGCCAACTGATGCTAACCGTGGCAGGAACGACTCGAGCGCTTCCCTCACACATCGGATGCGCACCGCTTCAGATGCTTCCTTCGTCGAACTTCTGCGGACCAACTCTGGGTCATCAGTCCCCCGGAGTCGATTCGACTCCAACGCATCTCTCATTGAACGCGCTCGTGCTGGATCGAATGCATCTTTCGTCGAGCCTTCGTCATTACCAGACAGCTGGAACCACCCATCTACCCCTCCGCTTCCAAACCCAGTAACAGCTAGGCGTGACCAGCAGGCAAACGGCATGCCAAGACCCGCGCGGTATCGAACGACAACGGTACCCGAGAGTACTGCAGCTGAAGATTTTGCCGAAGACCGCCCAAGGCTGCCCTCAAGGCCAGAGTTGCAAATGCGGCCCGGGCGAACTAGTCCACCCAAAGCGCGTTCAGGGCGGACCAGCCCGGTCAAGCAAATGTTCGAAAAGCACGCATTTGAGGGACCAAAACGAGCAGTGACTCTGGACGGGGCTCAAACTCCCCCACGCATCCCTGCCAGCAAGCAGATCCAGAAGTCAGCACTCAATCAAGGCTTCGATCGAGACCCAGCCAGCAGTGCTCCTGCACCCAAGCCCTCTGCTAGCGTGCCTCAACCTGCACCACCGGTGCCCGCGCCCAGGCGTTCAATGGACCATCGGAGGGAGATGCCAGCTCCGGCTACCATACCGGCGACTAAGCCTGCTGCAGCGCCTGCTCCCCTACGAGCTAATGGCCACTCCCACGATGACCAGGAAGATTACCAGCTCTCCGACTTCACTGGGTCTCAAGCCACTGCGCCAAGTGATTACCCAGACTCCTCCCAAGCAAGTCGTCGACCGCCGAAGTACAGAAAACGGCCATGGCAGATTCCGACGGAGTACGACACTCGGACGTTTGCCGTCTGCGGAGAGTACGTGTGCACAACAGGACACCGTACTAAAGTGTGGAGTCTGCGCACTGGCGAGCTACTAGTCGACATGGAACACCCAGACATTAAAGTCAGCTCACTGGTTTTCAAGCCGGCTGCATCGGCGGATGACGAGGGCAGTCGTATCTGGCTTGGTACCAGCGTTGGCGAGATCCATGAATTGGACGTTCCGTCGCAGGCGGTCGTGAAAACCAGAACAAACGCGCATACCCGCAAAGAAATCATCCGGATATTCCGATACGCTTCAGAGCTATGGACGCTGGATGACAGCGGTGATCTGAATGTCTGGAAGTCAGACCACACTGGTTCGCTGAGTCTTGACTCTCAATTCACGAGCTACCGCACAGTCAGAGGACACACTTATTCGATCGTGCTTGGCAAGCATTTGTGGCATGCGGCCGGGAAAGAGATACGTGTGTTCGCACCCAGCGCTAAGTCAGAGACAGAGTTCCAGGTTGTGTGGAACCCTCTCTCCCAGTTTGGCACTGGTGAGGTCCATTCTGGTGCAACACTCAGTGCAAAGCCAGATCTGGTATACTTTGGTCATCAAGATGGCAAGGTCAGCATCTATAACAGAAACGACTTCTCGTGCACCGCAGTGGTCAATGTAAGCATGTACAAGCTCAGCTCGATGGCTGGAGTTGGAGAGTACCTTTGGGCTGGCTTCAACACCGGTATGGCATATGTCTACGATACTTCGACCATTCCTTGGACAGTCAAGAAGGATTGGCGAGCGCATGAGAAACAGATCTGTGGTATTAGCGCAGACCGATCCGCCTTGTGGAAGCTGGATCGCTTGCAGGTTGTCAGCCTCGGCACGGACAACCTGCTGAAGATCTGGGACGGTATGCTGGAGGAGGACTGGTTGGAGGCTCGAATGCAGGACCACGACAGCGAATACTGCTCGTTCGACGATCTGACCGCCGCAGTGTTGACATGGAACGCTGGCGCCACGAAGCCGGGATACCTGCAACACAACAAAGAGGACAACAACTTCTTCCGGGAATACATCTCCTCTCGACAGATACCTGACATCTTTGTCTTTGGTTTCCAAGAGCTGGTGGATCTTGAAGACAAGAAGATGACAGCCAAGTCTTTCTTCAAGAGCAAGAAGAAAGATGCCAACGAGCAGGAGCACATGGGCCATCAATATCGCACATGGCGAGATCATCTTACGAGATGTTTAGACGAGTTCACGCCTAGCTCGCACACCTATGTGCTACTACACAGCGCCAGTTTGGTTGGACTCTTCACCTGCGTGTTTGTCAAGTCCAAACTTCGAAGCCGAGTCAAGCATGTCCATGCCTCGGAAGTCAAGCGAGGCATGGCAGGATATCACGGCAACAAAGGTGCTCTCATCGTCCGCATGGTCCTAGACGACAGCAGTATTTGCCTCATAAACTGCCATCTTGCCGCTGGCCAGACACAAACCATCCATCGCAATAACGATGTCGCGGCCATCCTGGAAGCAGAGACCTTACCCTCGTACCCGCTCAGCAACGACAGCGTAGCACAACACGCAGACGTCTTCACCTCGGGCGGCGACGGCAGCATGATTCTCGACCACGAAATTTGCATCCTAAACGGCGACCTCAACTACCGAATCGACACCATGGGCCGAGACACCGTCGTCAAGCACGTCCATCAAAACAGCCTCGGCCGCCTGCTCGAGCGCGATCAGCTCCTCCTCACCAAGAAGCGCAATCCCGGCTTCCGCCTTCGAGCCTTCCAAGAAAGCGAGATCCGCTTTGCACCGACGTATAAGTACAATCTCCAAAGCGACGACTACGACACTTCCGAGAAGCGCCGAGCGCCCGCCTGGTGCGACCGTATCTTATACCGCGGCATTGGCAAAGTCAAGATGGATGAGTACAAGCGCTGGACGCTGCGCGTGAGCGATCATCGACCTGTCAGTGGACTGCTGAGGATAAGGGTCAAGACGGCGGATGAGGCGAGGAGGGCGCAGGTGTGGGAGCTTTGCCAGCAGGAGTTCGAGGTGGTGCGGAAGCGGGTGGCGAGGAATGTGCAGTTGGAGCATTTGGTCGGTGTGTTGGGGTTGTCTGGGACGGAGGCTAAGGCGGCTTTGCGGTGATGAAGAGAGTATGAGATAGGGTGGTGTAAGATGAAGTATGCGGTAGACAGAGCAAAAACCAGACGTCCTCATATTGTTCTACAGATCCTCACATCTTCTTGTCTTCGATAAGGTCACGCACGATTTCTCGCTTCAGCTCTGGTACTGCCCTTCGTGTGGTCGTAGAACGCACCGAGCCGGAGATCATCTCGTCAGCCTTCATCCCTTCGCCGTCTGCAACTTTGCGATGGCGTCCTTGATCTTTCGGTCTTCAGTGCTCCGGTGGGCCTCATGCTCTTGTAGGAGTAAATTCCTCACTGCATTGTCACGGTTTGCGGTTCCGGACCTTCAACGCAGGCCGCAAGGTGTGAGTGTGATGAAAACTCGAAATCGATGCATTTGCTCATCTGGCTCACCGGAGACTCGCCGGCATAATGCAGCACACTCCTTGAGCTTTTCTGCGTTCGAGAGGCCTTCTGTGCTTGCAATAGTTGCAGTCAGCTAGCCTTTCGATGACGAAGTCTCCGCCATGGTCTTGATCAGATAAGCCTGCTGATATTAAGACAAAGTTTCCGTGGCCGAAACAAATTTATGTGGCAACGTCCTTGCTCGGATGCAGGTATGAGTAGTATTCGCGCAGTGGGCTCACCACATTCACGGCAAACTCCTCTCTCCACTTGTCGTCTTTCAGCAGCGCTGGCGATTGTTGCAACGTCCACTTGACGGCTTTGGCGTACTCCTCGCCAGCTTCACCTGTTGCATCGTCAATCCATTCACAGGCAACGGTCTGCCTGATGATGGGATCTGCTTTGAGCGCAGCATACGGTGAGTTCAGAAACATTGGATGCTCTTCGAGGCGGCGTCCGAAGCAGAGCTCAAGTAGAACTATCCCGAGGGTCGAGAAGGACCTGTCCTTCTGAGAAGTCAAGGTGTTGCTGTTAGACGGGTTAATGTTGGCCAGGATATACGGCTCGCCATGTAGTGTCAGGACGCTACCATTGCTCTCCGTGGGGAATAGCACGTCTTCAGACGTCCATGCGGACTTCAACCACGGCGTGGAATGCAGCTGTAAGTGAGACGAAGCAAGCGTGAGTGCAATGCCGTATCTTTGCACTCGGGTCAGCTTCAAGGCGGCACCTGGAGATAAGAGGTCTGCGAGCGACGTTCCTTGGGAGCAGCAGACCTTTTCTACTGCCGGGTATACTGCGTACTCATCGTCGCCCTCCGTGACGCGGCCTAAGCATTCTTGACCGTTCGCAGTGGATGTTGCGAAAGCGGCGCACAAGCCGTGGTTCTGGAGAAAAGGTGCAGTGGAGGGCGTAGTCGTTTGATGTGCTTGAGGCACGGTAACCGATGTTGCTTGTGCTGTCCGAGTTATTGTAGTGGTGTTCCGGCCTCTGCCAGACCTAATTGCCAGGACAGAGGAGTTCGCCAGTATCGAGACGGTCGGTAGCTGGCCCGCAGTAGTCGTACTGCTGGTTGGTCTTGAATGTCTCTGTGGAGCTGGAAGTTGCAACACGGGCGGTATATCGCTCAACTCAATCTTCACAGCTCTTCTGCCGTGGCAAAATGGAAGGACGATGCTCATGTGCACAAATCGTTTGGGATGTTGCTGGAGCCAGAGACTCGCACAAGACCGGCATGTGCAATGCCACGTATTCTTCAACAGCTTGAATATGTTATCTGCATGCCGCCAGAAATTCAACATTCTCTGATTGATGGCCGGCTTCTGCACTCGAGTCTGTTGCTTTGTGAGAGCAGACACACGATCCGAAGCTGCTAGCACATTCTGCAACTTGTTGTTCTGGCTCTCGAGCTCTTCTAGCAACTCTTCTCGTTTGGTCGGCGCAAAAGCATACTTCGCTCGCTTTGCCTGGAAGCAGACATAGTCGTTTGCTCGTAGGAGTAGCTGATCCTGAGCCTGTTGTGTCGGAGTCGACGCTGCTAGGGATTTCTGTTGCTGCCTCAATCGCTGCTGGAATTGGTCGTCATTGACGCGACAGGCTTCACAGAGTGCCGCCGTAGTCTCTTGCATTTCCTGCAGTATCTCGATGTATCGTTGGTGACAGTCGCCTAAGCGGTCCTCCAAGGCCGTATCTACATGCTCCACACCCCAGTCCGAACTACCTGGATTCGCGAGCAGTCGCTCGTACTCGATTCTATCCACTACATCGTCCCGAAGTAGTGGTATCAAGAGCTCCTTGAGATTCAGCCGAAACCAAAGTTCGCAGTCTTTGACCTTCCCCAAATCTTTCTTGTGGGCCCTTCGAATCTTCACAAAGGTACCTGCGACCTTCCTCGTCTGCTCGTGGTGTTCCAGAGCGGAGATGCATAAGGGCAGCGCTCCAAGGAGCACGCCTACAATCTCCACGCCACTCATGCTCGCTACTTGCGATCTGTGCTAAATTCCACCGCTCTTACATCGTCTCCAATCACCTGGACTCTGACCACGCGGTCGCAAGGACGTCCTCAAAAGCCGGCAGGATTGGGAGACGCGAACGAGACGAGGCGATCCCAAGCTCGCTGGAGCACGCTGAATCTTTCGACACTCGCACGACCCGTCGTGGAGGGTGTGCACGCCGTACAGATGGAGGGAAGGATTCTGCGTGACGATGTGGAAACAGGTAGGAAATGCTATGCTGCTGGAGAAGAGTCCGTAGCCTCGACCAACCTACTCCACCTCGCGCCTAGCTGAAAGGACCCTGCAGACGCCACAGCCTTGCGCTGGATCGGTCTGTTTGACACTTACCTTTGGAAGTGATACAAGAAACCTGAATAGGAGAAGTACCATTATTTTCAAGTGTTCTAGCCTAAGGAAGTGCATGAGATGAAGTCAAACCAAAGAGTGATGTGGGTCTGCCCTGAGCCGGCCGGAAGCAAGGTTGGGACCGACCATGGAGCAGGCTTCTCCAATACATGAAGCGGCTCAAAACTGCTTTATCAGCTTCGACACACTGCTTGAACAATTCCCGAAGGAGGAACTGTACCGTAACGCGGTAGAGGACAACCATATACGCTTCCGGATCTGGGCTGGCAACCTGGGTGCTGGGCAGCGGTTGCCATCACGAGCTTCCGCAGATTATCGGTTACGAGAAGCTCCAGAGGTAGCCCAGCGGATACTAGAAGTGCTCGAGGACATCTGCGAGACACACGATGAGCTTAAAGCCGCCGTGCTCGAAAACCACCCGGTTGTTGACGACGGCGAAGAGGACGGCTCGGAGGGAGATGTGATCCAGGATCTATGCCTTTCAGTAGGCGACAGCATCACCAGTCTGTTGAAGATATCAGCTCTGCTTAGGAAAGCCACCACTAGAGACCGCTACGCCATTGCAGCAGCTTCGAAGCACGATGTCCTGCCGTTGGAGTACGCTTCGTTTGACCGGACCCATGTCAACGAGAAGTTACCCAAGGTTACCCAGCAGCCATGGCTTTGGACACGTCTGGCAGAGGCTATCACGCAGCGGCGTAGATTCCTGAGATATGCCCAGCGTCACCACAGGCGGATTGCAGACCGTCGTCCACCAGAAGGAGCTTTACGTTTGGAACCGCAGCATCCAGCGCCTCGCATTTCATATCCTCATTCTCACGGTCACACTCTGGCTACCGCCGGTGTCTCCACTAAAGCATCTACGCTGCAGGCTGACAGAGTTGAAGCTATGGCCTTTATGAATCTGGATGACGACGAGCACGACAATATCTCGGTGGCCACAACCTTCATATCAACAGCCTCCGGCAAGGAGTCTACTCGATCTCAAGTGGTGAAGCTAGAGAGCTTGACAAAAGACCATGAGCCTTTTGAGTGTCCTTATTGCCGCGGCATGGTCCACTTCAAGAGTCAGAAGGCCTGGCGGTATGTTCTCTCTCAATCACTCCGCAGAAGTGGAGCGTTCTAGCACTGTGCCTTTCCTCCAAGACTTCTGATCTTGAATCTCGGGCTAATCGTGGTACAGAAAGCATGTCTTCCGCGACTTGAGAGCCTATGTATGTACCTCTCGTGACTGCGACTCTGGTCTTTTCGAAGACAAATCAGCCTGGTTTGATCATGAACTGGAATCGCACTGGCGAGTGTGGATATGCCTTGCTTGCTCCAGCAAGACCTCACACTCCAGATCTGAATTCGAAGCACATCTGCAGAAGGTCCATGGATACACAGATACCAGGGTCACTGCAAGTATCTCGAACGCCAGCTCTCGCCCTGTGGCTGAGATCATCTGCACAGCTTGTCCATGTTGTGACGACTGGCCCGAACAGCTCGGCATACCATCGGAGCAGCGGGACACCACAGCAGTATCTCTAAATATGTTCAGACAACATCTCGGCAGCCATCAGGAGCAGCTAGCCTTGTTTGCGATCACGTCGGACTTCGAGAAAGAAGTAGACTCTGATTCGAGTAGTGATGCTTCTGGGCTGTACAAGGAAGAGGTAAGTTTTGGCCGAAGTTCTGGTCTTCAAACAGAGGTTGAAGCCTCAATGTTGAGCAGCCCGTTAATATTTTACAGGCCCTTCTTGAGTGGCAAAACCACGTCAATCAGACGGATTGGGAGATCGAGGAGACAGAGTTCGAGTGTCCCGTGTGCCACGATATCGTCACGGGTCCGGCCGCCCCGTTGCCTTGTGGTGACACTATGTGTCGCAAGTGCTTCGCCCAGGTCACAGACCTTGCCGACGGGATTCGGAATCGCAGCGATATCAATCGCAGCGCGGAATGCCCGACCTGTGGCGCACCGATCGTCTCGCTCGGGAAGCAAGGTTACCATCTTGGGGCCAGCGACGAGATCAGCTGTATATGTGGGTACACGGACGAGGATGGAGGGTTGGTTGCGTGCAACTCGTGCAGCAGTTGGCAGCATCATGGGTGTTACTACCCGGGATATGAAGGCACAACGCTGCCAAATTTTCTCCAGTGGCAGCATTACTGTTTCGACTGCCGACCTCGAGACGGAGCCGACATTGACATTGGAGGAGCGCGTGACCGGCAAGCAAACAGGAGGAAGGCCGAGATCGCTGGTCAAGGAAGTCAAGAGCCAACTGTGACAAAGTCGCCTCCAGGTCCTTCGCTGAGAATGCCTAGCAATGCCAGGGAGCAGGCAGAACTCGAAGCCGAGGCCCAGACCGATCACGGCGATGTACAGATGGAAGACAGACATATCGGTGATCGCCTACAAAACATCATCGCAAATCAGACATTGGAGCAAGCGCACGATTCCCAAAGCGTAGATCCTTCGAAGAAAGATGGCAGTATTGCACCTCACAGGCCGTCGTTGATGACTGCAGTGGTGGACGAGGAAGAACAAGAAGAAGACACTGTCCTTCCACCTCACGCCCTCGAAAAGGAGCCACTCATGAATGACAATCCACTGATCACCGAGTATCTTCTTTCACGCAGCGTGGTCGTGACCCTGAAGGAAGCGCTGTTAGGAGCTGTCACGACTGGCGCTTCTGCCTCAAATGGTTCCGCGCCAAAAGAGCGGCTTCGAGGTGCATGGGAGCGGCTCGAAGCAGCTCGACAAGCTTGTGAGGATGCTGGCGTCGACGCAGATGGCCTTTGGGAAGCCGGCTATCGGGCTGCCTATACGTCTGGGGAATACCTCGAACCAGGACGAAGGATATCACGAAGCCCAGCTTTTGACCACGATCTGCCACCCGACCACATCAGAGTCCTCTCACGTGCGCTCTTCGTTGGCGGCGCTGGTGATACCCAACACCAACAAGAGATTCAAGACCTATTTGGAGGCTATGGTACGGTGCAGAAATGTATAGCGGACCGCGATAAGCGCCTGGCTTTCGTGAAGATGACCACACGTGAGCACGCCGTTAATGCCAAAGAAGACTTGCAGCGTCTCGTGATTATGGGTGTTGCTCGCAGAATCAAGTGGGGTATCGGTTTCGGTCCAAGGAACTACCACAACTATTACAAAGGCGAAAGTATCGTTCCAATCGTGGAGCTTACCGACGCTGACATCGAAAGGCTTATTTCCGCTGAGTATGGCGGCACAGGGGGCCAGCCAGTCAGAAGCGGCATGGTACTCGAGGAGCCCGACATGGTACCTGGAGGCTTCAGCAACGTGGTGTCTACGAGCGAGACCACGCCGGAGCAGCCCGACTTGCGCGAGCTGGACATTGCACGGTCTTCTTCTCTAGAGCGACAGGATCCAGCGGCCAGGACGACAGATGACTTGCTTCTTGCTGAATACTGCAAGAGACGCGATGAAGCCCTTGCGGCGCGAAGTCAACTTGATGAATGGTTATCACGTTGGACCAATCGACGAGTTCCTTTTCAATACTCGCGTTACAGCCAAAGGCATCTGGCGCTTGAGAAAGCATGTTACGATGCCGACTTGGCCGCTCGAGAAGCTTGGAAAGCATGCAGCAACGCAAATATCAGCGCTGCTTCTCTCCCCCAGGCAGCCTGGGGCTTCAATGTTTACAAATCGATTGATTGCAGCAGAGTCAGCTGTCCAAGGTGGTTCGCCAGCAAGGATACATTGGAGAATCACCTGTCTAATGTCCATGAAACCGACGAGAATGGAAACACACGGCTGGCCGAAGCATGTAAGGCCAACGATCTGGACGCTGTCCGCATGTGGATGGATCAAGACGCTGAGCAGCTCGAGATGGTAAACATGTTCGGTTGCGGCCCGCTGCACATTGCTGCATTGAATGGCTACCCGGCGATCGTCTCCTTCTTGCTGGACCTCGGATGCAATATTCACGTTGCGAACGACAACGGAGACACGCCTATGACCGATGCAATCGAAAACGGGCAGGGAGCGGTAGTGGAACTTATCCTTGATGCCGCTATCAATCCATTACGGCGGGCTGCAAGAGGTCAGCTTTCTGTCGATGTGGATTACGAGGGTCATGTTCACGCTCCAGTTATTCGTGCGGAGCTCAAGGCTGCTATCAACAGGTTGCACGACGCTGAAAGCGACGGACGCGACGACAGCAGTTTGCGCAGCGGACGCTTACACTTGCGTTGGACTGAGGCGAATGGCGTGAGATGATGGTTGATACTACTTGCGAAAGGGCGCAGTGATTGCACGATTTGTATGAAGGGAAGTACATAGCAGCGCTGTACTCGGGATCTACGGTCTACTTCTTCGCCTTCCCCCCCTTCTTCCCACCTCTCTTCATCGTCCGCAGCTCCGCGTTCCGCGCTATCCTCGCATTTCGCTTCCGCCACGCCGCGAATCTATCACCAGGCTTGAACGGCCGCACACTCCGCGCTGCTTTGCTCCGCTCTGCTGCCCGCCCAATCTCCCAGTTCGCCTGTCGCCATTGGTGACCTGGTCGCAGTGTCAAGGTCGTCTCAACCCATCTTCCGTCTCTTCGCGTGCGAATAGTCTTCGTTTGGCGCGCTTCTTGCGGTTGATCGCGGACGATGGTGGCTGGAATAGCTGCACCTGAGGACTGTTCGGCGGGTGAGGACGGCGTCAGATCTGTGAGATCGCCGGCAGTCTGTTCGGCAACGGTCGAAGGCATCTGGTATGCTAGCATCCCCAATTTCCGCCGGCGCACCGCGTTGTGTGGCTGAGGAAGGCTGTTGCCGCGCTCAAAGACTACTCCGATGAACTTGCGCTTGGGATGCTGGACGGGGTCGGTGTAGAATTTGACGTAGCCTGGGACTTGTGCGTGGATAGTGTGATCGCGACCCTATGGCCAAAGATTAGCATTAGATATATAACCTCGAACTGGGTGTCTTAACATACCATGAAACATCCATCCCCAGGAAACCACAGCGTGCCTCTCTGCTTGAACAAGATATTTCCAGGCACCACGTACTGCCCATCCGCCTTCTTCGCTCCTAATCGCTTGCCTGCAGTGTCTTTGGGGCCGTTTGCTCGTCCTTGCGCTTGATGGGAAGCATTCCGCCGTCCTGAAGGGGTACTTGGCTGGGTAGAGATGCGGAAGCTTGCCAGGGCCGACTCGAGTGCTGATAGCGCTGCAACAGACGGCACCTGGTGGGCGCGGTGGAGGCTGTGGAGCGCCATCGTCTGATGAACGTTGTGAGCTCGTAGTGTAATGGCTAGAAGAAGATATGAGTAGAGGTCGAGATGAGGTTGGTCGAGAGTTTAAGCTTGTCTTGGCACCTCCGTCTTGAAGGCCGCTGACATTCATATGCGCTCGATACTACATACAGCGCCAAACTACCAAGGCAAGTCGAACGGTTGAACTGATGTTGTGAACAAGTTTCCACGACAGGCTCTGGGGATAACGACATCTCTGGATCTCTCGAGCATAGCGGAATCAAGCAACGACCGGGCCTTGAGCCCACCGATTCACCAACACCATGGCCTCCGCGTTGTTCTTCCTCGACTTGAAGGGTAAGACCCTGCTGGCACGGAATTACCGAGGAGACATACCTATGAGCGCGGTCGAGAAGTTCCCCATCCTACTCAGCGAAGCAGAAGAAGAATCATCCTCCGTTCCACCATGTTTCTCCGACGAAGGCATCAACTACCTATACATTCGACACAACAACTTATACCTTCTGGCTCTGACGAAACGGAATAGCAATGCTGCGGAGATCTTGCTTTTCCTGCACAGGGTGGTGGAAGTGTTCACAGAGTACTTCAAGGAGCTGGAGGAGGAGAGTATCAGGGACAACTTCGTAGTGATCTACGAGTTACTGGATGAGATGATGGACTTTGGGTACCCGCAAACGACAGAGACGAAGATCTTGCAGGAATACATCACGCAGGAATCACATAAGCTGGAAGTCCAGGCACGGCCTCCGATTGCTGTCACCAATGCCGTATCATGGCGGTCAGAAGGGATACGATACAGGAAGAACGAGGTGTTCCTTGATGTGGTCGAATCGCTCAACCTCCTGGTGTCGTCCACTGGCAATGTGTTGCGGTCAGAGATTCTTGGCGCCATCAAGATGAAATGTTACCTTTCTGGTATGCCAGAGCTGAGGTTAGGACTGAACGACAAAGCAATGTTCGAGACTACGGGTAGAGCAACAAGAGGCAAGGCGGTGGAGATGGAGGATGTCAAATTCCATCAGTGCGTGCGACTGTCACGATTCGAGAACGACCGGACCATTTCTTTTATCCCTCCTGACGGCGAATTCGAGCTCATGTCCTACCGCTTGAATACGCAAGTCAAGCCTCTCATCTGGGTCGAGTGCATTGTGGAGTCACATAGCGGAAGCAGAGTCGAGTATATGCTCAAGGCCAAATCGCAATTCAAGCGGAGGTCAACCGCGAACAACGTGGAGATCAACATTCCTGTCCCTGACGATGCGGATACCCCACGATTCAGAACGAACATCGGTAGCGTGCATTACGCGCCAGAGACCAGCAGCATCGTCTGGAAGATCAAGCAATTCGGTGGCAACAAAGAGTTCCTGATGCGAGCGGAACTGGGTTTGCCGAGTGTGAGAGGAGACGAGGAGAGGGGTGGTGGTATGATGGGTGAGTTGTGTACCCTCCTGCGGAGAAGCCTGTGCTCTGCAATATTAGAACTTCGGTTCACTAACGCAATTCTTATAGGCGGCTTCGGTGGCTCGATGGGCGGTGTTGGCGGTTCTGGCAAAGCGAAACGACCCATTGGCGTCAAGTTCGAGATCCCGTACTTCACAACTTCAGGTATTCAGGTGCGGTATCTGAAGATCATAGAGCCCAAGGTACGCATGCCCGAACCACCAATGACTTCCTGGTGCTGACTGTTGTCCCTTAGCTGCAATATTCATCACTACCATGGGTGCGGTACATCACACAGAGCGGCGATATTGCTGTACGATTGCCGGATATTCAGGGCTTGACGGGCTAGCGATGAAACTTCAAGACACGGATTTGAGCGTTCATTGCACGATAGCCATGACTACATACTGTCATGTTGAATTTGGCGGGCATAAGAGAGCATGTCAGGACACACCTTCCACCATTTCGGACTGCTGAGTTGGCTGGCATCGGCCCCGAGCCTTGTGTACACGCAAGCTCCGTTTCCATGCAGTGCAACAAGCAATGACGGTTCTTGAAGCTGCAAAGAATGGGTGATCATGTCTAAGCTAGGCAGTTGCTAATTCTTCAGCTGAGCTCACAACAGTGTGCTATCTTCAACGCCGAAGTCGGCTGCATCCGATTGCTCACTGGAACTTCACCTCGATCTCTGCCAAGTTCCTTGGTCCTTTCTCTCTTTTACATTGTTAGAACCTAGTAAACATGTCCAAGCTGTTGTATCCTATACAATGGTTTTATCGTGAATTCGGCGTTGCCGCCATCCATGAGACTGGACGAGATGCCTACCTCATCATATCAGCGAGAGCTTGTCGGATGGTTGCACATGGAGCTATTGCTGTTATACTTGGTATGTCACTCTCGCCGTATATAATAGAACCGTCGCTGATGAAAATGAAAAGCCTTGTTCTGCTCTGCAATCGACTTCACGGACTACCAGATCGGCCTGTTTATGACTCTGACGCTGCTGGGGGATGTCTTCCTGGGAGGTTTCCTTACCCTCATAGCCGACCGCACCGGACGACGACTTGTCCTCGTCGGCGGCTCCTTTCTCATGGTCATGAGCGGCGTCCTTTTCGCATTGTTCAACAACTTCTGGATCCTGTTGTTCGGCGCCATCTTCGGCGTCATCAGCGCTACTGGAGGCGACTTTGGGCCTTTTAGATCAATCGAGGAGTCCATGCTATCTCAGCTTACAATACCGCATACGAGACCGAGCGTGCTGTCCTGGTATGTCACTTGCTCGTCGATCGGTGTTGCGCTGGGCAGCGAGGGCGCTGGCAGGTTGATCAGTTACCTCCAAGCGCGAGATGGCTGGACTCTAGCAGATGCGTATCATACTCTGTTCTGGGGCTACGTGGCTATGGGTCTGGTCAATGTGGGCTTGACGATGCTGTTGACCGATGCCTGCGAGCTGCCTCGTGAGACGGACGTATACGCCGAGGTGCCGCAGGACGAGGATGATGACGAGCCTGAGCATGCGTCTCGACCCAACGTCAAAGCAGACTTTGATCTTCCGAAGCGCAGATGGTACAATCGTCTTTCTGGCCGGCTGTCGCAGATCTCTGCGCCAACACGGAAGGTCATGTACAAACTGTGGATACTGCTCGCACTGGATTCAGTCGCAGACGGCATGGTGCCGTGGTCCCTGACCAATTACTATGTTGACGAACGCTTCCACCCCAAAAAGTCCTCTCTAGGCGACATCACATCTGCAGCATTCGTCCTCGCAGCTGTCTCTACCGTCTTCGCCGGACCACTGGCCCAGAAAATCGGCCTGATCAACACAATGGTGTTCACGCATGTGCCTTCCTCCGCAGCTGTTCTAATCTTCCCACTGGCGCCAAATCTGGCTTTTGCAATAATACTGCTGTTCGTCCGAACCGGCCTCAACAACATGGACCAAGCGCCCAGATCTGCCTTCATCGCTGGTGTCGTCAAGCCCGAGGAGAGGACAGCGGTGATGGGCATTACGAGCATGATTCGGACGGTTGCGGCGATGGCTGGCCCGACATTGACTGGAATTTTGGCTGGTAATGATCAATTCTGGATTGCTTTCGTTGCAGCCGGTGTGTGTCGGCTGGTCTACGATTTCGGACTGTACGTGCTGTTCATTAACGTGAAGTTGCATCAGCATGAGACCGGGCCAGCTGGCAGCGGAACAATCGCTGTTCCACCGCGACTGAGTGACGAAGAGATGACCGAGCTTGACGATATAGGCCACAAAAAGGGTATGGACACTGCCACAACCAGGTCAGAAACTCCGGACACCTTGTCAAGGCTGAGCGTGAGCGACGAGGGGAGATTGGCACCGCACACGACTTCAGCAGTGCGAAGAAGATCCCCGTCACCATTGGGCAAGTACGTTAGCATTGCTTAGATGACTGTGCTTCGAACAGGAACTTGTTGCTACTTCTCTAAGCTCAATAGCAATACCTAAAAAGCGGACTTTTATCGCCCATCTTCTCCAGCTGCGCTTCACCATACTTCTCCTTCGCCTCTTCCTCCGTCACCTGCGCGTACCGCGTATTGTGGCTCCGGTACGAAAACTCTAGTAAGATCGCTGCCACCATGCCAGCAGCAGCAAAGCTGAGCGAACTGTCGAAACCAGTGGGATACTTCGGCGCTTCTCGATCCAGGAAAATGAAAGACCCTGGAAGACCGCCGCAGTTCCCGACTGCGATCATGAAGGCGATGCCCATGGCTCGTTTCTCGGCACCGGCGAAGTTGTTGATTGTCCATGCATTGCGACCTGTAAGGAAGGATTGGGTAGGTGCCGGTACAAGCCACAAATCGCGCAACGTAATACAACGCCACGTTGTCTGCGATGTCTGCCGCTCGCGGGAAGAGGATCGAGTAGGCGACGATGAGAAGCGATTGGGCGCCGGTCGTGAACGGCATTCGCCAGGTTACCTCATCTGCGAAGTACATTGAGATGAATCATAATGGTAGCTTGGGTGTAGCCCGATGGTTCTAGCTGGTGATGCCAATGAACGCAAGGGTCTGTATCCTGCTGGGAAGGTGTGACGGCTACCGCATCGCCTCCCGTAGCATCGGAGCGACTTGCTTCCTGCTCGCAGCAAGATTCTTCTGTTCCCACAGCTGCAACCAGAGCGCTTCGCTATCTTCGGATTTTGTGGTGCTATGATCAAGTTGCAGCTTCTGTTCAAACTGATCAGCGAACTTCTTAGTCAGGTCGATAGCTCGGCCTTCCTTCACGGCAAGAAGTAGCAGTTGTCTCTGGAACGAGGCGCCATCATTGTGCGCCGTCATGACCGCAAATATGTCTAGGTCATGCTCTTTAGCGAATTTGATTAGCCCCGGTACAAGATTCTCCTGCTTGCTCTCGAGGTACTCAATGCTTCGCACGCAAGAGCTGATGCCGAGCCTGAGGTCGCCTTCGGTCCATTGCTTATAGTCCTTCCCCAGGATATCTTGCAAGCTGAGTTCGTCCAGATTGGACTTTGCATTGTTGATCTCTTGGTAGAAGGTGTTGCGGTCATAGGTCTTGCTCGTTTGAGGCGAGACATTGATCTTAGCTTCCAGGTATTTGACAGCTTTTTTGTCGTGCTCAGTGACCTTGTTGCTATCACCAAGGTTGATGGTATCAATCAAGATAGAGCCAAGAGCCAGCTTCGCCACATGAGCATCCCATGTGACGGTGTAGGCGGAATCATCTATCGCGCCGTCACCTTGACCGAGAGCAGCGCCACTCGTTGATGCTCCCGAAGAAACGTGCTCCCAAGTTTCCCGGCAGTAGTTAGCGACATGGCTGCTGCAGCTGCCGGTTTTCTCGATGATTCGTGGCTGGGCGTCTTCTGGGACCTTGCCTTCATCTTCGTGGTGATCAATCACGCCAGTCACGCTGGCGGAGAAGTGCTCGCCGAGTGCATCTTGCAGAACATTGTGGTCTACCAGCGTCCATGATGTCGTAGAGGGAGGCAGCACGTCCTGGATCTTGCCAAGGTCGTCCAAAGTGACAAGATCCGAGGGCTTGAGGTTGGCATGCTTGAGCAATGCAGTGAGCTCCGGTCGTAGTCGGAGCTCGCTTGCCGGGATGTTGGTGACCGGAATAATGTACTTGCCTGCTTTTCGAGCTGCAGGGGTGTTGGAATGAACGTAGCCGTATACGATGGCACAAGTGATGGAGTCCAAGTCCGCTGATTCGTTGCCGATCACGAAGGCCGCCGGAGTGTCGCCTTTGCTCCTGAGGGATTGCGCAAGGGAGGACTTTGCCTTGGACAGGAATGCTGCCACGGACATGCGAGACATTGTCGGTGGCTCGTTGGGATGAAAGCTTCATCTCATTTTGGCCGCTCATATCTCCTTGAAGCTAACGCATGCACCCCGGATTTCGCTTATTAATCTCAAACATATTTAGAGCACAAGCACCTGCAAGGCTGCGGGCAGCATGTCAATTCACACAGGCAAGCTTGCTAGTGAGACATAGCAAACGTCTGGCATAACACTACTTCAACACGCGAACAGCAACATCAGATCTCCAGAACTCTCTGGACTTCACTCGTCATGGAATCAGCCGCCAAAGGCAAGCAGGCGTTGGCGAACCAAAAGTACCAGGAAGCAGTCGAGCTCTACACTCTCGCACTCAAACAGTCGCCAACCTCACCCGACTACCTCATCCACCGAGCAACCGCCTACCAACGCTCTCAAGACTATGCATCAGCCCTCAGCGACGCAGAGAAGGCGGTCGTCTGTGCGCAGAAGCGTGCGAAACGTGAGTTGATCGTCGAAGCACAATTCCGCAGAGGATGTGCGCTTCATTGTCTGGAGAGATATGGCGATGCGGCATTTGTGTTTGGCGTGGTCAAGAGGATGGACGAGAAGCACAAGATGGTGGCAACGTGGATCGGTAGGAACGAGATGTCGTTGAAGAAACTGGAGGATGGGGATGCTAGGAAGCAGTGCACGGTGAAGGAGACGCCGGAGGTGTCAGGAGATGTTCTGGAGGAGGTCGCAAATGCTCCGACGTCCACCTCAACTTCACAGCCTGCCGCACCGCAGCAGACGCCAGCTGACAAGATTCGACATGAGTGGTATCAAAACTCGGAGAATGTATACTTCACACTCCTGGCCAAGGGCGTGCCGAAGGACAAGGCACAAATCGACATCCAGGAGCGCTCGATCAGCATCTCCTTCCCACTCGTGACAGGCTCATCCTACGACTTTACGCTCGATCCACTCTTCGCCCCAGTCATCCCAGCGAAATGCATACCTCGCGTACTACCAAGCAAAATCGAACTCGTCCTCCAAAAGGCCAATTCAGGCCAGAAGTGGAGCGCTATCGAAAGCAGCGAGCCAGCAACCACCACAACCACCTCCAGCACTGACACCACGAACGACGCAATGAAACAAGCCGTCCTAGGCAACACCACCACCAGCCCTCCCTCTTCTGGCCCCGCTTATCCTACCTCCTCCAAATCCGGCCCGAAGAACTGGGACAAAGTCGTCGAGGACGCCCGCCGCGCCGACAGCAAAGGTGACCACTCTCTTGGGGATGATGACGAATACGAAGGCGGCGACGAGTCCAACTTCTTTTTCAAGAAGCTCTACAAGGACGCGGACGACGACACGAAGAAGGCGATGATGAAGTCGTACACTGAGAGCAACGGGACGGCACTTAGCACGAACTGGGAGGAGGTGAAGAAGGGCAAGGTAGAGACTTCGCCGCCGGATGGGATGGAGGCGAAGTCTTACTCGTGAGGGCTGTTATTGTGAAGGTCGTGGGGTGAGAGAGGCGTTCAGGAATGATTGATGATTTTAATGGATGAAATTGGGGATGATGCATGAATTAGCAAGGTGTCTTGGCGTTCGAGATGGAATTTGCTGAGGTCTACCAGCTGCGAACGGGTCACGAGATAGCTTTTGCAGAGTGCGCCTAATCAAGCTTGATCATCACACTCTTCGCCTCCAAGTACTCGTCAAGCGAATACCCGAAGCCCTCCCTGCCTTGGCCAGAGCCTTTGTAGCCGCCGAACGGCATGTCGGTCGCGAAGAATGGCGACGTGCAATTCACGCCCTGGGACGATATTAGCACACTTCTCCAAAAACCTCTTGCTGACTCTGGGGCAGTAACTCACCACCTGCCCCGACTCAAACCCCTTTGCAACCCTCATCGCCCGGCTAATGTCCTTCGTATACACCGAAGCATACAGCCCCATCTCCGTATCATTTGCCAACGCAATCGCCTCCTCCTCCGTCTTGAACGTGTTAATATTCACATACGGTCCAAACACCTCCTCCTTCTGCGTGCGCTCATCCTCCGGCACATCAGTATACACAGTCGGCTCAATGAAATACCCCTGCCCATCGACATGCGTGGCATTCCCGCCCAGAGCCAACTTTCCCTTGCCCTGTTTAGCACTCTCCAAGAACCCCTTGATCCGCTCAAACTGCTGCTCGTCCGCCTGCGGCCCCTGCTGCGTCTCGGGCAACAACGGATCACCCTTCTTCGCCGCCTTCATATTCGCGATGTAAGCATCCTTGAACTTCTCCGCGATGCTCTCTTGGACGTAAACGCGGCTGGTAGCGATGCACACCTGACCTGCAATTATCGATATAGACATCGCCAAGTCGCCGGCAGACTTCGCGATGTCAGCGTCTTCGAAGACGAGGGAGGGGGACTTTCCTCCGAGCTCGAGGACGACTTTCTTCAGGTTGCTGCTGGCGGCTGCGGCTTGGATTTTGCGGCCCGTGAAGCCGCTGCCGGTGAAGTTGATGAGGCGGATGTCCATGTGGGAGGACAGAGTGGAGCCCGAAGGGGTGCCGTGGCCGGAGATCACGTTGAGGACGCCTGGGGGGAAGCCGGCTTGATGGGCGAGGGCGGCGAGTTTGGCTGGCTGGGATGCGGGTCAGTAGAGGTACGAAGAGGCGGTTCTAGATGAGGCGTACTGTAAGCGGAGCCTTTTCGCTGCTCTTGAGAACGACGGTGCAGCCTGCTGCGAGGGCTGGTGCGACTTTGTGGGAGAACATCATGGTGGGGACGTTCCAGGGAATGATGGCAGCCTGTGAACATAACCCCGCCATGGTCAGCCAAGAGTCGAAAGTTATTGTATGGTGATACGTACAATCGGCCCAATAGGCTGCCGAAAGGTCATGTTCACATAACCGGGCGTGTTCAAACTCGTCTGGCCTCTCGCATCATACCCAGCCTGCGCAAAATGCTCGAACCAGCTAGCCGCCAAGTACGGGTCGAAGTACGTCGAGACCGGCCTGCCCATAGACATGGCATCCAGCTGCGCCAGCTCATCCGCGGCTTCGAGGATAAGAGCTGCAAACTTCTTCATGTAGCTACCACGAGCGGGTGGGTCCAGAGCAGCCCATGCCGGGAAAGCGGCCTTTGCTGCGGCGACGGCGCGGTTGGTGTCTTCGACCGTGGCCTCGCAGACATCGGTGATCTTCTCATGGTTGTAGGGCGAGTTGAGCTTGAAGGTGCCTTTGCCGGAGGACTCGCAGAGCTCGCCGTTGATGAGGTGGCGGCGCTCGATCTTCTCGGTGGGTATGGGAAAAGGCATTTTGGCGTTTGTTTGGAGGAAACGTAGAGATGGTTGTGCGTAATAAGGAACTGGAGTGCGAGGAAGAGTGTGATGCTCCTACATATAGGAAGACAGACAGACGCTGCTACGCCTTCAGCTGAGGCTCAGATGGGGGAGGTCCCATCATGCCGAAATGCCTCATCCTCCGGGAGGTGAACGTGAGGGCTCCGGTTCTGAGACACCGCCGTACCCTCAGCATGACAGCTTCTCGTATTGCTACCCAGATCTAGTCAACAAACCGCAGGCAACGTAGACACCTGTCCATGAGAAACAAGCCAGAGCCAAGATGCTACGGACGAGAGATTTTCGTTTGACTGTGTCTTGGTGAGGATGAACTGTAAGAGCAAGGTACAGTCAGCCTCAAGTCCCATTCTTCAACAGCTGAGGTCAGAATATGGCTTGGCAAGAGCCAAATCAGGCTAGCCCACGACCAGCATTCACTTCCAAAACATTCAGATGCAACACCATCGCAACCTGTCCGTGCCTTTCGACTTTGTCCACCGGCCCCGAAGGCGTGCTGTAGCCTGTAACCAAAGTGGCAATACGGACAGATGACATCCCGACAAGCGACCCCCACCACATGAGAAGACCTCCAATGGCGAATGCCTCCCCCGCCCCAGCAGCTATGGAACGCCCTCATCCGCACCCACCACATCACCTCCCGTAAGAAAATCGCCAAGCTCAAGCAAGCCGCCACCTCGTACGCAGTCGCCGTCTTACTGCACAGCGGGAGTCCACCTGGGATCATGTACGTTGAAGGCTCGAAGACTGGGGTGGAGGAGTGGGTTGGTAATGTGAATGTATGTAAGCTCGTAAATTCTTTGGGTAGGTGGCAGAGCTGACGAAGAAGTAGAGGTTGAGGTATAAGGATTACCAATTGGCGGCGAGACCGGCGGTGGTGGAACGGGAGGGTGGGGTTGGGGATGTGGATGCGGTGGGTTCGGGGGTGGAGGAGACGGAGTCTGTGAAGGAGTTTGGGGCGCGGATGCAGCGGAGGGGTGTGTTTGGGTGGTGGCGCAGGGCTATGGGGTATGCCGGTGACGATCAACGATTGTGAGGACGACCTGGGTCGTTGACAGCTCGCGGGCGTGTGCACTACGACAATGAGTTCGGGTTGAAGGTCGTGGTGCGCGCGGAGAGATAGTAGTCGCTGCGAACGCATTACACTATAGAGATACAGCTCATAAATCTCAGATGCCTAGACCTTCTCCTTGCTCCAGCATGTAGTTCCTACTCTCTTTGTCATCCCATGGGTATCAAAACCTGCCGCCCTATCTCACTCGCTCGTCTCCAAGCCCATAGCGCGTTAGACAAGCATCTCTCTCCATTGCAAACTTTCTCCATGAAACTCAACAACTACCGCCACAGATCATGCCGACTCCCCCTTCGGTCGTGCCCACTCCCAGCCAAACTCGGCGGCGGCCTCAACGAACTGCCGTTGCTGCCCTGACTAGCCATACTACCCCACCTCCCACCATCGCCTCCCGAACTCATTGGTCGCGGTGCCTCTTCCTGCGGGATAGCAAGGAAGCCGCCGAAGCCATTGCCCACAATGACACTCTTCCTCGCTTCGCCTCCAAACCCGCCTTGAGCCCACTGCGGTCCTAGCCCACGTGCAGCGGAGTAGGCACTCAGCGGTCGCGAGCTAGAGACAGAGTGGTTGCGGGAACGTTGATGCCCGGCGGCAGGCGGGGCGATGGACGTCACGACCCATTCGAGCTCGTCAATGCCTTTGCTGAAGACCTCAAGCTTTTGGGTGAAGCCGCCACCATTGAGGTTGGGGTTCTTGTTGCCATTGCTGTTAGACGAGTGCGCGGAGACAGACATGTTGGACATTTTGCTCTTCAGTGAGCCGGTCTCGGGCGTGCCATTGCCGGGGGTGAGGTGGGAGCTGTTGGCGTAGGGGCGGGGCATAGAGGGCATTGGCGGTGCTGCCTCGGGCATCAGGAGGAGGTCTGGGAAGGTCTGATCGCGGACGAAAAGCGTTTCGAGAGCTGGAAGCGCGTTTTGGTGGAGAGAGTGGGCGAGGTAGGCGTAGTAGCTCTCTGCAGGCTTTTGGAGGCCGTGCGAGTCTACGGATGAGCTGATCTCGAAGTGGAGGGTCTTCAAGCTTATGCTCGTAAGTGGTGGGACGTCGTGCGCGGATAAAGCGAGAGATTTGGTGACGGTTTCGCTGATGCTGAGATGGAGAAGTGAGCCGGCGGACCAGAGCACCGGTGGAAGCTCCTGCACGGTGGCGCCAGTTCGGTCGAGAGTGAGTGAGATGAGCTCTGAGCGGTTCACCGGCGTTTCAAGATATGCCTTAAGCCCTTTGGCGGTGACATTGGGCATGTCTGTGAGCTTAAGGGACTGGAGAGGTGGGAAGTCTGGAAGCTGTCCTGGCGAAATTTGAAAGATGGAGTCGTCCATCCAGCCCATATCAGACAGTGTGAGTTCGTGCAAGGTTGGTAGACTTGCGAGCACGATCCTTAGAGTTGCTGGCTCGATCGCGAGACTACTAAGCTCCAAGATCTCAATGCTCTGCCAGTGGCGATGTGCAAGCAATTCCAGCGCTTCTTCAGATCCAGCGCGGTATGTCATCTTTCTGATGTCCGGACATCTTGCCTGGAGCTCCTGTCGCAGAGGTAGACAGCTTGGGTCGCCGCTGAAGAAGCCATCCGGGAGATCCACGTACTGGAGATTGTTCAAGGCGCTCACAGCTCGTGCAAGGTCGCCCTTGGCGGTCTCGCGGGTCATATAAGGCAGCTTGAGAAGCTCAACAAGTCCAGCAAGCTCCGGCCGTAATCTCACGGTCCTTGCGAGAAGCTGTAGCCGTATGTTCGGGACATCGACTGGTTCGACCGTTGTGCTTTTCTGTCGCCAATGTTTGCCTGCCTTCTTCCTCTTCTCCGCCAATTCGTCTTCCAACGAGCAATAGTGCACAGCATCGATTCGAACGCTAGTGTACAACAGCTTCTGCGCAAAGCCATACCACTTCCTGCACACCTGCGCGCATGTTGCCAGGTCTCGTAGATCACACAGCATACAGCCGTCTCCGATTTGAGATTCTTCCGACGGTTGATATGATTGATCTGTCGCATGCGGACAGACGAACGTGAGGATATTCTTCATCACCTCCTCTGGTAGGCGGGCTGTGTGATCGCGACCAAAGCGCGCTGGTGTGGATGGTACTGGCGGGTAGTTCGCATAGTCCAGTAACTGCGGGCCATTGGAGTCCTTGAGCCTAGACTTGCTCCGGAAATGCTTGAGGAGGCCCATGGTCGGTTCGTCTGGCGGAGTTGTGTTGAGGAGTAGGTTGCTGTGAGAAAGGTAAACTACGATTACTGGAATGCGGCGTGCTTATGAAGGCGCACGGGGTGACACTGCGCTTGCCTTCACCAGCCTGACAATAACGAACAAGGCAAGTGGAAGTTGATATATGGAATCAATGTCTTCCTGCGGGACATGCTAGTAGTTGAGGGATGCGAGAATATCCTTCGCCCTGACCGCCGACCTCAAGCCTGACGATGATCTGGTCCTTGAGCAAACACTCCGCGATGATTCGCGTGCCCCTCCGCCCAGCCCTACCCCTGTCGTAGTCGCAGCCGCCCCCATGTTTCAAGATTGGGTATATTTAGACTCTAACCATGGCGAAATCCTATCTCCGCCTCAGGGACTCTCGTCTGGAGGAACATCTCGTCCGTTGTAGGACCATGGCGACATGTTGGTCCTCGGGACCGACACAAGAGGCACGGAGTGGGCGTAGAAAGGCCTTTGGGATTTTACAACCACCAAGTATTGATATTGACGAAGTCGAGCTGGAATACCACGGTGGTCTACAGTATGGCCTCACACGAGCCTCCAGGACAGGAGAGCGAGCCATCAGTCAAGCACCGCCAAGGGCATTGAGACTACAAGAGAGGATTTCATGATGATCATTCCCCGTGCCAGCCTCTTGCCAGTGCATGGTGGCAACTCTTGGGAGTCTTGGACATGGCAATACGGCAAGAATCGCAACAAAGGTAAAATAATGGTCTGGAAGGTGGTGTAGAGTGGCATTGCCTAGCATACAGGCTTCAATGCGTTGTCTCGTGCTAACTGTCACTGTCTCTACTACGACATGCAAGAGTGATCCAGCATTTCTTTTGTTGCCTACCATCTATGTGCTATAAAGATTTGTCTTCCCGCTCACTCAGCTTGATGTGGCAGTCCTGCCTGCTTTTTACAACAGTACTACCTACTATAAAGGCAATTCGCCTTTCCGCGATATGGCTAAGGCATCAACAATCCCGAATACGGCCGCTGGTCCTGAAACTGAGCAACAATCGCCGCTCCTCAACCTCCCTCCGGAACTGCGCAACGTCGTCTACGAGTACGTTTTCCATGGTAATGGTCCAGCCAACTTCGACGCAGCGACAGTGGTAGCGCACAAGCAGCTCTTGAATACTTGGACGGAGATCCGGAACGAAGCATCTACCATCCTCTATGGCAAGCACAGCTTCACCATCGACGCAGACCAGCCCATGCAAGCCCTGAGAACTTTCTGCCAGCTCAACTATCTTGGTCCTCTCTCGAACCATGAGTGTCTCATCGTCCGGTTCGAGATCGATCTGACTGGTTTGGAAGGTCTTACTGCCAGACAGGTTGCCGCCGCCCTGTATCACAGGTGCAGAGCTCTTTTCAAAGGAATTTCTGATTTAGCGTTGCTGTTATGCGGCCAAAGAGTGCGTGCAGAAGCTGTGGCCTCGGAGCAGGTGCTCACCGGTCCATCTGCACCTGGCGCCAAAAGACTTCTCAATCGTATTGTGAATGGGTTTTACAGGAGGTTGCGCAGCTATCAAGTTGGAAGGCGTAAGCAGGGGAGTGTGATTCGACAAAGCCAAGCCCTCCCCACGCATGTGCAACCATTAGAGAAGCAAAAGGCTCTGTTGTTTGAGAGACGCAAGCGGCAGGAAGCAGGTCATGTCGTGTGCCATTGAGCATTGGAGCCATGGCAGGGCACATCAGAAAGGGATCTCATGTCGCGCGAGAAGTAAGCACTTTTTATTTCATGCACGTGGCACATTGCTCCAGCTCTCGGTGAATGTCAAATTCACCCCTGAGTTCTGAACGTTTTCACATGCTCACAGATTTCCGAAACCTTCCGTTCACCAGTTCACACTATTTCTCAATCTTCAGTCTCTTCGGCCCAGGTGACACGATTTCTCAATCTTCAACCTCCCCGGACACGCACACTCGCCACAGCAGATGTAGGAGAGTATCCAGACCGTTTACTTCCTGAGCCAACCATCTCGGCCTGGAGACCCAGGCTGCTCCCATGGCGGATTCTCAGATGGCCACTATCCCAAAATTCACCATGCCAGAGACGACTGCGCCAACAATCATCATTCCAGCGGCCAGCGCGCCGACTGCCACCACCCCGACCGCACCTCATCAGATGGCCACCGCTCCGCCAACGTCAAATACCACGACTACCACGTCGACTGACGCCACCACTTCGCCCAACCAGCAAATGTCACCACTCCTGAGGCTTCCTGCCGAGCTACGTAATGCCGTCTACCGCTTCTCCTTGATCTCGGACGACCCAATCCAACTCAAAGTCAACACAATCAAGACGCCTAAGGCCCTCCTCAAGACCTGCACACAGATCCGCAACGAAGCAACGACCCTCTACTGGGCCGAGAACATCTTCTCCATCGACCTCGACGGATTGAAGCAAGCGCATCGAACGCTGAAAGGTGCAGGGTATGCAAGAATCCAAAGTATTTCGCGCATTCTTGTCTGCTTCGATTTCTGCCGCCCAGAGTGGAAGCAGATGGCAGACGGAGAAGTTCGGGAAGAAATGTATAGCAGGCGCTGCAAGCTCAACCACAAGATCAATCTCCTGGAGGGGCTCTTGCACAGGCATGGCATCTGCGCTCGCATCGTGGAACTACCGCAGTTCGAATCTGGCGGAGCACAATGCGATTGTGTTTATGACGCTTTTCTCTGCGTTTGCTATCATGCAAACCTACTGAACAGGGCTCAAGCGCTCCTGAACAGGCTGACTCGTGGAAACTCGAGGTGACAATGGGCAATGGTACGGATACGGGATCTTCAGTCTGTCTTCAAGGGCGCTGGCTCCGCCTTCTGGATTTGGACAGTGCTTTCTCTGGAAAGGAGTCGGGAGTCCGCCTGCCGCTGCAAGTACACAGCCGACCTCTCCTTGATATCTTGGTGTTTCAGCAGTATGGAGGACTTGTTGATCGTGAAAAAGGTAGTGTCACAGGAGGTGCAAAACCGTGGGAGTTGTCGTTGCAGACCCGGGAAATGAGCCGCGGAGAGAGCGCTATCGGGTCCGCAGACGTCCAGGACAGGGTTGTGAGGTAGGTATGAGCAGGCAATGGACTTTCACAGTTGATTTACTCCTGATGAATACTCGCGACGAGAGCATCGCTTTCGGTGAGTCCACATGCCTTGATGTTCAACGGCGGAAATTGTTCATGTGATGATAACGTCATTCAATAGCCGTGCGCCAAACGCTCATTCAGTCAAGTCCGCTTCACCACAGCTTCATAACCTGCCGCCACTTTCACCTCAACACGTGCACGCAGGAACATAACAGGTGAGACACCACTGGCTCGCCAGACCTCTTAGGATAGGGATACTAATGCTTCAGCAGCACCACGAGCGCATCTGGCTGAGCGCGCTCTCGGTGGACACGGCCGCAAATCAGCAGCAGCCGCCCATCACGCCGGACACGACGACTACCACGCATTACACCGCAGCAAAGCTCATCCAAGAGAGTGAGCAACATCCCACTGCAGTGATCGAGTCGGTGGCTCAGCAAGGCCTTTCCATGGACGACAACAACGCATCATCACCACTCCTCGAGCTTCCATCTGAAATCCGCAACATCATCTACCGCTACGCTCTGCTCTCGGAAGGACCGGTCGAGCTATGGGCAAGGGAGTTCTTTCTCACAAAGCTCTCCTCAACACATGCTCCAGCATCCGCCGCGACGCGACCGCGATCTGGTGGACAGAGAACAGCTTCCTCATACGAGGGTTGAGCGCAAAGGACACCGAGGAAGCCATCTCGATTCTCTGGTCTACCGGCCCTCTACTTTGTCACAGCATCAGTCGTCTGGAGATCCAGTGGCGACCGCTTCCAGCCCCCCGCTTCTTCATGGGATTGCGAGAGAACACCTCGTTCGACCACGCGGAGAATCTGGCGGTCAAGTTGGCGAATTGTGGGAGACGACGGCACCCGATCGTGTCCCAGATCCAGCCGGGTTGGTGTCACGAGGTCGGGGCCCGAGTCGTGATACGACAATTCGAACATAGGTTTCGCATCGTTTGTGGATACTGGTCATGACTGCAAACCATGTCGCAAACACGAGCATGAGCCGGTCGAGGTGTATGCCAGATCAGCTGACTGCTATGATGGAGGTTTTGTCAAGATGAGGGGGGCAAATGCTCAGAAGGGGTGCCCTCTGTCAATGGCCAAGGACAGATCTGGGACTACGCCAGGCAGTGAGCGCATGGCAGCGCAGAGTGGTGGCAGAAGTAAGGACATGGATCTTGGGAGGGAGTACAGCGCAGGGCTGATGCAAGCGATCGGCCGAATTAACGACACCTTTTTCGAATGCCTCAGCCTTGAATCATTTCGGTACTGCTTGCCCATGCTCCAACATACCTTCGCTTCTCCAAAGAGAACCGCGAGAGGCGTACAACAGCAATTTCGTCATCTTCATGGTCGGAACGCGATGACATTGTCTCTTGATACGTCTCAAAACTGTGACATGCGAATCGTGTCCTTTGACGGGCGCAATGGCCATCCGCAACAGCATGTGTATGCTCAAGTAAACCGTCATGGTATGTTTCGAGAGTACTCGTGAGACGGACGTTAGCTTAAGCATCGCGCCACGCCTACCAGAACGGATTAAGGTTTTATATTCGGCTAGATCTGGAACACCCCCTGTCTCGAACGAACATCTCTTTACCTCATGCCAACCACATGCCCTTGCACTTCGATCTCACAACCGAATGGCCGGGCCAGTCGGGAGTCTCAAAGCGTCATAAGCTTTTGGCAAAGCGAGAAAAGCCGGTCTCGATTCTTTGCGCGAAGCAATTGGTCTTTGGCCACACTCGACCATTGCATCTATACTGGACATGCCGAGACCCATCGTCCATCGTCAACATATCCCAGGCGACCGGGCAGAGAAGACACCAACGGTCAGGAAATGCGCTCTCGCTTCTTAACGGCACGAGGCTGCTCCAGAGCATATCCCCGGATCGACCAACCGTGCCTCCAGCTCTTCAGCATCTCATAAAGTTCTGCTCAGGCCATGCAAATCACGCAACGTCCAGATCACTGATCGCCCCTGTGGCTTGGACAAGACGGTAGACACAAGTATACCTGTCGAGCTTATAACACTTGCTTCCGCTCTCCTCTTTGCATCCCGAGTTCAACCCCTTCCTTTCCGCACCAATTGTACAGTCACTCGTTAACAGCCCACACTCCTTTAATCAGTCACGATGAAGCTCACTCTCCCAATGGCTGCACTTCTCTCTGCGGTTTCAGTCTCCGCCACTCCCGTTCCGGACTTCATCTCCTCCCTCCTCGGCCAAGGCAACTGTCCACTCTTCGGCGGCTGCATCTCCCAATCCCAGGCCGAGCTCTTCGTTAAACGCTTCTCCGGCATCCTCACCAAGCAGGGTTCGGATCTGGGAGATTATCTAACCACGGCTGATAAGCTGTTGGCAGCGAACTTCCAGGAGATTTCCGGGAGTGTGAACTCGCTTGCTGGGTTTGACGTAGGTTGACTCTTGGTTCTGGGCCTCTGGCTGTGGTTGATAGGAGTGCTGACGTTGAAGGTGATGTAGCTCGAAGGTCCAACCTCCTCTTCCAAGCAGGCCTACATCGCCGGCATCCAACACGCACCCGCCGACAACGGCGTGAATACTCTCTACGTCAACGTCGCAAACTGCCAAAACATCCTTTGGCACTGGGATATCAAGGGTGTGGGGTCTGGAAAGTATCCTGTCAAAGTAGGTTGGCGCTCTTCCCAGAATTGTCACTTGTCGACGGTCGTGCTGATGTTCGAGTTACAGGGCTTCAACTACTTCGCTCTGGACAACAAGTGCCAGTGCTCGAGGCTGGATCTGGAGTTCAACAGCATTGCGTGGGGCTTGGATACGGGGTACGGGTTGCAGTGGCCAAACGGAACGATACAGCATTAAGGGACTGCTGGGACAGCGACAGCAACGCTCGGCCCTCCTCACGGAGAGGATGGCAGCACTCCACGCTTACCAAAGGTGCGCTACCGTCCCAACATACACAAAGCATCGAATCTCATAATCATCCGAGCTCACAGGCCATAGTAGCTGGTGTTAAAGGATACCCCTCTCCTCATCATCTCCTCCACCTCCTCCTCGTCCAACTCCTCCAGCCCCAGCAACTCATTATCCTCCTTCCCCGCAAAATCTCCCGCGTACCCATCAGCATGCAGCGTAAACTTGACCAGATCAAACACCCACGACCCGCCGAACGAAGTACTCCGCCTGTACCCTTCATAGCCCCTCCGCTTGAGCTCCTCGCTCTCGATATGCGTCACCGTCCACCCCTCCTCGCCTACAACCTTCTTCGCAATCCGCAGCAGCTGCTTCTGCGTCATCCGCACCCCGGACAACCGAATCGCTCGATCCGCAGTCTCCTCCGGCCGCTGCAGGATCGCCACCACGCCCCGCGCGATAAACTCCAGCGGCGCAGCGGTGAAGTACCTCTCCCCCCCATCCACGAACTCCATCTTCTTCCCCGCCAAATCTATCGCGAGTCCTAGCTCAATCCCCCAGTCCAGGAACAAATTGTTAAACACAAGCGTGAACGTCGTCGTCCCCCGACTCTCCGCGCACAGCCGCCGCACTAGAGTCTGCGTGTCGCGCTTCCCCTTGAAAACCGGCAGCGTGCGCACGCGCGGGTGTAGCATGTCGCCGCCGAACTCCGAGGGGATGATCCGGTATACGCCTGCGGCGATTGCGGCGCGCATGATGGGGTCCTGGTCGCCGGAGGCGCTGGGCGTGAGCGTGACGACTAGGGCGTCGTGGCCGGTGAGTGCGGCTGAGAGGCTGGAGTGCGAGGTGTAGTCGACGCGGGCGACTTTGACGCCTGGGGGGTGTGTGCTTTGGGAGTCCAGGCGGGTGAGGGCTGTGACTTGGAAGTTGGCGGCGAGGAGGGCGTGGACGAGGGGTGTACCTAGGGCGCCGGAGGCGCCGGCGACGGCGATGGTGGTGATGGGGGGCATTGGGGTGGTGGTGTGGTTTTTCTGACTGGTGCTAGATGTGAAGCAACGGGTACTGTGTGGAAGCGTGATGTTTGGATAAATGAATGGACGGAAAAGAGAAGGAGGGAAGTGTGCTTTATATGACCTACCAGTTTCCCGACCTTTGGTGTTTCAATGGATGCATTATCAAGGTATTGCTTGAAGATTTTCATGTAAGGTTTTGTGGTATTCCAGAGTTGAGTAATCTGCCCGACGGTAGAATGTTGCGATTCGATGTGAAGGTTTCAGCGAGCGCTGGTCCTACATCATTATCAGTAATCAACGAGCGCATCTTCACCGCACACATGAGTCGCATTGTTGTTGAGTGCGGCGTGGTCGTTTCCTTGCACGCTGTCAAGACGGACGAATGGAAAGGTATACTAATCATTCGGATAGTAATGGACATAAGACAGGCAGAGAGGAATCTGCGCAGGATTAGGACGAAAAGGGAGAGAACATCTCCACGAAGAGCATGCATTACTTGACCCACAAACAGCACATCTAATCCAACCCCATCCACTCCCCCTCCTCCTCGTCCCCATCAACCATACTCTCATCCTCCACCCCACCCTCTACTCCATCGTTACCCATCTCCAACAAATTCACCAGTCCCCCTTCCTCCCCCTTCCCCCTCCGCGGCTGCGCAAGCAAGAAAGCAACAGTATGAGCATTTTGATCCGCCACACGCAAAACCTCCCCCTGCACCCTCCCCGCCGCCCTTTGCACCAACCGCACCACCTCCGCGAACTCGCCTTGCCGTTCTTTTAGAACTCTGCCGTGCGTGCGTAGGAGCGATTGCATCCAGAGGAGGTTTAGTTCTAGGAATGGGGATGTGTCGGATTCTTTGGCGACGTGGCGGAGCATGCGCTCGAGATAGACTTCCGGCAAGTCGCGCACGACGAGGGAGATGTCCGTGATGGGCACGGAGCGGTAGACGCGGGTGATGAGGTTGGGGCGGTTGAGGCGGAAGGCCATGGCTAGGGCTTTTAGGTACTCGCCATTTTTGAGCGTGGAAAGGGTGGAAGCGGGCGTGACGTCGACGTCTAGGTCGAAAGGGTCGAATTGCACTGTAGCGTCTAGGCTGTACACCAGCAGGCCTTCGGTAGAAGCAGCGCAGAATGCTCGACCGGTTGGTGAGAACGAAACGGCTGGGACGCGGACTTCGGGCGCAACTTTGCGTTGTGCGGCATCGCCTCGTTTGGAGCCGGGGAGGGATTTGTCGAGCCGGTCTTCGAGGTCCGAAGCCTCGCCCTGCTCATCGATGAGGCCGCGCGGTCCGGCTTCCGTGAGGAGGCGGGAGTTGAGGAATTCTTGCGTGCCTTCGAGGGAGAGGTTGACAGAGACGGTGAATTTCTTCAGCAGGACGCCGGTTTCGACGGCGTAGAGACAGATGAATTTGGAGTTGCCGGCGGCGAGCACGACGCTGCCGTCAGCGCTGTAGGTGACGGTGTTGAAGCTTTTGGTGCCCGCTGCGTTGGCTGCTGTGCGGCGGTCGGTGGTCTTGCGGCCACCGCTGACGTCGCGGCGGCCGTCGAGGCCGGCTTCTTGCGTGCCTTCGCTGAGGGACCAGAAGGTTAGCTGGCCGTCCAAGGTCGACACGGCGACTTGTTTGCTGTCGGGGCGGACGGTTATGCAGAGCACGTCTGCTTGCAGTTGTAGTGGCTCGCTCGTCTGTGTGCGGGCGAACACAGACCATATCCGGACTGTCCTATCCCACGACCCTGAGACCAGATTACCGCCGTTCGGTGCGAAAGCCAGACTTGACACTGGCCCTTCGTGACCCGCGAGTTGGTCCAGAAGCTGGCCAGTCTGGACAGACCAGATGTGGATGTCGAAGTCGTCCAGACTGCCAGCTGCAACAACTTCTCCAGACGGGTCGACTGCAATCGAAGAGAAAGATAGCCGCTTCGGTGCTGTGAATGTGCGGAAGCATCGATATCGAATGAGGTCGAAAGCTCGTACACTTCCATCCAGGCTTGCCGTGAACAGCACATTTCCTCTTCGAGCGAACTCGCATGCTGTGACGCCGGATGTGTGCTCTGTGAAGGTTACGATGCAGAAGCCAGAAGCTGTATCCCAAACCTTGACCTTGCCATCGTCGGATGCGGTGATGATTCGATCTCCACTTGGACTGTATGTAAGAGCGTTGAGATTGTCAAAGTGGCCTTGCTGCTTCAAGATGTACGACTCGGACTGCCACTCCCAAACGAGCAGCTGGCCCAGAGCGGATGAGCCGAACGCGAGCCATGAGCCGTCTGGAGATACAGAGACTGTGTCAATGTGGGATGCAGATATGGAGAGTTTGTGTATCTCGGAAAATGATGGGAGTTCGTGGATCATAAAGAGGCCATGGGAAAAGCCTGTGACCAGTAAATTCGTTTGCGGGTGGTAGGCAGCTGCTGTGAGATGCGCGTGTTCTTGTGACTGGTAGAAGTAATGCCGCTCGCTGATGCGCCATCTCTCGTCTCCTTCAGCGATATCTTCTGGGTCTGCGTCTGGATGAGGAAGGAATTGCCACTGGAAGAGCGCGCCGTCCTTTGAAATTGTGTAGATGGTCTCTTGGTCCGCGCTGAACCACGCAGCATATACTGCCGTGCGATGTCCTGCGAGAACGGTTGGTGAGAATCCCTCTTCCGGATCTAAGCTCCATATTCGCGCCGTCAAGTCTTTGCTCGCAGACAAGAAGAAGCGCGAATCACTGCTCCACTCGATGTTCTGTGCTGTGTCGTGGTGGCCGGCATATTGTCGATGCCGTACGAATGGCGCAAACTCCAGTCCGCCGCCGTCGTCATCTTCATTGCCTCCACCGGGCGTTGAGGGAGTCTTCCACACTTCGATCTTCCGGCCGATCGCCACTGCGAAGTATCGTCCGCATGGCGAGAACACCAGCGCTGTTACCGCTCCCTTGAGGGAGAAGTGGTAGAGTACGATCCGCCTGCGGAAGTGACTGAGTATTGCATGGCCTTGCTCGTCCACACTCAGCAGTAACTGGCCATTTGGATGTAGGGCTATCCGGGAGACGTTGGTTCGGTGGGCGAAGGAAAGGGTGTGTGATTTGTTGTTGATGAGATCGAAAACGGTTACTCGGTTGCCAACGGGAGATAATAGACTCGTTCCGTCGGATGTGTAGACCAGATTGCCCTTGCGGTAGACTGTCCCCAGCAGATTCGAGAACTGTACTTGGCACGTGAGCGGACGCCTGAAGAGGAAGGAGGTAATGGCCGCACTTACCTTGAAGTCTGTTTTCATGTTGCTGTGTTATCAATATCCCCTTCCATGTATATGTAGTTGCAACATAGTGTGGTGTTATCGCGGGTAAGGCCTGTATGTCGATGTTCTTGCGAGCATGTGAAGGCAAAAAATATCGAGCGGCTCTTTCCCCAGAAAACGCTAGCGGGACGCGCTTGCCGAGCCCCGATTGGGCAAGAAGCAAACGGCGCATTGACCGAGTGGAAAGGAGAGAGCGACAAGATTCAGGGTTTTACCTTCCACGTCTCTCGAAGTCTGGTGCAGGCACGAAGCAACGGAAGACTCCCACCGACCCATTGTTCCTGCTCCACTTGAACCCCCTCCCCCTTCCGCTCGCATTCCAGGTACGCTGGCCTCTTTCCTCCATCCTCCCCCTTTGACAAACAGCCTCCACCACCGAAACACCACCCCCAATGGCCGACAACATGAGCGACGCCGACACTGACTCCATCTCTCCTTCAGGCTCGCCAGCAGACCCCCGGTCAGGCGCATACCAGCCCCCTCCTGAGCGTACCGCTCCCACCTCTCCAGAGCGACAACCTCCTCCACCGCCCTCCCAATCACAGAGAACAGAGATCATGGCGGAATCAGCGAGCCCCATTGGCATTGCCAACGTACGTACAGACACGTGATGGACTGCATGAGAGAATCAGGAGCTGATATGGTTGTGTACAGCTCCCCAATCAGCGCCACAAGATCGTGGCCAAGCGCGGTGCCGCCTTCACCATCATGGTAGCGGGCGAGTCCGGCTTGGGCAAGACGACCTTCATCAACACCCTCTTCAGCACCACCATCAAGAACTACGCCGACCACCGCCGCCGCCACGCCAAGCAGATTGACAAGACCGTGGAAATCGAGATCACCAAGGCCGAGCTGGAGGAGAAGTTCTTCAAGGTCAGGCTCACGGTCATCGACACACCCGGTTTCGGCGACTACGTCAACAATCGCGACAGCTGGCAGCCCATTATCGAGTTTCTGGATGACCAGCATGAGAGCTACATGTTGCAGGAGCAGCAGCCACGCCGGACGGAGAAGATTGACCTGAGGGTACACTCTTGCCTCTACTTCATCCGCCCCACTGGTCACACTCTGAAGCCGCTCGACATTGAGGTGATGAAGCGTCTGTGTACGCGTGTCAACCTCATTCCCGTCGTGGCCAAGGCCGACACTCTCAGCCCGGCGGATCTGGCCAAGTTCAAGTCGCGCGTGAGTCCCGTCAATCTAGCTGAAAATTTCTCATGCTGACGTCCCTACTAGATCCGCGCCGCCATTGAAGCTCAGGGCATTAAAATCTACACCCCACCGCTCGAAGAAGACGACGAGCCCGGTCTCCAGCACGCCCGAAGCCTGATCTCTGCCATGCCCTTCTCGGTCATCGGCAGCGAGCGCGACGTCAGCACTCCCGACGGCCGCACCGTCAAGGGCCGTCAATACGCCTGGGGTGTCGCAGAAGTGGAAAACGAAGACCACTGCGACTTCAAAAAGCTCCGCGCCATCCTCATCCGCACGCACATGCTCGACCTCATCCACACGACGGAAGAGAACCACTACGAAGCCTACCGCGCCCAGCAGATGGAGACGCGCAAGTTCGGCGAGGTGAAGCCGCGGAAGCTGGACAACCCCAAGTTCAAGGAGGAGGAGGAGCAGTTGCGGAAGAGGTTCACGGAGCAGGTCAAGGTCGAGGAGCAACGGTTTAGGCAATGGGAGCAGAAGTTGATCGCGGAGAGGGACCGGCTGAACAAGGATTTGGAGCAGAGTCATGCTGTGATTAAGCAGCTGGAGACGGAGGTGGAGGGGTTGCAGGGGAGCATGTCGAGGACTGGGAGGCGTTAAACGTGCAACGGGGAGATACCATGGCCAAGAGGCGGACTGGGTGAAGGCTAGCCCGAGCGGAGGGGAGTTGAGACGGATTGTGAAGAAAGCAAGCGATACCAAAGTACTGATATTTCCTGTGTTTTTGCGAGGAGCGAAAGGGAATGGCAGCAGGCGAGAGCCTTTACTGCTCCATGGTGTTTTTGTACTTGGCTTAGCATGAGGATGTAATTACAATGGAAGTGTAATCGGGTGAATTTGATTCTTCAAATGTCCAACCCGTAATTAATTCGGTGGCTGTCACATGAAAGCAGAGTGAGTAGCCCCACCACGAGACTCCAAACCTTCAACTCGACACAAAACTCCAGGATCCACCTTCCCACAGCCTCTTCAACAACCCACAAGACCATGAAATAGCACCACCTTCTGCGCCCTCATACAGGCGCTTGACCACCACCACCACACCCATCAACCATGCCACCCTTCCCCACCACGCCCCTCACCCGCCTCACCACCCCTAGCAACAGCCCCATCCACGCCCTCACCTTCTCCTCCGGCAGCGGCCAATACCTCCTTACCGGCTCCTCCGACCGCAGCATCCGCCTTTACAACCCTAATACCTCCCGGATAATCCAGACATACTCGGCGCATGGGTATGAGGTGCTGGATTTGGCTGTGAGTCGGGATAATGCGAGGTTCGTGAGTGTAGGCGGGGATAAGACGGTTTTCCTCTGGGACGTGGAGAGTGGTGTGTCGGTGAGGAGGTTCACGGGGCACACGGGGAGGGTAGAGGGGTGTGCGTTTGGGGGGGAGGGAGGGGAGGGGAGTGGAGAGAGTGTGGTTGTTACTGGGGGACGGGATGGCACGGTTAGGGTGTGGGATGTGCGGGCGAAGGGGAAGGAGGTTATGGTGCTGAGGGAGGCGGGGGATGCGGTTTCCTCTGTGGTGGTCGGGGATGGGATTATTCTGGCTGGGAGTGTGGATGGGAGGGTGCGGTGTTATGACCTCGCGGCTGGAAAGGCGGAGGTGGATTGTCTTGGTGCGAGTGTGGTTTCGCTGTCGTTGGGAGGGGATGGGGAGAGCTATCTCGCCGGCACGTTGGGGGGGAAGTTGCGGCTGATGGATCGGAGGAGTGGGGGGTGTTTGCAGACGTTCCGAGACGATGATTTCAAGAATGAAGAGTATAGGGTGCGGAGTACGTTGGCGCAAGTGGACGGGGTGGCGGTTTGCGGAGGTGAGGATGGGAGGGTGGTGGTTTGGGATGTGCTGAGTGGGGAGGTGAGGGAGAGGCTGTGGCATACTGAGAAGGGCGAGAGGGGGGATGGTGGGAAGAGAGGGGTGGTGAGTGCGGTGGCGTGGAATGGGGTGAGGGAACAGTGGGCGAGTGCTGGAGGGGATGGGACGGTGGTTGTTTGGGGGGCGGGTGAGTGAGTGAAGAGTGCTTCACTACTTGTCGATGGTATTGCACTTCACTTCACTCTCCCGGAGCCACCGGAACGTCACATGCTCCTTCCTGTGACAGAACTCAACTGCACCGCCACTGACTGAGTTTGCCGCTGGACTTCACAACCTCACAACGCCTTTCGAAAGACATGAAGTGAGCAACGCTATTTCGACCTACTTTCGGCAAGCATTTCAGTCACTATGGCGCAGCTTGGCTGGAAACGATACGGAAGGCTACGACAGCTCGCCAAAGACGGCAACCAGGACGCCATCGTACTTGTTCAAGAAGGCGGTGTTCCATCAGACCTACGCGGCTGCAGAGTCCTCGCAGCTGCTGGGGACGAGGACGCAGAGCAGCACCTCGAGGCGGTCCAAGAGCAGAACCGCGCTACCCGGGCAAGCCACGAGTCCTCCAGCAGCGATGATTCAGACTACGTCGCGAGATTGGAAGAACTAGCCAGCAAAGGCAACAAAGACGCCATCGACATTCTGAAGCGCAGTCACACACCAACGTTCAGGGCGGCGTGCGTACTCTTCGCAAGCCTAGGGGACGACACAGCAATTCAATATCTTGCGGAAACACAGCCAAACAAGCGAGAGCAGCACCAGGAAAATGTGGCGAAACGCACTGCTGGTGATGCACGTGCAATCGCCACGCACAAGCGGGCCATGGAGAGGCAACGACGCAAGAGGGCGGAAGAGAAGAAGAAGGTAGCAGCTGGCGATCCTGACGCTATCGCGAGACGTGACAGAGTCCTAGCGAACGCTCGAAGTTGGAACGCAAGACACGGGGGTGCAGAGTACGGAAAAGCAAGAACCGAAGAGCGCAGAAGACAGCGTGGTATCAAGTTTGTCGAGGGCTTTGACTGGGTGAGTCCAGAGAGGAGTGAAAGCGGTGAGGGTCAGGAGAATAGCGGCGAGGCTTCACCAAGATCAATGGAGACGGATTCGAGTACTCCAGGAGATACCGCGCAGGCCACGAAGGAAAGCTACGACATCGTCAATACGAACATGCATGCTCTCGACAGCATCGAGCCTCGCAGTTACACCACCGAGTACACTAGCCAAACCATCAGGATCATGGCGGAGAAAAATTGCGCGAAGCTGGAGGCGGATCTGAAGTTCAGAGCGAAAGAGCTAGCGCTTGAGCTGCAGAAGGTGAACCTGGAGTTGGAGCTGGTGCGTCTGAGGCGGGAGCAAATGAAGGACGAGCAGGACGCCCCAATGGCTGATGTCACCGAAGAAGGTGCTGGCTTGGCTTAAGTGGTAACCGGAGGACGTTCGATTCGAGTTGAAGAGGTTTCTGGCAGGCCGCCAGCTGTTGTGCACGAGGCGGCAGAGTTTGGAGTAGGATGATGACACGGCAGGTGCTTGGGAAAGAGTCGCTTCTTCCAGGGCTGATGAGCACGAGTTGAGTTGATCAGGTTGCGATGATGATGGAGGAGAAATATCCGCTGTGGTGCTATGACACAATGAATACGATACGAGTTCAATGATAAGAAGTGCGCACATGGTCGCTCTTCCACGGGTGGACGGACTTTTGTAGACAGATCAGACAACAACATACCCACCATCCACCACTATATCAGTCCCAGTCGTATAACTACTCGCATCGCTCGCCAGATACAAATACGCCCCCTTCAGCTCATGCACCTCACACTCCCTCCCCATCGGAATCTTACTCCTCCAAATCGCCTTCGTCTCCGGGGGCACAAAGTCTGAGATTTCCGTCGCCACGTAGCCGGGCGAGACGCTGTTGACGCGCGCGAATTTGACCCATTCAACTGCTAGGCTGCGGCAGAGGTGGATGACTCCTGCTTTGGCGGCGTTGTACTAGTGCCAAGGTTAGTTGTGGGAGGGAGGGGAGGGAGGAGGTGATGCGTACGGCGGATTGGAGTTGCGGGATATTAGCGATGTGCCCGCTCATGGAGGCGGTGGCGACGAAACTGCCTCCTCTCCAACCCTCCAACTTGCTTCCATTCGCATCACAGCCCGTCTCGTACTGTTTTCTGAACACTTCGCCGGCGGCTTTGGCGGAGTAAAACACACTGTCCAGATCCGTCGATACCACCGCGTGGTAATGCGAGAGCTCGCCATCGATCATCCGGCCTTGCGTCCAGGGGATCCCGGCATTGGCGACGAAGACGTCCAGGCGTCCACCTAGGTCGTTGATGCTGGAGTTGAGGACGGAGGAGATGGAGTCGTAGGACGTGATGTCGACTTGGTAGGCTTTACACTTGACTCCATAATCCTCCTCGATCTCCTTCGCTCGGTCATACGCTTTCTTGTTAGAATGGTACCAGATCGCCACATTTGCTCCGGCCTCAGCGAGTGCTTGGGCGACTGCTAGTCCGATTCCTCGGTCTGACCCGGAGACGACGGCGGTCTTGCCTTTGAGGCTGAAAAGAGGGACGATCGAAGTTTCTTTTGGAGCTTTGGTGTTGTATTCGCGGAAGAGGCCGTTTTTCATTGAGCTGTCTTCGGGGGATTGGTGGTCCTTCATGACTGTTGGTGCTACGACCGGGGCTGTGGCGGGCTTGCGGACCATGATTGCTATGTTGGCTGTGAGGAGGGAGCAGAAGAGGACTAGCAAGGAAGTTAAGATGTTGTTGTTTACAGTCCTCATCAGAGTAGTGAGGTTGGTCATCGAAGTCTGGACACTTTCCACACCTTCCCAATTGGGCAGTGTCTGTGCTCTTTCATGCCCGAAGCGCTCCGCAATTCCATATTTTATTCATGTGCAGCGAAATTCGGTATACTGAACGCGTAGCATACCGCTGAATGTCGGCAGCAGCAAAACCACTGACTGCCGCCAGCCATGCTCGACTGTTCTCCCAATCCATAACACCACGGCAAGTCAAACTCCAGCCTCTCATATTCAACCATCACTTCAGCAATATGGCCCGCCCGAAACTCCAGGGCCGGGCCTTCTACGAGTCTTTGGGCTCCCCCAAGCATATCGTCGCGCCCATGGTCGACCAGTCCGAGTTCGCCTGGCGCCTCCTCACCCGCTCCTTCCTGCCTCCCGACCTCCGAACGTCCATCCTAGCCTACTCGCCTATGCTGCACGCCAAAATGTTCGCCGAGTCGCCCAAGTACCGCGCTTCCCACTTCGAGCCTTTGCAACCTCCGCTCTCCCTCGCGCAGCCTGGAGATGCAGAGCAGCAGAAAGCGGCGGATCTGGAGAAGGATGCGTATATGGATGGGAATCCTAAGATCGACCGGCCGCTGTTCGTGCAGTTCTGCGCGAATGATGCGGAGCACTTTCTTGAAGCGGCGAAGATTGTGCAGCCGTACTGTGACGCTGTGGATTTGAATTTGGGATGTCCGCAGGGGATCGCGAGGAGAGGGAACTATGGATCTTTTCTGCAAGAAGATTGGGGGACGATTCACAAGCTTATACGGACGTTGCACGAGAAGCTCGATATCCCTGTCACGGCGAAGATGCGGGTTCTGGAGACGAGGGAGAAGACGCTGGAGTATGCGAAGATGATTCTGGATGCCGGGGCGAGCATTATTACCGTGCATGGCAGGCAGAGGGAGCAGAAGGGGCATAATACTGGATTGGCGGATTGGAAGATGCTGAGGTTCTTGAGGGAGAGTTTGCCGCCTGATACTGTGATTTTTGCGAATGGGAATATTCTGCAACATGGTGATATTCAGACGTGCTTGGAGGAGACGAAGGCGGATGGTGTGATGAGCGCGGAGGGGAATCTGTATGATCCTTCGATCTTTGCTACGCCGCCACTGGCTGGAGAGGAGGGGCGAGAGTACTGGCGAGGTAGAGATGGGAAGGGCGGGTACCGGTGCGATGCTGTGTTGCGACGATATCTCGACATCATCCACACCCACGTTCTGCGGAAAGACCCACCTCCTCGACACTCGCTCTTCCTACCCTCCGATGAGCCTTCCCCAGAGCAACGGGCAGCCCAGGAAGAGAGTAAACGAAAACTTGAGCCAGAGACCAACGGCCACTCTCCCAAAGACGACGGCCAACCACCCACCAAGAAGCAGAAACGCGAAGCAGCCAAACAGCAGCACGAAGAAAAGAAGAAGAACGGCAGCAAGCAAGAAAAAACCAACGCAGCCAACCTCGTAGCCATGCAAGCCCACTGCTTCCATATCCTCCGCCCGCTCGTCTCCAAGCACCATAACGTGCGCGACGCGCTTGCTCGGTCTCGCGTTGGAGACATCGAGGCCTACGAAAACGTGCTCACGCTCACTGAAGCAGCTGTTCGAGAAGGACTGCTAGAGTACGAGCGAGATCCTCCTCCATTCGAAGACGCAGCTGAAGAAGACGCAAAAGCGGAAGTTGAGAACTCGCCGGACGAAAGCAGCGTCGAAGCCGTCAAGCGCTGCAAACGCCCCTACTGGGTCTGCCAGCCGTACGTGCGGCCGCTGCCGAAAGAAGCGTTGGAGAAGGGGAGTATGCAGTTGAGCAAGAAACAGATTAAAAAGCTGGAGAAGGCGAATGAGGAGGCGAAGAAGAGTGGCGTTGCGCCGGAAGGGCGAGTCGAGAGCGTGCAGCCGCCTGAGCGAGAAGAGGAGGCCACGAAGGGAGCAATTGACGGAGAGACAGGCAACGTGGAGCTGCCGAAGGAAGGCATGGTCGCTGGATGAGTCACATCCAAGAGCTGAGTGTTTGTCCTGTTCTATACCAACTACAACTCATCTTTTGCCCTTCCAAAGCACAGAGATAGGTGTCCTGTTCTATCCCACCCCAACTCAACTTGACATCAACTTTTGATTTCAGAAGCATACGTCTGCCCCCCACTCCGCATAAACGGGCTCCTCCCCCTCAGTTCCCTTCCCTTCCACACAAACACCACGGGAGCAAAACTCAACACTACAGCCACGAACCCGAGCAGCGAACTCGCCCACTGGAATCCCAGACTCGTATACATCCGCTGCGTCGCCAAGGGAAGGAAAGCAGCGACGATGTTCTCGCCAGCCGCTACTCCGCTGATGGCCGACGCAGCGTATCCGGAGACCGCGTACGCGTCTTCAATGTAGTCTGCCACGGCGGAGACGACGGTTTGGATCCCGAACCCCACCATCCCCAGACCGATGGTTGGCGCGATCCAAGGGAGGGACGGGTAAGCCGTCCATGCGTAGACGAACATGCCGCCTGCGATGCCGGCGAAGGAGCCGAAGATGCTGACGTACAGTCGTGCTTCTGGGATGGGACGGCCAGGGGCTTCGGTATTGCGGGGGGTGGAGGCGAAGTAGAGTTTCGTGCTGAGAAAGGAGGTCAGGAAGCCGAGGATCTCGCCGACGACGATGGCGGCTTGGATGTAGCCCGTGGACCAGACGTTCCAGCCGTAGAGCGCGATGTAGACTTGTTCGGTCGACTGGGTGAAGAGGAACACGGTGCCGAAGGAGAAGGCGGACCAGATTGTCGAGGCTATGAGGACGGGCTCGGTGGCAAGGAGGTAGACAGGACGGTAGACGGAGCGGCCGAGGGTGGAGAGGAGGGAGGTTTGCGCAAGCTCCGCGCGGGTGTAGATCCGTCTTCCGGGGTTGGATTTACGGAGACGCTTCGCACGACGCCGCAAAATGACGTCCGCGCGAGTTTCGGAGATGGTGAGGTAGAAGAACGGCAGGCAGGCGCCGTAGAGGATGAGCTGGATATAGAAGATCCACCGCCAGTTGCCGATATGCTGGATCACGCCCGCGAACATCGGAGGCCCGAGCGTGCTCCCCATTAAATAGCACAGAATATACAAACTCACCGGCACACTCCTCGCGCGGTCGCCGGACCAGATATCCGGGATGATGCCCGCGACGGTGTTGGCTAGGAGCGTCACGCAGCCGCCGGAGAAGAAGCGGGTGATGATCAAGGTGGCGAAATTCTGAGCAAGCGCTTGCGGGATTATCATTAAGAGGAAGAAGGCGTAGAAGATGAGGTACCCCAGTCTTACGCCCAAGTCTTCGAGAAGGGGGAGACCGACGACGATGAAGACGGCCCCGCCGACGGACCAGCTTGTTACGGCCCAGTAGCTGTGCGGGAAGCTGGACTCGTTGACGTTGAAGGCGCCGTCGAGCTGCTCGTGGGCGACGGTGATGGAGGTGCCGTTGAGCGGGATGATGAGGGTTCCAAAGAGGGCGGCGCCGGTGATGAGCCATTTCTTGGTGGTGCTGTAGTTGATCGGGTTGGCTGGGTCGGAGGGGTCGTGCCAGTCTAGGATTTCGATTTCACCCGGCTCTTTCGAACGGGCATCGTTTGTTGCCTTTTCCTCTGAGCTTGCTGTGGAGAATGGTGAGGCATCGCCGCTTGTTGGGCGTTGTGTTTGTCGTCCATCTGGAGGCGGGTTGCTGGGGGGTTGGGGAGTGGTTGCTGTCATCGTCGTAGGATATCCATGCACGGCAGACTGGACCAATACGAAAACGGCCTTGTCAACAGCGTATATACAGCAAGGAAGTATATAGGAAAGAGAAGACGAAAGCTGACAAGACCGAGAAAAGACTTTGAACCATTTTGCTCTCACTATTACCTAACAGACGATCGGATGGTTGCCGGCAAGACAACAGATCGGGAGCATGGTGTGCTCGGCGTGCTTGGACTCCTGCCCATTGTCTTGCCGTCGCCGTTCTGTTGTCGCCGAGATGGCCGTCGTCGTCTTTGATGGCCGAAATGTCTAAGCGCGTCAAGCGATGAGATGCGTCGAGGTTGGAGTCGAGGGCGGAGATGTGCTGACTCGATGTGGATCTGCGATGCATGAGGTGTGATCGACGCCGAGTCCATCCCGAGTCATGAGGTGGGCGGCGGGGAAAGTCCTATCACAGAGCTATCTTATCAGCAACCACCCCTCATACATTCAATACATACGAGTGCAATGCGCCCCTCAACCTCCATCCTCACCCCGACGCCCACCGCCATGACCCCCTCGGGCCCCCCCTCCGACCGCTTCGGCCTTGCCCACTCCACCATCATGGCCGCCCACGCCCTCGACCCCAACACCATCACCATCAACGACCGCGCCGTGCCCTACGAAACCCACTATGCGCAACGCATGCAGCACTTTCTCTCGCTGCGCAAACCGGACGCGTCGGAGATTCTGCAGTTGGCGGTCTGCGCGCAACATTTCAAGCGGTTCGAAGTTCCACGATCGAGTTATCCGATGACGAAGGTGGGGTATCATAGCTGGCGCTCTCACCTCAAGAAGAGGCAGGCGGAGCAGGTGGGGCAGATTCTGGAGGGGTTGTATGGGGAGGAGGATGTGCGGCGGTGTATGGCGTTAATTGAGAAGGAGGGGTTGAGGGAGGGGGAGGAAGAGGTGCAGGTGCTGGAGGATGTGGCGTGTTTGGTGTTTCTGGACGATCAGTTTGAGGATTTTAAGGAGAAGCATGATGAGCAGAAGATGCTGACTATTCTGCGCAAGACTTGGGGGAAGATGAGTGAGCGGGGGAGGGAGATGGCGTTGGAGATGGAGATGGGGGAGGAGTGTCGGAAGTTGGTGGGGAAGGCGCTGGAGACGGGGTGAATGATCTAAATGTATTGGATTGGTTACATGATTTACAGCTTGGCTTGGAGGACGCTGCCGCCATCCAAGACTATATTGCCTCCATTGACGTGGCCGGATGCTCGCGAGCAGAGATACACGATCGTGCCAGCAATATCCTCCGGGTGGCCTAGTCTTCGATTCGGGCTGGCTGCCGCAAGCTTCTTCAGACCGCCGGTCAGCTCCATCAATCCGCTCGCCATCTTGGTCGGGAAGAAGCCGGGTGCAATGGAGTTGCAGAGGATATGCTGAGGGCCGAGCTCGAGAGCAAGGTTGCGGGTAAGATGTAACACCGCAGCTTTCGACGCCGAGTACGCGAACGTTGCGTTTTCACCGAGCGTACCGACTCCAATGCCCGCAATGGATGCGGTGGTGACCACACGGGAGGGGTCGTCTTGTGTCGCGTTCTTGCGGAGGAGGGGAGCAAATCTACACTCGTCAGCGCCTGTCCCTTCGTCATCATCACGGAGGTAGTGGATGAAGGCACATACTGCTGTATACAAACAAAAACACTCTTCACATTCAAATCCATCACCTTCGCAAACGCATTCTCCGGGTGTTTATCAAACGGCGCTCCCCACGTCGCTCCCGCATTCGCTAACAGAATGTCGACATGATCCGTGTGCTTGCCAACCTCACTGACCAGTCGCTCGACCTCGCCGGCTTTCGAGAGGTCGGCGGGGACGGAGATGGCTTTGCCGGAGCAAGGGAGGGTGTTGAGGGCCGCGCAGGCTTCTTCGCAGGCTTGCGCTTTGCGGGAGGTGATGAAGACTTGGGAGCAGCCGGCTTGGAGGAGGCTATACCACCCAACGCATCAGTATGGGTATTACATGGTAGTGTGTTACGGGAAACATACCCAGAAGCTGCGTGCAGTCCCAGTCCTCGAGATCCACCCGTTATGACAGCGACCTTGCCATCGAGCGAGAAGATGTTCTTGAAGTCGTTGAGCTTGACGTCTGCTTCGGCCGACATTTTGGACTAATGATACAGTGGTTTGTAGATACGAGGATGAAGGGAGGAGGAATGGCGAGGATGTGATCAATCAATGGCTTACATTGAAAGGCTGCTGGAGATGCCTCGGCTCGTCTGGATAGAGAAACGTCACCAACGGCCCTCGCGGCTACATGCTCTGCTGGGTGGCCAGGACTTACATAACGTACTGCAGCATTTCCAAAGGTCTGACGGAACGAATTGATTGCAAGAGTTAAGGAACAAAGTCTGCAAAGCCTCAGCAGAAACGAGAGGTCTCAGCGCCCGCGAAGTCGCACCATTCCAATGTTGAGTCAAGGCCAGTAGTTTGGAGAAAGTCAGAGAGGAAGGGATACACATGCCGGAGGGGAAAATAATCTCAGACAACTGCACGGGAAGTACGGCTGCCATAGCGAAGGAAATTGCCGTGGGACAGAAGCTGGAACCCGCTGCTAGATGTTGTTGTCGAGTACCCAGCAGGATAATGAGCTATGTGTGGTGTGGCATACTATCCAGCTGGCAATCCTATATTGGTCCTCAGAATGAGAGCTTGAAGCGCGCGATGATTTTGATGATTTCTTGATGCATTCAACGAGCTCAATGACCCGCAGTGCCTGACGCACAACGCCAGACCCTATGTATGATGCACAGCAGTAGCAGCAGCACTCCTCTTGTCACCACCACGCCATCGCCATCACCACAGCCACCTCCCACATCGACCCCTCTACTTCTTCTTCGACACACCAACAGTCCGACCCCGCCTGCCCGTCGTCTTGCTGTGCTGCCCACGCACCCGCAAGCCCCAGTAGTGCCGCAGACCACGATGCGCGCGGATCTTCTTCAGCCGCTCCAAGTCGTCGCGCAGCTTGCTGTCCACGCCGTTGGCGAGCACCTGGCTGTCCTTGCCGTCCACGATGTCGCGCTGGCGGTTGAGGAACCAGGAGGGGATCTTGTACTGCGTTGGGTTCTGGATGATGGTGACGATGCGCTCGAGTTCTTCCGAGGTGAGTTCGCCGGCGCTGGAAGCAGTACGTGTTAGTAGGGAGTTTGGTGCGCGGGGTTTGGTGAATAGATGTACCGCTTGTTGAGGTCCACGTCGGCCTTCTTGCAGACCAAGTTGCTGTAGCGGCGACCGACACCCTTGATCCGCGTCAAGGCGTACATGACCTTTTCCTTGCCATCGACCTGTGATGCTGCTGTCAGTATTCCCGGTCGCATAATCTTTCAAATCCCCTTCATCTTCGCTTCAATCGCTGGGAGGTGTTGCGGGCACGTACGTTGGTGTTGAGGAGACGCAAGATGAACTGGAAGTTCGACTTCTCGCCGGAAACGAGAGACATCTTTGCGGTGGTGGGTTGTCGTCGACGATGGCGCTTTCGATGTGGTGTGGTGGTGTCTGCTGTCGCTCGAATTTTGAGGTGGGCGTTTAGCGTCTTGGCAATATCTCACATTCAATCACGTGAGCACGAACGACGATTCACGATTATACCTTATGCTTTCTCACAAGTACGATGCAGTGATATCTTCAAGGGTTATGCACTCGCTAAAACATCATACACCATCGCTATAAACGCTTCAACACGTGCACGCTTCGACGCTCAGACCCTTTTGTATGCGACATTTCCTTCCACCAACAAGCCGACCTTCATTCATTACCAGCCTCCAGCTACGTCGCCTCGCTCTGACCGACCACCGGGGTCTCCATTATTTCCTCGAACATGTCTACAGTGTCCGAGATGTCCCCAGCTCCCTCCCAAGCAACGCTGTCACTTGGAGTCTCGGGCAGAGAGACGAGCGGCGCCTCGTGTCTTGGACAAGCGTCGTTGAAGGTCGTCACCACATCCTGCTTGCTATTCGCTCCACTACCCATTACGATCAGCCAAGCAATCGTTATCGTGAGACAGAACATGACCACGTTCCGCTTGTCCTGAGCCAGAAGGAAGATGTAGTTCTTGACCATAAGTGAGAGCGGGACCTGGGATGGGCGGTAGATCTGCGGTAAGTCGTTGGAGTCTCGATTCGCAACATCTCGCCCGAAGGGTGTTTCCGGTCGTCGGATTGGATCGCTGGGCTCAGTCTCAAGAAGGCGTGGCTGCTCACTCCGTTTTCGTGGCGAGCCAGCCTGTTGAGATCCGTCAAGTGCCATCTGCATCTCTCGTGCCACTCGCTCGTCCACCAGTTCTCTGATTCTTCGGTCCTCGTCGTTTTGCCGCTGCTTTGCTTCAGCGATCTCTTTCCGCCTCCTCTCATCAAGCTTCCGTCGCATCTCGTCGCTAATCCAAGGCAAAATCTCCACGTCCACGCTCTCCATCTCCGACCACACAGCCGCCCACGCAGACGCCCGCATGAGCCCATTCGAAGCGTACACCTTGATCATCCACTTTCTCTTCCCGCTTCCAACAGCAGTATCGGCAGTCTTGATGTGGTGTTCGCAAGTCTCGCAGAGCTCCCCGTCCGAGCCATCGACACTCGAGCCCAGCCCCGAGTCGCTATCCCGTGCAGTGTCCACCGAGGTTATAGAGCCTCTAGAATCCCGATGCGTAAAGTGTCCACACTTCGTAAACCTTTCCTTCTTCAGCTCCAGTACCTCCAGCAGCCGTTCCTCCAACAGCTCGTATTCATCATTCGGATGTGGTATCAGCACGCCTCGCTGCAGCATGATCTCCGTGACTTTCGACTGCAGAAGGTGCAAGTTTTCCAACGTCTTCTGTGGCAACAGCTCTTGCATACTCTCGATGCTCCATGGCAGACCCACTGGCAGCAGCGTTACGTGCAGTAGCACCAGTGGAAGCGGCTGCTGGTTATCTTCCAATCGGTCCCTCGACACCCGTCGTTTGGACCTCGGACTACCCTTCGCTGTAGCTGATCTCGCTGATCTTGGTGTACCTGTTCTCGATCGTGGTTTGCTGAGTAGAGACTGTCTGGGCGAGCTCATCTGCATACGTCGGACGGACTCTGGTCGGCGGAACGAGGGTCGGATGATAGGTGGAGTGTAGGGTGGTTGTGTAGGCGTGGCATCTTCGAGGTCTGTTCTGTAGGTCGACTCGGGAACAGATGAGATGGTCGTGGTGGTGTATGTTGACTCGCGGCGCTCGTCGTCGGCATCGTCCTCGTCTTCGGTCTCCTCATGTCCATTTGTTGATATCAATGCAGAGCGTCTATCTTCTCCTTTCTCTTCTTCAAAGCGTAACGAAGACTTGATCGGTACATCATCCTCTGTCCGTGGTAACGAAGGCACCGTTTCCCCATCAGGCGTTGGAATGCCAGTGTCCTCCCATATCACGAACGAGCTTGCCTTGGACAGTCTCGCCATGTGCTGCTGGGACGCGCCGTTCTTTTGCAGGAGCCTCCGTCCACCTTGACCGTCAACGGCGCATTTAAACGAAGGCGGTTTCTAATAATCGTCGCGAGATCGTCGTCCGTCAATTGAACTTTCACCAGAACCGAGATCAAAACAATCCGTAGCCACAGCAACCTCACGCTTGTCGGACAACATCTTGTTAGGACGGTCGTCCACGCCAATAAACTCCAACGTCCTTTCTCAGAATAGAGAGAAACTTGGGATGTTCTCTTGAATCTCTGATCTTGATATGCGGGCATCTAGCATCGGGAATTGACATTGCAACAGAGAGACGCAACGTCCAGGTCAGAAGCAGTCTCGACGAACCATGGAATGGTCAGCATTAGATTAGGGGGCTCGCTGAGTGGTTAACCCACACCCACGGTCAAGAAGACTCTTAAAGAGTCAATTCAACAAATTACACTAGGGAGGTATTTCACCTAGTCCACTCTTACTGTTTCTTCCCATTCTCCCTCATCTTCTTCGTCTCACGCGGTTCTCTTCGCAGCACGAATTCCAACTTTTGCTCGTCTATCTGATCATTCTACCAAACCTTCGAAACCGAACGACAAGACATGGATTCCGAAAGCATGGCCGACTCTTCTCGTTCAGTACCTCCCTGCGGGTTCTTCGATCTCCCCCTCGAGCTGCGGTAAATGTGTTACGACCAGATGTTGCCTCCCGACCGACTGCTCACCTTCAACGAGGGGAGCTGGTGTCCACGGGATCTCGAAAAGACAATTGACGCAACCTGCAAAGCAGACAGAAGACTCAGAACAGAGCTCTGGCCTTGGTGTCGGAGGTACTGTGGCGTGCGCCTGGTCGTCAAGGACTTCTGGACTCTGTCCTACAGGAAACTGTTCAACAGGCTGTCGAAGTTCGAGATCTTCATCGAGCACTCTGCATCCTGTTTCACCGACGATATACGGGCTCTTGAAAACGGCTTGCGGGGAGTTGTCGACAGTTTGACAGTCTTCGAGAGTCTACAGGAAGTGACGTTCAGGTTCCGAGACGATCACTGTGCAGGATCCAACAAAGGCGACCCCTACTGGGCTCGCCAGCTGCGCACACGAGGCATAGACGGCGAAGGCAGCTTCCTTGCAAATGACTGCGACGGCTACTCCATCATCGAAACGGTTCTGCTGCCGCTTGAGAGATTACCAACCCCCAGGAAAATGAACATCGTTCCACTGGGTGGTCTTGACAGCACTTCCTCTCTGCTAAACCCCATGAGGCCTGGGATTCTCACATTTACGATCAGGACTATATGTTGCGCTACTTCAGAGGTTTCGCCAGTTGGTTGAAGGAACCTGTTTACCACTCCTTTTGGCAGTTGTGGGAAGATTTTGGCCTGCCACAGCCGAGAAGGGAACGGGGAGCAGTCATCTAGGCTTACACGAGTTTCGTATTGGATATCGGTGACGTCTTTGCATGACCCTTGACGAGCTACAGAGGAAGATCGCTCGGTCGCACTCACCTGAGGCAACGAGGAAGGGAGACCACTACAATCTCCACGTTGTTTGAGGGAGGAAAGCGTGAACTGCGCAAGGTGGAGCTGGCAATAGATCCTCGAACTGTCGAACAAACTGGTTACACAATGCATTCCTCAACCACCAGCCGTCCAACCACCATCAACCTCGTAAACCGACCCAGTAATAAAACTTGCATCGTCACTGAGCAGGAAAGCGATCGTATTGCCAACCTCCTGGGGCTGAGCCATTCTCTGAATCGGCTTCGTCTTGGTCTGTCCTTCGAACGAGCCTGGCCCAAAGAAAGACGTAGCAGACTCGAGCATTGGCGTGTCGACAATACCAGGTGCAACGGCGTTTATTCTGATGCCCCTCGATCCGAAGTCGATGGCGGCGGTTTTGGTGAGGGCTACTACGCCGTGCTGGAGGTCTGTTAGTATTGACACGGGCGTTGAGATCAGGGTGGACTCGCCTTCGAAGCACAGTAGGCTGTCGCTTTCGGCTGGCAGCGAAGGCCTGACACTGAAGCGGCGTTGACGATGCTGGCTCCCGACTTCATGATTTGTAGTTCAGCTTTCATGCAACGCATGACGCCCTTGACAACAGTCAGCTCTGTCTGCTTGCCCTCGGTTGGCGGCACATACTGTAAGGTTGACCCCAATAATCAAATCCCACATCTCCTCATCCTCTTCATCGATCGCATGTTGTCCGAACTTCTTCCCAATGGTTCCCGCCAGGTTCGCCGCCCCATCCAGGCTTCCGAACTTATCGACGGTCTGCTTCAGCCAGTCCTGGACTTCCTTCAGGATCCTTACGTCGACTTTGCATGCGAGGACGTCGCCATCAATGGATTCCTTGGCTTTCGTCAAGTTCTCTTTGGAGACATCGCAGATGCTGACTTTAGCTCCTCGAGACGCCAGGATCTTCGCTGTTGCGAGACCTATGCCGCTTGCACCGCCTGTGATAGCGATGGCTTTTTCTTGCATGCTGGCCATTGCGCTGGAGGTATGAATAGGTCGATTAAGGTAAGTGTTTTTCCATACGTAAATACCCAGAAACTGCGAATTGTTCGAATGAATTGCATTTGCACGGTGAATCGAGCGTATCTTGCGATCTGCGTGTACATGGGTACCTGCCCCGCATCGGCAGGAGGCATGAGCTGTATTCCGGCAAAGGCGGATAAGGAAAGGGAATTGGCTTGCATTATCGACTCGAAGTCCTTAGCATTGGCGCACATTTATTAGCTCCCTGAATCAGTTGATGAGATCCAACTCGTTGTCGCCACGACGCAAGTTACACGCCAAAGGACGACTGAAGAATACAACAGCCATGTTGAATTCAAGTCGGTGGACGCGGTTTGCTCGACATTGGTAATGGTGGAGGAGCACTACCAGCACCACTCGATGAAGGCTGGCCGTTGTTGCCGTTTCCAAGCCCAGCCTTCTTCGGTGGCGGAGGTGGAGGTTTCTTTTGGGCAGCGGCGGCGGCGGTGTTATTGCTGCTTGGACTCGGAGCTTGGTTTTGAGATCCCGTGTTCATCCTCGAGAATCTCTGCTGTAGCTCTGAGAGTTGCCCGGTGTGGCCGGTAATCGTAGGGGATTGTGTAGACGACGCTCCAGTAGAGTTGCTTCCTATCCCAAAGCCCGGTACTGACACCCCGGCTTGACCAAGTCTGTTGATTGCGCCAGTATTAAGTGAAGCAGGATCGCGCTGTTCCGGCTGCGTGGCTTCGTTGTACGTCGGCGGAGGTGGTGGGGTAAATTCGTCCGGGTTCTCGGTCATTCTTGGGGGCAAGTATGGTGCTGGTGCTTGCGCCGCTTGAGGTGGTCTCGACTGAGGCTGTCTTGACTGAGATTGTCTCGTCGGTAATGCCGGTGGCGGAGAAGCCATGGACGTCTGACGGGGAGGTGTAGGCGGCGCTTGTACGGCACCATCCCTCCTCCCTGGCGGCCTGGGAAGATTGTCCGTTCGAAGCCCCGTAGTGTCCGTTCTATATGGCCCTGAGGGTTCCTTTGCCACTTCTTCCTCTTCCTTCTGCTGTTGTCTGGGCGTTGAAGCAGGGACAACACTGCCCCATCCACCTAACTGCTGCGGTCGTGCTGGCGATGAGGGCGTCGCTGGAGTACTGCCGAATGACCCAGCATGCTTTGGCGGTGCTCCAAAGCTATCTGGATCTTTCAGGCTCGTCAACGGTGCGCTTTGGTGGTTCCGCGCGTCCTCATATGGGTCTTTCTTCTTCCCCGTCGCTATGCCTTTGACGTCCGACTTCCACGTCTCGCGAGATATCGGACGGTCGCCTGATGGATGCCACCCTCCTTTCGCAATGCCTTTGAATTTGTCCATGTCTCTGCGTACCGCGCTGTTGTATTCGGTGTGTTATGAAGAGGTTGCCGAGAGGAAGACACAAGCGGAGTTGTCAGTGAATGCAATGCATCGTCAGCAACGCCTCGTTCCGCATGACGCCGAATGCCCAGACAATGATGTGGCCCTTTGCTGTGGCTCCAACACCTCCTACACTTACTTGACCAATACTTACTCTTTGCTGACAGGACCCTTCGGACGGCCACTGCAAGAACCATTCATCTTGCGATACGCATAATCGCACTGTCCGCAGATTGATCCGCCCCCTGATCACATGCAAGCCGTTCTTGCCGACCCCGCAAGGTACTGCACGAACGTCTCTTTAATGGCACGAGATCTATAGCACTCGGATCGTAAGTCGACGACCTTCATATCACCTCGACCGTCTCGTACGAACTCTCCACTCGTCCCACGATGTATCGTCTGCTCGTTCTTCTTCCTTTCGTCTCATGTCTATCCCAAGCGGCATGCAAGCCACCATGTCGATTTGCACCCCTCTATACTAGCAAGGAGATCGTCAAAGATCCACGACCCTTCATTGAAGATGTACTCTACTGGGAAGGCCACTTTGCCCAGCCAGGCATCGGCTACAATGCCGCCAATGAGATGACCTACGACGGCACGCTCTTGGACCAGAAGACTGGCCTCGCATCCGCGTATGGCGCCGGTCGACACAACTTCAGTGCCGCGAGCAAGGAGTCGCTTCATGTTATGGTGCTCGCTAAAGCCCTGGCTGGTGATGCCAATGCTGCGAGATTCATTTCGCCAGGCTCTCCCTCCGCTGCTCCGGACAAAGCTTATAAGATAATGAAGCAGAAGCTCGCCACGTACCTTGCTTTCAACGAGACGTATCCCGGCTTCGGCGGTCTGCTGCCCTGGTACAACAATACCTACGCCGCCATTGAACCGACGAGTGACTGGATTAATCGAATACCTGTTCTTGACAATGGCGAACTGCTCTGTGCTGTCTACGGAGCTGTACACGACCTTCAGAGGAGTTCGAGACCACATCATCGAAAGCTCGGGGACCAGTGGCAAGACTGGCTGGACTATGCTAGTGTCAATGTGGCAAAGATGTTCTATCACGGCAAAGGCAAGGTCTGCGCAGTTGCAAACCTCAAGCAAGCACTCTCACCCACCGACGCGAAGCAAAATTATTCCTGCGAAGGCACCGGTGTCCTCGACGATCCGTACGAAGGCGAGCTCTTCACGTGGTGGCCCTATTTCTTCGACGGCCTGTCAAAAATGGACAAACAAGCGCTGTGGACTGCAAAACGCCCCGCAACTCGTCAGCGACGAATACTACAAACACGGTATCGGCCCCATCACTGTGCAGAAGGGCTTCTGGTTCTCTTCTCACGAGCAGTGGAAAGTGCTTGAGATGCCTTATTACGACGTCGATCTCGTTAAGCGGTTGTACACTAACGCGGAACGAGCGAGGACTTGCAACAGCGCTGCTCGTCAAGTGCCTGGAGAGTATGCTTCTGTGAACAATGTCACCGACACTTATGGGGAGATCATTGGCTATATCTCCAACGCCGGTATCCCAAGTATCGCGAACCAAACAGAGCAGGGGCTGGACGTCGTGACACCTTACGCCGTCTTTCCGACCTTGCTTGTGGAAGGGAAGAGGGACAGAGCAGTAGGTATGACTTGGTGGCGGAACATGGTCACGGGAAAGAAGATGCAGAATCCGTACGGTAGCACGGAGTCTGAACGTCTTGACGGTACGGCTGTTTCGAGTTTCGTGAGCTGGGATAGCAAGATCACGACTGTCGCTGCTCTGCTTGGGGATGTTGTGGATGAGGTAAGACAGAAGATGAAGGTGGACGGAATATATGAGGAGTTTTTGCGAGTGACTGAGGTAGGTGTCTGCTTGTGTCTGAACGAGACGAGGGCTGATTGATGGAAAGAGGGAGTACGGTCGACTTTTCACCGAGCTGAAAGGGGAGGATGTCGATCTGTGTTTGCCAACGACGAAAATACCCTTGTCACATCTTGTGGACTACACCCAGTGCCACGCATAACACAATGGGCAGCATCTGAATGGCGACAGCACTGTTTGGCTATGCAACGGCTGTTGATACATTGTTCATTAGCTATGCTACCACTACATTACCGCCAACGCTCCGAAACAAGTGACGACCAGGCACATCAAAAGTCCAAAATGCTCTGTCCTGTCGCTCGCTGCATTCGTTTCTGGCTGGTCGTCATCTTGATTCTGGGATCTACCACTACTCTCAGCGTTAGACCCATTCCCATTGCTGTTGGCTTCGGACTGTGAGCCGTTTTCACTGCCATCAGCTTGAGACTTTGATCCACCTTTACCGCCGTCGGCTTGAGACTGCGATCCATCTCCACTGTCGTCGGCTTGAGACTGCGATCCACCTTTACTGCCGTCGGGAAGAGACTGCGATCCGTCGTCGCTGACACCGCTGGATTTCGGCCCATCTTCCTTCGCCTCGTTGCCTTCGCTGCCCTTGTCGTGGGACTGTGAGCCCTTCGCCTTTGTGCCGGACTGCGATGCCGAACCTCCTGTCGATTTGGGTTGTGATGATGCCGCACTAGATTGTTTCCCTCTGCTCCTTGTCGATTCGGGCTGTGACGGCGCCGTGGGTTTCGTTGAATGACTTTGCTCGGTTGCTGCTGCTTCGTCCCCCTCCACGGTGAAAGTTGTGGAAACGCCATCGACATTGTAGTCGCCATGCTCAAGTCCCTGGACAATGTAGCGACCGGGTGCAATCGTCACCACTTCTGGCGCTGATTCCTCGGATTCTTTTCGGCCCTTGGGTTTAAGTGCACTCGATGATTTGGATTCTTTTGGCCCCTTTGGATTGACTGCGATCGGTCGTTCGGATTCTTTCGGTCCTTTCGGAGTACCTGCATTTGGTCGTTCGGGTTCTTTAGGTCCTTTGGGAGTACCTGCGTTCGGTGGCTCGGATACCTTGGGTCCCCCCGAAGAACCGGCATTCGTTGGCTCGCCATGCTGCTCTTCTGGGTCAAGCATCACCGTCGTGTGCTCGTTGACTAGCGCCGGCTCGCCTCCAGCGTGTTCCATGGTGAAGACTTGGTCTTCCAGGGTGACGGACAAGACAGTGTTTTGAGGCACATGTGCGGCGGTCTTAGACGGGTGTGGTGCGATGATGGTAGGAACAATGGTTTCCGGGACCGTAGTATGTGCTTTGGTATGAGCTGTGGGTGGCGGGACGTGATGTACGGTAGGTGCCGGAATAGCAGGTGTCGAAGTCGGAGTAAGGTATGTGATCGTTGTGCAATCCGCTTCAGGCGCGGGCAGCGTAGTCTCAGGTGAAAGCGCAATCGGAGGATCCCACACGCCATCGGGGTGGATGTTGCAGTTTTCACCCCAGAGGCTCCGAATTGCTTGCGTTAGAGTATTGGGCGGAAGGACTTGAGGCTGGTAGTTCGGCCAGATCGTGGAGTTTTGGAATGCTGTAGAAGCATACCAATCCACTCCAGCAGCGTTGGCGAAGCCGTAGAAGTAGTCCGAAGCAGGCACTTCTTGGTAGCAGTCAGTGCGAGTGCCGGTGGTCATGAAGATGGTGTCTGGGTCCGAAAGACATCTGTAGTTGAGATCGGCGAAGTTGAACTGCCTGTGCGTGAACAAGGCTCGCGCTCCTTGGACTGAGGAGACGTCTTCCGGCAGGACGGGTATGACAGTGTATGGCACGACAGTCCCGCACTTGTCGACTCTCGAGAGACCTCCTATTGACACTGCCACAGAAGGGCTGGTGATGGTGATGCCTTCAGTCACGAAAGTGTTGGGCTCGTCTCCAGTGGGCGCGGCGGTCACTGTTTGGGCAGCGCCGTCGCACAGATTGTGATTGCCAGCTTTTGTGACCACCGGCCAGTATAGCAGTCGGATCTTGCTCCCGATGACCTGACAGTTGTTGCATGACCCGCCTTGTGAGTTGGTAGACCAAGTACGCGTGAAGGTCTCAGTCTCACACGGAGGGTTTCGTAGGCCATTGGAGCCGCCAGTCGCGGTGTATTCGTGCCAATGGCTCGTCCATGAGCTGTAGAGGAGCTCGCAATCCCGCGGGCCGATGGAGCACGGCGCTGGGGATGTGTAGCTGGCAAGGACGAAGGTTGGATTGGTATTCGTCCACTTCGAAGAGATTGTGACCACTCCTGCTGTGCTGTAGGTCACCGGTCCTACAACACGAGGGTATCCGTCGCATAGAGTGGTCAGGCTGTGGATTGTGGTGGCTCCGGGAAGATGCGAGTTGTAAGTCATTGATCCAGTGTAGTATGAGGTTGATACTGTGCCATATTTGGAGCCATAACTGTCCGTCGATGAGCTCCAGGCTAGCAGTGCTGCTTGACAGCTTTCCGCGAACGCGATCCCCTTGCCGTCGGAGGGCGTGGTTGTTGTGGCCGTAGCGTTTCTTGTTATGGTAGTCGTGCCGTTTCTTCGTGGGGGTTCAGTCGAGAGGGAGCCATTGCGATGCAAGAGAGTCGCCTGGCCAAAAGCGGCTAACAAGACGACTTGTAACGCCACACGCCATAGCCATTCTTGCATTCCTCTTCCCCTGGGCATGCTCATGCCCCCATGTTCGTTGAAGAGTGTCAACGAGAGTGAGAAAGGAAAGCTGCAAACACGCCTACCAACCTACCTGATCGCGAAACCAGACGTCATGCTGGACAAGGCCGGCCGAAGAGCATCCAAAATTGTACGCGACTAGTGGCCCATCTCCGTGGCGGCGGACACGTTTTGCAGGCTCTGAAGAGGTTGACTTCTACTTCGCTTCGTTGAAAGTTCGACGGACACAGCGGGCACGACCGCAACACGAGAACGGCTCCTTTTTCTTGCCACTGCTTGGGCCATGTGATCGGAACGTCGGAGAATGGCAGTAAACGTTCGCTGGAGCTCCCGTTGTGCCGACAACACACTGTGCGATTAGTAAAAGGGGGCTTTAATGGAAGTTTCTTACGACTGAGCTTCAGAATTCAGACGTTTGAGTATGGCAGAACCTCACCGCCTTCCATCTTGTCTTCCGCCACGCCTCAACTCACTGCTGCTCGGGACTATTTCGGGGCTTCCGAATGAAGCTATCATATTGTACAAAAGAAGCATGACTCAGCATTGTTCCGTATAGGACTCGATTGGTATTTTACCCATCGTTTTCTGGCCTCTATGGCGCAGTGGTAACGCGTCGCACTTGTATATCCACTGGGACAATCAATCAATGCGAAGATCTCTGGTACGTTTCATCCTGTCCGTGCCTGTCCTGCTGTCCTGGTTGGAAGCTTCCATCTCATCTTGATATCAATGATTTGGTTCCATCCCGTCTCGGTTTGGTTCCATCTGATCTCGGTGTGGTTCGATGTCGTCTTGGCTGCTTCACCCTACTCTACACGCTCAGTTCTACTTTACTCTACTTCACTTTACTGACTCTACCTCACTATAGGTTCAATTCCAGATGGAGGCAGATTCCTCTTTGTTGTTTTTTTGCTTCGTTATATGTTATTTATCATGTGTTGAGAAGCGGTTGAGTTGGCAACTCTTGGTTGGGTTGGGTCACGCTACCTTACGGTATGTAGCTACATACACCTTTCGCAATTTCAGGATCCGTGTACCTATCCAAACCACCTTTCCCTGACTATTATAGAGCACGTAATTCTTTTACAAGAAGACTGTTGTTTCAATAAGACTAGTGGTTTGTCAATTGGTTAGATGGCGAAAGACATACCTTCGTGCCAAGTGTAGCTTTCCACTAACCGGTCAGGAGTCAATGTCAATGGGATCTGCGAGGTTGTTCAATGGACACAGACAGTGCAATCTCCTTTGCATAGTCGGAAAGTGTTAACAATGCTATCAATATCTTGAGTCTAGATGGAGATGGTCTCAAAGCGGCACGATCGTTGGATCGAGCTCGGGGCATCATTAATCGTCTCATCATTATATGCTCTATGTAAGATATCTCGTTCATGACCTGGGCCACCTGCATCTAAAATAGCCAGTTGGCCAGCTATCAGGCAAAGGACTGTAGCGTATCGGCGAAAACGTCACATTCTGTCGAGGACACCATCTTGCTTGCTGCTTTGTCCCGCGCGTCCATATCTTCGAGCTTAGGAGGTCTGCTATACCCTGCTGCTTTCTAGAGCAATGCTCGAGTGAGCCTGAGCGGCCAAAGCAATCCCGACTTGCCACTTGTTGGCCTGGACTCGGTGCCGGGATCGCTCGGATTCGATGAGCATTGTGGGCTGGGTTCAAGCGTTCCAGATGCCAATCACTGAAGGCGCCGTCGAGCTGAAGTCGCTTAGTTGAGCCTCCAACAAGGTCCAGAAGGGCACCGTGCAGCTTCTGCACAGCCGGTAGTAACAAACAGCTCAGAAGTTCGTACTCCGCCTCCTGCCCAACGTAGGCCTTCTTGACCTCTGCTGCTGTCCGTCCCCATTCGTCTTCTGCGCCATCTCCTTCGACAGATGCTCCAATCGATCAATGAACGCGTGCTGCAGCTGCGAGTGCTGATTTCTCAGTGTCCCTTTCACAAACCCAGCATACATCCGCGGACACTTCGCATCGCTGATGATCTGCACATACCACCCTGCTCCTTGACTTTCCGTATGATGCATATCTCTTGTTCCCGTCCTTTCCAGCTGTGATGGAGGCTGATCTCGATCTGCCTCGTCTTCATGGATCGTCTCGTTTAGGGGTGCGGTCTCGCGAAGTAGTCGCCAGTGGTTCGTTGATGTGAAGCCGGCCGGTGCGTGGATGGTGATGTCGCAGCCATCCTCAACAGGTACGAAGTCTGCAGTATACCGCACTCCCCCGGACCACAGCTTCTTCGGGATGAATGGGAGATCGTCTTCAACCTCGAAGTACTGCATCTTCGGCTCCTTCGTGCCGTTGATGTAGCCATTCTTTCCATTGGGCGGCTGAACTGGTTTACAGCCACGACAGTCCGGGCTAAGCTTAACAACCGTCTCAAAGTCGTGGAGGATGTTGAGGCCGGCGATCTCGTCGACGAGGGCTGATGGGATTGGGGTCGCGGAAGCGTAGGAAAATGTTGTTTCGAACATGGTCGCTTTGCGCTTGAAGATGAAAGTGGCGAGGAAAGTCTTCCAAGTAGAACTCAGGAATTGCAGATCAACGCCTCGCAGACAGGTTTGACATAGGAAATGATGTGATGGTGATAGGAAGAGCAGAGATGAACCCACCAGGCCGTTGCGTCTCCCTCGCCCATCGTGGAAGGCGTGCTCCACCGCACCAACCTCTGCTGGTGCCATTGCCAGCTCAGGCACGAGGCCGCGGCGTTCCGCCGACTTCCATGATCAATCATTAGTCAATGATGCAGGTGTATGTAAACTTTCTGCGCCAGTGCCTGGCGATCAGACAGCACTAGCAATCCCTGCAAGTGAAGCTTGTCTTCGTCCAAGACTCTTTGGAGACCTCTTCCTCGGACATCACCTTTGCTGTATCATCAAGAAGTCACAATACTTCATAACTGCATCTGGACGGGAGAAACTTTGGACTGAAGACGGCTTGATACATCGTGTTGCATAAACCAATGTCAGCTTGCATATTCAGCTAAAAAGAAAAACACAAATATTACTGCCGCATGTTCTGTCATGAACCCACTAACAAGCTCAGATTCTGCTTCAGCTAAATCAAAAGGTGCTCTATTAGGTTCTGCTACTGATCTCGACGCCTTTCGTACCTCCAAGAGGCAAGGACATGCCAGTACATGTTCCACGTTCTGCCTTCTTCTCCCTCACACTACCGGCTACCATTGAACCTGCTGTTACACGTTGCTCTTCTCTCCTGTCTCGTATTAAGATGCAGTCTTCTAACCTGCCTACCTCAGGACTCTTGAGCATACCTTGCTTACAGTTCTGATCTTGTCCTCTCGGGCATTGCTACTCTTTCCGATATACAGCCTGGTGCCACACCAATTCTAGATCATTTACTCAAACCCTTCTCACGTTCCGTCGGAATGTAGCTGAAGCTATTGCGGTTCCCAATACTCTTCAGATACTCCGCATTCCGCATGTGCAAGTCCAACCTGTTGAGTTTGTTATGTATCCACTCAATCTCCTTCCGGGCAGCATTCAGATACTCCTTCAAAGTCATCTCATCCCAGGTGTCGACTAGGTCGCCAGAGGCGTACTCCCTATAACACCGTCAGCCCATGGTTACAACACAAAGATCAAACACCGCCTCACCATTCAATCGGACGATCCGCAAAGAATTGATCTATGAATACCTCGATACAATACTTCGAACCCCAAGCCTCTTGCACCCTCTGGTACAGCTCCGCATCGAAATTGCGGTCAATGGCTTGTGCAGTTGCCTTGAGGATGTACTGGAGATCGCGCATCGCGAAGTGTTTGCTTTCGAGGAAGTCGCCGCTGGGGTTGTACTCAAGGTCCAGCCACTTGATCAGCTTCTCGATGTCACCAGGATTTGAAGGCGTGCTCCCACGCTCCGGGGCATCCGGTTTATTCGGCTCCGGTGTACCCTCGGTCGAGCCACGATGCGCTCCCACGCTCGACGGTGAGTTAGGCTCATATCTTGGAGACAGTCCCTCAGTCAGAAGCGCCAAGGAGAGACGCTCTGGATGCTGTCCCGGCAATATCGAAGGCCCAGCTGCGTCCGTTCGTGGCGGGCTTGGTGGGCTTCTTATCATTCGCGGTGGCGAGCTCGACCTCTCTCGCAAGGTCGTTGTTCTTGAAAGCGGCGGGGGTGAGATCTCTCGTATCACCCTCATCCTTGGAGATGGCGGCGGCGCTCTCGATGGTGACGGCGGTGGTGGCATGTTCGAATCTCTGCTACGCGAGTCGCTGCTCATCCTTGGCTTCGGGGAAGGCTAGAGTGTTGGTAGGCTGTCGAAAGGCGTTTGGAGGTTTGAAGAAAGCGTAGCCGGAGCCTGCTCTTGTACCACTCACTGCCCGCTGCACGAACGACCCCCGTGTCATCGAGTGTTTGCTGATCATCATTCATTATGCTCTCGCCGCCTTCGCCGAGCAGAGCAGAGCAAACAACACATTCGAAGTGTTCATGAGCGTCCTTGTGCCTCGTTGCATGAGTTCGGTATCTAGGGGAGGGTAACATGTGCTGGTAAGAAATCACCCCATGTGCTGCAGTCCCGGCGGACGTCTCACACGCCGGAAATCTGGGCTCGATACCTCGTGGCGAGCATGGAACTTCACCCGCTTTCGGAGAGACTGCCCGGAGTAGCTTTCGCTGCCATTTAGTGGAAACGGCCAAACCTTACAAGGGTAGTAGCCAGCTTGCCAGCATATTCCAGAAGCAGTGAGTCTTTGAAGTTAACGCTGAGAATGAGGTTAGCCACAACAGGACAGCGTCTTTGACGTCGATTCCTGGTCCCGGAGCAAGCAATGTCGGCGAAATCCTAACGATGGCGTGAAATGGTGTTGCACGGAGTTGCGCAGCTGGACAGCCCGCTGGACTTTCGATTCCGCTAATTCGTCCTCTCTACATACAGGACTGGAGGAGTGTAGGTTTTCTTCCCCCGGACGAACCAGTACACCATTCCGACAATAATCAGGCCGCCATAGATAACACAATTCCAGTTCACTAGAGCATAGCAGTCAGCATATGAATTCAGAACATGAGAGGTGGAGCTTACTCGTTGCCAAGGTCAGTTGGACGCCCGTCGCCAATGGGAAGAAACAAAAGACCCAAACCGTCAAAAGCCAGGCCAGAGCGCCCAGATTGACGAAGATGCCAAACCTTCCCATGCTCCATCGACGAGCTGGCAGCGGTCCCTGGAAGCGGCGGTAGACGAGCACGGAGATCGAGATGAAGTAGGTGCTCAAGATGGACACCAGAGCGCAGGATCCGATAGCGTTGAAGGCCACAGTCGATCCAATATTGATCAACGCCAAAAGGCAGCTGATGGTGAAGGTGATGAGAACGGAGTTCAGCGGGATGTTCCAGCCTGGTCTGACGTGCGCCACGAAGCTGGAGAAAGGCAGGCCGTTGTCGCGCGCAAAGGCCCACGTCTGGCGGGAGACGGTGGCGACCGTGGAGATACATGCAGAGGTGATGTTGGTGATGATGATCGCCGTCAGTACAGAGGCAGCTGCCCTGTTCTGTGTGGCGTTGTAAAGGACCAGGATGAAAGGGTATCCGGTCGTGTTGTCTGGAGGCAGGATGACGAAAAGGTTGCCCAACGTGAAACAATAGGTGATCGTCATGATCCAGCCTAAGCTTCCGTTGAGGACGGCCGAGGTCATAATGGCTCTCGGGACCGTTACTGAAGCGTCTCTCACTTCTTCAGCCATGTGAACAGCTGAATCTGCACCGAGCAAAGTGTAGACCGGCGTTAGGAGCCCGACCATGAAGGAAAGACCATTGCTCGACCATCCACCAAGATTTGTGATTGTGCCGAACACCTCGCTGGCAGGGAGTCGGGGCGCGAGGGTCCAAAGGGGAACAAGAACAGCGAAAAAGCCGACGATGTGTAGTATCAGGACTGCGCCCTCGACCATAGGTAGCTTGTGCGCTAGGAATGAGTTGAAGATGATGCAGAACGCAACGATGGCCCAGACCAAAAGCGTGCCGTGCCAGCGCTCGAATGTGTACGAGGTGGGATTGTTGAGGACTATCAGACCCTGGATGACGGTGCCAACGATAAAAGCGAGCGAGGCCAACCCAATCTGATCGTTGCAACGAGGAAGAGCGTCAGTCCTCATCACCCAAAGAGCTGGTTAGTGTCGTCGCTTTGTCGAGCGTCTTACCTGCCATCCAAAGACCGATATCCAACCGACCAGCCAGCTGAGGAATCGCTGGCAAGACCGAGGCGCAAACTCGGACACCCAATGGTATTGACCCCCTGCAGTTGGCGATCTGACCAGCCATTAGCGATACTATCTCAGAGGCTTCCCGTGTCACTCACATCGAGGCCATCTCGGCGACGGAAGCAAAGACCATGCCGTAGCCCTGAAGAGAAGAAAGGAAGGGTTAGCAATGTTCTTGAGCTTCGAGTCCAGTTGAAAGAGTCTCCGGACGTGGTTCGAGGCTTGATCGTGTCGCAGAGAAACATCGGCTTGAGGATCAATTTGCTCGACTTGTGTATGGGGATAGAATGGTATCTGACTGCCGCTGGCTCATGATTCTTGTCTCGGAGAAATTTCCCATCCACTGGTGGACGAGCAGATGTCTCGAGCTTTTGGTAGAACTGGCTCTTTATTGCGTTGACTCACCATCCAACAGACCAGGTACCCCCACACAAGGCCAGCGGTGCCTCCATCGAGAAGCCCGAAGAGCGATGAGGCCAGCTCGATCTCCCAGGTGCTCATGAGCGTACAGGCGAAACCAAGGGTTGAGATGAAGCGAAAGTTGCGCTGTGCCAATGTCAGTTGGTGGTCAGAGCGAGCGATGAGCAAACATACGTTCAACACTTGTGTCTTGCCTAGCGTTCGCATATCGCGATGATCTTGCGCCGTGCCTTGGTACTTGTCGCGCAGAGCACCCTCGAATGTGTCCAGCTCATGATCGTTCCCCACCACCATGTCCGACTTGCCAACGTGGCTCATGATGGCCAGCTCTCCAGGTGAAACGGAAGATTCGATGTGGAAAGAAGTTGTGTAGGAACGCAGATCAAAGGAAAAGGTACTCTACCTCGAGGTACCTGCCCTCGCACCTAGGTAGATCGGCCATGTGGGACGACCGTGTTGGCAGAGCTCGGACGAGAGCAGTTGGACATGGATATTAAGCGACAGCTACCGGGACACCCACGCGAAGCGCTAATGACCGCGCAGTTTGATGGTGAATGTGTGCCGTGTGAGATCCGTGGGCGGCGTGGAAAACGACCAGAGACGGTTGGACATTCGACCGGCGTGTGTGATTCGGGGTGAACGGCAAGAGTCTTGAAGCCTCCGGGGGCGGGAACTCACCATCTTGGCGAGGCTTGAAGAATGCGACAGTCACCTCGTCAAAAACAAACTAAGGAATAGCACACTCCTTGTCAGCATCAGATGTGTTACGCTCGCGGAGAAGGAGAGTCCGATGCTCTATGAACCGACGAAGGTGGCTTCTCCTTGTCCTAAGATGGTGCCTCGTGCTAACGAGCTGGTTGCCAGAATCTCAGAGCCGTCGGCCCTTCGGAGTACTTCTTATCAAGCTGCTTCGGCTGCCGCTTGGTTGGATCGCATACCCTCGAGGTACCTCAATGTGGCGTTGGATGTGATCTTAGCGAGCCGTCCGAGCAACCACTCACAATGCAATCCCGTTGTGATCGGAAGCTGATGCCTGCGACATGGCTGCAGCGGGCTGCAGTAGTGAGTCTTGCATTTATCTGGCCGGGCTGTCCCTCCTCTCCGAGCCGTGTCACATTTGGGCTATAGTCTATGGACGATGTCACAGACGACTAGCAACATTGGTTGTTTGTTGCGTACAAGGTGCATCCTTCTCACGGCTAAGATGGTCAACGGTGATATGATCTATCCATTAAGAAGGAACCTCCCAGACGACGCCATCGCCAGCACGAGGGCAGCCGACGGTCAACACCATGCCGGCACCTGAGCCCTCCCTCTTACCTGGCCAGAGTCCGCCCTTCTTTACAGTGACTCCGACGGATCAAGCAGGAGTGATTGTCAATGTGGCCGCCATCTGCCTGATACTCGCCGCCATCTCGATGGGGATTCGAGCGTACGTCCGCTTCGTAATCGTCCAACAACGCATCGCATGGGACGACTCCGCTGTACTTCTGGCCCTCCTGCTCTTCCTCATCCAGACCGCTTTGGTCTTTCAAGAGACCCGCGATGGACTCGGCAAAACGGTCCGTCGGCTCACGCGTAATCAGATTTTGACAATACAAGAGGTACGAATACCATGCATATCACCGTCAGAGAGGGTCGCGTGGTTGACCAGAATCATAGTATCTCTACGCTGACGACTTCTTCTTCCTGCTGTCAGTCTGGACGACGAAAGTCGCGTTTGCTCTGCTATTCTATCGAACCTCGCCTAAGAGCAGCTTCCAACGGGCTACCAAAGGAGTCTGCGGTTTCATTGTCCTCACAGGAGTCGTATCAATACTTCTCATCACTCTCCGATGCGACCTCTCGCAACCATGGATATGGTTCACTTCGAGCGGAACAACCTGCGAAGATCTGACCACGAGATGGCAAGCGATCAGTGCGCTCGACATTGCTACTGAAAGCCTCCTATCCGCATTGTCTCTATACCTGGTCTGGGACCTACAAATGTCTTTTTCGAGGAAGTCGTTGGTCGTCTTCGCCTTCAGCCTGCGCCTGGCTATCATAGCGCCAATAGTCTGCCATCTACACTACCTAACCGTTGCAACCAGATCGGACGATGTCAGCCTCAAGGCAACGTCTTTCGTTCTGTGCAAACAAGTCGAGCTAGCCTATTCAGTCATTGCTGCCAACATCCCAGTCCTGCGACCTTTCATCATCGCAACAGCGACCAACTACGGCGGTTTAGCCGAAGGCCCCAAGGGCCACTCGGGAAGTAACCACGAGCTTCAAACGTTCGGCTCCAAAACCATCAGTCGACGAACGAAGTCCAACAACAACTCCAACAATCGCTCGAGAATCGACGACGACGAGACGATGCTCAACGCCGGGCCCACGCATACAAAGATCTCGTCTTCGGGGAAGCAAGATGCAACGAGCGTGGGAAGCAATGATAGTGAGCGCATGATTATACGGAAGGATGTACAATACTCGGTAGCCTACAATCGAGGCAGGTCGGAGAGTGGGATGCATAGTAGGGAGAGCGAGGAGGACTGCTCTGGAGCTTGGTGATGACAACTGTATACATATGTAGGATAGTCCTGGCGTCCCCATCTTGTTGTGGATACTCGAGCTCGTCTGCATGACGTTATGATCTTTGGCCGAGGATAGAGCCCAAGAGATGTTGCATTGCGAGTTACCCCAAGTCTAGTAAGACGAGCGGCGTGGAGAATTCCTTCGTACATTTGTGAATATTTGCGCGAACGCCAGCCGGCCTGCTGCAGGGGCACGATTTAGGCACATATGCAACGGTATGTTCCGTATGGACCAACCTCTGTCGCTTGCCGAGCTGGTTGAAATGTTGGATCCAAACACATGCACCACGCATTTGCTGACTTGAGTCACGACATCAGCTGCTTCGCATTTGGCTCAGTGGGACTGCAACACATTTTATAAAATGGCAGCCGCTGTAACATCACACCCGCTGACAGCTGAGCAAGTCTTCGATGATGTTGGACCAGCGTACGAGAAGGCTTTCGCCAACCTAGAGCCACAAGCAGCGGCAGTCCAATGGGTAATCGATCAACTGAGAGAAATGAACTCAGCGAAATGTCTCGACATAGGCTGCGGCACCGGTCGACCGACCTGCGAGGAGCTCGCCAATGCCGGGCATGACGTCCTCGGCATCGACATCTCTGGCGCCATGGTTGCAGACGCCTCCAAGAAGATCCCCAATGCGAAGTTCGAGAAACTGGACATGGCTGAATACAACCCTGCCCTGGAGTCCTTCGACGCCATCACCGTCTTCTTCAGCATGATCGCGAGCGTGACCCAGGATCAGATCCGGGAGAACATTCGCAGAATCTACCACTGGCTGAAGCCGGGTGGTGTGTTTGTGTTCGCCACTGTTCCTGTCGCGGGCAACAATCTTGAGATAAAGTGGATGGGGCGGCCGGTTGTGGTTTCGAGTTTGACTGCTGAGGAAGCAGTCGAGTGCATTCGGACGACTGGTTTCAAGGTTGAATATGATGCTGTTAGTGCTTTCACGCCGCACGCTGTTGAGGCGGGGATCTGTGAAAAGGACGACGTGTGGGAGGAGCCGCATGTGTTTGTGTACGCTAGAAAATAGTGGGAAGACGCAGGGAACTGGGCACATCTGGTATGGGATGTGGTGCCAGCTCCATCAGGCTCAATGGCTTAGAAGTCCTCACCTCACTCTTGCTGATGGGGTGTCGCCATCTGAAGAAGAATTTCCATAAACCTCCTTCTCTCTACCTTGAAGGGCCGCTTTGTTGGGGCAGCCTCCCAGCTTTCCAAGAGAGTCTTCCTCGGTTCCTGATGAGGAGACAAGGCCGTAATACACCCACAAGAGCCTCCTGAACGGCTCATGCTCCGTGGCCTTATGAGGAGTTGGAGTATGCGGTCCATGTACCAGCAGCGTCTTTGCTGCACCATCTCATAGGTCCTTTTTAGATAGCTTCTAATGATGACTGTGCAGTGTGCGTCCGTGACCAGCTGTCTACGGATCCAAGGTCCGATTTCACGCGAAGCTTTTGCATCTAGGACAGAAGATATCTTGACCATGATGATCTGTCCATCGATTGCTGGTGAGGAAGGCGAGGATAGGTTCACATGCTCCTGGTTGTTGCCCGGATCGGGTAAAGATGCTAGCGCGGGCTGCACGGACGAGGGAAGTGAACCTTCGTACGCCAATCTCCACCTCACTTCTTCCCCCCCCTGAGCATCTACATCGTCTCATCGTCAACCGGATTCCCGACCCTTCCCCAGCCATGCGAGCTGTGAGAATGTCCAACAGCGACACGTGGAAACGCCTCTCTGCGGATGACAGATTTTCCATTGGGCCGTGTCGCCGTGATGTGCAGCTCTCGGTAGAAACGCCATGGATGGGATCGAGCCCGGGCCCCCGTACCGTGTCCAAAGCTGGGTGCAAGATGCGGCCAACGGGCTCCTACGGTTACTCACGCCTTCCACCCGACTCACTCGATGACATGCCGCCGCCGGTTGCGAGACCTGGCAATGGATGTCTGACAAACTCCCGAATTGACATCAAGACCAGAAATTTTGCAGAGGACTCAGGATCAAATGCTGCCACAACAGCATACTGTACCTTCGGTAAGAAGATCAGGCCATGCATGCATAGAGCTTGAGGTAGTAGCAATGCCCCATGCATACCAATCTGCCGTACGTCGAGGCCGTAGTGCCTGCACTCACCCACGCTCGCAGCTTTAGGTTCCAAAGACTCCAGCTGCTAGGCGTCGGTAAAGCTTTTGTTGCAGCAAGAAAAGTCTCCAGTATTGGACACTGCCGCAGCACCTTCTACGATGCAGTCTGCTTACACATCGTCTGCGCTGCTTAGATCTTCAAATCACAAGCGCGGCCGCCAATCGAATGAAAGATCAATTGCCCAACTCGGGCATGATGGTTCATGGCGACTTGGCCATCTCGTTCCACGGCGGGAGGTTGTGCCTTGCTGTACGCCACATATTTTCGCCTTGCAGCATTCTCTCGCTTCCACGTGGATCGCACCGTAATCGCGACGGATTACTTCGCTAATGGCTAGTCGAGACCACCAAGTACAGCATTGTAAGCTCGTCTAGAGTCCACGCGAGGACGTGCTTGTAGTTGACAGGCATTCAAGGCATCTAGTGTATTGTGACAATTCTGCAATGGTTTGCGATGCCGAGCAGATACACAGCAGGATCGATGTTAGATAAGTATATCTTCACTGCCCATTCCGTCAATCCAACGTTGACTTCTCGCACCTCGATATTTCCTATCGTTACGTCTTCACCATCGAAGCCAAAGCCCTCACCATCGAAGCCAAAGCCCAACTCTCCAGAGCTTCGGAGAAGGACTCATACCAATACCTAGGTACTCGCCGTCGACCTCCACCGCGAGCAATGCTCAGCTCATTGGGCCTCTGCGCTGCCTTAGCGTGCGGACTGGCTTTGGCAGGCCCTCAAAAGACCTGCGCCGACTACGACATATCGATCACCGTCACCTCCGAGAATCTCATCCTGGGTGGCCTCCCTGAGTTCGAGGACAATTACGATGTGGCGGACTTCCTCTCGAATCTGGGCAGCCGCACTGCAGCGGTCGACTTCCAGCCCGTCTCTGGGATTGAAAATCAAACGACTTCGTACACTATCTCGGCAACTGTCTGTTCACCCGTCGACCCCAAAGCAAAACACCGACAAACTGTGTTGATGGCTACGCACGGCTTGAACTTCGATCGCAAGTACTGGGACCCGGCCATTCAACCCGATAAGTACAGCTTCGTCGACTTTGCGATTGAGCGTGGCTACTCGATCTTCTTCTATGACCGGCTTGGAGTTGGAAAATCTTCGAAGTTAGTACAAGAGTCCTCGAATGCAGACTGATCACTTATTGACCACCTCCTTCAACACAGAGTCTCTGGCTATGTCAGCCAGCTTCCCAATCAAGTCGCCATCGCCACGAAACTTGCGCAGCTCATCAAGGCCGGGAAGAATTCTCCGGCAATCGGCAAGCCAAAGTCTTTAGTGCTGGTGGGACACAGCTACGGAAGCCTGATTTCTGCTGCAACTGTCACGGCGCAACCAGATATCTGTGAAGGCCTCGTCTTGACTGGTACGTCTTGTCGACTTGGTACGTTGTGATCGGAACTTCGCTTATCTTTTTGCCCAGGCTTCAGCTATAATGGAACGAACATTCCAGTGTTTCTACAAGCAGCGGAGCCTCGCATCGCATCGACCCAGTCGAAAAAATGGAGTAGCCTCGACAGCGGATATCTGACTCCTGTGGACATCTTCGCCAACGTCAATACGTAAGAACCAGTCCGAGAATCGTCGTATCAACACTCCATGCCTAACAGACTCTTATAGATTCTTCAAGAAGCCGGACTACGATCTCGACGTTGTCAAGTATGCGGACAATCACAAGGCACCGTTCGCTGTAGCGGAGTTCCTTAGCGCTGAAGCCCTTGACGTGGTGCCGACACAGTTCCAAGGCAAAGCGATGGTACGTCGAGGGCGCAAGACTGCCAACTTTGTGTAAGGCTGACTGCGGGACCAGGTTATTGCGGGGCAATATGACTACATCTTCTGTACTGGCCAGTAAGTGCTGCTCCTCTTCAACCAAGCGAGAAACAGTGAGTGCGGCCTACCGAGCAAGTTACGCAGCCTTCTCCCACACTCATGTTTACCCGAAAAGACCACATCACACTCGTGGCCAGGCGGTTCTTGGTCTGTGAGAAGATCCATCCAAGCTGTCACACGGCTCGCTCTGGCTTGGTACGCTTGATGGCCGCTTTCAATATTTGTCGCTTAAGCGAGAGACAGACTATAGTGACAGCGGGCCACCAGGTCAGGGCGAGCCGAATGATGGAAGTTCTCACAGACAAACAAAGCCGGCCCACGAGAGTAATGCAGGCTTTATGGACACATTTCGGTCTGTGAGAGGGCTACAAAATAGTTCGGTGGGACGCTTTCACCGTCTCTCGCTGTCACCCTGTACACTGCTTGGAGCTGATAGATGTCGACAGATGCGACGACGTGATCGAACATCCAGCCAGAGAGATATTTTCCAACGCCAGCAAGTTCCGTGCAATCAGCTACCCTGGAGCTGGGCATGGCTTGAACTTCGCTCGCAACGCTAAAGGAGCATTCCGAGAGATATTCGACTTTCTCGACAAGGCTCGAGATAAAAACTGACAACAGCTCTCCTTTGGGCCATTGAACGATGCTCACGGCGCAGGAGAAGCGTTGTTGGGATGCAGGAAGAAGACTGCCCGTGGAGAGAAACTGTGAGCTCGGAGCTTAGAGTCGGAGCTGAGCTTCTCAGTCCACCTACGCAATCCGGCGGTCGGAGGTCAACTGCGCGCCGTCAGGCTACACCAAGAATACATTTGTCACCGAGAGTTCTCAACCAGAGCGTACTCTTTCGTGCGATATACATTGTTCATACACAGATGTATGGTTCTTTGCGGCAACTGTCATCAAGATGCTGGGACTCAACCACCGCCACGACAACAGACAGGCCAGTGGTGCTGCCGCAATGTTGTATATCATGAGAGAGGCCCAATGCTCTCGCAGTTGGATCGCAGGATATATGCCGCCTTGAACAGACGAACAGGCATTGCATATAGCGATATCGTTGACAAGTTTCAGCATAGAGCAGCGTTGCTTCAGCGCCGAGTCGAGAGGCATTGACAGTATTTCGGCGATGGACAAGGATGTCAAGAAGTTGCTCCCGAAGCCGAGAGATGAAGGTCCGCAGATGACGCTACCCTCTTTATTGACTCTTGTGCCGTTGCTGACCAAAGACGCAGAGACAGACACTACTGAAGCTCTCTCCGTTCCTACCAGCCTTGCCAGTCAGCCGTATGATTTCTTGTTTGTGAACGCTTCTAGCACAGAAGCTCCCCAGCGGAGTCTGAATACAGCGATCCGGCGGCATGTGCGTACCGACTCTCGCAAGCCAGGCAGTCCTGAACCGTCCGCTTCGCACGCATCTTCTCCGACTGTCCAACGGTTTCGTTTGGGTGGCGGAGGATTGCGTGAAGTTGTGCCTAGGCGGAAAAAGACGGGTGAGGGAGCGACTGCTCCAGAGACTTTCGCGGCGTCCAGCGTTGATCCTTTCGATACGTTTCCCGTGCCTAACTCCCCGACCGTGGACTTGCTAGTCCGTGAATGTGAGTACGTTAGGTTCACGGATCTGGTTTATGCTGACGTTCAACAGACCATGAGGTAATTATCAAGTCGTCACCCCTCCTGGTAGCCTCGAGGACAGCATGCTTTGCGCTGGCGATGCAAGATCCGGCATTCTTCATAACCAAGCTCTGTCATGCTGCAAGCCGCAGAGCGTTGATGTCAGCAGGATATGCGGTAGAAGTGCTGACACTCAAGAGCGACACACTTCGGATGATACAGCAACGCTTGCAAAGCCAGGATCTGGGTGACTTCACAATTGCAGCGGTGGCTACATTGGTCTCTAACGAAGTGAGTACCCCAGCCATGACTTGTAGAACCAGTATGCTGATGCTGATGCTGATCCAGGTGGTTTATGCCACTGAGCCGTCATCGATCAAGGTCCACATGGATGGCCTTGCAAAGCTTGTAGGGCTGCGAGGCGGCATGACTGAAGCTGAATTTCCATTTCTGATCCGTCGCATGATCGTTTGGTGGGTGGTAACTCTGGACTCTTCTACCGTTCTTGCTGATTGTCGCAGGGCCGACATCCAGGTTGCGTGTGCCTTGTTCACTGTTCCACGATTCTCCTCCTTGACACTTGAAGAGTTGAGTCAGACAGTGCCTGGGACCATCGCAACGGCACATTCGCACCCAGAAGCACAGGATATCATGCCGACTCTGCTAGAGCTCCGGCGGCAGGCTACGATACTCGAATCTGGTTCTCTTTTGACTGATCATGAAGGCTTAGCGTTGCCCGAAGCATTTTACCATCTCCAGCTGAGGCTGCTATCAATCTGGCAGGGTAGCAAACACGAACTCCACAACTTCACGAAAATCTGGTCTGTTGCTGGTCTGATGTTTCTGGAATACTTCCTGCACGGAACGTTGTCCGGTGCTCCCGCAGTACAAAGGCTCTGCCGACAGTTGCGCAGCCTGATCGAAGAAGACCGCTCAGATCCGGACGGCTCGTCCGCTTTTGGCAAGCAAGATATGGCCTTACGCCTCTGGATCATATTCACGGCTAGTCTGGCTTCGATGGGCGAAGACAGCTTTGCATGGTGGTCTCATGAGCTTCTACATCTCTGCGAAAGGGTTCCATTACGGTCTTTATCCGATGCGGAGGCACTTTTGCAGACTGTATGTTGGCCTGAGAGGACGGCGTCAGCGGCAAGTCGAAAGTTGTGGAAGAAGTCGCAGGAGGAACACTCACTGTTGGAGTCGTCCTAGAAGCAGGCCATTCTGTGAGGCTGCCAGGATGTGACATCACGGTCGTGGCAACCAATGTGCAGTGGAAACGGCCCACAGGGCATATATGGCAGTCTTCTCCCAGACCCAAATGCACTCGAAGAGGCCACATCACTCTCGTCGGCGGGCGTTTCTTGCCTATGAGAAGATTTAACACACGGCTCGCTCTGACCTGATGCGCCCAGTCGGCCACTTTCGCTGTATCTGGCTTGCGTAGCTGGTCGGACGATTGCGGCAATCTCAGTATACAGAACCACTCAAGAACAGCAAAGAATGCATCCAACCCTTGGCCGATTCTTGTGCGATGATAAGCTCCTTGATATGCGTATCGCCAGTGGTTACCTACCTTCCTTTTTTGGACAGAATGGCAGCTACTCCGGAACACCTGCATATACTTTCTCTGAATATGCCAATCCTTACTGTTTCGGCTTCCTGCCCTATCGCAAGTCCATGTCTCCCAACTTCAGAGATAGTCGTCGCGGATGGGCATTGGACAAGATGAGGCAGACGTTTATCAATGTCCATGCATGCCTGGGAACTCGGCACTCGCTGCTCTGTGGCGAACATGGTATACTTATATCGACGAGTAGGTCCTACAGTCTTCGAGGTCTTCAGTTCTCGACCGTGTCCCATTACTTTCTCACAACGTTCAACACCATCATCATATTCTCCGTACCATGTCGTCCGACGCAGACGTCGAGAAGCGTAGCATGAAAGAGCAGCCAAAGAGCGAAGCCGACAGTGTTGTCGCTCCCACTCTGGATGAGCAAGGGGGTGAAACCAAAGAGATCAGCGATATCGATGGCGACGATGCGCTCAAACTGGCTGGAGCCCACGCCCATCAGTTCGACGAGGCGTACTTCAAACGCCTGCGATGGAAGATTGTAGGTCCCGGGTCTCTTTGAAGACGACATGCCCACTGACTTTGCATCAGGACTTACATCTCATGCCTCTGATGGTCTTCGTATATTTCACCCAGTTCCTCGACAAGAATATCCTCTCCTACGCCTCCATCATGGGCTTCCCGGTGGATGGAATCAACTATAACAACGTCGCTCAGGCTTTCTATATGGGCTTCTTAGTCTGGATGTTCCCTACCCAATACATCGGGCAGAAGTTCCCAATCGCGAAATACCTCGGCGTCCACATTATCCTCTGGGGTGGTCTGGTCATGGTCCATGCCGCCTGCGACAAGTTTCCCGGGTTCTACGCTCTGCGTTTCTTCCTGGGAATGCTCGAGGCCTGCGTCTCGCCCAGTTTGATCCTCATCGTCAGTATGTGGTACAAGCAGAACGAGCGCGCCTTTCGGATCGGCCTCTTCTACTTCGGCAACCTTTCCACCTCCGTGGTCGGCGGCGGTGTTGCATACGGCGTGACGTTCTACAGTGGTCCCATCGCCCCCTGGAGACTGCTCTACCTCATCCTCGGCGCCCTGGCGGTGTCGTGCGGCATCCTGGTTGTCATCTTCCTCCCGGACTCTCCTGTCACAGCCAAGTTCCTCACCCAGGAGGAGCGTATCGCTGCCCTCGAGCGTGTCCGTCTCGACCAGGCTGGCACCCACAACAAACACATCAAACGTTACCAGATCGTCGAGACGTTCAAGGACATCCGCACATGGCTGATGTTCCTTATTATAATGTGCATCGGTGTGCCAAACGGCGGTCAGTCAGCCTTCAACAACATCATCGTCACGAGCTTTGGCTGGACCGAGCGGGAGTCTCTCCTCTTCAACATGCCGCGCACAGCGATCGGTGGCTTTGCCGTTGTGGCCGTTGGCTGGTTGTCTGACCGCATCAATGACCGCATGACTCTGATCATCATCTTCACCATTCCGACGCTCGTTGGCATGATCATCCAGACCACCATGCAGTACTCTGGACAGAAGGGTGTGCTGTTGTTTTCGCAACTCTTCCAAGATCTATCGGCTCCAGGATTCCCATTGTGCTACGCCTGGAATGCCAGCAACTCGGGAGGTCATACCAAGAAAGGTGCCGTTCTCTCTACCTTTCTCGTACAAACAGTCTCGCTAATGCCGTACAGTCTCCGTTAATGCTTTCGCCCTCTTCACATTCGGCGTGGGCTCTGTCGTGGGCACATACATCTTCCTGCCAGAGGACGCTCCCGGCTACATTCCCGGCAAAGCAGCCATCGTCGTCCTGACGGTCGTTTTGATGCTCACCTGCGTTGTAATGGCCTACGTCAACGTTCGCTGGAACCGCCAGAAGCGCGCCCAGCTCGCCAAGTTGGTCGAAGAGAATGGATGGAGCGAGGAAGACGTGAGTCGGGAGAGGGAGAAGGCGGCGTTTCTCGATCTCACAGACAGGGAGAATGTGTTCTTCACGTACACGAGATAGATGTAGGAGAAATTGAAGGGAGGGAGATGGCAACCTAGCGTGATCGTTGGTGCTACATCTTTCGTACTTACAACTAGACCGCTTGAAGAATTCCGCGGGAGGATGTACCCAATACAACCAATCCATGACCGCTCGCAGCTTAGCGAAGAGACAGCGAAAGGGGCCACCTGGGCAGTATTTTCCGAGACGAGATTGCGGTCAAAAGGGCCACATCATTCTCGTCAGTAGGCGGTCATTGTCTGCGAGAAGGTCCCTTACACAGCTTATCCCGACCTGGTAGGCCGCCTTTACGGTCGATAGCTTGCTGAACGAGTACGATGACACTACATGACAATCCTATCAGTGATATAGACACCATCATGACGTTATGGCCTTGAGATAGAGTGCCCGCATTGCGATGTACTTCTTCAGCGGTCAAGGAAGTGAAAGGTGTCGCGACGAAAGAGCCCGGAGGAGAGAAGACGAGACGAGAAGGGCGGCTAAAGATCATACTAGAACTAAACAAGGCTAGCGTCGTTCGATTGAAACACTCTCGAGACTTCACCTCCTCCTACACTTCATCAACGCCCACTGCATCTGCGACACGTTACTGAACCACCATCGCCGGTCTCCTACTTATCGTTGTACGGGCGGTTCAAGATCTCAGAATACTCCCACAGTATGAATGCTCTTGACACGTTCCTTGGTCCAGCAGCCGTTGGCAAGCGCCACTCCACTGCAACTCTGGTAGCCAACGCGCTTCGACCTTGGGTGAATATCAATAATGGCAATAAAGCAAGGTGGGCGGTTGAACACCCTTGAGTCTGACAAGTTGAAAATTTCTCACCTATCAGGACGCAGAGTTCGGCGCACAACTATTTCGATGCGACAATTTCGTTGAAGTGGTTGCGAGCAGATGAGATCTGGCGCTTGTGGTTGAGAATGCCCTTGTCTCGTCTCAGGGAACTGCGTGACTGCCCCTTCTATCTAGCTTGTTTCTATCTCAAACACCTTTCCACCTTCCAAGAATACTGTTCGGCTGATCTCATATCTGCACGTGAAGACTGGCGGCCTTGTCTTTCCGACTCCTCGATCGCAGGCGAGCCTACAGGACCCAGATTCTTATTCCATTCATACACTCGTTTGTTCGTTCATTATTTTCTTCGCCATGCTGAGAAGGCTAGCAGTGCTGGGCCTCGCGTGCGCAGGAAGCGCGACGGCAGCGCAAAGTTACGGTGCGGCGCCGCCGGCGTACGGCTCAAGCAGCTCCTCGTTGAACGCAGAATCGAGTTCAACTACAGCAACTGGCTATGCTTCGTCTTCTTCCAACCTGCCGGCCGGGTCGGAGAGCGTGGTAGCCAGCTCATCGACTGCCGGGGCGGCATCGTCAGCATCTTCCACCAGCACATGCACGGAAACGTCTGGCGAGGTCAGCCCTGCCAGCTCGGCCTCCGATATTCCTGAGTACAGTGCGTCGAGCTTGACATACACATACGCACCACCTTCTCCGTCCAGCAGCGTGGTAGCGCCACACAGCTCTTCTGTGCCGGCTTACCCCACTACGGTCACCGACATTACGACTCTGTACACAACCACTTGCCCTGTGGAGTCGACGTACACTTCCGGCAGCGTCGTTACCACTCGTACTTCGACGACTGTGTCCATCCTCACCTCAACTTACAAGTCGACCGTCACGATCTCGTCGAGTCCAAGCAGCAGCTCCACCGTTGCGCCTGTCTCAAGCTCGACACCTCGGCCTCACAAAACTGTCGTGACAGATATTACCACGGAGTATACCACTGTCTGCCCGGCGACGTCGGTCTTTACTTCAGAGAGCCAGGTCCACACGAGCTTTTTTACAACGACTTCCATTCTGACCTCCGTCGTTCAATCTACAATTACGATCACGGACACTCCACCTGCCAGTTCTTCCGTAGCGGCAGTAAGCTCTAGCGCTCCACCGCCAACTACCGTGACCGATCTAACAACAATCTACACGACGGTCTGCCCTCTGACTTCAACGCATGTCGGCGGTGGCAAAACGCATACCCGGACATTCAGCACGACTTCTACAGTAACGTCTGTCTATCAATCAACAATCTACGTATCAGCAAGCAGTAGCCAAGCTCTGCCTGTCAGCAGCGCGATTCCGGCGTCTTCATCTTCAGAGACCACGAGGACTTTTACAATCGAGACCACGAGCCAAGTGACCAAAACATTCACCATCACGCCCTCTTCCAGCCCGACTCGCGTTCGCAAACCGTCAAAGCATCCCAAACCGGTCACCCGCACGAAAACCTGGACACATCCAGGACCAGTCACTCGCACGAGGACTCGGACACATTACACCACGACCCTCTGCTCAATCTCCTCGAACTTACCAGTGCCAAGTTCATCCGCCGTACCCGTTTCGACAGCACCGAGCTCATCACTCGCACCTACCTCGAAGGCCCCAAGGACAACCACGCGCTGGACGACGCAATACAGCACGATCCCCTGCTCATCCTGCTCCAGCAGCAACAGGCCGAGTAGCTTTCTTCCGCCCATTGTGACCAGCTCTCCAGGGCCTTATGCCAGCGGGAACAGCAGCTCGGTCGCGGCGCCTACGGGATCGGCGTCCGCTTATCCTTCGGTTCCGCCAAGCACGGGTGGTGCTGCCGGGCGGGAGGTTCCCATGATTGTGCTGCTTCTGGCTGGGTTGGGCTTTCTGGTGTGAGGTGTAGCAGGCTTGCTATCTCGGGTATTTTCTTGTGTGTTGATGAATAATGCTTGTAATGAGACAGTTTCGGAGGGTTTACGCGCCTTGAGGGCTGCGCGGAAGGCAGGATCGCGGCTGATGCTGTTGTAGATAGTTGTATGTAGCGGTACACCGTACTACATCCGCCATTTCACCTGTCAAACCGTCAAAAGTGAAAGCGGCCTACCAGGTTGCAATGAATCGTGCAAGCGACCTTCCCACAAACAGTGACCGCCCGCTAAGGAGAGTGATGTGGCGTTTTCAACCGCAACCTCGTCTCGGAGAACGAGAGACTGACAGATGCGCCCGAATGGCCTCTTCCACTGTCTCTTGTCTGCCTGTCTACCCTCCCCCCTTGTGCGATGCCAGCTACAGCTCTGATATAGTCTAGCTTGTGACCTTGCAGGAGACACCCACTAGCTTCCGTACGCTCACAGCGAATGGCGACTCCTCGTCAACTCGAGCAGCCGCGAGCCTCTCCAACTGTGCGTTAGCTTCTGACGGTGCATATGACATCCGTTAGTGTCCGCGTTTTGGCAGCCAGTTGGAGATGAAAGGGCTTCGAGCAGCTTTGTGACTTTGCAGTTGACTTCCGACAGTGTCCGCGGCTCTATAACCAACGAGATCTGGAGCTCTTGACGTACATAGAGTAGCTTGTGACGTTGCAGGAGACAAGAGCTAGCGTCTACCTTCCTTGAACCTATTGGGCAGTACGGCTAGGAGGAGGATGAGTGCTTCTATGCTGGTCGTTGAAACGACATTGTTGTACAGCGACATTACAAACAGCATCGTGGCGATGATCTACGGCCGATCGATGCAATGGCTACCACCTCATCGTCTGCAAGAAGCTTCCGGTGTCATCCAGCGAGCGAGCGAGACATGTGCTTACGTCCCATTTTCTGGACTGATCGCCTCGCAAGGCTGCTATTGCCTCTCTTTTGCAGTAAACGAGCGCTGTTCGTCGCTGGCCTGGCAGGCCGTTCTAGCCACGACTTATGGTGCAGACTCCCGCCTCTCAGACCGCCTCGCCTGGGCTCAACTTGCTATACCTCCTCCCAAGCGAGCCTTGCGAGCTTCTTGAAGTTCCACCAAGGTCTCAAGCGAAACCTTTGCTTTGCTTGAAATGGCTGATTTGTGGGTCGCTTGCGAGCACCTCAGGAGCGACCCTCCTCTCGATCGCCAGATCAGTGTACGGGCGGAGAATTCGCCTACCAGTTACCGGAATACCTCCTTGTTCTAGGAGAACGTGAGCTGAGTCCAGGAAATTGTGCTCTTTTGCATGCCTACGTTGCTTAGTATGGTTTATGGCAACATCTGCTCTGCTTGGGCCCTAACATCGCCCGTAGTTCTCAAGCATGGCACGCTTCGTGTGTGTTGTCGAGTGTGAAGAGCCTCACGGGTTTTCACATCTTCCGCTTGACCACCTAATCTCGTCATAGTGCACTATGAGTTGGCTCCCATAGGATAGCGAACGTGGCATGGTGTTGGAGGTCTTGCTTATCTTTTCGTCCCTTCTACCGGACGCCCAGACGGCGCACGGTTGCACTCTGTTGTTCCTCCTGATCGTCTCTTCTGCCATCTTCAATCTTCCTGCAACATTCGACCCCATCGCACCCTCCTCGCCTCGCCAGCGTCTGTACGCAGCTTAGAAGACCAGCATACAATAGCGGTAAGAACTAGTATGGCCGCGCTGACGACCTCGGAGCAGGGATGCATTGGCGGCTGCGGGCATTGGCAGACCCGTGGACGTCTCCAGAATTACGTAGGCAGGTACCCGGGCGAACCTTGAAACACTTCACCAACGGCATCCTCACATGGCCTGCTGTGCCTCTCCGTTCCACGACATCCTAGGCCTTCTCTTCCTAGGCGCCACGAGCTGGGCACGATTCGCTGCATGGCAAGCAAAACATCAGTCATCCCTACTACAGATGGCCACGTGAAGACCTAGACAACACCCCGCTATTCTCTGTTTCTTTGCATATAATTCATTCTCTTTCCAGTCCTAGCATCTCTCTATTTCAGCCTCACGATCCTTACCCCCTACTGCGTCACGACGGTCCGCGAACATGGCGCACAAACGCCTGTCCTCGCTGTCGACAAACATGACGCCCGACGACAAGCCCCTCCCCGGCTCTGCACCATCCGACAGGAGCAGACTTAGAAAAGCCGCGCCTGACGGAAGTACTCCCCGATCAGCTTCAGGACAGTACATCGCACCGACAGGAACCCCAACCCTCCCGAGTCTACAAGAGCTCCAGCAAGGCTACAGCGCCGGCGCTCCGAGTCCGCTTATGCCCCCGCCAACGATCGGGGGCGGATCATATTCACGCTCCTCGTCACAAGACCGCAACTCGCGACCTGGAACGCCTGTGTCGAGTCGCCCGTCGACGCCGACGTTAGTCCTTCCCGGTCAGTCCCCACAGACGCCTACCAGCGGGGGAAAAGAGCACAAGAAGGAGAAAAGCTGGTTCGGGATGGGCAAGAGCGATGAAGGCGATACTCGAGGGCCGATTGCGTGGATTGCTGGACATCCGCAGCAGCCGCCGTACGATGCGCAGGGCCTGGTGAACGGACGGGCGATGCAGGATATGTGGGACGATGCGGAAGGAAATTGCTTGGTGTATCTGTTCCCGAGGACTATGGGAAAGGGACCGTCGTTCAAGCTTGATTCGGCGGTGTTTGAGTCGTCGTCTGTTCTCAAAAGGATGGCGTTTGGGGACCGCTACAACAACAACGGCATACAACCCGGAAACGACCAAAGGCGTCAACCACCGCTGGACGTCAGGACGCAGAGTCTCTCCCTGAACGACCCTTCAACACCCCCCGCCTCACCACCCCAACAACGCCGGACTCCTGGAAAGACATACACCATGACCTCCTCCTCCTCCACCGAATCCCGCGGCCACCTTTCCAACATCTCCGACACCCCCTCCGAAGTCCACCTCTACCTCCCCATCAAATTCAAAACCGACGGCACTTTCCCCACGCCCCTCCAAACCCCACCTCCTCGCAGCAAAGACAAAGACCGTCCCACACCTGCGGATCCCGTAATGGAAGACCTCCAGACCCTCATCGACATCCGGAACTGCTTCGCCTTCCTCTGCGGGCAAGCGCTCGTCGCGACGTCGAAGAAACACTCGTTATTCCACATCTTCATGACCATCTCTGGCATCCTCAAAGCCTACGAATTCTCGAATTTAGATGGGAGTACGTTCGGAGAGATTGCGAGTTCGAGCTTCGATGCGTACGTCGAGGAGCTCGGATTAGCGGACGTGCGGACGAGTCGGGAGAAGACGATCGAGGGAATCGTGTTGAGTGAGCGGATGAAGAGCGTTTTCTTGTTCAATGAAGCATTCACGCACGCGGCGGGGAAGCATGGGGAGTTGATCAAGATGCAGAGTCAGAAGTACGATTTGATAAGTTCAGTCATCCAGAATCGACTGACGCGCGCGGCGATGGATCTGGACAAGCGAACGGCGTCGATCCGTTTGTTCCTCACGGACTTTGAGTTCCCGGCTCTGTTCTCTGGAATTATGGCTTCCAAGATGTCCGACGAGCGAAAAGAGGGCGTGCGCTTTGAAGCCTGGAAAGAAGCCTTCCTCGGATTCAGGAAGAACCTTCTCGGCATGCTGAAGGCGAAATACGGCGCCTGGCCGCCCAAAGCCAGCAGCAAGAAGAACGACCTCGAGACCTCCGGCCTCAATCGTTTGGTATTGAGAGATCTGTACAACGACATGAGCTCCCTCTACGACCTCCTCGTCGACCGCAACAACCTCACCACCCGCACCGTCGACGGCGTGAGCCAGGACTCCGGCGCCCGCGAAGGTCCCACTGTCAAAGGCCTCCGCGCGGTTCTAAGTGAATACGACCGCAGCTCCCCTCCGGTGAAACCGCCCGTCCCCTTCGACCTCCCCTTACTACCGAGCATCAAATCCACCCGCCCAGATTTCGGCCAGGACAAGAAGAAAGACGTCAAAGCCATTGGCAAGAAATTGAAAGACGACGAGATCGGCCTCATCCTCCGCAAAACCTGGAACGAAGACGCGAAAGTCACGCCTTTTGTCGACATGTTTCGGGAAATGGAGAAGCGCGCGGCGCATGGGTGTACGATTGCCGAGTTGGTCGATTTGCGGATCGGACAGTGGATCTTCATGTACGTTGTTCTGCAGGCTCTGCCAATGCTGGCGTGTGATGCGCCCGGGTTGAAGTGGACGAAAGGGGTGGAGTATTTCCTCTGCGAGCCGCCGCGGGGTGGTGTGCCGTGGGCGAACCCGAATGCTGCCGGGGTTGGTGCGAGTGCGGGTGGGAGTCGGACGTGGTTTTCTGTCGGCGAGGGCGGAGGTGTCGTTAGCCTGCCGAGTGATGTTGTGGAGCACGGTGTGGAAGGAATATACAGGCGCAGTCACTGCTGGGTGATGGCGGAGCAGTGGACGAAGCAGAACCCCATCATGAACGAGGCGTTGCATGAGCAGGAGGCTATGAACGCCGCTGCGCTGCCCTCACGCACGAGTACGGAGGGCTTGCCTGCGCCTGGTCCGCCGGGGGGGTTGCTCAATCCGGAGAAGAACCGCGTCAGCAGTCGAGATCGAGCTTCGCACCGGCATTCTTCGTTGGGGATCGGGCTGGAAGCTCTGCCGTTGCCTATGGGCGTGACGCCGGACGGGGCGATGCCTTCTGGATATCCGCAATCTGCTGGTGGGTATGGGGGTTCGCCGGTGGGTTCGAGGCCGGTGACGCCGAATAACGAACGGCCGAAGAGCGCGCATGTGGTGGATAGCGCGAAGACTTTTGATGCGATTTTGGCGAGCGCGAATGTGGACCAGGGGAAGAAGAAAAAGAAGTGGTAGAGCCGCTTGTGCTGTGAGGGAGGTGGGGAGGATGAGTGAGGGTTGGGATATGTGGCATTGGGTTGGTTGGAAGTGATACCCTTTGATACCTTGGTATGGGTTGGAGGCTGTGTCGGGGCATTGGCGGTGTCTTCGCCTTCAGATCACGTGCACGAGGGATGTGCCTTCTGAGGCATATAGTGTATAGATAACGATGATGATCATGGACATGCGTGCAAGGGACCGTGCTCAGCCCAAGATGTTGCGGCTCTGAACAGCGCCCTCCTTGCATCAAATCGACCTCTGCTCCTCCAATGTCGTGTAATGTAGCTTTCCATCCCCGCATCAGAAGGCACAGCCTTGTCAACGTATACAAGGTACATATGTAGACTTACCACTGGCGTAAGTTCAGGCTCCATCATTCCATCTCATCTCCAAGAGCTCTTGCCCGCACCTCCACCACCACCACCTCTATCACCCACGATGTCTCACCCCTCCATCTTCCACATCCTCATCCTCCCCGTCATCCAAGCCCTATTGATCTGCCTCGGTCTCGGCCTCGCCATCTTCGTCCTCATCGTCCTCCTCCTCGTCCTCCCCCACGAATACTTCATCTACCAACCCCGTGCCATGGCCGCGCTCAAATCCACAGAGACACAAATTAATCTCCTCAAAGGCCAGCCATCTCCTTATCTCCTCCCTGCCGACCTGCTCAAAAACGCCGCTGCGAAAGTGCTTGACGACCGGGATATATACCGCAAGGCGCTCGTCTACGGCCCAGACCCCGGTTACGAGCCTTTACGCAACAGCATCGCGAAATGGCTTACAGCCTTCTATCAACGCCATTTACCCTCCGACGGAACGGACGCCCGCCGAATCTGCATCACAGGCGGCGCATCTCAGAATCTCGGCTGCATGCTCAACGTCTACACCGATCCCTGGTACACGCGGACAATCTGGATCGTAGCGCCGGCGTACTTCCTCGCTTTCCGTATCTTCGAGGACGCGGGATTTGGCGGGCGGATGAGGGCGGTGCCTGAAGATAGCGAGGGGGTGGATATAGACTTCTTACGCGAGGAGATACAGAAGAGTGAAGAGGAGGCTAGGAAAGAAGGGAGGGATACGCCGATGTACAAGCCGGGGAGGCAGAGGGCGAAGTGCTATAAGCATGTTATATACTGTGTGCCGAGTTTCGCGAACCCAAGTTCAAGAACTATGTCATTGGATCGGAGGAGAGATCTGGTGAAGTTGGCGCGGGAAGTGGATGCGTTGGTCGTGGCGGACGATGTCTATGATTTCTTGCAGTGGCCGGCGGAGGCGGAGGAGGTGGAGAGGATAGAGGGCCGCATATGGGCCGAGGAGATGATTGAGAAGAAGGTCAAGCCTTTCATGGACGGGGTTTTGGGGATGAAGGCGACGGCGCATTTGCCGCGGCTGGTGGATGTGGATCGGGAGTTGGAGGGTGGGACGGAGAGGGAGGGCGCTGATGGGTTCGGGAATGCGTGCTCGAATGGGTCGTTCTCGAAGATTGCTGGGCCGGGGATACGTGTGGGCTGGGTGGAGGGGAGTGAGAGGTTTGCTTATGGTGTGAGCCAGACGTGAGTGGTTCATCCTCATCTGGTGGGAACGGAGCTGACATTGATACGAACAGTGGCACAACGTGCTCCGGAGGCGCGCCCAGCCAGCTAACATCCACCTACGTCCATGAACTGGTCAATGGCGGAAAGCTCCAGGAGTTCATCCAGCATACGCTACGCCCTGCCTACGCGAAGCGGTACAAGCTGTTGATGAAAGCGATCGAAGAGCACCTGCTCCCACTCGGCTTCTCCCTCCCACAGACAGATCGTAAGATCATCGGCGGATATTTCACTTGGCTCTCACTTCCCGAAGGCTTGAAGGCGGATATATTAGCTACTCGTGCTAAAGCAGATGCAAATGTGATTATTGCGCCAGGAAGCATGTTTGAAGTCCCAGGCGACGACGGGCTGAAGTTTGAGACGAGCATACGGCTTTGTTGGGCTTATGAGGATGAGGAGAAACTTGAAGAGGGCGTCAAGAGGATTGGGGAGGTGGCGAGGGTGATGCTCGATGAAGCTGAGAAGGGCGAGTTTGTGGTTGTTGAGAAGGAGCGTGATAATGCGGCGGAGTTCAAGTGACTCCCATGATAAAAATGAGGGATGATGCTGATGGATGATGATGAAACGAACAAAGATGAAATACACACTGTCAGGCTCGAATGAGCATATGACACCCGCACATGTGCCACGGGGCCGTGGAGTGTGCGTGAGCTGCCTTTGCGCTGCTTCGAGAGCGTGGCTACCGGCCAGGTACCGGGAGGTTGTACGATGGATGACGATGCATTATGAAGATCGGCGAGACCGCATCATGCGCAAAGCCAGTCACATACTGACTCTACACCTCCTCTCCCGTTTGTCACCGTCCGTTTGTCTGCAACTTCCTCATCGAGCAGCAGAAGTTGTTCGTGAGGATGGCTGCAAGGTCCCAAACTCAAAGCCGTCGATCGTCAAAAGCTTGGCCATCACTTCGTGACGAACCCTGCCATCTGCCCCGATCGCGTGAACTCTCCGTCTCAAAGTTTCTGCAGCCTTTTGATCAAAGGACCACGTCCCGTCGGCCGTCCAAGATACTTGCGGTCGCATGTATGTAGCAGAACGAACGAATAGCTGTGCCACGACCAAGTCCCGCGACAGAGTCTTGTAGCAGATCCGCAACACTGCGTTTCGGAGATGGCCTTCGTCCAATAAGCGCACGCATCTTCCTCCCGACGGCAGTGGCGTTTGGCGCCGCGTCTGAGCGAGACCCTCTCCCGGCACAGGGCTGGGTGGTGTGTCGAGCGAGCCGACCTCACCTGCGTCCTGCTGCCGCAGCGCTCGTGCCCCTTACGCTATCTAGTCTCTGCCTTTGAAGCGGTCGTGGTTGGAGGGTAAAGTTTCGTTTGTCCTGCTCGGCAACCAGGCGGCGAGGCGGCTTCTTGGACTCTAATCTGGTCGTCTGGCAAATCGGCGTGTCGCCTGCTGGTCCTGCGATGGCGGACAAGGGTGTGCGCGATGGCGCTGCCGTCGGAGTATTTTGCTCGTTGGAGATGGTGAGGTGGTGGCACCTGCTCAGTTGTAGAAGAAAGACTGAGGTCCAGGAGGCTGGTAGATGTGATCAAAAGGACAAAGGAACAAGAGTAGGTGGTGGTGGTACTGTAAGACCACTTATCCCTTGATCATTTCATCGTCTGCCTTGAGAGAAGAGACCGAGGCGAAGGAAGGAGGATATAAAGAAGGAAGTTGGAAGGCAATCGGCAAGGGTTTGGAGTCTCGCCAGCGTGCAGACTCTAGTGGATACCGGCTGCTTGAAACAGGCGAAGAGAAGGTGTGACTGGAAGAGAAGGCATATTAACCGCGAAACCATCCTCGCTTGTACGTCTCTCCCATTGAGCTTCCTTATTAACCTCGTCGTCGCCTTCGTGTTTTACTTCTCGTTCAAGGCTTCGACATTGCCTCCCTTTGCCTCCCTTCGCTTTTTTGCGATTTGCTTTCTTTGTTCTATTGTTCTTTCCCTCTTGGGCGGGTCGCACCTGACAACACAATCCCTATTGTCCACGAGGCAGGCGCGAGACGTCACACCATTCCTTCCTCCATTCACGGCTTAACGCGACTTCACAACAATCGTTCCTGACACATATTGTGGCTGCGACACCTTCTTCTTCTGATTTTGCACAAACTTCGCCTACTCCGGCAACTCATTCTCTCGAACACGATCGAACTCAGTGCAGGCCACTGACAACAACTGCTCTTCAGCTATCACGACCAAAAATCGCACGCTCTCTCAGCAACCATGTTCACCATCAAGAGCTTGACGCTCCTCACCACTGCGCTGTGCGCATTACTCTGCTCGGCAAGGCCGGCGCCCCAAGGCACGACACCACCCACCGGACCCGGCGGCTACTGGCTTGCGAATGTCGACCACTCGAAAGACACGGTATGGGATCCCGACGCGGAAGGCGCACCTGCCGCCAACTACCAGATCTTCCGCAACGTTCTCGAGTATGGCGCGGTTGGAGACGGCAAGACTGACGACACCGCGGCCATCAATAAGGCCATGTCTGACGGAGAACGCTGCGGTGGCGGACCAGACACACCATGTGACTCCACCACCGTCTACCCGGCCATCGTCTACTTCCCGCCCGGCAACTACCTTGTCAGCAAGCCGATTGAGATGTACTACTACACCCAGATGATTGGCGACGCCACCGACCTGCCCACTATCTCTGCCTCATCCGACTTCGACGGCATGGCTGTCATTGATGCCGACCCGTACGCATATCTCTCCAACGGCTCGGCGGTCAACTGGTTCACCAACCAGAACAACTTCTTCCGCCAGGTTCGCAACTTCAAGATCGACATCACGCAATGGGGCGGCGGTCTGAGCGGTGCCGGTATTCACTGGCAGGTGGCTCAGGCGACCTCTCTCCAAAACATTGTCTTCGAGATGAGCGACAACCCGGCCACTGCCCAGGTGGGAATCTTTATGGACAACGGAAGCGGCGGCTTCATGGCCGACCTCGTCTTCAACAACGGTGGCAAGTGTGCGTTCTTTGGCAGCCAGCAGTTCACCACCCGCAACATGACCTTCAACAACTGCCAGACTGCTGTCTACATGAACTGGAACTGGGGCTGGACTCTCCAAGGTCTCACCGTCAACGGTGGTGGTACAGGTCTTGATATGTCCGTCAACCCAACCAACCAGTCCGTGGGCTCTGTCTTGCTTGCAGACACTGTCATGAAGGACGTGGAATATGGCGTTCGCTTTGCCTACCAGAACGACTCCTCAAACTTCTACCCCACCGGTGGTTCGCTCATTCTCGACAACGTCGACATGTCCGGCGTCACTACCGCTTCGGTCGTCGACTACAACAACAACACCGTGCTTGAGCCTATGAAGGTGCAGACGTGGGCTTCTGGTAACGGCTACCATGCGACCCGCCAAGGCACCGACACCACCTTGCAGGGCTCTAAGCAGGAGAATGCCATCATCGCGCCGAGGAAAGCTCCAAGCCTGCTTGACAGCAACGGCAACATCTTCACGCAATCACGCCCGCAATACGAGACTATGCCCGCCAGCTCTTTCCTTTCCGCCAAGCAGAACGGCTGTGCTGGTGATGGCTCTACTGACGATACCGCCGCCATCGTGAACCTCTTGAAGATGTCTGCCAGCCAGAACAAGGTCGCCTACTTCGAGCATGGCGCTTACCTCGTCAAGAACACCGTTCTTGTTCCACCAGGTGCCAAGATGACTGGTGAGATCTGGCCGTTGATCCTCGCGGATGGTCAGTCCTTCAGCAACACCAAGCAGCCGAAGCCAGTCTTCCAGGTCGGTAAAGCTGGCGGCGAGCAAGGCTCTTTCCAGATCAGCGACTTCGTTTTCGAGACACTTGGCCCAGCGAGCGGTGCCATCATGATCGAATGGAACATGCAATCTCCTCAAGGCGAGTCTGGCATGTGGGACACCCACGTCCGCATCGGTGGCTCAGCCGGCACCGACCTCCAAGGCCCTCCAGCATACGGCAACTGCCGCAAGAACCCAGAGTCCACCCAGGTCAACCTCCAGTGCGAAGGCGTCTTCATGATGTTCCACGCCACCCGGCCATCCTCCGGTATCTACCTCGAGAACACCTGGTTCTGGGTCGCCGACCACGACCTCGACCACGAGACACCTCAGCAAATCTCTCTCTACAGCGCTCGCGGCGCGCTCATCCAGTCCGAAGGACCGATCTGGATGTGGGGCACCGCCTCCGAGCACTCCATCTTCTACCAATACCAGATCGACGGCGCCCAAGCCGTCTTCTCCGGCTTCATGCAATCCGAGACGCCCTACATGCAGCCCAACCCGCTCGCCCCGGCGCCCTTCACCGTCAACACCGCCTACGACGACCCGCAATTCGCCATCTGCGGCAGCGGAACCGACGGCAGCCCGATCCCGTGCAAAGACGCCTGGGGCCTGCGCATCGTCAACAGCCGCAACGTGCTCATCTACGGCACTGGGCTGTACAGCTTCTTCAACAACTACGACCAGGACTGCGTCGGCACGCACAACTGCCAGCAGCACATGGTGCATATCCAGAACAGCCAGGTCAGCATGTACACGGTGAATACAGCGAACTCGGTGTCGATGATTGTGGATGACAACATGGGCACGGTGGCGGGAGAGGATAACAGGAACTGGTTTTGCGACACTGTGTCGTATTACTTTACGCCGCAGTAAGGAGGGAGAGTTGATTCGAGCAAAACTACTGCATTTTCCGCACGCAAGGGGTTTGAGACGTGCATGGCGTAATGGATCGAGATGGGTAAAGGGATATGGAGGTATACCCAGGGATCAACATGAGGCATTCAGATGGCGTTGCGCATATGGTTGGCGTCTGGGAGGTTTGAAGCTGCGCTATGGTAGCTAGGTGCCATCGAAATGATATGAGAACTTGTTCATGTCATTGCACTGACCGTCTCCAGTCAAGATGTCGACAGTGAAAGCGGCCCACCGGGTCAGAGCGAGCCGTGTAAGGGACCTTCTCACAGACGATAACAGCCCACTGGCGAGGGGGTTGTGGTCTTTTTGGTCGCTATCTCGTGTCGGAGAAGACTGCCAGCTATGATCCGTTGGCCGCTTTCACTGTCCATCGCTTGCTAGTCTTGCACCGAAGTGTTCGTATAGTGAGCGCGGAGGAAGTGTCGCATTGCCGATGGAGATGATCGTCAGTCGGCCCTCTTGTGCGCCGTCTGCAGTTCGCAAAAGGGCTAGAAGTCTTCATGGTCATGGTGCGCGACAGGTCGCAACGAGGGGGAGGAGTTGGTGGCGTTGCGATAAGCGCAATCGCTTATGTTCTGCCAAGCCCGCTGTATACGCTCCGGCCAACGACATGTCCTCCTTTGCGACCAACGTCGCTTCTCCAGTCATACTTTGCTCCCCTCCATCATTTCTAGCTTAATTGATGGCCATGTCTCGTAGCTCCTCATCGGTGAAGACCTTTGGGCAACGCCGATCTCGCGCAGCAATGCCTCTGAACGAGCGGAAGGGATAACAGCATCGCCGGCCGCTGTAGGTGAGGTGCGAGAGGTATGTATATTCCTCGTCTGCCCTCGCTATCCCGCTGCTACTTTTTCCTAGTCGTATCTCTCGTATCCCTATCGCTCATTCCATCTATCTCCCCTCCTGTCCTATGTTCACACTAGATCCCACAACCATGTCCCGCCAACCCATCTGCCAAATCCTCACCCCCGTCGGCATGCTCGGCTACGGCTTCGACGAGGCCGAGTTCCAAGCCACTCTCTCCCACCTCTCCACTAAGGAGATGCCGACGGCGATTGTCTTGGACTCTGGATCCACGGATTCCGGGCCGACGAAGCTGGCGAGTGGGAGCATGAGTTGTCCGAGGGACGCTTATAAGAGGGACTTGGGGAAGTTGTTGAGGGCTGTTGTTAACTGGAGGGTGCCGCTGATGGTCGGGAGTTGTGGAGGGGCGGGGTTGGATGGGCAGGTTGATGAGTTGGGGCGGGTCGTTGGGGAGTTGTGTGAGGAGAAGTGAGTTCATTCAGCGAAGTTGCTGTGTGGTGGTACTGTGCTAACGGACAGACAGTCACTACAAGCTTAAAGTCTTGAAGATCCACGCCGACATCCCGAAAGACCTTGTCACTGCGAAGCTCAGCGATGGCCGTATCACCGGCTGCGGCGCTGCTGTCCCTCAGCTGACCCAGCAGGATATCGACCAATGCAACATCGTCACCTCGCAAATGGGCGCAGAGCCCTTCTACGCCGCCATGAAGCAATGTCCAGACTTCGACGTCCTCCTCGCCGGCCGAACATACGACCCAGAACCCTACTTCGCCTACGCCACCGCCTGCCTCGAACGCTACAACCCGCAGTACAAAGCCGACCCTGTCTTCCGCGAGAGAGCAGAAGGCAGCATCATGCACATGGGCAAACTGATGGAATGCGGTGGCCAATGCGCCAGCCCTAAGAGCTCCGGCATGGTCGCTACAGTTTATTCAGACGCTACGTTCGAGACGGTACCCACTGATCCGGGTGCGAAGTGCACGCCGACTTCTGTTGCTGCGCATACGCTGTATGAGAAGACCAGGCCGGATATCCTGCCGGGACCTGGTGGGTGGTTGGATTTGACGGAGTCGAGGTATCAGCAGCTTGAGGATGGGAGGACGGTGACTGCGTGGGGTGGGAGGTATTTGAAGTCTGTTGAGCAGGGACGGCCGTATCAAGTTAAGCTTGAGGGGGCGAAGAATGTGGCTTATAGGAGTATGTATCTGGGGAGCGTTAGGGATCGTAAGTCAGACATCGCCATCATAGCCAGCGATGGGGTGCTGACAAGACATCGCAGCTGTACTGATCACGGAGATCGACAACCTGCTCAAGCGAGTCAGAGCCTACGCACGCTACCAGCATGAACAGCTCGAAGACAAGGATTTTGATCTAGACTTCCACGTCTACGGGAGAGGCACAAGCGAAATCGTTATCGTTGGAGAAGCGCTGGGGCCAACCCAGGCTCTTGCGTCCAGCATTGCCAATTCAGCACGCATAGCGACGATCCATGGACCCTACGCCGGCCAGAAAGCGAATTCGGGCAACTTCGCCTTTGGCGTGGCCGGTACGACTGAAGTGCCACTGGGCTTGTGCTCCGAGTTCTGCGTCTACCACCTCATGGATCTCGAACCCGGAGAAGAGACCTCGCTTTACAAGATCGGCTACTCCGAGTTCGACTTCGCCCCCAAGACGAACGGCGTCTCGCGTGAACCAGAAACTCCCACCACCAATGGCACCATCAAAGCCCACGCCGACGTCACCAAGAAGACCGCCTCCTGGAAAACCCCCCTCACCCCCAGCACAGTCAACCCGCACACCGCCCGCACCCTCGGCGACGCCGCCAAGATCCTCCGATCCAAGAACTCCGGGCCCTACGAAATCACTTTGGACATCTTGTTCGATCGGCCAGAAATCTACTCCGTCATCAAAGAGTCTAACTTTCTGACCACAGAAGTCGTAGCGAAGCTGTACGATCTACAGCCAGAGCAAGTCCTGTGGTGCGGGTATTTTGACCAGGCGCTGGGGTTCAAGGCGACGCTGCCGCGGATGAGAAAGCGGAGGATGGTGGCGAGTGGGGGGTTCATGGAGGGGGATGTGCATGGGAGTCAGGGGTATGTGGCTTTGATGGGGTTGGAGCTGCCGGAGGGGGTGAGGGAGAGGTTGAGGGCGCTGGCTTGAGGGGTGGGACCGTGAGGCATGTTGCGAAGAGGGGTCAGCAGGTGTCTCGACAAATGGAACAAAAGCTGAGGGGTCTCGGAACACCCCGTGGTCATGAGCCCCCAAAGGCGTTTTTGGAGAACCCTCCCGCCCATCAGTTTGACATACGAAATCTCGTCGAGATTGGGTGGTACACAGACGTCTGCTACACCATCACGTCGCCTTTGTAAACGCTGTCAAGCAAGATGCAGTGAAAGCGGCCCACCGAGTTATTTGGCAGGCTTCCCACAGACCCAGATACACCCGGAAAGCGCACATCATTTTCGTGGGCGGGCTCTGTTGGTCTGTGAGAAGATTCATCATTCGACTCGCCCTGACCTGGTTGGCGGCTTTCACGGTCTCCCGCTTGGGGCTGTCTCCTCCTTCCAATTGCTCTCAAAGCTGCCTTCGATACGCAGCGCCGGTAAGGTGCATTCCATTGGTGCGGACAAGGGCAACCACTGCTACCTCCTCCCGTACGCCACCCCTTCTGTAGTGACTGAGCACATGACATGCTGGCGCTGACGATGCTGACGCACAGCAGGAGTTGCGATACCCTCAACGCTGCTGCGTCGGGGATCATTATCGACTATCCAGGACACAGCCATCTTGCCAACCAGACAGGAATCGATGATGCGACGTGGAACATCGTTCGGTGCCGTCAAAGGACCATGCGGTGCGGAGGGGCCGGGAGGGCCAGTCTCTTGGGTGGCACGAGAGAGGCTGTGAAAGGAGGTTACGTGCAGTTATATGCTGGCAGGTGTCACATTAGCACAAGTGGCAAGGCATGCTACCATGTGTTTGCAATGAGCAAACACTCCAATTGAAAATGTCGTGCAACTCACAGTTTCACGTCCTTGGTGACTCGACAATTCTTTCTTAAGATCCGCCACGCTCACAATGTCTCGAGTGAGAGTTCAAACCATCTTTCAAAGGACATCGAGCGAAATACTCGGGTACCCGTCTTCTCCGCCATGGGTATCATTCAGTATCTACTTGCAGCCCTTCTACTGCTCTGCCATTCCGATCCGGTGTCCGCGATGCCGAAATCACAGCCTTCCCTGGACGTAGAGCATCTGCTCAAAATGTCATCAAATGACGCCACTGTCCTCAACAACAGCAGTCTGGCCCAATCTAAAGAAACGTACAAGTCGTGCGGCGTACGTTTTCCTGTTCACGGTCGATGCATGCCTCCGATGTGCGCCGGCTGACGCTTCATTGCAGGTTTACTTCTGCACCGAGCCAGAGTGGCAAGGTCAATGCGACTATATATACACGCTCAATACACTATGCTGGGCCATAGCGCCGCCGTTGTAAGCTGCAGCAGCATTCGTATAGAGGATGACCAGCTGACTACGTCGCTCAGCACCAATAACATCCGATCTATCGGCGGAGACCACGGCTGTGTTTGCTCGCTGCTGCCGCCGTATCGAGGGAGTGTACGGTTTGGATGATCTCATCGGGATTTCGTACCCAGGGAAGGCGGATTTGCTGGTGGACTCGCAGGTCCCAAATGCGATGAGCTTCACTTCGATCTGGTGTTTTGCTCTGGAAGATGTCAAAAATGAGGCTTGACATCTGGGATCAGCTGAGGGATATCAGTGATCGTGGAAGCGCTTGCTTGCCAAAGGTGTAATGGTAGAGTCATGTAAGTCATGCTTAGAGGCTGTGGGGAGCCATATGCCAATGTCACATGTACTGCAATCTCTCATGCTTTGGTAATACCTTATTTGCCATAGCAGCACAGCACCAGAAGTCGTCTGTAGCGGTTCAGAGACAAGGAGACCAATTTCCGTAGACGATGATTTCAAGACGTTGCCCAGAGGCAGCGTTCAGACATGTTAATGGAGTCTGTATATCCACGCAAAGTTGATGTCGTGTAAAGAAAGTGCTGCGTCTTGCAAAGAAAGTACCTCTCTTAGGGTTCGGCTCAGCGGAACGAGCCGGCGGCACCGAAAATAGAAGGAGGGACGTGGCATCTTGAACATTTGAATGGTAACAACATTTCTTGGTCTGCCCACTGCTGATTTCTTACACTCCTTAGGTGGCTTTCTTGCTCAGGATAATACTCTTGCGGTCGGTATACCGCGCAGAGTACCACTCCCTGCTATTAGCGCACCAGACAACCCACCAAGTCCCACAAAGAAACCATGTCCTCCGAATACAACTACGACCAGAATAGCGAATTCTTCCCGTTCTTCGTCCTGACCATTACCTCCCTTATCACATTACCTCTCACATACACCCTCTTGAACGCACCGTCAGACCAATCAGGCGCGAACAAAGGCCACCAGATCACGGCCGACTACACCCCCGACAATGCGGACATCATCGACACACAACGCGCGAAGCAGAAGCGCAAAGAGTTGAGGCTGAAGCGCATGCTCACGGCCGCTGCAGGATGGCTGGTGATAGGATATATGGTCTACCTCATGGCTGTGACGACCCGCACTTCCGCTGCGCCATGGGATCCTTGGAGTGTGCTGGACCTCTCCATGTCTGCTAGTGAGAAGGAGATCAACAGCCGCTACAGGAAGCTATCCAGGACGATGCATCCGGACAAGAGGCAGCCAAACCCTGCGCTGAACGAGACGCAAGAGTCGGTCAACGACGACTATGGCAACATTGTGAAGGCGTACAAGACGCTTACGGATGAAGATATTCGGAACAACTGGATTCAGTTTGGACACCCAGATGGAAGGCAGAGCACGAGCTTTGGCATTGCGCTGCCTCAGTTGCTCGTTGCGGAAGGAAGTGGAAAATATGTGCTTGTCTTTTACGGAGCGCTTCTGGGTGTGGGCTTGCCATGGCTGGTCGGGAAGTGGTGGTACGGAATGCAGCAGCGTACGAAGGAGAAAGTGTACGTCACAAGCGCGGGCAACATGTTCCGAGAGTTCAACGAGCGCATGGACTCGGGAGATGTGGCCGCAGCTGTGAGTAGTGCGAACGAGTTCAAGGACATCTTCGACGGGGCGCATGCAGACACCGGGCTCGGAAAGTTAGAAGGCAAGCTGAAGGCTGCGGATGATCTTGCGATCGGCATGTCGGCGAAGGACAGGAAGAAGCTGGATGAGATCGAAGACCCTGCTCGTAGGAAGACGCTCGCTCTTGTCTGGGCCTACCTTGCTCGCCTGAAGTTGGACGATCAGACGCTGGAAGTTGGAAAGTACGAAGTCGCACCCACCACTCTGCGGATGACGGAAGCCTTCCTGTCGATTGCGCTGGCTTATGGCTTCACCGCGCCCGTGTTCTCCGCCTTCCACCTCAGCCAGGATCTGGTCCAGGCTATTCCGCCATCATCAGCTCGACTGCCGCTCATGCAATTACCACATTTCACCCCGAACGTGGTAAAGTCTATCGAGCAATCGACTGGCAAGAAGGAACATCTATCGATCCAGTCATTCATGGCACTGCCAGCCGAACAACGACGTACACTAGCCGCTGCTGCAGGTTTAAGCTCCAACAACCTAGGCACTGCGGAACAAGTCGCTCGACAACTGCCTCTGATGAAGGTGGAGAAGGCTTTCTTCAAAGTGCAGGGCGAGAAGTACATCATCCCATCCTCGCTGGTGCAGTTCGTCGTCAAAGCACGCTTCATCCCGCCTGGCAGCACAAACGTGCCACCTCTCAACGAGAAGGACCTCCTCGACATCGATCCCGCAGATGGCGATCTCGCGGCACAGAAGCAGGAGCCAGAACAACACCCCATCCCTCTGGCGTATGCGCCTTATCTGCCACGCGACCGCGCGCCACGATGGCACATCTTCCTTGCCGATAACCGGCAACAGAAGATTGCGGTGCCACCATTTACATTCGGAATGTTCGACAAGAAGGCGTTCGATGATCAAGGCAAGCCGACCTTTGATGTGGTGACTCTGAAGATGCAGTTCCAAGCACCACCGCAGGCGGGAGAGTACCGGTTCCAGATGCACGTCATTTGCGATTCGTATGTTGGCTTTGATCACAAGGAGGAGGCGGTGATGAAGGTAGAGGACGCCAGTAAGGCATTGGAGGTGGACGACGATGACGACATCAGTGAGCCTGAGGAAGGTGAGTGCTGTCCTTACAGGCCCTACTTTGCGATCTAATTGCTGACACTGCCCCAGATACCATCGCCGGCCAGATGGCCGCTATGAAGGGCCAAACAACCGCTGATCCCGACAAGCCGAAGCGCAAGCGGGAGCCGAAGCCGAAAGTCGAGGAGGAGAGCGACTATGAATCTGGCACGGATGAGGACGAGGACAGCGAGAGTGAGACGGACACTGATACTGATAGTGACGATGAGTAACATGGCACTACCGCTGTGTGGTCCATGATGAGGCGTTCGCAAGTGGGCAAAGGTCGGCAGCGTTTGTGCTTGGTATAGTCATTGCTGTACAACTACAGGCTGCGTGGCAGTCCGATTCTGCCTTCTCCGCCACACTATCGCCTGCTATAGAGCCTCCCGTGAGGCGATGGGGCTCCTCCTGTCTCGGAGAGCCATGCTGTCCGTCCATTATGCCTCGCGTCTGCTAGGCCCGCCATTGGCTCCAGGAAGGCAGCCGCTAGGTGGTGTCTCCTGCAATGTCACAAGCTAATCTACATTCGTGAAGAGCTTCAGATCTCGTTGGTTGTAGAATGCGGACGCTAACGCATGTCGTCTGCAAGGTCACTAACTGCTGCAGCGTCAAGCCGCAGGCGACGTAATAGGAGAAGAAGTGGCAGTCTCCCACCATGGTTCTCCGAGACAGCAAGAATCGCATCACCCAGCAAAAGGCTTCATAGCACCCGATGGTGTCACGGAGAAGCCTGACTGCCACTTCCCTTGCTATGTAGCTAAGCGGTGGTGAGAAGCACGCGCATGCTGGCGAATGGCATCTGCGAGGTCACAGAATGAGATAGGAATACCACACAAACGGCTATGAGAACAGCGCTTTGATTGAGGTCTTCTACATCATGCAAGCTGCCATTGATCAGTTTAGCCTTCTTCTTCCTCTTCGTACCAGTGATGAGATTTGGAGGATGGTGTCTGAGCATTCTCAGCGATGGAAGGTTACTGCTCGTGACTGCTGCCTGCAATTCCATGACGAGCAGCCGCTTCCATTGCACCCGCAAAATCGTTGGGAATCCAGACAAGCTCGATCCCTTCCGTCGGATCATCATCGCGCTCTCCACGCTGCCACTCGCCTTGGAAGCGTTGCCTGAGATTCCAGATGTCCTGTGCTGTCGGCGCTACGTTGTCGATTCTCGGATCGTTGTTGAAGTTGATTTGAGCAAGTACACGAGCGTTGCTGTCACCGTGAGTTGTCATGAACTCCCAGCGACCTGGAACATCGGGAACTTGGGACGGTTCAAAATAGCGCTCGTCCGGATAGAAGACCGTACGTGGGCGGTCGAGGTCGCCCATGCCATCCAACGCACCGAATTGTCGTGCCACAAGAATGTCTACAGGAGTTTCAAGACCCAATACCTGAGCGAGCGGCGGATCGTGGACAGAGTCCAGCCATTCAAAGCTGCCAAGGCCGTGGGGCATTTGATTCAGGTCCGGAAAACCTTCAGCGTCTCTTGCTTCCCGCTCCTGTCGCTGACGTTGGATGGCGCTGGGACGGTTGATGTACTGAGAGGGGAGAAAGTTATTAGCAGCGCCCGGCTGTGAGGATGCGCGAAAGGTTGCCGCAGTCTCCTCCAGCCATTTCATGCCGTCTTGGAGAAAAAGGAGGACAGTGCTGTCTGACTGCATGCTTGGGTCGTTGTCTGCGGTGCGGAGAATCTATGTAGATACGTCGGTTTCCGAGACGGCGATGAGCGAGGACAGCTGGAAACCGTCTCGCCAGGCGTCTGAGCTCGACATCATTGCCCACAGGGAGGTCATAGATGTATGTGTGCCCTTCTGGTGGCCGTTGCGGGTGGAGAGGATCTGTCGGGTATCTGAAAGTCTGGTACCAGGGCGGTGGAAGTTCTGGAAATATGACTCCGGCGGCATCAGGCAAACCGAGATGGAAGCTCTCAGCATCACTTTGCATGATCTGATCGTAGGATGTCAGGAACCAGTGGGGTAGACCGCTGTCGTGAGTGTAGTTTGCATACCACTGATGGGAGTATGGAGGTGGACCATCTTCCTCTTCATTACGAGAGTGGCGGAACTAGGTGCCGTTCTCGTAAACTGCCATCAATCGAGGAGGGGTGAGTAAGACGAAGGTGAACTGACGTTCACTGTGGAGACGGTTGATGAACACGTAGCCTTCTGGATAGTTCACCAAGTTCGCTAGGTCACGACGAGCTTCAAAGCGGCGGATGAAAGCTGCTCTCTCTGCAGGGCTGGTTGAGTCTTGGACATTCAGTTCTTTCAGGACCTCACCAAAGTCTCATCAATCCGGGTGAGGACGTTAGGGAGCTCATCTTCGCTTTCGTTGGCAGCGAGCTGTTGTGAGGGCGCCATAGCCTTTGCGAATGCCGATGGGTTGTGTACTGGACGCCATGTCGAATTTTTCTACACGGCCACAGAACCGGAACAGCCGCCTGCGCTTTGAGAGCTGAGAGCTTTGTGTCTTCCAGCACGCCTCTCCAGCTGCTTCTACAGTGTGCCATGTTGGTAAGGCTCGTAGAACAACTGTGACGCTTCAGTGAAAGAGGAGAAGGTCCTGATGCTCAAAAGAAACTTGAAGAACATGGCATGGAAGTAATCGCAAGGCTAGCATCACGCGGTGGAAGGACGATAGAATTCGATGTTTTCGAAGAAGCGTGAAAGAACGAAGATGGCCCAGGTGGCCTACCTACTTGTGGCCGTTTCGGCAGCGTTGACAGACGCGGTGCAGAGCTGAAGATGAACGAACGTGTGAGCCTACCCTTCCAAGCATCAGCAGTCGTCTGCTGCCAGATGGCAAGCAGCAAGCGTACCTTGAAGATGCTCTGCTGCGCGACATCAGCTTCACAATATCCATAACTCCGGCCAGTGCCAACTGTACACATCGGTGTTCCTAAACCAGTAGCTGCAATGTCGCGCCCAAACTTGCAGATCAGTTTCGGCGTTGAGCCGCCCACAGCGGTATCTTACACTCAAGTACTCAACCCCAATCCCCTCCTCCTCGCCCCCTGCACAGCCTCAAGACACCTCCCCACCGCCTCCAAATCCGACAAAAGCGTCACATGCCCCCTCTCACTACTCACAACCCCACCCCTCGCCACCTTATACCCCGGCGGCACCATCGCCGCCCGCGCAAGCACGACCCCATCCCCACTCGCAAAAGCCAGCTCATCATACGCATCCGCATGCTTAATCCCCTCTCTGCCATCGACTTTCGCGCCGTAGACGGTAGGCGTGGATTTGCCGTAGATGACCGCGTTGGGAGGGTATTTGTTCCCTTCGGCGTGGGCGGGGATGAAGTCGAGTTCTTGTTTGAATTTTTTGACGGAGGCAAGGGTGCGGGTGAGGTAGGCCATGGCTTTTTCGTGGGGCAGGGTGACAGCCGTGCGCGGGGAGGCGACGGCGTCGGAGTTGTTGCGGTCGATGTTGCCGTGGGCGACATTTCCTTTGCTATCGGCGGTGTCTGGGGCCATGAGTTCGAGGCCGGCGGTGCCGGGGGTGGTGGTGGAGGGGTCGGCTTGGTCCTTGGAGCGGAGGCTGGGTTTTCGAGCTCGGCCGGGTATGCTTGGGAGAGCGGAGGCCATAGAGCTGACGTAGCCTGTGATGCCGCCGGGCTTGGGAGGCGCTACTAAGGGTGGTAGTGGACGAGCCACGCATGGCGAGAGTCGATAGTCAACCCATGTCTGCGGATCGAAGAAATCGACATGGTACCGCTCCTTGGTGTTTTTGTCGAAGAAGCAGTTGCCATCCAAGGGTAGAAGTGCGAAGCTCGTCCTGATGGAAAAGTTGACCTGCGCAGTCAATACGCGATCGCTCAGAAGCACTTCATCTCCGTTTCGCATTGGCCCAAGGATGTTGACGCAAGTGTTCGGCACCCCAGCGTAAATCACACCTTTGAACAGCTCCGGCCGCTGATTGACGGCATGGCGTGTGATGAGGCCACCAAGCGAGTGAGCAATCACCGTAGCGCCTCGTCTGTCCCTAGGAGTGAGGCGCTTGTTGCAAGGTAGACCTTCCAGAAACTTGATGAGCTCGCTGGACAGATACGCAGGATCCAGTCGCCAGTCGTAGCCATAGTCGTGCACTCTTAGCTTGCCGGTGCGAGCATTCTGGCAGTTGCGCAGCCTTTTGAACAATCTCCTAGCAATGTCCACAGGCCCAATATGCGTTAACATGCCACCAGCAATGACGCTCTCCGAAGCCCTGGCATCGTCGCCTTCTTCAAAACCGACCTCAAGGTTGACTTTGCGAAGATTCAAGCCCACTTTGACAGGAACCCAGACCTGTCGATTTGGAGGCTCAGCAGATCGGAGGATCGAGCCTCTGTAGCCCCCAAGTACCACCACATCGCCTTCAAGCTGCTCCAAAGCGTTTGTGAAGTGTGGATGGCTTGCTGCTCTTCCGGCTGTAACGTCGGACGCTGCTGCCTTTGCAGAAGTGTAAGGCTGTCTCGTCATGGGATCGACGGGCTGTCTCTGGTTCGAGGCTTGACTCAGATCCCGCGATGAGCCCTGGGAGGTATTGTTCGATGGCAACGCGAGGCTGTTCCTCTTGTTCAGCGATCCAGCACGATCCCGCATGAAGTCCGGAGTAAAGTTGGACAGGTTGGGCAGCTTTATGCTAGAATCCTGCCAGCTGTCTTTGATAGCTTTGATTCTGCTGTTGACCTGGGCCGAGACGTCCTCGAAGCGGCTGTCGTCGCCGAGAGATTCCACGACGGACAAAGTGCGTAGAGTGGACAGAGAATGATCAGAGGTACTCCTTCTCAGCAGCCTCGCCGGCGTTCGATCATCGTAATTCCTCGGCTGTGGCGATTTTGCACGAGGCGTCGCCGTTGGGGTGCTCTCTGAGCCTCTCGGCGTCGGCGTACCAGAAGGAGGAACACGTCTATCACTGTACGACCGCTGGCGAATAGCTGGAGACGTATCGGATCGGTGGGGTGAGGGAGATCCGCTTGGCCTTGGTCTCGTCTGCGAGTCATTCGACCCCCCGTCATGTGTGGCGGCGAAAGGCGATGGGAGGGAGAAGCCTTTAGGCATAGAGGGAAGACTCGACATGAGAGACTTCTGCCATCCTTCGGGAGCATCGGGCCCGCTCGAAGCTCGTCTTCGGTTGAAGATGCCGTCAAAGAGCCCTGCTCTTCCTTTGCCACCAGTTTGCCAGCGGGCCTTTGAGTCTACGCGCCATGGAGATGGGAGTTGAACTGGTGTCCTTCGGGGTGACCGTTCTGGGAGTTCTATCCGGCTTGGAACCTCCTCCTCTGCTCTCGCGGGGGGTTGTTGCTGCTCAACTGGCTCGCTTGGCTCCTTCGACTCTTCGATATCCTCATCCTCCTCCGGTTCCTCAAATAGCGTGCCTTGAGCCCCATCCGTGGAGAAGAAGTCTCCTGCTCTTTCAATCACAGCCGCCTTCTCCACAGCAGGGGTCTGCGGCGAAGTGAGGCGAGTCTGTTCGCGGCTAATGCTGACCCCAATGGCAGTCCGAGCATCTTCTATTGGTATGTCCGGCGCGTCGGCGGGTGGTGTCTCATCGTCGGAAGATACACCCCTCTCTTGGGCGGCTACGATGCTGTTGTAGTTGATGCTCGCCAAGGCGGGCGTGAGGTCGAGTTTGAGGCCTCTCTCCTGTCCACCGTCCTGTCTTTGACCCTTGCTATCGTCTTGTGCCTCTCCCATATTGACAGTGTGTCATGCTATGCCGGTCCAACAATTCAGTCCAACAGAACCTGGCTGGCGTATGCTGTTCGACCTCACGGAGGCGATTGACAGTATTCAAGCAGCTTCCACCGTCGCCACTGATCCATATCGCGGCGTGGCTGTGGTTTAGGTCCGCTCCGAGGGTAGATGGGACAAGAGACCCACGCCATGTTCGTTCAGTTATTCACTTGCACTTGATGCCGTCACGGTCCGGCAAGTGTGGGCATTCACAGCCACGCTCCTTCTAGACAAATGGGGCGGCTCTCGGATCTAAGGCCGTCCGAGTCAGCGACGATTTTCCTTGTGCAAGACTTCACCACAAGCAGTTGCCAATACCGCTTAAGGAGAAGCGACATTTTTAGAAGAACGGCAGGCTTGTTGTTGTTAAAGGCAAACGATCGCCTCGACCGCTAGCAATGGCGGACGATGCAGCAACAACAGAGGTAGACCCGCTGAGTGACCCGCGAGAGCAACGAGTACTCCTTGCCGCCCTCAACTCCTTCAGGTAAGCATTCAAGAAACACGTTCGTAAATTTCTCTTCTTCGTTCATATTGCCTTCTTAAACGATATCCAAATTCCATCTCATTTTGCATCCGCCACATGAACGACCACGATCCTGTTCTCACACTCAGGGGCCCAACAGACAATACCGACAAGCCGCCCACTACAACATAACCCACCTCCGCCGGCAATCCTTCTACAGCCTGCCAGCACAACACCTAGACCTCCTGTGCGAAGAGCCCTTCGACATCCCCAGCTTCCTCCGCCAAGTGGACGCCGCAATCGACTCCAACGCCGACCTCGCCGAAGCAATCTACAACAATGCCCTCCAAATGTTCGACATCGACCCTACTGACCCCTCAAACTCCACATCTACCACGCCCGGGGATATGGACAAAGCGCAGTCCACCTTGAAGCAACTGTATCGTGACTGGTCCTCGGAAGGTCAAGCAGAGCGTACGGCCTCCTACACCCCGGTCCTCGAAGCGTTAGAAACGTACCTCCCCGCCACCCCTCCACAACGACATCAATACCAGATCCTCGTCCCCGGCGCCGGACTTGGACGTCTCTTATTCGATATCGTAGGGGCAGGCTACACGGCCTCTGGAAACGAGATCTCGTACCACCAAACCATGGCGTCGGCGTACATCCTCAACGCTTGCCAGCGAGCCGGGCAGCATGGACTATTTCCGTGGGTGCAGGGGTTTAGTAATCATTTCTCCCGTGAGGACCAGCTGCAGAAAGTAAAGGTGCCGGATGTTCTGCCTGCGGAAGCGTTACATGCGGCGGGGGAGTCGGAGGTGCATTGGAGTCAGCGGATGAGTATGGCGAGTGGGGATTTCTGCGTGGTGTATAGGGAGGCGGATTATGAGGATGTGTATGATGCTGTGACGACTTGCTTCTTCGTAAGTGGTTCAACCTTCTGCCAGCTGAAAACGAATTGGTGCTGAAGCGTGCGTGCAAGATCGATACAGCGCCTAACCTAATTCACTACATCGAAACCGTTAAGCACTGCTTGAAGCCTGGTGGGCTCTGGATCAACCACGGACCGCTGCAGTGGCATTTCGAGTCCACTCAGACGCCCGCGGAGGCGGCCAAAGACGAGGACGGCGCATCTCTCGCCGAAGAGAAGGGGCTTGGGTCAACGAAAGCCAACGAAGGTATCGGCGAACCAGGCTCCTTCGAGCTCACAGACGTCGAGGTCCGGCAGCTACTGGTGCGGTTGGGGTTTGAGGTGGTGATGCGGGGTGTGGCGCCTGGTGGACGGACTGGTGAGTTGATCCTTAACCTTACGTAGATGCTGGCAGACGAGAGCAGGGGTAGAAGGCGGTTGACGATGACAGGGAACGAGTGTTTGCTGACTATCGACTTGTAATTCAGGGTATATCCAGAACCCGCAAAGCATGCTGCAGACCGCTTACCGACCGTCGTTCTGGGTGGCGAAGAAGCTGTGACATCCTTCTCGTAGAGCCGTCAGGCAGCTGATCCGGACGAGCGGCAGTACAGCAGCACGAAGCGTAGTGCGCTCGCGGAGAAGATGAAGAGGATTATCTGGTCTTCGCAGCAGATCAGAGTTGACGTATCCCTCTCCCCTACAGCATCTGGGACTACGTAGCTTCTCATCAGCATCAGAGACATATTTCCGCCTTCGAGAACCTACCGCTCGCCCGTCGACAGCCACTGGCGTTGATCTACTCTTGCCGCGGTACGAGTATTGATATGTTCGACAGCTTGGGTTATACATACGACCATGTACATACATCGTTATCCACATATTCCCTTCCCTCCACCAACTCTACATCTACCTCGCGTTGTCGCCCAAATGTGATTCAATGCCATATCATGTGCATCAGTAGGATCATGCTCACGCCTGCGCAGCAAATCCGAGCCTAGGGCTGCCTTGGCTCACATCAAAGATGGCGTAGACAGCCTTCAAGAAAACATCACCAAAGATGCTGAAACCGATGCCAGTGTCCGGCTGAATCCCACCAAAGCAAGTCGAGCTACCCGTCGTCAACGGCGCGTACGCAATGTACGACCCCGGAACCGTGAACGTCTTCCCTCCAATCGCCACACTGAAATCCGGTGCGCCGCCGTTGCAGGGGAGGGTGTAGCCACCCTGCTGGTTATCATATCGTCCACCAGCTTGCTCGTAGTAGGCCTTAGTGACAGCGGCAGGGAGGTAGAGCAGCGAGGTGCCGGTGTCCGCGATAGCAGTTCCAACAGATCCGGAGGTGGCGTTGTCGCCGCCGACAGAGTAGCCGCCGGCGGTGAATTGCCAGAATCCTTGAGAGTCGTCGACGGGGACGTAGGTCACAGTGCCCTGGTACCTAGAGAAGGGTCAGCGTGCGTCTCGACGGTGAAAACGAAGATGGAGAGGGTCTCGGAGCGCCGCGCAGTTCTTGAGCGCTGTACGTGTCTCGGAGAGCCCTGTCGTCAGTTTGACATACTTGGAGCTGTCGATGTAGCCGAAAGTGTAGGAACCGGCGTCGCCTTGGCGGAGGTCGCAGGTGAAGAGGGCCTTAGCCAGAGTAGGGCGGACAGTATCGAAGAAGGTGGTTTGCTGCCTTGGTTGGACGGTGTTGATGCTGCTGAAGGCCAAGCCGAGGAGGCCGTCAGAATCGATGTTCTGGGAGAAGGAAGCAGACACCGATGTGGCGGCTTCAACGGCCTGGCGGGTGGCGGTCACTCCGCCTACGACCACTTTGTCGGTGTAGCTAGATTGCAGCGGTCAGCGTTTGCTCTGTCTGAGAAGAACAGGTTTGGCTGCGTACACATTTCCTCCGGCGCCGGATTGGTCGCCGTAGGTGATGCTCCAGGAGTAGCCGTCGAGCTCGGTGCCGGTGGCGGAGTCGTAGCGTTCATGGCCTTGAGACTGGGAGGCGGGTGTTTCGTTGGAGAAGGCCCAGCTATACAAACGTTAACTCCAGAACTCATCTGTTGATCCGGGGGAGATATGAACTCACAGATCAGCAGACCCAGTATCAAAATCCAACATCAACTCGCTGTTCCCAATAGTCACCGGGCTGAGGTACGCCTGGTCGTACTGCTGCGGGTCGGCAGCCACCTCGCCACTCTGCGCCGCAGCAGCAGCCATAACAACCTCAGACGGGGCCTTTGCGCCGACACGCGCATATTTGTGGAAGGTCTTCATCATCTGGGACGGGCCATTGCGGAAGACTCTGCCGTGGGCGACCTGCTTGACCTCAAAAGTGCTGCGGCCGACGAGGTTCGCGGGTGCTGCAAGAGCAAGAGAAGCGGACGCCACCAGGGCGGCCGAAACGGTGAACGAGTGCATCTTGGAAAGAAGGAATGACGGTGTGTAGTGAGTGTGATTGAAACGAGAGACTGTGCTCGAGCAAGCGAACCCGGACTGGAATGAAGGTAGAAGAGAGAGTGAGTGTGAGGGAATGTAGATGAACAAGATACCTCGATACCACAGCGCCTGGCGGTGTTTTAAGTATGCTCGCTCGCGTTTGCTCGTGCTTGCAGGTGTCGCATGCCGAGATTGATCGGCGGACGGACAATCAAAGACAACCTGCCAGTCGGGGAGATCAGATGGCCGCCTGCATACCGGCAGAGTTACGCCAGCTAGTCTGCTTAATGCATGGGCAGGCTGGTCTAGGACGAGACCGAGGACGATGTCGCCTTCCAGTTGGGGACATGGTCCGACGGGCTGAGGACAAGGAGGTCGTTCGACTTGGCCCTGTCAAGATTCAAGGTAGCGCTTTGCTTGTGTTGCCGTAGTCTGATCCCCACACTGCGAGGACGCCACAGGGACGACGGAGAGGGGTGGCATTGGTCCGGAGAATTAGTAGTGAATATTGTGAACGTTTCGAAATGGTGTTTCACTCAGTGTTGTTCATTTAGAGTGGGCGAATGGAAAGACGTGAAGTTGTGTCAGGGGGCGGTTATGCGGGCGAGCCGTAGCTCGGAGATGGCCACCTCAAGCGAGCCAAGCGGGTTGCGGGAGGCAAGATCAACGCTTGAAAACGCCCGAAGCTTAAACCTCCAACAACTTCCTTCAACGTCTTCTCACACTTGATTCGCTCCTCAAAATCGATAGTATGCAGAAGCACAGTCTGTCTGAACAATGCTCGTCCACCCGACTTGCCTGAGCTTGTTTGCATCAAGTGGGATGGCCAACCCTTTGTGTCCTCGGCACTCCCGAGCTCCACCACGACACTGACACTGGTATGCCGATCGCTGGAAGGTAGTACCGATGATATCTTGTGGCCAGAACGGCGTGGTGTGGCGTGGTTGGTTGGCAGCAGAGCCGCATATGGTCATGCATCAAGGACCGCTGCATGAACTCCCTCCACTGCCCGGCTGGTGATAAGGATCATGTGGAGTCGCAGCATCTCGTTGGCCAGCCTACTACTTCTACCTTCTTTAGCCGGCAGAAGCATATATCATATCGACTATGGATGGTCATACGCTCCACGGGGCTTCGGCATGAACGACATTCAAAGGCAGCCAGCGAGTAGTGCGTGGTGCAAGATGAAAGAAGACAGCGGACAGCCAATGAGATGGCAGGTCTTCGAACTTCATGCAACGATCACGAGCTCGCATTCGGCCTGCTATCTGAAAAGCGGAAGGCCTGAAACCTCGCTGCAACCACCGTCTACGCTCTTTCCACAACACCAAGCTCTGAAAGGCTCTCGACGGCATCCTTCGACCACCTTGCTCAGCTTTCCATGATCGAAGCATTGAGGACTACGCAGAAAGCCAAATGTCAGCTGAGCTGCTGTGCTGGGAGCATACCCGACCAAGCGCGGCATGGCACATGGTCAATAGTTTTGTGATTAATTTGTGGCGATCGAGCGGGCATCTGGAAATTCTGGTGAAGCGTCTGGATCAGGCATTACCGCTAGTCCAGCGATGCAACACTGCTGCTGTCTCGGCGTCCGTGTGCGGCTTCATCCAAGAGATGGGTTTGTGTTTGAGTGTGTACTTACTGTCGACACAGATGGTCACATCCGTCATCTGCATAACATCTTGACTACGCCGCAACGGTAGCATCTCCTGCCCGAACGAAGCCTGGTGATCGCGCTGCTGACTACAGTCTATGCTCGACATAGCTGTCTGTGGAGAAGGACTACCCGCTTGCTCCTCAAAAAAAAAATCCCGAAAAGAACCCCAGCACAGGCTCATACTCCCGAGCGCATCATCTGGAACTCTACCTGGGACTTCAATAATGACTAAGGTGCGAAGCAAGACTCTTGTTCTGACTGATCAGATGACTGTAAGATGCCGCGATTTTCTGTACATTACCATTTGATATCTCAGCGCCTCCTCCTACCTTCCTCCCCGGTCCTTCAGGTTCGCTGCCTCATTTACAAGAAGTTGTCACACAGTGCCAAGCTGCCAACAGCGAAAGCGGCCCACTAGATCAGAGCGAGCCGCATGGGAGACCTTCTCAGAGACTATGACAGCCCACTGACGAGAGCCATGTGGCCCTTTTGGCCGCAATCTTGTGTCGGAGAAGACTGCAAGCTAAGCCCGGTTGGCTCCTTCCACCGTCTCTTGCTTGAGTGGTTCCTACTCCAAGCTGTACGGAACATGCATTCGTTGTTGCATCGCTTCCAGGCAGTCGACCTCCAGGTTGACCAGAACCCTTGTTCTGGAGTGTTTCCAACACCAAGACATGGCAAACATGCCTCAGACTGCAGGCAACTGTCTTCCGATGGTGATATAATAAGAGTCAGCATGGCGTTCAAGAGAAGACGCCACAGGATTGGAAAGGAATATGTCTTCTTCCCAGCAGCCAGCTCCCGTCGGAAGTGCAAATGTAACTGATATTGATGCTATGGTACACGAGACCTACGGTCACGTCGGCGAAGGCCTGAGCGGTACACAGACTTCCATACGTTGCCATTGTTTCCCAGCGCTAACCTCACGGTAAACTCAAGTCAACGATCAAACGTCACCAGCAGATCTACGAGCAACAAAGCAACGCTTTCACCGTCGTCGTGATCTGGAAGCGTTTGCGAGCTTCCCGGAAGGCTATATCTTCATCAATCAACAGTACAAGACGGAATGCCGTGAGCCAAAAGGCAAGCAGCGGGCTGTCATCCTGCTGTCACCTCCCGATCAGGTTGCTGTGCAAGGTACGGGCAAGAAGTGGACTCGCCGAGCTCGCCATGAAGAGGCAGATGGGCCTGCTCCTTACACCCGGGAGTGGTACAGCTTCTACCTTGCACAGAATCTTCTTCCTGGTTTCTGAGCCCAGAGCACTGTGCCATCTCTGATGACAAGGAGGCCTCACATCTTGGTGTGTCGAACGATTACACTGCTGTCCCGGACCTGCCACCGTCGTGGTACCTCAACTTCAGATATTCCTCTCCTCCACTCTACCCTCAGCCAGTGGCGGGAAGCACATTTGCAATCGACATCTCGAAAGCTGACACTGCTGACAAGGTACTCCACCTGGCCAGGCGATTTCCAGCAGTTCTGGCGCACCAACGCATGGGTTTGGCTCTCGTCGATGTCGACTCCAGAGGTTTTGTTATGCTCCGCTCGATACATCAACAAGGCGTGGTGCATGCAGGAGAAGCCGAATTGGAGGAGGCGACGGCCGGTTTGAAGTGGCTGTCTGAACCTCTCGCAACACCGCGAGCATCCTACGTCCCTGCGCTCGGTGCGATCGATACCACTGGAATGCCAGAGTCACGGTATCGCGGTTTCGAGGAGCACAAGGCTTCCATACACGGCGGACTTTCGAAGCTCGACCAACATCCACACGGCTGTGGAAAGTTCATATATATCTTGATGAGCAGCACGATGGAGCCATTGCCGCTGCGTTGGGTTTCCACGCTCCCGCATTCATCCTCCATGCCACTCACATTGGAGCATTTGAGGGCATGGGCGCGAGGGACCGACCGCGTGCTGTGTACGAGCCTTCTCGCCATTTCTTTCAGCCGCTGTCCCAGCCTACTTGGGGTGGCAAAGCACTTCCAGGACATTGGGAGTTCCTCACCACAGCAGGTGAGAACAGTGTCCGAGCACAGGCTGAGCGCGAGTTTGGCGAGAGTGAGTGGCTCTCAGAATCCAGGCCATCTGCTGAAGATAAGTGAACGCTGAGGCAGTCCTGTCGGCGCCGCATGGTCAACGGGACCTTCATCAAGGAAGATCCTACGATGGAGCTTCCACTTGTATGGGTACTTCCCTATGACGATGCGGAATCGCCGGCAGCTGTTCTCGGTACTGGCAGCAATGATGGCGATACTCTCAGCGGTATCGTGGATGACAGCATCGAAGCTCCATTCTTGAGAAGTCAGGCTGATCGACAAGTTTTTGGGACGGGGAAAACCCTTGCTGACATTCTCAGAGACCTGGATGCTGGCACTTACACCCCTCTCAACGACGGCGTGGATCCGCACTCCGGCCTGCCTCAAGATCCCACGAACGGCGGCGCCAATGAACAAACAAGCACCCATCCGAAGCGACACTACGCCACGATAATATTGGGCAGACGCAACAAGAGGCTGCCGTACACTGTCGATCGGTCAGAAGCTCGAAAAGGTGTGCCTGAAGTCCACAAGTTCTGGGTCCCCAACAAGCACGGATCCTGGACACGTCGCAGGGACGAAGATGGCAAACAGTTCGACTGGGATTGTGAGAAGTCCATCAGGAATTTAAACAGCTGGCGTTTGAGGCAGTTCAGAGAGGCTGGCTTCTACATCAAACCAACTCCCGGCTCGTATTCGAATGCACAGATGAAATGGTTGGTCGACATCGTCACGGCACAAAGCGGTGCACCCCCAGCGGAGGGCTACGGCGAGATGACCAGGCGTTTCAATGCGACTTTTCCTGGGAAACTGGATCGCACAGAAGCGAACCTCAGTTTTCAGTACTGGATTCTGCAGAACGAATTCCGGGACAATGGGATGCAATTTTCAGAATCGCGGCGCTGCACTGGTGGAAGGAGGAGTGGGAGCGTGAGAGGCCTTGACGGAGGGTCAGGTGAGGCTCACGAAGGGACAGATCGGCTGGATGAGGGAGGGCATCGGAGTGATGGAGCAGAGGGAGTGGACAATGGCTTGGAAGGTGAAGAGGTGACTGATGATAAGTTGGCTAACGAGGACCTCACCGGTGAAGCGTAAGTTGTCTACCTTATGGCCCACGGCTTGAACGCAATGCAGTGAGAATGAGGGTCATATACCTGGGTCTTGGGCTTTGAGCAGCCCAGTGAATTGTTCAATGAACCCACTCTCAAGCATGGTGACTGCATGCTTGTGCCGCCCTCACGCGCCTCAATGACCTGTCCCTATCTCGGAGAAGGTGCCCAGCTACCTAGTCCTTCCTTCCATCCAGTCTCCCTTTCAAGACTCATGGACGTTGCTGTCGACCAGTAAAGTTCAACGTTCATCTGAGACCTGAAACTACTTTGCGGAGTCAATAGAAGAACATCTCAGGAGACTGCCAACATGAGCTCAATTTGGTATGAAGGTCTTCAGCACAGTGAATTGGCAGCCTCGTTAACCAAACCTTCCAACGCGTCTTCGCTATGCTCTCCCCCCGATCCAGCCCATTGGACCTTCGCTATCCACACTCTCACGCACAGCTTCGTAAACACAGTCGCTTGCATCGCTACTCCGGCTCGGCTTCGTCCCCGACGTCACCGTCTGCGTTTGCCTTGGTATCGTCAAGATGTCCGTACCTAGCTGAGTCCTTCCTGGCAGAGTCCGCTGTAGTCTCTCCATTGCGCCTATCCTCCCGACTCAGGCGCTGATAGAGCGCTCGCAAGGAGTTCGGATGGCGCGGCGGCCTTGCTCCGAACCTGACATTGAACCTTTGGGCGAGGTCTTGGAAGTCGATGTCATGATCTCCGTGGCTTTGCCTTGTGATGATATCGCGAATCCAGTCCTCCTCTTCGGGGTTGTAATCGAGCAAGCACCAGTGGGGGGTAAAGCGCAGCCGTGAAGATTTCTGACGGCGGTGGTTGTTCAACCGCCTGATGGACTCCGCCGATTCCTAAGCGAACGGAAGGACTGGCTTCCACTTCTTCCACTGGCCAGACTTGTTGACATAGTAGAACTTGTGCGGCTCCTCAACGCCCACCCGAGCACTAGACCGGTCGATGGTATGTCTCTTTCCCTTGATACTGAAGGTGTTGTAGCGCCGGTATGCGGTCAAGTTGGTTTGATCGTGTTCGGGATCGCCATCGTTTTTCGGGTTGTGACGAAGGCCCGATACAGGATCGTAGTTGTCCTCGGTATCCGCAATCTCGAACTCTTCGTCGATTTCAGTGACCTCGGTGCTGACAGCCGTGCGGTGGAGAGGTGTTGGAGTGTCGGCACGAGGCGTCCGCATTGGTTCCATGTCGCCCGTTGCAACGCGCCCACTAGAAATGGTGAGCTCCTCAGTACTGTTGGCGATCGATGCACCGGCAAGGAATGGGTCGGTATTCGAGTCGGGTCAAGCGAGCAGCTTGATAGCGTAGAACTTCGTAACGACTGGAGGTTCATCTCTTCACTACCACAGCAAAGTGGCAATCGGCAGGGTGAAAAGGGCTCCTTCCAGATGCCGGCAACCACGCAATGGCAAGGGGCAAGAGTTGACCAGCTGCCACGGCAACTACACCCCCTCGCGATTGCCTGCATATCTGAGGCGACGCCTCTTTGGCTTCCATTCCTCTGGAGCAGCAATTGCAGTGAGCGTTGAATAAAGTATGCTTTGCTTGCATCGGGCATGGTGATGCGTGAGTCTGCATGCCCAGCTCCAAAGTCTTTAAGAGCCTGATCCTCAGCCCTCATCATTGAAACCATTGACAGCACCTTCGTCTGCCTTCCTCCTCCGATGCTTCTGCTTCACAGTCCCATACCGCTCCAACGTTCCATTCACACTTTGCTCCTCTTCACCCTCAAACCGCTTCCTGGCCACAGCTGGCCATGGCTTGCAAACATCGATCTTCTCTCTCGGATACACCATCTCCAGCACGCAATAGATCAAGTAATCAATCACCACCACAATAACAAACAGTTTCCCAGCCCAAATGCCACAGCCGAAATACCTCTTCAACCGGTCCATCAGCGCAAACGAATGCGGCTGCGCCGGCTGCCCGTAGTGCATCCATTCTTCGTCATAAAAACCTTCGTTGTCCGGCGCAGAAGAAGATCCAGTGATAAGGTCGTACACCCGTTCAGTACGACGCGCTATGTCCGCCCAGCTGTACATGTTCTTCACCAAGTCGTGGAACTTATCTCTGCGGACTGCTTTACTGGTGAGCACGCCGACGGCTTCCGTGACGCCGCGGACCACGTCTTCGACTTCGGGGAGCACAAAGACGGTCATGTTACTGGGCAGGACTTCGGGCACGCCGCCGACGCGGGTGGCGACAACCATGAGGCCGCAGCTTGCGGCTTCGACTAGCACGGTGCCGAAGGCCTCTGTGAGAGAGGTGGAGAGGAGGAGGTGCCCCCGGACCATCACGTCGCGGACTTCTTCGTGGCGGATGCTGCCCAGTAATACCACACGGCTTTGGCCTGAAGCTGTGTAGACCAGCTGCTGTGGGAGCGCATCCAGCGTTTGCTCCATATCGATGGCTTTAGGTCCGGAGCCGGCGATGATGAAGCGTAAGTTTTCGTGTCGTTCGAGGAGCAGCGGTAGTGCGGAGATGAGCAGGTCGGTGCCTTTGTTGTAGAAGAGCCGGGAGATGACAATGATGGTGATGGGATCTCCTGGGCCGACAGGATGACTCGGATCCGGTGGTGGAGGTAGTAGGGCGCCTTTGTCGCTCGCGTGGTGGGATAACTTGAACTCATGTGGCTGCAACGGCTGGAAGCTGCTCGGGACGACAGCATTTGGAATCACCGAGACTGCCAGTGGATTCAGTGAGGCTCGCAGTGTTGTGTTCTCCTTGCTTGCAGGTCGTGAGCTAAAGTATATCAGGTATTCGTTGACCGCTGGCTTACCAAGTATGCGACACGCAAATGACATGGTCCACATCACTCATGCTGAACTTCAGCAACTTATTCGCCATGATGCTGGCAGCATCACTGAAGCCGAACAGGCTGTGATCAGTGAAGACGGTATGTAGGCTCATCGTTCGAGCGTGTAGTATGCCTTCGTGGCACAAGTTACTGAGCGATGCGTGTCCATGAACAATCTCGATTTGCTCTCGGATGAAGATCTGCCGTAAAATTGGGAACGATGAGAAGACCGTGGGGAAGGTTGTAGATCGGTACACCACCCAGTGTGGCAGATGGTAGACCTTCAGGCGGTTGGTGAGATATCGGATGCCACTTCGTTTGGGGTTGTCGTAGGCGTGTGTGATGACTACTACCCGATGGCCTCGGTCGATGAGTTTCTACACACGCAACGTCAGCTCCGAAGCTGATGTAGGTTGCATGACCATCGCCGTCATCCCTTGTTCGCAGGCCACACGCAATGATTCGCCGTCACTCAGGGGATGATCATCGGGACTGAATGAGAAGACGTACAGTAGAAAGCTGGTATATGTGGCTTTCTACACCACCTGGCTGAGGATAGAAGAAGTCGGAGACCATGCTGTCTGATCTTTTAGTATCTATTGAAGGGCATGCATGTAAAGGGGGTAACCACGTACGCAATGTTGTACGGCATCGTAGCGATGTTGCGCCTCGAAGGCGCTCATCCGGGGTTGGCAGGCACTTCAGAAGATGGACTTGGTCGCAGCATAGTCAATAAAGATTGTGATTGCTCTTCGACGTGAGGATGGGAAGAAGTGTAGTCAGGGGTAGGGTATGGTGGTACAGCCAGACGCGTAGGTACTGGGTGAAGTCGAGGTGGTCTTGGCATCAACCTCACCTCTTCTCACCGCTTTCGGGCAGTACTTTTTCTACAGACATTAAGGTCATTTGCGCGGAGAACGACAACGACACCATGGCGCCCCTGTATAAGCGGTACATACCACCGAAGCCTTCAGATAACGGACCGGTCCCATCACAGTCTACAGCACAAACTGGACCGAAACCCGTCAAAGCTGCACCTCCACCAGAAGATGCGCCGAACAAGCGGAAACGAGAACGAACGGAGGAAGAGGTCGCAGAGAGGAAGGCGAAGAAGCTGAAGAAGAAGGGCATTGATCCTGCAACCGTTCCACCGCCTCAGCCAACGGCGCAGAAGACAGCTCCACCTCCAACTCCACCATTCGCACCAGTGCCGCCTGAGGTTGCCCATGTTGAGACTGATGGGCCTGTGTTCGAAGCAAAGGGCACTTTTGCCCACGTGAAGGACGCAAAGAAGCGGCATAAGCTGGAGAAGCAGGCTAGGGAACAGAGAAAGCAGACTGAGAAGGCGAAGCAGGATGGGCGAGAAGATGGAACAGTAGCTGCTCAGCAAGATACTTCAAAACAGGGAAAGAACGGAGGGCGTGAGGTGCAGTCTATGCCCGCAGGCGCTGAGAAGGCTCAACAGAATGGTGCAATCTCTGTCGACGATGGCACGGGTCCTACGTCGGGTGATCGTGTCGATGGACTCAAGCCACAGAAGCGAGAGAAGCGAAAGAAAAACCGCAGTGAGAACGAAAATGTCAATGGGACGTCAGAATCAATACAGGTTCCTGCTAGCGAAGCTTCTCCAATCGATGAGAACACCTCGCAGCCCAAGAAACGTCGCCATAAGCTTGAGGCTGTATTTCAATCGAACGACGACGACGACGGAAATGCGCCGAACGAAAATCAAGAGCATCTCAAGAAGCACGGCAGCATCTTGAAGAAATTCCAGCAATCGTCGAAACTCTCCCAGGACGTTCCTCCTTCAGTGCCATCAGCTGAGCAAGAAGACAATAGCCGTTCTGAGCCTGTCCTGCTTGATCTAGCGCCACTGCCTCAGCCTGAGAAGGCCCAGACGCCAGAGTTCGTGCCCGATCCCAATGCTCTGCCTAGTTGGATCTCAAAACCTACGATTGTCTCCAGCGACGAACGCGCGCCGTTCTCTTCTCTTGGCCTCGACGTAAAGGACGTCGACCATCTATCCAAGCTTGGGTTCACCAATGCACTACCCGTACAGAAAGCCGTCATACCATTGCTACTTCCACCTGGAACTTCAGGAGCTCGGTTCTTGCCTGGGTCAGAGATCGTACTACCTGATATTGCTGTCAGTGCTCCAACTGGCAGTGGTAAGACTGTGGCATATCTCATGCCTATCTTGGAGTCGCTAAAACAGGCTGCTGGATCTGGTACGCTCAAAGCGCTTATAGTCGTACCTACGAGGGAGTTGGTCATGCAAGTCGCAGCAGTGGCCGAAAGCCTAGCGCGTGGCACAAATATCAAGGTTGGAATGGCAACAGGCTCCGGCGTCTTCAAAGATGAGCAAGCTAGACTCATCAGGCACGGAAGGAGGTACGATCCGAAAGCGTACCATGAACTCATGGCTCAGGCGCATCGACAGAACTATCCTCCAGAACAGGACACGGACGAGGTAGAGGACAGCGTCGAAGGGCTCGGACAAGAGAATTCCAAGCAGAACCAGCGGATTGAGGACGCCGTGTGTGGACTTCTGGAACATGTTCCAACGTACGAGTCTGCTTTTGATGTTGTTGTTGCCACTCCTGGTCGGCTACTCGAACACCTCAAGAGTACACTCGGTTTCAGCCTGTCGCATCTGGGCTGGCTCGTGCTTGATGAAGCTGACAAGCTCCTTGACCTGCAATACGACGGCTTCCTTAACACCATAAACAACGAAATTACGCGACCACGTCACGAAGAAGAGCAAGATTCTCGAGAGCAGTATCTCCGATCGAAGAATCTATGGGAGGAGCAACGTGAGCGGCGGGTGAGAAAAGTTGTGCTTTCGGCTACCATGACCAAGGATGTCTCGAAGTTGCTTGAGCTGAAGCTGCAGCGCCCGCAGATGGTGGTTGTTAGGGGTGCTGAGCAGGCGGCCTCTGGCGCTGATCCAGATGCTACTGATGTGGCAAAGGAGAGCGAAGATGGCTTTGAGCTACCTCCCACGCTTGACGAATACTGTGTACCGGTCGGCGATGGCAGTGAGAAGCCCTTGTTCCTTGCTGAAGTGCTTCGAACTCGGATCATGCCTGCTTTCGATGGAGAGACCTCTGGCCAGTACGACCGCGATGAGGACATAAGCGATGCTTCAGATGGCGACGATGCATCTTCGACATCATCTTCAAGCTCTGACTCAGACTCAGATGCGGACTCAAAGTCCTCAGGAGAGGAAAGCGATCAGTCTGCCGGATCAGCCGCTGGTACCACACCACCACCACCTCCTGCGGACCATGAACCGGAACAGTCAACACTGCATCCTTCCCGCGCTGCTCTCCTGCCCAATCACGACCATCTCAAGCCTCTTGCCCCCACTGTCCTGATCTTCACCTCCAGCACCGAGTCCACCACTCGCCTTTCCCACCTCCTCTCCAACCTCCACCCAACGTGGGCGCCTTGGATAGCAACCATGACTCGCTCTACGCCATCTCGCTCGATTCTCCCTCATTCCGATCTCGCAAAACCAATCATCACGATCTCCACGGACCGCGCTGCCCGTGGCCTCGACGCCCTTGGCTCCCGCGCTGTCACGCACGTCGTGCAGTACGATGTCCCTCGCTCGACGACCGGGTACGTGCATCGTGTTGGACGGACAGCTCGGGCGGGAAGGCCTGGAGAGGCGTGGACGCTGTTCTCGCATAGCGAGGGTCGGTGGTTCATGAAGGAGGTCGTGAAGACCGCCAAGATCAAGCGGCGAGGGGAAGGCGTGGAGAAGGTCAAGATCTCAGCTGGAGGCGACAACGAGCGGGAGAGGTTAGCTAAGGTCGTGGCGAAGATGAGGGACGAGGTGTTCAGCGGCGGCAAGCCGCGAACAGTGAAAGTGGCCAACAGGGCATAGCTGGCAGGCTTCTCCGACAGGAGACTGCGGCGGAAAGGGCCACATCACTCTCCTCAGCAGGCGGTCATTGTCTATGGGAAGGTCCCCTCCACGGCTCACTCTGACCTGATGGGCCGATCTCACTGTCTAAGCGGCAGACGGCAACGAACGAAAAAGCCATAACCACTAATCGAATGTCATGAATACTTTGTACATGATACTACAGCCCAAGCCCGATCATCTCGATCTATCGTGTATCGTCGTTACGCCGCAAACGCCTTGCCAAATAACGCTCAACTCCAACAAGCAACCGTTGGGTATCTTCAATCGATCGCTTGAACGCAAGACCAAATGTGCTGCCTCCCATCCCAACTCTTTCTTATCCGTCAAACACTAATGATGTCCAAGCAAGTCTTTCTTGTTTCATCGGACGACACTTCCTCAGAACGTGCTCCAATTCCCGTATACGCCCAAGCTCCTTGGCTCCGCTCCAGCGACCGCTTGTCCTGCCTCACCCCTCTGCCCAGGCACCGCCAGACCTCCCAACCCATCCTCTTGACCCAGCTGCGAAGCAGACATCGAAGTGCTCAGGCTACTCTCTCCGGAAACCACGAGTTGTGCTTTCACACCCCTCCAGCCTTGATAGCATGTATCGCACGCCCGGCTCATATATCCCTTCGGATGGAACCGCGCGTTCTGGTCCAATGGGACTAGGTGCGTGGAGTGTGCTCCGCAGACAACGTGCCCGCATGCTCGACAGTGGTGTCGCCGGAAATACCAGGTAAAAGTCGCCTGGCAGAGAGCGCAGTTGGGCGAGGTCTGGTTGGGCTTCCAGTGGGACGTCACTGGAGGACCAGACGGTTCGCAGTCGAGCAGGGCGAGGTCGAGGTTATCGAACGGGGAGTTCGTGGGAGGGTGGGGGAGGTTGATGTGAGATGTCGAGACGGACCACGATGCTGCGGGACGGTGGAGAGGTGCGGTGGGGAGGGAGAAGGTCGTCAAGGGCGACGAGGGTTTGGTGGAGTTGGAGTCGGCGCTGTCGAAGCTGTTGCCTTTGCTTGGGGGTGGGGTGTCTGGTGCTCTCGGACGGTCAGGAATATTGCGGGAGTATTCTGGGGGACGGAGAGCGGCGGGGATGTAGAGGGGTTGGCGGGGAGGGTAGATGGATTGGTGGGAGCGTCGGGGTTCGATCGTGGAGCCGTCGCTGTTCTCGCGGGAAGGTGTTGGGTGGAGGTTGTATGTTGCGGAACGCTTGGGGACGTTGAAGTCGTAGGTCTCTGGGGGAGACGGTTCGGTTGAGGGAGCCATGAAGTATTTGCTTGTGTTCATTGCTTGTGGGTGTTGGAGCATGTTGCGGTCGTGTGCTTGGGAGGGTTGGGTTCGAGGTCGTTCATGTGATAATGCCTTCGACTCGGACTAACGAAAGACCAGAAGGACCCACGACCTCACAAATGTGCGACTCGGGGCCTTGTCGTCGTTGCACGTCGTCGAGGCGGTCAGCGAGACCCCGGTTGGCGGTACAGCAAGGAGCCAGAAGTGGTATCTGATCGTTGAACGGGTCGAGTCCAATTGGTCGTGTGCGTTCACGAGGCGCGAGATAAGGACGCTGGCTGCCGGTACGTGATAGCGGAACGCCTGTCGTTCGGCAGTGCGCTATCGTTAAAGGAGTGACTTGCAGCACGGTTGTGCACATGGACAACGGCCATGCTGGAGGGGGAGAGGGGAGTATTAACCAGCAGATGGCGGTGGAGCAGCACCCGACGAAGGTTTGCCAGTTCACGTTGGGTTGGGGACTTCGCTCGATTGATCGCCGCGCTAGAACCGCAACAGCAACCATAAGCACGCGACACCATCACCTACTCATCCTACTACAACTGCCATTACCAGGTCAACGAGAACAGAATGGCCATTGTCGTTCTCCAGTGCGGCTTCTCTCCATTCCAACCACCTATTCAGCCCTCCATGCCGTCGAACAACATTCTTCGACCATCCCACCATCACGAGATAGCTCCCCTCCAAGCCGGCAATGATAACACTCGCCCGGGGTTAGACAACTTCTTTAGGACGCTCGCCGTTGCGCGCCAATCAAATGCATTCCTGCTTATCTCTCGACATGTGAAGCTAAGCATTACGCGCAGGATTAGCGTCGAACGACAGCGTCTGTTCATCGGCACTCAACGGCTCAAGTCCTAGGTGGCGTGCGGTCTTCGCGTAGGCCGAACGATACAAAAGGACTTGAATGTCCATCTCGTCGTCAGGGAGGTCGTTGGAGTGTTCAATCGTCGGGAGTGCGCACGAACGACTGTAATCGCACTCGAGTGTCGCGTGCTGATCCATATTTCTCGACTCCTTGTCTGCAGCAGCGAACAGCAGGGTCCAGACGAAGGAAGCCGACCCACCCAACGAATCCCCGGTCGTTTATTTGTTGCGGTAAACTTACCGACGAAGAACTTCCGAGTTGTCCGCAGAAGCTCGACTCAACGTCACCTTCTTCTTCAACGCCTTGCCATTGGGTCTCCACATGAGCTGCTTGACAGCTCTTCAATGTTTGTAGCTTCACTACAATCAGATCGATCGCGAAGCTCTTCCACGCACATCGTGATCGGTGTTGCTCTCGACTCCATCGATGTGCACGACGGACTGTTGTGCTGCGGCTAATTGTCACAGTGCATCGGGTGTAACGATGCCTCGGTGATGAGCTGGGATCTGGCGTTCATTGTGCAGGAAGAGCAGCGACCGAGCCAGTCGAGCCAGCCTCCCTGTTGTTGAAATGCCATCAAGGGCTATGAGTGCGGCTGTCAAGGCATCCTCTCCTTCTCTTTGGGCTTGATGCGTATGTGCAGTATCGAGAACGAACAATGTTCGTTGCCTCCTGCAACCGCGAGACACTGCGGTAAGCTACTTTATGGACCCAGACCATTCCAGTGTAGTACGACTGGCCAACGAAAATCTTCATCCACAGCTGGTACAGCATCCAGAAAGCACCAAACGAATACAAGAGTTATCGTATCTGAGCAGAAAGCGATTCGCATGTGCATTCGTCCGTCACGGTCCACAAATGGTAGGTCGTTGGCTTGATGTCCCCGAAAAATTTGGCCAGTGAAGAATGACTGGAGTTGCTCGACTCTATAGTTACGAAACATCAGCGGTAGTCCCGCACAGACGTAGCGGAAAGAGAACGCCGTCTCTTTGCCAGTCCCTGTTGCAAGGCGGTGGTAGTATGGAGGTAGAGAGGAGGCGAGCGCTCTGCCTTCATGATCAGGCGAAAGGAAGATCAATTTTCCGTGCTCTTTGACTGCATCTCATCCTTGGACCACACCTCTCACCACATCTCCTCCTGCCCTCTGGTATGCGCCTGCCTATCAAGACAGATTGTTACTGTTCTGGCTGCTATCGAAACGAGCTACCAATAGCTTCAGCATGCCGTACGAAACATCTTTGCCCAGCTCCGCCGGCTAACAGTATCCGCTCTGGTAGCTGGTGGTTCTTACCACGCCTCCTCGTGCGGAGATGTATTCGACCCGGGGTAATGTGTATATGCCCTTCTCCATTTGAACCGAGATTTCGTTGGCAAGAGCCGAAAATTGTTTGAACTCATAGAGTAGGCTTTTGTGGAATCTCTCCCTGCTCGCGTGCCTATTACCAACATCTCAACGGAATCCAACAGACATGGAGTCTCGCGTGGCAATTGTAACTGGCGCCTCAGTATGATCCCAATCCACTCATGAACTAGCATCCCAGCTGACCACTCCCGCAGTCCGGCATGGGCGAAGCCCTCTCTCGCGAACTCGTCGCCAAAGGCTGGACCGTAGCCATGTCAGACATCCAGGAAAACAAAGCTCTTGCCGAAGAACTCGGATCCAAAGCCCGCTTCTACAAAGGCAATGTGGCCGACTACGACTCCCAGGCCAAGGTCTTTGACCAAGTCTTCAAGGACTTTGGCCGTCTGGATGCTCTTTGCGCGAATGCTGGGATCGTGGACAAGAGCAGTCCGTATATCCTTGGAGCTCGTGATTCAGATGAGATCCCGCCGGCGCCGAGTACGCTTTGTACGGATGTTGATTGGAAGGGTGAGTGAGGTGATTTGACCGTGATCGATCAATTTCCTTCGAGAGTGTTGCAGATGGATCGATCGAGGGCGACTTGATCATTTAACTGACCGTCAGACAGGCGTCTTATATGGCACTCAACTAGCGATCCACTTCATGAGGAAGAACAAGACACCAGGTGGTGCTATCGTTGCTACTGCCTCGATAGCAGCCGTCCATCCACATCCAACATATCCCGAGTACAACGGTGCAAAAGCAGCCGTAGGTTCAGCCCATCAATCCCACCCACACAGGAGACTCTCTGATCAATCCGCCGCTCTGTTATAGGTCCTGAACTTCGTCCGCGGCTCCGCCCAAATCCTCAAAATCAAGGAGAACATCCGCCTCAACGCAGTACTGCCCGGTATTGTCTCGACAAAGATCATTCCGCCTGAGATGGTGGCCGCTGTAAAGCCCGAATTGTAAACCACACCTCCCCATCGAACCATCTGCACTCACTGACAAATCCCAGTCTTACGCCGGTTAAAACAATCACGGACGCCTACATAAAACTCCTCGACGACGAAAGCCTCATCGGCCAAGCAATCGAAGGCTCAGTCGACAAACACTTCTTCTTCCCGGACCCGCCGATGATGAATGGCGCAGCGACGAAGCGTGCGATCACAGTCTGGGATCCGCTGTTCGAGCTGTCCCATGGCGAGCTGTCTGGACTGCCTGATGCGATACCTGGGGAGAGTTTCAAGAAGTAATAAAATGATGTTCATGTACTGTAGCAGCTGTTGACAGTGAAAGCGGCCCACTGGGTCAGACTCAGCCATGCAAGAGACCTTCTCATAAACCATGATAGCACACTGACCAGAGTGAGATGGCCATTTTCGCTGCACTTGAGTCCACGAGAACACTGGCAATGATCATCAGTTGGCCGCTTTTACTGTCTCATGCCTGTGTAGGTACCTAATGTATGGACAGAATGTTATATATCGCGCATAAACTCCTGCAAAAACTCGTTCCTCGCTGTCCACGACCTAATGCGTTTGCCGTAGATCCACAGCGGGATGGTCAGCAAGCAGACGGCGAGAAAGCAGGAACCCAGGATGTTGAAGACGATCAGGGCACCGTCTCTTTCGATCCAGGAGTTGACGAAGTAGGTCTTCAGAAACAAGTCAGCAGAGCACAGCCAATGTGGGGATTGTCTAATTACCAGTCCAAAGGTCAACAGATTCCGAGTGTTGATGGCAACGAACGCTTCTTCGGCCAGTCGAGGGTAGCTGTCGAGGATGTAGCCAAAGACGCAGGTACTCGCGAATGCCAGAGACATGTTTGCCAGACCGTACGTTGCGACAGGGCCGAACCAGTGGGTTTGGGCGTCAACTGTGGCGCCGAAGCCTGTATTGACGATCAGCCTCAATTGTAGCTACAAAATACAAGCAACAGTCTTACCGTAGAAACCGACAACGCCAAGGATAACTACCACGACCATCAGGACGAGCCTACAGAACAGATTGTCAGCAATGGCTCGAACCAGGAAGGCTCCTCGAAAGAGGTGATGCTTACCGGAACTCCGGCTCATAAACACCGTGGTTGCGCTTCGCCAGATTGACACAGATCCAGTCGTTCAGCGGTCCGGACACGGCTTCTCCTATGATGCAGAGGATGAAAGGGCTTAGAGAAGTCAAGCCCGCTTCGCCGACGGTGAAGTTGTACGGCGGTTGTGTGAACAGGACGCCGTTGACGACGGAGAAGACGACGATCCAGGTGAGAGTCGTTCCGTATATCAAAAATCCCCAGAAGACGCTTGGGTAAAAGAACATGACCTGAAGACAGTCAGCATGAGTCGAGCATCAGCGTGTTGGAGACGCACAAATGGCCGGGCAAAGATCTTCCACGCGCTCCCGTTCGTGTATCTTCCTGTGAACAAGCTCAAGGACTTGACATACGACATTTTCGGCTCACTGGCGGCTTCTGGATTGGAACCATTGCCAGTGACCTTCCTCGGCAGCTCTTTGTGCTCAACATGCATGCCAGCCTTCTCGTCAATCTTCTCGTTCTCCGCGCCGCGCTCCTGGTCCTGGATTCCCGTCTTGGCGAGAACATTCGAGGTGACACCGCTGCGAACATAATTGGTTTCTGGCACAAAGAAGAGAATACCGAAGCCAAAGATGCCGAATAAGATGGAGCAGACCCAGAATGTCCATTTCCAGCCGAGGTCTTCGATGATGTAGCCAGAGATGAAGCCGGCGCCTGCGATACCGCAGAGCAAGAAGAGGTTCCAGATTGCTATCCGCGTTGCACGCTCGTGAACGAAATACAAGTCTGCGATTGTGGCCTGGACCAGAACTTCGTACGGTGCCATGCCCAAGGCGCCTACGACGCGGCTTGCTAGGAATGTTGGGTAGTCTTTAGCAACGGCTCCCTGTGGTTTTGCATCAGCAAGAGTTTGCATAGGTCGCTGAGTGGTGAGTACGAACCCAGATCGAGACGACGAACAAAATGGTGGATGCGAATACGTAGACTGGACGCTTGCCGTAGATCTTCGCGAGCGGGTTGATGAAGAAGACCACGAGTCCCAGTGTAAGGATCAGCCACTACGGCACGGATCGAAACGTCAGTAGGTTGCCCATCTCTTGCTAAGCTTGGGGAGCACTCACAGCAGTCGCCTGACCCAGTACAGGCACAGAGATCCCAAGCTCAGCAGCAATGGGCACAAAGCCAGGTCCCAGCATAGGCCCATAAGCTCCTACGACGGCAGCCGACATGCCCACGATGAAGAGAATCAAGTCCTTCCGCCATGTTGGCCCTGTTCTGGTCAGCATGCAACGCTAGTGCTATCCGTCTCCCAAAGGCCTTACAATTCAAAGGGTCATTGGGGCTGTCTGAAGGTTGCGGCACAAGCACGACGTGAGAGAAGCGTCCAGTGCCATGTTTCAGACGCTCCGTTGGCACAACTCGAAGCTCTCCCGGCAGTTCTTCTGCATCGCGAAGTAGTGCCTACTCAAGTTAGAGGTGTGCTGAAGCTCAGAGGATCTTCTCGCTTACCGTGCCAGGCACTATCTCCAGCTTGTAGTCTTCGAGAATACCAAAAGGCATGATGGCGATGGAGAGGCGAGGATGGAAGACGGGATGGAAGACGACGGGAGCGATCGCGAATTTGAGATGCGGGTATTAAGTATCATGCACTGACCCCGGCATGTCGATCACGTATATGCCGGGTTGTTGGCGAGTCTTCCGGCTGCCCGTTTCGTCTTGGTCAGCGGTTCCTCGCCTGGAGTCCCCAGATGAAGCCCCAGAGCCCCATACACCTGGATACTAGCGCTTGGTAGTGGTCTCGAATACGCCAACAACGCCCGATCGTTGCTCCACGCCCTGTAGGGGCGCAAGTTGGTCTTCGCAGTCCGAGACTAATATCCACTTCAGCTCGAGTTCTCGCTTCCAGAGCCGTGAGCCCTAAACGACTGATCCACCGTATGCTCAGCGATTGGACATTGTCAGCGCCACGGAGAAGAGCACATGCACTTGTTTATCCATCCCCCAGCTTTATCCGCACCTCGTGCTCGACCTCGCGTGGACAACGCACTGATCGGCACTTGACACGTCTCTCGCAGCAATCCACGCAGCCTCGCGGCATTTGACATGGCACATGAACCGAGGGCGGCAGATTCTCGCCTTGCCGACGTGGCCGAGGGAGCCTCTATCTATAATGTCTCCTGTAGAAGGAGCAGTACGAGACCAATATCTCATTCTACGCTTCCAAGATGGCCCCCTACATGGACGAGAACTCTGCTTCTAACGGCACATCAACCACAACGGACAAGCCTACTCCATCCGGCATCCGTGTAGTTATCGTTGGCTGTGGCTACGCAGGCCTTACCGCGGCAATCGAATGCACTCGCAAAGGCCATTCATGCATTATCCTGGAAAGCTTCAAGAGTACCAACGTCCAGCTTGGCGATGTCATCTCGTTCGGATCAAACAGTTCCAGGATATTCCAAAGATGGCCTGGGGTTTCAGAGCAGCTTGACCCAATCACTCATAAAAGCCAATGTCTGAAATACAAGACCTGGACCGGGGAGGACATCTACACGCAGTACTGGGGCTCCGAAGAGGAGAACTTTGGCAAACGCTATAACGGGCATCGCGGGGAGATCCATAAGATTGTTTACGATCATGCCATCGAGCAGGGCGTGGAGATCCGTCTGGGTCAGCAAGTCACGGAGTATTTTGAAAACGACAACGAAGCTGGTGTAATCTCAAACGGCGAGAGAATCACTGGTGATGTTGTGTTAGGCGCGGATGGCGTACGTTCGAAAGCTCGACAGCTCGTTCTTGGTTATGATGATGCGCCGAAGCCTAGTGGTTATGCCATTTACAGAGCGTGGATGAGTAGCGATGACCTGGCTAAGAATGATCTCACCAAGGATCTTGTGATAAATGGCGACTCGCACACAGGTACGTGACCGACGACAGGAAATTTTCAAGCATTTTGCTGATGGAATTACTAGGCTGGCTCGGTCCAGACATCCACTTCCTTGCCGCCTCCATCAAAGACGGCAAAGAGTTCTCCTGGGTCTTCACGCACAAAGACGAACGGGACGTCGACGAAGGCTGGAGCGAGCCCGGCAACCACGACGACGCATGCCGAATCCTCGAAGGCTGGGATCCTGCAGTGCATGCCTTGGTCCGCATGACACCTCCGGAGAAGCTCGTCGACTGGAAGCTGGTGTACAGGGACCCGCTGCCCACCTGGATCTCCGAGAAGGGTCGTACTGCTCTGATCGGTGATGCTGCGCACCCTTTCCTGCCAACCAGCATACAAGGCGCAAGCCAAGCCATGGAAGACGGAGCCTGTATCGCTGTCTGCCTTCAGCTCGCTGGGAAAGACCATGTCGACGATGCGTTGAGAGCTTTCGAGAAGATTCGGTATGACCGGGTGAGGAAAATTCAGAAGACTGGCGAAACGAGTAAGTGAAAGCTTGTGATTTGACATGCACGACTTAATACTGATTGCTGTCGCAGCGCGTGATCAGTGGCACAAGGCCGACTTCGACAACCTCAAGAAGAACCCCGAAGCTATCAAGTTGAAACGGGAAGAGTGGGTGTTGAACCATGATGCTGAGACACATGCATATTCAGTGTGTCCGGATGTTCTTGCTTCACTGCGGCATTAGATTGCGGGTTCCTTCTTCACTTCAGCATGAGTCTCGCCAAAACACCACGATACCCTTTTCCTTGCGGCGTCAGATTACTCAGTGCTACAGCACGGCTCTCCTTCACTTCGTGTTTGGGGCAAACGCGACCGCTTTGAGACGAGTATGAGATCATGCTTCTTCACTTGGACGGTTGAACCATTGCTTCCATCTCTCATACCCTCTTCGGCCTCTTCCAAACTTCACACACCCTTCTCTCTCTCTTCAATCCTACAGTTGCGATATCCATCACCACTACCTTCAATCACAACTTCAACCCTTCGATACTTGCCACTCCTCACAACCCATTACCTCTTTTGGACACCACTTCTTGACTACCTACAAGCAGCGAGCCATAGCTCACACACTTCTCCCTCGCCACAGCGGCACATCTGGTTTACCTTCGACGTTCATCACCTCAGTCCAGCAACAGCAAGCTGCGACAATTCAGAACCCAGTGAAGATAACATTCCACAAACACACCCATTACAGGTTTGGTCAGACACATTTACTCAGTCTGGACGTCCAACGGCACAGATCGGCATGGCGCAGAATGTGCGCTTCACAAGAAACAGATTGTTCGTTGGCTATCGGGCAAGTGATTGGACCGAAGTCTTCTACGATCTGAGACTCCCGGAGGAAGAGGACAACGGCGGCAACCACACTGAGTCGTACAAAAAGAAGCGCAAGGCTGCAGCCGACGAAGTCTTCTACACCTCGACAGAAGACTGGCATGTCTCCGAGGCCCCCAAACGTGGTGAGATAGTCTGGGAGCCCTTCTACAACCCGGCAACCTTCGAGGCATCAGACATGCGCACCAAAAATGAGCTGCAACGGTTGTTCCTTCAGCATGCCTACAACTACCTCGCCGAGAAGAACCCACAGGTAGCTGCCGGAATGGAGCGGGACATGAGTAACCGTCATTTCAGGCGCTGGGACGTGTGGTTTCATCAGGCAAAGAAGTTCAAGAAAGCCAAAATGCAGCAGCGCAAATACCGAGAGACCAAGAAACAGAAGAGGTTGGCGGCGGGTTACCCTGCCAAAGACGCGGATTCTAGTGATTCCGACTCTGATTCTGCCTACGATACTGACGAGAATCGCGAGTCTACTCCACCGCAACGAGCTATGGGACCGCCTGCCCGACCGGCCGCACAGCAGAAGCGACCAGCTGCGAATGTGAGTGGTCGTTATGGAGTGAAGAGGCGGCGGGCTGAAAGTTTCAACATGACTGGGACTCGCGGGAGCTCCAACAACAGCTTGTTCGACTTCCGTGCACCGCCAGGCACGTCACCCGTCGTCCTCGATGGCCGCGATGACTTCTCGAATCGTACACCACCGCCGACCAACCCGCAAAACAGGGCAGCCGCTCGTCAAGCAAGGCAGCCATTCGTAGAAGACGGCACGCCAGACGTCCCTGGAACCTGGGGCTTTGGCAATGTCAACGGTAATGGCAACGGCAATACCACAAGGGGTAGGAGGAGAGAAAACAACGATGAGGTGAGGCAGTCCAACGTTCATGAGATCAACGGGATGGGTCTTTCAGAGGAGGATGCTTTTGAGCGGGCGGTGAGGGAGAGCACGGTGCAGACGGAAGGGAGGGGCGGTGTGGTGCCGAGTATTGAGCGTGACGGTTATGAAAATGGGCATGAGAACGGGCATGAGAACGGAGATGGAGCTGAGGGTGGTGAAGGGGAGCATGAGTGAGTCTTTGGCGTGTGCTGGAAGGGGGTCTGCATGGCTGGATGAGGGGCGTGAATTGCTGTGAGGATCTGCACAGGACTGTGGTAATATAATATGAGCTGGACCCATGGCCAGATTGGTACATAGTGAGAACCATGGTGCGAGTCATGACGGGAGGGTTCTGGAGTGAAGGAAGTGGCAGGGGTGATCAAGCAGGTAGTCAGAGCTTCACCTAGCCTTACTCTTCGAGAAGCCTAGGTTCATATCACCTTGTCCCAACTGCCGTAGTGACAAGTGATGCAGTGGAAGAAGTGGACCAAGCCGTTGACTGATTCAGAAAGACTGCACGTGGACGTGGAGTTGAACGTGCGGAGACTCTGGTGGCATTCCGCCGGTTTGTACGTACCTTCGGCACTGTGGAGTTTATGACTGCCGACGATATGACCTCTTCCATCCCAAAAGGTAACAACATGTCCGACATCACATCTTGGATCTCATTTCCACCTCACTTAACTAAACGTGATGGCTATTCAAGACCAACTGAGCGCCCTTACGGCGCACCCATACCTTCTGCTCTTCTCAGCTCTGGTTGTGATTCCATCGGTCATACTCGCCCACGACATACTCCAATGGATGCGACTCCCGCCAGGACCAACACCTCTCCCCTTCGTTGGCAACAAATTCGACATCCCAAAATCGCAACCCTGGATCCAATTTGAAGAATGGTCCAAGAAATATGGACCAATCTTCACACTCTGGATTGGACGAAAGCCGACATTGATCATATCCGACCCCAACATCGCCGTCGATTTGATGGAGAAACGGAGTCAGAAGTACAGCTCACGCCCACGAATGGTCGTGATGGGTGAGATCTACAATGGCAACTCATCCATCTTGACGCAACCATACGGCAAGGCTTGGTCCATTCGACGAAAGTTGCTGCATCAGGCTTTGAATCCGAAGGCACTTAGACTGTACAAACCCACCCAGGAAGCCGAGGCCGTGAGATTATGCCATGCACTGCTCAACGATCCGCAAGGATGGGAACAGCAACTAGAACGCTTCACTTCGAGCGTAGTATTCTGCGTCGCTTACGGCCATCGGATCGACTCGCTCAAGGCGCAGGTCATCGCTGATCGGTTCAAGTTCATGCACTATATGGCTTCCCTGAACATTCCCGGCAAATACCTGGCCGAAACGTTTCCTATCCTCGGAAGCATTCCATCGACGTTCTTGACCTGGAAGCGAGAGGTCCAAGCTATGGGCAAGACTGAGGGACAGGCTAATCTGGAACTGCTAGAGATGGTCAAGCAGGACATCGCTTCGGCCAAAGCACAAGGCAATCCCGAAGCAGTACCGGACAGTCTCTGTAAGCTGCTACTGGAGATGCGGGAGAAGGAAACCGTACCGCTAAGCGAAACCCACTTCAGCTACGTACCGGCTTCTCTTTTCGGCGCAGGCTCAGATACCACCGCATCAACTCTCTGCTCCGCCTTCCTTGCCCTCGTGACCCACCCCGATGTCCTCAAAGCTGCCCAGAACGAAGTCGATTCCATCGTTGGGACAGACCGTACGCCCACCTTCGCCGACGAGCAAAGCATGCCGTACATCCGTGCCCTCTGCAAAGAGACCCTCCGCTGGCGACCAGTAGCAGTGCTAGGCGGCACGCCGCACGCATCAACAGAAAATGACCACTACGAAGGCTGGACAATCCCTGCAGGCGCAACGATCTTGGGCAACAACTGGGCCATCAATCTCAACGAGTCCTACTACCCAAACCCGCATCACTTTGACCCAGTCCGGTTCCTCTCAGATAAGGAACGAGCGGACAAGGGCATCGATAAGCAGCCGTATGTCGGCGAGAAGATGCACCCAGCTAAAGCAGGCCATTCTTCCTTTGGGTGGGGACGACGTATCTGTCCTGGAGCTGATTTGGCGGCGAACAGCCTGTTCATCGCCTTGGCGAAGCTGTTGTGGGCGTACGATATCCTGCCTGTGGAGGGAAGGAAGTACGATATCTTCGCGTATACGGATGGGTTTAACGTGCGACCGAAGAAGTTTGAGTGTGTGATTCGGGTGAGGAGCGAGCAGCATCGGAAAGTGCTTGAGAGGGAGCAGGGGGATGCTATGAGGTGGTTGGAGAAGTTTACGCCGTTTGGGGAGTAAGCAGACCACTCGGGAGAGATGAAGGGACAGTGGTGCTGGGAGAAGTCTCGAAAGTAAGCCAACTGCGTAGGTTTGCAGAACAGAACGAGGCAATGAAGTCTTTCCATCTCTCTTGAACCAGAAGATGTTACAGGCAGCCGAAAGTTAGAACTCCACGCACTCACTCACGTTGAGAAGCAATGCTTCCCTTCGTCTACCAGCGTCTCGGATCCAATCGTGTCAAATCGAAGTGGTGGCCAACGCATCCAGGAGGAAGAATGGCAACAACTAAGTCATCGGGAGGACATCGCACTGAGCCGGCGTGTTGGCCAGACCTCGATGAGGCATGTAACAGCAAACCAGAGCGATTGAACACCAGCCGTTGATATTCGGCGCGGTGCAACCTCTTCGCCATCGCTTGATCCGAAATGACCACGCTCGGAGCCTGCATTACCATAAGATCTAGGTAATGTGTTCCATCATCCGTCCAGCTACTGCTTTGCTCCCAAAGTATGGACGCGAGTCTTGTGTGGACAATTCCATGGAAGGCTTCTAGTCGTTCTGCCAGCCGTCTAGGTGTCGCTCGTGACACCGTTATCACCCACAGCACCGTCTGATGGTATAGCTCTTATTCTCAGACCTTCCAGCAACGCCTAGGTGTTCATCGCACGGGCAACCGGGCTTTTTCTCGTGGTTCGGTGCTCGAGATGTCACCTTCGCGTACCCGGTAGCACGTGTTGCGGCGTATCGTACTGTATAGAACTCTACAGAGCCAGTGTTGCAGGAGAACAGTTGCGAAGACACCCGAGAGCCCGGCGTTGACACGTTATGGGAGATGAGGAGGCGTTCAATGAGATTTAGACTTTCCCGATGCAATTCAAGGAACTGCCACTTTGGGACACGAGGTTGACTTTCACTTCACGCCTCGACCGAGCCCGCGGCTCGTGCTCACCACGTGTTGATAGCGCGCGGACAGGGACATACCGGTTGATGATCTCCCGTAGATCTGTGGTGTGACCAGGTTCTTGGTTCCTGGTCGATCTGGTCGAGACCGGGGACGACTTCTCTTCACACAGCTTCGACTGAAACATCACGAACGGACCGTCAGGGGACAATGTGCTCGAACGTGCCGCCATGTCTTCGGAAGCACTCTCGACGCAGCTATGATTAGAGAGCCGAGTGGCTTGACGAAGTGGACTGCACTCCTGAGCTCACGCCAGGTGTTTCTACCCAGCTCAGCCAGATGCGTCCCAACACAGACTTTGTAGACGAGACTTGCCTCCTTGCAGCATTTGGACAAACTCAGTATGCATCTAGGGCTGGCGGATGGCTTCCAGATATCACGACTCAGCACGCCGACTCCACGAGGCTGGCTGTACTCGGGCGCTTGCAATTATGCTTTTGGATCTCGGCGCACCTTTACGGCCAGGCGTGAGCAGTGGTTCCACCAGAACGTGCAAACCAACCGGTATGCTCCAACGTCCACTACTCCCTCCGCGCAACAACGCGGTCAGGAGAGTGCACCATGGCGTGGATATAAGGTAGAGCGTGTAACCATCCTTCCATCTTCTCTCCTCACACAAGTCACTTCCAACACTTCCAACACTCAACCTTGCTTCTTCCCACATTCCTTTTCGGACCATCTTAGGATCCATCCACTCGTTTCAAACAACACTCCTTACAATCACCATGAAGTTCTTCGCTACCGCCTCTGCGCTCGTCGCCCTCGCCTCTACGGCACTCGCAGGTCCTCAGGGCTGCATCTCAACTAAGCAGGCCAAGCAGCTCACGAGCCAGTTCTCCAGCCTGCTGAGCCAGTCAGATGACTACATGAGCACTGGCAAGGCAATTCTGGCCAAGGACTACGTCGAGATCTCGGACTCTATCATGTCTCTTACTCAGCGCCCTGTAAGCACCACCCACAACCTCTGCTATAGAGCCATGAACTGACGACTGGATCAGCTCGGCGGAGTAACCTTCGAAGGCCGCGACGCATACCTCGCCGGCCTCTCCCACTCCCCGCCAGTCCAGGGCATCGAGACCATCGGCGTCTACGTCACCGGCTGCAGCAAGGTCATCTGGCAATGGCAGTTCAACGGCGTCGGGTCCGCTGAGTACCCCGTCAAGGGTTTCTCGTAAGGACATCCTCCTATCCGCTTCAACTGCCCCATACTGATGAAAGATGATATAGCCTCTTCACCACCAACCGCAAGAACCAGATCCTCAAGAGCGAAATCGAGTTCAACTCGGTCGCCTGGGGCCAGGACATCTCCCAGCTTCCGTGCGGCGACGTCGAACAGTCTGCTGGCGGCCCGCCAAGCGCCTCTGGACCACCTGCTGCGACCGGATCGGAACCCGCGGTTGCGTCTACGGTTGTGATTGTTGCTTAAGAGGATGAGGTCTTTTGATCTGGTGGACACCAGGGAATGAGGGCGGCGAGGAGCGGAGCTATGAACAGACGTTCATCGATACAAGCGACTGCAGTTGGGCGTTGGGAGTGGCAAGAAGTCTTCAATGCTACATGTATTCGAAGAGGCAACGAGCAACTCCGTACACGGAGCTATGGCCATAGATAATGTGTAAGACTCCAGATCATTGACATCAATCGTACGGGCAGAATCTATCGATCTAAATCTATTCTATTCTACCCTGCATCCTCTTCTGCTTCGCCCTCCACTCCCCACAAATCCCCTTATAATCATGCACAGTATACCCTTCTCCCACCTCCCTCCACCACCACCCCTTCCTCCACCGCCTCAACCCCAAATCACTCAACAGCATATCCGCATACGGCACAACATCATACACAAACTCCGGCCACCAAGCCGAAAACCCCCAGGGATACCGATGCTTTCCGTATCGACTCGTCAGCGCGGTGTCCCAGTACACACCCTCCCTGTCCACCGAGAGCTGATTCTTGAGGTAAGCGAAGACCCACAGCGCTTGCGTCTCAGCGAGGATGAGGTTCGCGGTGCAGTGGACCATTTTCATAAAAGCTAGGCTGTGGTCGCCGCGCGCTGTGAGGGCTGGGGGCGCGATGCCTCGGTAGAGACGGAAGGGGGTTACGGTCTGGGTGATGGGGAGTTTGGCTTCGGGTGGGCTTTGGAGGTAGGGGAAGCGGCCGAGGATGTGGGCGTCGGCTTTGCTGTCGAGGTCGGTCCAGAAGCTGGCTTGTTGGGGCGTGTATGTTGTGCTGGGGACGCCGAGGTCAGCGTCGATGCCGGCGGGTTTGTAGGTGATGCGTGGGACAAGTTGCCAGCCTGTTATGGCTATGAGGGCGTCTGTTGTGGAGGTGCTGCCGTCTGAGAAGGCGATATGGCCACCCTTGCCGATGCGATCGACGTCTTTCCTGTGGAGCGTGACTTGGCCGGAGCGGAGGTAGTCGTGGACGTCTGAGGCGTAGTTGTGGATGCCTACTCGGGCGTTCCAGAAGAGGCTATACCCACAAGTCAGTTTCAGGTATTGTCAAGTCTGGCTGTACAGGCGACTCACCTCTCTCTGGGCTCAAGATGAGCAAGCGACTTCTCCTTCCTGTACCCATTGCCTTCGACGGTATCAGCCTGTTGCGTTCCAGTCAGTACCTCCAGACTCGACAACAGTTTTCAAGTCCTACCCTCTGCTTCTCCCAAAACCCATGAACCAACCACCGCCCCACCCTCGTCCATGCAGCGCCCTCCTCACCCACGCAAACCCATCATACTCCCCCCAAACACACGGACTAAACCACGTAAACAACCTCGTCGTAACCACATGCTCCAGCATAACCGTCCACGGCCCCAGCGGAATCCACGGCGGAGACATCCACACCGCGCCTCCCCCGCTCTCTCGCACGATCCAGTTGACGTTTTTGCCGTGCGAGGCGAAGAGGTAGACGGCGTCGTAGCCGATTTTGGAGGCGCCGATGACGGTGACGGAGTGGATGGAGGGGTCTTTGGCGATGGCGGGTGCGAGGTCGGGGAGGCGGGAGTGGTTGAAGAGGGGGCGGTCGAAGGATTCCATGCCGGGGAGGGAGACCGGGCGGGGGGTGGATGCGAGGCCGTTGCTCATGATTAGCTTTTTGCAGGAGTAGATTTGCTCTGTTGGTGAGCCATCGACGTCTGTTCTCGTGGCCAGGATTCTCCAGCCATTGTCGAGTTTCTCGATCTCCTTGACATCGGTGTGGAACTGTATCAGACGGTGGATGTCGAAGTGTTGAGCATAGTCTTCGAGGTACTGGTACACGATATGGCCAGGAATGTGCTGGCCTTCCTTCAGTCCATACTTGGGTTCGCCTAGTAGTGGGAAGTCGCTAAACTCATATGTGCCGACGAGGTTGTTGGTCTTGATACCTTCATATAGGTTCTGCTTGGCCCATACTCCGCCCACGGTAGCACGCTGTGAAGTGGTTAGCCTGGTCCACACTGGGCATTTGGAGTCTTACAGATTCGAGGATTAAAAGTTCTGTGTCAGATGCGAGCTCCTTGTACGTCTTTGCTGCACACAAGCCACCGATACCTGCTCCGATCACTATGACCTCTGCTGACTGCATCGTTGGCGGATGTGTCATGCGAAGTACTCGTGGAAGGAGGTTAAGTAGCACCGTAGACTGTCCTTATCGTGGCACGATAACCTCGGGCAAGCGGTTGATGAAGGATTGCTGGACATATCCTCTGGAAGGAATCTTCTCTTACCTGACGGCTCTCTGCTAAGGATAGCAGTTTTGCTCGAAAGCTTTGAATATGGTTGATGATGGAGAGAAAACGCACATGTTTGGCTGACAGCTCGAGCAACGACGTGCTTACGCCTCTTGGGAGAGCTGCGTAGCAGGGAGGTGTGCATGGATTTGGCATTACATATCAACGAGTACTATCTCGAACATAATACAAGAACCAAATCTCGTCTGCCCATCGAACCGTTTCGACAGGCAAGTGCGGCCCAAGCCCAGCATAAAAGTCAATGGCCAATTTGTCCTGGCAATTCCAAAGGACAGTCTGATTCAACCTCTCTAAGCAAGAAGTGATTCCATAAAGTTATTCTTGCATCCAATTGTGGTCCCATCCTAACCTTCCACCCGATCCTTTTTGATACTACCCCCTCAAGCCGTCTCCGCCCATAAGCTCGCCGTCCGACTCAACCCAGCCAACATCCCACAAGCCCCCATAATCCCCAAATTGAACCACCCAAATCCCCCTTCAACACTAAACTGCGCCGCGACCGGCGTCCACGCAGCCGGCACCACCGCATCGCTCCACCACTTCTTATCAACCGCCTCATCCGCACTCCTTGTCGTAACGCCCTTCTCCCCACGCTCCGACCTCTTCGAGCTCTCGAGCTGTGCCTCCCGCGCAAGCTTCACAACATCACACAACACCCCCGCAAACCACGCCCGATACGCCCACAGATAAATCTTACTCGTCGGCTTCGCCCCCGGCGCCGGCGACTTGACGAGATACTTCTCCGTATAGCTTGTCGGCAGCACCGCATGATCCGTCAAGAGCGCCACGTTCTCCAGGAACTGGAACATCATGTAAAGCGAGCACTGCGTGAAACTCGTCGCGTACAGAATCTGGTCCTGCCCGGGCTTCGGTCCCTGCAGCAGCTGGCGCATCCAGGCGTACATGGGGAAGAGGCCGAAGAGACGCATCGTCACACGCGCGCTGGAGAAGAGACCTGCCAGAGCGAGAATGCGGGCTTCGGGTGCGACGCCGCCGGCGAGGATGGCGGTGGCGGGGCGGCCGGTGGCTTTGCTGAGGAGGGCGGAGAGGCGGGCTTGCAGGGGCGCGGTTTTGGCGGAGGCGAAGGCGAGGAGGTAGAGGGTGTAGTTTAGGGTGGAGAGGAAGGCGCTGAGGCCGCCTGGGTTGGCGAGGAGTCTTTGGAGGGTGTGCTGTTAGCTCGAAGGGTAATTGATGCTCGCGGATGTCGTGAGCCTACTTGTTGATGCGTAGAATAATCCTATCCGGCGTGCTGGCCAGCGAGACGACTCTGCCCGGCACCCGCTGCTTCACCTCAGCAGCAATGGACTTCTCGCCGGCGGCTGGCACATTGGTAGCCCCATCGTTGGGCACACCTGGTTCCGCAGCTGGGTCAGACATGATATGATACAAGATAGATGATGATACTGGCGGTCCCCAAGACGCCTAATTGTAGGAAGAGGTCCAAGAAGGATGGTAGGAAAGAGCTCACCTCAGCTCACTCATCATACCTCCCACCCCGAGGAGGGCATCGGCGTCGGCGATGTATCAGTGTACCTCGGGCCAGAGGAAGTGCTGATCCTGGCACCAGAGCAAGGTTCCCCACACGAATCTAATGGCACTTAGCCGGTGAATCACGTGCAAGAATGTGCTCAAATTCGGACAAACTCCCATACCGACAACAACCTCATCCCTTACAACCAACATGAAAAGTTTCGGTGTTAACTACGAACCGCACGGCGATACTGCCAGAAGTCCTCAAGTGTCCCAACAAGCTGACATATCCCATCCACGCAGCGACAGCAAGGTCAAGTATAAAACTCTCGCCACCTCCTTCTATTCCATCTCATCCTCATAGCAAGACTGCCCCTTCAAACCCACTCATTTCAACCTCTTCTCCCACTTCAGCAATATGCCCACCGTCGCCCTCGCCGGCGCCACCACAGGCTTCGGCCTCACCCTCCTCCACACCTTCCACCACCTCAACTCCCTCTCGCCCCACCCCCACACCCTCATCCTCCTCACCCGCACCCCGCAACCCTCCCTCTCTCGCCTCGGCATCGCCGTCCGTCCCGTCTCCTACACCAACCACGCTGAACTCGTCACCGCTTTGGAAGGCGTGCATACCGTGCTCGCCCTGATCGGCGGGAGTCTGGAAGCCATCGAGAACGCGCAGCTCGCTCTCATCGATGCGGCGACGGAGGCGGGGGTGAAACGTTTCGCGCCGTCTGAATATGCGGGCCGCGATAATGTGAGCGTGGATCTTTTTGCGGGAAAGGAGGTGGTGTGGAAAGCGGTCCGGAAGTCTGGGATGGAATACACCCGTTTTTCCTGCGGTATCTTCATGTCTGTCCTCGCGACGGGTACGCCAAAACCGCTCACTGAGATTGGAAAACGTGAGGGTTGCGAGACAGGGGAGGAAGAAGCGCTCGCCGGCTTGCGCCCGTGGAATTTCGTGGTGAACATGAAAGCCGGCACCGCAGATTTGCCGGGCGACGGGACGCCGGAGCTGGTGTTTACTGATATGCGGGATGTCGCTCACTTCGTCTACCGCGCTCTGGATCTGGAGACCTGGCCGGTGGAGCTGGGGATGCGTGGGGATGTGAAGTCTTTCAAGGATGTGGTTGGGATTTGTGAGAAGTTGCAGGGGCGGAAGTGGTTGACTAAGAACAACGAGATAGAGGAGATGGAGAAAGCCAGCAAGGAGGCGGGGAAGGAATTCTACAACCAGGTGAGGGTTGGGATTGCGAGGGGGTGGGCAATGGTGGGGGATGAGTTGAACCAGGCGTTTCCGGACCTCAAACCGATCTCTTGTGAAGAGTTTGTTGAGAAGTGGTGGGGTGGTGTGGAACTCGGGGGCCCAAGCTGGGAGGAGGATGCTGCGTTTATGTGAGAAAATCGTACGTATAGTTAGGTTGAACCACTTCGCCCACGTACCTATAGGTATGGACAGTCGGCCATCAAGCCCTTCTTCACAACCAGTAGCTGCCAGTCTGACTACAGCCAGCTCTCCACCCTCTCGTTGCAAGAACAGACCACCTCACTGCTCGTCAACCGAACCTCACTTCTGACCACTCGGACTCCCCATCCACCTCCCAGCAAATCCCCGACTAACCCCCATCTCCTTCCCCGCACTCTCCAACACCTCCCTCTCCCACTCCGCCAATCCTGCCTTTCCCTCGAAAACATCAGCCAACCCCATCGCCTCCTACAAGATCCAGGCGAAAGACATTAGCTTCATATCCTTACTATACTGAGAGCGAAGGCTGCGCTGCCGGCTACTATCTCCTAGACCAGTCCGAAAGCTTTAGCAGGCGAAACGTCCCTTAAAGGCCATTTCACCTGGAAAGCTCTCGGAAATACCCAGGTCTAAGAAAAGGCAGCGCCACGTGAACTTAGGTACTTACCACAGCAGCATGATTCGTCCCCTTCCCACTGTTCGGCTGCAACAACACCAACGCATCGCCCACAAAAAACATCCGCCCCTCATACGCCGTCGCCGCAGGCGACATCAGACTCGCTATTACCGAAACGAAAGGTTCCTTCAACTTCTCGGGTATCTCGAGGAGGTCCGGGTGGAACATCTCCCTCGCGCGGGCGAGTTGCGCGGACCAGATCTCGGGGCGCATGGCGCCTTTAGGCAAAGTGGTGCGGTGCGTATGCCCGGCCGTATCGGTGAGGATAGACGAGACAGGGACGGAGGGGGGAGGGTAATCGTACCAAGCGAAATTGACCGCGCGTTTCTGCGGAGCGAGGCTGCCGTGGGCGCCGGGGATGGTGTAGAGCATTACGTACGATTTGTTCATTGGGTAGAGTAAAGCTTTGTCGGCGATGCGGGCGACGAGGGAGGGTGTGAGGGAGGCGCAGGGCACGACGCCGCGCCAGATGAGGTAGCCGGGTTCGTGGCGCTGGAGGTTGGGGTACAGGGAGGAGCGGAGGGTGGAGTTGGCGCCGTCGGCTGCGATGACGTGGGTTGCGGTGTACGTGACCGGCTTAGAGGTTGAGAGGTCGGTGGCGGAGAGGGTTAGGGTGGTGGAGGCGGTGGTGGAGGGTTGCACGCTGAGGACTTTGATGTTGGTGGCGTAGGTTGCTTCGCCCTCCCCGGGCTCCGTAGGCGGCGGGTCCGGGCAGTACGGACTCACCAGCCCGTCGAAGTTAGCGCGGAGACGGTAGTAGGCGGCATCCCAAGTCGTCATCTCATACGGCACGTTGATGATCGTCGCCGGCTTCAAGTCGGCGTCCAGGATCTGGATCTCATTGACCGGCGTGCCCAACGGGATGTGCTTGAGCCGGTCATGCTGGTCAAAAAACCGTTTAATATCCGCCGCGAGCCCAATGCCGGCAGCCTGGCCTTCGCGGGCTGAAGAGGAAGCGGACTCGAGGATGTGGACGTTGTGGCCCTGGCGTTTGAGGAGAATGCCGCAGAAGAGGCCTGCGAGGGAGCCGCCGACCTGGGGAGATGGGTGTGAGAGAGATATGACAGGGCAAGGACGGGTTGAGAGGGACTGACGATGAAGATGTTCAAAGGTTTGACACCATCCGCGAATGAAGATGTGGATTGGGGAGGTTGTGGTCGGTCTTCTCCGTTGCCGTGCGTGGAAGTCATTGTACGTACGTGCAGAAATGATATTTACCTTTAGTGAGGCAGACGTGAAAGAAAAATGTCCTCTATAGCTCCCTTACCTTTTGATAATACATCCTCCTACATCGCGGACTCGAAGGAGCCGAAATAGTGGACAGATCAGGTTGGTGTTCTCGTAAATCTGCCTGCTTTGGGGGCTGGATGTTCAGCTCGCATCACTTCGCGCCGCGAGACATCTCCACCCACCCACCACAAAGCCAGCAGCTTGGATGAGACTCTAGTAAAAGACTCAATATCTAGCATTATCGAGCCGTGCTACATAAAACCATCTGTCTGTGGTTGATCGATCCCGATGCTCTATATACGCCGTGTCCGCCCAGCCACCCTTCCCATATCCGGATCGCTAATAAAAGGTAACAAAACGCCATCCACTTTGTTCATCAATGCATGAAAGATGTACCTTCGAGTCTCAGAGCTCAGGTATGTATATTCGTACACTCCAATTTCCTCGCCGCACCATCGAGCTTCGCGAGCAGCACGGTCAGGTTCGAGTCGCAGGTAGTAGAAGCAGAAGCAGCGGATCCAGTAGCAGAGGCAGGCGAAGTAGAGCGAGAAGTAGGCAAGCGGGCAGGCGATTCGATGAGCAAATCCACCGGATCAGGACCTTTCGTCAGGTCGGTGACGGCGAAGGCGTTGACCCGTTGGAAGTTGTTAAAGTTCATCGCGTTGAAGCCGTTGATGTTGAGTTTGCTGAAGTCGTTTTCGGGGATCATGGCCATGCCGACTTGTTCGGGCTGCTGCTGCTGGGATGGGACTGAGAGCTGAGAGGCGTCGAAGTTCAGGTATTCGGGCTTGGAGTCCTGCTGAGGCGGCTGCTGCTGCTGCTGTTGAGGTTGAGGTTGTTGAGCCGGCGTGGGCTGCTGGGCGGGCGTGACGGATGGGCGCTGCTGCTGCGACTGCTGAGTGGGTTGCTGGAGCTTGTTCATCAGAGATGGGTCGTGGCTGAGCTCTGTCATGAAGGGTACGAAGGCTGGGTGGCGGAGGAGAGTCTCGATCAAGCCGCGGTAGTTGTCGTTCTCGTTGATCAGGGCCTGGTTCTGGACGCGGAGGGCGTTGGCTTCTTGGGCTTTCATGGCGACTTCGCCTTCGAGCTGGCCGATGTACTCTGTGACGACGTTAGTGATTGTTTGCTGGTAGAGATTGATAGTAACATACCCTTCCTCCTGGATCTGAAAGCGCGAGCCGACACCTTGTTCCTAAGTTGTCGTCGTTCCTTGCTAGACAGCTTCTTGCCTTCGTCAGATGCAAGCAGACGCTCATCTTCGTCCATCTCCTCCTCATCCTTCTTCAGCCGGGCAAGCTGCGGCAGCCCGTTCGATGGAGAGTCCTCATCGTCAGCAGAGGCGTTGCTGTTCTGACGCATCTGGTTGAGGAGACGAGAGATGCTCTCCTCGACATGAGGTTCCGTGACGTTTGAAGGTCGCTTAGAGTGGCCCTGGCTGCTGGGCTGCGATGCCGGCTGACTTTGAGGCGGGTTGGCCGCTTGCCTGTACTGTGCATGCTGTGCCTGGATCTTCATCTGGCGCTGCTGGACAGCCTGGACCTGAGCGGCCTTCTGCATAGCGGCTTGTTGGGCCTGCTGAGAGTGCATGCCAGGCCACAGACGGCCGACGTTGCTGGTTGGTTCCTCCTGGCCGCCGATATTGCTAGGGTCGATGAAGTTGTCGGCCTGGTTGTTGGTGGGTGGAGGGAAGAACATGGGAGGCATAGAAGAAGTCGGGTTGTTGAAGTCCATGCTCATGTCGGCATCCATGTCGATGCCCGACGACCATCCACCTCCGAAGCCAGCATCAAACCCCATGTCGCCAATGCCCGACCCATACCCGTCGAACATGTTTTGTGGCGGCAGGTTGGCCATGCTGCCGGATGGGATGCCAACCTGCTGCTTGTACTGGTTGTAGTCATGGCTAGGGCCACTGAAGTGCTGGTGACGCTCCTGCTCGAACGGTGACAAACCATTCCAGTCCTGGTTCGCACTCTGTGGTGTGGCATCAATCTTTGATGAAGACGCGGTGGCGGGAGATGGGTGAGTAGTGCTCTGGATGAAGTCGAAGAGCGAGTCCATGTCTAGTTGCTCGGTCTTCAGGTGGCCTGCTCGGTTGCTCATCGTGGCGAACTGGCCAGGTGCCCTTCAATTACGTGGAGTCTCAGTCTTCCAATGGCTCGCCGATGCTGATGCTTGCGAGTAGTCGTCGTATGTCGCTGCCTGGACAAGTGTCGCTTCCAAGAAGTCGGGCTGACGCGGCTGGCTCTGCCTCAATAACACTCAACAACACTCTCCCAAATCACGGCTCTGGACCTTCTCAATTCGGCGTCGAGCAATCCAACGAGTGTGTGTGTCGCGAGTGTCGGGTTGATGTGATGATGACAGTGAGGGTGTAACGAGAGTTGGACGTTGGAGAAACAGGAAACAATGGTCAAGGGAGAGGAGGCCCGACAGCAGGCATTCTCGGCAGCGAGGCTTGGAAGGCTGTGCAGGAAAAGCGACACGGCAGCCCCCAACCGCGCCAATCACATCCACCACGCGGACATCGGTCCTCTGCTTCGCCGGTCGATGAGAGCATTCTTGAAACACGGCAAAGTGGGTGCGATACGACCGCTGACGACGCTGCCTCCTACTCTGCTCGCTGTATTTGGGCCGCAGCCCGGAGCCAGTTTTACCTGCTATACCTGCCTCCGCCATACTGGAATCTGACCGTCGGACGCGGTACCGTACCGCTCTTTGATGAAGCGTGACCGGAGAAGCTACCAAGCTACTATTCTTGTCGCCGGGAGATGCCCAGCATTGCCCGATGATGGTACTGTGGCAGCGGCCGAGCACAGTAAGCCAACACCTCAAAACCACTGCTCTGCCATCAACGGACAAGGAATGCGTGCGCAGAAACATCAGCCTTAGCTCCGTACTCCACTGCTTGGGAGAACACTGGGGCCGCCCTGGGCCGCTTGAATAATGAGCTCGTGGCCTCCGCTACACCCGCTACCTCGTATTTTCCGAGACTTTACTGCATACTTTGACGCTTGGCCGTCCTGGGCACGAGCACGCGATTCTGGTGCAACTCAAAGGGAAGATCACTCATCCCAAGTACCGAAGGCCCGGGCTGGGCACGCAACGAACCACAAATGTTGTTTTCCAGTAGTATGCTATCCGCGCCAGTGACCACATCGGTCTAGATATATTACCCCAAGGAGAACGCGGAACTGTCAAACATTTCAACAGCGAAAGGACGAGCCGCGTAACCCCTTCGTCCGCTATTCAATGAGTCCTGACCGGAGAAACGTGCTTGTCGCCATTAACTATCGGGAACCATTCACTCCTCTGCTCCAAACACGGCAGCGCTGGCCATCCCCAAACCGCCAAACAACCCCAAAGCATAAGTCAACAGCGCCGCTTCCGCCCGTCCAGCAACGTCCCCAACGGTCGGCGACGACATGGCCTGCACACCATCGCTCATGATACCAGACACCCTCCTCGACAAGCTTGGCTGTCGCACTCTTGAACTTCTTCGCGAGGCACTCCGCTTGACAGGTGACATCAATGACCGCGAGCGGCTGCGTGGACGTCCAACACTGGCCCTTCGTGACCTTCTGGTAGGTGCTGTGTATTCTTCTTCGTCATCATCGTCGTCGTCCATGGCATCCGTGAGGGTGTGCATCGCGGACGCCGTACGTCTTCTCGCTTCCTCTTTCACTGTTCCCCATGCGTCTCCTGCTCTGGCAACAGGCTGGCTGGCACGTATATCGTCGTACATTTCCTCCGTAGCGTCGCCAATTCGGCTTGCTGCTTGCCCGACAGCAGCTTGCGCCTCCTCCAGCCATGGATTGGTGCTGCATTTCACCATCTCCCGCGCGTCAGTTTGATTAACAGCAGACCACACGGTCAAAGCGCCAAACGACAACACGACATCATAACCCAACGCCCGCAGCCAGTGATTCCAGAAGCGAAGTCCAGTGAAGATCACTCCAGCCGTCTCGATCGCGACATTCGACCACGACTCCCGGCCCGTCAACACGTTGATCCACTCTGCCGTGGCCTGGTACAGCGATCGATACGTTCCAGCTTTGATCTCGCCCACGGCCATGAACCAGGCGTGGAAATGAAGGAGGACGCTGGCGATGGAGATGGCGAACCAGAGCATCACGAAGCCTCGTCTGTTGCGGCGGCTGCCGTAGGAGAGATCACCGGCGATTGCTCGACCGAGGAAGTTGTCGCGCTAGATTCTCATCAGCACACAGCAGGCACGTGGAGAGATGCCACTTACGGGCAGGCTATGCGCAATCGCCGGTTGCAGGAACACATACGCCTGCGCCAAGCTGAACCACATCGTCTTGAGCGTCTTCGAGGATCGAACCAGCAGCACTGGCAGTCCAGCGACCACCAAAGCTTCGGAGACGAGGAAGCTTGTCGCGAGAAGTGGTTGTGCAATGCGGTATCTCCCTAGGACTTTGCGTGGCTTGAGTCGAAGCAAGGCGTAGAAGAGGCATTGTGCGCCGGCTAGGCCGAGGATGTAGCCGACGAGGATGAAGGCGAGGATTTGGGCGTTGGTGAGGCCGCGGGTACGGCCCAGGGGGTGGTCAGTGGGTATACTGAGGGCGCAGTTGAGGTGGTTTACCTTGGATGCCCACGAACACTGACAAGGAATTAGCATTGGCCCCTCGAGTGCTGCAAGATAGGCACAAGCAACTTACTGGCCCAAGCACTATACCCCATGAACCACTGCTGTGTCCTATCCCCAGCAACTCCGAGATCAGCAAACCCACTCCTCCCCTCTCCCCGACCACCCACGGACACGGTACTCACCACCAAAACCGACAATACGTCGCCACAGTCATGCGAAAGCACCCCCACAAACTCGAACTAATATCAAACTCATGCCACTTCTCCGCCTGCTGCACCAAATACGTCGACACGTGGTCGTCGTTCGTCAGGTGCGGATACACCATCTGCACGATCTTGCGCTTCGACTCGGCCATGGTGCTTACGGCTGAGAGCCAGAGATCTTGCGGTCTGTAACCTTCATCAGCACTACAGTCCCCGGTACACGAAACGACGGCGAATGGGATAGTTAAGAGGAGACAAACGTCCTATCATACCACCCCTCCCCGGGCGCAGCATTATTCACCAACACCCTCAAAACATCCTTCATATCGCTCCGCACCCAATTCACCAGCACCCAACTCAGCACCCCCATCCCCAAAAACAGACACGCCTCATACTTCCTTCTCGCCGGCACGGCGCTCCGACGCGTCCGCCCGCTGCTGCTTGAGCGCCAGACGCGGTAGAATGGTGTAGAGATGTCGAGGAGGAGTTTGAGGAGCGTGAGGGTGAAGCTGATAGCGAGGAAGCCCGAGAGGGGTTTGGAAGGGAGGGGGAGGAGGGGTTTTTCGAATATGTGGGTTGTTGTTGTTTGGTCCATGGCTAACGTGGCGGTGACGGTGATGGGGAGGGTAAGGTAAGGCCAAGAGGAGGGAGTGCAGTGCGGAGGGCGAGTGTTTGGGGTGGGAGAGGGTTTGTTTGTTGGGGATGGGGGGTTGAGGAATGGGGGGTGCATTCCGGGGTTTGATTTGGGATGAGTCCGTTGGAGTTGCGTCCTTCGCAGGCTCGCTCGGAGCGTTTATGATGGAGACTGTTTGACAGGATCTCTCAACTACATGATTACTTACGAGACGGCATACCAGTGATAGGATCGAGGCAGCTGGTTGACCTCTTCCGCCTTGCGTTTGGTGCCAGAGGTGGATTGCAGTCAATGGCACCATGACCGTCTCTCCCATATCCATGGCTTGGAGTTGCAGGGTTAGATAGGCGCAACATGTGAAGTCTTTCATGTAGATGTGTCTCGTCCTACCTCCTGGAGACAAGAGGACGGAAGATCGGGTCGTTCTTGCAGCTCCCAGAATTAAGGTTCAGACATTTCCCAAAAGGGAAGTCAAAAAGTCAAGCACATGCATCCAGAGATCAGGCGTGTGACATGACCTTACATCTGCTATGTATACAATCCTTCAAGTGCGATAGAGACCGGTGATACTGTACAGTACGCAGAACCTTCACATTGGCGCTGGCGTTCTGCACTGCGAGGCGCATCACGACTTTGACGACTTCACGATCTCTTGACGTCTTCGATCACGCGCTTGTCTGGAACAGGGCGCTCTCGTGTACCACAACTCGACGACTTCACTCAAGTCCATACCGGGCAGACGACCAGAACAAGGGCAAAGGAGGCTCCGCACTCGGGCTGATCAAAGATCTCCTCTCGCCAAAGAAGCAGGATACATCCACAAGCAAAGAACCCTCGACACCAGCACCGCCGAAACAGCCACCACCCTCCACCGGCAACGAGACTCCACGAGCAGAGTTCATCCCCAAAGTCTTCACCTACGAAGCGCGCAGCACGCCCACCGAGCAGTGGCGAAACCGACACGTCCTCCCCACCAGCGTCCAGTACAATGCAGAGCACGAGTCACCCGGCACATCCACCCCACGCTCGATCGAACGCCCCCTCACACGGCGAAACCAAGAGATAGCTTTCAAACCGCACCACCGCGCGCTCCTCGAACCACCCGACCAGCGGGACCGCAAAGAGCAGCGGAGTTCTACACACCGAATCGACAGGATGAAGTGCTTCGTGCAAGTTCTCACCACGCCGACGGCGGACACGCCGGGGACGACGTTGTTGCTGCACTTCGACAATAAACGGTATCTCGTCGGTAGTCTGGCTGAAGGAACACAGCGAGCGTGCGTGCAGATGGGAGCGAGGTTGTTGAAGGTTTCTGAGTGCTTTCTCACTGGGAGGACAGAATGGAGCAATACCGGTGGCTTGATCGGGATGATCCTTACGCTTGCGGATCAGGCGGGTACGAGTCGGCAGAGCGCTGTGGAGGAAGCTGTCAAGGAGGCGAGGAACAGGGGGAAGAAGATGGGACTGTCTGATCACTCAGAGAAACTATGGGAGATGGAGGAGGAGGCGAAGAAGCAGGTGAAGGTGAAGCCGCTGCGGATCTTCTCGCCGCCGAATATGAACCATACCCTTGCTACGGCGCGGAGGTTCGTGTTTCGGAAGGGCATGCCGGTTGACATACACGAAATCAACGACGATCGCGCGCACCAGGAGGGCGAGGATGAGTGGGCGCCGTATTGGGCGGATGAGAATATCAAAGTCTGGACGATGTCGATCTCGCCAGACTCGGCTCGGGATGCACAGCAAAGAAGGGTTAGTAGACCGATCATCGGACGAAAGCGCACCATTGACGAAGTATACGGTCGACAGACACCCGCCGCCGGCATTGTCGAGAACGACCTCACGCAGAAGGAGCGCGATCAGTTGGCCGTTAAGGCTGTGGTGTCGGAGATGTTCGATTCTTCCTGGCGTCTGGATACGCTGTACGAAACGCCTCTTTCTCAGGTCAAAATGCCGGCTGCGATATTCGTCCGCAACGCCGAAACCAACAAGATCGAACGCTGGAATGGCCCTCTTCCTGGTGGCGACAAGCCTCTGCCAACCCCAGACCCTACAGTTCTCGTGCGGCGACCCTGGCCGGGTGCGCTAGTCGAGAGTCTGCCTCCCACCGAGCCAGCGAAAGAAGCCATCAGCTACATCATCCGCAACCACACTGTACGTGGCAAATTCGACCCGAAGGCTGCCGAGAGGCTGAATATCCAGAAAGGGAGAAAGTGGGCAGATCTAGCGTCTGGCAAGACAGCTGAGAGTGAGGACGGGCAAACGATCACGCCGGATATGGTGCTGGCGCCGAGTAAAGAGGGTGGTGGGTTTGCAATCGTTGACATGCCGGATCCGACGTATATTGACGGCCTGCTTACGAGGCCGGAGTGGCGTGAGCCGAAGGTTATGGCTGGTGTTGGGCATATTGTATGGAGTTGCGGACCGGGTGTTGCGACAGATCCGAGGGTACATGAGTTCATGCGGGAGTTCAACGGGCTGGAGCATATTGTGTCATCGCCTGATTACTGCCCGAATAATATTGCGCTCGACTCGCCGGCGGCGTCCACAATACGACTACGCAAGGTCGATCCAACGAGATATGGCGTTCCAATCCACGATGCGGTTGGTGAGCAGTCCTACGGTGGGAGCGACAGCCACCTCGCCATGCAAAAACAACATCCTCTGCCAGAGAAAGGAGTCCAGCTGGCGGAGCGAGGCATGATACTCCAGCTGGAACCGAGCATCGACCTTCAGCGCAACCAAGTCATCCCTCCCCTCGACATCCCCGCTGTCGAGTCTGCAGTCCCTCCCGACGTCCTCACCGAAGCAGTCAAAGCTCGCGAGGCTGTGCGGATGTCGTTGAGCGAAGAAACGACGTGGGCCTCCACACTCCCAGACAAAGACGCCGAAGTCATCACCTTAGGCACCGGCTCCGCCCTGCCCTCCAAATACCGCAACGTCTCCGCCACGCTAGTCCGCATCCCATCTTGGGGCAGCATCCTCCTCGACTGCGGCGAAAACACCCTCGGCCAACTCAAACGCGTCTTCACCCCCTCGGAGCTCAAAGAAGTCCTCCAGTCTCTGCGCCTCCTCTTCATCAGCCACATGCACGCCGATCACCATCTCGGCACTGCTTCTGTCATCAAAGCCTGGTACGCCGAAGTCCACGCTTCTCAACCCATCCCGCTCCCCTCCCCCACCGACCCCATCGAACCCCTCCTCGACCCGACCCAGCGCAGGCTAGCAGTCGTCTCCGAACCCGCCATGATCGAATGGCTCTCCGAGTACAGCAGCATCGAAGACTTCGGCTTCTCCCGCCTGGCGCCCTTGAACATCAGCCCCGCCTACCCCGGCCGCAACAAACCCTCCGCGCTGAACTGGTTCGTCCCGCCCTCCCACCTCGCCTCCCTACCCACAAACAAATCCCGGATCGAAGCCGTCACCTCCCGCACCATCCCCGCCTCCTCACTTGGCCTCCACGACATCCAAGCAGTCCTCGTAAAACACTGCCACGGCGCCCGCGCGGTCAGCATAACCCTGCCCTCCGGCTTCAAAGTCTCGTACTCCGGCGACTGCCGCCCCAGCGAGCCCTTCACACAAATCGGCCAGGGCAGCACGGTATGTATCCACGAAGCGACCTTTGACGACGAACTCGCCGGTGATGCGGCGGCGAAGAACCACAGCACGACTTCTGAAGCGCTGGGGGTGGCGCAGGGGATGGGCGCGAGAGCGTGTGTGTTGACGCATTTCTCGCAGCGGTATCAGAAGATTCCTGTGCTGGAAAAAGGCGGGGCGGGGGGGAGTGGAGGGACGGAAGTGCCGAGGGCGTTTGAGGCGGAAGAGGGAGAGGAGGGGGATGGCGAGATGTCTGTGAACCCGACGGACGAGTTTTCGGGGCCTCTAGAAGACGTCGCCGCCACCTATCCCGATCAAGCCACGAATGGCGATGATAAGGGAAAGCAATACGACCTTCCCAAGAACAAGGACACCGCCACCTCAACCTACCGCCCCCTCTCAGCCGAGAAACCCGAAGCAGTCAAATTTAAACTCACAACCGATATGAAAGTCTGCGTGGCCTTCGACTACATGCGGGTGAAAGTGGGTGAGATCGGACAACTCGAGAAATTCACGCCTGCGTTGTTGAGACTGTTTGCGGAGGAGGAGAAAGGGGTGGATTTTGAGGATGGGTTGGGGGGGACGGGGGTGGTTGTTGATCATGGGCGCGGGACGAAGAAAGGGCAGGCGCAGAAGCAGAAGGGGCAAGGTGGGAAGGGTGGGAAGGGGAAGAGGAAGAACAGTAATGAGTCGTAGGTCATAGATTGAAGGCAATGCATAGAGCTTACCTTCCACACCCCCGCTCTCGATTTGTGGCGGTTGGATCTTGGCGTGTTTCTCCCTCAGCACAGTTCCAAAAGGGGCCTGCACATCACATAGGAACATGTATGGAAAGATGCTTTGAATGTTTCTTGTCTCATTGTCGAAGATGCCACTCATGCGTAGCCCTAGTTACAGGCTAGAAAAGCACGCAGTGGTGCACGCAGAAGGCCAGCTAGCCAGCTGCTCGTCACTGACCCAGACCAGGCCACAGCCATAGCAGTTTGACCGCTCCTGCCATAACCACTTGCCACCTCCATACGCTCGAAGTAGAACAAACTCCGTCTATCTGTTCGACTTGGCCACGCGCTCCAGCTCGTCCTTCTTCTTGATGGCGTAGCTGTTGCTGCTGCCCTTGGCGGCGTTGATGAGCTCTTCCGCCAGACACTCGGCGATGCTCTTGATGTTGCGGAAGGCGGCCTCGCGGGCGCCAATGGTGAGGAGGGCGATGGCCTGGTTGACGCGGCGGAGGGGGGAGACGTCGACGGCTTGGCGGCGCACGGTGCCGGCGCTGCCGATACGGGTGGAGTCTTCGCGGGGCCCGCAGTTGACGATGGCATCGACGGCGATTTGGATGGGGTTTTGGTCGGTCATGATGTGGATCTACAAAATATCATTTGTCAATATTGCCTTTGTGTGTATTCATTCGGGGTGGTGGGGACGCACGATTTCGAATGCGTGGGCCACGATGCGCACAGCCATGAGCTTCTTGCCGTTGTTGCGGCCGTTCATCATGAGCGAGTTGGTGAGTCGCTCGATGATGGGGCACTGGGCCTTGCGGAAGCGCTTGACGGCATATCGGCCTGCGGAGTGGGGGATGTATACGGGCTGGCGGATTTGGATGTAGTCGCTGTATATCACGCATATCAGCTCGCCGTCCTCGCCGTCTTCTTCCATGCAATCGCGCAACGTACGTCAGGGAGATGTCCCTTATCTCCACGTCCTCATAACTCCATTTGTTGAACAGCTTGGTGCTTCCGATCTCACTGGTAACATCTTCAAGTCGTTAGTATGAGGATGTTGTAGCAGACGAGGCTCTTACCCTTGGGCAGGACGGGGTAGCCCTGAGGCGCTTCGACTTCGACCTCGCCGTCGGACATCTTCGCTGCTACCGGGGAAGATGGTGAGGTAGTGGTGCTGGGGTGTTGTTGTCGTGGTGGTATTTGCGCCGGTGTCGAAGGTATCAAGTGCGGTTGTGGTGGATTTGGAAGTTCGGTGGGCTTGGCACTAACGGCACCAGCCGCAGTCACATGATGACGCCGCGGACGCAAATGAATACACCTCAAGTCGAGAACATCTACTTCATCACCAGAATCATGTTCTTGTTATCTTTGTTTCTCGTCACCATTTCTTCTAGATAGGTCTGGCCTAGAGGACTGAGCACGCTACGAATGCTCAGTAGTGCAACTTGTTCCAGCTTCCGCAATGATGCCCATGCCTTTGACGCACTATGAACTACACTCCCGTCCCTCAACAAGTCGTCAGAGTAAATCCACCCGTCGTCCAGAAGTATGTAGACGACGTAATGCTTCATGCTGGGGTCGAACACGTTGACAGCTTTCAACCGGTAGATGAAAAAGTTTTCGGGACGGTAGCGATCCAATGACTCCTGCTCAGAAGGCAGAATAACGCTGTCCGCACATGGCGAGAGGTCAAGAAACCCCGGGAGGCCGACTTGATGTGGATACTGGCTAGTCACTCGTCCAAAGGAGACCATCTTAGTGTTGGACACAGTGTGATGCGTCTTTGCAGCGTACGCGGCGGTAGGTGATTGCGAGAAAGGATGAGTCCTCTGACGCACGGCTTGCTGCATCCTCGTCTCTTACATCTCCAACCTCACGAATTTTCATCACTCCAGACTTACAGTGCTTCTGTCCATCACCATGGGGGATGCAGCACTCAAGATACTGGACGAAATCCTCGCCAAGATCCCGCCTCCACAGCAGAAGCAGGACCAGGAGCCAGAAGACGAGCCATACGACGAGCCAGAACCCGAAGAGTTCGTGAACAAGTATACGCTTGATTACATGGAAGCCCAAGAGCTCTTTCAATCCGACTCCTTCGAAGAATGCATAGAAGCCGCGAAATACAACCTCACCGACCGTACCTTGCCACGGTACTTCAAGATGCGGAACCGGATGCTGATTATCGCTGCCAGCGAAGACTGGGATGAGGCAGAGGTACCGTATGATCGCATGTTATCCTCGCAGTGCGCGCAACTAACCCAACTTCTTTCTAGAAATTCTTGCTCGAGACAGAAGCGATTTACGAAGAGGCGGCACGGCTGACCTCGGAGTCTGAAGAAGAGGCGAGTTCTGCGTTGCGGCGGATCCGTGAGGCGCTCGACAAGCTCAGTGGCGGCATGGATCAGGATCGCAAGGAGGCGGAAGAAGAAGAAGCTGAGGGCAAGGAAGCGGAGAAGGCGGCTGTTGCTGAGAAGGGAACTAGGGGCGCGGATACGGGGAATCAGTCTGGTCAGGAAACGCCCGGTCACATCCTTGCAAAATCAGCCGGCATGCCGAACGCGACAGTCAAATCCGTCGATGAGTACGACTGGCCCCGCCCGAGACGATTCCGCTGCGACCCGGAGGGCTGCAAGTACACCTTTGATACAGAAGATGATGCCGTCGTCCATCAACTTGAGCACTCCCGGGTCAAGTGCGAGCAATGCACTGCTGGATTTCCCAACATCCAGAAGCGCGATGCCCACAACACTGCTCAACATGGCACCGTTGATTCAGAGGAAGCGGTACAGACTCGGGATAATGGCCCCACGGGCTCGACTGTTGAGCAGCAGCTGCAGGAAGTGCGAGCGACTATGCAGGAGGCCAGAGCTGCGCACGAAAAGCGCGAGCGTGAGGCCGCCGCTGCCCATGTGAAGAGGGAGAAAGCAGCTGCAGAGAGGGAGCATGCAGCGGCAGAGAGAGAGGAGGCAGCGGCAAAGAGGGAGCAGGCAGCGGCTGATAGGGAGCAGGCGGTGGCAAAGAGGGAGCTGGAGCAGAACAATGCTCAAATTGCTCTCTACCGAGAGCTGATCAAATTGGTGGAAGCGCGGAACGAAGAGGTTAGGCAGCGGTTGTGAAGCAGTTGAGGCATGGGAGTGGAATGGCTCGAATGGGTAGACGGGCATCATGTCCGCCACGACATCATGATTTTTACGGCCGACAGGATCTTTACAGCATCACCACTCTTCACGGCCGATCAGCATTTGTACAACATCAGCATTCACGGCCGCTCGACATTGTAACAGCAGAAGCATATCAGCATCTTCCCAACTTCTGCGTCCTCACGGCTGTGCAACACCTCCGCCTAGCCCTCATCGACCACCATAGAGGACGCTGAAAGAAGTCGCACTACTTGGTGTTGGGGCGTGAGGCGTCTATGGTCTCTGCGCGCGCAAGGGCCTTCGGTCGAGATGCTTCATCTTCGCGCGAGAACAATCACACCCATCAGTTAGCAACACACATAGAACAGAATGACTTTTGATACACTCGTTTGATACACCGGCTGCAGCTATCTCATTCCCTTGGTTGCATCCGCCTCTCCGCCTTGAGAAGTTACCTCGTCCACCCGCGCTGGAAGTAGGGACACTCAGGACGTCCCTTTCCACTACATTAGCATTGCGTAGCATGGGACCGTGATGACTAAGGCTCGTGGACCCTGAACAGCAGATCACGAGCTACAAATGAGACGACTTGGATTGCTGGTGTGACGAACCACAAGTACCACACACAAGGCTTGGAAGACGCCATGTCACACCTCTCCGCCGTGCCCAACGACCCCTATCAATGGCGCGAGTCCGTCCTGTCCACCCGCTCGCTGTCCTACCTTAGTGTCGCCGCCGCCCATCCCCGCAGTCGCAGCACCAGCAGCACCACCTACCAGCAGAACCACCCCTCGATGCGCCGCGACAACACCGACATGACCGACGAGTCCGAATACAGCCTGGAGATGACACACTCGAGGGACATGGACCTCAACGATATTCCCGAGCTGCCAGAGAGTGTGGCCCGGTCGCCGCTGTTCTTACTGCCACGCGAGATACGAGATAGAGTGTATGCTTTCTGCTTGACTGCTGAAGACGACCGACCGGTGGAGTGGCCTTCATTGTTCAAAGCCTGCCATCTCCAACCACAACTGCTACGGACATGCAAGATCATCCACGATGAAGCGGCACCGCTCCTCTACACTCTCAACAACCTTACCTTCCACCATCCGTCCGACGCCAACATGTTCGTGCGAGCTATGGCCTCGACTATATATGCACAGCAAATACAGCACCTGAGCCTTCATATCCGAGCCCAGGACACCAGACTATGGATGCCTTACCTCACCTCCCGCGACAGCAAACGCAGCCTTGAAGCCGACTTCCCCTGTCTCCGCAACCTCCACATCCGCTTCCGCAGCAACAAATGGCAGCACTCGCACACCCCGGAAGCGAACCTCAAAACCTGGGCCGAAGACAGCCGCCTAGACGAAGTCATCGACAGCGTGCGCAACGTCTACCTCCCGGCGGGTAAAGAAACCTCCCGCAACGAGCGTGGCTCGCGACCCCACCGCTCAGCTGGTCCATTACGGGACGAAAGAGCTTTCGAAGAACGAACAAACCATCGCACCCCAACCATCCGCTTGACGTGCGTCCACCGCATCCACCCCACCCACTTCACCGCCCTCACCAACCCACCCGCCACCACCGCAGCACCAACGAACCCTCCCGATCTCTCCCTCGCCTCCAACCCCACAGGCGTCATCCAGCAGACCCCACCCACGCTCAACACCTCCGAGCCTCCTTCTCCTGTTTTGCCGAACGCGCCTTTTACACGCTACACCCCCATCGACCTCCGCACGAACCCGATAAAACGCCTGCACGACCGTGATCTCGGCAGCACAGCCGTGGCGCAGACCGTCTTTACCGAGCGTAAGGGAGTTTTGATATGCTTAGAAATCAACTGCTTAGATCCAAAGCGGGAGGTATGACTCCATGGCCCTCTTGCTGAGGGGAGGAACGAGGGGATGGTAGAGGTCTTCGAGCCGTGCGGGATGTGTGGACGGGTGTTCGCGTGGGCCGTGAGAGGGGCGGTGGGGTTGGAGAGGAGGGAGTGTGAGTGTGGGAAGTTGTTTGGACGGGGAGGGTTGATTTGTTGTTAGATTGGGATGTGCTGGGATGCTGTTAAGATGAGTTTGGAGGGATTTGTTTGGCGTTTTGTGGGCTGGGAGGTCGATATAGATACCCGGGCATTTGTTTTGGACTTTGAAGACGAAGGCGATATATTCGCGGTTGATTTTCGCTCTTTGCACGTTCGCTGTTTCGACCTTCGCTCGGCTTGTCTCGCGCAACATCGCGCACCTGCCCAAAAGGCCTTTTCAACACGCCCAAGGCCCCGAAGCACCTGTCCACTCCGCCTTCTGCTCACGCACGAAAGCATATCCCACCCACCACCAAGCCCATCCACCATCCACATCCCACACAACCGCTCTCCCAGCCAACTCCAGATCGACACGGCCCGTAGCCGATCCGCTTCCCCCAGCATGCAGGCTCCGAGCGCGGGAAGACGCGGGCTAGCGCTGCGCTGTCCTCGGCGAATCACAAACCATCCACGGACTCCGGTAGGCGAGCCTGCGCGCTTGCACGCAGGCGAGAGAACTATCTGCGGACACCCGTTAGTGTTGGGCGTAGGGCTGGCGAATCGTTTCGTCTCTCGCATTTCGACCATCCAGGACCAGAATACGTCGATTCATAACTTCAACCCTCATAAACCAGCACGCTGCGGAGTGAAGTGAGAGACTGGAGCTCAAAAAATCTCCGAATCATCCTCCCAATCCACCACCCCCCGTTCCACCTGCTGCGGCTTGGTAGTATTCGTGCGTTTCTCGCGAAACGTATCATCCACCCCCGTACTCGTATCCTCCTCCGTCTCGACTTCGAAATCGATACGTTCGGTGTACGATTGATCGGTCTTAGGCGGCAGGGGTTTGCGGCCGGACAGGACGTCGAAGAGGGAGTCTTCGCTTGCGCCTGAGATGAAAGAGGCTTCGGCTTCTGCTGCGGCTTTTGCTGGATTTGAGGATGAGGATGAGGCGGGCTCGCGATGTGGTGGTGGGGTGGGAGGGTCTTCGAGCTGCCCTGAGGGGTGGAGGATGCGGAAGATGGATTTGGTTGTTGCGAGGACTGCTGGGTTTGAGTCGAAGGGACTGTGGAGGTAGGATAGTGTTGCGGTGGGTGAGATTGAGGCCGGGATGATCGTTGGCGGGTTCGAGGAGATTGGGGAGAAGAAGTGGGCGATGCCTTCGCCGCAGTCGAGGAGGAGTTCATCCGGTCGCGTGGGGTGCCAGTGGAGTTTTCGGACGTTGCTGTGTTGGACGAGGACGGCGTGCGCGTTGAGGGTTGCCATGTTCCAGATCCAGACGGTGTTGAGCATGCGCTCATCTCGTGTGGCAAGCCAGCTGCCGTCGCAGCTGAAGGTTGCTTCTGCTATGCCTAGCTCTGCTGGCTCGGTGGTGGTTTTGGTACGTGAGAGAGGCGGAGAAAAAGGTTGCGGAACGACTGCGTAGGATCGCTCACCGGATGCTGGAACAGTTTCTTCCCAGATTGGTGCTTGCAGCTCAGATGATGTGTTCGCCCGTTGGTCAATGGTAGTCGTGTGCTCGATCACCGCCCTAGGCGCGAACGTCCTCGTGTTCAGCAGCACAATGCTCCCATCAAAGCGCGTCAAGGCCACCAGCTGCGAGTTTTGAGCCCAAACTATCGCCTTGATGCCCAATCCGAGCGTCTCGCTTTCTTTCGCCGCCGGATAAGAGCGATATAGATTTCCGTCTGGCGTCAAGAAATGGACGCCCCGGCTCGCAGTACCCACATCCAACACACCAATCCATCTTCCGTTCGGTGACCAGGCAATCGACTGAGCATCCACAGTGGGTAGCTTGACAGCACCGACCAGCTTTTGCGTCGCTGGTAGATACAAGTTCAAGACATCCTCAGCTCCAATTCTGGAGAGCAGCGCAAGAGTTCCAGTCCTCCCCTCTCGTCCCGGCCGCAACTGCCATCTCGCGCCAGCGCACGATCCCTTCACATCTGCCAAATCTACTCCCTTTCCAGTCGTCAAATCCCATAGCTTGGCCTTCCCAAACTCCCATACAACGAGGAGCAACTCACTGCCCACGAACTCAGCATTCGCGAATCGCCCAAAGCCGCCACTGCCATTGTCGAGCCGAATGCGGTGGTCGGCGTCATCCAGGTCAATCACCTCGATCAACTTCGCGCTCGCGACAACGATGCGATTGCTTTCCGAGTTCCATTGCAGGCCAGTGATATCTTTGGCTGAGATGCGGAGAGACACGTCCGTACAGCGATCCGGCGCGTGGGTGGTGTGGATACGGAGTTTGTTGGTACCTGGTGGAATGGACGCGAGGTAATGGCCTGACGGAGATGGTGTTGTATGTGCGCCCTGACAGGTTGTAGAGAGCGCCATTCGTAGTGAGATGATTGAGTGAGGTCGTTGTCGTTCAACAACACGGCGATCAACAAGAGGAAGGCGCGGGGCAACGTTCAAGGTGGGAGCGAAAGCTTCATGACTCATGCATAACTTTTTCTGACTCGAAGAAGCTCAAGTTCGATCTTCATCGACCTCACAACGACACGTCAACGAGGGCTCAACTGCACTCGGCTGGATGAGCCTCTCGCACTTGAAGGCTCAGCGTGCGATCCTGCGCGTCAAAAGCAACGTGTGAGGCCTGGCCGATACTCATCGATCGGCAAGAACAGCCTCTACCTGGGCACGCGAAGATGACGACCTCAGCACTCCGCGATCAAGAGAAGGCGGTCGGTATCACTGCATTCGTCTCGCCAGACGCACCAGGCTTCGGCTGCACGATCAAGCATCGCTACACCGACTTTCTGGTCAACGAGGTTTTACCGGATGGCACTGTGCTTCACCTCACCAGCGATGCAGTGAAGAGGGTGAAGAAGCAGGCGCAGGAAGAGGTTCCACAGGATGGCGGCATGCAGGAGGTTAAGAGTGAGGTCAAGAGCGAGGTCACTGATGGAATGAACGGTGTCACCGCTGAGGGCTCTACTAAGAGGAAGCAGCCCGAAGGTGATGATGCTGTTGCGGATCCACCTTCGAGCCCAAGCAAGAGGCAGAGAGTCGATGGTGGTAAAAACACCGCCCCGCAGTCGAATGGAGATGCTGAAGCTGCCCAGAAGCCTGAAGCGGACCCAAATGCAGACCGCAAAGCTCAAATCATCTCCAACGTCACCGACCAGGACAAGAGCAGACTTCATGACATTTTCGGCGAGAAGACGACTGACCGCATCCTCCATCTCTACGCCAGCATCATCATGCATCCCGATCGCAAGCCTCGAGACCAGCCAGTCATCCATTCAGAAGTGATCACAGAGAAGGCCAAGCGGACTGAAGCACACGTCGCTGTACGACAGGTCTTCGCCTCAAAGATATCCACCGAGACGATCCAAGATTCGCCCGGTGTCATCGTCGTCAGAGCTATGCCGACCAAAGGACCAACCGGTGCCCGTGCACCAGCTGGACAATGGGGTAATGGCGCGATCTCCAAAGGCAAGCTCGGGTGGGAGGAGCTCGGCGGCGAGTACCTTCACTTCACGCTTTACAAGGAGAACAAGGACACGATGGAGGTGTTGTGGTTTCTCGCGTCACAGTTGAAGATACCGGTCAAGAACTTCCAGTTCGCCGGCACTAAGGACAGGCGTGGAGTGACCGTGCAGCGCGTTGCTCTATATCGCGTGCATGCCGACAAGATCAAGGGGCTGAACAGGTTTTCGAGAGGCTGGTGGTTGGGCGGCTTCGAGTACCAGAAGCATGGCCTTGATCTGGGAGAGCTTGGTGGCAATGAGTTCTTACTGACGCTAAGAGACATCCAAGTGGAGGGCGTGGGCATTCTCACACCCGACCAGAAGGTGGAGCGAGTGAAAGAGATCGTCCAGCAAGCGACCAAGTCTTTCCGGGAGCATGGCTACCTCAACTACTACGGACTACAGCGCTTCGGCACTTACACAACTGGCACTCATGCGACCGGCCTGAAGATGCTGAAGGGCGACCTCGAAGGCGCTATCAACTTGATCCTCACCTATGACGACAAGCTCCTACCCGAGAACGTGGACACTTCTGCTGAAGGTCGCACTCCGCATGATGACATCAACCGAGCAGATGCTATTCGGATTTACCGCGAGAGGGGTGGAATCACTGAGGCTGTCAGGAAGATGCCGAGACGCTTCCAAGCCGAGAGTGCGATCATCCAGCATCTAGGCAAGAGAGACCGCAGGTTGAACGAACAACCGCAGAAGAACGACTGGCAGGGTGCACTGATGCAGATCCAAAGGAATCTGAGACTGATGTATGTGCATGCCTACCAGAGTTTCGTCTGGAACACTGTCGTCGGCAAGAGGTGGGAGCTGTACGATGGCAAGGTTGTGGAAGGAGACTTGGTGATTGTGGGCGCCAAGGACGACAGCAAGCCCGTCAAGGAGGAAGTCGACGATCAGGGAGAGCCCGTCTTCCATCCTGCCGCAGATGACAGTGCGCCAACGGCAGAAGATCCGTTCACTCGCGCACGTCACTTATCAAAGGAGGAGGCTGAGAGTGGCAAATACGACATCTTCGACATCGTGCTTCCGCTGCCGGGCTTCGATGTGCTGTACCCTGCCAATGAGGTCGGCAAGTTCTACGGGGAGTTTATGGCTTCTGAAGAGGGCGGTGGACTTGATCCGCACAACATGCGTCGGTCGTGGAAGGACATCTCGCTGTCGGGCGGGTATCGCAAGGTGTTGGCACGTGCAGGTGAGGGCCTGGACTTCGAGATCAAGACTTATGTGACGGATGCGGAGCAGATGGTGGAGACGGATCTGGAGAAGTTGAAGAAGCAGAAGCATGCAAACAGGGGTCCTGCTGCGGGTGGAAGCAATGGTGTCAAGGCGGAAGACCAGACGGATGAGGTGAAAGCTGAAGAGCCTGCGAATGATGTGAAGTCTGACGAGCCCACGGATGATGTCAAAGAAGGAGAGCAAACGAATGGCAATGCTGCTACGGATGCTGCTATCGACGCCGTCGAGCGGAAGATTGCAGTCGTGTTGAAGATGCAGCTGGGCAGCAGTCAGTATGCGACGATGGCTTTGCGGGAGTTGACCAAGGGTGGAGCACTCAACTACAAGCCGGACTACTCTAGCAGATAGTTCCTGCCTGCAGATGCGTGCTGCCGTGGCTGTCGCCGGCTTGCCTGCTTGCCTGCTTGCTTGCTGCAGACGCATTTGCTTGCCGCAGACGGATGTTGTTGCTGTCTCATCTGCTGGCTGAAATGCAGTTGCTTCACAGTTCTTTCACCGCCTTCCATCTTGATGCCCCGCTGACCTCATCCCACTTTTCTGCCACTTTGCAAACGAACGTCTCGCTTCTTTACTTTAACCATTGAAACCTTCTACCACAACCTTCTCCACCAACTCAAACCGATCCAAACCACAAACCCTTTCAACCAACATCAACCCAATCAACATACCAAAATGTCCATCCCAACCTCCACCTCGGTCGTCGAATCGGCCCTCATCCGCGCCCCGCTCGCCCACGTCTGGCACTTCATCAAGCTGCAAGACTTCGCCAAATTCTGGTCGGCGGTCGAGAAGTCGGAATTCGTCAAGGGCGCGAGCGAGGAGACGGATATTGTGAAGTGGACGTTTAAGGATGGACAGGCGGTGGAGATTAAGCAGGAGGAGCATAGCGTGAGTACCTTACACAAAGAGGGAGAGGAATGGTTGGGTGGTGGTATTGTGCTGATGAAATGACAGACGATCAACCACTACATCACGTACAGTGTCATCACGGCGAAGCCGGAGCTGAGCTATACGAGTGTGCTGAGCACGGTGAAGTGTTATCCCGTGACGAGTGGAGAGGCGGAGGGGAGCACGTTTGTGGAATGGACTGGGAACTTCAGCAGTGATGCTGATGCGGGTGAGTTTTTGGCTGACGTGCTTTGGAGCCGACGGAGCATATGCTGACGGTATTGTTGCAGGTGTGATCCAAGACGCCAAGTTCAAGCGTCGCGAGGCTCTGGCCGACCTAGCGAAGGCCGCTGCGAAGAAATAGGATGCTCGCAGATCAGAGCAACACGTCGTTGAGCACGAGCACGAGCACGAGCAGCATCAATGAGGCGTTGAGGTGAATGGAAGCAGCATCATGAGATCATGGTAGACGGAATGTAAGATACCCAAAAGCATAGTGAACAACCTCACATCACATGAAAAGACGGTATACCAGCAGCATATGACCCGTCCTGAACCAGTATATCCAGCCCCAAAGCAGTATGTCACCAGCACATGACCTCTCAACATCAATTACGGTGGGTCATACAGTCGTCAGCATTCCCAAAGTCACATGGCATACCCCATTGGAGCCTTCCGTGGCTCGGTAAAGATATCACATCCATTGATCCATCGCACTTGCTTGCAACATTAGCAAGACTATACGGAGCAGCGCATTCAACATGGCTAGCAACACAGTCCGCCGCTCCAGCCGCCTCAACCCTTACGATTCCAATGGCCGCGAATACCTCGCAGGCCAGCTCGGGTGCTCGAGGCACGACCTGGAAGCCTGGATCACATCACCAACAGTCCAGCCTCACCTCAGGCTATGGTACCAGACTTGTGTCTCTGGTGCGCGCCGCTTCAACGACGCCATCGGTTGGATCAACAGTGGCGAGAATGGCTATTACTACAATCCCGACGGTCTCGATGACGATCTGTTGTTGATGTGCCTCTGCGAAGGCTCCAATATCACCTCATCAAATGAGCCTGGTAGTGCGCTAGGTCTTGACACCGCATCCTACGCCAACACAACCGCCAAAACCGACGACTGGAACACACAAGAACTCTGGGCGCGCACGGCGTGGAGGATCGTACAAGCGAACAATGGGCAGGGGCAGATGTTTGCTGAGTTGATTGAGAAGCATCCAGTGGCTCGCTACGCTTTTGTCATTGACTTGCTTTGCTTGGCGTTCCACTCGATCGCGTTTCGGGGGAGGGCGAGCGCTTACGAGGGGTTGATCAACGGTGTCGGTGTGCCAGACAGCAGCTCTCCGTCGTCGAAGACGAAGGGGCAGGCGGAAGTGGGAGTGGAGGAGATATCCAGGTCTGGAGAAGGGAAAGAGGGGAGTGATGCCGCCTCCGCTACCAGCCAATCCAGTGAGGACGCAGACATGGAAACCGACGACCACAGTTCCGATGGCGACTTTTCCGACGGCACCGACGCTACGACTGTCATGGCTCCGTCGCCGGAGAGGAGCACCAAGAACCAGGGATGAGCTTGAGGTCGAGAGCAGTGTGGACTATGGACTGTGGATGCTGTATGATGGAACTGGGTCTCTCGGTTCGAACTTCGACGCCACGGGTGCTGCAGGTTCGTCGTTAGGAGGTCGACCAAGAGTCCTTCATCGCTGGGGGGAGAGACCAAGAACTCTGGGGAGCGTATAACCGGCCCGGCCTCTCCGGGAATATCATGGATATGCAGCGCAGCCGGATAAGTAGTGGTCTCCAGAATGTGATGATCAAGTTCTTCGCATCACGAGCGTTCCAGACTGCTCCTATGGTTCCTACTCTGGGTGGTGCTGGGGCTCTTCTCGGCTCCCTCCGTGCGGATCACATTCGGATCACATCCGTGACAGCGCTGTCGATCCCTGGTGTCGATCGGAGCATTACCAGGTTAGGTTCGCGTGTGTGAAGATAAGGTTTTGCCCAAACTTCGGAGACAGGTGACAGGTCGAGTATGCTTGTACATGTATTTATCCAACCGATGCTATGAGTTTGCCTAGTGCTGATGGTATTTGCGCTTCTGAGACACTACTCTGACAACCCTCTTGTGGTTCGTAGGGGGTGAAAAACTAAGCGGACTAAGCACTCGATATGGGCTTGCTGGCAACACAGCATCCCCGATTCAAGTCATTGCATCCATCACGCCATATGATGGTTGTTTTGTGTTGTCAGATTTGACTTCCTTGGCTCAAACTGCTCGGTTAGGACAGAGTTTCCTAGTAACCTGGGCAGTTGTGGACTCTAACGTCCCAGACCTCGAAAATGGAACATACCGCGGTATGTCTTCCACTGGAGATGCTCTCCCAATAGCTGATGACTTGTATGCATCGATGACCAAATCACAGACGACGACCATTGTGCGCAAGTCACCGATCTGTCACAGCGAGACAAGCCGACAGATTCAATATACTCCTGCAGAAGGATATCGTGTTCGTAATAGTTCCGTGCTCCCGTATGCTTAGGTTTGACAAGACGGGTCCTTGAAAGTGCTCATATGTCTTGGCTGCTCGATTCAGAGAGGTGTGCAGACGTTTCCGACCTTAGCACCGCCTTGGCTACGTACCGTCACATGCGAGTGTCTGAATCCGGGTGCTTATGGCCGGCACTGTCCACGCAGAGCCAACTCTGTGTTCCACATACCGAGGATGTAGAGATGGCAGAGTAGGTAGATTGCTCCTGATGAGACATATAATAAGTCCAGTCGAACCCCATCCATTACTCCATCAGCAAGCTCGTTCGTAAGATCTGTTGCCAGGCATATCAACATCGATCTGACTCTCCCTTCATTTCCACAAACCACTCTCATTACCAGGACCAACCATGAAGACCTTCGCTGCCTTCAGCCTGTTGGCTGCCATCGGAAACGCCCTGCCCGTTGAAGACGCGGCCGTTGAAGAGCTCGTGGCACGTCAAGTCGGCGGGTCGTCGACTCAGACCGAACTCGAGAACGGCGCCTGCAGGGCCATCACCTTCATCTTCGCCCGGGCATCGACCGAGCGCGGCAACTTTGTACGTGTCTTTTAACCCACGATGCAGTCCTCTATCCTTAGTGCTGACGCGTAGCAAAGGGTAGCAGTGTTGGACCACCTACCTGCAGCGGCCTGAAGGACACCTACGGCAGCGACATGGTTGCGTGCCAGGGCGTCGGAGGGCCTTACTCCGCCGACCTGGCCTCCAACGGCCTGCCTCGCGGAACGTCGACCGCGGCTATCAACGAGGGTATTCGCTTGTTCGAGCTCGCGGCGAGCAAGTGCCCTAACTCCATTGTCGTCGCTGGTGGCTACTCGTACGTCTTCACGTCATATTTTCAGTTGGGTGTCAACAGATACTGACCTCACTTCCAGCCAAGGCACCGCCCTCATCAGCGCCGCCATCTCCGACCTCGACCAGTCCACCCAGAACCGCATCGCCGGCGCCGTCCTCTACGGCAACACCCGCAACGCGCAGAACGGTGGCAAGATTCCCAACTACCCGCCGGAGAACGTCTTGACAATCTGCGCGCCCACCGACGGCGTGTGTGATGGCAGTCTGCAGGTTACCGCTGGACACTTCTCGTACGCCGATGATGTGCCAGACGCTGTAGACTTCTTGGAGGGTCGTATTGAGGCTTTCGACGGCGAGGGTGGTGAGGTTGGCGGTGATGTGCCGGCGGATGAGACGAGCGAGCTCTGCCGCAAGTACCCTCTGCTGCGCCAGTGTCGTGACTGAGCCTGTCCATGCTGAGCATTGGACGGAGGTTGGAGGGCGTTATGAAGCTGATGGCTTCTTGTTCTCGTTGGAAATCTTGAAGTGACTTCTTGTCTCGCTCATTGGTTTCGTAGTTGTGGAAAGCAGGCCACATGGGATATATAGTGGGAAATCTCTGTACTTACAGGCTGACAGTCTTACCTCATCCTGAATGGCCACTTTCGTTGTACAGGCTTCGTTCCCTCCCTTTCGTGGGCGCCGTGCTGCGATGTTGTCGGTCGCGACACCACACGGAAGATCCCAATAGTATCACATTGCAAAGTCTCTCTCTCGATGTCGTTGCCCCTGTCTGACGGCAACAACCAGTACTTGCTGAGACGACACAAGATGTGGCAATTTGGAACTTCCCGAGAGACTCTGATACTGCCCAGTCCACCTGATGCAGGGGAGAGCACTGCAACATTCACTTCGCCGGAGAGCTTCACGGACGGGGCGCTCCAGACGCAAGGCGGATCGAATGAGAGAAAGGAGAGAAGATGTATTGCTATCGTGCTTGCAAGATACCTTCAGGGATAAAGGGAGCGTTGACCGCTCCGCGGCCATGGCTGAAGATGCACACACAGCCGATCCACGACGACAGCTTCGTGTTCACCACGCAGGGCATGGAAGACGGCATCGAGGGACGCCAAAGGGTGTAGCGAACGGCCTATGGTGCCTATAAGACCGGCACAGGGATTGTCCAGCCTGGATGCGACCAGGATGGCCGTCACCGGAAATCATTCGACAATACGTCTGCAACGCAGATACGTTGATTAAGCATACTACTCGAAGCAAAGTGTCCTTAAAAATCAGGTCGCACGCAGACACAAAGGGAGACTCTCGCAGTATCTACTACTATCTGCTAGACAACATCGATTTTCTCCAGCAGAGCCACCTTCTCAAGCCCAGGCACGACCAACACAGAAGATTTCGCCCGAACGACATCCTCAATACTCAGCAGATGCTGCTCGCTCTCTACACAGTACGCAAACCCGTCCGGCAACTTACGCAAGCACAAAAACTCCCGAATATCCTTCTCCATGGTGTGTCCCTCCTCACTCAGCAGGTGGCCCACGAACGGCATGCGCAAGGTGGTGAGCCGCTTCGACGTTCGCGGTCCTTCGAAAAGCTCCCTCACTGGACCCAAGAACTCTGAGTTCGATCTCACGGCAGTGAGATAGTTGTCAACTGAATCGATTTGTGCATACGATGGGAAGATCTGGTATCCTGGGATGGCCTCTGCCAGGATATCTTCGTACCCGGACTCTCCATAGCCAAAGGCACAGCCACCGTGTTCTTTGGGTGTATGAAGGAGAAGGTGCAAACTAACAAGACCTGATGCGAGGCGGTACAAATCACCAATATCTGCGTCTTTACTCTTGTCATTGCAACGAACATAGTGCTTGACGAAGACCACAGTGGAGTCTACGGTACTCTGGATGTCGACGTACACCCCCTTCTCTTGCGTCCAATTCTGGAAGGCTTCGATGAACGGCTTACCACCATAATGCCAACGACGGCGAAGTCGAGCGTAGTGCCGCGCCGACATGGCATTCACGATTACGGTCTGATGCTTCTGAATTACGGCAGCGATGTACTCACTTCTGTTGTAGAAGTACCAGAACTCCTCGGTCGACATCTCTTTGAAGGCTTCAATGCTCAAGCCGGGCGGAAGCGACGGCTCATCTGGCACTATCTCTTGCAGAGCAATGCCGTACGATGATGCTGCAGAACCAGGCCTTAGATCGGGTGCGGCAGAAGGATCCGATTTTGGGTCCTGCTGTTCATCGATATCGACAGGGATACTTGGTGCTTCTGTCGACGTATCGAACGTGGTATTGGGGCCGCTTGGCCCCTGGGTGTCGTTTCCGACCGGGGCTGATGGGCCTGCAGAATCACCAGCTTGATTTTCCTCACGCTTCTGTTCGCTTACTATGGCTACAGGTTCCGCGGAAGACGCCGAGAACCTTCGTGTTGGTCTTGGTATGAAGCTCAGCCAACTCGCAGACCTTGACTTCTTTGCCGACATCTTGAACAATTTGATTGGTTGCACGAGTGTCGAGAGTTGGTCGGCGAGTGGGTTGATCAAGAAAGTGGAGTGTAAATCATCACGCAGTGCCTCAATACAGGAGGGTCTACGACTGTTTGCTCAATCTGTCATTCTGCTCGCAGCTTACAGCAAGGCCTCTCACGACCTGAAAGCGCCAAACAGACTCAACACTTGCTCGTGCATCGTGGAACATGATTTCAACTGACATGAAGTGCAGCCTTACCCCTCAAAACATGTTGACCATGGATCTGCTTCAATTACTGAGGAGTTGGAAGAGCGCGGAGTTCGTGTCGACTTGTTATACACTACATACTCTGTCCACGGACTACATGCTGGACCGATCGACACACGGTTGACCTCAGGCCAACAGACGCCCAGTCATTCAGCACCTCAAGATCACATCACATGTATCTTCTCAAGCAACTCTGCCCTTCGGAGCCCTTCGATCTGGACATTATTGGCTATAAGTACGGCATCACGCACCTCCCGCAGGGCCGTTGGACCTTTGGTGTAGTACGAAAATCTGTTCCCGGGTAGTCTCGGCAGGCCGAGCCCGTTCAAACCCAGATCTTGGTTGCCGGGAAATATCTTAGGCTCAAATAACCTAACGCTAGGTAGATTGAGCTCTGTGAGACGATAACTGTCAGAGGGGGGTTGACAGTTGCAGCCAGCTCGCCCAAGGTCCCGGAGTATGCAACAATCTTGCTGCAGTAGAGCTGAAGATCCTCAACGCGTGCATACGGTGGGAACGACCTCAGCTTCAGAATGACACTGCACAACCTCATGTCCTCGTCAGTGTTCCCTAATCCGAACTCGAGTGGTCTGTCTGCTTCCGCTGGAGTCCATTTCTGAAGGTTGAGAGCAGCGAGATGCTGTGCTAGTTTTAATAGGTCGTGGTTCTTTAAAACATGTTCTTCACCATTGCAGCGGCAGTACTCCTGGACAAACAGACGCACGGAACCCTGCTAAGCGTCGTGATCGAGAAAGAATCCCTTCCAACGCATCCATTTGCAAAAGCAATGGAAGAAGCTGCGGCCCCGGTAGTCGTAGGTGTCGCGGAGCCCATCGAGTTCTCTGTTCACTATTGTGTCGACAATCGTGGCCATGTTGGCAGTGGCAAACCCCTGGAATTGTTCGTCCTTGCTGATTAGCGAGCGAAGTGTCCCGGCAGGCAAGTTGGTCATGAGCATGACTTGCAGTGTTGGTGAAAGACTGATCACTTCTGGTTCCGGGTCGGTTGGGTCGTGCTGGTGCGTTGGGGGTTGACTGGCTACTTCAGCATGAGGGCTGCTTGGCCGCGATTCTGGCTCCTGACTGTGACTGCCGCCGCAATCGTCACCCAAGTCTGCAGAAACGCCGGAGTGATGGGAGTCTCGGCTTGACCCTCCAGCGGAGGCATGGTCCGATGCGGGCGGCGAGTGGCTGGAGCTGAGTGAGCTTTTATTCTGTGTTCTAGACATGGTTGCGTTTTGTACGTCAGCCTCAAGGGGGAGAGTAAGATGATGTCGAAACAGAAATGCTGGACGTGGAGTTGAGGCATGCTTGACATATCAATTAATGAGACTCGAACCTGACCGAGGAGCAAACGGATTTGGCAGGAGAGGTTTGATACAGACCTATGACTAGAACATCGCAAGTACTTACGCCCGAGCAAACAATGACCACCACCTCATATCGCACTCACATTTGACATATCATACTCACACGACGTAGATCATCTTGAGAAGCTCCACCCTTCGAAGGCCAGTCATCGGAACGCCAGTTGCAGCCAGAACCTCATTGCGCACCAGAATATAATCCCTTTCGTTTTTGGTGTAATAGGCAAACTTCTCGAACAGCGTTTGGCCGAGAACCGGAAGACCCAGGAAACTGAACATGTCGGAGGCCTTCAATATATTGTGCCAGACCATGTCGCTTGGAACAAACTGACGCAAGGCGTCGAGATTAAAACCTATCATCAATGCCGTGAGGAAACATTGGCCTCGTCTTTTGTTTCTGCGCCTGTCGTCGGCGACATGCTCAGCGGTGATGTCGCCGAGAATATCAGGGTCGCTCAGAACGGTATCGAAAACCTCCTCGGCAGAGACAATGTTCGTACCATCCGGGAAGTCCTGCAGTCCTGCAATGTCACTACGCAGTCGGGCCTCCTCTTCAGCTCGTGCTCCCTCAGAGAGGTTCCCTCGCAACTCCGGCGGAGCGTGCGTTGTGATATGCAGGGTAGCAAGCGTTGAAGCCAGCTTTCGAAGGGAAAGCTCACGCTCATCACGCAGTAGCCCAATGCATTGGCAGTAATGATCGACAAAGGACATGGCAGAGCGCCACGTGTGGAGACTGTCCGCATATAGCCCTTTCTCCCGACACCACATACGAAAGCACTCCATGAAGCCTTGTCCGCCATACTCGAACCGGTAATTGAGTCGAGTGAGTTCTCGCTTGGTCATCTCTTCGACGATTCTGTGCTTCAGGATGAAGTCGCGGTAACGGCGGTCTTGGCTCATGAGCTGGCGGATCTCCTTCGAAGACAAACGCTTGAAGACATCAATCATAAGCTCCGGTGGCAGTGTGTTGATGTTGCTGTTCAACACCGGCTGGATGGGATCGTACGGCGGCTGACTAGACTGAAGTGACTGGGCATCCTCTCGCTCTGCGGAGTTAGTCCTTGAAGGAGACCCAGACCTCGAGGCTGATCTGCCAGGAGGCTCGACATCGTTTCGCTCAGCAGAAGCGGTCCTGGAAGAACGTGCGGGCCTTGGAGCAGACCTGATAGGAAGCTGGAAGCTGTGGTTGGCGGACCAAGAAGGTCCTGAGTAAGGCATGGTATGAGCTCAGTTTGCTTGGTTCTGAAATTGTACAGTAGTAACGTGTTATGAAAGACTTAGCTTCTGTAGCGGGAATGGGCGTGCTATATAGCAGTTGGCAACCAATGCTTCATTGCCTGCGTCGAGCATACCCATTCAACGAATGCCGGTCTACGGTGAATATCGAGCACCAACAGCCCGAACTTGTACAGTCACTGAGCTTTACCCAGCTCTGCGCGGGACGTATTTCTTGTTGTTGAGGTCTTCATTGTGGCGCAGATCGAACGACAAGGAACGGAAACATGCAACAGTGGCTACACAGCTATAAGTACTCTTTCTTAGGGAACACTGACCTCACAAATCCAATGCAGCAACGGCAACATGCCGCTCCAAACCCCCCCCAAACGCCATGCAAACACATACCCGCTAAACCCGCTTGAACGACGCCAACAGCACCCAGACATCCCCGTCTACCCACACTTTCTCTTCCTACCGCCCTCTCACACTTCTTGACCGCTTCCCAGCACTCACGACCACAGGCGCTGCTTGACCCAAAGCCGGCGCCGAAATATCCCTCCTCTCCTTCACACCCTCCATCATCTGCTTCCTCGGCGTCGCATGACCCTCCGCAATACTCTTCGCACGACCACGACGGTACTGGATTGCAGCCAAAGCAGCCGCTCTGTCGAAGACCGGGACCTCGGAGCCATCCGGTAGGACCGCAGACTTTGGCGTGGGCGGGACGTTTTCGGTATCTTCAGGGTCGAAGACTGGCGGGAGATGCTTGGTGGCGACAGGCGTGAAGTGCATAGGAACGGTTGTGGTGGTTGTTACGGTGCGGATTGATGGTTGGTGGCGGGCAGGCGTGAGTTGGAGCCGCTCGTTGCGAGGTGGTGTTTGCGGCTCGGAAGGCTCTGGGTCCTCGAACGCGAAGTCGATGCATTCCGGGCGTGATTCGTAGTCAGCTATTTCGACGGATGACTTGAAAGCATCCACGTCTTCTGCCAGAAGCTGATCGTTCGGCGCCTGAGTCTGTCTGGGAGATTCGGCGGTCATCGTCATGCTGCGGTCGTCGCTCTCTTCTCTAGCTTCAGCGTCGACCGCAGCTGGGACGTTCTCGCGACGAAGCTCAGCGCTCTCCTCGGCACCATCAGGTGTCATCTCCAGCTCTATCTCCATGTCCTCTGAACCGAACTCAGGACTCTCCTGCGCCATTGTCTTGGTGGCTGGCTCCAGCGACATCTCCGCATCCGCTCCGTCTTCAACACAAGGTTCTTCTTGAATATTCAGAATGCCTTCCATACCAGCCCTGATCCTCTCAACACCAGCTGCCAGCTCCGCATCGAGCTCAAGCGTAAACTGATGGCCAAGTCGCGCAGCAGTCTTACAACCGCAACACTGGAACATGCACTCGGCGCGCATAAAGTCGATCAAGTCTTCTGCATGTGCTCTTCGCTTCCTTTCCATCAGAAGCTCCTCGCCCAAGCGCTTGCTCTCCACTGCCTTTTTGGACGGCGAATGCATGTTCTCCTTGTCCTCGTCTGCATCGTTGAGCACAATGTTCTTGAGTGGCGACAGTGGCTTGCGGGGCGAGCTGGCAAGGTCCAGGTCGATGTCCTGTGAGGCCGGCAGTGCGATCATGCCCTCTGCGGCGACCCTCGCGACCTCTTCCTCCTTCAAGCTTGTCTTGAGAGCTTCTCGTTCTTCCTCCACGACTCGTAGCTTCTGCTTCAGCTTCTCAACTTCCTCTTGCATCGGAATAAGCCTGTACTCCATCTCGAAGCGTGCTTGCTCCTTCTGCTGCAACTTCTGCTTTTCGAGATCTAGACCAGACTGTGCAACACGCAAAGTATTGCGTGTGGACTTCAGCTCTTCCTGAAGCTTGAGCACCGCCGACGAAGACTTAAAAGCTTCTTTGCGTGCTTTGCGCAGCTCTTTCTCGTAGATGCCGTGCTGTGAATCGTGGGCTTCCCTAGAGGCTCCAAACTCTTCCTACACTCTTGTTAGCACGCTACTCTACTCTGCCATTACTCATAGAAATCCTACCATCACGACTTCCAGTCTCTTAGCCACTTTCCGCTCCCGCTCCCTGCTCTCTTCACCCTCTTTCTTTATCCGCCTCACCTCCTCGCGCAGCCTCTTGACATCGCTCTCAGCTTCTTCCCGCGCAATCTGCGCTCGTCTCAACTCTGCCTCATGCCGATGTCTTCGCTCCACGTTCTCGGCGTCCTTATCGCGTACGTCCAGGTGCTCGAAGCGCTTAACAAGGCCCTGCACGTCGCTGTTGGTCCTAACATGCGACTTCAAGCCATGCATCTCGGGAAGGGAAGGTGACTGCGGGAGCGCGAAGCCCGCATTCTTGCCGGTGGGGGTTGAGGCCTCGACGACTTTGGCTCTTCGGACGGGAGATCCATTCGGCGTCGCGAAGTATTCTCGAGGCTCCATATCTGAGTACGCAGACTTGTGCGAGGTGCTTGTCGTGGAGGTAGAAATGGTAGGTGCTCTCGTGCCGTTGACGCGTTCTGCTGGCAATGTTTGTAGTGGTTGACCCTCCCTCGGCGGGAACTTATACGGGCTCGGCGGCGGATCCATCGTTAGGTTTCTGAACGTATAGCGCCTTTGTTATTGTGTCTGAGACATGTTTGGTTGTGCTGTTGTAGCAAGACTCGATCGAGATGAGGTTGAAAGATTGGTCGGTCTGTTTACCATAACGACGCCGCTAGACGCACGGGCCATCTACGCCTTCGCCCTCCAATCGACGGGACGCTCCATCTCCATATTCTCGGTGGGCATCGTCCACCACACTCTACGGAAACCACAAGTCTCATACCGATAAGCACGGCGTCCATGATGTCTTGAGATAAGTATCGTCGTTTCCACAATTCTAGACTCGTTCCAAAGCGTCTTGTGGTCCGCAGAAAGACATGTCCTACCTTCTCCAAACACCAACCCTTCATCTTGTACTTCGCAGAAACAAGGTTGTTTCTCATTCTCGTGAGCTGACGTAGGGCACTGCTATACCATACCGGTCACGCGAAGCCCTATACTCACTTTTAGATGGCTGCGCCTGTGGTCGTAAAAATGGCTTGGCTAGCACAGCATGGCGAATGCGAGCAGGGCTGAGCCAACAAAAGTTCTCGCTATTGGTGCACCCCTTTGACTGCAGTGCTGCGAGACCGAGAGGACTGACAATATCGACATCCACGGAGATTGAGAACATGTTTTGGGGCGGTATTACCAACGACCCCAAACTTAGCACTGTACGACGACGGTAGCGACGGTCGAGGCTCGTGTGTGCCACGCCAAATGCCTATAAGATGGAAGCCTACGACCGCCAGAGTGTGCCTCTCATCCAGCAACAACATTCAGCACTACATCCCATCCCCATCTCCACCAGTTTGACCTAGACCTCCAACAAAAACCGACTTTACGACAACAGCACCAACCATCAGTCTTCACGAACCTCCAACCTCAATCAGCAGCCATGGTCAACTTCCTCGCAGCCACCGCCTCCCTCCTCGCCTTCACGGCCACCACCACCGCGCTCACCAACTCTCGCCTCTTCGCACGTCAAAGCGATGTAAGCTGCCGCGACTCAGAAACAGACCCATTCATCGCCAACGGCTTCGTCCCGGACGCCGTGGATTGCATCAACGAGCTCGCGGCGAAGGGCGGCGACGACTGTACAGCCGGCCTTGCCACCTCATTCTGTCTTCGCGGCAACACACAGATTACGGGTATCTATACTGCGGCGGCGTCTGGTGAGGACTCTGCTGGTACGACAACGACGACTTGCCAAGATGTAGCACAAGCAGCTGGCCGTATTATGGACTTCTGCTCCCGCGGTGACGGAGCGGTCAAGGGTCAGACGCTCGCGTTTGCGAACACCCAGATGCTCGTGGACATCCGCTCGATTGAGTAGGCGCGAATTCGGTATGGGTGGGAAGCAGCTTGAGGGCACGGCGCTTACGGGCGTGGATGGTGGATACGGATGGGATGCATGGCACGTCGTGGGTCGCTTTGTACTGTTGAGAGGGTTAAGTAGAATATATTGTATACTAAAAGATCAATCCAAGCCAACGGGTTTCCTGTCATCACCGACCTCACGTAATAAAATGGGATTGACGGACATGAAGGCATGAACTTGGTTACTCCAAACGGCCTCCAGCAGCCTGTTAATGTCTTTTTCGTCGGGCCCAATATGGAAGGAGCGATCCAGGAGGACAAACACTAGCGCCTGTATCCATCCAGCCAATGAGAGCGCATATATATCTGCTGACTCGTTTCAGCGTCCTTCCACCATCTTCGGCAAGCCTCGGTCCTTCCAACAACTGCACTCCTTCTCTGCCGCTGCCTGCGATACTATCGTGCCGCGTGAGCCGCACAGCACCACCTCACATCCATCTCCACCTGATGGAAGCAAAGCGGAACAGAACTACCGCTACTCTCACCCCACGACCAAGACAACGGCCGAGCGGCGACGAGCCGGCGTCGCGTGCGATCACGCGATTCTCGGAAAGAAAGCCGCACATCGGTTTGACAGGCCGAGTGGTATGGTACTTGAAGTGAACGACGGCACGGCATACATTCACTGCAGTTTGCTATTACACCTTCGATACATTCTTTTCACCCATTAACGCTACCTACGACAAGAAACCACGAGAAGGCCTTGGACAGGACGATCTCGAAATACCTTTAAGCTTCTGTCAGACCCTAGTCAAAAGCCTCGTGGCAGACTTGACGATCGGTCTTCTCGGATTGGCAACGCTCAGGTAAGCGTGTTGTGGTTGGAAAGCAGTGTTTGTGTATTACCAACGTGAGAACATAGAATATATTGAACGCATGTGGGCTGACATAAATGTACAACAGCTATACAAGTATCAGATCTTAGATTCCCACGAGCCCCAGGACATTCGAACAATCCCCAGCACTCCACCACACTCCACAATGGCCTTCCCAACCGCCCCCATCGTCGCTCAGACCTCACGGCTCTACTCCCAACGCGCTGGTCCCTCGAAAGGCTCGGCTCTCGGCGTCGCATTCATCATGGGCTACTGCTGCGTGGCATTCAGTGCGCCGTTTGCTGGTGCGGCGGTGGTGAGTCAGAGGATCGTCGAGGACAAGCGGTATGCCAAACTGTGAGTTGTCCTCCACACTCGTGCGCAAAGATCCGTTTGCTAACAAGTTGATGTCCAGACGGCCACTCAGCTTCCGTGATTGTCTTCCTGGCTCGAACCTCGACGACTATGCTGGCGTGATCCGGAGATGAGGTCGCCTTACGACGCGGTGAGATGATTAGTACGATTGGCATGATACCCGGTTGGCGATGAGCATATCCTGCAGGTGGTGTAGATCTTGGAGTTGGGGTCGACCGGTGACTGGGAGCGGGCAAGGCGTTCCGTTGGCGTCAAATCCATAGATACAGGTCCTAGATTCTGTAGTCTCCAGGCAAGAAGTCATTCCCAATGTGCCATTACTCGAAGTTCGAGCGCCCGTACACTATTTCGTTGGTAGAGTGGAGTATTCCTTCAACTTTTATCTTCATCTTTCTTCCTTTCCCTAACTGAACCTATCCCCCTTCCGACTCCGATACGGCGCCTTGCTCTCAAACTTCCCTTCATCATGCTCCACCGCTGCCGGATCCCCCGCCTCTTTCCCACCCGCATGCTCTACCGGCGCCGGATCGCTCGTCTGCACCTTCTCCGCATTGGGTGCTGGAGCCTTCTTCTTCCCCGAAGTGGTGGCAGAACTCGCCCCAGAACCTAAGCGTGCATCTCTCGAAGCAGTCTCGGTAACTCGCATCCGTTCGCGTTGTTGGCGGCGTTTCTCCTCGGCCATGGCCCGCTCGGCGCGGTCGGAGTTGATGCTGCGTTTGGCGAAATAGTAGGCGCCGCCGCCGGCTAGGCAGAGGATGCCCCAGCCGTAGGCTACAGAGGCTCGCTATTGGATTGTTAGAAAGAAGTAGTAGTGTGTGAGGGGATATACTTACAGTGTTCATGGCTGCTATGGACTAATCAATGGTTTAGGGGGATTGAGGCTCGGAAGTCGTGCAATCGTCGCAAAGTTGAATCGTTGATCGACCTATTGAGGAATTGATGATCGCTTGGAACGCTTCAGAAGAAGTGATGTGATTGATGTTGAGTGTCTGTCGACAATTAGTTGGAAAGCATTGGAAGGGTTCGGGACGCTCGGCTTCGGAAGTGAGCTCGGGCCCTCAGCGTTAGCGGCCTGTCCCGCAGGGTGTGGACTTCACCTTGCGACTCATCGACTGCTTTGACCATCTCCTACTACCACACGACCAATTCCAAGAAGGCCGACGTACAAGCAGCGTCCGAGAGGCGGCAGTGGTCGGCGGTGCGCGCAGACGAACGGTAGTAATGGCACCCAAGCGCAAAGCACCGGCGGCCAACGGTCGGCCTTCGAAGCGGGTGGCCTCTGGTGTGAGCACACCAGTAAGCACGAGAACCACGAGCGACGATGACTACGACGAGGACGATGAAATGCCCGAAGACGATGACCTCCAGACACCGGCCAAGTATGACAATACGGTCAAGAAGTTCCAGCCTTCGACATACGCGCGGACGAAGGACTACCCGTCCGGCGACCCTGCCAGTCATCTCTTCAAAGCAAAGCATGACTTCTTCGACGAGCCCCTAAAGGCGGATCATCGTCTGAGACCTTTATGGATCGATCCAGAGAACGGCAGAGTAGTGCTCGAGACGTTTTCACCCAGCTTCAAGAGGGCACAGAATTTCTTGATCAATATTGCAGAGCCTGTGAGCAGGACTACAAACATGCATGAATACACCATAAGTCCACACAGTCTCTTTGCTGCAGTCTCCGTTGGTCTCACAAAGGAGGATATCATTAAAGATCTGGAACTCTTCTCGAAGACGAAGGTGCCGGAGAACATCAAGCAGTTCGTTCATCAGGTCACGGAGTCGTTTGGAAAGGTGCGGTTGGTTTTGAAACACAACAAGTACTTTGTCGAAAGTAACGATGCGAAAGTCCTACAAATGCTACTGCGAGACGAGGTTATCAGCCAGTGCCGAGTCCAAGATACGGACGAGCTGATGACGGAAAAGGCGGCAAAGAAGGGGGCGTTGGTTATCCCTGGTACAAGGGAAGCTGTCGGCGTTCCCAACCAGGCACAGGCAGAACGGCAACAGCCGCAGAAGCGTGACGAGGCAGACGAGGAGGACTCAGATGATGAATTCGGCGGGCGGGAGGCAGAGAAGGACATGGCAGAGTTCTTGCGGGAAGAAGACGACGAAGACGATGAGATCGACCAAGTACACTCTTTCGAGATCGACGGCGAGAAGATCCAGCAGGTACAGGAGCACTGCAACGTCAAGCTCAACTTGCCGCTCACCGAAGAGTATGACTTTCGCGCGGACGAAGTCAATGCGAATCTGGATATCGACCTACGGCCGAGCGTGCAGATCCGATACTACCAAGAGCATGCATTGAGTAAGATGTTCGGCAACGGACGAGCCAGAAGTGGAATCATTGTGCTACCTTGCGGCGCCGGCAAGACTCTCGTCGGTATCACAGCAGCTTGCACTGTGAGAAAGAGTGCGATCATCCTCTGCACGAGCGCCATGAGCGTGATGCAGTGGAAGGAGGAGTTCAAAAAATGGTCCAACATCAACCCGGAAGACATTGCTATCTTCACTAGCGGCGAGAAGCAGAAGCTGAACCACAAGGCTGGTGTTGTTATCTGTACTTACAGCATGGTGACGCAGAACACTCGCCGCGCACACGACAGCAAGCAAGTCATGGATTTTATCATGGGTCGTGAATGGGGGCTCATGGTTTTGGACGAAGTGCACGTTGTGCCGGCAGAGATGTTCCGACGAGTGACAGAACGAATTAAGACTCATTCGAAGCTCGGCTTGACGGCCACCCTGTTGCGAGAAGACGACAAGATCAAAGATCTGAACTTCTTGATCGGCCCCAAGCTTTACGAAGCCAACTGGCTGCAGCTCAGCGAAGAAGGCCACATCGCCCGCGTGCAATGCGCAGAAGTCTGGTGTCCCATGACCACCGAGTTCTACTCCGAATACCTCCAAGCCAAAACCACGAACAAGCGAAGTCTCCTCTCCACCATGAACCCCCGCAAATTCCAAGCCTGCCAATTCCTCATCGACTTCCACGAGCGCCGTGGCGACAAAGTAATAGTATTCTCCGACAATGTCTACGCTCTCAAACAGTACGCCACCGGCCTCAAGAAACCCTACATCTACGGCGACACGGGCCAACGCGAACGCGAGCTCGTCCTCCAAAACTTCCAGCAAAACGACGCCGTCTCCACCATCATGCTCTCCAAAATCGGCGACACCTCCCTCGACCTCCCCGAAGCCACCTGCCTCATCCAAATCTCCTCCCACTACGGCTCTCGGCGTCAAGAAGCTCAACGCCTCGGCCGCATCCTCCGCGCCAAGCGCCGCAACGACGAAGGGTTTAACGCATTCTTCTACTCCCTCGTCAGCAAGGACACAAACGAGATGTACTACTCCTCGAAACGCCAGGCCTTCCTTGTGGACCAAGGGTACGCGTTCAAAGTCATCACTCACTTGAACGGCATCGACCGCATGCCGAATCTCGCGTACGCCAACCAACAAGAGCGCATGACGCTGTTGACGGACGTGTTGTTGCAAAGCGAGACTGCAGGTGGGGTAGAGGACATTAAGGACGACTTGTTCAGCGATCGGAACGTAAGGCGGGTGGACCATAAGGGCAAGAAGAGCGGGGTGAAGCGGCAGGCGGGCACCTTGAGTTCTTTGGCGGGCGGGGAGAATATGGCGTATATGGAATATGCGAAAGGACGGAATAAGGCTTTGGCTCAGCCGCGGAATGCATTTTTCAGAAAGGAGGAAAGGCAGAAGGAGAGGAGGAGTAAGGCGGCGAGGGAGATGCTTGAGTGAGTGGGTTGAAGGTGGGGTCGGGATTTGTTTTGTGCTGCTGGAGCGAAGCTATGCAATTGCCCAGGGATGGAATCTCCATCACATCTCGATCGGTACGGGTGCCCTCATCCTCTCCACTCATATGTTCGGCCCGCCACGCAAGGCTCGCGGTCCTAGACTGCACCATCAGGATAGTCTCCGAAACGATCTTCAGCGTCGCCTTTCTCCTTGGGCCAGTTTTGCTCTATCACCCCCTCGTAGCAAATAGGGTCACCGGAAGAAGAGCCGCACTGACACGGAAGACTACCGCAAGGCGCAACATTCATGGCCCCGAAGCAATCCACCATGAAGGACGGCAATGCGCCCAGTCGATCCGTCACCCCTTGTTTGTAGTGCTTGCGGTACGTTGGGTTGTCGTAATCGCTGCACCCGAAGTAGAATGCCATGAACGAATATAAGGCTAGCCGTCGCAGGGCAGATCCTTCTTTCGTATTGTTGTAGATCAGCTCGATGGACTCCGCGCGGATCCAGGGCGACAGTCCGACGAGTGCTTGCACGACATGATCCTGCAGCTTCGGCATGTTCATAGCGTCCACGAAGATCCAGAGTCGAATCAGCCTTTGCTGGTGCTCGGTAACGAATTCATACTTTTCGTCTGAGGCGTGCGGCAAGCGACAGCTTGTAGGATGTCCGCTGGGGACTCTGTGCGTGATGAGGTAGTGAAGAATAATCTAATGGTGTCGACATCGTAGCCTAGCAGGGTCAAAGTCCAGGTTGAGGCTTCGGCGAAGGTGCCCTGCAACGCACTCTTGAAGTACTGCGAAGCATGGCAGAGCAGCGCTCGCGGGACCTGGAACTTTGTGTTGCTGTTCTCAGGGGCGATGGTGATGAGCACATCGCTCTCGAACAGCCTGGAACGTCTTTCGTCAGCTTGGGAAAGCAGCCTCAGCATATTCTTCTTACCCAGAGATTTTGTTGACCTCGTCCATGGTGTCTTGCGGTAGCTGGAAGGAACAGATTAGAGGCCGCAAGTGTGCGAAAGAGGTGTGAGCACGGGCATGGAGCGGCTCCGATCCCTCGCGACTTTGCACGGTGCGTCAAATTGGGAAGGAGCAAGCCGCACGATGCATGTGACACTGCACGTGACACTGCATGTGAAAACAAGACGAGAAGCAAAGCCAGTGGGCAACGCAGGAAATACTCTTATGTTTGTGTTGACGCTGAAGCGCGTGCTCTATGTACTGCGATCACGAACATGCGGCAAAGAAAAGATTTGTCGTTCAATTGCAACTGAAGCCCTATAGGTTAACATGCGTCTTCAATACTGGACTGAGCTTGTTGACCAGCATATCGATGTAAATGAAGACGCCGATGTTATGGAGAACTCTGCACTTTCCGAACGACTTTCGTCAGGTTTGTCCAGATCCGCTTTGATTCTGCAAGGAAGGGCAGGCTCCTGGCGAAGATGACGTGCTGTGGTATCGCATGCTGGGCCAGGGACGGCAAGGGCCGGCGCGGCATCTAATCTACCTCCACCAGATAGAGCTTCAGATCCTTCAGTGGAGGCGCATATTTTTGCTGTCCTGGAACCATCAGATTTGCGCAACAAGGCACTCAACGCCGCAGCCAGCACCCTCATCACGCCTGGAATTTGCTCGAGGTAGTCGATCTCGTGCTGCTTGTACTCGTTGTCATTCACCTCCTGGTAGCTGCCAACCATTGAGTCTACAATGACCTCGCGAAGCTTAGAGGTCTCTGTGGTGTTCTCCCAAGCCAATTGGACTGCGTCGACGGCGGCCGCACGATATTGGAAAGTCATTATAAGAGACTCCATAGCCTGGTTCTGGAGATGCGGGATGAGATACTTGTCTCCGAAGCACCAAAGATTGATAAGACGTCGTTGGCTTGCAGACTCCGTCCACTGGCGTTCCTGTCCGTCGGGTAGGGTCTCGACGGTATAGTGCTCGTCCTCAACATCCATGTCCAGCGGAAGACCCTTGTGGCACACCCAGTACAAGAACAGCGCAAAGGTATCCTTGTCGCAGTCCAGCAGATGCAGGGTCTTGGTGTGGCCTTCCGCGAAGTTCCCAGTCAATGCCTTTACGAACCATTCAGAGACGCGACAGAGGACCGCCTTTTGGACGTACAAGATGGTCTCAGTGTCACTTAAGTGGACGGCGATGTTGGGGCTCTCTTCGAACAGCCTATGCGCATGTTTAGTTCTGCGGCGGCACCAGGATGGCCAGCAATGAAAGCGCCTCTATCACTCACGTTGCAAGCTTGGTAGCGTCTTCCATTTTGTCGAAGATCGGGCATTCTTCATGGGCAGTGTCCCACGGCTTCCATCGCACTGACGCTGTTCCTTGAGTTCCGCTCATGGTCGCTGTCGGGTGTATTGATTACCATTCCGAGGTACTGGAGAAGTGATGGATGGTGAATGAGTCTTCGTCATTAAAGAGACCAAATGCATGTGTAATCAAGGAGGAAATATCGTAGCTCGTAGCGTCGGAGTGGCGAGTCCTCGGATGTGGTATTGGCGAATATTAGCTAGAGAGATTCTACGCTCAGCTCATGCTTATAGAGATTCAGGAAAGCGATCATGGCTGCATCTTGTCATTCCGGGACGCAAATACTGTCCGCGAAGATCCACAATCGAACGTAACGCAACTCCTGGCTTGGAACAAGGGCAGCGAAGTCTGGCGACCCGTCAATCATGGAGTCTGCGACCTTCGCTGGATCCGGCAGAGCTCGTAGAGTCAACCAATATAATAGCAGCTCTAGCGTCTCGACATCGCATCTGGGCAGGACTAGAGTGCGAGAATGCCCCTCTTTGAAGTTGCTCAAGGCCTTGGCGAAGTGGTTTGAGGCGCTCATCAGAAGCGCCTTCTGTACTTTGAAGGTCCTAGTGGTGCCTTCTGGGGCGATGGTAATAAGCTCATCTCCTTCATAATGACTGTAGTTCGATATCAGCTCCGCCACGGGTACTCTCGACCATCACACGTACCTTGCAAGCTTCGAAACTTCATCCATCGCCTTCAGAACATCGACCCTCTTGGAGAGAGGGGCGGTCAGCAAACCAGATACCCACTTCTATTGGTGTGAGGTGGCAATCAAGAGCTTGTGATCACCAGCAAATGACTTTTGAAGATTGGAAGGTTGGTGTAGCAACATGAGCCAAGAGCTTCGAGCTTCCAACTTCACTAGCATGTGACATGTGACACGCCAAGCTCACGGTCCAGAAGCTTCTCTGATTGCAATCACATGCCTCTCTTCTCCGCGTTCGCGCAGGGCAGTGTTTCATCCACGTTGAGGCCGTACTACGCCTGCGGAGAACTTTTCTCCGGTGGCTGGGTAAAGTGGGAGACCACTGTCGTGCTGCGTAGTACGCCGTAGCAACATTGGTGTCCTCTGCCTGTACCATGATAGGAAGGTCAGCGGTTTGACGCGAGCCTGTAACCTTTTTGCACATCGAGCGGTCTTTTCTGTTTTTGACACTCAGAGTGGCAGGAGCAGCTTCTCGTAACTGCTCTTTCTCCTGCCATGGGTTTTGGGACGTTAGGATCTCCAGGGGTCTTGCGAAGAGGTACGGTGCCAGCATGGACAATGTGCCGTTGCAATCAGATGGATAGTAAAGGGAGAAGGACAGCCCGAACCTTTTTCCGCAGTAGTCATTAACTCAGGATCCAATCCATACATACATACACACCCCGCCCTCCCCTCACCCCCTCTTCCTCTCCCCACTCACAGCCGACGCCGCCGCCTCCGCCCCCAAACCCAAGTAATGGCCCCCTCCACTCCCCTCCTTACCCGGACTAGGCGTCAAACTCCTCTCCCACTCCGACATCAAATGACTAGCCGTCCTCCTCAAGGCCTTTGGTCCCAGATTCGACAGCGCCGGCCACGGGATTGGATCTTTCTTGCTCACGCTGTCGACCGAGAAGCGGTTGCTGCGCGGCTTGATGGTGTCGTTCGGTCCTATACCGTTATCGAAAGAGTCGGCGCTGGCGCGCGGGCTGTTGGTGTCCGAGACGGTGGTGGGATCGGAGCCAGCGCTCGATGCGCGGGAGAATTGTGGACTGGCTTCGTCCCAGTTGGACCAGGATTCGTTGTCGGTAGAGTCGACGGAGATGGCTTTGGAGGGTGATTTGGCGTGCTTGGAGGTCGTCGGAGCTTTCTTGGCTGGTGTTTGGGCGTGACTGGGCGGTAGGATACCGTGTTCGGTCCAGAATGAGGGATCCGCCAGGGCAGGCGCTGAGCCTAAGGACATGTTCGTCGACTTTGACTTCCTCCGCGCAGGTGAAGGCCTTCTGGTATCCGTCGAAGTCTTGCTCGCAGTCGATCCTCTCGAAGAAGGCCGCAATGACGCCTTACTAGCCTGCTTCTTCGCCGTCCGAAGTGTTTGCGTCGAACTCTGCCTTCGTGGCGGATGAATGGGAGTGGACTCGTCACCCACTGTAGCCTGCCTAAGATCTTCCCAGAAGGTCCAGAGCCCGTCCCGTAAACCAGTCGCGACCTTCTTGCTGGCTTCGATCAAGACCAGGTCCCTATCGTCGCCATGTTCAGCAAGCTCCTCAATCTTGTCGATGGGCGTGGACCCATCTACTGTTAGATCTGGCGTTGTGGCTGCTCTAGCCAGAGACTTTGGTCGGGTGCGAGGCTCAACTTCCACACTACGCCTCGCGGAAGCAGGCAAGCTGTCCTTTCGAGACGGCAGTTCTGGCCGCTGCGGCTGCTGCTGCTGCTGTGAAGGTGGAGGCGGTGGCGGCATCCTTCCCGTAGGCGACAGCAGAGACAGCGTCCTTGTATGCTTCGACCCCGAAAACACCGTCCTATTGCTCGACTTATTCCCACTCAACAAAGCCTTCCTCCTCTCCATCTCCTGCTGCATCCAAGCGCCCGACCCATCCGCATCCTCCTCGCCTTCCGTCGGAGGCAGAGAGGTCTGCAAAGGTTGAAGCTTAGTCACGCTCCTTGCATCGTTCCTCTTCTTCTGTGCTTCGTGTTGCGCCCATTGTACTTTGAGCTTCCTCAGATCTCCCTCTGCCCGGACCAACTCTTCCTTCAGCTCGAGGACTCGGCGCTCTTGGGCCGCGATTGCGGTGAGGAAGTTGGTGTCTACATGCCCGCTGGGATCCTCAGGTAATGTAGGGAACGACTCTCGTACAGGTGACTGTGACATTCGCACTGGACTCATCGCTCCAGACGGTTGGACGGGGAAGGACATCGAGAAGCGGTTGGATCGTGTAGCTCCATTCGCCGTTGAGTCGCCGGCGAGCGAGATTCCTCGAGCATGATTCTGGAAGCTGGCTCTACCAGACGATGTTCTCGACAACGCCGGACTCGCTGGTGTAGTGACATGTTCGGTAGGAGAGGGTTTGGCTGCTGGCGGTCCGTTGCTCTGTAGAACGGCCTCCACTTGCTTTGGTTCGATCTTAAGGCTGTTTCGTGAAGACATTTACGCATTAAGAATACAAGAGAAAAGCGCGACCGCTGAATTAATCAACACAGAATCGTAAACATATCGCAGGTGAAAGTGTTGTTGTTGTGAGCCAAGCGTAAGGGGAGATGTGAGGTCTGGGATCTTTATTGAGCGGCTCGCGCCGGCCTGTATCTGAAACTCTATCTATTCTGGCAATGAGGCTCTGAAGATCCGTCCTGAGAACAAATGCTCTGCGACGGTTCTGAGTTAGTTCCTGGCTTAGTAGTAGGATGGCATAGTTTGGATGCGCTCATGCATCCAGGTACTGATGAACCGCAAGCAAGCCAGACCTTCGCCTTCTTTTCTCCCTCCATCATACGTGCGATATCTACACACAGGCTCCAGGTAGGTGGACTCAGTCCCAGAGGCAAGAACATCGCTGTCCGAATGCTCGGTGTCTGCGCTGGTCTGCAGCGGCGTGGCTTGAGCGGTGGGAGAGCAGGTGATGCTTTCCCAGCTCCAGTCTGCTATTCCCGAACATACCGTCGTTTCTGCTCCGTGCAGCTTGAGGGCGATTCGCATATTGAGCCAATCTTCAGGGTCATGGTTCTGATGCACTGATGCAGGCGCGCTGCGTTCAGCTCTTTGTCGAGGCTGTTGCCTGGTGTCGCAAGAAGGTCCAATTCCGGTGGTAGTCAAGATTACCACCTCATCAATCGCTCAGCTCCGCTTCAAGAGATCGATAATCCACTTCTTCGCCGCTATGCTCTCCGGCAGCAGATAAGGCCATGCCAGCGGGAAGACATGCATCTGCTTCTCCCAGATCAACCACTCGCCCGTGACCCCAGCTTGCTCCAACTTCTCCTGGAACAAAGTGACGTCCGGCGACAGTATATCGTACCGCCCAAACACGCCATGAACATGCACTCCCTTCCGCGCAAGAAGTGACACGTCCGCGTGAAGTGGCGTGACCCTAGGATCTGCTGCATCCCACTCCCCTCTCCACTTCGCGGCGGAGTCCTTTACGAACCACACGCGAAGGATCGGATCGTACTGTTCCAGCTCCTCTATTGCGGGGTTGTCGCGGCTGAGATCGCAGGATGGTGATAGAACAAGGATCGCTTTCGGCGCCGGCAGGCTTTCGTCCTCTTTAAGCGCTGCGAGTGTGAGACACAGCACAATGTTGCCACCAGCCGAGTCGCCTGCCAGAAGAAACTCCTCTCCGGCTTCCGTTGCGTCTTGAAGTAGCTTCCGATACAGCTTCGTAAGCGCGCCGAAGCAGACCGGCGCAGGGCTGTTCGGTGCAAGCGGGTAGCTGACCACTGTCACAGTGGTGTTCGGCACCTCGTTCGCGATAGCTGCGCAGAACACCCAGTGGTCAGACGAAGCAGGCATCTGCCATCCTCCGCCTGCGAAGTAATATATGCGCTTCTTCCTCTTCTCGTTTCGCCCTCTATCGCTGTTGGCGCTTTTCTTGGGTCTTAGGTCGTACAGGTACATGCCCTCGACTACGCGCTCTTGTATGTGACATCTTCGCTTTGCAGTGTTATGCGCAGTCAACCTTGGTGAGCCTGCCGGGAACGTCTTGCCGGGCGAGATGAGTTTTGCGCCAAAGGGCCGTATTAGATGGTGAAGCAGGAAGGTGGGTATCGAGCGGTTTGTTCGGTGATCAACCAGCATTGTGCTCGTGGGCGTGCTTTGCTGACTGGAGCTCGCTGGGGAGTCCATGATCGCTGCCTCTTTGTCGTCCAGGGAGGTCATTTTGCCGATGGTGCTGAGGACAGGAAGTTGAGGAAGGAGGAAACCACCTACCTGGCGAGAAGGCTAAAGGTAAGACATTGTTGCAAGCGTTCACATGAATAGACCACCCAAATTTCGCTGGACGGTGATGGCATCGTTGACGCGTAGCTGTCGATCGTCTTGATGGTCTCGATCCAGCTGCAGGTGGATGCCAGATGCCGGCCCGACATCTGGGTTTGGGAGGCGCAAGAGTCTAGATCACCGAGCCGCCGACGCCACCTCCCCTGGCGATCTGTCTGTGACATTCACCTGGCAGAATTCACATGCAACCAACTTCAAATTTCAATGTCACTTGGTCATCAAAAGAGCTGCTGCGATTACGTGAGTATCTTCTCTGCTGTATCACGAGCGCGGCCGCAGAGGTAACATGGGAACAGTACGGACCAATCCACGGTCAGGTATATGGTAAGGGATCCGAATTCTTTCTGGTGTCGTTTGTATAAAGCACCGTCTCCCCCTTGTGCAACGCATGGCACAATCTGAGCGGCGATGAAAAGCACAAGCACAAGTGCCGAAGTGCTGAGTGCGGTTGAACGAAGTGGTTAAGCAGCTTTGCAGGTTTCTGTAAGAAGCCGCTCAGCTTGCCTCAAACCCTTTTTCATCTCGCAAAGTCACTTGTCCCTTGATGGGGCAACGCTAGATGTGGTCTCGTGTGATGGGCCACACCTGGCGTTGCCATAATTTGGTGCGGTCTGTGTATTGGTGGCCACGGGGGCTGATGGGAATGCAGTACGAGGGAAGAAGTATGTAGCGACCGGGCTCACCACTTTTGTGACATTCAAGACGGGTACAGAAAGCCAGCACGAGCACGTTGCACGGGGAAATGATGCCGAGACACGATGACGGAAGATAATGTATTAACTGTTGGGAGAAGGGCTCTTTTCCCAAATGCTCGATAGCAGTATGATTCAACATCGATCCGAGCAATAAGTGCTCACAACCCTCACGGTCTCTTCAGCCTCCCGAGGCTGTCGATGCGTGTTCGATGGGAGAGAGCTGATGCTGGTGACGTGGTGACTTGGCCGATGCGCCACGGGAGCGCTGTGCGAAGATTGAGCATCGGCGGTGAAGTGTCTTCACGACTCTTCGACTTACCGCCAGACGGTCTGCTCCACGGTCGTCCCAACTCGGTTGTGGCGAGGCCCGAGGACGTTGTTGACGTTACGGTCGGGTGGAACTGATATCCACACGGTTACCCCACAACTTTCACGCGGATATTTTTGCAGTAGCAAGAACGAAAGCTGAGCAGGAGAGCGCCATCAGATGGTTGGCCGTGATGTTTTAAGCCGACACGAGGACCGTGCCGCCTTGCCCAAGAGTGTCATCATCCATAGACTGGAACACCATACGACTCGTATAGTGCAATGCGATTTCACTTGTTTATTTGATCATGCGGGCTTTTGTTCTCCTGGTGTGCTGGCTGGAGGAGGAAGACCTACGTTACCGTGGGACGCGCGGAGGGAGTGATGGAAGGACGATGAGCTGTCAATCTAATTGTCAGCCAGTTGCACGAGAGTGAGGTTCGTTCAGACACGCACCAATGATGAACACACGTACATGCCATCCGTGCTGGCCAGCTCGCAGCAAACAGGACGAAGTAAGCTGAGGTGGTGGGCTGGAGACGGCGAGAGGGGGAGGCAGCGACAGTGCCCCCAATGAGTATTGACTGCTGTCTGCAGAAATGCAACGGAAGAGGGAGAACAGCTCTTTGACAGTCTGCAGGAAGGATGCTGGAGGAGAGACGAAAGTTGAGACGAAGAAGAAAGAAAAGAAGAAGATAGGGGTGGAAGAAGGTAGGAAGCCAGAGCGGACGTTGGAAAGTGCAAAGCCCTCAACGATCGACTCATGGGGCAGCAGGAAGTCACGATGCCTGCGAAGCACTAAGAAAGGGGGCAAACCGCAAAGGCATCCAGAGATGCTGCCGGGAGGGTCGATAGCAAGTCAACAACGATGACACCAGCTTGACACGTTGCAACATTCGAACATGGTCGTTGCAACTCACTGTGGCCACAGGTTGCATGAAGAATGATTTAATCACCCCATGTGGTCGTCTTTGCATGCAAACAACTCAAGACGAACTGAAATCGAAGAACGGCGAGGCCTCCGTCGTGCCCCCCTATTGAGTACAACTGCAATGTTGGCTAACAATTTCAGACCACAGGAAGTCAACCACGAGGCGTCGGACGCGGAGGGAGAGAAAGATGCACCAAGATGGCGAGTATGGGAGGGGGACGGGGATGGAGCGAGTCAAACAATACGAACGACAAGTATGAAGGTGACGAGTCTTGCAACGTACGACGCTCGAACATCTACCTCTATTCGACTTCCAGCTCGTCCAACTTCACCGCGTTCGATCGTGCATCCTTCAGAAGAAGTGAACTTCCACGCCCTCATCCATGAGAACCGGCCCAATCTCGGCGACTCGGTCGTACACGTCCAACCTATGTAATAATTAACAGTAGTCCCAGCACTATAACCAAGCGGGTCACTCCCGAGAGTGGCTTCAGGTCAATGGTTATACCCGCGCCCTCCTCAAGCCGCCATTAACGCCATCAACGCCATCAACGCCACCAAAGTCGAGCGTTCGAGACTCCTCGAGGAGTCAATGGAAAAGAGATAGGATTCACATACCATACCTGGAGAGGTAGTCGTTAAAACCATGACATGTTGTAGGCCGTCGCCCATTCGTGTGATATGTTGTAGCCAAATCAAGCAGCAAACCACGAGGTTTCTCTTCTCCCTGCGGGGTTTTCTCTTCTGATCCCTTGTCATATGAGTTCTTTTGGTTGGAGTTCTATTTCCCAATTGCCCAAGGCGGCCAACTATACAGTGTGGGCAAAGACTTTCTTCCATTCGTTCTTTTTTACAATACGTCCTTCCCTTCGGGAAAAAAGCAGGACGACGATGAAGTCGCTCTACCGGAGCCCACCAGACATCACCTACTCTGACGTCTTGCAGCATTCAATTCGCCATTGTCTGAAGCTACCAGCATCACCTGTTCGTCGAAGCAGCTTGCAATGGGATCGATTGAACTGTGGCGGCTTGTGGATGTGGTTGTATTGCTCGACGGACGCTTGACAACCGTCGGTTCCGGTTTGCTTGTGTGTTGTTCATTTGCTCCTTGGCCGTTGTTGACCAAAGAATGCTTCTTGATCGCTCCGAATCAACGTCAAAATAAGGTACCTACCTGAGCTCATGTGGTTGTGGATCAACTGAGCCCTAGGGCTTTCTGCTCTTGCCCCACTGTGAAGGAAGGCCAAGCTCGCCTTGCGCAGTACATATATCGTAGCGCTCCTGTAAAGAGAAGATACGCATGCCTTTCGATACCTTGAAACAACACAGTAATAACTCAAAGTTGCATTCATAGTACACTACCATGGCCGACCAAGATGATACCTCCAACTCGATCCCCAAATCCTACGGCCTCCTCCTCTTCCCCCAGTTCGAAGTCCTAGACGCCGCCGGCCCAACCGAACTCCTCAACATCCTCTCCGGCCCCTTCGAGCATTCAGAAATCAGCTTAAGCGTCATCGCACCTACCAAAGACCTCGTCTCTCCGGCGCCGCCTTCAGGCGTTGGCCATCAAGTCCTCGGCCAGCAACTCTATCAACCAACGCACTCCTTCGCAGACGCACCGCCCCTGGATGTCCTGATCGTGCCTGGAGGTCGCGGGACTGCGCGCTCCGACGAGGAAATGCGAGATGTTCTCGACTTCATTCGCGACCGCTTCAATGGTTCCGGGGGCCATGCGCCGCTCAAGTACGTCTTCAGCGTCTGCACTGGCTCCGACCTCCTCGCTCGCGCAGGTGTGCTGGACGATCGACGCGCGACGACTAACAAGAAGGCGTGGTCGAGAGTCACGCCTCATGGAACGAAGACGCATTGGGTGGCTAATGCAAGGTGGGTGGCTAGTGGAAGGGTTTGGACGACTTCGGGAGTCACGGCTGGGATCGACGGGATGGCGGCGTTGGTTGGGAAGGTGTATGGGGAGGATTTGGCTGATAGGGTTTGCGACTTCATTGAGGTGAGTATCGTTCTTGTCATTCGGTGAGGTCGGAAGCTGACGTGTGGGCAGCACGTGCGGGTCAAAGATCCGGCGAGTGACCCCTTTGCTGAGATGAATGGGTGTAAGGATGTGTTGCCTCAACGGCAGTAGATTCATGATTCGCTTTGGATGAGAAGAGCGTAAGATTAACTGTGGAGGAGTTCAGCGTACAAGAATGTTCAAGTGGCCTTCAGAATGTTAGGCAACTCATCCTCCACATAACTCCGTTTCCAATCCTTCTCCGTCGGCCGCCATCCCAACGCCTGCAGCCTCACTGCTCGACTCCTCGAGTTCACTCCAACGATCCCAGGCGTCACGCTGCCAAACAGATCACCCCACAGCGCTTCATCTTTCAACGTTTGGGGTTCTGGATCCTTGATCTTGCCAGCCGAGTGCAGACTTTCGGCGATCAGCTTCGAGTAGTCGTACCAGGACAGCTCGTGGTTTCCAGTACACTCGCAAAAGTAATAGATGTTCTCGTTCGCAGTCTGAGGTGTGGCTTTCTCGAGGCTGTGGAGGAGAGTAATGTAACCCTTGGCCAGGTCAAGAACGTGGATGTTGGATTCGACTCCAAGGCCAGGGCCTATGATGGGCACAAAGCCATGCTTGAGTGAAAAGCGGGTTAGAGTCGGTAGTTGGATTGTTCCTCGATCGTGCGTCCCTAGGAAACAGCTCAGCATGCAGCACTCTTTCTCGAAAATGGCAAGACTTACATCCATAGATAAGCGGTGGGATCATAAGAGCGATCCGGACCGTCTTGCCCAGATCGCCCTTCGCCGCCTTCAAGATTGCCAAGTCAATCTCTCTATGCAACGCATCATCAGATACTTCGTCAACCTCCTCAGGCCGGTCATCGCGGTAGATTTTGTCACTCTTGAACTTGCCCATAGCTCCATCGTCGAACACACTCGTTCCGGAGGTATGAATGAAGATCCGACCTTGGCCCTTCCCATCATTCACAATCGCTCGAAGGCCATCCAAGACAGCCTCGACTGAAGGCAGGTGGTCTGCAGTGGCAGTGTGGATGATGATATCGTGTTGCTTGACCAGATCTGTGATCTTGCTGCGGTCGTTCAGGTCTCCCAATACTACTTCCGAAGCTCCGGAGGCCTTGAGGCCATTCGCATGTGCTTGACGGCGAGCATAGCCGGTTACTGTGTAGCTCTCTTTGACTAGAAGGTCGAGTACGTTCCAGCCGATGAAGCCTGGGCCGATGATGAGGACTTTCTTGCTAGACGACATCCTGCTGTTGTGCTGAGATTTTTGGAAGTGCTAAGGTGGTGTCGTGAAAAAGACCAAGATGAAAGGAATCTTGCATCACCTTCGACCAAGTCGACCTCACCTTCAATGGAGTCCTGTCCGCTGCCGCTTCCGCGTCCGCGTCCGTTGTCGCTGCCAAAGTCGCTTTGGAGCAGAGATCGGGCCATGCTTGTTGCACGCCTTGCCCAGCGTCATCCACACTCCCGTAGTTCTATCGCACGTCGACGATGACCTTCGGCGGCCAATACAGCTGAGCCCAATTGGGGTGTACGACTTTACCCATTGGAATCCTTTCAAGCCTTTCAACCCGACGGCCCATGCACAGCATGCACGGACGCGACGCGATGGTCGGGTTCATGAGCCGGTCGATCACGAGCCGGGGAGGTGACAGGCTGTGACGGCTTGGTTCTAGCCCTGCATCGGCAGACAACTCATCACACACATCAACCACTCCATCAACGCCATCCCCGCCCGTGCTGCAGGACGGCTTCGATAGTGCGTGGGTGGTTGCGAGATTCACACCACGTCCACGCGAGCTCGGGATGGATCACGCAGGTAGGGACAAGGGAATGAATCCTGCTTCCCTATGTTATGGAGCTCATCTATATCCTGTCGACATCTCTCTCTTTCCGCCCACTTTATTCCTTTACTTAAAGAGGTTCAAGAGCGTTTGAATACCGAGCAGAAGATACAGAAGCCCAAGAAGCTCATGATTGATCGAGCGGCATATTGAGGCATTGCTATCGAGCTAATGGGATGTACTGAACGTCCCAACCCGTGGCCACCATGATGCGCACAGCTTTCTGTCTCCTGTCGATTCTTGCCAGCGTGGCATCAGCTCAGAATGCTTCGGTCGATGTCTTCATGCCTATTGCGTTCGAGAATACCATCCAGTTCGCTGCGTCTGTCATTGGTGTATGCCAGGACAAGACGACCTACGGCATACGCTGCACAAGTGGCACGCTGGCATCAGCAGTAACGTGCGGACCAGATTTCCCAGTACGACCTTCGATCTCAGCAAACTCTTGGGCAGCAGCTGACTACAGTCTCCAGGAGTCCACAATAACCGAGGACGCATCCACCTACATTGCCTCTCGAACCACTGCCATTAGCTCCGCAGTCATTGCATACACCGAGACGTGCAACCTGCAAGGTACCACTGCCGACGCAACCTGCACTACGACGGTCTCCATATCCGGAACGAAGACTACGACGGTGACGTCTACTACTAGTGTGCTGGCAGCGACATGGATTCCGGACTTCTACATGTAGGTGTGACGAGCGCTGTCGTACGATAGTACATGCTGATGAGTCTGCAGGTATCAAATACCAGTCACTGCCGGCGTTCAGAAGCTACATGCTACTGGGAGTGCCTGCAGTGGAGCATCCAGCCATGCACTACCGGCATGGAATGGCGCTCTGGCTGGCGTTGCCTGGATTGTGCTGCTTGCGATCTTGTAGAACTCGGATTTTGCGTGTCACTACGCTCAGCAAACATCTACGAACGTGCAACTCGACACCCTTCTTTAACGCCCGAAGCCCACACTGGAGTAACTTGGCCAACACACGACAGTATATACCAAAGCCAGAACACCTTATACACCGACGCTATGCGGCACTGAGCCAGATCGACGGTCGGCAGCCGTGAATGCGAATGTCTATTCGACTTCTATATAACCCCTTGATTTTACAGGAAGCACCCTCTTTTCTACCCGCACACACTCGACCACCATTGTCTGACCTCGATACCCAGCAAAGTTGACACCGAGCCCTTCCCAGAATACGATCCGGAAGCTGCAGGCGACAATCTCTTTGAGTCTTCAACCTCTTCTACGAATTTACACCAACAAGCCATACCGCGAACATGTCCAGCATCAATGTTTGTCAACCTTGGACCGGCTACGGAGAAGAGGTGAACGCCATACTGGAGACGATGCAGCCTTTGAACGATCACCAGGCTGCTAGCTCCAGCCCTGATGCCGTTCCAACGAGGGCCGAGGCTGCTCCTTTGCCTAAAATCAGCGCCACCCTCGACGTGCCGGCCATATCCCAAGCTGCTTCTGTAAAAGCAAGAGCCGACCAAGCCCAAATCCGGGGCACCCTGCCTCTGGTCCCAGGGACCCCATGCTCGCCCCAAGGCCACGCGCCAGGCACCAACGACCCCAGGCCACCTCCCGAGCGTTCGACGACCGCACGCAGAACAGCATATCGAGACCTTAGTCCAGGTTTCGATGATGTCAAGAACCGACTGAGGTCCGCCCAGGAAGATTCCGATCGCCTACTCTCGCTCCTCGTCCTACCACCGCCAGCGTATAGCTTGTCCTGCTCCGGAGACGGCCAGAAGATCAAGGGCTCCAAGAAGTGCTGCTTTACTTGCTGGCAGCCATGTACAAAATGCAGCTGCAGCGCAGAGAAGCGGGCAGCCCAAGTCAACGATCCGTACGTCGAGCGTTGCCAGACCTGCCAGTTGCCGCTTGCGCAGTGCTGCTGCGGTACTCGAAAGCACGACCAGAGCGAACAGTCGCGCTCGCAGTGTGGCGGGAACGCTACATCGAACATAGAGAGCAAGCAGGCGTGTGCAAAGTGCGGGATGGAGCCTGGAAGATGCCGCTGCGGCACGCAGAAGTCGGCACCAAGGAAGAGGGACTGCAGCTGTGAGCGGTGTGTTTCCCGGAAGGCCAGTGGGGTAATTTTGGGAGCGTCTTCAATGTCAGGGGATAGCGATGCTTCGGTGCTGGAGATGAAGTGGCCGGGTCGTTCGCGGGCGTCTCGGGGCCTGGCGGCGAGCGGATGAATCTGTGAGTCTGAGAGTCCTTCGAAGCATCTCGCAGCACTTGAACAGCAAAGGCGAAATCGTACCAATTCCGGGTCCCAGATACCAGGGCCTGCCACGCTCCCTCTACGACCAAAAGGATATCGAGATCCAAGTCATGGCTTTGGCGCACCAGCCTGCTGACATGAATGAGCGCATGCAGTCGAGATATAGGCATAGGACCGATTCAAGTATAAAGACTTGACAGGTAGTCAACCAGTAGCTTAGCAGCCGTTCTGAACCATGCACTCTTCTTCGCTTCACTTCTTCACCCCAACAACAACCAAATTTCTAGGGCTGTGCCCATATCCAAACACTGGCTCCACCCACGCCTCGCCAACCTCTTCCTGCTCCTCAAGCCAGCACCATCGATCGACCAGAATGACTGCTTCCACTACCCCGGCTGAGAAAGCCATCAAGCTCCAGATCACGCTGAGGTCCTTCTTCCTCGCCGCAAAGCGCTTTTCGTACCCTTTCAGCATTCCATCGTCCACCGTAGCCATCTTCTCCGCTACGAGTTTGCCAAGTTCTGGGTTTACTGCATCTTCGGCGCATAGTTTGCTCAATGCTCCTCGAGCGTAAGCTACAAAGGACTCGTAGCACCCTTTTCGCAAGCTTCCAATGGTAATTGGTGTCCCCGCGCTGGAGTGGCCCGCTGGACTAGCTTCACCGGCACATTCTGGTGATGGTGGGCCAACGATGCCGTAATCGAGGAAAACACGTTGAAGTAGGGCTCGGTAGAAATGGCGGGTGAAGAAGGACTCGCTGTCTTTTTGTCCCCAGTTCTGCGGAGCTTGAACGGCCATCATACGAGCAGTGATGTTGAGTCGCACGTCTGATTCAGCGAGGCGAGCAGACATTGGGAAGCCTGCTGGGTCGCCCTCTGCATCCCCATTAGTGGTTGAGCCGCTGCGGAGACGAGGGTGTAGATGCGTCGTCGGACGAAGCTCAGGCAGTTTGTACGTTGCAGGACCAAGGCGTTCGGTGAGCAGATTGTAGCAGCACCCTACTAATGCAACGGCTTTGACGGCCGGGTTGAGAGTGAGCGAGCGGAGGCCGTGGTGGACGAGATTGCCGCAGGAGTGGAGGGACATCACCATGACTGACTGTTCCATAGCCTTGTCCTTCTCTGTAGTCGGGGCCGCTATCCGAGCAATCACATCGCCGAGATCGCCATCTTGGATGCGATGGTCGACGTATTGCACAGCATCAGTTCTCTCGATATCAGGCCACTTCGCCTTTGCTGCTTCAGACCTGGGAGGTGCCCGTTGAGGTGCCTCCACTTCTTCCTGACCTGATCGATGGTTCTTCTTATTACGCATCATACGCTTCTTCTCGACGATGTGAGCCTTGACATCGTAATCCTTAGCTCGTTCGGAGTTGTGAGCTTTCGACTCGATAGCTACAATGTTGCGATTGTATGGTTCCGAGGCTAGAGCTCGACCAAGATAGTTCTGCCCCGATCCGAAGTCTACCAGATGCGTGATGTTGTGGCCCGTTGCAGTGATTGACGAGGCCAATTGATCGAGGTACTCGGCATACAGACCTACTTCATGCACCTTCTTCACGTTCATCCCGACGGCAACATGCCTGGCGAGCTTCTTCTGCGTGCGATTTTGGCTGCATTGAAATACGTTGATCTCGCGATTCAGCAGATGCTGCCGCACTTGAACCAGATATTTGACCAAGGATGCAGGAGGAAGAGGACCGTCTCGCCACCGCCGTCCAACACTGCCGTTCGAAAAGAGATCAACATCCTCCCTCATGAACAGATCGAGCAGATCGATCATCTCGTGCTCGGCGAAGAATTCCCGCCAATCCTGCGGCAAGATCTTGGAGTAGAGATCCGGTTCGTTCGTGAAGAAGTCCAATAGATGTACACCTCCGCATAGGGTTTGGGGTAGTTCGTTGTTGCCGACGAAGTCCAAGAGGGAGGCTACGTACGATTGTGCATTGTCGAAGCAGCTGCCGTCGTAAGGCAATGGTTGATCTGGACCCATCTTGATGTATGGGTGGGCTCAAGGGCTCTCAGCCTATGCCGTCTGCGGTCGTCTTCTGCTGCAACTGTCGGTATTTCAAGCACATAATCCGTCTGCTCGATCATTGAGTCGTGGTGTCGGTCTCAAACAATATGTTGTTGCATCTTTGAAAAAGAATCGATGTCGAGAGAAATTTGGTGGTGTATTTGAGAGTGCACCGCCACACCTCGATCGCGCTTTCCACGCGCCAGGGACTTGGATGGACTTTCACATGCAACTACTCGACCTTACCACAACGTCTCTGGCACGGGACTGTGAAGAAAAGAAACGCTAAAACCCTTCGGAAGAAAGATAAAACAGGTCCCTGCAACATCAAACCAATCTACCACCTCCACCATGGCCTCCACCGACCCCTTCCTTTCCGCCCAAGCCGACATCCTCGCCCTGCTCGACCAATGCCGGCCTCTCCTGTCCTCCTACCTGCGCATCCGCTCCTCGGCCTCCTCAGCCAACTCTCCAGAGCTGGTCGAAGCACGGGAAGAACTTGAATCGACCCTCACCGACCTCTCCACGGACCTGCAGGACCTCGTGGACAGCGTTAAAGCTGTTGAACACGACCCGCACCGCTATGGGCTCGACGTACCCGAAGTCAACCGCCGTCGTAAGCTTGTCGAAGATGTAGGCAAGGAAGTGGAGGGTATGCACCAGCAGCTGAACCAGACTGTCTCGGAAGCGCAGCGGAAACGATCAGCGTCGCTGGCGCATCCGGATGCTTTTATTACAGACGAAGATCCGCTTGGTGGTGGTGGAGAGGATGACGAGGCGTACAGGGAGTGGGAGGAGCAGCGGCAGATGGAGATGATGCATGAGCAGGACGAGGCGTTGGACGGGGTCTTTCAGACAGTTGGAAACTTGAGGATGCAGGCGGATACTATGGGGAGGGAGCTAGAGGAGCAAGCGGAGATGTTGGAGGATACGGAGAACATTACGGATCGTGTTCAGGGGAAGCTGACGAAGGGGATGAAGGGGATTCGGTACATGGTGGAGAGGAATGAGGGTGAGTTTTGCATGATTGGGTGGAGGCCTGGAGCTGACAGTATACTACAGACAGGTGGTCGGGCTGCTGTATCGGCTTGCTCATATTTGTCCTCATCATACTGCTGATATTGGTGTTGGTTCTGTGAAAGGCGACCAGCACGTGATGAGCTGCACCGCCACACGACTCCACAAGCCCCGAACTTCGACTGGACTTCAGGCTTCAGATCACCACAGAGTGAACCTGCAGACAGCACACAAGGACAATGCACGATCAACGTAAGCATCGCACTCTAACACAATCAGGATCATTAGCTAACAGTCTCGAAAGGCTCTCACGCCCTGCTCCAGCAAACCTACCTCAGCGTCTCGCCCTTCATTGACCTACCCAAACCACCGACTCTCCCGCCCAACTACGCCAGCCTGCCTTCAACACTTCCGCCTTCGACTCTACACGCCAACTCCGCACCCTCCGCGCCCGATCTCCCCGCCTATGTAGTCTCTGCTACCGGCAACTTCGCCGCACACCCCAGCACCATCGCAGCCCAAAATCGGGCATTGCTAGAGCAGATAGACAAGGATAAGCGGGACGGCAGCAAAGCGGTAGAAGCGTGGGAAGGCGAGATCAAGGAGCGAGAGCTGCAGGAAAGGCGAAGACGAGCGCCTGGATGGCTGGACCGGGAGGAGAGGATACTGGAGCCCGAGAGGAAGGGGACGCCTGGGAAGGAGAAGAACCTGATGGATGACGATGGAGATGTAGGGAGAGCTGCACCGAGTACGGACGGATTGGGCAACGAGAAAGAGGTCGAAGATCTGGGGAATGCGCTTGATCGGGCGTTTGGCAGGAGTGAGATGGGCTAACACCTGGAGATGTCGCCGATATCACCTCGTGAGCTAGCCATGAACGCTTTCACCATGCAGAACGTCCGAGCACGTTAGAATACGTGGATGATGCTAACAGGGGTGCCTCACTCTGCAGCTATGCTTGAAAACTGAAGACAGCAGTCTCTTCAGAAGCGGGGTCGAGGCCTCCAGAGTCCTGCGCCTTAATTACCACAACGCCAACAGCAGATGCAGACTTTCCCGGCAGAATGTGACGGTACAGCGATGCGCGAAAGGTGAAGGCTGCACTGAGAAGCGAAAGCTCCCATTTGCCTTCGGATGTCTACTCGGCAAGCGCAGAACGGACCGATCCTTCAGCAGCCAGTTGGTCAAAAGGCTACTGCAGATGTTCATGCAGATGTTTACACTGGTTTGGTCATGAGGCAAGTGCATCGTTATCGATCCTAATTCAAGCAGAAGCTTCGCCAACCCTCGGCTTCTTGGTCCTTTACGCTCCTGTCTTCGGCAAAATCACAGCCGTCTATCCTCCGACAAATTCAGTGCCGGTGGCAGCTGTGCTCCATGCTTTCTCTGCCTTGCTGGCCATGGTGGAGGGCAGGCCATTCAATGTCAACGCAAACTGGCCATTCTGTGCCACAAAGGAGTATAGGTGTACGTTACACGCAATAACCGCACACCCTACGCGCATTCGGTTGAACGCTACTACACGAGCATCATGACCTTTTCAACGGCGATCCGTTGGACAGCTTCGAGCACATCGAGACTGGGGCTCTTGCAGACCGGACACGATGTGGCGCCACGGCATTCACTCTTTCTTCGGGAGCACAGAGCACTACGCGAAGTCTCGCAAGACTACTCGCTGGAGGTTTACCATTCTGGCAGTGTTATGATGCTGGATCTCCTCCGCTCCCCTTCCAAATCAGCCACGACCCGCGAGTGTTCGAAATTGCGAGAAGCGTGTTCGGACTGTGCACGAGAAGGACTGACCACAAAACAGAAGCGCTGGTCTCTCACCTGCAAGTGATGGGCTTCGCAAGCGCGTGCGAGATCGCCGAAACATTCGATCCATGGACCTTCGCCGGACGAACGCACGTGACTGGAATCTTGCGGTGCCTCATCTCCAGACCTTAGCCTTCCTACCTTTTGATTCATGGCTTCGCTGCCGATGCATGCGCTGCAGCTTGCCCAAGGCACAGGCCAATCAAAACCGGCCGTGGGTTGAGCAGTGAGGACCGGTCCTTGCTCGACCGAGAGCTCCGATGCGCTGAGCCGCGGGGTGGCTGCATGGCTTCTATTGTTTCCCTCGTCCCAGACTGACCCTACTTCTCGGACAACTACTTGCTTTGAACAACTGCACCCTACTACCGCACTTGCAACAGAGCGCTCCGTCGTGATTTCCAAAGCACCGAATCGTTCTCCTGGTTTGTTTTGGTACACCACTCCATCTTATACCGGCTCTAGCAGCTGCATAACGCCTATTTGTTGGGTCCGCGCTTTTCCGACACTCAGAACAAATGTTCTTCTCGGCAACAATCGCGGTTCGTACCCCACCGCTGCAATGGGTCGCTAACACGACATCGATCAATACTTCGAATGGTGGCTCCAACTACGACTCCACCTCGGACAACCATAACATCATCATTGGCAGCATCGCCCTCCTCCTAGCTGCTGGGACGATTATTCTTGCTATCGTCCTGTATCGACTCGAACGATTTCGTGGCCAACGATCCTTCGACTCCCGACTCGAAGCTCAAGTCAACTCACAGCCAGACGATACTGTCGGCAGCGTTCGTCTCAGTGGACTTGGTTCGTGTCAATTACCATTCCGAACAAAGGTCACATGTTGGCTGACAATGAACAGAAGGCGGACATATCGAGCAACGTCCAATCGACACCTGGAGTCGTAGGACTACATTTTAGCATCTATCTACCGGGCCTACCGAATGATGGCTCTGCTTTGTGAAACAGTACCCCTACATCATCGTTGACTCATCCGGACTATCGAACGACGACGACGAAGGCCACGACTTTGTTCGATACTCGCAAATGCTCATGTTCATCTACTCGGCATACCAAATGATGACCTTGCTTCTGATACCGTTCCGACTTTGCTGGATACGTGGATTGAATTTCTGGGCGACTTCGGAGTGTCAGGGAAAAGTACACCCAGTGTCTGTATGCACAGTACATATGTAGAGACTTTGTCAACGGCCGAATCAATGGATGTGCAATATCTGTGTTCGCACTCCTACCCGACATCTCACTTCACACGCTTCCAGCTGGCCAAGCCTCTCGTACATGCTCATGTCGCTGGCGGACTTCATGCACTGCATTTGCTGCTCATCCAGTCTCTACCAACCACAGTGCAATCCAACCACATTTACCGTCACATTTATTCAATCTGCAGACCACAAATGATCACGATCGGATAGGACAGTTGCTTCTTCACTGAACTGGGGCGACAACGTGAAGGCGCCAAGCAAAAATGATCTTCGCAAACCACCTCGACGCTGCGGTCAGCTCACAAAAGTAGTTCTAGCCTCACCCGGACGCTAAGGGCACGTACATAACGTGTCGCGCCAATGGGAATCGTTCGTGTGAATTATGGCTTAAATCATCCGTTCTTAGCGCTAGAAAGTGCGGGTATGGCTTGCAACTGAGCAGACTCAAGCTAGCTCAGGCGAGGCAGCGGCTCGTGGTTGCGTTCGAAGCACAAGTGTGACATACGCAGTAGTGCAGTCGCAAAATTATATAACCACCTGCCCCATCGTCCAGGTCTCACAGACTGCCTTCCCAGCTCAATGTTCTTCAACGCATTACCTTTACTGAATTTCGAACGTTTTCTTGATATAATCTAGACTAAAACTCATTCATCACCCCAACCAACACCATCAAAGCAGTGTCTCAAGATGCCGTAGCACCTACTTCAACAAGACAAACGCACCATATCTTCGTGCCCTGAAGACCAATGCATCTCCCTTCACAACCATCCGTTCGTGCCAACTCCACCGCGGACCCGACACCCATCGATCAATCCGACAACACAAACTACGACGCAACTTCCGATACCCACAACATCATCATCGGAAGTATCGCTCTCGTGCTCGCTGCTGCAACAATCGTTCTTGCCGTCGTGTTATTCCGGCTCGAAAGGCGTCGTGGTCAGCTGTCCACGCAAGGTGGAGGTTCGACTGAAGAACAGGGCGTTGGTATGGACGATCTTGGTATGTGTTGAACATTTCGACATGATCGGTGTGTTGACTGACGATGATTCGCAGAACGCGGAAGTAGCAGCGAGGCCAGCGGCGTCGACTCAACTGTCCAGACTGCGGTCGGGGAATCCACGACGTCAGAACAGCAGTTGTCAGGCACTCAATGACCCCAGTACATTGACAGTGTTGACCTGAGAGACGAAAAGTTCGATCGGATCGATAGAGATAGCGGACAACGGGAAGCTGTCGTTCTATCGCCCCGTCGAGGGACCGCAGAATCGATCGAGGAAGCTCGAGAACAGAGCACTTGCCCCGTCGACAGAACAACAGCCCGTGTGAATTATCTTCCTCCGTCGTGGATGGCCTGATCCGGCGGTCTTTAGCGTATCACAGAAGCATTCGAGAGGAGGCGGTGTGTCACGATGTCAGCACAGTGTCTTGATCATCTATTGAGACAATGAGTAGCATCTATTCATGACAATGATCGTTCATACCTCAAATGCCGGGTCATCAATCGCTGCTGAGCAATGCTTTTCATCCCAGCCGTTCCTTCTATGCCCGTAATGACAGCCACATCACCTCAGAACACCATTCCATGCACCTTTCCATCATCGCTGCAATCTCTCCCATCGGCTCACCTTCTCACGTCCACTTCTGCACCACAACCCCACCCCTCTTGAAATCCGCCATGTCGCCCAACACCACACTCCGATCCTCCAACTCCTTACTCGGAAACGTCGTCATCAGCGCAAAAGCCCTCTGCTGACTCTCCGGGCTCGCCGCGCTGACGAAGGCATACACGTCGCCGACCGTGTGCGTGGTGTTGAAACGAGAGGATAGACGCGTGCCGTCGCCAAGGCGGATCTGGAGTTGGATGGTGGGTTGCGAGTCGTCGACGTTGACGGATTGGGGAGTCGTGGTTGTTGAGGATGAGGTGGCTGGTGCTGCCGCGGGTTGAGTAGTGGCGGATGATGAAGAAGGATTAGGACCAGGCGTTGGCGAGCCAAGACGTTGACCCGACCCGCCGAACGGCTTGTACGTCTTCTTCGGAGCGACATAGTTTTCGTCTTTGTGAGGATCGAGGTTGAGATCGACTTCTTGCCCGGGCTGGACGTCGAGGAGGGCGAGTGGGGCACGACCTTGGTTGATCTGGTCCATGATTGCCTGGTTGGCCGGGTCGTCGAAGCGGAAGAGCGGTCCATCGTCAATACTCACACCGTCCGCCCAGAGATGCATCGTCCGTGTCACGCGAGGGAGACTCTGCTGTCTCTGCCTTTGTGCCGCATTAGGGTCCTCCACAACCTGACTCGGCGCGTCGTCGCCTCCCAGTGTCTGTGCGCGTCCGGTGAAGTTTGATGGATCTGCGGGCTGAGCCTCTTCGTTTGGCTTCTTGGGGCGATCGTGGTTCTGACGGGCTTTGTTCATGATGTTCTTGAAATGGTCGGGTGGCCCTCCGCCTTGGTTCGGGTTCTGGACTGCTAGACCGCTCTTCTCGCCGCCCGCGAACATGTTCTGTTTCTTCTGCTCATCATCCGACTCATCATCATCTCCCTCCTCGCGCTTCTTAAGGTCGTCGATGGTCATCTGCTTAGGACGCTTTCCCGCGTTTTTGCTCGATGAAGACGCCGATGGTTGGGAGGGTTGTGCAGGTGTGGGCTGTGCTGGAGATGCTTCGTCCTCCATATCTTGGTCGTCGTCTTCTGGCTCCTCTGAAGCTGCGAAGAAGAGCGAGACTGCTTCTGCGAGGTTCCAGTTGGCCGAAGCGAGGGCTGTTTGTGCCTGTGAAAGCTGTTAGGACGTGTTTTGCTATACCACATGATCAGAGTTTGCTTACAGATGCCGGACTGGCGCCAGTGACGCCGCAGAACTCGGTGACGAGCTCTTGTTGCCTTTCGTCCATCTTCGCGACTTCTTCTTGCCTTGCGCTCGTGCGGACGCTGCTTTTGCTTGATATGAGAAGTGACGGAGAGGAAATTCAAGAGGGGGTCTTGAAAGGTATACCAGCGATGGTAGGAGGGTTGATATGATGGTGTGTTGATATGAAAAGTGGCAAGTTGTAAGACCCCACGTTGTGTTGCTGAAGTTCGCTCTCAGGCACGAGAACTGACGTCCTTCGGAACATATAAGCTTTCGGAGTTTGCCGAATCTAGCGCATACACGGGTGCATGGCATGGCTTGGCGTTCATGAGATCGAGCTCGAGAACATCTCACAAAGTCGAGGGGATTGAAACGCCATCACTTCAAGGATACCAAAGCGACAATTTCTGCACGGCGGCAGAGGAGCAGCTAACTTGACGATCCAGCGCTTGGAGCGCGGCGCCATCGACAGCTTCCACAACCTCTCTCCCTCACAAACGACCATCAACATATACCGACCACCATGTCCTCCGCCCGCCTGACCTCCCCCTCCAGCGACAGCGAAAACTACGACGCCAACCACAGCAACTTCCAAGACAGCTCCGACCCCGAGCTCCCCTCCTCCGACTCGTCCTCACCTCTCATACTCTACTCGCCCCCGACCTTCTGGAGCATAGTACGTGGCGCTGCGATAAATTTGGTTTTACCGTTTGTCAATGGGTTGATGTTGGGCTTTGGGGAGTTGGTGGCGCATGAGGCGGCGTGGAGGTTGGGGTGGTCAGGAACGAAGGTGAGTTCGCACTTCAGAAGGATCGGGATGAAGGAGGGTTGTTTGACGAAGAGAGATTAAGGAGTGATGCCATTGGCGGAGAGGAACACACGATAGCGCTAAGGCTAACGATGTCGTATCCAGATATTTCCGTCATATCGCAATGGAGACACACAGAAGTCGCACACCGTCGGTCCTGGCGTGGTCATGAGGGATGACCCGGTGGAGCGGAGACGGCGAGATGGGGAGGAGTTGGATGCATATTCCGCAATGGAATAAGGGCAGCATATGGTTGCATTGCATGTATAGATCATATGGCGCAGCATGGAGGGGCATTGGTGGAACTTGGGGCATGCTACAATCTCAGGCGTGCGTGTAGATATGCCAGCGTCACGTTGTCTGTACTGTATATCTACTCAACCACTTTGACCATGTCTCTCCCTACCGTTCTTTGACCGCACTGCTTATGGGCATTTGTGGTAGGTGATGTCTTGAAACGCGGTTGAAGTTCGGGAAGCCAAACGCGCCTCTTCTCCAAAAAGTTGTCTGAGAGCTTCATCCTGTTCTCGAAACACTACATCCGCCACGATGATGCCCAGTAGAGGCCTTCATCTGGCCAGAGGCAATGCGCCTCGCCTGTATCAGTTGCAATGTCGAAATGTAAGAGGAACTGTCTGTATACGACACCACACGCTGACCACGACCAGCTCTCCTCCGCATCAAGACGAATACCGCAAACCACGAGTCGCAACGCCTTATCATCGCACAACCCTCCCGCGCAATTGCGAAGAGCGATACCAGCCTTCACCACCTCCATCCAAGCAACCCGCAATGCCTCAACCAACGCCCCTCCCACACCACCACCCGCCTCCACCCCCGAGCCTCCAGTCTACCCGGACATGGACACCATAACCCTCGACAACATCGACCTATCCAGCCCCGACATTCCCGCCCACATCGCCTCCATCCCCGAGAAGATCGGTTACCTCCATGAAATCGGCCTCAACTACGGCTGGGGCCCTACCTCCATCCTCGAATGGACCATCGAGCACTTCCACATCTCCGCCGGCCTGCCCTGGTGGGCCAGTATAGCCGCTACAGCCGTGGCTCTGCGAGTTGCGCTCATACCATTCTTCATCAAGAGCTCCGACGTCATGGCGCGCCAGGGGGCGCTCGTGAGCGTCACAAAACCTATCACTGAGCGCATGCAAGAGTCAAAGCGGATCAATGACCAGCAGGGGATGCTGCAGGCGTGGGCGGAGCTGAGAGCGGTGAGGAAGAGAGCCGGGGTCAGTTTTCGGACGCAGTTCACGCCGATGATCTTGCAGGGAGTTTTTGGGTATTGCGGGTTCAAGCTGTTGAGGGCGGCGTCGAATTTGCCCGTGCCGGCTTTTAAGACGGAGGGACCGCTTTGGCTGGGCGATTTGACGGTGCCGGATCCTTATTTGATACTGCCTGTGGTGATGGCGGGGTGTATACATCTGTTGATCAGGATGGGAGGCGAGACGGGGTCAGCGCAGATGCCTTCCCCCGGGATGCAGAAGTTCATGCTGTACGGGATGCCGGGGATCATCATTCTGGGGACGGGATACCAGTCGGCCGCTGTCTGCGTGTGGTTTGCGGCCGGGGGCGCGCTGGGCATCGTGCAGAGTCTTACTTTGCAGCGGCCGGCGGTGAGGAAGTGGTTGGGCATTGCGCCGCTCTACAAGCCGACGGCCGAGGAGCGAGATCAAGGGCCGCTAGCGGCATGGATGGGGACACCGTCTGGTGACACTTCTAGACCGACTACTACCCGCCCGGGATCTGGTGGAAAGAACGCAGCCTACATGAACCCGACATACCAATCCCCGAACCTCCGCTCCTCCTCGAGTGCCCGGAACTCGCAGGTCATCGATGTCAAAGCGGTGCCCCCGAGATCCAACGCCGCCTCTGCCTCAACATATGAATCCGACGACATGATTTCGCCATCCGGTCCCGCGCAATCGAGCGCCAAGTCTAGCGGAGGTGTCTTCAAGCAGGCTTCTTCGGCTTTCAAGGACTTCTCGAAGGCCGCCACGGAGCGGAGGGATGCGTTCTTCCGAAATACGCCTGAGGGGAGAGCGCAGAAGGAGAAGGAGGCGAGGCGGAGGGCGGAGAAGGATTATGAGACGAAGGCTAGGGAGAGGGAGAGGGAGAAGGAGAGGGAGAGGCGGAAGAGGGGTGGGCGGTGATGTTGTTGACTTTGTATGACTACGGCCGCGCGAGACGCTGGAGGTGGTGGGGGCCCGTTCCATGTATACTCTTTCTTGCAACTTTGTGTGAATACTTTAACATGCATAGCGCCGCTGTACATATCTACCCTTAACCCTTCTACCATTCTTCCACACTGACGATGAGCAAAGGAACCAAATATCGTCAATCTGCAAACCCAATATAAAATTAAATTTAACCTCACCCTCCCAACCCTGCATCTTCAAACTTTCACGGGCCGCGCCCCCGCTTTCTGCCTTATCTTCCCACTTCAGCTTCGGTATGAGTTTTGCCGGCCGAGACCTCATCTCCCACTTCCTTCTGGATCAGGGGTCTCTTCTTCCCACGCTTGACCACTTTACGACTGACTAACACCTTTCAGGCTTCATCTACGCTACCCGCCGTTGGACGGCGCTGCGCTGCCGCTGCGCCTACCACCACGAAGGCGGCAGGGCGGTGCCGAGCATCCAAATTGTCTTTGTGCTGGACTCACATGTGCCGCCATGGCGCTCGAGGAGGGGGATGAGGAATGGCGGCATGGCGTGCTAGTGGTAAAGGTCTGTGGTATACCCTTCCTGACTCTGCTTTCCTTTCCTTCCTCTCTGCTTGCGCAACGACTTCTCGTACCTTCGGTTGTGGTGCTTTTTGCAAACGTCTTGTTTGCGTCCTCTCATTCCTTACCTTTCTTGTGTGTAAACACGCTTGTTTTTGGCTACGGCCGTCCTCTCGTTAAGAAGAAATATTGAGAACAGCAACTTTTGTGGATACTTGTTGATTTCTACTTGAACGATGCATTCCTTCGCATTCCTCGCCGCAGCGGCAGCAGCGCTCGCGCCCTCTGTTTCCGCCGCTTTCAACGCCGCCGCGAAGACGAATGTCGTTACCTACTGGGGCCAAGGGCCGAACCAAGACAGGCTGCTCGCGACTTGCCAGAACCCATCTTACGACATCATCAACATTGGCTTTGTCAACGTCTTCCCTGACCAGGGAGCTGGTGGCTGGCCGGGCACGAATTTCGGAAATGCTTGCTGGGGCGATGTCTACGAGAACAAGGGCGTCAACACCTCGCTCCTCAAGACATGCCCGGATATCGGACCAGACGTTATTGAATGCCAGCAGACTTACGGCAAGAAGATCATGCTTTCGATCGGCGGCGGCTACCCGGTGGACTACTATATCAAGAATGCGAAATCTGGCCAAAAATTCGCAGACTTCTTGTGGGCAGCTTTCGGTCCCGTCTCGGCGACAAAGGCCAACATTCCGCGGCCGTGGGGGGATGCAGGCGTTGATGGTTTCGATTTCGACATCGAGAACATCATGGATCCAGCGCCGCAGAAGAATTACCAGTCTTCCGGCTACGCAGCCATGATCAACAAGTTCAAGAACGTGCATTTCCCAACTGACACGACCAAGAGCTACTACATTTCTGGTGCTCCTCAGTGCCCGATCCCAGACTCCCACCTCTCCGACGTGCTCGCGAGCGCCTGGTTCGACTTCTTCCATATTCAATTCTACAACACCCCACAATGCAGTGCGCGGGCTGCGATCCAAAACGCGAACGGCAATGGCAAGAATGATATCTCGTACGACACCTGGACTACTCAAAAGTCAAAGAACCCGAATGTCAAGATGACCATCGGCCTGCCAGGCTCCAAAACCGCCGCCATCGACCCAAGCTACTACCTCACCCCCGCCGAGGCCCAAAAACTCGTCACGCGCTTCTACTCCAACAAGAAATTCGGCGGTATCATGGTCTGGGAAGCTACAGCTGCAGCAAGCACTACGCCGTGCAAGACCGACTACGGCACGTGGATGAAGCTGATCCTGACCGCGAAGGCCGCTGGAAAAGTTTTGAACACTAACATCAAGACCTGCGCCGGCGTGTCGAAGAAGAAGATCCGTCGTACTGTTTTCGAGCACGAGGTCGCGGATTTGGAGCCGAGGGAAGCGTGGAGTGTTAGCACATGCACGGAGACTGCTACGCATGTGGAGGGTGGCAAGACGATGGTGGAAAGCTATGTGGCGACGCATACGGTGTATCCGACTATGCCGGAAGGGTACTACATTCCCAGTAACACGGCTGTAGTTGAGCTTGCGAGCTCGTCTGCTGGTGCGTACGCTGTCTCGTCAGCGGCAGCAATGGGCTATTCGTCTGGATCTGCTGGCGTGGTCACAAACACCGTTACGGCGTACAAGACCGTCTGCCCTTGCAATTCTGCTTCCGCCGGCGTTGGAAGCGCATCGGTCTCCGCTCCCGCATACTATGGCTCGAGCGCATCGAGTGCGCAAGGCATTACAACGACGGCGGTTAACACGATCACTATCATCGCGCCCTCGAGCACCGCACCGGCCGGCAGCGCTACGATGCCTGCAGCTCCGTACCCTGTTGCTCCGTCTGGAGGTAGTGGAAATGGCACGGCATGGGGCACAGCTTCGGCGTCTGCCGCTTACCCGTCGAGCTCAGGATGGGTGGTGCCTGCGACTGGTGGTGCGGCGATGCAGGGGTGGGGTGTTGGAGGTTTGATTGCGGTTGGGGCTGTTGCTGTAGTTCTGGGTTGATGTAGTGTGTTGAAAAGACAAGTGTATGAGAAGCGAAAAGTTGTGCATGATGCTACTGTAAGAAGAAGTTCAGATTCCATGGCTATGCTTTTGTAGATGATGAAACCGAAAGTCACCCTTATCCTCCTTTGCTCGATGCTGCCAAATATGCCTCGATGTCAGACCCTCAGACGCACTCACGGCATCACAGCCCGACCTCCGTCCCGCGAAACGCCTCAATAACATCCTCCAGCTCCTCCTTAGAAACAATCACATGCCCCGCCCTCGCCGTGCTCAAATAACTCATATTGAACACCTCCCCCACCACCCTTCCTCTCATCCCATCACTCAACCGACTCGCCACTCCACACACGATCCCCGTACTTTCCAACGGCAGGTCCTTGAGATCCAAGGTTATGGCGATCTGCTCCGGCCCGTCTTTACCGAGCAACAGGTCCTCGCCGGAGTTGCAGAAGAGGGACGTCAGGTTCTTCTCGAGCGTCAAAGAGGCGGACTCAGAGTCTGTGAGGGTTATGGAGAGGAAGCTCGGTGGTGGGTTGAGGGTGAGACATTTCGCTAAGCCAAGCTGGAGTTTCCCCTGAGAGAAGTTGGAAGCGGAGGTGCTGGCTGTGCTATCTTTGACGCCTGCACAGGTCACAAGCTCGATCGAGTCGTCGGCGAGCGGGGCGATGGAGTGTCGGGTTAAGAGTTTGAAGGTCTTGGTTTGGAGCTCTGGAACGGTTGCTGGTGGTGGCGTGCCGGCGATCGGTGGAAAGTCGAAGGATGATGTCGAACCGTTGCGAGGACGAGAGGATTGGAGTAGAGGAGAGGTGGGGTGGTTCATGTGGCCAGCGTCGCCGTTGGCGTCGGCTTCGAAGACAAAACCGCGTTCTTCGAGGGCGGAGATGACGGTCGAGCGGGCGGAGAAGGGGACGAGGATGTAGTCGCTGTAATAGCTGGTGATGAAGAAGATCGGGATGCCGGCCAAGGCGAGCGGGCTGGTGAGGTCAAGGACACGTTTGCCGGCTTCTAGCCCTTCGCCGCCGATTACGATCACGGAATAGTCTTCCTTACTGATGGTGACTGACTTGCGAAGGAGAGCTGGGAGTTTGTCCAGGATCGGTTGGAAGAGGTTATTTGCTTGACCTCGTGGACAGACGATGGAGCATTCATTCCGTGTGATGGAGACGTTGACGAATGGCTGCCAGTATTGCCAGGGGCGGCTTGGTGGCATCGGTTCGCTGTTTTCATCCACAGTGTCATCGTGAAGAAGTAGGCTCAGAATGGGTTGCAGGAAGAGCTGATAGATCCCGAGTGGTATGTGGATCAGGGCCAGGCGGGTGTTCTCGATGTCTTTTAGCGCAGAGTGCAGTTCATGGTGACTGTTGACTTACCAAAAAGCTCAATTGTGCTGTGAGAAGGATCTCACTTTCGACGATGGCTGAGCCCATAATTGATAGTGGTGATGGTGTTTCGCTGTTGGATGGCAGGTGATTGACGAATCGAATCCAGGTGTATCTCTTATTCAACGATTGACCTGTTCAACGGGCAACGGATGTTCTTCAACTGTGCAGGTTTGGAAATTCATGGCCGACCGGTGGAAGATCTGCCAACTACCACACAGCAAAGAGTCAATGCACACAACGAAAAGTGAAATGACTCGAATCTGAACAAGAGGAAGAAAGTTCGAAGAAAGCACGAGGAAACTTAAGCTTATTACCAGCCAGCACAGTGGCTTCTCGAAAGCCATGTGGACGTCGGACGTCACCTCACCAGGCGTGGGACCCTCTCTCATGAGCCAGCCGGAAAGGTAAGCCCAACCTGCCATTTGCATGAACCACACAATGACCAGAAATCCGGGGCAGCCTGTGAGAAATTGCTTCTGCACACGTGGGGGCAGTATTCCGTGACCAATAGCGCAGGATGCTCCCCTCAGTCCCTACTGCGAGGTGTGCGTTGCAGCTTGCATGAAGGTGACTTGCAGCGTGGCATGCTTGCAGGACGGGCCGTGCCTGGGGATGGGCGAGGGTCGCTGGCGAGGTGGATGTTGGTGACGTTGTTTCCGGGTGTGTATGGCTGTTGAGCTGTGTACATGGAAGGTGAAGACTACTGACCATGGGTTTCTTTACTGGAGATGGTAAGTCAAAGCCAGGCAGAGATAGCAGGAAGCAGGTGGATCTTAGCATGATAAGTACAACATCTCGTGTGTCAGCAAGCGTACGCAGACCTTGGTTCGGTAGCCCAAGACAGAGAAGGCAGTCATAAGCCGCAGTATACTCCATCTAGTTGACTTAGACCGCGTCAGCGCACCGCAGGCTGGTCTCGCCATTACTCCTCACGGAGGTTGGGATGGAGTGAACGGGATGAAGTCCGCTCGAGAGGGGTCAAGACTGCATGCAGGCGGTCCGAGCGTTTCTTCGCGCGCAGTGCTGGCAGTGCTACCTCCAGTGCTCGTCGAGCAGAAAGCAGCAGTGTACCCACACAACCGGTTGCTCGTCCGGCGCCGAGTCGTGTAACGCATCGAGGGAGAGATAACAGCGCGCGATACGCGCCAGCTCACGATCCATGATAGGAGGTAGTGCGGCTATCGAGGGCTCAACCACAACAAACGACGTCACCTTCCAATGACTGTGAAGGGCCTCTACGGCTTATCAAGGGTGCTTGGGACTGGAAGGAAAAGGAGTTGAAGCGATCGAGCAAAGTGTTTCGGGAAAGAAGCAAGTATGTACAAGAAGCAAACAGCTCAAGCGCTCACACCACCTCGAATGCTTCAAGTCATGATGCTCATTACGCAGGCACGCACTGGGAGCTAGCCATGGCTTTAGCGATGTCTTTGTCAATGTCGTGGCAGGTATAACTTACTAGTAATCATTCCAGACCTTGCAGGTGAACCCCGAAACGCACGAACTGCTGCCCGTGTAGCCTGAGCCGCCGCATTGCTGGTACTACGTCGTGTTAGCTTCATGTCGGTCTCAGGCAACGAAGGTGCAGATCGAATACTTACAGCTTCCACGGCGCCACTGCCGCCGCCGGTCGAGGGAGAGCCAGAGGGTGCAGGCGATCCGGAGGGGGTAGATCCAGCAGGGGCCGTAGTGTTGCCACCAGTGCTCGCGCCATCACCACCGCCAATCTTCAAGATCAACTCCGAAGCATGCTCCGCCGCCGCAACGATCAGCGCGCTCGGGTTCGTCGACACCATGCCAGGGAAGATTGAGGCGTCGACGACGAATAAGTTGTCCGTGCCGTAGACTTTGGCATTGGTGTCGACGACGGCGGTCCCACCTTCGAGACCCGAGTCTGTGCCCATGGCACAGCTGCCCATCCAGTGGTTGGCGGATCGAGATCCAGTTGTCTTCGGGTAGGCTGCAAGGAACTCAGGAATCGTCTGGTTTGAGCTGGGATACACGATCTCGATCTTTGGGTCCGCAGAAAGCGCTTCGAATAGGGTCTCAATGCCCGACTGCACAGCCGCGAGATCGTGCTTGTTGTTCAGGTAAGGCGTGGTTGAGACTGACATATCCAGCGCAGCGTTGATGGTAGTCCGACCACGTGAAGTCGCACCACGGCCAAGGTACTGCGAGATGACCATCGCCTTCTTGCTCGTGATGTCGTGCCCTCCTTCAACACGTGCAGTCCACTGCAGCTGGCGAGTGATGCCATCAGCGCCTTCGACCTCGTGCCAGAACACAGTCGCAAGGTTAGGAGCAGATTGAGCCAAGATGCCAGTGCGGCTGTCGAGGTAGCTCTTCGCGTCGGCTTTGATCGGGTTGTCGTACGCCTTGTAGAAGTCGTAAAAGCTCACGTTGGGGTGAGTAATGACAATGTCCGTGTTCACGTGGTCGTCGAGGTTGTAACCAACAGGCAGATCGATCCACTGGTCCTTAGCGATCATCTTCTCCGGCTCGGCGCCTTTCACGACCTTGAGCTGGTCCTTTGGTCCGATGCCAGAGCGGAAGAGGATCTTGGGCGTGTTGAAAGCTCCGGCGCTGAGGATGACTTTGCCGCCAGCCTTGACGTTGACGGTGCCACACTGTCCGCCTCTGAGGAAGGCCTCAATCTCGACACCAGTGACTTCCGTGCCGTTGCGGACGAGACGAGCAACTGTGGTGTCGGTGAGGAGCTGGAAGTTGTCCCTCTCGCTCGCTGTGACGAGGTAGGTTGCCATTGGACCGCCACGCTCGCCATTTGAGAACATATGGTCGGGTCGAGAGAAGGTGAAGTTCTTCTGCTCTGGGACAAGATCCGCGGTGACGTTCTTCCAGCCTGAAGCAGCGAGTGCGCCAGCCACGACGTTGTAGCCTTGAGGCTTGTAAATGATACCGTCCGTGGAGGGGTGGTCGGTAAACGGCACGCGATTGAAGACACGAGCGACCGCATCCTCCATGTCAGACGCTTTCCATCCTTCTGGGAAGTTGTAATCAAAATCCGCTGGGTTGGCGCGCCACCACAGTCCAGCGTTAACAGCAGTGCCACCGCCAAGCACACATCCGGCCATGACGCCAACATCGTTACAAGCGATACCAGTAGAGTCCGCCCAGATCTCGTTGTCAAGACCAGGAACGTCAAAGCGGGTGAGGTTGGTGCCCTCGAGCCACTTTGGCTTCATGGTTCCACCCCATCGGCCTGAGGATGGAGGTCCACGTTCGATCAAGAGGACACTGGCGCCCGATTCAGACAGCTTATCTGCCAGAGGAATGCCACCAGCTCCAGCGCCTACAATGATGTAGTCGAAAGTCTGCTTCGTCACCGGGTTGCTCTTAGGGCATTTTGCTGAGGTTGGCGTTGGAGCGGCTGAGGAGGAAGCAGCCACTGATGATGCTGCGGTGGGACTAGCACTTGCGGCGGGAGACTTGGTTGGCGCAGCAGAGGTTGCCAGCTTGGTCCACTTGGTGTAAGCGTTGTTACGAGCGGATTGCACTGCAGCTCCCCAAAGACCGTCGTTCGCGTGCTGCTTGATATCCGAGCCCGCATTGCCAGGTTTGGTGGGCGCACTGGTACCATAAGCCCAGCCCATGACTTGTGCTGCAGACTTGGTCGTGGCGGGAACCTGGGAGCCAGCCACGCCGTCTTGGCTCCATCTCCAGCATTCTTCGCAGCGGTACGTGATCTCGTAGTGTGTCTTGTTGCTGGATTGTGAGATGACGGAGAGCGTTGCGTTGCCAGTATAGATGTCCGGAGCCACGTAGCCGGAGGCATATCTGAACGAAGTCTTGACCTCATCTCCATCTGGCCAGGTGACAAGAAGCAGTGCGCCAGTCATGCCGCTGTTGTGGGTCAACCCCATCCAAGTTCCCGAGTCCGCCTTCGGGACTACGAGATGGCCAATGTATTCGTTTTCAAGCGCGCTCGCCGTTGCTGGTGGGAGGGCCATACCCCATTGCGCCTTGCCCGGAGTACCTTTGACGGCGGTGTCGAACGTGGCCTGCCAGAAATCGATGCCATTTTCGTCGGTGTAGGGCGCGAAAACCTGCGCGAGGGTGCCAGCTGCGGGCAAAAGAGTGGATGCGAGGTGAGAGAACTTCATCTTGCCTCGCCGGGAGGGGTTTGAAAGGTGCGCTGCACCGTGGAAAGGGACTGAGCGAATGTGGTGAAAGAAACGAATGTGGGCTCTCAAGAGAGCAGCGAACGAAAGACAGCAGAATGTGCTTACCGTTTGCACAGCAGGCTGGCGCCCAAAGCCTTATATACAGAGCGCTAGGGATTATATCGCAGTGCATCCTACGGCGGCTTCCCGATGCACACAGTGAAGCACGTATAGTGCTCGGCGGTCTCGTGAGAAAGGCTACCGCCGCCTTCCATGAGATCTGGAACCCAGGACCGGGCGCCCTGCAAGATGCTGGTATCATTATCTGTATTTGGCTGTCCCATGTTAATGAGGAGAATCCGCCGGAGTGTCACAAGGTGGTCTGTGTGCGTTCGAGATTCAAGCGATGAGGTTCGCGTGGCAGAGGTGTTTCAGCGAAATTGCGGCCGCGGGCAAGACCTCGAATTCTTCCGGCCAGAAGGTGTGCAGTATATATCTGTAGGTTACACTGCTGCAGCTAGAGAACAAGGCCATCTACTGCAATAGACACCTCGCAGTAAACTCCTGTGCAACATCGAGGACGACTTGTAGCGGGGACAAGGCCCAGCGTGCCTGCTGCAGGGCTCTGCAATGAAGAATGAACAGCGATGCGAATGTTGACAGCGGCTGGCACAGCTTTGAAATTCCTCAGAAGGCTCATCGCCTCCACGGAGGCAGTCAACAGCTTCTTAGTAGTCTCTCCTGGTATCGAGAACGTTTGTGTGGCAGATGCCGGCGTTGTGCAACTGTCACCGCGGGGCTTCATCTCGAGACGACCGATATCATCCCCTCCCTTGTGCTGCTGCACTGTCTCGACAAACCAGCCACAACCATGGATGGCCGTGCACTGGCTCAACGGCAAACCTGCTTGTTCGACCAGGAGAGGTGAAGTTGATGAGAAGGTGTTTCTCGAGCAGAATGAGAGAGAATGGACCCTTGAAACTAGGCTTTGCGCTACTCTGGTCGTGTGGGGAAGACGCGCGGGGAACCAATGGAGACCTCGTGACCATGCCCAGCTGCCAGCTGTACGTAGGTACCTCCTTCTAAGCAGGTAGAGAAGTATTTTCTCCCTCCTGACACCACTGCAACTTCAGCAGAACAAGTCACAACCACAATACCGGCAAAATGAGTGCAATCTACGAGGAGCCTGGGGACGCTGGCGTGGTCAATGAGCCCGTCAAGGTGTTAATCGCGCTCCACGAAGGCATGGATGCTATGGACGTTGTTGGACCATTGGAAGTTTTTTCGTGGGCTATGCACCAGCCAAAGAAGCCGGGTACGATTGTATGCCCCTCCTAAGCTGTGATCGTTTTGGCTAATGGAAGTACATAAACAGAAACCAAAGCCTTCCGCGTCATCTTCGCTGCTGAAGGAGAGGAGGTCACCAGCGCTCAGGGCGCTACCTTCAACGCCCACATGTCCTTCGCCGAAGCTATGAAGCGTCTCGCTGAAATTGACGTCCTCGTCATCCCTGGCGGCGGCACCGAGGCCATCCTCAAGTCCAAGGGCCAGCCGCTGCCATTGATCAAGCAGTTCGCTGAGACCCAGAAGAAGCAGCCACACCGCGAGCGTACCTTGATGAGCGTCTGCACCGGGTCCATGTTCCTCGCCGAGTGCGGTGTTCTGGCCGGCTTGAGCGCTACCACGCACCCAGACTACGTCACCAAGCTGGAGATCCTGTGCTCCAACGTCGCCATGCGTGACATGGCCGACCGCTGCGACGTCACCGAGCAGAGGTACGTGGTCAACAACCTCCGCTTCGATCTCGGCGAAGACGAAGAGTCCAACCCATACATCATGAGTCGCAAGGAGTACAAGGAGCACAAGCGCCGGAAGAGCTCGGCCGGCGGCCCACCATCTCCCATCGAGGAGCGCTCCAACGGTGCCAGGCCATCGGGCGGACGCAAGGGCAGCATGAGCTGGAAGGCTAGCAACAACCGCCGCGAGAGTGTGCTCAAGCGCAGCACTTTGCGTCTGGGCGGCTTGCGTGTCCTTACCACTGGTGGTGTCACTGCTGGCATTGATGGTGCTCTCTACATGGTTGGAGCTCTGGTCAGCGATGACGCTGCTGATGAGGTTGCTCGCGTCATGTGTCACAAGTGGGTCAAGGGTATGGTCGTTGATGGGACTGATGTTTAAGCGATGGTGTTGGTAGGCGCTGATGGTGCCATGTCGAGGAAATGTAAGGCTAGATGGCAATGGTATGGTCTGTTCTGAGAACACACAGAAGTGATGGCTAGCTCAGTAGAAGCTATAACGAATGAGATGCCTTTGCACGAATACAATCCATTTGTTTGCTACCACCGTCTGGTCGTCTTGTGATTCTTCCCGTCACGACTGCCGAAAACAGCCATCGTCACGTGACCAGCCATTGAAACGGACCGCGGGCCCCGTTCTCTCCGTCGAGCCCCTCCAACCACCAAACCTTGGAGGTGGCGTGAGAGTTGCGCGCAGTAAGCGACCAGCACGTGCAAATTCCTACATTGTCGAGCTTTCTTACAACCAGTATGCAGCGGCGATGAATCAGCGAATGCCGAAATGTACCGCATCTCTCCGGCTCACCACACCCTCCCCTTCTGAGAAGGCCGCAGTACCCGCGCGGTCCTCTCTCCTTGATACATAGCTAGACATGGCGACCAACGGACACTCGAATCTCAAGCGCTCCGCGAGCCTGGATGATCATGAGGACGGGGACGACAATCAGGAGCATGGCGGGCGCCAACGATCACGAGCGGCTTGTGCGCCTTGTCGGCAGAGGAAGAGGAAATGGTAGGTCCAATGCTTTCGATGTCCTATGGGATTCGAGAAAGCAAAAGTCACAGAAATTTTTGTGTCTCTGCGCCATACGATCTACTTTGCCTTGTCAACTTGTCAATCTTTGATAGCGTAAACTGACACTCGATAGCGACGGCAAGGTCCCATGCGCCACATGCGTGAGATATGAATACCAATGCGAATACACATCCTCCAAACGTGCCTCCATCCATGCAAATGGCGACGTCTCTCAAGAGCCGCCGGCTCCGGCTCCCGTCGGTCACACGCAACCCAGCATGCTGCAACTCCAGGCCCATCCGCTCACCGCGCCCGGCGCGAGGTTCCACCACCGCGGTATCCTAGATCCGAGCAAGACGCGCTTCGTGAGAGCCAACTCGGCCATTGCCTTCCCGCGCATTCTAGGAATGGACTTTGAGTCTGAGAGTATCCCTCGGCTGCACTCGTTTGCGTGGCATCTGGGCATTCGAAGAGAGCATCCTGATCCGTTGATGGAGATCACTTCCATCTTGACGTGGGCGGACATGCAACATTTGGCTAAAGCTTACTTCAATATCGTGAAGCCTGAAATTGGGCTGCTGGATGAGTCTGATTTTGTTGAGCAAGCTTCAGCTCGGTTCGCCAACCCTCAAGGTGATAGCGAGGTTGATGCGGTCCTGCTTGGAGTAGCTGCTTTAGGTTCCTTCTTCTCACCAAATCCTCATCCTAAGGAGGAAGACTTCGTGAGCCATGCGAAGAAGGTGCTGGATAAGCGAAGCATGGTCCGCTCGCCGACGTCGAATAGTGTCTTTGGCTGGATCTTGCGCACACTGTACTTGCGCTTGATGTCGAGACCGCACTCCGCTTGGGTCGCAAGCTCTGTGGCGATGCATCAAGTCGAAGCCTGCGGTCTGCACAAGGAGATGCAGACGATTGCGGTTGTCTACCCTGCAGCTCCAACGGGCGACCACAAGTTGGCCAAGATCAGGCGACGATTATTCTGGATGGCTCGAGCTCTGAACATCATCTTCTCCTTCGAGTATGGGCGATCAAGAGTCAACTTTGACGTTGTCACAACGAAGAGATTTGCAGCTGACAGCAGCGGCTACTCACATCAGCTGGTCGAGCTCGCAGATTTACTCCCAAGCGACTACGTCGACAGAGAACGAGAGCCTGATCCACCCGCAGCGCTGAGCTCCGCCCTGACCAAAATCGAAGAACTCCAATCCGAATCCTCCTTCATCAACATGCTAAAAGCCGACCTCGCATTCGCCATCTACCGCCGCCTCTGGCTCATGTCCCTCACCGACGCCAAAGACCGCGCCGACTCCGTCCTCACCCTCGGCAAAGCCGCCTGCGCCGCTTCCGCAACAATGCTCGAAGCGCGCATCCCCTGGTGGAACGTCCTCACCACCCCCTTCCAATACCTCTGCACTGTCCTGGCCATGGACACGCCTAAGTCGCTGAACCAAGTCTCTGACGCTATGACGTTGATGTACCGCATCAGTCAGGTCTACGACACGCACATGGTCCGCGAAGCTTACAACCAGGCGGCCTCGCTGGTCAAGATGTCCCGGGCGCGGAAGGAGAGGGAGCTGGAGGCGCTGAGCTCTTTGCCTGAAAGGCCGCCTTTCGAGGACCATCCGTCGACTGCAGCGTCGGCGACGATGACGGAGGTGCCGAGTATTGATTGGTCGACGGTGGATTTGCCGTTTGAATGGGATATCTTTTTGAACCCGGACCTGGTTATGTCGAGCCAGCAAGGGCAGAGTGCGGTTGATGCCGCTTTTGGAGGGCAGCTTGGGTTCTAGGCCGGTCAGTTTTGCTCCCTTAGGAAGTGGCCTCAAACTGTCGACATATGGACGACTATCACGCTAGTGGCACCTGTACATCGGCTTCTTGGCGTACATCCAATTTTGGCGCTCATGGCCTATGGCCAGATGGCTCGCTGATGCCTTCGATCGCAGAGCGGCGAGCGCGGAACAGTCACAATAAAGCTCAATGTAGCCCAGTACATCCACTCTGGCTCCGGCTGTGTTCTTAGAAAGAACGTGCTCATAACATCATGGCCACAAAGAGTGCCATCATTCGGAACTTCAGCATTAGAGCGACGGCAATCAAGGCGTTCCTACGAGGCCACTCGTCAAGGTCCCGTGCGTGTGCCGAGGCCACGCCTCAACGACAGTAAATTAGTACCTATCGAAGAACCCAAATTTTGGCTGGTGGTCGAAAGGCGAAGAGGAAATGACTGGTTCGCTTCACCCTCCAGTTGGAGACATCTTGCATTCTGGTGTGCTTAACCCCAACTCGACGCCTGGTATAACGCCAAATCTAACGCTATGCAATCAACAGCACCCAATGCTACAGTTCTACAGGCCCAGCGGGTTCTGCCCACTCTGAGTCTTGCCACCGACGCGTTCACCACCGGGAAGCTCGCTATCCGGCTTGTTCTTGTCCTCTCCGTCGCCAATGCCGTGCTCCTTCTTCGCCTGATCTTTGACATTTCCGGCAGCGTCTCCTGCGGGCCCGGTTACTTGCCCGACAACCTAAGCAAGAAGACGGTGGTTAGCATATGTCGTCGACAGCCGGGGCTTGCGTTGTCAGGAAGGATCACTCAAGCAAGTGACAGTGGACGCAACCCAGTGGGCAGATCTAACGGTCTTTTTCCCAGATCCAACCGCAAAAAGGTGGGCCATACGACACTCCTTGACGGGCTGTCATAGCCTGTGTGAAGATCCATCACACCGCTCATTTTACGATGTTGGGCCGATTCCACGGTTTCTTGTTGCCGCGATATGGATTGGAGATTACTTACATGTCCGACTGGCTTCAGCCCTTTGTCCAGCACCTGTCCAACGGTATCGCCAACGGGAGAGAGTATGCCTGCCGGTAGAGTAAGTCTGACGCAAGCATGCAGGTCGATATCGTCAAGCCATTCTTACCCTTCTGTTCTGCCGGAAGGGGTCCGCTAGGAGCGATATTAGGCATCCAGCTCGTGAGCCAATTAAACATGGTTGATGGTGTCAATGTGTATCTTGTTCTTCAATGGTGTTTTCTGATGCTGAGATGATGGGCAATGAAAGATTTGGGGGGTAGATGAGTTGCTATCTTCGGCTTGTTGGACATGAGCACAAGATGCGAGATGACGAGCACTCGCCACATGATTACTTTGCTGGACCACACCACAAAAGCCGAATCGGATGCATACCATGTCTCACGGGCCAACCAAACGACGCTTGTTCCACTCTTTGAACAAGGATGAAGCTTCCCCTCTTGAGCTCGCAAAGCTCTCTGCCAGCATCCTTTATAAGAGTAGCCGCGGAATTTTTGTTCTTCTTCCATTACGACAATCATCGATAGCGACGAACAACAATCAAAGAGATATTCAGAGTACCGGTAACTTCATCACAAACTACCACAGCTCCTGCTCATCGTCCGACGAACGCAAGCTGACTGATTCAAGCATATATCCAACTCCATTCTGTGTGTCCGCCGACGCCATGTGGCATCGATTCTTGTTCGATCATGGGCACTGTCCATCGAACTACCAAGCAGGTATTCATTGATAATGATGCATGAGCCGGTGCTCGGGTGTCCGGATCGGAGGTGGCTGCTGTCCGTCAACAGACGTTGAGCACCACCTTCGAGGCGGACACCCTTGCTGAGATTAGACGGCAGAACTTGATCAAGACAATGCTTGCGCCAAGAATCATGCCATCATGCTCCCTAACATGTCCATTGGCAGCAGGACTAACATTCGCAGGTGACTGAAACATCATGGCCCCACCAGCAGCATTGGTCGACCTTCAAGACCCGGCCACCAATGGCCACAACCCAGCCAAGTCAGCAAAGGTAGCTGCCGTGCCTCATACGACCGCCGTTCCGGCCAACGGTGCTGCCACCAAGCAGGAAACCATCGAGGAGATGGCCGGCCAGTGGTCCGACTTCCGCTTTGCTCCTATCCGTGAGAGCCAGGTCTCGCGTGCTATGACCCGTCGCTACTTCTCGGACCTTGACAAGTACGCTGAGAGCGATGTCGTTATCGTTGGAGCTGGCAGCTGCGGCTTGTCTACGGCCTACTGCTTGGCCAAGGCTCGACCGGACCTCAAGATTGCCCTCATCGAGGCTTCTGTCTCGCCGGGTGGAGGAGCTTGGCTTGGTGGACAGCTTTTCAGCGCTATGGTTATGCGTAAGCCGGCTGATGCATTCTTGAGAGAGATCGGGGTGCCGTAAGTCAGCTCTCAACAACTACACATGCCATAGTACTGATGAAGATGAAGATATGAGGACATGGACGCCAACTTCGTCGTGGTCAAGCACGCTGCCCTCTTTACCAGCACAATCCTGTCGAAGGTGCTCCATTTCCCGAACGTCAAGCTCTTCAATGCTACCGCCGTGGAGGACCTCATCACTCGCAAGACTGACGACGGTGGTATCCGCTTGGCTGGCGTCGTGACCAACTGGACCCTCGTGAGCATGCACCACGATGATCAGTCCTGTATGGACCCGAACACCATCAATGCTCCAATCGTTATTTCCACGACTGGTCATGACGGACCATTCGGCGCCTTCTCCGCCAAGCGTCTCGTCTCCATGGGCGGTCTTCCTGCTCTCGGCGGCATGCGTGGCCTCGACATGAACACTGCTGAGGATGCCATCGTCAAGGGCACGCGTGAGATCGCGCCGGGCTTGATCATTGGCGGCATGGAATTGTCTGAAGTTGATGGAGCGAACCGAATGGGACCGACGTTCGGCGCGATGGTTTTGTCTGGCGTGAAGGCCGCTGAAGAGGCTTTGAAGGTCTTCGACCAGCGCAAGCAGGAGTGCAGCGAGGAGATGGCTGTGTAAGGGGCGGATGCCAGCTCAAGGGCATACGTGTACGCTTCGCAAGAGAATGAGCAACATGCGTTGAGTCGCTGGTATGGAAGGCAAATCATTCGTTAGGCGCAGACTTAGACTAGCAACATCAATATGCGCCCTCTGCTGCCAGTACAATCTCACAGTCACTCGTGATTCGCTCCCTCGCCAGTCTTCGAGGTGGCTTGTGCTGATTCCGCACGTGACCGTCGATCCTGGTGTTCAACTCGAGCTTGGATACTGCGCCTCAACCCCTTCAAGTTACCCGAGCCTTGATGAGACATGGCGCACCCATGGCCATGTCGTATGGCACCTAGGCTACCATCATTTTTGGCGAGAAGGATTGCGATGGTCTCGGTGAACCGCCAGTTAGGTGCGTCGTAAGGCTGTGAGAGGCCTACCTAAGGGAGGAAGGCTTGCGACGCCTAGCCATTCTCCTGGCCTGGTGTCGCCGGGGAAGTGCTCTGAACGCAGAGCGGGCAGTTTTGTTGCTCCCATTTCCGTCAACTTGTACATCCTAGACCGTTTGCAGGCCGGAAGTGCTTATGTTCCATACGACATCGAGTCGTGGCTCCGGAGGGACATCATGTTCAGCTCTGCGAGACGGTAGGTGTATATATCTCTCTGCTCCACCCATCTCATGAGCAAGACCGCAATACACCCACCTTCCATTTCCGAGTCCCTTCTCAAGCACAAACTCTTCTCAACAGCATTGAACGTTGCAATGGGCCAATGCAAAGGTATGTCTTCCTCGAGACCTCTCCCTCCTCTACTGACCAAAAGTTCAAGCCATAAGCGATCTGCACAGTGTATGGCCGGACTTCTGTCCAAGCCTTCCAGCTGCCTACCTCTACACCGTACTTTTCGGCATCACCACCATCGCGCACGCCGTGCAGATGTTCCTTCATAGGAAACCGTACAGCTTTGTCATTACCTTCAGTGGAGCGTTGCAGACGGCGGCATACGTCCTTCGAGTTCTGAGCATTCAGAATCCGGCCAGCGTGGGATTTTATACGTACTGGTTTGTTATCATGATGGTTGCACCCATTTGGACCAATGCCTACGCTTACATGGTGAGTACATCAACATCGTACTGTGAAGCAAAGCTGACCAGTGACTAGGTCATGGGCCGCATGGTGTACAACTTCACGCCCAGCGCATCTGTCTTCAAAGTCAAGGCATGGCGATTCGGCCTCATCTTTGTTCTGCTGGATATCCTTGCCTTCTTGGTGCAAGTTGCTGGAGCCATCATGGCTAGTGGGGAGAAGAAGAGTACGGACACAATCATGGCAGGCTTGCACATCTACATGGGCGGCGTTGGCTTCCAGCAGCTGTGCATCTTCTTCTTTCTAGCACTCGCCGTTCGCTTCCACAGGAGACTCCAACGCGAGCCGCCGTCAGCTAATCGATCTCGAGGGTTGTTGCTGCTGTACGTCGAGTACGCAGTGGTCGGGCTGATCACTGTTCGTATCATTGTAAGTTACCTGAAGATCTTCTGCGTGATCAACGCTGACCGCACACAACAGTTCCGCCTGATCGAATACAGCAACGGACTGGAGTCAACGATTCCTAGGAAAGAAGCCTACCAATACGTCTTCGACTCCACCGTCATGCTCATAGCTCTGGTTCTTTACAACGTCTGGCACCCAGGGCGACTCATGCCCGGTCAAGAGTCGAATCTTCCCAGTCGCAAAGTGCGGAAGACGTGGAAGCGAGACGGCATACAACCTCATGGTCGACTTACCGACGATCTTCTGCTTCCAAAGTATCGGTCCGCAGCAGCTTCTGGCGAAAACCTGACGGGGGTTGATACGTCTGGGCAGTACATTAGGATGGCGACACCGCAGCCTTCGCCGTAGACTGCTTGCTTGGGAATGACGAAGGTACCACGATGATAATTAGTTCGATAGAGAGAGAGAGGAGTTATGGATCATCGTACGCTCACGCAAATCGATAGATGGCTCTGATTGGACGTTTTCGAGTGAAGGCAGCAAGTGGACCTATGTATATAATGGTTATACATAGGAATTCGATGGGGGATAGATCAGATATTATGGTAGTGCCTGCAAACGTCTCTTAATATCGTCTGCAAGGACAGCTCGGTGAACTGGTCAGGACTGTTGCTGTTGTACGTTGTGTTTGCCTTGAGAGTTTTGCGATGACGCTCCGCGGCATTTTGAGTTTAGCCCAACGTTGGCATTGAACCAGGTTTACATCCAGCCTCCTTGAGCCTTTGGTCCTTCTTTGCAACAGACTCATCAGCAGCTGCAGTGATCGCGAGATGCGGCATACCATATTGACGGGCCTGGTGGTCCTCTTCAGCTTCGGCCAAGCTGCGATTGTTCCGATAGCACACCAACAGGAGGCACTCATGTCGGACTCAAGCGTCGTGCGCAAGCCGGACAGCGGAGTTGGCCACTTTTCAGAATGGTCCAGACAGACCAAAAAGGAGTTTCTAATGGAATGGCAAGAAGACAAGGCGCACGAATGGATCTTCGTGATGGGCAACGAAGCGGGCGACCTTGACAGCGTCACTTCCGCTTTATCGTGGGCGTACCACTTGGAGCACAAGTCGCAAAACGATTCGGATCCGATGAAGGTCGTTGCATTACTCCAGACACCCTCCGATCAGCTCGATCTCCGTCCCGAGAATAGCCTTGCTTTGGCCGACTCGAAGATGTCCCCTGAGCATCGTGACTTGCTGACCATCAACGAGCTTCCGGAAGATGTCGAAACGCTAAGCCGCAAAATCAAAGGCATCATCCTGGTCGATCATCCCGCGCCGCTGCGTAGATGGGAGGATGCTACTGTGCTTGGAATCATAGACCACCACGAAGATGCAGGAGCTGCTCCAGACGCGCCCCTTCGCATCTTCGAAAAGACAGCAAGCTGTACTACTATTGTGGCACGCGAGATGCTCGATGAACTGGAAGAAATGGACCAAGAGTATCATATGCCGCATGAGTTGTTGCAGCTTATGCTCGGCGCCATTGCCATCGACTCCGACGGCCTCAATCCCAAGAAAAGCATCGACACAGACAAAACCACTTCGGAGCGTATAATCAAGCGCAGCCGCTGGAATGACAAGGATCTAATGGACGTCATGGATGACCTCGATGACAAGCTCGGTGATGCTAAGAAAGACCTCGACCATCTAGGGGTTCGGGATCTGCTCAGAAGGGACTGGAAGAACCTCTTCGTCGACACGCCCTCCCCGCGGACACCCACGGTCCGCCTCGGCCTTGCTTCTATTCCTATTGGAATGGACGAACAGATCAAGCGAACCGAGTGGGAGCAAGTCTTCAACTGGTTTGTGATTCACGCAGCATGGACGGCAGAAGTCAGCGTAGACATCAGCGTTTCTTTGAGCAAGTACAAAATCAAAGACCCCGAGACGGGCAAGAAGAAGAAGATTCGTGAGATCGTTCTCGCTGTGCGAGACGATATTCGCGTGGATGAAGACCAGGCTGATGAGCTGTTCGATGTTGTGTACAAGGCGATTGAGCAGGATGAGAAACTTAACGTCAAGCCATGGCATGCAAATCAGAAGCTTAGGAAGAGACAGATGGTATGGACGCATGAGTATTCGGATGGGGGGAGGAAGTATGTCCAGCCGCTTGTTGAGAAGGCTGTGCTAGGGTGGAAGTAGTGGTGACGAAGCGTCAATAGGACGATGTATACTACAAAGTAGAGCACAAGGACTCTGCTTCTCTGAATGTAGACGCCATGCTAAGTTCCAGCTGAAGTGGCAGTCAGACCTTGCCTCCTCCTTGACACGATGGCTTACTGTCCAACCTGGCATTGGGTTTTCCTCTCTCTGTTGGCTTAGAGGACTACACAGCTTGCCGGCCTGTTTCCTTCTCTCTGTAGGACAATCTCATACCCTGAGTAAAATTCTCAATGAGATCACAATTTATCCAAGTCGAGCATGCGGAGACTGACACTTCTTTGGTACGAGGTCTGACGTCTTGCTGGCAGAGAATTGTGTCAGATTACTTGACAGCCGAGATAACTTTTGCTATTCATATCATCAAAGCTACGTTACACGTCAATATCATCCACCATCTACACACCCTCAGCAGCACCAGTCAAAGCCTCAAGCACACCGTCATAAGCCGCCTTCTTAACGAGCGGGTGGTTGGCACCATGCGGCTGGAAGAAGAGATCGGCGTAACCCTGCCCGGCAAAGGTGGACGGAACCCAGCTGTAAGTGTCGTCGAAGTCCCAGACAACGATACCAACGCAGCCAGCGACGTCGACACAGGACTTGACGCTGTCGTAGTAGTCCTGGACTTGCTGTGTCTGCTCGGCTGCGCTAGGTGGCAGAGTAGCGCGGACGTCAAGCTCGGTGATGACGACCTCGACGCCTTCTCTGACGAAGGCACGCTTGGTCTGCAGTTGCTGGTGGTAGCTTGGGGTCGAGCCTGACATGCGGTTAGCATGAGAACTCGGGATGGCAGACAGGCATAGATACGTACCAACGATGAAGTGGCTCTCAAGACCAACACCGTCGATTTGGATGCCACGGCCCTTCAGCTCAGAGACAAGGTTCAAAGCGGCAGTAGTCTTCGCGCCAGGAGACTCAATGTTGTAGTCGTTGTAGTACAGCTTGACCTTGAGACCGTTCTTCTCGATGACCTTTTGGGCGGCAGCGAAAGCCATAGGCACATACTCGGGACCAATGTTGTTGAACCAGACATTCTTCTGATAATCACCGGCCGGGGAGTCTGCGAAGGCCTCGTTGACAACGTCCCAAGAGTAGCAGCGGTCGCCGAAATGCTCCACGAGGTTCGTTACGTGGTTCACAAGCACCTTGGACAAGGTCTTGTTGGTCCACGGGGTGGCCGGGTTATTCACCCAGTTGGGAAGCTGAGACTGCCAGATGAGATTGTGGCAGCGGACCTGCTTGCCATATTGCTCCGCAACGTCCAGGAAGTAGTCACCGCCGGTGAAGTTGAAAGAGTTTTGTTCTGGCTCGGTGGCATCGAACCTGGGATGGGTTAGCACGGATCGTGAGAGCTCTCTCTCATGGGCTGTACGGACTTCATGATGTTTGCCGGGGCTTCAGGTAAAAGACGTCAGCATTCTGTCCTGTCTGCAAAGGTGCGAAGCAACGCCATGTCCCACGTGATCCGACTTACTCGCTTCTCCGAAGTCATGAGGGCTCTTGAACTCCCTAATGCATCGAACTCGTCAGCCAAGGTTTCATGTGCGTTGCTGATGCATATCAGTCGCCAGCGGACTCACCGAAAGTAGAACTTGTCTTGTGCCTCGCCTGTACCCGGAATGTCGACCGCGGTACCAAACCAAAGCTTGCCGGCTTGCTTAGCGGCATCGTTAAGACCGAATGCCTTGTTCGTAGCGGTAGCAAGGAGAGTCGTAGTTGTTGCCGAGACATCAGTGGTCTTTGCAGGTGCTGGGGCAGCAAAGGCTGCACCCGCCAGCGCGGCGACAGTTGCAAGAGAACGCATAGACATATTGAATGATGGATGGATCTGGTGATGGTGAGAAGGAAAAGAGCCTGCTTCGCCCTTGAAGAGGTCTTGATATATACTTGCCACGAGGTCAATTAGCCTGGACGAGATCTTCTGCGAATGCTACAAGGAACGCCACATCGAACAACACTTCGTGACTTCGAGCCCGGATAAATGATGGAAGCGTTTTCAAGACACCACAAGCCGCGGGCTTGAGGCTTGTTGTGGATAAGACGGGAGCCAGAGAGGCAAGCGATGTGCTTGGTCGATTTGCCGGAGCTTGGATGTGCAGCCACGGGGTTGAGGAGATCCCCACAAGCCATGCAGCAGGCTAGGAACTGGGTTAGTGGGGTTTTTGCGATTCGTTGGGTAAATCGAACAGTCCTCGATGTGAGCCGCATTAAGAGACATCATGACATAGCGGACACGTTCGACGGAGGGCCCTCTTGATTTATTGTGTGTTCGAGTGTGGTTCGTAATGGCGAGCTTGGATGAGATCCAGATCCAGAAGACGTACACCCACAGCATCGGCATGTCTCCATGGCACGAGTGTGGGGACTACTCCCGGCATTCTGCGTGATTTTCTGGACAGCCGCAATACTCGCCACAGTGTGGGTACATTTCGAGTCTCGAATCTCTGCTGAACCGAGCGAGTTGCCCAAATCAGGGTGTAGAGTTCGCTCTCGTACAAGGAATAGATTGTCGCAACTATCTGGACTGCTGAAGTCCACTCGACCGACGGATAAAGAGGATGGATCTCATCTGGAGTGGAACCAATATTGCTGGTTGTCGATCGCTGGTCGAATTCTAGGGCTACACTAGCTAGGGGATCCTGGATGCGGATCCAGGCGATTGATCGCTGTAACAGTAACTGTTGTAGCACAATCAAGTGGCATACAGGCACGTATAGCACAAGCATGGTCCGTCTGGCGATTCTTCATCGTTCCTGGCTTCAATAGTCTTCGGCGGTGTCGAGTCTTCATGTCAACGTTGCAGTAGGTGAGTGGTGAGTGTATTGGCGTCGTTCTATCCACCGGGTAGGACAGCATGTCTTCTACCATCCATTCGGTGCTGTAGGCAAAACAATCCATCCCAAATGGTGATGAATGGGGGCGCCGCTAATGTCCGGTAGACGTGTAAGTCGAAGCGCTTCTAGGTCGCCCAGTGGGTATAAGCAGAAGCGTGGGCTTGCTCGTCGCAGGGTCTTAGGTCGTTTATCTTCGTCGGCAGAGGAACTCAGACAATGGGATCGGCACCCCTGTCGTCATTCGGCATGCGCATGTAGGCATCGATCGCAGCAGAGAACGCTGCGAACCCAGCGCAGCCCACCACCATTGCTTGCGGCCCGGCACTCTTCGCCAGAAAGCCACCCGTGAAGCATCCAGCCGCGACGCCATTCGACAGATCGTTCTTGCCCCGATATCCTTCAATCACACACTCTGACCCGGCGAACAGCGCCCCAATGTATCCAAAGTTCTTCGCCGAGCTGAAGGCACTGCGGCCCATATCCTTGAAACCGTGTCGAAGCTGTTCGCGGACCGGTAGATCGGAGATGGTTCCCACGCCGCCGGGCATCCCAGATGACATTGGAGTGTCGTAGCGCATACTGGACATGAAGACGCCGAACATGCCTCCCAGCCCGAAGCCCATGGTCCCAGCTATTACTGTCTTGACGGGGCATGACTCCATTGCTGCTTGCATCTGGAGTAGTAATTAGGATGATGTGGTAGTTGTAACGGGGAAGGAGGACGAACGTATTTGACCATTTGCATCTGCTGCATTTGTTCCGGATCCATGCTTTGCTGCTGGCCCATGCCTCCCATACCGCCCATACCTGGTAACGCCATTGTTCCGGCGACGACTTGCTACACCTATCAATGAAGTACTGATAGAAGGATCGTCAGACGGAGTATCTTGTGAACCGACACGAGATCGCGCTCATCCGAGCTAAGCGGAAAGGAGATGCAGCCGCCCAAGCCGCCAAGACCCCATATCACCTCAACGTCGCCTGTTACACTTTCTTTCTTTCCACTCTACGTATAGCATGCGAGGGTTCATCTTCGACCATGTGTTTCACCATAACGATAGGTCTGGCTGTTCGTGTCTATAGAGCGCATTGAAAGAAAAGAACTCCAACTACGAGAGCGGAAAAGAGATGATCACGCCACGACGCGTACGAAAGACCTATGACTACGATAAGTCTTCCAACCCCTTCAATTCATCTTCAGTCCACTTCCACAGCCTCTCCGCCAGATCCTTGTCTCGACCAGCATCAGCCAAACCCGAAGTCTGACCTTTCTTTCCTGCCTTCTTTCCTACTGGGTCATAGTACGCACCATTTTCCACGCTCCCCTTCGGCGCTGTTGCCGCCCAGAGCGCGTTGTACGCTCCCTGCTCTGCTGAGGAGTACAATGGCGTCCAGGTCAATGATGTCAGGATGCTGAACATGAAGGATGGCTCAACGTTGTCTGCCAGATTTGTTCGCACGAGCCCTGGATGTACCGAAACGCTGGTGATCTGCGGATAATGCTTCGCCATGCTCTTCGCGAGGAGGATGTCTGCGAGCTTACTTTGGCCATAGCGCTGCAAGGCTGTCCCAGCATCAGGTGTGCGGAGGCTGTCGAAGTCGATACCGCCAGGAAGATGCACCGTGTGGCCGAACGAGCTCAACATAACCAGACGCGCGTCAGAGTCTGGACTACTCTTTGCAGTCTTGACCATGAGGGGACGCAGTAGTTTCAACAGGATGGCGTGGCCGAGATAATTGCTGGTGAACTGTATCTCGAATCCCTCGGCACCCAGGGCGGGCGGAACCGCCATGATGCCAGCGTTTGCGATCAGTATGTCCAAGCGTGATGACTTGAATTGATCTTGGATGCTGTTCCGGATGTCCTCTCGCGAAGCGGAAAGGTCACACTTGATGAAAGTAACAGCACATCGCGGTGAAGACTGCTTCGCCTCTGCAATGATTCCAGCTCCAGCTTGAGCGTTGCGACCAGTGAAGTATATCTGTTCTGGGCTGTGTTTCGCAAGCTCAAAGACAGCGGCTTTGCCAATGCCAGCGGTACCTACATCATTGTCAGTGCATTGGCGACAGGATAATGGCTGCGAGCGGTGTGTCGTACCTCCAGTGATGAGGATCACCTTGCCGGAGAGATCAGGTATGTCTCTTTCTGGGTTGTACTTCATTTTTGGAAATTTCTCGATAGTGTAGTCGTCTCTAACCTGCTGCTGAGTGTTCTGCTGCTTGGTAGTGCTGTTGGAGAGGGAGGATTGGAATATATGCACTCGGTCTGACGGCGCTCCATGATCCGCCTATCCGATATCACAACTTAATGCTACGCCTGCCTCAAACATCACCGCATTCTCATTGTCAAGCTGAGGCGCGGGTGCGGAATGTTTTGATTCCTATCCGCCGTCGATTGGCGAAGCTGCTTTACGGACGTAAGTGTCCTAGGGTCGGTGGCTGTCTCTCCCTCCGAGCACTGCGGATGTTGGAGGTTAGTAAGTTCCGAAGACTCCCATGGAGCTTGCTTTGACAGTGAGACGATTTCAATCAAGAAAGACACCAGCACATGCCGCATGTAGTTGTTCAAAGAAAGGCAACTATGTAGGTTACTACAGTGGTAGCGGAATTGAGCCGACAGAGTCTCCAACAATGCCTCGGCATCCCGACCGCCCGCTTTCACGACCACGTCCAGATCCATCTCGTCCTACTCTACTCTTTTGCGTCGGCAGACTCCCTAGGTTGGTTGTTTCTGTATCATGAGCCTTGGAGCGTATATCTGTTAGACGGTGTGGTTTTGCATTTTCATACGTCCGCATACATCTCCTAACGATCTAGACAAGGACACAACAGAATGGCTCTAGGTATCATGCCTTGCTGCGAGGTATACAGGTGACTGACGCTGACTCAATCCTTTAGCAGCGGCAGCGGCAGGTGGTTTGGCTGCAGCCGCGTATCTGGACGGCAAATATCAGCTACGCCGAGACATCAATCACATCCGCAGCCTCAAGAGAGCCGAGCGGGACTACAACAGACGAAGTAGGCCATCTCCACCTTGATTCAGCAACTTTACTAACAACGAGACCAGCAAAAGCAGACAAGCTATCGCCATGGTACTTCCTCGAAGAGACCTGTGCCCGCCAGCCCGCCTCTCGCGCAATCTGGACCCGTGAACGAAGCTGGACGTACAAGGAAGTAGGCGACTATGTCCTCCAGCTCGCCCAATGGATGCTGGACGAAGGTATCCGGCCAGGCGATCTTGTAGCTATCTACCTCCACAACTCTGCCGAGTTCCTGATGCTCATGTTCGCCACGCTGGCAATTGGCGCCGGTCCGGCAATGATCAATTACAACCTTGAAGGCAAAGCGCTGATGCACTGTCTCGCAGTGGCGAACAGCAAGCTTCTGATCGTCGACACTGACGCAGACTGTCAGCGCCGCGTTGAAGGCAGCAGAAGCGAGATCGAAGCTGGAGGAGCCAAGATCGTGACGCTGGATTCTGATCTCAAGCAGAAGATCGGCTCGCTGCCTGTCGTCCGACCTCCAGATGAGCTTAGGAACGGAATGACTGGCGCCTGGCCTTACGCACTCATCTACACCAGCGGCACGACCGGTCTTCCTAAAGGAGCGCCGTTTACTGTTGGCCGCATGGTCCTCGCTGGCGCCCATCTCGAGCCTGGCTTTGGTGCCAAAAGCGGAGTGGACTGCTGGTACTGCCCCATGCCGCTGTACCACGGCACTGGGTTGATAACCTCTTCGGCAGCGCTGTACAGTGGCGTCGGTGTAGCACTTGCGCCTCGCTTCTCTGTTTCAAACTTCTGGTCAGACATCTACCACTCTGGATCTACTCTCTTCATCTACGTCGGCGAGACGGCGCGGTATCTGCTCGCTGCACCTCCACACCCTCTAGAGCGGAAACACAAGATCCGCTGCTGTTATGGAAATGGACTGAGACCGGACGTCTGGTACAAGTTCCAGGAACGCTTCAACATCCCCCAGATCGCTGAGTTCTTCAACTCCAGCGAAGGCGTGTTTGCTCTGGTCGTCTGGGCGCGAGGACCGTATCTCAGCGCCTGTGTTGGGCATCATGGTGGCATTTACCGTTATCTGCTCCGAGACACTTTTGTTCCCGTGCGGGTGGACACCGATACTGGCGACATATGGCGGGACCCTAAGACTGGTTTTGCGCAGCGGCTACCGTATGAGGAGGGTGGGGAGATGATTGTGAAGGTGCCGAGTAAAGCTGCGTTTGGTGGGTACTGGAACAACGAGGAGGCGACGAATAAGCGCTTCGCTATGGATGTGTTCAAGAAGGGAGATCTGTATTACCGGAGTGGAGATGCGTTGAGGAGGACTCCAGACGGGCATTGGTTCTTCTTGGATCGGCTGGGAGACACTTACCGATGGTGCGTTGCCATACCTTCTTGTCGTGTTCATGCTTGGACATATTTGCTAATGCTTTCACAGGAAATCCGAGAACGTCTCAACGGCTGAAGTTGCCTTAGCCCTTGGCAACCATCCCAGCATCACAGAAGCAAATGTCTACGGCGTGACAGTCCCTGGTCACGAAGGACGAGCAGGCTGCGCAGCTGTTGTGCTGAGCAAGCCGAACCCAGACTACGCAGAACTCGTCCGTTATGCGCGGTCAACGCTGCCTCGATACGCCGTTCCAGTGTTCCTGCGCGTGGTGAAGCGGAGCTCGCACATTCACAACCACAAGCAGAACAAGGTGCCATTGAGGAAAGAGGGCGTGGATCCGGAGAAGGTTGGGACAGAGGAGAAGGAGGGTGTGGATGATGTGTTCTTGTGGTCGAAGCCGGGAGCAGAGACGTATGAGGCGTTTGGTAGGAAGGAGTGGCAAGACCTGGCGGAAGGGAAGGTGAAGCTGTGAGCAATCTGCACTGCAAGTACAGTCTGTAGAGCCATGGACATTGTCTAGGTCCGGGGGTAGAAGATACATGTAGACAGGAGTGGCTGCGATGATCGAGCGAATCCAAGGAGTAGGGCAGGTCCCTCTCACCTTGAATTGTCATCTGATGTGGTGACTTGACCACTCGCCCAACGTTCCAGACAAAGGTTCGTCGTCAAGGCAGGACTTCCATCACTTCCAACTTCCCAAGATGTGGGCTAGTCGCAGGCTTGCGAGTCAGGATGTTTCACGTGTCGCCGTGCGACTCGGCATGTCTGTCTTCTCGGGAAGCACAAGATGCTCAGCAGACATGACCGTCAAGTGTCCACAGCACTTGCTCGCGCGCGAGACGTTCTAATCGTTAATATAACTCCCGGAAATGCAGCAAGGATGGAGATCATATTCGAAGGTAAAGTGAAGTGGAAGTGGGAGGGCGCTGATCGGCCTGGCCTCGGTGCACGAGCTCGCGCTTCGGCGGTTGCTAGGCGTAACAATGGCGCTCGACCAGGCCGTGAAGAAGGCCGACTACATCATCCTACATGAGCCAGCAGACCCCTTTATCTTGACTCTATATATCTTTACATGCATATGCCATTGCCGTCGCAGCATCGATTCGTTGTTTTGCCATCACGAAGCACGCGCTGGAGCTGATCTCGACGTTGAAGGCAGAGTAAACACAGCTATCACCGAGCTCCGACGAGCAGAGATCATTCAGTATGGCGGAGAACTACCAGATGCTGGAGGAGCTGGGCAGTGAGTTATGGTTTTGATAGATGCCATGCATGCGCTGACCACTTACACCAGGCGGTTCCTTCGGCATCGTCTACAAAGCCCTCGAGAAGTCGACGGGCCAATACGTCGCCATCAAGCACATCGATCTCGAAGGTAGCGACGACGACATTCGCGAGATCCAGCAGGAGATCAGCCTGCTCGCGACCTGCTCCTCCTCCTACGTCACAGCATACCGAACCTCTTTCGTGCGCGGGACAAAACTATGGATCGTGATGGAGTATCTCGGAGGCGGCAGCTGCCTGGATCTGTTAAAGCCAGGCGCAATGGACGAGCGATACATTGCTATCATCCTGAAAGAGCTACTGCAGGGGCTGGACTATCTGCACTCGACGGGGAAGATCCACCGAGACATCAAGGCGGCGAACATCCTACTCAGCCAGACGGGGCAGGTCAAGATTGCGGACTTCGGGGTGGCCGCGCAGTTGACAAACATCAAGTCGCAGCGGTTGACGTTTGTGGGCACACCATTTTGGATGGCTCCGGAAGTCATCCAGGAAGCCGGGTATGACTACCACGCTGATATCTGGTCGTTGGGTATTACGGCCATGGAAATGGCACTCGGAGAACCACCACGGAGCGACGTACATCCTATGAAAGTGCTCTTCCTGATACCGAAGGAGAAGCCGCCGAGGTTGGAAGGCAGTCGCTTCAGCAAAGAGTTCAAAGACTTTGTTGCGCAATGCCTCAACAAGAACCCCGAGGGACGTCCTTCGGCTAAGATTCTGCTAAAGCATGCCTTCATTCGTCGTGCTGGCAAGACCGATTTGCTGCAAGACCTTGTGCAGAGGACGAAGGCATACGAGCAGAACGGCAGGGCTCATGAGAGAGACTCCAGATACTATGAAGAGACGCTACGAGAGATGAGCAGTGCAGATGAGGAAGACGAATGGGTCTTCGACACCATCAAGCCCGCGACCAAGTTCGGCACGATTGCGAAACACACGGTCAAGAGACGGAAGCTGGAGCGCATACCCTCGGGTGATGGATCGGATATGGAGAACGCCACCTCAGCAATGGAGGGTATGACCCTGGATGCTGCGCCGTTAGGCGATATCACCAATTCCACGACCAGCACACCCACTCGGGAGATCTCCACCATCAAAACCCCAAAGCCGCGCATCAGCAGCAGTGTGCGGAAAGTGTCAGCCATCACCGCCCGCAAAGTATCCGTCTCATCGCCAACAGCTCGCCGCGTGAGCCGCAAGGTCTCTGGCAACAATGCAACATCACGCAAGGTCAGCGGCGCACCAGCGCAATCTTCCGCGCAGAAGCAGCCCTTGGGTCTGGACATGTCCTTCGGCAACGGCACGTCGACGGTCCGGCAGTTCAAGCGGGTGTCTTCCAGCCACACTCCTTCATCCCCCAAGCATCACAACCAGCCTTCAACCTCGCCGCAAGACAGCGTCTTCGACAGCGATGCTGAAAACAAGCCACCGCCTGCGCCCCAGCAGCAAGCCCAGCCTGCTGCGCAGCCCAACACGAAGGAAGCCATGGTCGGTCGCCGCGCTTACGACAAGGCACTGGATCCTGCGTTCCAAGAAGCTCATGCTGCAACAGCCGACCGCACCAAGCGCGAAGCTCTGGCAGGCGTAGCAGAATCCTGGGCCCACCTTAACGCCGTTGACCCGGAAGGAGAGCTGGCACTTCTGCGAGCAATGATGGATCGCATCCAGTCCGACCCGAAGCTCGCCTCCGCTCTGCTACCCCAACGAGTCGCGAACGCCCAACTAGCCTCTCTCCGCATGAATTCGCCTACGAAGAAAGGCAGCATCCGCGTTCACGAGTCCGAAGTCTCCAGCAGCAGGGACGTCACACCTACCTCCTCACCCTCCAAAGCCGCCAAGACACCCTCTTCGTCTCCACTGAAAGACAAGTACGGCGCGAGCCCCGGCAAGCTGGTGTTGAACCCGCAGAACCCGCATCTTAAGAAGATGCGGTCGAGTCAGGCGCTCAATGCCGAACGGGAGAAGGAGAAGCTGGACGAGAAGATGCCGGGTCGGCCGAGCGAGCCGGGGATGGAGCATGTAGGCATGCTGGGGGAGGTGTTGTATGGGCGCTGGACGGAGGGTTTGAAGGCGAGGTGGCCGATCAATTAGTATACTGGTGGTGGACAACAGCAAGCGAAGGGTTGATGAATGAAGGGATGAAGATGGGATTGTTGAAAGGGATGACGGGACTGGATGCGTTTGGCTTCTTGTGGATTGCTTGCATGGCGACTGCGTTTTGGGAAAGCTTCTGTTCTACCGTCGACAGCGACCGACCGTCCGTGGACTGGCTCTGCGGGCGGTACTTTTGCATTTGGGTTTGGATGGCAGCATGGCTCGGAAAGCCGATTCTGCGTGTGTAGCTAGACCTTAGAGGAGTGCACCTACTGTACCATATGAAGACTCGACAGCAAGATTCCTTTCCCAAGCAATCAACACGTCTTCTTCCAATGATATCGACCTAGCGTCGTGCCGCGTGCGCTCCTTCCTTCAGTGGCTTTGATGCGGGTTATATGCAACATGGGCTAGCGTCTCCTACTCGTGAACCAATCGCCTTCGTCTTCAAGACACCACCTTACTGACCAGGGTCTCGGCCTCGCAAGATATCGTTACAGCGAGGATCTCGGTTGACATGCGTTAGCCTGCCTCATGCACCGTCCAATGACCATGGGAGCTGCACAGCAAACATCCCTTGCGGCACGCGTGCTCCTCTGCATCCCTTGCGTGACACCCTCGTGCGAGGTACACCAGCTAGCGGCACCACTCAATCACCCAATAACCCCCCATTGGCGCTTTCCCCTTCCTCTGTTTCGTCGGTGCTAAAAGACATCCTCTAGCGCCCTCACGCCCTCCTCCAGTGACCAGATCGCTAGCATCGGTTGTGGAAGCGAACGATGCGATCGTTTCTGCAACGTAAACTAGCTGCAGCTATGCGCAAGCCAATGGCGGTGACGGGGGCGTGAGTCGAACGACTCAGGAACGGTCGTGGGCACACCTCTTCGTGACTCGGCGTTGTCCTAAAGGTGAGACAAAGACCAACGGTCGATGGGGGAATGACCGCGCATATGCGGCATGGGCTAGTTGCGGTGGGTGGTGAACCTATCGTGTTTGACCATTGACAGGTGAACGAAGTCAGTCTTTCGAGACACCACGGCACTAAGAGAAGGAAGGAGGACAAGATGGTAGAGGTATAAGCAAGCTGTCATTCGACCTCTTCGCACCTCAAGCTAAAACTTCCAAGAGTCCTTACAACCCCATGCCATAACAGTACACCTTCCTCAGCCATCGAACACGTAGTCAGCACATCATTAATCTAGCAGTTCGCCCTCAGGGGTTCGCAAGTAGCAAGTAAAGCATCGACATCGAAAGCAAAACTGGCCGTGACAAAGCCAGACCCATAAAGCAACCCCACGCTGTGAAACCCCACGTACAACCACCCATCTCTTCTTCCGTACACTTGGTGAAGGCTTTCACGAGTCCTTCTCGTCCATGAACGCACCCATACCGAGGCTCTGCTCCGCGAGCTGTTGCAGAGGGTGTGGCACCGGTTGGCTTGCATCCGGCATAGCGACATCCTGCGCACCGCTCGAGGTAGGCATCGAAGAACTGCCCATCTGCACGTCAAGCCCGGGATCCTGCTGCTCCTTCGTGTCTTGCACTCCATCAAAACCACCAAGCGCATCGTGGTCGTGTACAAGGTCCGCAAACACGTTGTCGATGTTACCGACAGACTGCTGGCTGCCCCCGTACCCAGGACTGTTCAAACCCACGTTGGCGAATGCAGACACCTTCGGGCTGTCGAACATGCGGCTCGGGCCACCAAAGTCGCCTGGAGAAGTGACGGCGGGCTTCATGTCATGCGCCGGGCTGTCGAAAATGGAGGCGGATGGATTCTCAAACATGTTGCCGTCGAAGGAATGGTGCGGCGAGTTATGTGGCTGAAAAGCAGGCGGCGAGCCAAATCGTGCTGGAGACGCCAGACGAGGCGCTTCCGAGGCGGCCGGGTACGGGTCGTTCGTCGTCTGGAACAGTGGTGAGTCCCTGTGAGCAGAGCTGCTCGACGGGCGCGGGACGTTCGAGTCGTAACCGTAGGCGCCTGGTGTGTGGGCACTGGGCGTCGGCATCTCCTTCATCTTCTTCGTGATTAGAGGTAGATCGTCCCAAACGCTGCGGTCGGTCTCGAGGAGAATCTTCACTTTCGTAAGCTTGTCACGGTTCATGTGAGGCTCCGCCGTGAGCAGCTTCGAGACAACTGGCGCTTCACACAAGCTATCCAGCACATGGATCGCAAGTGGCGTGAGGAAGCGTTTCTGACTCGCAGGCACAGGAGGGACGGGAGTGCCAGATTCCTGCTCAGGCAGCGCGGGCGGAGCTGGTGTTTCGATGGGTGACGCCGAGTTGGCGGCAGGCTGAAGTGGCACCTGTCCCTTGGTGACCGCCTCCGATGCCTTCCTCTTGGCGATTCCAGGCTTGATCTTGTACTGCGGTGGCAGGTCTTCCCTCTTGGTGATGCCGAGAGACGCCATGAGCTTCTGTTCCTTGGTCGGTCGTGGTTTACGGGTCGATTGCGAATGGTCCTTGAGAGGCGGTGGCTCCGGCGCCACAGGAGCCCACTTGTGCAGCTCGCTCTTGAGGAAGTTCGTCTCTTCGGCCAACAAGATATCGGCGCCCTCGATCTTGCGCAGGTGGAAGCGCATCGTTGGCACCTCTTCCGGCGAAGTCGGCACATCTGAATGGATGATCGGCTTGATGTACGCCCTGTAGTTCTGCGCATGATCGCAAATCTCCACGAGCGTCTCCTCTTCATCTGGTTGAAACGGTAGGGTCTCCAGATCATCAGCCCAAGCTTGCAAGTCCTCAAGCTTGGGACGAACAGCATCACGCGGAATCTTCATGCGCCAGTCGCAGATCGGGCAGGTGTACTTATCATCCTCCTTCACCTTTCCTCGCGCAATCTTGAGACACTTGCCGTGATACCACTCATGACAGACCTCACACTCAATCATCATTCCAGCTTCCGGCTTGCGACAGATGCAGAATACATCTCTGCTAGAGTTGCTTCCGTCTGAGATCGGCATGCCGTCCACCGGGGTGACCTGACGCGACGATGGCTCGGCAGGCGCCCTAGGCTTGTCCGAGATTTCGAAGCAGGCTTCATTGCGCTCGCGAACCAGCTTCATGTGTTGTAGCAGGATATGAAGTGGGGCGTTGGCTTTGCCGAAGAGCTTTTTTCCGCGGCGCATCCAGTCTTCATGCCGGCGTTGCTCCTTTTCCAGGTCAATCGTGCCGCTTGGCTTGCTCTGAAGTTCTTCAATGGCGTCCATAACGTCCTTGACTTCCTTGTAATTGGGCCGCTGGCGGAAATCGGCTTCTTTGCTCCGTTCGACCAGAGACATAATCTTCTCCTGAACTTCACGCTGCTTCTTCAAGATGGCGTCGACAGCAGCCCGCGTCTCCGCACGTACAGCAAGAGAGAAGGCTTGCGCTGAAAGCGAGTCAAGCTGCTGATAGTGTACCTGGTCGGCTGCCATCACTTGTTTTGCCTTCTCTTCCCACAGCTCTCCCTGGGCTCTGTGTTCGTCGAAGTATTTCAGGTCCTCGTTGGTGTCCGGCACACCTACTTCCTTGCCAAGCGCGATGAACTTCTCGATCTCGTCAAGAGTGTGCTCCTGCCGCTTCGAAGTAAGGTTCGGCTTCATGTCTTGTACTGTCTCGTTCCACTGAAGTCTCCTCACGACGGCCTCCAGGTGCTCGATCTCCGGAATGTCGACATGGAAGTCGCGTCCGCGTTCCACCAGTTCTTTGAACTCCGTGGTGGTCTTGCTGGAGAGGTCGCTCAAAGCCAAATTGGCTTCACGGCGGAACTCCTTGATGTTCTCGGCACGATCACGGAGGGTGTTAATCTCAGCGCAGTCAAACGAGATCTCGTCGGCAGAGGCAAGCAGCCGGTGGATGTTGTCGACGTTGCGGAGTTCCTTGTCCCGCTCCTCCATCTCCTGCTGTTTCGCGGTGTTCTTGCGCCAAGCTTTCTCGTTCTTCCGCCGGTTCTGCTGCTTGCGGGTGATGTAGTTAGTGGCCTCCTCGACCCACTCATTGCACCTCTCCACGAAGCGACGCAGATCCGGTAATTGCGGCAGCTCGTACTGAATTTTCTCTCCTTCGGTCAGCAGTGTGCGAAGATGCTTCAGCGACGGTCGCGGGTTATCGTCCAGCTCGCTGTCAACTTTAGCTGCCCAGGTCTCCGGTATGTTCGCCTTGTCCACGACTTTGCTCACCGTCTTCTTCAGAGCCTCGTCTGTCATCCGGTAAAACATCGTGTGGGTGCCATCTCGACCAGTGTAGCGTTCATGCTCCAGACCATCACAGCACTCAAAGCTGCCGGCGTGCCGCGGACATAGGTATTTCCCAGACTTCAGGCACTTGAATCGAGACAGATAGCAATAACACTTGCAGAACATGCAGTTCACCTCATCCTCTTCTGTCTCGGTATCAATGATCTCAGGCTTCGACTCGTACCGAGGGCCAAGGTACACCTCGTCTGGAGCGTTCGGAGAGTCTGCATCCGGTCCTGAAATGAAGTGGCTCCGTGCAGCAAGCTCAGCATCTCGCATGCGCTCCATAGCTGGCGCAAGCCATTTCGCAGTCCGAATGGTGTGGTCCCGAGATGCCGCGGAGAGGAGCAGCTCATCGTGAGAAAAGCATGGCTGCTTCCTGTAGTCTCTCATTCGCTTTGCGCCAGCTTCACCAAAAGGCTCCCAGTCTTGCGGTGCAAAGTTGACAGCCTCGTTGAAGTTGAAGCCATGGTTGAAGCCGGCATGGTACGCTTGCGGGAACGTAATGACGAATTGGCCAGCGCGTTGATCGAGGGCGAACACCCTGACTCCGGCGGCTCGGAGCTTGTCGGGCTTCGCAAGTGTCACAAGCTGGAACAGAAGGTCCGGCTGGGTCTCGAAGAGCTCTGGAATCTCCTGTCGCATGGCGTGCTCAAACTTCTCGGTATCTTCAGCGGGGATGCCATACCACGTCTTTGTCTGACCGAAATGCTGATAGTTGGCAGAGTAGGCGAAGTGGTCTTCATTGTGCCAGCAGAACGTCGAAAATACCATTCCAACGTACAGCCACGGCACCGTCATGCCCGAAATGTCGGACTTGATGTGCCGGAACATGGATTCCTTATCCAGAGGCAGGATGTTGAGGTTCCAAGGATCCGTGGAGTATGGATCTCGTGGTTGCTTTTCGATTGTGGGAAAGCCACTGCCGTGTGTAGTGGAATGTACGTCGGCGCCATACTCAACTTCTGTAGAGTCGTTCATGTTCTCCACCAGCCTCCAGAATTCACGCTCAACGTCATACTCAGTCAGCTCACGTTTGAAGTCGTTGAAGGGACTGTATTGCTGAGGCAGACTGTTGAAGTGGTATGTCCGGAACTCTTGCGCCCTCCGTTGGAATCCCGACAGTGAGTAAACGTCTCCTTCCTCGAAGCCATACTCGTTCGTACCGACAAGGCATCTCGGACAATGCCATTCGTAGTCCGGTGGTTGCTTGAGAGGGGGCTCCAGGCAATACATGTGGTAGGCAGCATCACAGCTCTGGCAGTTGACCAGCCTGGGCGCATCCTCCGACTTGCCGCAGTTCTCGCACATTTCGCCAAGCCTGTAGCTTCCGCGATCCTGCTTGGGCTGGAAACGAGCGGCCGCCATCCGGGAATGATGCATGTTGCTGCCTGCTACGATTGGCACATCCTTTCGCAGGCGCTTTGACCGTCGATTGATAGCGTCGATGTCCTCGGGTGATAGAATACTGTCGCTGTGCTGTCGCTTGAGTGATGACAAGCCATTCTGATATGGCGCGAGATGCGAAGGTCCGTTACTGGTCGGTGGCGTCTCGGTAGGCCGCTGGGGCGTAGCATTACTCGAGTGATATCCGTTGACAGACGTGAATGAATTCGATGGAGTCATAGAATTGACGGCTGTGAAGCCTCCAGCATTGACAGGAGTGAATCCACCAGTAATGGGAGGTGCCGGTGCCGGGGGGCCTCGTGATGATTCGTTGGACAGCGGAGGTGGTGGCTGAGAGTGAGAGCCATTGATAGATGAGTTTAGTGCAGCTGTCGCCTTCATCGTTGGTGTGTCTTGGTTCATTCCAGGTGGCGTGTCCGAGTAAATCTTCTTGGCGGGTGAAGGGCCGGGCGACGGTGTGTAGGGACCGCCGTTGATCATCTCGAGTTGTTGGTGAACACCCGGTCTAGCAACCCTCAAGTATTCTTCGTACGGTAGAAGCCATTTCTGATACGAATTCTTGAGCGACGTTGACAGTGAAGACATAATCTTGCCACTGTAACCCAGATCTCTCCCTACTTCGGCCCATCTCTTGCCCTTGCAAACAGCCTCGAATCCGCCCTTGCGCTCAACCGTTTTTTTCAAGCGGTATAGATCGAGCGGTCGCTTGTCCACACTAGGAAAGCGATTCAGATTCTGTCCGTTCTGCTTGTGAAATTTGGCAAGCTGGTCGAGGTAGTCGTTGTTGACACGGTTTCCACCTTCGACTGAACTCAGCTCTTGACGTCGGGTTCGGAAGTGGAAGCGCTGAAGAGTGACTTGTTAGCAAATACCACGCAACACATGCGAGCGACATTTTGAGATCTTACCTCAGTGTTAATCGCAAAGGGTGGGTTCCAGCTGTCCGGTGGAATGATCTTCGCAATCCCATATTTACTGCCCTCTGGAGCAATCTTGCGAATGTACTCCATCGGATCGCGAAACTCTTCTTCGGTTGGTCTGAATGTCGGCGCCTCGGGGATACCGAACGGTCTTGGGCGCTGCGTTATCTCGGGCGCCATGTTCGGCTGACCTCGCCGCTCGACAGTCTTCAGATCGAGTGGCTCTGCTCGTCGGGCGGACAGTGGAATGGCATGGTTGTTGCCTGATGGTGGCCCGTTGAGCGTTCCGGGCGCGGTCTGCGGACCTGGCCTCGCTGATGGCTTAGGCGTAGTTTCGGAGGGACCTGCCGTAGGTGACGCTTGCGATGGCGGGCGTGGAGGAGCGAGCGGCGCGGCCACCATGGGAGCCGCCATAATTGCTGGCGGTGGGCGCAGAGCCCCGGAGAGAATGTGGTGTGTGGAGTCGTGTGTAGGTGTAGGGGCGTTATGCGGATCGAAGACAGGCTGATATGCGGGCGACGTGCGGCATGAGCCGGGCACGACTCAGTCGTCTGATTGCCGCGTAGTGTATTAGCTGGCGGTCCGCAGTATGGTCGCAAAGTGGCTCATGAAAGCTCGCCGAGGAGCATCATGAGCCGTGAATGTAGAATCGGCGGTGGAGGCACACAGGCGGTGGTGTGGTGTGGTGTAGCGTGGTGGAGGAAGAGGGTGGAGCGGAAGTGCACTTCGAAGAGGAACGACTTTCGGCAAGCCCAGAAGGCTCGCTTGGCACTTTTCGACCAATCAGGCGTGACGGGATCGACGTGAAGTCAGACTGGGCCGCGACCACACCTTCTCCAAACACGGGAGACGACATGACCTCCGTTACAAGCTTGAGCGCCTCACGTACTGGATGGTACACTTGGAATGCGACAGAACACATTGAAGAAGCAAACTTTCATGGGCGGACAACTACGTGCTGCAGTAACACTGATTCTGCTCCTCCCGACGCGTTCCTGCTTGAAGACGACATCCGGGTGATCATGTTGGTGAGATGATGTGAACATGGCCAAAGCATTACCGCCAATACCAGCGTTCTACGCGTGCTACTTGCTACGGTCAACCATCCGGCACGCAAGCCTCTACGTTGGAAGCACACCAAACCCCGTGCGAAGGTTGAACCAGCACAATGGCAAGACCAAGGGGGGCGCGGTCAGAACTTCGAGAGACTCATTGCGGCCATGGGAGATGACATGCCTGGTTACTGGCTTCCCTAGCAAGATTGCGGCGTTGCAGTTTGAGTATGTTTTCAAGCCTTGCATCTTCATTCACACTTGAGAATGGTCCCGTTCATTGTACAATGCTGATAGGCCATCAGATGGGCGTGGCAAAACACCCACATGACCCGCCACGTCGCCCCCGATTCGCGACTAACAAACGCGCGGACTACGGTTCGCATATCACCAAAGACTGGCCGCCCACGCAAACGTCCAGCACGGCCGCGTCTATCGCTCACAGATCGACTGGCAAACCTGCATCTCCTGCTCGGGTCCAGTAGCTTCGCGAGATGGCCGCTCAAAGTGACGTTCTATGCCGAGGATGTTTTCCGCGTCTGGCAGAAGTGGGTCGCTCAGGATAGTGTCGAGGCACTGCCTTCTAGGATGAAGATCATTCTCGATCCTTTAGCTAGCAAGAAGTCCGGTCAAGCCAATCCCGCGGAAGAAGCGTCTGGTATCCATGCAATTGACGTTGGATACAGCGGGATGAAGCCCTATTTGGAGAAGACGAAGGCTACGCTAAGCGCCTCTTCGACTTGCGCATGCTCTTTCTGCAAGCAAACGATCTCAAGCAGCGTCAGGGGTGCCCTTTTTTGTCCCACCGATGGCTGCAATGCCGTTGGCCATCTAGAGTGCTTCGCCACCGCATTCACCAAGGACGACCCTGACGCCATCGTGCCACTCAGCGGGTCATGTCCTGGCTGTGGCTCGCAGCTGCAGTGGATCGACCTTGTCAAAGAGCTCAGCCTACGAATACGTGGCGAGAAGGAAGTCCAGAAGGTGTTGAAGGTTCGGAAGCCGCGTACGACCAAGAAAGGGGCAGTGGCTGATGAGCCGGCGGTTGCCGAGGATGAGATGTCGGGCGATGACGAAGATCTGGATGACGCATGGCACGTCCTATCGGATGACAGCGAGGACGAAAGATCAAAGCCCACCATTCGAAGCGGCCCAAGCCCGGTTGCGATATTCAAGGCTCCTCGAGTGCAGATGGTTGATGCTGCGCCCTACTCTGAGCCGATCATTGAGGACAGCGACTGGGATGAGGCCATGGTGCTGACTTGAGCAGCTCAACAACCACGTGCCATTTATGCTTGAAGTCTCATCTCCATCTTTCCTGTACCATGTGCAAGGCGCCGCTTGTCGCAAGGTCAGTCATGACAGCTATACGTCCTGGCGAAGCTATTCCGTCGGCAACCAGCCTGGATACGAGTTCTTTCCGAAAATGAGTCGAATGCATCAACCCTCCAGCAAGCACGAGCACCCTATCTTCTTTGGCGCCGTCAGACCTGGAACAGCTTGCCCTCGCCAGATTTCCCAGGTCCGCAGCAGCTGAGTCTACGATCATTCGAGCTTGCGGGCTGCTGTCGATAGAATCCAGTACGAGCTGCGCACAAGCGGCGACTCTTCGTTTGGTGTCCGATGGAGAAGCTGCCGAGCCCGATGGTTCCACCAATACTCTATCTAGCAGATTATGCTGGTCTTGGGAAGCGCCTTTCGATCGGAAGTGGCTCGTCAGCAGCTCGTGTAACGGGTCTTTGACAGCACCGTTCTTGGGCCCGTGGGTACTCTCGACGACATCTTGCTCTTGAAGAGCCAGCCGGATAGCCTTACGACCGACATCGAAGCCAGAACCCTCGTCCCCAAGCAGCGCTCCCCAGCCGCCCGCCCTTGCAATTCTGACGCACCGTCCGTCCGCGAGGCGATAACGCATCGCTACTGAACCAGTTCCGGCAACGAGGACAACGACTTCTGTGGCAGCATGTTCTCGACCAGCAATTGAAGCAAGTAGCTCAAGGTCGTTCATCGTGTACATGTTTGCTCCTGAAGTTTCTCCCAGAAGTCTTACCATCTCCATCCGCATACGGCTTTGCAGCGGCTCTCGGTCAATGCCCGCTATGCAGATTGCTGACTCTACGAAGTGCACATCTGATACACGGCTACCTTTTGCCTCCGGATGTGAGCTTATCGCATTTTCAATGGCGAGAGCTATTGCAGCGACAGCCCCTTCGATACCCAGGTCGTTCGGGTTGCATGGTCCTGCTTCTCCACGCCCGAGTTGCCCGTGTCTATTGGCCACTACCGCACGACCTTTGCTGCCTCCTCCGTCAACGCACAGGACGTACGGCTCACGCTCTTCCGGCGTGACAGCATTATTGAGGCCGCTCTCAGCATCGATGAGCAAGTCTGCAAGGACTCCATTTGCATTTTCAAGCCGCTGTCTAGCTTCGTTGATGCTGACATCCAGCATCAACTTGGCAGCCGCCAGCTTGACACTTCTATCAGCCTCTTCAAGAATCTGGTCGATCTCGCCGTCAAAAGCTAGGCAACGATCACCACAAATATGCCGCAAGATACGCCGTGCTCGCATCTGAAGTTTGACATTGGTCGATTTCACATCAATCATCTGCGAACCGGTCAGCGATGTTCTGCACCTGACAGAGAATGGCGCAGCCTACAATATTACCAAACGTCTTGCCCGTCCGAATCATCACACCCGTGCTGATCATGTTCAAGATAAGTTTCGTCGCCGTACCAGCCTTCATCCGAGTACTCCCAGCCACCACCTCTGGCCCCGTCACAGCATCGACCATGAAATCGACATGGCCGCACTCGCTCATTGGGGAAGGCGCAGAACATGCAATGCCCACGGTAACGCATCCTTTCGCCTTCGCAAACGCAAGACTACTGAGCACATATGGCGTCCGGCCTGACGCAGCGATGCCGATCAACGAGTCAAGCTCTCCGTTGATCTCGAGTGCTTCCAGATCCTTGACAGCCCCTTCGACCGAGTCCTCGGCCCCCTCTTGGGCGGACCGCAATGCAACGTCTCCGCCAGCTATAAGGGCCACGAATTGCGACGGAAGAGCAGAGAACGTCGGCGGGATCTCTGAAGCATCTAGGACTCCTAGGCGGCCACTCGTACCTGCTCCGACGTAGAGAACTCTGCCACCTGCTCGCACTCGAGGTGTCAGAGCGTCGATTGCTGCAGCGATTGTGGGTATGCAGGTCTGCACCGCGCCTGGGATGGTCGCGTCTTCATTGTTGATGATCCGGCACAAGTCCTGGGTTGAGGCTTTGTCGATGCTGACGCTATTGGGGTTTCTGCCTTCGGTTTGCAGCGTCGTGATGTCGGCGTTGGCAGCCATTTGGCTTTGGTTGTCGAGGCGGCTGTTGCGATGAGTACCACACTACCACACGGCTACCGACCCCAGCGATACTCTGCTACAAGCAGACCGCTCTCCACATGTCCACACAAGCCTCAGGTCGGATCAAACATGCCGCGCGATATCTTATCTCGTGAGCTCTAATGCTTAATGTGCAGCGATCGGCGGTGGGGTTGTCGTGCGAATGGTTTAGCTGTTCGCTTCTCCAGCTCTACCTCCTAGCACAATGCAACGTTGGCCGAAAGAACGGGACAAAATCTCTCGTTTGACACCTCACCAGCTTATCCGCGCGGATGGCTACGTTACATGGGAGCCATGTGAGCGGTCGGATCGTCGGCTCTCCACGTGAGCATGTGCTTTCGACGATCGTACACGACAAGACCTCTAACATTGGTGTATCGAACAATCACCATTCTGTCTCCTAACCACGAAGTAAGATGTCCAAGGAACGCAGCGATGCGGTCGACAACGAGCAACATGACACCTCCGAGACGGAGCTTGAAAGCGGATTTGTTCAACCTCAGAACCGCTTAATGGCTCTTTATGCCAGTGAGTGTCCGCAAGTCCAGCAACATCAGCATCAGTTGACAGACCTGACAGACCCATGGATGCAAATCATCCTCATCAGTGTCATCTGTTTCTGCTGTCCCGGGGTAGGTCTCCAGCTTGTACGAAAACCAGCCATTGACTAATCAAGCACCATCACAGATGTACAACGCCCTCAGTGGCCTGGGAGGCTCCGGCCAAGTCGACCCAACCGTAGCAGCCAACGGCAATGTCGCCCTGCTCTCATGCACAGCAGTAACCGCCCTGTTCTTCGCTGGTCCACTGTTCAACCTGATCGGACCCAAGTTCACCTTCCTGCTTGGCGGCTGGACCTATGCACTTTACTCTGGCTCTCTGCTCAACTTCAATCATACTTCCAACGGCTCGTTCGTCATCGGATCAGCTGCAATCTTGGGAATCGGAGCTTCCATGCTCTGGGTCGTCCAAGGTGCCATCATGACGACCTACGTTACGGAGGCACAGAAGGGCCGAGCCATAGCGACCTTTTGGGTCATCTTCAACTTGGGCGGTGGTGTTGGGAGTCTTGCGTCCTTTGGCCTAAACTATCACTCGGATTCGGGCACCGTCAGCGATAGTACTTACATTGCGCTGATGATCATTATGCTGTTCGGTTGGGCTTTGGGTGTACTCATCTGCTCGCCGAAGCGGATAAGGCTCGCTCAATTGCTGGAGGCGGAAGAGCGTGAGAAGCGAGGGTTCAAGGACGTTTTCGTTGCTGCTTTCAAGACTATGGCGAAGTAAGTGGTAACGTAGGACCCGCCAACTCAACCCGCTCGCTGACAGCCTTACTTTCAAGGTGGAGAGTCCTCTGCATGCTCCCCCTCTTCTTCTGCGCCAACGTCTTCTACAGCTACCAGCAAAACTACGTCAACGGCGAGACTTTCAACATCCGCTCCCGCTCCTTGAATGGTGCATTCTACTGGATGGCGCAGATGTTCGGAGGCCTGATCATTGGCTTTCTGCTCGATCTTCCCATGCTATCCCGGCCAAATCGTGCCAAACTTGGCTAGGCGTTCCTCCTCGTCACCGGCATGGCAATCTGGGGAGGAGGCTACGCTTTCCAGATATGGCTGGATCGAAGGATCGCAGCTGGGCACGAACAAGATCTCGACTACACCAACGGCTCTCTTTCAGTCGGACCGATCTTCCTGTACATCTTCTACGGAGCATACGATGCTTTCTGGCAGGGCTTCAGCTACTGGCTCATTGGGACGGAGTCGAACTCTTCGGAGCGTGCAGCTATTCTGGTGGCTTCGTACAAGACTTTCCAAGCGGCAGGTGCGGCTATGGCTTGGAGGATTACGGCACTGGGCAAGCCTGCTATGACGCAATTGGCGATGGATTGGGGATTGTGCATTGGAGCGTTGATTGTGGTGTTGCCTACGGTGTTGACGGTATCAGAAACGACGAGGCCGGAGAATGAGGTTACTGCTGGCATGTCTGATGCGCAAGGGAAGGCTGTGGAGGCTTGAGAGTGCTTCGTCGTTGACGCACGTTTGGGTTCGATAGATGATCATGCCTCGTCCATTCACATCAAAGCCAGTTCCGCGAAGCTACTACGCACGATGAGATACCGCTGTTCCGAGTTTGTGCAAGGCGAGCTGCAGTCGGCCGACGTTGGCCGAAGTCGAATGGAACCTCACCTGTCATCAATGTCGCATTCGACTGTCGATCATTGAGGCCTTCACCTTCTTCATGCAACGAGCTGCTTTGGAGAAGCATTTATGGCTTTCTGTGGCTGGGACTGTCTTGTGACAACGATACAGCCAGCCAACGACTGCTCGCAGCCTTTCTGTCGTCACAGCATATCTGGCAGACACTCAATGGCACCTGGTTAACCGCATTGCGTACCAACTCACCGCGCGATGTTCCTACCTCTCCAAATTGTCTCTCTTTGCCTTGCAGTACTGACTTTAGTTGGCTCAAGCTATGGCAGTTGTACGCCTCAATGCAAACTCGTTCATGGCAGTCCGGCATCGGTTGGATTGCTGGCCAAACCATTGCATCAAGCTGTAGCCAACATAACAGCATACACCAAGCCTGCAAACTACTCGGACGCCAGCTACAACGAGATACATCCAGTGAGTTCACCAGGCATTGTGAGCGGTACGCCTATTGGAGACACTGGCTAACCTATTCATACAGGTCGAGCCAGGCTCAGCCAACATCGTTGGGCATTGCTCAACAATCGTGGCCGAATGGGCAGATGGCAAACGTAACCTCTATGCCGACGTCAACGGAACCCTACTGCCTCCAGGCCAGCAGGAAGACGCTACGATCGATACGATCTACGACATGGCCAGCTTGACCAAGCTCTTCACGACCGTTGCAGCCCTTCAGCAGATCGATGCCGGCACACTGGACCTTTATGCTACTGTAGCAAGCTACCTTCCAAGGTTCGCCGTCCATGCGAAAGAGAACATTACTATCCTGATGCTGCTCACTCACACGAGCGGCTTTGATGCGGATCCGGAGCCTCCACTGTACTATCCTGTCTACAAGACGTATCAGCAACGCGTTAATGCAATACTTACCCAGAAGATTCTCAACCCGCCGGGCTCGAAATTCCTGTACTCCGATTTGAACTTCATGACACTCTTCCTTGTGCTCGAGAAGATTACCGGGAAGAAGCTGGACGAGCTCGTAGCGGCCTACACCGAGCCGCTGGGCATGAAGAGCACCTTCTTCAACCGCGGGAACCTCTACCCTCCGGAGTTCCCAAAGCAGTCGTACAACCGCATGGCGACCCAAGAATACCAGATCGCCGTCCTCGGTCCTAAAGAACCCCAGCGCCCCCAGCCAGTCCGCGGTACCGTCCACGACGAGAATGCCTATTCCCTCAACTGCGTCTCAGGCCACGCAGGACTCTTCTCCACAGTCAGCGACACAGCCATCTTCTGCCAGATGATTCTCAACAACGGCACATACGATGGCCGCAGATACCTCAGCCAAGAAGCCGTAGACATGATCTTCCATAACTACAACAAACGCTTCCAAGACGACAGTCATGGCCTAGGTTTTGAGTTGAATCAGTACTATACTGCTGGACCGATGGCTGGGAAGAGGACGGCGAGTCATACAGGATACACGGGGACGACGTTGGTGATTGATCGGCCGAGTAATACGTTCTTCTTGCATTTTGCGAATCGCGTGCATCCGAGTCGGGAGTGGTCGAGCAATAATATTGTGAGGGAAGCGCTGGGATATTGGGTGGCGAAGAGTTTGGGACGAGATGTGGAGTTTCCGGAATCATGATAAATTGCAGCTGTTTTACGCTATGAGTGCTATTTCTGTGTATACCACGTCTTCTTTCATTTCTCGATTACTACAACCTTTTCGAGCGGCGCTTTCACCCCTCCCGCGACTCCTGAGCGTCGTGGCGCAGCTGCATGTACCTGTCGAAGGCGTCTGGGGTCTTGTGCGCCCGCTGCCTCCTAGCGAGGATACCCTCATAGAGCTCATTGAACGCTTGGGCCTCCTCGTCATTCACGAGGTCCCTGCTCTCAGGAACGGATATCCACGTCCCGTTGACTGGGGTGTCGAGTCCAGGGATGGTGAAAGACAGGCCGCCTCTCTGGACTCCGTGATTCGGTGGCGCCTGGGTCAACATGATCCATTAGCACCGTGGCCGCATAGCCTCCCCTCAGGTCAGACTCACGTGAGTTACTGTGGCCATGCCCACCATCCCCTCAATGCCATCATGCTTCGCGTCTCCCGTCGAAGTAAACACGGCCGTACCATCCGGCGCCGTCATATTCATCCAAAGCCCATGCAAACGGCGGAGATCCGAGAGACGTAGCTCACTATCGTTGATCTGAAACATGGTGGCCTGGTTGGCGATGGTTGAGCGTTTGCTGCCCCAGTGCTGGTCGAGCGGGCTCGGTTGGAACGCTGTTCCCATCTTCTCGCTGATGAGCGAGACGGCAAATGTGAAAGCGCTAGTCCCGATGACCCAAGTTTCCATGGCAATTGTGATGCCGAAAGGGAGGACTATGGCCATCTTGAAGGACGTTGATGAGAAGGATACGGGAAGCTTGGAGAGGGAGCTGAACAGCGCTGGCTGGGTGGATGGATGAGAGAGAGAACAAGTATATCCGCATACCTGTTCTTCTGTTTGGAGGCCATGGGAAGGAAGGAGCGGGGTTGCTGGCGAGGACAAGCAGAGTGTTATGCTCGAGCGGTTCAACTCGTCATGCTGGCCGTTGCTTTCCACGGAGTAGGTGCTCTCCTTGCGGAGGCCAAAACAGAAGCAAAAAAACCGGGGGTCTGCGTACGCATGATCTTGCCCATGACACCAACCAAGGTTCACCACTAACCGTCAGGAGAAGAGACCTGTGCTCACTGGGGGAGGAGACTTCCCAGAGGGACTGTTAAGGAGCGACGGAAGAGGGGCTCGCCCGGCTCGCCTGGATACTTATTGGGACCCATGGCGCTGCAGTCATATGGCCTCCTCATCCGCGTCAAAAATTGGATCAATGTGAGTGGCATACCGATAGGAGGAGACCTACATCCCGAGAGGAAGTCGTCGGCAACCATGGTTCAAGTGCCGACACGAGCCCGAGAATCGCCGATCAACAGCCGACTTCAAGATTTGTTCATGAAGGGCGCGTCGAGTGTCTGCAGGACAAAACACGCGACATGATATTGCGATGACCGTGCAACCACTAGATGCGGTCCATAGGGACAAGATCGCGCAACTACCAGAGGAGATGTTCACCATCATCAAATCTGTTGGACGCGCAACTGAACCACGCTTAGGACGACTGCACATACTGGGGCGAGACACGCTGGAAACACCGCACTATGTCGCCACAACTTCTCGCGGCGTGGTACCACACATCACTCAGGACCTGTTCGCGCGGGCTACCGGCATCAATGGCGTCTACGTTCCCCTAGAAGACTGTAAGTCGGACTCCCCATCCTCAGCCATCCCACGCTGACATTGATATTGACAGCTTGAAGTCATAGAGAAAGCGCCAGACAAGATTCCACCGCTCTACCAGTTCAAATCGCCAGATGGCTCATCGCCACTCCGACGCTTCATCGCGTTACGCGAGCGGGCACTACTTGTTCTAGGAGCCAGGAGGACGCCGCCCATAATCGCGCCAGCAGCGAACCCAAATACAAACACCAGCGTCTCGATATCCACATCTGTTGGCTTCCGACCACTGACAGCGGAGGACTACGCTGAGGCGGCGGAGAAGCTACAGCCTGATATCGTTGTGGGGCTGGGGGACATTCCGTACGGACGAGCACTGGGGTCGAAGCGGATCGAGAAGGCGACGGATCGGAATATCGAGTGGTTGCAGGCACATGTGGATGTACGGAATGACTGGTACGAGGATACCACTGGACCTAGTACCGAGCTGTTCGCGCCGCTCCTGCCCGTGTCCTGCGCGAATCAGCATTATTACATCGAATCTTTGCTGCAGGATCGGTCGAAGGATGTCGATGGATTAGCGTTCTACAATCTCGCGGCGCTCGAAGATCTACCAGATGGGCTTAGCCATCTACCACGGCTCGCGCTCACCGAGCCAACTACACCGCACGAGGTACTGCAGCACGTCTCGCTCGGTCTGGACGTTCTCACTGTGCCTTTCATTACAGCAGCGACAGACGCCGGAATCGCGTTGAGCTTCGCGTTCCCTGCAACCGCCGCTCCCAAGGCAGAAGCTCCTCCCGTATCTCTCGGCATCGACATGTGGACCACGGACCATGCAACTTCACTTGCACCGCTCGTTGAGGGATGCGAATGCTATGCATGCACAAACCATCACAGGGCATACCTTCAGCATTTATTGAGTGCCAAAGAAATGCTGGCGTGGGTACTGTTGCAGATTCATAATCATCACACGCTTGATCTCTTCTTCGCTGGCATTCGGAAAAGCCTAGAGGATGGTAGCTTTCAGCAGAACGTGGAGGGCTTCGCAAAGGTGTACGAGAGCCGTCTACCAGAAAAGACTGGTCAAGGTCCGCGGATACGAGGCTACCAATTCAAGTCCGAAGGACCTGGCGAGCCGAAGAAGAACCCTGCGCCGTTCCAGATGCTGGATGACAGAAGCGAGAAACTTGCCGAAAGCACGCCGCCGGCTGCCGATGCAGACGCCGCAGAGCTGGAAGAACAGGGGTTTGCTGAGAAGCAGTCGTGAGCAATCATAGAGCTTATACACAGCATATACATTACTGCTCAGCACTCAACCCGTACCTTCCCAGAAATTCGCGGCTCCCTCCAAATCATCCGCATTCAGCAAATCCACTCCTGCCTCCCACAATATCCGCCACACCGCATTTCGCGTTCCGACGGGCCAGCCTGGCGTGTCCCAGTACCGAACCATCATCCCCTTTCCATGGGCCGTCGCCACCTGCTCCTCCAGCGTCGCCTGTTGCGTCGCAGTAAACGTCTGGTTCTTCACTTCGCCGAACACGCTCACGAAGTCCGTGTTCGCCGTTAAGCTGACATCGCTGGTTATGTCTTTCGAAGTCGTCGTGAGCTCTGTGAGCTGCGCATCGTAGAAGTAGTCTCGGTTGTTCACGCCTTGGATCTGGTCGAGTGGCGTATTACCGGTCCCAACCACGGTCACGGCGCCTGGTGTCACGGTCTTGCCGTTGAATGTCGTCAAGTAGCCCGCTGATCGCAGCGGCTCCAGCGCTTTGATAACGTACGGAAACGTCTTCCTCCCATCCGTCTTGACGTCGACGTAGAGGTACAGCGTCTGGCCTGCGGAAGTGTCGTAGACGCCATTCTTCGTCTTGCCTTCCGTCAGGAACTCCGAGTCCGGATTCTGCTTCTGCAGTACAGACAAGATCGGCTGGACGTATAGCGCATCGAACGTCCGCTCGTTGGTTAACGCGCCTTCCTCGTGCCCGACGTGCAGGGTTTCGCCGTAGAGCCAGACGTCTGCTTCGATGGAAATGGCGCCTACCGAGAGCGCGGAGTAGAAGGGGAGGGGGCGCCAGTAGTCGTTGTGGGAGTGGAAAGACTTTGGTACGATTCCCTGCGTGAGGTCGGTGGGATAGGTGTACAATGGGCCGGATTGAGCGTGGGAGAGGACTGCCTGGAGGGGATGGGAAAGGGAGATGTCGGATTGTGCTGTTGCCACTGTTGCCAGCGTGGCGGCCAGAGCGATGGGATGTAACATCTCGGTTCTGATCAGGTTGTGGTCCTGCTGTGATCGTAGGCTCTCGGACGGAATTAAAGATTACATGTAGCTTAAATAGAGATTGGTTGCATGTTGATCTTCAAAGGTCTTCTAGGGTGACGACAGCGACGCAGGAACAAAAGCTCGAGCCATCTGGAGCCAATGGTGGCAGCCACGTGCTTCACGAGTCTTTCTTCGACGGCACTTCATTCCATCGACGCTTCTTCGGTATCGGGAATGCTATGCCCGATCATGTACCACGACAGCCTTGCTACGGACGATAGAGCTGCATCTCGGAGCAACGATTGCGCACGTAATCGCATTCGCTTCCCCTTCATGTTTAATCGGCGAGGTCTGCTTAGCGAAGGCTGAACAAGGAGAGTGCCTGAAATCAGCTCTGCGTTTGAGAATATGAATAGTCCACAATCTCATTACTTCGGACTCACAAGGAGATACTGACCACGTTCCTCGTACAAAGATGGAACCGTTTACAGGTACTGGAGGCCACGCTCCGGGCGGCAACGCCCTCTACTACTGCATCGCCCTGGCGGTGGCAGCACTACTCCTGTCGTATCTGCAGCCGCTATTCTCCGTGCCAAAGGACGGACGCGAACCTCCTGTACTCTCTAGCAGCATTCCAATCGTAGGCCACTTGATCCAGTTCATCCGGAAAGGGAGCGACTACCTCGTGGATCTCGAGCGCCAGTATCACCAGTCACTCTATGTGCTCACTGTTGGCAAAGGTCGCATATACATCGCTGCCTCGCCAGAGTGGGCGCAAGCCATCCACAAGTCGTACCGATCGCTGCAGTTCAACACCATAGTCTTGAATGCGATGAAGAATATCTTCCTAATGGACGAGCCTTCAATGAAACTTATCGAACATAACTCGAATGGAGAGGACGGCACGAGGAACGGCATCTTACTCGAGATGCACGATATGCTTGGCTCAGTGCTTGCGCCTGGACGACATCTCGACGATCTGAATCATAGCATACTGAACGAGGTCCTGCCAGACGTCAACAAACTCGCACGCAATGGCCCTCAGCATATCCAGCTCTGGTGGTGGATCCGGCACCACTTCTCCATCGCCTCGATAACTGCCATCTGGGGACCGAAGAACCCGTTCATGCTCCACTCTGACATCGAGCCGTTGTTCTGGGACTTCGAAGCAGCCATGCTACCACTCTCGATGGCGCCTCTCCCATGGCTGTTCGTTCGCAAGGGCCATCTAGCGAGGAAGAGGATCTTTGACGCATGGGAAGAGTACATGCAGAATTCAGGCTACGATGAGCCGGGCGTCAGCCAGCTGGTTAAGAATCGTGTGGCCCTCAACATGGAGAAGTACGGCTTTACGAAGCGAATGCACGCCTACGGTGAAGTCAGCATGGTCTTCGGTGCCATCTCCAACACCGTCCCAACCGCTTTCTGGCTCATCTCGTACATCTTCTCGGACCCCAATATACTCGCCGAGATCCGACAAGAAGTAGATGCATGTATCTCAACACCTACCTCGGGCGAGACAAAGCGCATCCTCAACGCCACCAAACTACGAACTTCCTGCCACCTCTTCACGTCCGCCCTCCGCGAAACCCTCCGCATAGCCGGCGGCGTCAACATCACCCGCCAAGTCTCCGAAGACGTCACCGTCACCAACAGCGCCGGCGAGAGCTACCTGCTCAAAAAAGACGCCATGGTGCAGATCGCCAGCAACGTCATCCACCAGCGCGAGCTCTGGGGTTCTGACGCTCATGAATTCAACGCACGACGGTTCATGCAGAATGAAAAGCAGCAAGCTGACAGTACTTCCACCAAGATCCCGGATCCAGCGGCTCCGTACCGCGATGCGCAGGGAAAGGTGGTTAGTGCTGCGTTCCGCAGCTTTGGGGGAGGCAATAATGTCTGTCCCGGAAGGCACTTTGCGCAGACGGAGATTTTGGGACTGGCTGCGCTGTTCGTGGCTGGCTTTGAAATTGAAGGGGTGCGGACTCCGGGGCGGTATCAGATGCCTCCGACTGAAGCTCTCAAGTCGAGTCTTGCCGTCATCAAGCCTGGTAGGGACGTCGATGTTAAGATCAGGCGGCGAGCGGGATTTGAGGACGTGGAGTGGGGGTTTAAGATGTAGGAATGTGCTGCTCGAAGATACCTTGAACGATGAACACATGATAATTGATGCCCATGCCGCAAAATGCTAAGAACGCCTTGCTATGCCGAAACGCTTGAACGCTGCAGACCCAACCCAAATCATCAATGACCACCCAGCAGCTTATCCCACAGCGCGCCCTTCTCCACAAACGCATGGCTGATGATATTGACCAGATAATAGTCCTTCCTAATCCTCTCCAGCAACTTACTGCTCTCCGACCCAGGCTTATGCACTTTCTGCCACTCCGCCAAAATCCCAAACGCCTCCTCGCACCACGCCCTGAAGCTCACTTTCTCAATGATCGTGGGCGTGATGATCTCCTTGCCGGCAAAAGTCCCCCATGTGACGGGGTTGACGGACTCGGCGTCGGAGCTGACGAAGTCGCCCGCGGCATTGTCGGCGAAATATGTCACTTCGTCGTCCTGGTCGAGCTCGGCGCGGAGTTTCTTCCAATCTGAGGAGGAGAGGAAGAACTCGACGAATGGTTTTTGGAAGACGAAGCCGTTCTTTGGACCCCAGCCGAATACTGGATCTGAACTTCGCAAGCCGTTGACGGCAGGTTGAGAGGCAACGGTCCACCAGCCCTTCTCGATCATGCCGAGTAGCTGCTCCTTGATAGTCAAGGTTTCCGGCTGGAGCGCATCTTCGGACCATGGCATAGCGTTGATTTCGCCTTCCAGATGTCGTCGGAACACATTCGAAATGTCTTCGACAGACGTCGGTCGGCCCCATAACCTCATCGCTTCAGGCGTGCTGACGTGCAAACTCACGCCGTACCCGTCAATCTCGCCGTACGCTGGTGAGCGAGCGTCGCCCCAGCGTCCGTTCGGGAAGTCGTCCCAGGTCGCTTCGCGGCCCATTTCGCCTTGTCCTTCGGAGATGGCTAGGGTGTTTGCACGGCTGTTGATCTCTTCCATCGGCACCCCGGCTTCGTCTTCACGTGCTTGCAGTGCTGCGGTCCGGTTGCTGCTGGTGCTGGAGGCGCGCTCTCTGCTCACGACGAGGCGGTTACGAGGCTGGGAGTTTGCCATGGATGACTGGCGGCGATGGCGTGTCTTCTTGCCATCTTCCACTATTAGAAAGCCGTCGGACTCGTGTTCGGCGATGGCTTCTTCCACGTTGCCATTTCGTCCATTGGCGGCAACCATAGGTGTGCTTGGTGGAATCAGGTCGCTTCGTTCCAGGATTTGAGTAACGACTTTCTCTAGATTCAGGGTGTAGAAGTGGAACCCTCTGGGACCTTGGCCTGGCATGTCCTTCATCGCCTGCACGATCTCGCTAATCACGTCAACGCCAACACGCTTGACAGCTTCATCGTCGCCCTTCACCGCTTCAAACCTCTTCAGCAGCTCTGGCGGTAATGACGAATGGCTGAGCTTCGTGGTGCGGCGTAGAATCTGGTAGCTTTGTACCGGCATCAAGCCTGGAATGATAGGGATCGTCTTGAACAGACCACTTTCGTGCTCCCTCAACTGCCTCTCATACTTCTGATACGCCTGCACGTCGTAGAACAGCTGTGTCATGATAAAGTCCGCGCCAGCCTTCGTCTTCTCCACCAGGTACGGCAAATCGTGCTCCACAGACTGGTGCTCTGGATGAGATTGATCCGAATGTCCTTCCGGATAGCCAGCCACTCCAATGCAGAAATAGTCCCCATACTGCTTCCTGATGTACTGCACCAGATCCACCGCCCATGTGAAATCCTTATTGCTATCATCCTCCTCAGCATTCGGATTGCTATCATCCCGATACTCCTCGCTCCTTGGAGGATCGCCTCTCAAAGCCAGAATATTCCTCACCCCCAACACCTTCGCCTGCTCCAGTGCCTCATCCACCAACTTCCGACTCATATTCGTACACGTCAAATGCAGACATGTCGTCAACCCCAGCGACCGCTGCGTCAGCTCCGCCAGCGCCAGACTCTTCGCCGACGTGCTCCCACCAGCGCCCCATGTGACATTGACAAACAACGGTCGAAGCGCCTGTGACATGCGCGAGAGACGCGCTTGCAGGTTTGCGAAGCCCTGCTGGGTCTTGGGCGGGAAGAACTCGAGGGAGAAGTAGTTGCTGTCGGGCGGCAGGGCCGCAATCTTGTCGGTGAGTCTATCCATGGTCTTTGGAGGTGAGAGAGAGGTCCCGGGTGGTTGATGAGGTCAATGTTGAATTGCGCATCCTTATCGATGGATCTGGATGCGTCGTGGTGGGCATTATCGGTTCGGCAGATGGATGAGGCTCAAATCGATGCCTTGTTCGTGCCTGCCGTGAAGGGTTAGGGTTGGGGTTGCTCTTTCCTTCTCTAAATAACATTGACAGCACCATCTTCCGTCGATCAAACCAGACTCATCAAGATGGCAGGTAAAAGAGGCATGCTCGTCGTGTTTGAAGGTCTCGATAGATCTGGGAAATCGACTCAATGCGAACGGCTAGCTGAGACATTACGAAAAGAAGGCGAATCTGTCGAACATATGAGGTTTCCAAACAGAATTACACCAATCGGCCAGATGATCAACAACTACCTGACTGGCCAAACAAACCAAGATGACCATGTGATACATCTACTATTCTCCGCCAACCGGTGGGAAGCCGCGAAGACCATCGAAGACCACATCAACGCAGGCACAACAGTGGTCATCGATAGGTATTCCTATTCAGGCGCCGTGTACTCGGCAGCGAAGCAAGTCCCAAGCATGAGTCTGGAGTGGTGTCGGCAGCCTGAAGTTGGACTACCGCGACCTGATCTATGCCTCTTCTTGGACCTTTCTAGTGAAGAGGCCGCCAAACGAGGTGGCTTTGGTACTGAGAGGTACGAGAAGCAGGACCTTCAGAATCGAGTCAGGCAGCTTTACGGCGAGATGAGGAAGCACGACGACGAGCGGGAGGACATCACTGTTGTTGATGCTGGGAGACCGATTGATGTTGTGGAGAGTGACATACTTGAGATTGTGAAGAAGGCGAAAAGCAAACTCAAAGCCGAGGGCTCTGAACTCAGGCGGATGCGGCCATGGTAATCACGCGAGGGCAGATTGTTGACGTATAGCCCTGAAGATCGCAAGCCCTGCCTCGAGTTTGCTTGACTTGAGTTCTTCGCCAACAGCAAGTGGTCGCCGCGGCCGCCTCAGATGCGTCACGATACAACGTCTTGAGCGCGGAGCTGTCACCGTGGTCACCGGGGGTCACCTCACGAACATCGTGGAGGGTTGCGCATTACGGAGTCTTGTCCGGACCAAGCGCGACCAGCAGCAGAACCGTCCGACGGTCTCGCACGAGCTCCTCCAATGACGATTGTTCGCACGGGGGGTGGTGTTCGTTCAACATCACAACGGCACAGCGGTGTCATGGGGAGGTCACTCGAAAGCAGGGTTAGGCAAGCAGGTGAGGCAGGATGAGCAGGTGTGCAGGCAATACATCGCGCTGCTGCGATCAATCGAGGAACGCCACCACCGTGACCACCATGTACCTCAACATCGAGCAGATTATCGTCGATGGGATGACCTCTCCCCCGATGTCAGCTCGACACTCGATTTGGGTTCTCGGCAGCAAGCGAACGTTGTCCGGAAGCGCGTCAGAACTTGTGGGCCTTGGAGATGGGATGAAGTCGCCCGCATGCGGCTCTGCTCCTTTCCTTCATTAGGTATGGTTTAAGACCGTGTGCGACCGTGCGACGGCCACTAGAGATCTTTGTGGCGGGAAAAAGTGAAGTCAACGCAAGCAGCACGACTTGCGCAAGTGTGTAGCCCACCAAGTCCATCATCCAACAACTTCATCAGCTCCAGCAACGCAACGTTGAATTGTGGGCGCAGATCACCCTGGCAAGAACCCTGCAGATGACGGCGCATCCCCGCATTCAGGGTCCAACGACATCATCAGCGCCGAGAAAACATTCCTTCCCGCACCTGTTCCTGCACGCCTCCCGCCTCGATAACAGCGGCCGGCTCCACACGCCTTGTCATCGAGCCTATCGTCGCCGCCTGTGATCAGCTTTTGCGACCGTGCCCTTATCGAATCGGCAGCGTTGACCTGGGAGGCGAACTCGCTAGCGGCGGACCCTGCGGCTCTCATTGCTCAAAGGCGGCTGGCGACATCATTCGGCGTTGGAGGTGTGACGCAGGGTCCCCGCTAAAAGTAGCCTGGGATGATGAGAGAACTGGTGCTGGGTGTGGATGGCAGCCAATATAGACTCCAGCAGTGCCGCACGACGTGTTTTTGTTCTAGATCACACGACCTCGACGACTACCACCACGACACTTCACTTCAAGCACACATAGCTTTCGACCTATACACATTTGCCTAGCAAGCATCAACAACATCACAATGTCTTCCGCAGAAGCACAACTCGTCTACCAGCGCGGCAGCGACTTCGCTGAGCCCATCGAGGCCGCCGAGACGTTCTCCCGCCAGTTCGACCTTTCGCAGCCTGATAAAGCCATGGATGCATACCAAAAGTCCGTCATCCATATTACACCTATTAGTTGAGCGTTGCTAACATCATTCTAGAATTATGCACCAACACACCAAGCAACAGTTCGAGATGGCCAACGCGTCCGAACGACGACGATCGAAGAACGGCTCGATGGGTGGGGTCTCGTTGTCGTCCGAGACCAGCAATGGATCTGTCAGCTCGACGTCGTCGTGATAGCATCTGATCACATATCATTGTAATATTAGCATGGGATATTGAGCTTTGCAGCGTTTGAGCGGGCACTGGATTGGAGATGGGCAGGATCACGGAGTGGGAGCACGCAAGACCACAGGCTTACCACGTCAAGCCTCAACATGTGTAGATATCGGTAATCGATCAACGCATCGCAACATTTATTTATCAGTCCTAGTGGAGGTGAATAACCTCATGTACATGCGCGTAGTGAATATGGTTTGTGGAAGTGTTGTGACATGGTACAGAACCCGGGTGCCCGTTATGCACTTCATTGCGAATAACGTCCCATGTCAACAACCACTGAAGTCGAGTTCCTCGCAGTTGCAGTAATACCTATGATCCTGTGATCCCGATTAACTTGCGAGCGAACGTAACGTACGCCAAGACACACTAGCGTGACATGTGATTGTTAAGCAAGTGAGGATCTCTTTCGCAACTCTCTGCCATCTCTCGCCCTTGCTACAATCATCGCACAGTATGTCGCTCCAAGACATCAAGCACATCGCGCTGGTGCTATCAGGAAAAGGTGGCGTTGGGAAATCCAGCGTCACCACACAACTCGCGCTCGCGCTCTCCCTCCAAGGACACAACGTGGGCGTACTCGACATCGATCTTACCGGACCTTCGATACCGCGCTTCTTCGGCATCGAAAGCGCAAAGGTGCGCCAAGCGCCTGGGGGATGGCTACCTGTGCAGGTGCATGATGGGCAAGAAGCATCAGACAAGACGAATGGGCATCATGAAAACGGACAAGAGAAGAACAGCCAAAGCGGCCACGGAGCACTCTACTGCATGTCCCTCGGCTTCCTTCTAGCAAACAGAGGCGACGCCGTCGTCTGGCGCGGCCCGAAGAAAACGGCCATGGTGCGGCAATTCCTCTCAGACGTCCACTGGGGTCCGCTGGATTACCTCTTAATCGACACTCCGCCCGGCACGAGCGACGAGCACATTTCGCTGGTCGAGACGCTGCTTAAATCAGCTACGCCTGAGCAACTCGCCGGCGCTGTCATCGTAACGACCCCGCAAGCGATCAGTGTGAGCGACGTCAAGAAGGAGATAAATTTCTGCCGGAAGACTTCCGTCCACGTCCTCGGCGTGATAGAGAATATGGCCGGGTTCGTGTGTCCGAACTGCGCAGAGTGTACGGATGTCTTCTCGAAGGGAGGTGGGAAGGCTATGGCGACGGAGTTTGAGGTGCCTTTCTTGGGGAGTGTGCCGATTGATCCGATGTTTATACGGCTTATTGAGGAAGGAAAGGCGCCGGTCTATCCTGAGGGGACTGTCGTTGATGGGCAGGATATGCATCAGAATGGCGAGAAGAGTGAGGTTGGAGACGAGGGACTACTGGTGGAGAAGTATGCCAGGTGCTCGCTTTGCCCGGTGTTTGCCGGGATTGTGAGGGGGTTGGTGGACAACATCAACGTTACGGCAGGATGAAAACTTCAGCATCCGGTCACACATAAGCTGGAGACGGTATGACCTGGCTGCGTCGCTGGACGTTGCCAAAAGTCGAATGGTGCGACTACAAGGCGGAGATTCGCATTAGCCGCTCGGACCGTCCTCTTTACTGCTGTTGCGCAAAAGGACCTGGACATACTACTGCGAAGGCCGGGCATCTAGTGTTACAGCTTCGCCACAACAGAATGCCAGGAGTACATTCCTCATCGGCATGTTCATCTAGGCTCATGCCGAGCGCAAACCCGGTTCGGCATAGTCTGGACCGGCTTCGGAATGTGTATGCAACGTCAGCAAGGCCGCGAAGAAGCCCAAGCGGTCCGAAAAGCACGGCATGCCGATCTATACGCAAGACTGAACATATTGAAGGCAGAGATCATATTGAGAGCACACAATGACGGGCGTGCTGGCGAGTATTTTCCCTGGACCACCGCCTCCTGAACAAGTTCAGGTTCTGTCGATGGATTCTCGGTATACATCCATTAGCACCATCAGCATTTAATCCTCGACTCTGTTGGCCGTGGTCGCACTCGATCTGGAGCATTCCGGCACATTCGGAGTTGTGATCTACGGGACTTGCTGATATGTAGCCGATGCTCGATGCATGCCGAAGCCGAACCGAAGGACATACGCAGATGATTGTTTTGATATGTTCTCGTCAAAACAAGCACATGCCTACGATCGACTGATGTGCCACACAATGTTGATGGACACTGGGGCGGCGTCCAGTCCTAGGCTGGAACCCGGACAGCCTGCACAGCAGATTACTCAGGCGCAGGAGCAAGCCTACTCAGCGTTGGTCCCCTTTCCATGCCATCATCTCTCTGAACACAACAACAAAATCAAAAGACTGTCTGTTCATAATGCTCTCGTTGCGAGGGAAACGCTTGCGAAGCGTTGCTCACTCCTCCCTCATTCTCTGTCTGTCTCTACCGGAGCTTTTCACGTTCCTGCTTGCCGTGTCTGATATTGGCATCCCGTCGTTCGGCCAACTGTTCATTCATCAGCCATGAGGCCCCTAGGCTTGCTTATTTTTCCCTTGTTGTTTGTTGTTCATGATGGGAGAGCGAGGGCACAGCAGGTTGGCGTGCAGACGGCGGTGCAGACTGCAGCCCAGACATACTTTGCAGCGTCAGGCACTGGGACGTTCGGTGCTGGTATTGCTGCAACAGTACAGCCGTTTTCATGCCCAGATACAGCCACGTGAGTACCTCTTCACCTCCTTCAACGCTCAACATGTCTGACATTGAGCCTCAAGGGTCACCGTCTTCCCGCCAGACTACAGCGGCACATGGACCTCGATCCCTACAGTCCAGCCTGTAACCTTCAGTACAGGTGGTCTACCGTCCATATCAGCCTCGCTGAGTCTATCGAGTGGCGGCTTGTCGGCACCCAGCGCAAGCATATCTACACTCGGCGTCAGCTTATCAGTACCGACTGCTTCGGTATCAAGCTTGTCGGGTCTTAGCCTGAGCGTCTCGAGTCCGAGCTTGAGCTTGTCCAGCCCGACCAACAGCCTGTCACTGTCTGGTCTGACGTTGACCACTGTGAGTATCAGCAGCCTGAGCTTTAGTGCAAGCCTGTCGGTACCGAGTGTCTCGCTGTCGAGTCCGAGCTTGTCGGCCCCCAGCCTGAGTTTGTCGACACCAAGTACATCTCTGCCGAGCATCAGCCTTTTGAGTCCAACCGTCTCGATACCGAGCCTTACTTTACCCTCGCCAACTATCTCCGTATCAAGCCTTAGCTTGTCGACACCAAGCCTATCGGTTCCGAGCTCAACTTCGCCAGGTCTCTCGCTGACAAGCCCAAGTCTGAGCCTCCCGGTTCCAACAGCCACCGCGATACCAATCTTCTCCTGCCCAGTCGACAATGGGCTGGGCTACGTATCTTCCAGTGGCAAAGTCTACAAGATCGAGTGCGGCGTCAACCAGCTTGGCAACGACCTATCAAGTGCCCCTGAGCCGGACCTCGAAAGCTGTGTGGAGTCTTGCGGTGCTGTGCCAGGATGCACCGCCATCTCCTGGCAACATGGAACCAGATTGTGCTTCTACAAGTCAACGGTCGACCAGCCTGTGGCCGATCTGACCTACGACTCTGCGGCATCAGCAGATCTCTCTTGCCCGAACGCTGATGGCGTATCCTTCATTGATGCCACTGGATACATGTACCAAGTACAGTGCAACACTTTCTTCCCGTCCAGCAACAACATCACCAGCAGCGACGGAGGTCAGGATCTTGCGGACTGTGCTATGCAGTGTTCGACCATGAGCGACTGCACGGGAGCTACTTACATGGACAGCAGCTGTACGTTCTTCAGTGATCCTGGTTCGAACGATGGTACTTCTCAACCGGGCATCACGAGCTTAGTTCTCCTTTCGAAACGGTTGGTCTTGAGTGGACTGGCAGAAGGCTCTACGGACAGGGCGACTAGCACGCCTGCGGTTGTGCCGAGCTATTCGATGTCAAGAAGGGAGCTGTCGATCATTACGAACTCGATGCCGACGACAACGCTGCCTGGCTTGAGCTCCACGTCTGTGTCGGTCACATTGCCGACGAGAGGACCGACTATCAGCGCCGACTCGTTGTCAACATCTTTACCAAGCGGTTCGATACCGACCGTTTCCCTCAGCTCTCTAACACTCTCAAGTTCCAGCTTGAGCATTGGCAATTCGGTCACTGTTCTGTCTACTTCGGTCTCCCTGCCATCAGTAAGTCTCGACACGGATACCGGAGTCTCAGTCAGCCTGCCGTCAGTTACCACTTCTGGACCGTCCGCGTCGGTCACATTACCGTCTGCCTCTGGAAGTTTGAACACCGACCTGAGCTTAAGTCTGCCAACGACATCAGCGTCAGCGTCAGTCCCAAGTGTCAACACTGGCCTCACCGCCACTACACCATCAGTATCCGGTAGTGAGCCCTCGATCTCGGTGTCTTTGCCTTCGACGAGCGTGGACACTGCACTGTCGTCACCATCTGGAAGCACGCTTCTTCCATTCCCGAGTTCGCTATCTGGCTTACCGTCTATGGGCATTGATCCAAACGCTTCTCCGACCCCGGTAAGTTCTTGATCCATGTCTGGCTGCATATACAGTGCTAACGTTTGCTGCTCACTAGGGAGCGAGTCTCAGCTCATCGTCTGTCTCGCGCCCGACTGGTATCCCACTGAGCCTTGCCTCTACAGTAACAATCCTTTCGTCTGCGACCGTTCCCACATCTGCCGCTCCGACGCAAACCACGCCGGCTTATTCATGCGCGGATAACGACGGCGAAGTCATCAACGAGAACGGCTATGAGTACGTTCTCAGCTGTAGCAACGACACCACTGGCAACTTCTACAGCTCCCGATTTGCTGCAAACAACTTCAACGACTGCTTCCTACATTGCGACCAGAGCAGCACAAGCGACGGAGCTCAGTACTGCACTGCCTTTACCTACGTGGGCATGCTTGATGGGAAAGGGCCTGGAATGTGCTACCTCAAGAACAGTGTCGGCGAGAGCACTATGCCCGGTCCATCACATTACGTGGCTGCAGTCCGGCTGTCCAACTATGCTGGCCGGGCCGTAGTTGGAGCTCAATCCAACTCGTATCCATCAACTGCTCTTCCTACGAACCCAGCGACTATTCCCGCAGCTTCGACAACGGGACCATTGCCGACCAGTGCCTCCAGCCTTGCGGACGTCAGCAATGCTGGCTCCATGCTAAGTGACTCTAATTCGGCCTCCCTGCCGGCCATGACTGGCAGCCCGCCTATCACTACGCCATCTATTTCAGCATCAGTGCCTACTGGATTTGCAGCCATCAGTGCCACAGCTTCCATCGACTCTCTCACCACCAGCGGGGTGTCTTCAGCTGTGGCCGGCGTCACAGGTACCACAATAAGCAGCCCTGCCGCAATCTCTTGCGCCAACGGTGGCAACATCCTGAACGGCTGCATCATTGCTACCGTGACCGATGGCGTCGGCGCAGGAGTCAGCGGTGGCATTGGTCTCAACGGCCCATCCAGCAGTACTATCCTCGACGTGCAAATCTCAGCCGCTGCCAGCGTCTCACTATCTCTGGATGCCAGTCTCGGTATCGGCGTCAGCATAGGGTCCAGTGGCATCGGCATCGGCGTCTCAGGCACACTTGGAGCAGGTGTGGGAGCGACCGTGGGCGCTGGATTGAGCGGTGCGCTGGGCGGCTTAGGAGGGTTAGGAGGCGCATCCACGCCAGCGTCAGCCCTGTCGTCGCCGACGCCGACGGCGCCGAGTGTTTCGACGACTACGATACAGAGCATCACGACGGTGACATCCTGCTCCACCGGCCTTGGAGGTCTAGTGACCTGTCCCGGCGGCGTCACAATCTCCAGTGTCCGGAGCATCAGCATCACTGTACTGACATCTTCATGCTCCACGGAGCTTGGTGGTGTGCTGAGTTGCACGAGCACGAACACCATCACGCAGGTAGCGGTGACCACCACAGTGACCTTGTCAAGCCTGTCGACAAGTATGCGATCTTCTACGTCGGCTTCATCATCGTCTTCTACGAGGACGAGTAGCTCGGCAACGGCTGCTTGCAATGGCGTGGTGAATGCTCTGGGTGTTTGCGCGAGCGCAGTTGCTTGTATACCTGGCTTGACTTGCTGAGATTGGGACTGAGACTGAGATTGCGGTATGGGGTCTGGGTGTATAGTTGGGTCTTGGGTGTACACAATGGGGGAGCTTCGTGTTTTTTGTTTGTCGTTGACAAGATATTAGGCGTTTGGGAAGCCAGACATGGGAAGTTGGGGCAGACTGTATCAGGCATCGGATGGCGTTTGTTACGTTAGAGATAGTCAGAAGCATGATATCATGATAGCGATGCGCAGAGCAGCGCGTATAGAATTTTGTTTGAGCGGTCTGACTTCCGGTAGCATAAATGCTATACATTTTCTACAGCGTGCACCAAATCAGTCGTACCCTTCGTCCTTCCCTCCACGGTCAACCAAAGCCTCCATTAGCATGCAAATGTGAAGAGGGTCCTCATGGTTCGGCGCAGCGCTATCGCTCCATCTTCTTTTCAAGAGCTCAGGTCCTCGATATGATGACGGTTGAGACGCAGGCAAGCCACCAAAGAAGCTTCCTCCATGTCGAGGGCGGTTCTTCGAACGCCTGAACATCTACATTCGCCATCAGAGTCGTTGTATCGTTGTATCGTTGATTCGTTCTATGTCGGCCTCTCCGTCAACGATGCCGTTCATACACCTTCCATCGACCGATCCTGCTGAGTCGTTCCGCTGCTGCTTGCGACGACAACCTCGTCGTCATCCTCATCCACGTCTGCGATGTCTGCTTCCGACGGCTGACCCTCGACGCCAGCTCGTTCCACCTGATTCCCCCCGGCTTGCAGAAGGTGCTGGACGACATCGTTCTTCTCAGCCCTCTCTGCCTCAAACATGGCTAAGTGGCCGGCATTGTTCTTGATCCACATATCCGCTCCAGCTTCCAGGAGTGCTTTCACGATATTCAGCTGCCCGTTGTAAGCCGCCCAGTGGAGTGCTGTGTTACCTTCGCTATTCGATTCGTTGACGAACTTCGAGCGATGGCCGGAGTCCGATGATCTGTCCACGCTAGCGCCGTCGGTGTTGGGAGTTGAAGCAAGCTGGCTTGTGAACGTCTTGACAAGGTCCACAAACCCATTCGCAGAGGCAAAGTGCAGCACTGTATTTCCCGAGTCCGGATCGATGCCTGAAGTGATGACATCCGCCACTGAGCAATTGTATTTTTTCGTCAATTCTGAGATAGTCTGATCCAGCTCGCTCGCCTCATTCACACGAGTCAAGTACAGCAGGTCGTCGATATCGTCCACGGTAAAGGATGGCGCTCCGAGTAAAGGCATCTTGTCCGTCGTTGGTATTTGTGGTCAACCTGTCGTCCGGCAGAGGACGAGTTATAGATTTTCTGAACCTGCGCCGGGCGCTACTGTTAGCTCCCGCCTCCGCAAACTTAAACCTAATTGAAGCTGCATCTGAAGTACGTAATTTCCGGAGCCAGCCACAGCAAATTCTCCCTTTGCGAGCGGAGTCATCTCATCACCGTTCCTGCTATTCACTCCCGTCGACGACCGTCCATTCCGTGTCAGAGAACCACCTGCGCTGCGAACCCAATACAAACTTGGATAAGAGTGGTCGAACAGTGGCCAACATCCGCTGCCATGTTTCCCCCCTCAAGCGGGTATGACTTCGACATCGAGGCAATCAGCGGAATATGTGGTAGCATCTCCATCGCCTGCTGGGTGGTCGTCTTCAGCCCTCAGATCATTGAGAACTTCCGACGTAGCTCAGCAGAGGGGCTGTCAATGGAGTTCCTGGTCATCTGGTTACTAGGTAAGTAAATTTACGTGGGACATGTCGCTGCTATGTCTTACACGTGGAGTGTGCTGGGGGTTGGCGAGCCGAAACGACCTCTCGAGGGCATCTCAGCTTGCGCACACTTCGTCTTCGTCGAAGACATAGTAGCCGACACTGCCCCTGTTTCACCCATGGAAGGAAAACACGCTGACGTCTTTCACCTAAACTTTATAGGGGACTTCTTCAATATCATTGGCGCCGTTCTGCAAAAGGTCCTGCCAACCATGATCATCCTTGCCATCTACTACACGTTTGCCGACATTGTGTTGATTGCGCAGTGCTTCTACTATCGAGGCTTCTCCTTTCGGGATCCCAAAGACCAGAAGCCGGCAGAGGTGGCCGATGGACCTACATCTGAGCGGACGCCTCTTATTGGGAACGGCCACACGAATGGCCAGACGAACGGCAGCGTGGAAGAGAGGCCCACTATCGGCTCGATTGATCCTGCTTCGAGGACGCGGTCACAGTCATCATTCAGAGACCGCTTTGCGAGCCTCGACGGCACGCATCTATCACCTGCAACGCCAATGCACCCGCAGCCCAAAGATTCAGATGAAACCGAGCCACTAAAGCCATCTCAGCCCCGCTCCTGGCTTCAAGCCATCTTGTTCAACAGCACTGCCATTGTGCTTGTCGTGCTAGCAGGTGTTGCAGGCTACTATCTTAGCCCTTCCCAGCCGCCGCCGACACACCACCACACGACGCCTGCAGACGAACAAGCGCAGTCTTTGCATTTCAGCTTCTGGGGTCAGATCTTTGGATACATCTGCGCTGTGCTGTATCTTGGCTCGCGCATTCCTCAAATTCTGCTCAACTACCGTCGAAAGTCTACAGAAGGTAAAGGATACCACACACCGTCTCCTGTCCTTTTATACTGATCATGGCGAACAGGTCTCAACGCTCTTTTCTTCATCTTCGCTTGCGTGGGAAACCTCACCTACGTCTGCAGCATTCTCGCCTTCGAGCCGATATGCAGCAGCCACCGCCACGGACATTGGCATGAAAGTAACTGCAAGCCGGGCGAAGCATCTTCAGTGTACGCAACATACATTCTCGTCAATCTCAGCTGGTTGATCGGGAGTGCGGGCACGCTTGGTCTCGACTTCGCGGTCTTCGTACAATTCTTCTTGTACCGGCACAATGTTTCTGGCAATACTTTGACCGCGGAGGATGTGCCTAGGAGGGTGGACGGTGAAGGCAGAGGAAGGGAGCCGAATGAAAGATAATGAGGTCTATGAGATGCCTTGTCGTTGCTCCGGACCATCGGTCGCCACCTTTACCGTTGTCTCTAACGCACAGCGACTCTCTCCGCTGCGATCCGCTCTTATGGTCCTCAGCTTCCAACTTTTCACTCGTGGCATGAAGGCTTGGCCCATCAGCTGGTCGTGTTTCCTCGCATACTATGCGCCAAGATACGTCGACAATCGGACTGCAACTCCGCTCTGCGTTCTAGGACGTCGAGACGCCTCGATAGTTCCTCCAAATCCCGCTTCATCTCGTCTTCGACCTTACCAACCTGCTGGTCGATGAGTCCCATCGCTCGGACCGAGACTCTGCTCTCTAGATCCGGTGGATCCTCTTGGTGAATCTTCTGCTTCGGAACGCCCGCGCTCACGAGAGCATCGGAAAGCTTGCATGTTGGTCTGTCGATGCGGCTCTTCGCCTGCAAATCGACCCCGTAGTCCTCCTCACAAGTGACGAGGGTGAGATGCTTAATCCGAGCAGCCAGCTCCGGCCCTATCAACTCCACCCACCGCAGCACGCCGCTTGGGTCCTCGGTGCCGTCGACTTGGACGAAGAAGTGATTCTCGGCGAGGAAGATGTTTGTAGCTTCTTCTCGGAGCTTGTGTGATGCGCGGAGGGGCGCTGTCCGTTCGGAGATGTCCTCCTTGGAAAAGGGTGTCTTGGTATCGAAGACGAGTGCTTGGCGGTATATCATGTTGCGGAGCTCTCCTGGTAGGGACGTCAGGGGGAATGATTTGGTGGTAGAAGCGGTGGCGGCAGGATAGGTTGGAGTTCGCACGATGGTCGGTGTCGATACAATGGCGGGGTTTGACACGTAGATTGGTGTCCGTACGATGGTCGGGTAAGACATTGTGAGAGACCGGGCGTCTGATGATATTTGATCGAGACTGGCTGGCTCGTGGGCTTAGGTGGCTTATGGATGGAGCAAGGAATCGTATGCTGAAGGTTGGGTCGGTGGACGGATGAACTAGCACAGGTGCGGTATCCTAAGGACTTATAGAAATCGCAAGAACACGACTCACTTCTTGGAATATGAAGATTCCGATGATGCGATAATTCGAAACTCTGAGAGGCGTGGGAGAGGTCACATACCGGTGGGCTGGTAAGCGCAAAGCGCGGTGGCCTATTGGCTTACCTTATACTGTTTGACGTGGTAATACAACCTCCATCACCATGCACTTGTTAGGAGGTGTATGAATTGCGAGAACGGCTCAGAGTGTAGCAGGCCGTCTTATCGTGCCTGAGTAGGTTCGTCTCCTCGGTCCGGATCTATGCTCTTCTGCACTGCCACCACGACATACCACATTGCCCCATATCACGAAAGGCGTGATAGTGCCATGATAGGCTGCTCGGAACAGTGCGAAAAGAGTTGACCTATACTAAAGTAAAATGCTCTATTCCAAGACCATCTACGATCGATAATACCTAGCAGGAATATCCCCATCCGCCTCCAACCCCTTCTTCACCTCCCCCCACGCCCCCTCGATCAACCTCGCCTTCTCCTCACTCCTCACCCGAATCTCACACGCAAAAGGCAGCGGGATCGTCATCCAGCCCGGCATCATACCCGCTTCTGGCTCGACCACAACCCCATTCTCATCGACTTTCTTGGACAAGTCGAAGCCCCAGAGCACCCGCGCAATGTTCAGGAAAAGCGACTTCTCCGCCAGATGCACGCCTGGACATACACGACGACCGGCGCCGTAGGAGAAGTGGTCGCGGTCGTTGGGGTCGGCGGTGTTCAAGTAAGAGGCGGCGGGGAGAGGGTGGTTGAGGTAGCGCTCTGGCATGAATTTCTCGGGTTCGTCCCAGTGGGTGGGGTCGTGGTTGATTGACCTATCACCAAAGTGTCAGCAGAGGACATGTGTTGGTGGGTGGAGAGGACTTACCACCAGTTCAGGAACACGACTGTGCCTTTGGGGATGAAGTAGCCTTCGAACCAGTCGTCCTCGGTCGTGGAGTGCTGGATGCCGATCTTGTTCGGTGGTCTTGTGCGTAGCAGTTCTTTGATTGTGGCACGAAGATAGGGCAAGTCTTTTTCGTCTTCCCAAGTCGGAAGCCTTTCTGAGCCTACAACGCGGTCGATCTCTTCCTGCGCCTTCTTGGCCACGGCAGGGTTGCGCAGCATCATTAGAATGAAAGAATTCTGGTACGCAGATGTCGTCTCTGACCCGGCCTCGACAAGCCCCCCCGTCTGATACGCAGCTTGGAGCTCATCTACGCCCTGTTTCCCTGGATCCGAGAGATAGAAGTCCCGCGCAAAGCAGGGATTGGCGCGATCCTGATCGACTTCCTGCTTGAGGTTCCGCCACAGCTTGAGATAGATGGGCGAGTCGTGCTCGAAGCACTTCTGACCAAACGTGCGCCAGTTGCCTAACATCCACTGTGGCAGGATCTGCAGCTCGGGGAAGGTGTCGACCATCCACATACCAGGCGAGGCAAAGTTCTGCAAGTTGTTGACGACGCTGTAGATGTTCTTCACTATCTCTGCATTCCAGTTTGGAATCCTGTGGCCATAGGTGGCAGTTACCACGACGCTGGAGGAATATCTCCGATTGTGGTCGTAAAAGTTTTCCGGATCATGCAGGAGGTCGTACATCAGCTGTTTGGACTCCAGGTCTTGAATGGGCTGGTAGCTTGTTGAGATGGTGATGTTCAGAAGCGAGTGTGCTATCCTCCGGACGACACGGTAGGCCGGACCATAAGCCATGAACAGCTGCCTCCTACCAGCTGAAGCAACATCTCCAGCCAACGGCGTCGGTGGCCGGGAAGAGTATATAGCTGACCGCTTGTCCATCAACTCCTTGACCAGCCTGGGAGAGTTCAACCAGATGTAGTCTGATCCGCCCACTTTCGTGTAGAAGATCTCGCCATATTGGCGTGCCCAGTCCTGGACGTGGTATCTGAATGTATCAGGCTTGGACAATTCGAGGTAGTTTCCTAGGAATGGCAGACCTCGCGGACCGGGAGGAAGATGTCGCCGTCGACTGTCTTTTAGCGAGTTAGGCGTGACCCATAGGTAAAAGCCTAGGAAGGTTAGGATGGGCAAGGCAACGGATACTGCTGCGTAGGCGAGTATCGGGACATCTGAGGTTATACTGGTCATGGTCGACATCTTTAGCGAAGATGTACCTACTACTCTTGGTCTTATCGTGAAGAGAACAGCAGTGTTGTTCCCATCTGGAAGTCACACCGTTCATGAAGGCTTGAGCGGGGTCTCAGTGTGTACATTCGGGTCTTGCACAGCCGCCATTGCCGACGTCTTGGTACAACCATTGGAGGTTCCATCAATATTGACACCTAGCATTGCAGTCTCTCGACTGTGCTTTGCGATCTTGGAGAGTTGAAACATGCTGTGGAGCCAAGTCCGCCGACTGGAGTCTCGAAGTCAACGTCAACTCTGGCGAGCATCGACGATTCTCTTTCACGTGCTGCAAGGCAAAAAGGCTCGAGCGCCGGCGTACTCAACCAATAACGAGCAGCGGCCAGGTTTCATGGCGCCATCGTTGTCTGTGCGAGACTAAAAAGGTGATCAGGGCTTGTCCTCGTATTGGCGTCAACGCATTGCAGAATGTGACGTTGCGGATAGACAAGAATAGAGAGGCCTGCCTCGGGTTGGGAGGGATGGGCGTGTAGAGAGCGTCGTCGAGTTGCCACAGACTGTACTTTTCGTGCCGAAAGGAGAACGAGAAAGACGGAACATCAGCCATTGAAAAAGAATTGCACACGGTCCACGTTAACAGGCCACTCATATAGCGCTGGGCACATCTCTCTCGAGATTCCTTGCATTTTGATTGACATCAACCCCCCCTCACTTCAAGTCTTGCGCTCCGACAACCACACCTCACATCCAACCTCACCCCATCCATCACCGCTATCTCGTCCAATCTACGCCTTCCAGTCTATCCGCTGCATTCAGCCCGCCGCTGTAATCTCAAAGGTGAGTCGTCTCCGGTCTAGACTGGCCGTGTACAAGGCAGAACCCCGGCGGTGGCGCATCTCACCCGGTCCGCCCTATCGCGAGACTGTTGGATTGCACATGCTGTACCAACGCACGTGGGGCGGAGAGCGGAGAGCTCGGCGGGATCTTTGCTGCTACCGGGGTTCCGATGCATATGCAATGGCAATGAGAGGAGCTTGAGGCAGAGAGAGTGCTTGCTGACCTATTGAACAGCAGACTCTGACAAGCATATCTCTACCTGCCTTGGTTCTTGTCCCAACCCTATCTATCTGCCTCGCGTCCGCCGCACCACTGAGCTCGCGTGCAGCGCCGTGAAGGAACGGTCTTACGCTGCCGTATCCACAATCCTGTGGAGGCAGCTGGAGCACTGTGGGCCTTAGCTGAGAGTTAGCAAGACTTGTTGTTTAAACAACGTCAACACCTCTTGCTGCTCGAAACAGTCTCCTTCTGCACCCGTTTTCAAGAGCATTGCAGAAATCTCAGGTCGACACGGCAAGGATAGCTGCGGTGAGGCTCTGAAGCTTACTCTGCCGCTGCCAAATCCAGCAGAACGTTCTCGGCCAGCTGTAAGAGGGGGGTTGGAAAGCATAAACAATTTGACGATAAGCTTGGAACGCCGGCCCGGAGTTGCTTCCACGACATATAGTGGTACACATTCACTGAGGGCTGGCATATCTTGGAAGAGACATCTGAAGAGCACTGAAGCACAATGTCCTCCACCGCAATGATGAATCCTGCACAATCGCTACAACACCCGCACCGTAAGCCTGTACCGGCAAGAGCGTCGTACAACAACCTCCAGCAGGCGCAAGCCCAGCAACCGCCAGCGCAGTATCCTGTCGACCAAAGAACGTACTCGCGAACGACCACCAACTCTTCCTCATCACCCGCCAACACTATGTACACTGCCCCGTCTGTTCAACCACAGCAGCTTCCACAACGAGAACGGCGTACCCTATCTAATGCCACCTCATCGACCGCTTCGACGACCAATGCCGGCCTCCAACGCGCCCCTACCAATGCCTCGCAACCTAGGCGTTCGACCTCTTCGCGCTCCACCAATTCCGCCTCGCCTACCTCCTACGTAGCTCTCATGCGCAAGCAGAAGGCCACCGTCTGGTGTGACCGCGCTCAAGTCGAGAACCCAGAGATCCTCGCCCGCCGGCGCGCTATCAAGATGCAAGCTGCGAAGGATGTCGCCGGCGGCTCCCACCGCTTCAGCTCAAGCAGCAACAACGCTCCTCAAAGCATTGGCATCCGCAGCAAGATACGGCACCATGGCCTGCCCAAAGCGAACCAATACACTGGCCAAGGCAATCTAGCAGGCGCAGGCGTGCCCTTACGGCTCAGCGCCACAGAAGTCGACGAAAACGACAGCGACGAAGAGCAAGACTCGAAATACATGAAGCAATACCACTCCCGCAACGGCAGCCGCGGCTCCAGTTTCAACAGCGGACGCCAGCCCAACAACAATTACCTCAGTTCCGGCAACGGCAGAGGATACAGCAGCGGCTCCACGCCTCGCAGCGGCCATAGTCCGGTCGACAGCACGACGGACGTTGCGGACGAGACGCCGATGCCGAATCAGTACGGACAGCAGGCTGGCGGGTACTTTGAAGAGGGCGATGAGGCGGCGGAGGAGGCGAAGTTTGGCGGGGTGGGTGGGCTGCCGCAGCGCACGAAGCCGGTGCCGCAGGAGGGGCATACGAGTGATGATTTGAGGCGGAGAGGGAGCGTGGATGATCGGACGATGACTATGAGTGGGGTCAGGTTGTTTGTTGCCAATCCGGATTTGAGTGATTGAGGGGTGTGTGAGGGAGGAGGGGAGGGGGTGGTAGTTTCTTGAATGCGATATTACTATGCCCAGCATTTTCTCGGTCAAGCCGGTCAGGACTGCCTTCACATTGCCTTCGTTTGTAAGTAGTGGAATTGGTCGGTGACCGTCATGTGTAGGATGTGTATAAGGAGCTAAGGCCAAAATGGATGTCATATTTCAAGCCGAATCTTGAGCTTTCATGTGAAACTTTCTGCTTTCTGTAAACACACCACCACAACCCGCCAACATGGAACTCGAGAAAATCACCACCGCGCCCAAAGCAACAGACTTCACCGCCCTCTCCGAACACGAAGAGCAAACCCCCTCCTCCTTCTTCGGCGCCAAACCCGTCCTCCACCTCCCCGCAACCGCGAACCTCAGAATCTCCCCGACAGACCTCGAATCGCAACCCGCCCTCTCCGCCCTTCTTCCCACCTCTACCACCACCTCTACCACAGAAGATGACCTCACCATCGAAGACATCTCCGTCTGGGTATCTTCCCACCACCTCACCCTCTTCTCCCCCACCACCGCCTCCGGCGCACGCATCCCCTACCCCGCCATCGTAATCCACGCGCAAGAAGGCTCCGCCGTGCTGCTGGGACTCAACCTCTCTGACTCCAACACGGCCGATGAAGATATGGTGTTCATCCAGCTGCGGCTTATCCCTACTTCCGTGAGCGTGCAGCTGGAGGAGGATAGTACGGCGCTGAATGGAGAAGCGACGACGACGCCGGTGCAGAAGCTTTTCAAGGCGATCTCGGAGTGTCAGGAGTTGAACCCTGATCCGGTGGAGGAGGGGGATGAGGATGGGGAGGGTGGGTTTGATGAGACGGCGCCCGGGGCGACGGGGTGGATTACGAGTGAGAATATGCATGAGTTTGTCGGGGAGGATGGGGAGTTGAGGATGCCGGAGGGGGTAGCGGTGATCGGGGGTGAGGAGGAGGATGAGCCGCTGGGGGAGGGGGCGGGGAGGACGAGAAGGGCGGAGGAGGTGGACGGGGTGGATGGGGAGGAGGCGAAGTGGCAGCGGACGGGGTGAAGATGCCAGAAATGAAGTATGAGCGATGATGAACAGAGCCATTGAGACACCAGGCTTGCAACATGCGACTAGAAAAGGGCAAGATCGAAGTGGCAGCATCGGATGCTTGACATCAGGACAGCGAAGACTATCTTGCGCGTCCAGACCGCTGCATACAGTCCCGGGCTGCTTTGAGCGTGCATGTCAGCCAGCGACTGGGTCGAGGTACGGTTGCGCACTTGCGATCTCAAGTTCTTCGCCCAAGCGTTGGCATCGCAGTCAAGACTGGTCGAGAAGAAGCGAAGTACGTACTCAGCGTCTACCTACGAATTACGACCTATGTCCTCAAGAACCCATCCGAGTCATACAAACTCTTCGGCGTCATCTGAATGCTCCTCGGGCGGTCCAAAACTTCCTTCTCATACCCTGCGCTCTTCCTCGGCGTCACTACAGCAGTAGGCAGCGGACTACTCTGGCCCGGCCTCTCCCAGAACTTCTCCCCGTCTTCCCATACACTCAGCGTCTTTCGCTCCTCCTTCCTCTCACAGATTCGGTTCCGCTCTTCTATATGGTCCACCCCGAGTCCCTGCCCAACAGGCATCCCGAGTACAGTATCGTCACTCCCCGCCGCAGCCTCAAAACCCGCCAACGCCCCATCCAGCCTCCTCTCAACTTCACTCAAATCAATCTCATCCAACCCCCCCGCTCCCTCCCACTCATCCTCCTCAGCCCCCGCAGCCGCGAACCCAAAATCAAACACCGCGTCCATCGCCGCACCATCGCCTTCCCCAAGCTCGGGACTTCCTATCCACGGCAGCAAGGGCGAGGCTTCCCGGCCCATGCGCAGAAATTTTTTGCTCTCGCGGTTGGTGTCGTAGCTCCAAGCGTCGTTCTCGCCTTCGGTCGCGTGAGGTTGGGCTGGAGACCAGTCGGTAGGGTTGTTGACTTCGCTGTTCATCCTACGGAGGGCAAGAGCGTTCTTGAGGACGGAGTTGGCTGGTTGGCTGCGTGGTCCTACTGGGCCGGGCGAGGGCTTGGAGGTGGATTTGCTGCCTAGGTGGAGCGGAGAGGGCATTTCGACGTCGGGGAGGTCTTCGTTTCCTAGGTCGCTGGAGGGGATGGTTGGCATGGGTGGCGGAGGCGCGGAGCGGAGCGGGTGGTATTGCGGTTGCGCGGTAGAGGTTGAGCGTTGTCGACCGCTTGTCGTTTGCGACGCTTGTGGGCGCTGTAGCGTCGTCTGCATATACTCCTCCGCCTGTGCCGGTGGAGCGAGCACAGGCGCACCCGGAAAGTCGACCGTCTGGCCTACACTCGGCATCCGCGCCATGATCGCACTGGCATTAGAAGACGTCAGCATCTCCTCCTCAGACCGTCTAGGTTTGGAGCCGGAGCTGCGGTTGTCGAAGAAATCCTGGAAACCCTCCGGCATCGTCTTGGGCGAGCAGGGCGGCGTGTCTGGTAGATCGCCGCCGTAGGAGTTGGGCAGGACGGTTCGGGGGGAGACGTCTTGTTCGGATCCAGCGCTCGCTGGGATGGAGGGTGCGGCGAATGGGAAGAAGGGGGAGCTGCACACTGGTTCTGTGGTGTCCCAGGATGGGCTTGTGGGGTCGTATTCTTCTGGGCTTGGTTGGGGGATGGTAACGGTCGACCATGCTGGGTGTGCCGGGTCGTACTCTACATGCTTCGATGCTGGTAGCGGTGGGCTCGAATGCATGTCGCGGTCTGAAGAGAGCTGGAGACCGAATGGCGATGAGCTGTCGTCATCCTCGATGTCGGCCGATGGCCGAGAGAGGCAGAACTGCGGTACAGGCTGGTTGAGCTGGATGTCCGATACCGTCGCTTTGATCGGGCTTGGGAACGAGGGGATGGTGAATGCTGACGAGCAGTCCGACTGCCGTGATCCAGGCCTTTTGGCCGGCGAGGCAGACAGCTGCGAATCCGACGGTAGCGAAGGCAGACCATGCTCCTGGAAAGCATTCCACGCCGACAGCGTGGGCGAGCTAGGAGTCAGCGAAGCACGCAGAGTCTGAATGCGAAGGTTCGGTGCGAAAGACGCTCCGCTCGGAGGTCTCGAGAGACGGTGGTTCGAAACGAAGCGCAGCTGGCCCGACTCCTCATCATCAGTCGGTTCTTCCTCAATTCCGTGCATGATATTCGGACTCGTTGGTCGACTGGGCGGCGGGCCCAGGATCTGTGGTGTTAGTGTCGAGATGCGGACGCAGTTCTGCCTCTTATGGCCTTTCCTGGCATTCGGGCTACCTTTCAGCGCTGATGGTTTGGTGAGAGGAAGATCCCACTGGAACGGATTTCCATTAGTACTGCGTCCAGAGTCCTGCGTGGCGTTCGAAAGCTGGCGGGACGGTCCCATGGAATTGCCGGAAATATCGCGTAAGACACTCGTCTTCCTTCGCTCAGCAGGCGAGCCGCTGGCGGATACCGATGTTCGTCTGGCTTTCCGTGGTGTGACGACTTTCTTCACCCCGGAGCCGCTGCTCAAGGAGTTGGACGAGGAGACTCGACTGATGCTGATCTGGTCTGCGGTCGCGATCTTTGGGATCGACAGTCTGTTGATCTTGGTTTTGGTGGAATCCTCGCTGGTAGTCGACAGGCGACTTGTTGACAGTGTCTCGATGCTGTACCGGGCCATGTTGCTGCGAATCGACGCCTTGGACTTCGACATGTCGCGGCATAGTACCGAAGGTAGCGCCATGGCATTTTGCGGTGCCTGCCATTGCTTCGTAGCCACATTTTTGAGCGAGGCGCTGTCATCGTCCGCGATCACGTCAGCCACGGTTGGAGACGCTGGCTGCTGGTCCTGATTATGCATCGTCAAGATGGGACTAGACACCAGCACCGAGCTGCTTGCAGAATCACGACTCGAGGACGAGGATTGCCTCGTGACACAGAATCCTTGCCTCACATTCGAATCGTTGGTAGTAGACAGCGGTTCGATGACTGGCAGCGGCGGCACGGGACATGATGGAGGTCGACTCGGAGGCACACCCAAGCTGATGGAACGCGTGTGCATCTGCGGTCGACTGGGCATCCGAACCTGAGCCAAGTCTTGCGGCGCGAAGACTGTCACTGTGAGAGCGCCCACGGACCGTGAGCGCGAGGCTTTCGTGGTGTCGTTATTAGTAGCGATCCCGGCTCCATAACGGCCTGGCGATCGGATGGCGAAGGAGGGTAGAACGTCCGGCTTCGGGCTTCCAGGACACATGAAGACATCTTCATCGCTGACTTTGCGAAGCGTATACGCCTTGGACGGCTGACTCGGTGGCTGAACCTGTTCCACCGCCCTGTCCTGCACCTGATCCGGAAACGCAATAGCCGGAGAAGCAGCAGCCTTACTCCTTGGACTCTCCATAATCGCCGTCAACCGCTTCATCCTCAACGAAATCCCCTTCCGCTTCTTCCCCTTTGGCAGGGACACCGAGTCCCTCTTCCTCCTCTTATCCGCTTTAGCAGAACTCGGCTCATCAACCGTCTCATTCGACGACAGCGCGCCCCATCCCGCCCTCACATGAAGCGGGTTCAGTGTGCTGCGGCGCACCCCACTGGCTGGTCTCGGGACTTCTCTGATCTCTTGCGCTCGCGCGACCTGGACCGCTTCTTCCACCTCTAGAACTTCGATCAGACTGCGGTGTTCGCGGTGCTTCTTGACGATCTTGACGACCACGATGACGATGGCGATGAGGATTGCGCCGCCGACGCCTATGCCGAGACCTAAGTACATGGCTGTTGAAGGTGCTGTTGCTGCGGCGCCAGCAGCTGCGCGGGTGACATGGCTGGTCCTCTGTAAGTCATTGAAGTGTTGTTCTGCCGCTGCGACCCATGGTCCTTCGTGCGTCGGCGCCATTGCTGTCTTCGAATGTGCCGATCTCCTCTTTGCTGCTGTCCAGGTCCTTTCTCTACCGGCGGAGTCGTCTATCGTTCCTGGCGAGCGCGCTATATTGCCCTACCTTTGCCGCATCCGCATCCCTGAGATTCCTCCTCTTGTACCTGTTCCTGCTTGCGACGCCCCTTCGGCCTTGGTCGACACTATGCATGGCCTGCATGTTGTGATGAAAGCTTCGGCAAGGTATGCGATCGGTTGTCCTAACAGGGCTGTGGAATGTGGCATTTTATTAAGCCAAGGGAGGACTTTGTCAAAGTTCTCAGAGCCGGACAAGCTACAGAGCTGACTCGAGCACGCCGTAAAACACTTAGAAATTGTTTTGTGCTTCGGAGAAAGCGGTAGGGGAGTAGAAACGAGAAGTTTCGACGTACTCAACATTGCCACCATGATTGAGGCATCACGCCATCCACAAGCTGTCAGATCTTCTCGATCTTTCCAATTCAGTTGTCCACAATACGGAACGGATCTCTTGGTCTTGACACAACATCACGAGTGCGGTGAGAACGTCCAACTAGGAAACTTCTCCCTAAGCATCGGCAAATGCCCATCCCACTCCCCGTCCCCCAACCTCTTTAAAGCCTTAACCCTGACCTCCCCATCCTCAATCCAGAACCCCCATTCAAATCCGACACCCGGCCTCACGTCCTTCGACATCAAACAATCCGGCAGCCAAGCCAGGAAACTATGGCAAGTCCAGTCAAAATCCCTCACATTCTCTCGCATAGGACAGTCGAAAAGACTCGGCTCGGGTCCGAACCAGCAGAACGGCGTGTCTAGGCCTTGGAAGATGGGTGCCGGATCCATCTCCCAGTCATGGGAGCTGTCGCGCGTCATTTGGACCCAGCCGTACATGGATCCGTAGCCTTTCATTCCGATGGCGCGGACGGTGGCTTCGCAGACTGGGAAGTTGGCGAAGGTGGAGGAGGGTTTGGAGGGGAAGAGGAGGGTGCAGCCGTAGAGGGATGGGTCGGTGTTGGGTTGGACAGTAACGGAGACTTGGGCTTTGCGGCCATGGTGGGACAGGTCGAGGTTGAGTTCTAGCGTTTGTCTTTCTTGTATGTTCTCTCTCGAGTGGGAAGTGGACGCCATGCTTGAGACCGTCAAAGGAGCAGTGTTTGCTGTTTTATTGTGTTTGTCGTAAGCGACCGCCAGGAGAAGTCCAGGTTGTTGTGAGGTCGTGGTTCTGGAGCTGAATTTATATACTTACTGCCGCTTCATCGTGACCCACCTGTTGCGGACTTGCAGCTTTATTATATGGCCTACTAGCAGCCCAATAAATACACGTATACTCCGATACGGCGTTCAAAGGAGTTGATGTCGTGGTGTTTAAATAGATAGCGGAACGAAGACAGTTAGACCCAACGAACCGGATATCGGCGGCGACAGGTGAACCCTGACCTCGATCCGACCCAAGGAACGGGAGCGGATGATGAGATTGGATTTACTTGATGCCTGATTGCGTTGACAAACATAACAACCTCCTGATCTTCACTTCGTCTTTGTCTTCAACAGAGAGTCTGTTACACCATTCGATCGAAACAACTACACACTGCTTTCACGGAGTCGGAAAGGGGAACCGTCAAAAACTGGTCGACATCTGGATCGCACCGCGCGCTGCGTATCACCACAATCAACCGGACACGAGACTCAGCTGTACGATAAGGTGCTCAGCGCACGAGAGAGCCACGTGAGCGCGGAGAGCCTAGGACCAACATACGACCAGCACAGTTGAGCCGAAAGAGGAAGGAGCGCACAGCAAGAAGCTGGCAACGAGAACATGTCGCAAGCGAACGGCAGGCCCGTCAACGGGCACCCACGAAGCCCAGCTCGAACGGCCAAGAGGGACGACGACCAGACCGACGAGAACATCTTCCTCTTCGTCCCCAACCTGATCGGTATGCGCTGCACCTCCTTACACTATGCCCCCCACTAACACGATCCCACCAGGCTACTCCCGCGTCGTCCTCGCCCTCGCCTCCCTCTACTTCATGCCCCTCCACCCCCGCCGCTGCAGCTTCCTCTACTCCGTCTCCTGCCTCCTCGATGCCCTCGACGGCTGGGCCGCGCGCAAGTTCAAGCAGTCGACCCGCTTCGGCGCCGTCCTCGACATGATCACGGACCGCTGCACGACAACCTGCTTGCTCGTCTTCTTAGCGACCGCGAAACCAGCGTATAGCATGATCTTCCAGGGTCTGATCAGCTTGGACTTTGCGAGCCACTACATGCACATGTACGCGACGTTGTGTATGGGCGGGCAGTCGGAGAGTCATAAGAATGTTAGTGCGGAGAGGTCATGGGTTATGAACTTGTACTATACGAATAAGGTACGTCAAAGAGAGTCGAAGAAAGTATATCCGCCATGCTAACATGCCATCCAGACCGTCCTCTTCGTCGCCTGCGCCCTCAACGAACTCTTCTTCATCGCCCTCTACCTCCTCTGCTTCAGCTCTCCCCTCATCACACCAGCTCTCCTCCCCACCAACGGCAGCCCCGGAAACCTCACCTCCCCCGTCGGCAGCTCGCCCGTCGAACCCTTCGCCCCGGCGCCATCCCTCCTCTTTCCAAGCCCCTTCTCCGCGGCAGCGATGGAGATGGCGCGCGCGAACAAGATGGACAGCACAGTACCCTGGATTTTGACGGTTGCGTGTGCGCCGGTGATGATCTTCAAGCAGGTCGTCAATGTGATACAACTGATCAACGCAAGTCAGTGGTTGGCTGAGGGGGATAGGAGGGACAGGAGGAAGGCGGGCTTGGACAGCAGGAAGAAGAGGAGGTGAAGGGAGGAAGAGAGGGGGTGTAATACTGGGATATGCGTGTGTGATGTTTAGCGCGGCGTTGAGGGTTGTATGGATAGATTGGGGTTTGTTTGAAGGTAGTGTAATCACGGTCGAAGTATCACGACTTTAATTTCTCGATCGCTTCTACGATGCAATTCTTCTTGCTGATCAAGGGTGGCCAGGGTGCTGAGCTGAGCCACTGATCCCGTTGCGATTACATGGAAGCCCAAGCCACTGCGATCGAACCCATGTGACTGCAGCACGGATACCCCCCTCGAGTATGAGACTCGAAAGGTCCTTCCACCAAAAGAAGGACCTTTCAAGATCGTCTGCCGTGGCGTCCGCCTGGCATGCGAGCTCCAGTTCTTCCCGGGATCTTAGATCCATCCAGTCATCTCAATGGGGTAGCTAAACCAATTGCCACCATGAGGAAGCGACTCGCATCACCCCGGGTTCAACAAGCGCCGGGCCCGGTGCAGCGCAAGACGTCCCTTCGCCTGCTTCGATAGCATCCTCATGGCTAGCACTGCCGTTGTCATACCGCGTTGACGGCAGCCGCATGGCCTATTGATCCGCCTACAGCGTACAGAATCGACCTCGAAGCAAAGTAAAAAGGTAGACGCTGTCCTCAATACTCCGGCCAATCGCTCGTAGGCTTGATCATGAATCGAGCCTGGATAGAATCATCTTTTACTACCCGGACATCCGGATGCAAGGTATTCGCTATAACCCGCCACACACGGTTGTCCCTTCCTCCCCGAAGGATGATATTGCAGCTCTCCGTCTTCTCAAATCTGGAATGGCGCGTGGCGCTGCGGCAATTTAGCTTAATCATATATACTAAGTCATCAGGGCCATCAGGGTCTTCAGGATCGAGTGCAGCGAAGTGGAAAACCAGACTCTCCATCCGGCCGGAGATATCTTCATGAAACCTCGAGCGCGTTACCTTGAACGCCAGCGTCTCGAGCAGAATACCCTTGTTCGTTACCGCGTATGGTGGTCTGGATTGATAGTCTGTATCACGACCAACAATCTTCTCGGCCTTTCTGGTCCTTTCAAACCACGATACGTCCGGTGCGAGCAATCCAAAAGGCTGATTCGGACGAGCGCTTATTTGCCATGCGAAGATGGACTCGTCGTCGGACTGCCGGATGATCTCGTGCTGCAGACGGAGGAATGCTTTTTGGCTCCCTTCGCCATACAGCAGCGGCATATTGATGTCCAAGAGTCTTAAAAGACAGTAGGCCATGTCTTCTGGTCTCGTGGTCCTCCTTCTCGCTGCCCAATTGAACTTCTCTGCTACACAGGCGCCTTGGACGGTCTTCGCCGAGTAGCTGCCCGGCAGGTACCTCTGCTCGATACCGGACGCCGACGATACGTGTTGTGCGAGGCCGATGTGCCGAAATTGAGATGGATGAAAGTTAAGAAGAGCGCCGATGATGGACCAATGTTGGTCGCAGAAAGTTACGGATCTTGGAGCCAGCAGTTCTTGCAATGTCCAACCGCGAGTAAACCATGCGCTGAGTTCGAATTGTATCCACTGGTCTAGATCCGCGCGTTTGGGACGAGTCTTGGAAAATCTGCCCTTTCCAGCCGTGCTCTCGACGTCGGAGAGGTACACGATGCATCTGTCCGCGCGAGCATACCATTGCCACATGCTGTTGATGGCTTCGGAGAGCTCGGCGGAGCTTCTTTTGTCTATGCCTGCTCAAGCTCAGAATTCGTGAGACTACCCAGTCAAGAATTGCTGCTGCGCAACTTACACACTGTGTCTACCCAGACCCACTGCACAAGAGTACCAGCATCGATATCGTTGTAGGTCCGCAAAATATTGTGGGATGTCTGCCTAAATTGCTGCTCTTGGACAAAAACACAGAAGTCTTCAATCTTCCGGTTGTCAGTCAATGTGTTTCCCTCCGCCTTGCCCTTTTCCTTTCCGTCTTTCTCCTCTTCCTGCTCTGGATTGCGCTTCCTGAACTGCTTATAAGTCGGCTCGTTGCTGGTCCATCTATGAGAGAGTATTATGTAAGGAGGCGGCTGGCCTGTAAATTCCCTGAGTTCAAGGGTGTGAATGTTGATAAGACGCATTTCGTCCAGACATCAGCGGTCCGTCAGTCTTCAGAACATGGAACGAGACTGGCATGCAGCATAGATGTCGAGCTCTGTCATCGGGTTAGTGATACGAGCACAGAGGATGGAGGTGGGATGCGTACTGAAGTGAGGTACGGCAAGGCTACGTCGAGCTGCAAGCCACGGCGGGCGGAGCTTGCTTGTATCAACAGTACCACTCCACAATGTCGAGGCTGTGGGCATAGGGTCGGAGACGCTAGTAGAGAGCAATCGCGTGCTTTGTTATCGTGTTCAGCTCACAGATTCTCCCTATTTTCGATACACTAGCACCAATCGACAAAGCATAACGTTGACGATGTACAGTTTCGCGATCCCTATTGCTTTCCAGCGCCGCATTCTGTCCGCTTATAGACGAAGAAAGAAAGGCTTCTGAGGCAGTGCCGTCGGACCCTCAGCTACTCGTGCCTCCTCCATCGCTGTGTTGCATTTCAACGGGCCCCCGACTGATCAAGCGTGTCCAGTCTGCTTCCCAGATTGCTTTGAAAGTGTCGAGAGCGGCCTGATGATCTGCTAGAGGGAGCTTAGATAGTGAGAGCTCGGATTCCTCCTTGCGTTGTAGCAACCTGCGCCTTGACTCGCCCCATGCCTTCGCGTCCATCGGGGCCGTGCCTGAGGACTTCAGGTCTTCGAGAGTGTGCGCCTGCTGACCATCCAGTTTCTTTCGTTTTGATAGCCGCGATCTAAACTTTTGCGCAATCGACTGCTCCGATCGAATGGCGATTGTGTTAAAAGGCTTCTGGTCTTGAAGTATGACGACAACGTCTCGCTCAATGAAGGTTGATTCATGCTTGGTGTACGCCTGCGTCTCTCCTAGAAGGTCGTAGCTGAGTAGTACATCGCACTCAAGGCCGTCCAGCACATAGAAGTCCACTTTGGAAACTTCTTCCTTGGAGTCATCATAGCTCCACTTCAAATTGTGAACCACGCCGGATGTTCGACCTGATGAGCCGTCTGCAAACTGGAGGTCCTTTTGGTGTTCGAACGCAGTATCAATCACAAAGCCGTTGCTGGTGGCGTACGCCTCCGAGATCAGCATGAGGTCTGAACCTGTGTCCGGTAGAGCATAGACAGGCTTGCCCTCAAGACTCCCGCTGACCAGCTGCTGAGGTGCGCCCAGATATCGCACGCGACAGGCTGAAGCATTACGAAGAATGCGTCAAACACGATGACGGAAACGGGTCAACGTCTCGGTCAAACGTAGGACAGCGAGCCAAGGACTGCTTGGTGGCTGCGCCCTGGTAGGACCACGAACTCGACAGGATGGAGCTTTGTCTCGTACTTGAAAGCCAGGTGAAGTGTGACAGTGCCGACAGCCTTGGCTATTCCACCATTCGCCATCCTCACATGGCATCTCGTCGTCTCATCGATGGAGACGCCGTAGGTCTCCGCACAAGCTGAAGACATGTAATTCGCACCTGCCCCTGTATCCGGAAAGCAAGAGGTCTCGTTGCCATTGATCTGACAAGGAATAGCCGGCTCAAACTTGGGGCAGCCTGTCTGCACCGACTCTGGGTGATATGTGCTCTGAGATCCTCGAGGGTAAGCTCTTGTACTTCTTCGGCGTCTTTGCCTTCGACCCCCACGTGTGCAATCCCCGTGATGGTTGTAGAGCGTTGCCACCGACTCCTGCCAAGTGCGAAGCCTTGCCTACAGATCAGCCAGAATCTTCGTAATACTGCCCGCCTTCTCAACATAATGTTGGAGTTTATACGACAAGTCGAAAGTATCGTTACTTCCCAGTGTCAGATCTGAGAGTCAATCCCCAGCTGCCCTGCCATGTGCGTCTAGCGGCTTGCAGGTTTCTCGCCTTGCGGACCTCAACAGTGCGCGCAGCCACTCTTTGTCTAAGGACTCCGCGCCGCGTTGAGCTTCACACCAGTCATCCCAGAGCGGCTGAACATGGGAATGGAACCTCAACCATCGGATTTCGCGATGGGCCTCCCTTGCCCTGCGGTATTTCGCGTCCAGTTCGATCAGTAGTTCTGTGAAGAGGTCATGTCTACCCTTCCAAGTGTCTTCATATTGCCGCAGCAGATCCCTCATGCTCGCAGGCTCACCGCTTAACTCATCGCACAGATCAGCATCGTAGATTGTAGCAGGGTCGCCTTGCCATGGAGAGACGTCGTGCCATGTAGAGAAGTCCATCCATGGAAAGAGCTCTCGCTCATCCCATCGGGACAATCGATCATTCCATGAGAGGAGCTCTTGGTCATCCCATGGAAAGACTGGGGCATCTAAGCTCACTTTGTTGGCCGAAGTGAAAGAGAACATCCTGGGAGTAGACGGGAGATAAGAGCTCCGTAGTCTATGGCGCCGGCTCGGAGAACTGATCGCGAAGCTGAAAATAATTGAGCGTAACGCAATGCTTTGCAAGTTTCAGAAAGATTTCTTCCCACCCAACTTGCCGCACAACTGTGCTTAAGGGGAAGTATCTTCATCATACTGAAATGATTCGTGCGCGAGGCTCAGCCACCACTAAACGCACCCCAGCGCAGCAGTGACAGCGCATGGTTAGCTGCAGGCCAGCCTCGGACTTTCCAACCCACATCTTGCCATGGTATAGCAATGGCATACCGAACGGCGATGACATCATGGCGACTGGGTTTTCGCAAACGCCCACGGCCGTGACCAGGCAAGCCAGGTCGCAGCATTTGCACGTTTCATGTCCGCGGATGCAGATCAGAAAACCTTCTTCTGGCGATTCGGCAATCTCACTGCGAGGAATATTGTGCAGCTGCAGAGTGAGCTGATCGAAGTGGAGGTATGCACTGATGGGCCGAGAGGGTGTTCAAGACACAACCAAGCTGGCCTCTTGGAACTTCTTGAGAGATCTCACCAAACAAGCAGGCAAATACGTTTTCTCATAATCCACCAAGGTTTGAGCGCGCATGTGTATCTTCTTATGCTGTGTCTGGCCTCAGAGCCACAAGCCGCTGCCACTCGACCATAAGCCGCTGCCATTCAATCTCCCATTGAGCATAAAAGCTCTTAAGTGCTCCTTCGCGGTCTGCAATGGGAAGTCTTGTCACAGAACGCTCAAATTCCTCCTTACGGCGTAACAGCTCACGCCTTGCCTTGTCCCATTTGCGCCGGCTCAGCTCATGATGGCTCAGGACTTAGACAGCTACCGGTGTAGGCTGCGGGGCCCGAATGAAGTCCCGTATGAAGTCCCGTGTCTGCTTTGGTTCCGAGCGAATCCTCACTGTAGTGCCCACATGCCGGCCAGTGCCCAAAGATGCTGCATCCCTCGACCGATCCTCATCTGTACGATGTTGCTCGTAAGCATTGCTGTACTCGCTGTAGTAGTTGTCGCATACGTCCAGTGTGTAGTCAGTACCTACCCATGTCGACACCAGGCGAGTCAAAGCCAGGCATGTCCATCGTCAACGGCCTCGAGAAAAAAATCCTAAAGATATTGTCGAACGTCGGGGAGCTGGCTGCAATGATCAGGTCGAGTTGTTGAGGCTAAAGGTGTTTTTTTCGCACGACAAGTATTTCCTGATTGAAGCTTTGAGTGCGTCACACACAGATGGGCGGTCAAGACTTATCCGAAAAGAAAGACCAGTGTCACATACCTTTCGCATGTGATGGATGCTACAGCCTAAGCCACAGCCACCACCAGCGAACCGCAGCCTTGAAGCGAGCGCGTGACAACGCAGCGCTAGCTGCATGCAAGGCCCTTATGTGGCCTCTCAACATTTCACTCTCGCTCACTGACGCGATGCCACCTGATGAAGAAGAAGCACCAAACGCCAACGATGTTGGTTGTGCTTGTCGAGATGGTGCTGCTGCCATTTCGCAGTTCTTGTCATACGACCCAGATCAAGAAACTTTGATATTTCGGCGCTTCGACCAGCTCGCAGCAAGAAATCTACTGCACCTGCAAAGCGAGTTGACAGAGCTGGAAATCAAGCAAGCAGGGTATGACCGAAGTGCGGCTATCAGCGACGACCATGAGCTACAGTCCTCGACTCGTGACTGGGCCAGAATGAGAACCAACGCGCATACTCGGGCCGAAGAAAAGGCGCGAGTGGCACTTGGTGATGACATCGAGATGAAGCTTGAGAGGTACTGTAAGTATTCCTGGCTCCAGGCGAATGAGCTCTTCTCGCTCACCAGAATCAAGACAATGCGCTGCTGCTCCGGAGCAAAGTAGCGAGGTTCGAGCGGCCCTCTGAGACGGTTCTTCAAGCGTGTCGTCTGGAGCTACTGGAAGCCGATGGTAGACAGTCAAAATATGGTTGCGATGCGGCCTACCTGTTTGGTGACGGAGGAGACCTCATTTCGCTCGGTCAAGCTGTCGAGAAAGACACCCTGTCTAGAGTGCTGAGGCGGTACTGGCCTTTCCAGACTCGGGTAGGTTAGGGATTGCGATCCATGAGGCATCTTCCGCGTCATGCATCATGGACTGACAGCCGACGGATGTAGGCTGCTACCCAATTCGGCCATGATCACGAGCAAATACTGCATTTCGAGGAAAGGTCGCTCGCGGTGGTAATCAACCTCATCAGCATTGTCATAGCAAGCATTCTTCTGATCGGGTCGATCTTGCTGCTGTACTTCGTGACGGATCCAGATGCTCGACTGGCGCTGGTGATCATGTTCATTGTCTTGTTCGCGGCATGCCTCGCTGGGACGACAGGAGCAAGCCGGGACAGCATATTTGCAGCGACGGCGGCCTACACAGCAGTACTTGTGGTCTTTGTGTCCGGCGATTTGGGAGCAGCCAAAGCGAAAGGCGGTGGTTGATAGGTTCTTATATTATTTGGTGCCAAACCGCGTACTGTAGGGACTGCAGCTGTCATCTTGGTGGCATTTTGGGTCTCCAAGATGGCATCTGTCTTCGTACGCGCCACAGCCCGACGCGTAACGAGATGTCGTATAGCTGGCACGCGCTGAAACGGTAGTATGTCGTGATCCATGATGGGTGAGAGGCATTCGTGTCCGCTGTCGTCGAGCAGCGTCTGCCGCAGCTCGTGTCAGTCCCCATCAGCGAAATCAGGAGACATGGTATAAGGGGCTTGCAGCAACCTGGTCACAAACCAATGCTGACTTCCTGTTCCTGACGTGTCGTCGGGGGACGTTGCAGCACCCCTGGTCGTGGCGAAGAAGCTAACGAAATGTTAAGCTAAAGATAGTTAAAGCCACCCGAACTCCTCCCACCCACCCCAGCATCGAATACCTAGGCCCGTCGCAACACTGCACAGTCCACAACCAAAACCATACCACCACCCATCTGCTGTACCTGGAAGAAGAGCGACAAAACGACAAACACCTACACCATCAGATACCAGCATGACCACCAACCCGACCCCACAATAGCGCTGGCCGCAACATCGCAACCAAGCCCTCATCCCTCGCCTGGGGGACACCTCACCCCTCCCACTACACCACCCATACCACCGCCAAAATGGTCGAGGACAAGTACATCGGTCTCGCCCTCGCGGTCACCAGCACACTAGGCATCGGCGCCTCCTTTGTCATAACGAAAAAAGGCCTCAACGCAGCCGCCGAGCGGCATGGCTTCGAGGGCGACGGGTACGCATATCTGCGCAACGGCACATGGTGGGCTGGCATCATCACCATGGTCGTCGGCGAGATATGCAACTTCTCTGCATATGCATTTGCGCCGGCGATTCTGGTGACGCCGCTCGGGGCGCTGAGCGTGTTGATCGGCGCAGTGCTGGGGAGTTATTTCTTGGGAGAGCAATTAGGGATATTAGGAAGAGTGGGATGCGCGATATGCCTGATCGGGAGTGTGATCATCGTATTGCATGCGCCGCCGGATGAGGAATTGAGAAATGTGGGCGAGTTGTTGAATTATGCGCTGAAGCCTGGTATGATATCCCTGCCTGGAGGAGCATTCAGAGCCAGAGAGCGCAGGGGAGGACTTGTTACTGACACGCGATGATCTAGGCTTCATGGTATACTGCTTCCTCGTGACCGTCTTCGCCGTGGTCATGATCTACAAAGTCGCCCCGAAATACGGCAAGAAGAACCCCATGATCTATCTCTCCATCTGCAGCACCGTCGGCAGCATCTCCATCATGGCCATGAAGGGCTTCGGCATCGCCATCAAACTCACCTTTGGCGGGCACAATCAACTCACCAACCCGTCGACCTACGTCTTCATGATTGTGGTCACTGTCTGCATTCTAGTCCAGATGAACTACTTCAACAAGGCGCTGAGTCAATTCAGCACGAATATGTAAGTATCCATCATTCTGCAAGACGAATGCGGAGCCTTGCTAATTGAGATAAACAGAGTCAACCCCCTCTACTACGTCACCTTCACCACCTTCACCCTCCTCGCCTCCTTCATCCTCTTCTCCGGCTTCAACACCACCGACGCCGTCAACACCATCTCCCTCCTCGCCGGCTTCCTCACCATCTTCACCGGCGTCTACCTCCTCAACCTCTCGCGTGAGGACCCGGACGGCGCCAACCTCGGCATCAACAGCGACCCGGACAGAGGAAAATACAGCGAAGTCGACGGCATCCCCACCGACCCCTTAGGCGCCATACAAACACGAATGAGCATGCAAGCCCGACGAAGCGGGGAATTCGACCCGCGTGAACGGCACCGAAGAAGCAGTAGCTGGACGCTCCGCTCTCCCATAACGCGTTTAGAAAACGGCATGGGCAGATCTGGCAGGCAGGGGAGCGGCGACCAGCAGCATCTCATGCATAGCTACGACGTCGACGCCACGGGGCTGGGCGAGTTGGCGGAGGATAGCGATGAGGATTCCGCGCAGAAGCGGACGTCGTTTGAGGATCGCGCGGCGGGCGGGGTCGGGAGTGGGACGTTTGGGCCGCCGGGGAGGGTGGGGAGTCAGGTGGTGGATGCGGGGACGGGGAAGGGGTTTGCGCGGTAGCGGTAGCAGCGCCTGTGCTGGGCTGATATGTGTGGTTGGATTGGGTGTACAAATGGCGTTCAGGTGAAGGGATGGCGGCATGACTTGGGCGAGGTGTACGCATTATGAGGCGCTTTGGCATGTCGAGCGCGAGCTGAGGACTGGGTATGAAGGTCCTGATGCTCGCATGGGAAATGCATGTATTCGAGCTTCATGAGGCAGATACTTGGTTTGAAAGCTGAAGTGTCGGATCACTTCAAATGCTCGTTCAACATTACGTGAATTAGGTATGTCTGCTCTCTGCTATATGCACCATAGTGATGGGTATCCGTCTGTCGGGGTATCTCTTCGCTCTGCTAAAATCCCTGCGCCTTGCGTAAATGGCCCAGTCCAAATGCGCCTCGCTTCATGAATGATTAGTATAAGTGCTGGTAACAGTCCCATATGTCTGTCGTTCATCTCGTCATCACGGTGCAGGACGTATGCACCGAATATGATAATGTTCGCCGCTCAAAAACCCAACTCACTAAACACATCCTTCGCAAACGACTCTCCCGCTCCACTGTGGTCAAGAGTCTGCATGAGATCGAGCTTTGGAGCTTCAGCTTCATCCGCTACAGTGATCTGCGACATGGCAGACGGCGTCTTCCTCTGTCCAGCAGGCGCGGGAAGAGAGTAGCCACTCCATCCCTGTTCGCGCTTCTCGTACATCGGTGGTGAAGTCGAGGGCACGGCGGCAGTGGAGCAGCTGTGGCGGAGGGTGCGGAAACGGTCGGCGACGCGGTCGATGACTGACAGCGCGCCGGGTTTGGTGGCGTGGTCTTCGGCAGTGTCGTCGACAGTGTGGCGGCTTGTGGGCTGAGAGCCGCTGTCGAGGTGATTAGGTGTAGCTGGTCCGCTGCTGGTGGTTGAGCTCAGAGTCGCGGCGCTGAAGGATGGGGAGAGTGAATCGAGGCTGCTGTATTCTAGCTCGGAAGCTGAGTTCGTAGCGTGTAGGTGCGTTGGATCGGAGTGGGCCGTCCAAGGCTTGATGGCAAGAGGTCCAGTGGTTGTCGTTGGCAAAGACGAGGTCCGCTTCCGGCGTTGTTGAGCCTGCGGATTGAGCCAGACCGCTTGAGGTAGGGCTCCAGATGGGGGTGAGGTAGGCATGCGGACGAAAGCGTCAAAGTCGTCTTGACCGTTGGCGTACGTGCCGTCAAAATCGTCGTCATACCCGGGCGAGTGCTGAGCATCAAAGTCGTGAAATGGGTCCGGGTGACTGAACTGCACTGGTACATCTTCCGCATACGAAACTCTGCTATACGTTCTGAGTGGTGGGCTCGGCACTTCAAGGACCGGCGAAAGTACGAACGAAGCATCGTCGTTATCCTGGAAGGTCGTCGGGTACACGTCGGGCACAGACGAGTGAGCGAAGCTAGGCGCTTCTGACGACCATCCCCGCTGTGAGGTGAAGGAGCTCTGTCTGCTCCAGTAGTGGTCTGACAAGTCGTTGGCGTAGGCTCGGGGTCGTTGACGAGACACTTCGATTGCTGATCGAGCTGCTGCCTCCTCTTGAACAGGCGACATCGGCGGTGGAGACTTCGCTGGTCTGGAAGAGTGCGGCCTGTTTTCCAGCCTGCCATTGAGCGCGAGATCGGACACGCATCGACCATGGACCTTCGACACCGGTGGCGGCTCAAGAGGCGCATACTTGTCGTGCGGATTGAGCGTCTGTGAGCTTGTAGTCCTGGCGAGCTGCTCGGCTGTAGTAGTACCGGCACTGCAACATCTCGACGGCGGGTCCATGATCTCTATTGGTACCTCCATGACGTTCAGTCGTTGGCCGGGCAGTAATGGACAAGATGTCGTGTATGCGCGCGAATCATCGTAGGCCTCCACTTCGTCGTTAAGCCGGTAAAAGTACCAGTACGTCCCACCCTGCTTGAGACCACCAGATCTCGGTTTCGACCAGTCCAGACTATCGCCATCGAAGATGATGTTGTCGAACGCCCAACAGCCAGTCCAGAAACCTCTGCCTCGTCGACGGTCGTGGTGCATCTGGTGAGCCTGCTGGAAGTTGTCCCACGACCCGAGTAACTCAACCGTTCGCGCTTCCGGAGGTGCTTTGAATAAGAATGTAACAAGCGTCGTCGAGTCCATGGTCGGCGTCATCGAGCCAGGCGGTTGCAGACTGTCGTTGGGACTGAGGCCAAGTCGTTGTCGCATCTTGTGCATCTGGAAATGCCATGATCGATTCATGCTGGGCCGCTGCCCTCGCCTTGCAACGTCAAAGCAGCTGCGACAACAACAACATGAAGTTGTTGCAGCAAGAGCGGAGGTGCGGGCCCTGGTTGTTTAAGGTGGCAGGGACGGTGCGCATAAGGTTTGGCAATGCAAGATCGATGGCTCCACTCGCTATCATCGAAGGCAGGAATTGTCCGGAAACTCTCTTTCATCTGCAACGTCTGGATTAATTCTTCTTAAGCGCTGTTATACCACATATCTCAACCAAGATAGCATGGAAATAGAAACCCGGGCAGTCTATGAGATCGACAGGACAGGCGAACCTGGGACCTGCGCCCTCCCTATAACGCGACGCCTCTTAATCAACAGGCGCAAGCAAGTTCGGAAGGCCTGGCCCGAGTCGCTGGTCGGCGGCACATCGTGGCCAATGGACTCGGCTGCGCGCGTGCAGCCATGTGCTCTGTCGCGTCAAGGCTGGGAGTGGGAGATGAGCTGGCGAAAACGGTTCTAGGGGACTGAGGAGCTAACGGCGCGCCTCGCAATACCTCTCTACCGCTCTACCGCTCTTCCAGCGACGCCCGCTATTGCTTCTGACTCGACGGCTGGAAGAAGATGAATGTCTCACCGCGACGGAAAAGCGGTTATCGTGTGTGCTTGATCAAGGTTCCACTGCAGAGACTCCGCCCTGCTCGTGCAGTATGCAGCGCAGATCCAAGGAAATCTGCGCGACTGCATCATCCATTTTGCTGGCTTGCTTTCCGTCCGGTTCGCACAGCAACGCCCAGCTCTGTCAGCTCAGGCGATCGCATTGGAAAAGCTTGCCAGGATGCGGGCAGTGGAGACCCTTGAGCGAATCTCCGGAGTGAGAAGACGAAGTCAAAACAAGGTCGAGCAGCACCACGTTCAGCAGCGGTGGCGCGTCGATTGGCCGCGGGATCGCTGCTTCCGTGCCTGGCTTGGCTGGGCGGAGGATTAACCAAGATCAACGTCGCTTGCAGCTCGCTACCGTTGCTTTGGCGTCTTTCGGCTGCAGCGAACTTCTGGTCTACAAGAACACGGCAGGATCTGAACGGAGCAAGCGGAAGGCTGGTGGACGAAGACTCTTCCTCACGACGAAGGCCTTCCTGGTTTCACTACGATCAAACAAGCACGGGCAGCAATATCGAGCTCAAAACACAACTGACTCCGAGTCGAAACAACACTGGAGTGGCCCGACAAGCCCAGATGCACTTGAGTGAAATATATTGCTGGCTACTCATGACCGCTGTCTGCAACAGTCAGTCCTATGAGGACCACCCTCAAGTCAGGAACCCTCTCGCAGCATTCCTCGCCCTCTCATTACTATACGCCTCAATCTTAACCGCGCCAAGTATTACCTCCATCCCGCTCCTCCCCATCTGCGCACCACCGCTCAGCGGCTGCACCCTCAGCCTCCACAGCGCCTTCTTCAACACCCACTCCTCTCCGTCATCATCGTCTTCATTCCGTTTTCGCTTTTTGCCCGACCTGCCAGACTCAGACGGGTCAATGTCCATTCCGCTCTCATCTTCATCGTCTTCCTCTTCTCCGCCGACTTTCCACGGTCGTCCATCGACTGTTACGTCTGCGTCTGCTCCGATTCGCACTTTCACTCTTTCTTCGCTGACGCCGGTGTTTCCTGGACTAACCGGAAGGCTTGCGACCCCTGCGCCGCGCTCCATCATCATGAGGCCCAGGGGCTGCGTGATGGGAAGGTTCATCTTATTCGCGATGACTGAAAACAGACTCGTGACCCGCGCGAGAGTTTGCCGCTGGAACATTGCCCTCCCAAGCCTAGCCGGCGCGGGCGACGAGGGCGCAGGCGCAACGGACAGGAACGTCGACTCGTCGCCGGAGATCTCAAGGATCAAGCTGTGTGATTCACCATCAACGTATGGACGCTGATAGTATATCCAGCCCGGTTGGGTCGGCGGTGTAGACGGAGTTGGCGCCGGCGATGGTGCATCGCCAGACGATTGCGCTACGCCGTCTGCCACGTACGAGATACCTGATTGCCGGACATCTTCGAGCCGGATAGCGATCTCATGGCGTTTGCGGGCGAGGTTGTAGGAAATGGAGTGCGGGATGAGACGTTGCTCCAGCCCTTTCAGATGGAAGTATCGCGCATCTCGTAGTAGCTCTGCGCGGTGTTCCTCGCTTCTGATCTCGACCGGATAGCCTTTCAGGATATGAAGGAGGTCGGCGAAGGTCTTTGCTGAGCGGTTTGGGATACTTGGGGGTAGGATGGAGGGAGGTCGTAGTAAGGTTCGCTGCGACAGGCCGGGGAAGACTTCTGTCGGGGTGGTGAAGAAGATTGCAAAGCCGAGGGAGAAGTAATTTGGTGAGTCGCCTGGATTGCTGAAGAGGTCGCGCGGGATCTGGAACTCCTCGTCGCCGATGCGGATGTAGATGGTCGAGGAGAAGAGCTGGGCCGTCAGACGAGGCACTGCCTACGCGTTAGCATGTGGCCTACTCTGCCTGCACTGATGTATACTCACAGCTGAAGAACTGCGCGTCTGCGAACAATTTGACAAAGTGCGGGCCATCTCTCGGCTCGATATGGTAGCCTTGCAGATGCAAAGCGATGTCTGCAAAGGTGGTCGGGTCGCGGTCGATGTACAGTGTTCTCACGCTATCAGCGCCTTCCGTCTGCCGCAGCTGTTCTTCGAAGAACTGCGAAAAGTATGAGGGTGCTCTTTAATGTTCAGCTGATGTTCTCAATAGTTGGGTAGCTTGGGTAGAAGGGACGGGGTGCTCACCATCAGAAGAAATCGACGCCCCAGATAATCGGAACAACTTGTCGCCTATTTGGATCGGAAACACTTTACGCGGCGGCAGCACCATAGGGATGTTAGGATCCTCCAGCGTTCGTGAAGGGTCGAATTCTGGCCGCGCAGAGCCTGGATTTGCATCCCCTGCGCCTGCTGTCGAGCGCGTGTTGTACGCCGGTCTGCTATCACCAGAAGACGGCGTTTCCTCTCCAGACTCCATCATCAATTCGTAAAAGCGCTTCTGGTCCGGTCGATTATCTTCTCGGTCCGAAGTGGCTTTGCGTTTGTTCCCTGCTACGGACGGCGGAGCCCCTTGAGGACGTCTCGGAACTGCGAAATTATCTAACGAGTTTGCTGAGGAAGAAGACAGATGTCTTTGTAAAGCGCCCGACGACACTGCGTGCGGGATGCTGAACTCGCTTCGCAGGGGCCGACTCTGCTGCTGCTCCTCGAGAAGTTCGCCTTGCGGTTCGTAGTAGTAAGAGGCTGACTCGCCAACACTCTCCAACGGAGTATCCCAGTCCCAGACGGTAGATGTGGTAGTGGAGGTATCTGCTGGACGCCTCGAAGCAGAAGAAGCGCCACCCTCTGCTGGTATATGTAGCAGACCGTCCTGCCTACTACCCCGGGATGTTTGCGGGGCTAAGTGGTTCATCGAGTCCTCATTGCTAGGCAGATTGGATAATCGAGGCGTCGTTCCCTTCGTCGCCATGTGCGTCGAGGCCTTTCTGGACGATCGCGTGGTCGGCTGGTCGGGTTCGTGTTGACCGTCATGGTGGAGGTTGCCTGTGCTGCTGCGCTGCGGTGCAGAACTTTCGATCTCAGCCGATTTGGCCAGATCGTTGGTCGGCATTGGACGATTGTTTATGCTGGGGGAGTATGCGGGTTGGAAATGCGGTCGGCTGCTCCTGGCGCCGGTCTCGTAAGGTGTCTGTCAGCAGAGGGCGCTGGATGCGGTTAGCCTGCTGGAACGAAGGCAAGCGCGCTTGATTGGTGAATGCAATGTCGGTGGGCCGGCGGTTTGCAGCGCCGCTGATCTTTGGTTTGGTGTGTTTTGCTGACGATGCGCTGCAGCTTGTTCCTGATTGACAAGCTTGAAAAAGCTGATTAAATTGGAGGTGGTGTTGTCAATGGCTGCAAAAGAGCCATTAATTCTGTATCACAACACTCGCGCCCGAAGACTCGGCAGCGCGGCCTTGCTTCTGCTGTCAGGCCTCGCAGGCTCCTCACGCGGTCGAGATCATGATGAGGGCAGTCAACAGAAAGAGAACGGCCGTCGCGAATGGCGTTTGCGCTGTTGCGAGACCAAAATTCTATACAAGAAATACGAGCAGGAGTGCGTGATCCTTAAGATAGCGATCTCCAGGCACGTAATGCTGTCAGCACCTTATATCAGCCATCGCGCTTCGCGCCGGGGTGCTGATCAACCTTCGCGTTTCTTATATTACAGGCAGACCGCCACACGGATCCGCCATTGATACTCCATACACGCAAGTGGTCCGATAGGTAAAAATCATTATCGTGACTGCTAGTCTGGGAGCATATTCAGACTGCTGCTTCCGGGCAATAACTCAAGCCAAGAGCCCTCACAGCTTACGGTAGGCATACAACCTCTAGAGCATGAGCCTGACCTGAACCACACGACCAATACGCTCACGGCGTAACCTTGAACGGTATCCCACTGGTCTCCTCGATCTTCTTAATGCTCCTCTGATACACCTCGTTACTCTCCAGCAGCTTGGTGTATGCAGTAAGTGTCGGATATAGGTTAGCATCGACCTTGGTCTTGCCCGCGATCAAGGGAAAGGACATGAGAATGTCTGCTGTCGTGAGGTCCTTTCCGCAGAGGTAGTTGCCACCTTCTGGTGAAGACTTGAGCTGCGATTCGAGGAAGCCGAAGTGCGTCTCAAACTGCTTGTTCAAGAATGACGACTCGACGTTGTTGGCGATGCTGCGAGTGATCGGCTTGATGAAGAATGGGACTGGAGCGTTGCGAATGCCTGAGAAGGACTGTCAGAAGGTCCAATATGAATATGGTCGGTCAAACTCACCATCCTGAGAACGAGCGAAGACAATCATGTCAGCACATTCCACACAATCGTCACAATGCCGCCGAACTCACCAGCAATAGCGCCATGAGAAGAGGACTCATCAACGAACCCTCGGCGTAATGCATATAGAACCGATACCTCTGCCATTGCTCGGTCTCGCCTCCAATCTTCCCCTCCATACCATCTCGGTAGCGCTTCGGGATGAGGCGGCTGGCGAAGTACTCGGAGAGATACTCCATCATCGTGCCCGACTCAGCGAGGATGACAGGTTCTGCTCCTGGAGCCTCGACCTTGATGACTGGTGACTTTCCGAGAGGATGGATTTGCTTGAGTTCTGCAGGAGCGAGCTTATCTTCGCCGCGTTTGAAGACTTCGATGTTGTAGTCGAGATCGGTGCATTCTTCGAGGAGCCATACAATTCTCTGCGCACGCGAGCCGTTCAGCCTGTTATAGTTTGATAAGTCGGAAGACCATAGATTAGGATCGCTGCTTGGTTGAGATACCAGTACAACGTGACCTTGGGCTTCTCTCCGTTGTCTGTAGCCATGTTGATGCAGTCAAATTCTCTGTGCTTTGTCCTTGTCCTATTGCGAGCGATGTAATTCAGGTGTGCTTTGTAAAATGTACATGCATCCTTGTTGAAGACCGCAGTGGTTGTCATCGGCGCAAAGCTTCCTGAACCCCGACCTCAAGTCTCGGCGTTGCGGGCGGCCGAGTTAGCTTCACACCTCACCTCACCTCCATCGAGCGACATCCAGGAGATCGAGGACAATACACCAGATCTCAAGTGACGCTGCAGACCGCCAGCAGCCATGCGGCCCACACTCATGAGGATGGCGCACGCCAACAGTATGTCGCAAAACCGGCAAGGGCTATATGGCAAGGTATGCTGACTAGGTCACAGGCGTGCACATGGACCCGGCATTGGTTCGATATGCCAGTATGTCTCCCCTACTACGAAAGTCCCACGATCATCGGCTTCGAGACCGTAGACAGAGGAGCTGGGCTGTAGCGGCGCCGGCAAGAGCTAGAGAGGACGTGGACTGACATGGGGAACAGACATGTACGTGAAGAGACACGAATTCTTCAGATGGACACCGCGCACCGCCTGGATCACGTTCGCCTATGTCATCGCCGTGCCGAGCTGCTTCCTATACCTTGCATACAGAACGGAGGTGAGTACACTGGCATTGAAGGATGGCTGGCATATGCTTTGGGACATGCGCTGCATAGGGCGTGGCTTTCAGGGCGAGGGCGGCTCTTACACTGTGAAGTATGGTTCTGACAGCATCCTCTAGGGGAAGTACGACTTACGAGGAAAGCGACGAGGGGACACAATTGCGGAGTTCTGAGTGATGAGGACGGGGAGGTCGATGGACCTGAGAACTATGCGGGTACCGAGTCCTCGGACTGGCATCCTGTCTGCGGAGCTTGAGGGCATACAGGGCATGCATTGTACATATAACGACAAGCCAATTGAATCGGCGCACCTGGACGTCTCCTTTGGGGAGTTGATCTTTGCCGGTAGACTCGTCCCGTCCCAGTGTCAATATCAGTCTGCGGACCCTTCTTGCTCTCCTCATATTCTCAAATGCCATGCAGCTCCTGGAAATCCACCAACTTGTTGAGCATTTCACTCTTCCTGCAAATCGTACACGTGACATGATGGACATTTCGCGATGTCTTGGCAAAGCTTAAAGCACTTAACGCGCGACGCGCTTTCTCTGCGAATGACCATACCTTTGCATCTCAACTCTACTACCATATCACCAATGTGGAAGGTAGCATGCAGCCATTCAAGCCACCATCGCTGGTGCGCCGACCGAGTGGTACCTCCTCACAGCCGCCAGCAAGATCCGAGCCGCCACTGAAGAAACGGAGACTCTCCACAGAGACCGGACGCGATGATCCTGAGGTTGTATCCGCGGCAGCGAAGGTGTTGCAGCAGCCTAATCCTTCGAAATTGAAGTCTTTTCAGACACCATATGCGGCAAGAAAGCCACTGCAGAATGTGGCAAATCCGGCACCCGCTGCTCCCCAAGAACCTCCGCAGAGCCAGAGCGAAGGGGCCGATAGCTACTATACAGTTCTATGGTAACATATCTCGTGAGGCCAACAAAATTGTTACTGACAGTTTGTTAGGCGCAAGATTACAATGAAAAAGAACAAGACGTGGGAGGGTGACGGCGTACTTTCTGTAAGCGGCGGCTACGCGCGCCTGCAAGACGTATCTGGCCGAGAGCTGGGCAAGTCAACTTGCAAAGGCCCCCTACTCCCCGGAAGTGAGCTGTCTGTCGGCGGAAAAGAAATCGAAATCGATTCCATCATCTGGAAAGAGGACTTCCTTGCCGGTCGGCCATTTCTAGGAAACTACAAGCAGAATCAGCCCAGCAGCCTCAATGACATTGATGGGACTGACAAGGTCACCGCGAAGGCTCAAGCTAAGCATGACAAAATCGCTGCAAAGCAGAAGGACCGCTTCGTGGCGAGCTCGTCACAGGCAAGCAAGGCTGGCTTCAAAGCTCCATTGCTGAGAAACACCGTCCAGCAGCCCGCCAAAGACCGGAAAGTTCCCGTTGGACGCCACAATCCTGATGCCGAAGGTGCACTTGTCATGAAACGGCCAAAGAGCGTGCCGAAGGGCAGGCAGATCGTGGATGTTGTTGTTGATCCCTTGCTGACACGCGAGCTTCGTGAGCATCAACGTGCTGGCGTGGCCTTCATGTATGAATGCGTGATGGGCATGAAAGCCTACGAAGGTGATGGTGCGATCTTAGCAGATGAGATGGGATTGGGCAAGACATTACAGACAATCGCACTCCTGTGGACATTGCTCAAGCAGAGCCCGATCTACGAAGACCAGCCTGTCATCAAGAAGGCATTGATCGTCTGTCCAGTGACCCTGATCCAGAACTGGCGGAAAGAGTTCAAGAAATGGCTCGGCAGTGACAGGATTGGAGTCTTCGTTGTGGGAGACAAGAAGGTCAAGCTGACGGATTTCACGATGGGCAAGGCATACAGTGTCATGATCATTGGCTACGAGAAGCTTCGGATGGTGCAAGAGGACCTACAGAAAGGCTCTGGTATCGACATCGTCATTTGCGACGAAGGACATCGCTTGAAGACTGCACAGAACAAAGCTGCGCAGGCGATCAGGTCTCTCAATACCAGTCGAAGAATCGTCCTGAGCGGTACTCCTCTGCAGAACGACCTGACAGAGTTCTACACGATGGTAGACTTTGTCAATCCTGGACTTCTTGGGAAGTACAATACCTTCAAGAAGGAGTTCGAGACCCCGATCTTGAAGACCTCGCAGCCCCAAGCCTCGAAGAAAGATCTGGAGAAAGGCGAGGCCCGAAGCGAAGAGCTGGCCAATCTCACTGGGATGTTCATCCTTCGCCGTACAGCAGAGATTCTGGCGAAGTACCTACCTCCAAAGACGATCTACGTGGTGTTTTGCAAGCCAACGAACGCTCAGCTGTCAGTCTACCGCTCTATCGTCGGCTCACCGACCTTCAATGCTGCACTTGGCTCTTCAGCTGTCTCGCTGGAGCTGATCAACATCCTCAAGAAGGTCTGCAACAGCCCAAAGCTGTTGTTGAAAAAGGCAGATGAGAGTGCTGTTCCGAAGAAGGCAGATGAGAGTGGGAGCAGCACTCTACAAAATGTACTTCACGCAATACCACAATCTTTGCTTCGATCTCCTGGCGCCAGTGGAAAGCTCCAGGTCTTGGACACACTCCTGCATCGCATCCGTACGACTACCCAGGAGAAGGTCGTCATTGTTAGCAACTACACCTCCACCATGGACATTATTGCCAACCTCCTCAACTCCCTTGACTACCCTTATCTTCGCCTCGACGGCACCACGGCGCAGAACAAGCGGCAAGAACTCGTCGACAAGTTCAACAGATCGTCAGCGAACAACTGGTTCGTCTTCCTCCTATCGGCCAAAGCAGGCGGCGTGGGCTTGAATCTGATTGGAGCATCCCGCATGGTATTGTATGATCTTGACTGGAACCCAGCCACCGATGACCAAGCAATGGCTCGTATCCACCGCGATGGGCAGAAGCGACGTTGCTACATCTACCGGCTTGTCACTCAGGGAGCGCTTGATGAGAAAATATTCCAGCGGCAGGTTAGCAAGGCTGGTTTGGCTGACAGTATCGTCGACGGCAAGAGTCAGGTCGGAGGCTTCACGAGAGAAGAGCTGCGCGATCTGTTCACCCTCGACGAATCTGACGATTGCCAAACCCACAAGCTCCTCGCATGTGACTGCGGCGGAAAAGGCATCCCGCTCGGCGACATCGAGTCCGAGAGCGAGAGCCCACGCAACGACCTAGCTGCACTCAGCGCCAGCGACAGCGAAGTCACCCGCGACGAGAACGGCACAGAAGTCCTCCGCCTAGACGATGACGGCGACCCTCCCGTGGCTCCGAAGGCGAAGAAGTGGAAGAGTGCCAATGACTACGACTGGCGGGCCGAAGAAGCAGAAGTCCAGCGCAAGGCCAAAGACTACCGCGACTCGACGGGCAAGGCGAAGATGAAGAAGCTCATGGAGTATGCGCATTTCGATGCTGCGCTTGTGGACAGCTACTACGCTATGGATGACCGGGCCGCAGAGAATATGGTTGATGGCGAGGAGTCTGACGCGGAGGGTTCGAAAGCAGATCCGCTGGAGGGCATCATTGACGATGCGGCGCTGAGGAGCGTTCTCAGAGAGGAGGGAAGGAGGGTTGGTTTTGTGTTTAGTAAGTTGAGCAGTGGATAGATAGAAGGGGGTTGGGGTGGTTACTACGCAGGAGAGTTGCTGTGGATATGCTGCATATAGCCTTGGCTGTGGCATGTGATTATTAGCTGTCTCTACACAGCACCAATTAGCGTGCGCTGGCAACAAGGCCTGCGAGCTCAAACGACAACGTCCAATACAACAACGGCCCACCTCAGACGCCGTGGTGTTCCTCCTGGCGACATTGCTCTCCTTCTCCCGCATCCTCGGATATGCCGCGCAGCTGCACCACACCCCAGCCCCACCCATCCCTTTGCCCTCCATCAAGACGTGCACCCCAGGTCATCAGCCGTGTCCGTTCAAAACCCATCGCTCACCTCCCAAATCCTCCCAAAGCCCCGCCACATGCCCTGCAAACTCCTCGTACCCTTTCTCGTACCCTTTCTCCCCGAACTCACTCCCCAGCCCGATCAACGTCCAAACACCACTCCACAATCCAATCCCGCTTCTTCGTCCAAACGTCACGCGCAGCTCTCATTTCCTCTCCCTGTAGGACGCTGTCATTGCCATCGTCAAAGCCCTCCCAGTAACCATTCACATAGCCGTTCACACGACCACTCCTGTAACCGTAGCCACACCTCCCGTCGTGGCCATTCTACGGCCCGCCCCCTCCGTTGCCTCCTCCGCCGCCGTTGCCGGGACCGTTTCGGGAGAGCGCGTTTTGCATCGCGGCGAATTGTTGGGTGAGGTCTGGGTTCCTGCAGGTTTTCAAACATAGCACATCAGCATTCTCTGTCAACGAAGGGAGAGAGAGTGAGAAAGCGCCGGCGACTAAGAAGCCGAATCTACCGAGCTTGTACTTACCCCTGCTGTCCACCAAACCCCTGCCCCTGTCCCTGCCCGCCGCCCATCTGAAACCCCATCCCATTGTGCATTCCCCCCTGCTGCTGTTGCCCCTGCTGCCCCTGCATCTGCCCCATCTGCAACAACTGATTCCTTCTCATCTGCAACTGCTGCATATATCCCGGATCCGGCTGCCCGCCCGGAACCTGCTCGACCCCTGTATTCCCACCTCCACCTCCTCCACCACCACCACCGTTGCCGTTCTGCTGTTGCTGCTGCATATGCGCCTGAGCCCGCATCTGCTGCTGCTGCATCTGCTGCTGCATCACAAAATTCCTTACCTGCGGGGGCTGCTGCTGCAGCGCTTCGCGGGGAATGTTGGCGGCGCTGCCGTATTGCGCCACGAGGGGTTTGAGGTGGGCGGCGATTTGGTTGCGGTAGTGTTGTTGTTGCTGGGCTTGTTGGGACGCTTGCGCTTGCGGATTGTTGGCGTTGGGGTTCTGTTGCTGTTGTTGTTGTTGCTGTTGGTGTTCCTGGCGCTGTTGAGCGAGTTGGTGCGCGCGCGCTTGGGCCATGGCGTGCTGCTGTTGTTGCTGCGGGGTCATTTGGCTGAGATCTTGCATGTTGCTTTGCTGCTGGCCCGGGTGGTGTTGCGGGTGCGCGTGGCCCATTTGGGGGGTTTGCTGGGGCATTTGCCCTGGACTTCCTGCTTGCCCTGGGGCGGGTGAACCTTGCATTTGCGCAAGGGCTTGTTGCTGCTGGTGTTGTTGAGCGGCCAATTGCATTCTCATCTGCTTCTGCCGCGCCATTTGCATCGCCATCTGCGGGTTTTGGCCGTTCATCTGAGCCTGGGCTTGAGCACTCATCATAGCATTCCGCTGCGCGTTCTGCACGCGTTGCTGGTTTTGAATCTGCTGGAATTGCTCTGGCGTCATGTTCTGCCCAGGCGAACCGGCTTGCATGCTAGTGGCTCTTTGCATTTGCATGGCCCTCTGTTGCTGGAAAATGGCTATCTGCTCCTGCGTGAGGCCGTTTTGTCCACCAATCTGAGGCGTGGGCATAGCCATGGCGCCGGAAGCAGGTGTGCCCTGCTGCATGGCAGTCGCAGGGCTACCAGGGGGCATTCGAGGTGTTTGCGTGGTTTGTCTGTTGGGCATAGCTTGCGCCATATTCGGAGTGCCCTGCTGCATCTGAGGTGTAGCATGTCGGCTGCCCTGCTGTTGCTGGCTGACCTGTCGAGCCATCGGATGCTGCATTGCAGCTGAAGTGGGCCGTGGAGGGCTCCCAGCACCCTGACTCGATGTCTGAGCCATAGGAAAGCCTCCTTGCTGCAACATGGGCGAGGAGTTCATCATAGGCGTCTGTTGTCGCATCACCGGGCTACCCTGCGGCACTTGTCCCTGATTGCCTTGCTGATTGTTAGACTGCTGATTCTGCATCATGCCATTCTGCTGCGGATGCCCGTGCTGTTGCGAGTTCATCGCTGCCCGCTGTTGCATCAAGGCGAGTCTCTGCTGTTCTTGGCGCTGTCGCAGAAGCAACTGCTGTTGCTGATTAGGCTGCTGCTGCGCCATCATAGCCATCTCGCGCTGCCGCTGGGCATGTGCCGCTCTCTGCTGTATCTGCACCTGCTCGTCGGCCTGCCGCTTCTCAGCGGCCGCGCGAACTTCTTCCTCCTTCTTGATACGGTCCCTCTCTTCGTTTGCCTGCCGCACCATGTCAATCGTCTTGAAGCGTGAGAACGTGAGAGATGCCGCGGCGCCTTGATTCTCACTTGTGGCAGTGCCGACACCCGAGGGCTTGATGCGCTCATCCATAATGAGCATCCTCCTCTCAGTCTCTTGTTGCTGAGCGTCATCGGCAGCAACCTCAGCAGTTGTTCTCTTGCGAGTCTTGGGTGATGGCGGAGCCTCTTGATGGAGAGGGTGTCGAAGGAGATCCAGGATCTTTTGCGCTTCTTGTGGGTTGTCCGCAGGTCCTAAATACAGTGGCGGCTCAGTAGCTACCAGCATGTCCGCCTGGAAAGAGTAGATCTCGCCGTCTTCCAGACACATCTTTTGGTTCTGACCTGACTGTCCTCGTGCGCCAGTTGGAGTCGGAGGTACTGCCATCTGCGGGGTTGGAGGTTGAGTGGTCGATGGGGTGCCGGATTCACTGTTGCGTTTCTTGTTGCGCACTTGCTCCAGAGGCGTCTCGCTGAGTAAGAGCAGCTCGTGATGCTTACTGAGCTCTGTAGGATGTAAGACGACGGTGAATACAGTCGGACCCTCCTTCTCCTTCGGCTTCTCTGGCGCAGGCATCTCGCTCTTGTCGCGCTCTGCCTTCTCCGGTGTCTCGTCTCCTCGAGCCGCATTCTCCGGGTAGGGTTCGTACGGCGAGGGAGTGATGTATGGAGTGTAGCGATGCATGTTGAACTTGTCCTTGCTGCCCGCCGCCGTAGTGTCATTCCTGCCCTTGTCCTTTCCCTCTTTCGTCCGATGATTATGCACCTCCACAATCAAACACCCATCGTAGAACCGGATATTATTTTCCACCAACTCGAGCATCATCTGGTGAGGCACGATATTGCGCTTGAGGTGCTCCAGCACGAACTTCATCTCCGAGTCGTAGGCGAAGCTGCCATCCTGCCCTTCGAACTTGAAGTGCGTCGGGTGCAGGTGGACAACCAGACTCGGCGCCTTGCCGTTGTGCTTCTTGAGGATGTAGTCCGAGTCGCGCACGTACGGCTCGTCCAGCCTGCGCTTCTTGGTGTTGGGTTGTGCCGGGGTGCCGTCCATGTTCGCAATCCGCTTGCTTGCTGCTGGTCGGGGAACGTCGCGAGTGCGTCGAGAGGGCTGCGCCGGTCGGGCGACGGTGGCGGTGGCCATGTTGCCAGATCCCGGGCGTGAATTGCTGGAGGTGGGTCGGGGGAGGTGCCGTGGGTTGTCGAGGAAGCGAGGAGGCCGCTGGAGGTAATCGTGCTTGCTGCGTTTTATATTGGCCCACTCAAGCCAAAATTGCTTGGCGTTACCGATGAGTTGGTACAGACCGTTGCATAGCGCTTCTTTCTCGCAACTCTTCTTCTGAACCTTCTTGATCCAGTGTGTTTGTGCGATGTCTGATACTGATGGCATGTGACGCGCCGAAAGTGGCATTCCTAGCGAGATCACCGCGCCCGCCCGCACTCCCCGCAGGCTAGTCCCCCACTTAACATTCACTTCACTTCGATCGCATGCTGAGGGCATCGATACCTAGGAACGAGCAGGCGAGGGACAGGGAAGGCGACCCATCGGACATGTCTGGCTGCCTTCACATAGTTCTCCCAGACCCAGTCGACCCGAAAAGGCCACACGACTCTCGTGGGCGGGCTTTGTCTGTCTGTGAGAAGATTCATTACATAGCTCGCTCTGGCCCGACAGGCTACTTTCACCGTCTAGCTTGAGCAAGAAGCAGTGGAGCGGGCCCCTATCTGGTCCGTCTTCTCAGAGACGAGGTTGTGGTCAAAAAGGCCACATCACTCTCATTAGCCGGCGGTCGTTCTCTCCGAGAAGGCCCCGTACACGGCTCACTTAGACCTGCAGGCGACGTAGCAGAAGAAGTAGCAGTCTCCGCAGTCTAGACTATATAGAAAGTATATTCAGAAGCCCCTAAGTAGTAGATTGTTTATCGGAGAAGAGCCGAGGAACAGGCGGATAGTATAGCTCTCCGAGATAGTAGGAATAGCATTACCTAGCAGGAGTCTTCATAGCAGGCGATGGTGTCACGGAGAAGCCAGAACTTGAATACCACTTCTTTTGCTACGTCGCCTGGACCGCAAGATTCATATAATACAGGGTAGGGACATCATCTTGACGCGGTCTATTGTACCAAAAGCGACACGAGAGTGAAACAAGATGCACTCAGCAAAAGTTGTAGAAGAAGGGTATGTGCTTGATGTCGTACGCTATGCCATAGTCCACAACCGCACACCAGCATCAAACTTTTTCCATCATCTCGTACATCAATGTCATCCATCATGTGTCGCGAAAACAAGCCGAAAGGTCAAGCTACACAAGCTTATAGCTTCTCAACTGAATGCAGAGCCAGCAGACACCCGCAGTAAGCAAAGCGACACGCTCACTTGAACTGCTTGCCATCCGCCCACTCAAGCTTCTTCCCGTTCACCTCAATCGGCTTGTCCCAGCTCCACATGTCCTCGACAAACTCCTTGTCCTCCTTCTTGCTCGGGTCGAGCTTCTTGAACTCGTAGCTCTCGTAGTCGGGCGCGACATCGAAAGCCGGGAGCGCCTCCTGGCCACGGACGAGGAAGGCGCCCTTGATGACGCTGTCGTTCGTCACGCCGTAGACGGAGCAGCAGCCGAAGAGGTACTTGCGCGAGGCCTCGAGACGCGCGAAGAAGCCGCCGATGAGGTTGGACGTCATGAAGGTCATGGTGAGCTCGTCGTTGTACTTGTAGTCCACCTGCCACAGGCTGTACTCGTCGAACTTGCAGTTCTCCCAGAACCAGGGGAGGGCGACTTCGCGCGTCTCCTCGTTGGAGTACTTGCGCTTCCTGTAACACGGTCAGACTCGTAACAACACAGCGACCAAAGATTTGAGTACTGACCAGTCGTCGAGAACGAAGGTCGGCTTGGGCAGCGCCTCAAGCGGATGCTTTGGCTTCGGTGCTGGCTTCTCCTCTTCCTCCTCGTCGTCCTCCTCAGCAGCCTTCTTCTTCTCCTGCTTCTTGGGCTGCTCCTGCTTGGGCTTCTCCTCCTTCTTCGGTGGGGTGTTGGCGAGCGCCTTCTCGATGAACTCGGGCTTGCCGGCGACCTCAGTCCACACAGACTGGTTGGTGACGGTCTCGTACCATCGAGTCACGGAAGGGTTCTGCGAACGCCACTCCTTGTCGAAGAAGTACTGGAAGCCGCGGCCGAGGATGGAAGCAGCGAAGATGTCGGCGAGGGTGAGGCGCTCGCTGACGAGGTAGGTGTTGACCATGAGGTGATCCTCCAAGACCTTCATCTTGTTCTGCGTCGCCTTCATGCTGTCCTCGACGTTCTTCTTGTTGTACGGGTCGCGGCCGACGAGTGGACGGAACCAGCCACCAAGAGACGGGAGGACCTCGGCGTTGGCGAAGGACATCCAGCGAAGGATGGAGGCATAGTCCTGCTTGGTCTTGCCGAGGAGGGTGGTCTTCTCGTTCTGCGAGGTGACTGCAAGATACGGTCAGCAGATGCTCGTGAGTGCCGTACGCAGATGTTTGTGCGGTTGTAAGTCATGTCAGAGTGTGAATACATTCTCAACAGTAGTCTTCAGACAGGGATAACTGTAATTGATTGTATGTGTGTTCATCATGTGAAACGAGGCGAGGCTGTGAAGTCGCGACATTGCAAGGAGGTTCGCGGACTTACGGTAGATCGCAATGGCAATAGACTCGCTCAGAATGTAGCCATCGCTGCCCTGGAAGGTCGGGATGCGGCCCAGCTTGTTGAGCTTGCGGTAGTCGTCCGTCACGCCGTCCTTGCCTGGGTTGGTGTCCACGAGCTCGACGTTGAGGTTGTTGGCTTTCGCCACGACCATGAGCGAGCGGGTGCGCGGGTTGTCCTGAGTCAAACGTATCAGCATAAATTCTGCGCAAGCCTGCTGGCTGGAGGCGGTGGGGCAGCGGTGTTCGCTCTCGACTTACAGCGAAGCCGTAGACTTTGCCGAACGACATGATTGAGGTGTGAATTTTTGTTGTATTCGTGTCTTCCAAGTGCGCCTTCGTTGGCTGTGGATTTGCTTGTGTTTCTGGCGATGTCGCAGGTGGATATGAGTGTTTTGGAGCTTGAACAAATTTCTGGAAGTCCTAAAACTTGAGCTGGCCCGAGCTTTGCCTTGGCATTGACTTCGAGATGGATGAGAGCAGAAGCATTGAGCGACCATCAGCAGCAACACCACCCCCCACCATGGAGACGACCCTCCTCCGCGCCGGCTTCAGACGCGCCATCGCATCCAGCTACAACCCCGCCCGCCGACGCGTCCTCCTCCTCCACGCCTCCCGCCGCACCTACGCCTCCCCCTCGGAGCCGTCAGGACCCATCCAAGCCGCCCGCCCTATCAACTTCACCTCCGACACCAACCAATTCGCCCGCTCCACCACCAACAGTAACAAAAACACCTCCCAAGACCAAGACTACGACCGCCTGCTCCACCGCGTCCGCATCGTCCCCGCCTCCCCCTCCTACTTCACAGCCACCCCCCGCTACACCGACGACCTCCTCTACCTCTCCTCCCTCTACCGCAAATACCAGCTCCTGCCCCGCCTTGCCCCGGGGACGGAACCTCGGGTAGCATGGAAGACGCTCGCGGAGTACCGGACGGAGACGGGCGAGCCGGTGCGGCAGAAGGGGTACACGATTATGCTTAGTTTGCTGAAACGGCTGAATAAAATCCACACCGCGCTGCTGCCGGTGGAAGTGCAGAGGGCGTTGCAGCGGTATAAACGCCGGATCCAACCGTTCTTTGACCGGGCGAAGCCGATTGAGATTGATGAGCTGGGACGCGCGAGGGCGGTGGGGAGGCGGAAGGCTTGCCATGCTGTGGTGTTTCTGGTGGAAGGGGAGGGGGAGTGTCTGATCAATGGACGGAGTTTGACGGAGTACTTTGGCCGGTTGCATGATCGGGAGTCGGCGGTGTGGCCACTGAAAGCTACGCAGAGGCTGGATAAGTATAATGTCTGGGCTGTTGCGAAGGGAGGGGGGACGACGGGGCAGGCGGAGGCGATTACGTTGGGGTTGGCGAAGGCGCTGTTGGCGCATGAGCCGGATTTGAAGGAAGCGTTGAGGAGAGGTATGTCTCGCTTCGTAAATGCTCTTTTCGACCTGTGCTAACATTTGTTGCAGCTGGATGTGTGACGAGAGATCCGAGGAGAGTGGAGAGGAAGAAGGCCGGCAAGCTCAAGGCGAGGAAGATGCCTGCTTGGGTCAAGCGGTAGATGCGAAGTGTGTATGTACATGTAAGATCAATGGATCGCTTCCTCGTCCTCGGTGTTCGCAGACAGTTCGCTTGCTCAAAAATCAATGCTCTCTCAGTCAGCATCATGCTCAGCTGGCAGACTTTCCTTTCCAACCAACCGACCAACGTCATTTCCCAGAAGGAAAAGTCCACTTTCAGTGGTGCATCACCCATCTCCTTTCATCGACTCTTCCTGCGTTTCAAGATCTGCGCCGTGAACCTCTCTTTCACGGCATTGAGAAGTGAATGGCCGAAGACGACTTAAATTCCTATCAAGGGTGAATCCTCCTTGGGGTTCACCAACCACGACTCACTACATCTGAATACATCACCGAACATCCACATCACTCTTGACATCATCCACCTCACCACCAAAACACCCCTTGCTTCCCTCCAGCAACCCACCTCACAATGTCCCACCACCACCCCCTCCTCCGCGCTCTCGGCCTCGCAATCGACACCTCCCTCACTGACTGGGAATCCTACACCCACCACCTCCGCACCCTCCCCTCCCTCGATGCCGTCACAGTCCTTGACCCCGGAACCCCCGCCACAACGGCCAAAGTCCTCGAGTACGTCCTCCACACGCTTCCGCAGCGGCACGGGATCCTGGTCAAAGCGTACGGTGATCCGGGACTTGATCTCGTGGTTCTTCCGGTGGATTGTGAGAGGCTTCTTGACCATCTCCAGGACTCCGATGAAGGGGGTGAGTGGTTCAAGGGGTTCGTGAAGAGTAAACGGTTTATTGGGAAAGTTTTGAGGATGGAAGATGAAGTGGCTTCAGCGGAGAAGGCGAGGTTGCAGAGTTTGAGGCGGTTGAAGGCGGATTGGATCGTTTTGAAGGAGCAGGAGATGGGGAGGTTGGATGCGCGGAAAGTTGAGGCTTTGGTGGAGGCGATGGAGGTTGTTGGGGTGGAGTTGGTGGGTGTGGAGGGTTTTGAGGCGTTTGGGGAGGAGGGCGATGAGGAATTGGTGGCAGAGGAGTGTCGGCGTGTGTGAGGCGGGTCCCGATGATGAATAGATGAGGGGCCATCGGTCTGAGGGCGCCTTCAGTCATTGTCGTCATCATCATCACTCGGATCCCAGCCCTCCTCACACTCTTCGGCGATACTGGATAAACCGTCACAAATCGCCTCTCGCTCATCGATCCCAATCAGACTCCTGGCTGAGCGTTCGACATCCCGGACACCATTCGCCACTTTCGTCGAAGTTGACAGCTGAGCTTTCACAGCAAGACTCTTCGGATGCCCTTGGAAACGAAGCACTTCCGGATACGAAGACAGGATCGGGAACAGCAGCTGAGATTGATGGATGCTCACACGTGGACCTTCTGCGAAGCGATCGCGGGATGCGGCGTTTGAGTCTTCGATTTCGTCCTGGCCCTTCCATGAGCCACGGAGGGATTCGACCTGGCTGAAGGTATGTGGACGGCTGCCGAGGCGTCGGGATGCGGGTGATGTAGTTGGGAAAAGGTTGATGTCTGTGGTTGAGATTTCGTCTTCTTCGTCTTCGTGTGTGACGCCGTTTGTCATGCGGCTGTCTTGAGGTGCTGTGCCGTTGGCGGTTGGTTGGAGAGACTCTGGGTCTTTGACTGAGAAGCCAGCTGTGGCGATTCGTCGATTACCATCGTTGTTCAACGTCGTCTCCAATGTATCGAAGCTCGCCCGTGCGGCTTCATCACCTCGTAGCCTCGTTGGCAACGTGACACTCTCCATCAACGCTGCCTCCAAAGCAGAGGTATGCCATAGACTCGATGCGTCGGCCGACACATAGGACGGGAGTCCGGCCGCCTGCATAGATAAAGGAACGTGCACACTCGCATGTGAATCAAGCGCATACAACGACTGCGCAAAATTCGCCATCTGCAGCATCTGCCTCTCCCTCCGCCTCTCATTACCTTCTTTCAGCCCGAACACCCAACGACAGCCTTTTCCCAGCTCGTCGGAGATGCGCTCCAGATACCTCGAAGTAAACCCGCCCCACGCATCATCCGTACTGCTCAAAATCTGCAGCCCCTGAAGCTGATCGCACTCCTCCAACAGCGGCCTGAGATCCCGATCAAGCAGATCATGCTCCCGGTCCAGATCCCGAAAAAGCTCCTGCCCGGTCTCCCACCGCTCAAACGGCATAAGCGAACTATTAAGCTCATACTCATTCACCTGCACAATACTCCTCGGATGGTAGAAAATATGGTTATAATCCGACCAGAAACGTACAGTATCCGTACTCAGTTGCGGCGGCTGCGTCCCTTGGTCCAGCGCCTGTTGGTACGGACTCGGAGCGATTGGCGGGAGTTGCAGAGAAGCCGTCCGCCCGCCCCATTGGCCCTGGTGCGTTGCGTCGTCCTGTTGTTGGAGTTCGTAGAGGGCGTTCTCGCGCCGGAGGGTTCCAAAGCCGCCTTTGAGGTCGTAAATTAAGGTCCGGGGCGTGTAGGTGTCGCTGCCGTCTGCGCCTATGCCAGGGCGGAAGGAAATGTCGTGGTCGACTGGAGAGTCTGGCTGGCCGGGATATGTGAAGTAGGATTCCTGGGGTACTCTTCAGCACGGAAATATCATATATGTATTGGGGGAATGAGTTGGTTGGGGGAGTTACTTGTATGTTCCAGTAATGGGTGGCGAGGTAGTTCGCACGCTGCCCAAATTGCAGCGTTACTACTTCGTGCATGTTGGCTGTATTCTTGTAAGTGTTTGACTACATCTCACATCCATCGATGTTGTAATGGCAAAGGTGTGCGTTTGCTTTGGACTTTGGAAGACGATCTCGTCCCAATCGGGAAGGAGCGGCGTCCCATGACTTTATGTCGAGGTTTTTTCTGGTCTCGATCTCTGAAATTCCTCCAACATCTTCTCAATTATACCTCGCCGTCTTCACCCGCAACAATGAAGCGCAAGAGAGGCGCCCTCGAAAAGGTCGACGTCGACTTGCCGAACCTCCAACACAAGATCAAAACCGACCCAACCTCCTACCAGGACGAATTCATCAACCAATACTCGCAATACCAGTCCCTCCACGAGCTCTTCCTCCAGTCGCCCACCACCACCGATGACAGCGGTATAATCCGGCTGCGCGATCTGATCGACTTTGTCAGCCATGTCGCCGACTGCTACCCGCGCATCACTGGCGCATTCCCAAGCGATCTGATCGGGTTGCTGGAGAAGCATCATGCTACGCTGGAAGCTGAGTTGCGAGACAAGATTGTGGGCAGTCTGGTGCTGTTGCGGAAGAAAGAGCTTATAGACTCGACGAAGCTGTTGAATGTGCTATGGCCGCTTCTTATATCCACGCCTTCGAAAAGCCTGCGTGCGCTGCTGTTCCAGAAGATTTTGTCGGACTTGAGGAATTCGAATGCGAAGACTACGAACCACAAGTTGAACCGCATGATGCAGACGACGTGCTACAACCTGATCGTTTCGAATCCGACGAGCTCGAAGGGGTTATGGTCGGTCAAGGTGACGAGAGAAATGTGGAAGAGACAGATCTGGACGGACGCGAAGGCTGTGAGCATTATGGAAGCTGCTGCGTTGAGTAAAGATGCGAAGGTGGTGACATCTGGGGTACGGTTCTTCTTAGGTGGCGACCAAGAGCGGGAAGAGGCGGCGGAAGAGGACAGCGATGATGAAGGGGATGTCGACATGAGCAAACTACGACATCAGGCGGGTATCAACAAGAAGACTGGCAAGCGGGACAAAGAGTTGAAGGCGGCGGCAGCTAGGGTTAAGCGGAAAGAGAGGAAGAAGAACGCACCGCACCCGCTCAACTTCTCCGCGCTACACCTGCTGCACGACCCGCAAGGTTTCGCCGAGAAGCTCTTTCAGCAGCACCTACAACCCTCGCAGCCACAGGTTCGGCTGAATCTGGAGCAGAAGCTCATTGTGTTACAGCTCGTGAGCAGGCTGGTCGGTCTCCACAAGCTTACGCTGATACCACTCTACTCCTACTTCATCAAGTACCTCACTCCACGACAGCCGTCTGTCACCTCTTTTCTGGCTTCTCTGGCTCAAGCGACACACAGTCTGGTCCCGCCGGACGTGCTAGAGCCGTTGGTACAGAAGATCGCAAACGAGTTCGTCAGCGAGGCGGCTGCAGCAGAAGTAGCCAGCGCTGGTCTGAATGGTATACGGGAGATCTGTGTGCGCCAGCCGTTGACGATGAACGAGACTCTTCTGCAAGATCTCGTCCAATATCGCAAATCGAAGGACAAAGGCGTCCAGATGGCTGCTCGAGGTCTGATGTCGCTGTATCGAGAAGTGGGCGCTGAGATGTTGAAGCGGCGTGATCGTGGGAGAGATGCTGCACTCAAGCTTCGAGCTGGTACTGGGCAGGGGACGAGATTTGGTGAGGTTCAGAGTGGGGAGATTGAAGGCCTGGAGTTGCTGGAAAAGTGGAAGGAGGAGCAGGGTCTTGACGAAGAAGAAGACGAGGCTAAGGGATGGGAGAACTGGGATGCACAGAGCGACAGTGATGATAGTGAAGGTGGCTGGATCAATGTCGAGAGTGATGGAGAGGACATCGATGTTTCTGACTCCGAGGACGAGAAGCCGAAGAAGGCTGCCAAAGAAACGCCAGCCGAAAAGGCCAAGGATTCAGACAAGGAGAACGCTGAAGCTGGAAATAAGGACGAAACTCCAGACGCATCCCGCAACACCGCCTCCCTGGAACCCCAAGAAGCCGTCCGCCGCGAAGAAGCCCGCATGTCCAATCTCGCCACCACCCGCATCCTCACCCCCGCCGACCTCGCCAAACTCCACGAGCTCCGCACCTCCGCCGCCATCACCTCCTCCATGCCCTCCGCCAAACGCCGCCGCCTGCAACAACAACAGCAACAAAACTCCGCCCGCCACGCCGACGACGCCCTCACCTCCGCCGACATCGAAGGCCTGGCCTCTCTATCCAACAAACAGACCAAAGAAGAGAAGATTCGAATGGCGAAAGGTGATCCTGACGAGAAGAACGATCATCGGTCGACGACGGCACGGAGGAAGGAGAAGAAGGAGGCCGAGGGGAAGAGTACGACGAATAAGGAGAAGGCGCGGAAGAAGAATTTCATGATGACGTTGGGCAAGGCGAAGAAGAAGGGGAAGAGGAGTTTGATGGAGCACAGGAAGATTTTGAAAGCGCATGTGGATCGGGGGAAGAAGGGCGGGAGGAGGGGGAATAGGTGAGGTTGCTGAGCTCCGATCAGGTCATGTAGGTACGTACTATGGCCGTCGATTAACGACTGTAAGAACGCTTCGGCTCCCAAACTTAGTATGCATGGCAAGATTGCAGCCGCAGCTTCGTGACTCTGGTCCGAGTCGACTCAGCAGCTGCCGTGCAGCGTCGAAGAACAAGAAACAACGCAGTGTCTGAAGCTATCATTGTTGCTTACAAGAGATTCCTGCTTTAAGTGGTCTATCGCTGCTCTGCTTTCACCATGCCAGCGAGTCGTCTCCGCGAATGCGAGGCTCGCATCGAACGGCTTAACACCAACCCATTAGAGCTATGAGATCAAGCATGCCCGCACAAAGCTTACGACGGCGGGCGTACGGCTCTTCTCTTGTTTTTGAAACGACGCTGGCGTTGCCTTACTTTACTTCTGCTCGTTTCATTCGTCGGCACGTATCTGACCGCGTGGCGATGCAACCGACAACGTCTGTTTGGATGTATACGAGTGACTCTCACTATATGGCCTGCATATGAATGCGTGGACATAGTCACGGCGAGAGAAAATCAAAGGTTCCCTCTCGTATGGGAGGCTTTCGATGAGACAGTGTTACGCGTCCTCGAACGTCGATGAATATATTCAATCAGGTGAGCGACGTAGGATACTGTTCTCACCTGGCCAATGTTCGTTCCATTTCACATTTCCTATCATCAAAGCGTAAAATAACCATGCGCTTGGTCACTGCATTCGTCAACTGCAGCATACTCTGTTCGTTGCTCACTTCTGCTACTGTGCTACCTCACACTCATGTTCTCCACGAGAAACGAGAGGTCCCGTTTGCGGAAAGCATTGATCGACAACGTATTGAACCGGACGCCATCCTGCCAATCCGAATTGGCTTGAACACCAACGGAGATGCGACTCGCCTGGCAGAGCAATGGATCATGGCCGTATCCGATCCTGCATCAGCGGATTATGGCCGTCACTGGACGCAGGACCAAGTCACCGAGGCCTTCCAACCCACCGAGCAGACTGTCAATACAGTCAAGGCGTGGCTTGAGGAACACGGCATCAATAGATACACACACAGCACCAATAAGCAATGGATCGCTTTCGATACAACTGCCGCCAAAGCCGAAGAGTTGCTGCAGACCAATTTCTTCGAACATCAGCACTCGTCCGGCCGAACGCTTGCTTCTTGTGACAGCTACCACCTCCCAGACAGCGTCTCCGCGGTGGTAGACTACATCACTCCAGGCGTCAAAGCAAGTGATGTAACTGGTCGCACGAGGCGCAGTCGCCAACGGAGACACGAGACTGTCGGGGAACAAGCAGTTCAGAGAAGAGACCCAACTAGCGACAACGAGTTTCCTTTCCCGCCAGATCCTACCGATCTGTCCCGTTGCGATTAAATGACCTCGCCGGCCTGTATCCGCGCTCTTTACGGCATCCCCGAGCCGGATCCATCTGAGCCTGTCAATCCAAACAACTCCTTGGGCATATTCTCGATATACAGCCAGTGTACGCAAGCTTACATCCCTTCATTGACTGTCTCAATCAAGCTGATGTAGCACAGGGTATCAGCGGAATCTCGACGACTTCTTCGAAGCCTTTACCGATATTCCGGCTGGCACGTCACCGATCTGGAAATCAATCGACGGAGGGCAGCCTCCGCCAACGAGTCCGAACGATACGACCTGGAAGAACTTGGACGGGGAGGCGAATCTTGATCTTCAGACTTCGATGCCGATAGTGTATCCGCAGAATGTGACGGTTTGGCAGACGGATGATGCTTACTGGGTGAGTATTGAGTATGAGAGGAGCACGCCCTACCAGCAGCAAGGCCAAAGGTCTGCCATTCTGAAACGAACTGACTTCTCATTCCCAACAGTCCCGCTGGACATACTCCAAGCCCTGGGCCGGTCTCATGAACACCTTCCTCGACGCCATCGATGGCTCCTACTGCACATACACCGCATACGGCGAGACGGGCAATGACCGGCATCACGATCCCATCTACCCCGACACCAATCACACGAACGGATATCAAGGCGAGCTGCAGTGCGGCGTCTATACCCCACCGAACGTGTTCTCGGTCAGCTACGGTGCGCAAGAGGACTGGTTGCCTGAGTATTACCTCCGACGGCAATGCAATGAGTTTTTGAAGCTGGGTCTGCAAGGAATCACGGCGGTGTTCTCGAGTGATGATTGGGGTGTTGAACTTTGTCCGAAGCATCAGAGGGTGTTTGTGCCGGATGTGCCGGCGGGATGCCCGTAAGTGTGTCGCGATTGTTGGATTGCGGGTGACTGATAGTTGAGCAGGTGGGTTACCGCTGTTGGTTCCACGCAGATTGGCAGCAACAAGACGGTCCACGATCCGGAGGAAGCGGTGTCGTTGGATCATGCTGAGTTCTTGAGCGGCGGAGGGTTCTCTATCGTCCATGACGCTCCTGATGTGAGTTCGATCCAATCTCCTCATATCTCTATTTGACACCAGGTTATGTCCCAAAGGAATTGGCCCGTTCTCCATGAAACAATCACCTACCATTGAAGCTGCTGTCAAGCTTTGGCTCTGCTGCCGTCTCGGAGAACTGCAAGGTCTTAGCATCGCCTGCACCAAAGCTCTCGAGCCCACTTTATCCAGATCATCTAGGTCTGGGTCCTGAAGACCGCCAATTCACCTTGTACGCAGATTGACACTGACGGCTTCTGCAGTACCAAAAGGAAGCCATCGCAAAGTACTTCGCCGTCGCCAACACCTCACTCCCATACTTCTTCAATGGCTCATACAACCATACACGATGGGGTGTACAACCGCAATGGGCGCGGAGTCCCTGACGTTTCTGCCGGTCGGTATTCTATTAATCTTTCAAATCAGCTGTAACTGATGAGATACTAGTCGGCAGCAAGATTTCCATCTTCAATGCCAAAGACCGCTGGATAGTGCACGGCACAAGCGCTAGCGCACCTATCTTCGCGGCGATGCTAAATCGCATTGTTGAAGAGCGCCTGATAATTGGCAAGGTGCCGTTGGGATTTATCAATGCTGTGCTGTACAGCAATCCGCAAATCTTCAACGATGTTGTGGTCGGTGACAACATCAACCCGGACCGTTGCAGGGGGAAGGGGTTCAAGTGCGCTCCCGGTTGGGATCCGGTAGGTTGGCAGCTTGGGACTTCTCGAGCGCTATGGGAGATATGTGCTGACTTCTTCGGTCAGGTGACAGGCCTGGGAACGCCCAAGTTCCAGGAGATGATGGATCTTTTCTTGAGGTTGTAGTGTTTCTTCTCCAGCAGTCACCGTGTCTTTGCGGTCCTGCTAGTGGTGTTGAAGGTGCCGCTCGGAACATGGATGGAGGAGAGGTTTGTCCTACGATATTCCAGAACGGTCATGTTCTGACGTCGGAAGCCCAGACAGTCTCGCACTGCCACCGTGCTCGTTAGCTTAGTCAAGGATCCAGATCTATTGGCGACTCTCCTCTCGGATAGAAGTAGTCGTGTCCATACCACATGTGCTTGCTCATGAATACGGCGAAACTGTTGATGTAGCGGAGAAAGAAAGAGAGAGAGAGAGAGAGGGGGGGGGGGAGAGAGAGATGTTTGCAGAGGTGTAGCTTCTGGCGGAACCGATGTGCTCGATTTCACTATCTTAAACCGATATTACATATCAGCCCAAGTCATAGCAATAATCCCATCCTCAACACCAGCTCGGCTTTAGCAACCTGGATCTGCTACTACTCCTGCTTCTCGTCGGTGGGGGGAACGAACACCGTTTTCCACATCGCCATCAACTGCTCCAGATCATCAAAGCCTTCCATGCCTCCCGCCTCCGCCGTCTTACCATAGAACGCAGCCAGTTCACCAGCCTCTGACTCAAGTGACTTTAATTTCTTGAGCTGCTCTTCCATGTCCGCTATGATAGCATCGAGCTTGGCCGACTTCTCGCGCTCTGCGTTCTCGAGTTTTTCGTCGGTTTGATTGGTGAGCTCGGTGCTGGGAACGACGTCGGTTTGTTCGGTGGGAATGTGCTCCATGGTGTCCTGCAAATTGTCAGCTGGATGCAATGTCAGGTCGGCGCAATATTGACATACTGGGTCGAAGACAGAGTTCCCGTCGTCATCAAATGTGTTCTGGTCGCTGGAGAAGTCCCCTCCGAAAATATCTTCTACGTTTTCCCTGGCTGTGGGTGTTGAGTGTGGTTGTAAGGTCGAAAGGGAAGGGAGGTGAAGAAGCTGAGGCATCAAGAGCTAGCGTGTCAGAAGACAGCGTGACAATAGTTAGCGTGACAATGGCCATAAGACGCGCATGTGATACGCCAAGCTTCTAGAGCGATCCAAGCTTGTGACCAGCCACAGCTTCATTGCTTCACCATCCTGGACTCTCCAACTCACCTTCACATCGGCAACACGCAATGGCGCCCCCAACTCCCAGCACAGGTCCTCCGGCGGAATCGAACAAGAATGTGCTCGCGGCTCTTGTCGCAGAGAATGAAGCTAAGGAAAAGAAGATCGAGGAATTGGACCGCGAGATTGCGAAGTACTTCAAACACGAAGGTAACACGCGTAGCGATGTGAAGATATCGCAGGATCATCTGGCCACTGTGGTAGATTTCATGGACGACGGTGTACGATCAACGACTTCCTTTCCTGCGAATTGTGCTAATCTTGATATCACAGGTGGCGACCGCCCGCAGGTTGGCGACATGTCTCAAGATCAATGGCCTGGTTGCCAACAGTACCTTGCAGACCGCAACGACCGAAGCATACCGCAAGAAGCTTGTTGAGTACGTAGCGCAGCTTGACAAGGTGGCTCAGAACGTCGATGAGGAAGAGCATGCAGAAATTCTGGCACACATGCGAGAAGGCCTGGAAGACGACATCAGAACGCTGGATGAGAAGAAGGAAGACATGGAGAAGGCTCGAAAGGAGATGATGAGGATGGCCGCGTTGGAGACAAGCAGTTTTTCTGACGGCGAGGCGAAGTCTTAGAGCTCGAACATGGATTTTGCGGACGAGCAGCAAGAGGCGGAGGGTGAGTTCAAAGGTACTGAGTGTGGCGAAGAGCACACCTGGTACGTTTGCATGCATCTGGAGGAGAGGATAGGAGATCAAGCTCGCAGGACCGCTATAGTTCTGCTCATGGAAGTTTGAAACTTACTCCAAGACTACCATTTTCACGTCACATCGTTCGTCGTAGGCGGCTCGTCGGTCTGTCGTCCGTAGTGTGTTTCAGCTGGACTCTAAGCCGAAGATCTTTTCCTTGGGTTGCAGTATTTCTTCTCGAACAGTCGCGGTGGAATCGTGCATCCGCAAAGGCTGTTGAAGGCGCAGCCGAGAGGTTGCGTTGAGGAAAGGACTGTCCTTGGGTATGCCAGCACTTTCATATAGAGGGTCTGTAATAATGGTCTCGCAGTACCGTCGTGCGCGTTGACTTCTTCTGGATTTGAGTTCGGCTGACGGCCTTTCTCACCTACAGGTGGCCCTGTGCATGGCAGTTTCTCGCCCATGAATATCGTAGAACAAGTGTTGTTGTCTCGAGAGAAGCTGAGAGGATACCTGTGCGGAAGTCCATACAGCCTCCCAGTTGGGACTAGTTGGAATCTGCTTTGGCCATCTTGGCGTCGACCGCATGTGTTTCTTTGCACCACAGACGATGCAACCAAACCTCCAGCATGCACCGCGGTGCGCTCAAACGACTCAGCGGACAGTATGGCGTTCGGCGGTGATGATTGAGACACAAGCAGTAAGCTTTTCCCACCTTTGGAGGCTCCTACAGTTCCGCACCTCACCCGCTTGGCTGAGGTAAGGCCCCACGGCCGGATTTCGCTCTCTCCATCGTTGTCAATGTTTCTTTTATTCTGCTCTATATTCTCCTTCAGTGTCTCGAGCAATAGAGGTGTCTGGTAGTCTCTGTTCAACAGCAAGAATCAGGAAGACGTAATAGATATCCGTTTTGGCGGAGAAACACTCTCCATGTCCGTCTATTGTCCTCCGACATCTACCAGAGCTTCTGCATGTTCTAGCCCTTTTCCTAGAGCTGTGTGACGTCAGCAACCAGCTGCTGTAATATACGAAAGTATAAAACCTCGGCAGTATCCGCCGGGTGGTTGGCGCAATGGTAGCGCGGTTAGTCCTACCTACCTCATTATCCTTTGAATTGGGACTCATCCTGATTGAACAGTTGGTTTTCGGTAACGAACTACACCAAAGGTTGAGGCAGGTAGCATCGCTTCCAATGGTTCTCCAGCTTGTGTTAATCCCTAACAGGGTTCGAGCCCCTTGCTGCTCGCTGTTTCTTTTGCCTCGTCGTTATGTCTGTAGACAACGGCTGGCAACACCGGGTATACCCGGAATCAGCATACCACCAGCAGACGGTCAGGTGATATTTTGCCAGCTTTTACTGCCTCCAACGCTTCACAGATAGAGCTGATACCGGCGAGGTGGATACCGGTAATGTCACGTCAACGTGGAAAGCATACTCATCGTCCTTATGTGCTGGCGATCAATTTCGACTATGCCAGGACGACAGCTGAACCAATTGCAATCACACTTAATTCTTTCATCGATCATGTTAGACCTACGCAGCGTCGTCATACAGTCGTGGCAGTTGGACAAGGGCGATTGAAGTGTGGGTGGAACGCAAGCATTCTTGCGATGATACTTTACTTCTACACTAGTTACGGCGAATCGTAGCAGCCAAACATTGCGGTATATTCGAACAGAAGATGTTCCGACAGCCATACACATCGCTTTGTCCCCAGCCCGCGATCATTCTTGGGTATTGAGCCAATATGAACCAGTCCAACTTGAAACAACCGAACAGCAGGAGCCTGCATCATCAGCTCGAGAAATGACAGATGCTTAGGTGAAGCCACACTTCAAGATAATCCAAAAGCTTGCGCGTATGAATCCTAGACCCAAGGTAGCCACTCTCTAGCACTGAGATTACCACCGCCTTGAAGAAACTCGAGGTCGACCCGGCGGAGGCCGGGTGCATAAGAAGCACTTGAATGGAGCAGGCCCGCGGTGACCGGCACAGGCTGCATGGATCCAATGGGTACAAGACTGACACTGCAGCATTCGGTCGGTGGCAGTCTGGTTGCCACATGCACAGTGAATTTTCACCTGGCCTTGCGAAGGCGGACGCATCGGATGATATTGCTGGCCACCTGGAAATGATCCTTGCTGTTCCTGGGGGGATGGGTGGCCGGACATGATGCTCCAGCGTCTGTTGTGGGCTTCAAGTGTTGATTCAGCACGAGAAGAAGGCACTTCAAAGCTTTCTGTATGTGCAGCCCAGCCCGGACCGAATCCTGACTGCTGCGAGTCCTCGTTCGCACCCCCAGCCTGCTGAGAGCACGCCGAAAAATCCATCGGGCATGTATCGATCGAAGTCGTCGTCACACTGCGGCGGTTCGAGTTGCGGCTCGACGTACTCCTTCGAAGACTACCTTGCCTCCGAAGCTGGGCGGCGGCCGCGACAGCTGCACGTGACGGTGGCACTCCCTTCTTCATTGAGGCAGCAGAAGAAGACCGTGGGATGCTCAGACCTTCCAGATTCTCTACCGGAGGATCCAGCCTCGCAGCTTTCGCCCTGCGCTCGTCACGCTTGTCAAAGATGAAAGACGAAGGTCGGCTCGGAGTCTTGTCACTCCCATCTGAGTCCTCATCACTCGAGTCGCTATCGAACAACGCTGGATAGCGTTCGCGAATGGATCGAGTCGGACTCTCTTCCGCCCGTGTAGTCTCCGTGCGAGCTCGCCCGTTCTCGTCAATTGTCAAAATGACGGAAGCTCGATGTCTCGGCTTGCCTTCGGATATCGAACCAAGGGGTGGTCGACCAAGACGCTTCACCGGAGAAGCTGTCCGGGTGACATGGTTGAAGCTGCCGCTCCGACTAATTGCCTCTGTCGCACTCATCGACGTATACATGCTCTTCGGCCTCGCAGTGCCGGCCGTGTTACTGCGTTGCAAGCTCGACGATAGCTGAGATGAAGTAGTGGTGTTCGACAAGAGCGTGTCCGACCGTTGATGCGTCGCTGATGCGCTCCTGCCGATGCTTGCATCTTCAGCATGTCTCATGTTCGTTCGACTATTGGACCTGACAATGGGACGTATAGGCGAGCTGTACAACAGCGACGGATCCACACCCATCGACGCATGATTAGCCATGCTGGACAGTGGATTGCTTCCCGGTGCTACCGTAGCAGAAGCAGGTCGAGGATGTGGGGCCTGCACTGGAAAGCTGTTCATGGCTGGTGTATCAAAGCTCATCGCTTGCGCGTTGGAGTGTTGCGAGCCCTCCATTGACCATCCTGCATCGAATCTTGCAGGTGCAAAGGGATCCTCAAGACTGTTACCAGGCACAGGCTGCATAGGGCTCCCAGCTTGTGCCCACAGAAAGGTCGACTGCGATGCCACGGGCGCTGAAGCCGGGCCCGGATTCGCAAAGTTATACATGTCGGGCGAGAATTGGAGCTGCGGGTACTGCATCGGCGTCTGCTGTGCTGCTGGCGCGTTGCTATGTAGAACAGCTGCATGCTGGGGCGTCATGAATCGGCGAGAAGCGATGGTCGATGGTGTGCCGAACGCGATCTGCTGGTCCTGCTGAGGCTTTCTCGCAGAAGTGCCCCGTGTGGGAGGAGGTGTCTGCATTTGTGTGGAGTCGAAAGATGTGTTCAATGCCAGCTGCATGGACGCTGCTTGCGTATTCCCGTATGTTGGACTGAGCATTGTGCCAGGCGGTGGCATGTTCGTTCCGCCCCCATTGCTACCCACTGCTTGTATGTTCGCATAGTAGTTCGACCTTAGAGTATCCGAGGATGATTGCGGTCTCTGGACTGGGGTCGATGTCGGATATTGGGCATGTGGTGTGTTCTGTGGGAACATGTGCGGAGTGGTGAAGGCATCGTGGAAATGGGACGAGTATGCGTTCTCTTTCGGGGTCTGGTAGGGATGCTGACTGAACGAGCCGTTCGAGGGAGTAGCTGGACTGGGGAAGCTCCAATCTAGCGGCACACTGCTGTCGTGATGAGTACACGCATCCCTTGAACGGGGGACTCGAGGTCGCTATACCTGTTATACGACTGATCAAACTCCATGGGTCCAGCAGGTAGCGCTACCAAGTACCAAATCTGAGGCGAGGTGGGTGTTGAATGAGACGGGACCTCTCTTCAGCACATCGTGGGCTCGACCGGTGTAGATTGAGGGGCCGTATGTACTGCAGTACGGACGACAACAAAGTCTGGTCCACTGGCAGAGAATATGCTATTCCAGTCTGTGGTATAGAAACCGTGGAGGGGAGATGACTGCAGCACTCTCCTATCAACGAATGAAGTAGGTGGACTATGGCGACGGATCTGTAGACAGGGAAGGCTGGCCAGCAAGTAAGGCTGCAGTGCCCGTTAACGAAGCTAGGGCCCCGGTGTGCCGTGCAAGGTACACGGGGTTTGCATGGCCGGTGGCATGAATGCGGAAACCATTCGCCCAAGATGCCGTCGAGTTGACGGAGAGACGTCCACCCGTCCAAGCTCGAGATCCAATTACCGTTGTGCCACACTTTGAATGCACAGCACTCCACATATAATCTGCACTCAAGTATATGCAGGTGCAGGTTGGACGATGTCGAAAGCACATGGCTTCGTCGACTCCTTCCACGGCTCTTGACTGTCCCTGCAGTGCGATCGCTCCAAATCCTTTGCTGATTGCCCCCCACCCTGTCGTTAACTTTTGCCCTGGAATCCTGACGCTGGTTGCCAGCCGAGCCAGCCAATAAACCTAGGAATCCCACCTCAGAGTCAGCCCGCCCCTCGGCGCCATCAGCGAGCCTTTGACTTTTCTTCTGCCGCAAGCTTCGATTAATCTCCTTCCGACCCTTTTGACCCTCTTTGCCAAACGAGAGTTGGAAGAAAGTACCGCGTTAGCAAACCCCACTGCAGCGTGCAAGGATACTCCAGGTTGCTAGGGGAATTTCGAGGAATCGGCTTCGACCTTCTAGATTCCACGCTGCAAGGTACAGACACAAGAACAATCGATCCGCTGGATCGGATGGCACTCTGTCGGTCGTATAACATTCAACGTATGTCGGAGCAGAACAAGTGGTTACAATCGTCGTAAGCTCCCTGGTCAAGCAGATGCTGTGCGAACCGACGAGTGGCACCCAAAAGTGGTGTACCAACGAGAGGTGCAATCTCCAGAAGCCGGGTAACGTATGGAATCTGGGGCAGTAGAATAGCCTTCGATGGCGCACGCGATGTCTTCCCTTATCATGCCATCTCGAGCAGCTTGCGACTCATCCGAAATGCTAATCAAGTCATTGATGACTTTCGAAGATTTGAAGCATGTCGAAGCAGAGGTGTACCTATTTCAGCCATGACACCACAAGACAACCCGAGTTCTAGAGAACATTTTGGGGCAGAGTCCTACCTGCAACGCGGTCGAGAGTCTGCTGATGAGTCTATCATGATGTTGATGCTGATGCTGATGCTGATGCTGATGCAATGACGACGCTGACGCTTATGTTCCCTTCTCCAAGTCCGGCTCCTGCCGACTTCGTTGTCGCTCCCACAGCCTTCTCTGCTTCTCCTCCCCGTCAGCCTTCTTCTTCTTCAGTTCCTGACAGAACTTGCTATTGCTGCGGATCTTCTCTCCATACTTGATAAACACAAAAGGTATCAGACACATCAATGCGGAGAGGATACCCAAGAGAGTGCATGCCCAAGGAACTCCAAGTGTCGCGTACATCGGGCTTGATGCGAACGGGAGAACGACACCGAAGACACTCCGGGCGGCTGATGTGGCGCCCATAGCGCTGGCTGCGTAGATCTCATAAGCGTCAACGACGTAGTTGATCAAGGCCATGAAGATGAGTAGGAAGCCGATCCCAAACGGCAGTACTGCTAGGATGGGAACTATCCAGTGGATATCGGCACGAGCTGTCCAACCCAGCCAGAACAGGCTGATCACGATCAATGGCCCTCCAAGACAGGCCAGCGGCAATCGGACGAACTCCTCCTTCCGCGACCAAGCAGGTGGTGTGGGCTTGTTCCGAGCTCGATCGAGATAGTAGTCCCACCACAAATATATAGCAGCGGCGAAGATCGATCCTACGCCAATTGGTAGAAAGGCGAGGCCGACTTGGCCGGGGGTGAAACCGTACGTATCAGCGAATATGGGGTCGAATGCCTGGAAGAAGACTGCCAAGATGTCAGAACCATGAAACAGAATGGAAGAATCGCTGACTCACTGTAGAATATCCCATATTCCAGAGAAAGGAACAAGCAAGTGGACGACACAATGGCCTCGAACAGCATCATCCGAATCGGCCTTGTCAGCACGGTCGTGATCAACTCCCACAGATCTTGCTTCTCCAGCTCGGAGGGAGCCTTGATCTTGTGATCCCCGGTCTCCTTCCGGAGCTTCTTCGCTCTTCGTCGGAGGATGACAGGTCCATAAGTCTCGGACATGAAGAGCAAAAACGGCCACGTAGCTCCAGCAAACATGAGCTCAACCCAGTACACCCATCTCCAGGATATGTACATCGTGATGTAACCCGAGAGCAGTGGGCCCAGCAGCGGACCCCAAGTCGTTGCTGCCATGAATGCTGTGATGGCCATGCCACGAGCTCGAGAGGTACTGTACATGTCCGCCAATATCCCGCCGATAACTGAGACAGGCGTCGAAGCACCGATGCCTGTAAACATGCGGAAGACGACAAGGCTCGCAAATGTCGGAGCTACGGCGCAGGCCATGACGAAGATTGTGAACATGATGAAGGTGCAGATCATCACGATTTTGCGGCCATATGACCTGGAGCGGGTCAGCAATGGACGACCTGGCTTGATCGTTGCGACCTCTAACTGGACTTACTCGCTCAACGGCGCAAAGATCATAGGGCCGAGGATATACCCTATCAAATAGATAGACACCGGCAGAACCAGAAGCTCATCGCTTTCCACATCGTAATACCTGGACGTAGCGCCTGTTGCCCCACTAGGCAAAGCACTGCCCATTGTGCTGTTCAGAACCATCACCATGGCAGTGACAACAACATAGATCTTCTTCTTCCGCGACCAGTTGTACGGATTGGTGGGATCATCTTGCGTAAACGAGATGATGTTCGTATCGTCCTCGGTTTGGCCATCATTGCTTGGTGCTGGGGATACATCACCGGAAGTGTCTCTAGAGGTGGCCAGCTTTTCGTCATCTGATTTTTGTTCTGCGTGAAGTGACAGGTTTCCTTTGTCGTTGTCTCGTTCTGTAAGTGGTAAGTGTCCATCCAATGTCTTCCATTATTCCTTCAGCTCACGGGAATAAGAATTAGCCGAGGGTGTTGGTGACGCTGCCCGCTCGCCCTTGGCACTCATGGCGAACGACTGCAACCTCGATAAGAATTGAAAGCGATGGTGTACTGAGAAACTGAATGGATACGGGTTGGAAGTGCTTGGAGAAGGTGAAGATGTCGAGTTTGGAGAATGAGGTGGATTGATCTGCTTGACCTAGTTGACGATCGCCTCTCAGAAACGGCTATCGGCACGCGGGTAACGGCATGCTTTTCCTTTCGCGGTCGTGAGGCGTTTGCTTGGTTCTGCATAACGGCACGAAATCGATGCAAGCTCAATGCATTTGAAAGGCACGAGATGACCTTGCGACTGCGATTCAAGTGTGGTCGTCGTTCGTAGCTGCGCATCAGTGCCACTTCCGCATGGACACCCAATGCCCGATCCCGGAGCCTTGATTAGGATGAGCTGAACAGGACGAGGAGCAGCAGGAGGAGTGCAGTGTATTCCCACGGTCGAGGCATGTTTGGCGAGCTCATATCCCGAGGACTGAGTTGGTAGCCGTCTGTAGTAGAACAGCTCTCAAGTCCTGCGCCACTTCAAGCTTCCAGGTTGATGCTCCGACCGAATCGCCCATAGAGAGCACTCTTCAGGTCTGACATCTCCTCGCTGATCTCGCTGATTCGTTCTTCGAGCGTTGTGACTTCTCCGTCTATCCTCTCAACAGATGAAGACAGGAGCTCCTGGACCTCTGGAATGGGAAGGTTGAAAAACGTTTCGCCAATCTTGTAGCTGTGGTCGATCAGTGTCCTGCCTCCAAGTGGAAACACAGATCGATGCATACGGCACTTTCTCGTCCTCATCCGCAAGCTCCAGCTCTGTGGATATCTCCTCTAGATCCTCCTTGTCTTTCTGGTGGCGGGTCAGTACAGCTTCGGAGCCCGAAGTCATGGCGCTTCGCGATAATTACCTGCTTGCCCTTCAACTCATCCTCCAGGGCTTTCTGACGGGAGTGTATGCGACTGAAGCGGTTGATTCTTTCTTGGTCGACCTTGCGGACTTCCTTCTCCTCGCCAATCTCTTCTTCCTCCTCCCGCGACAGCTGCTTGTCATTAGTAACAAGCCAATACCGCGATATGAGGCACTCACCATGCGTTTGGACAACATCTCCGCAGATCTTCGAGCGGTGGTCTCAAGAAGGCGTTGTTGTAGGTATCTTGAAGAAGCAACAGAACGCTCTGACCAAGATCTAGCCAATTTGAGCCTCGTTAGCCTCAGGCACAAGCGATTTGGACCTCACCTCCTAACACACTTTTGAACAAGCAATGACAAACTACACCACCGTGTCGAAGCTCAAAGACCGTTCGCGATATGAAACACATCACTATATGCAGGCGGATGCCGAGTATACCACCCGCCGACAGCCATTGGCTCCAGGATCGTCACGACAGGAGGGGAAGCATCGCCTATCTCTCGACCTCGCCTTATCGCTCGCGTCAAGCTCCAAAGCAGCAAGCTGAGGCGTGATCACCGCATGGCTAGCCGACGCAAGTATATATCACAGCAATGCGGTAAGCGTAGCATGGTTTGACCATCTCTGTCTTTCGTACTGTCTGCGTTCTCTTCATCCTCTTTCCTCAAAAGTCCTCCAACAGCAGTCAAGATGTCAGGAGAATCCCCAGTAGGCGAGGAGAAGCATCGTCGAGCTTCGCAAACCGCAGTTGACTCGGGCCTCGCCAATGAGGATGACGCTGCAATGCTTGGTATGCTTGCATTCCGAGATAATTCGTGACGGACACTGCTGAGTCTCATCTAGCAAAGCTCGGATACAAGCAAGAGGTATGTTTGAACCGCATTCGGATCGGGCGATGTGTGCTGAGTCTCGCCTTTCAACAAGCTACGACGAAACTTTACGATGATTGAGGTCTTCGGCATAGCTTTCAGCATCATGGGCCTACTTCCCAGCATTGCAAGTACCCTGGCCTACTCAATTCCAGCTGGCCCGGCTGGGATGGTGTGGTCTTGGTTCCTGGCCTCAATGTTCATCGTACGTATAGCCAAAATGGAGTCGGGCTCACACCCAGCCACTGCTGACGAGCCATCCAACGAGTACAGTTCGTTGTCGGACTAGCAATGGCAGATCTCGGTTCCGCCATGCCAACGAGCGGTGGACTGTATTGGTGGACCCATTACTTCGCATCGCCATCCAGCCGCAACGCTCTTTCCTTCCTCGTCGGCTACTCGAATACCCTTGGCTTGGTCGGCGGTCTTTGCTCCATCGACTACGGCTTCGCTCTGATGCTGTTGAGCGTCGTAGTGATCGCCAAAGACGGCGAATGGGCGCCCTCCAACGGCATCGTCTATGCTGTCTTCCTGGGCTGTGTCATTTGCCATGGTATACTCGCCTCCACGATGTCAAAGATCATGGGGAAGCTTCAGACTGCTTTTGTTGTCATGAACTTTATCCTGATCTTTGCGACGATCATCGCTCTGCCAATCGGACGGGCATCGCAGCGGAACGATGCTGAGTTCATCTTCACGAAGATGTCGAATCTGACAGCATGGCCGACGGGATGGACGTTCATGCTTGCGTGGTTGAGTCCGATATGGACGATTGGAGGTGAGACGATTGCTCCTTCTCCCGAGTAACGAGCAACGCCTGCTAATCTTGAGAATCCAGGCTTCGACTCCTGCGTCCACATGTCCGAAGAAGCCGCCAACGCCACCAAAGCCGTCCCCTACGGCATCCTCATGTCCATCGGCTCCTGCTGGCTCTTCGGCTGGATCATCGTCATCGTCCTCGCAGCCTGTATGTCTCCCGACCTCGAAAGTCTGACCGGCACCAAGTTCGGGCAGCCGATGGCGCAGATCTACTACGATGCGATTGGAAAATCTGGAGCCATTGGCCTCATGACGCTTCTCTTCATCGTGCAGTTCTTGATGGGCCTGTCGATCCTGGTGGCGGTCTCCCGTCAGAGCTGGGCCTTCAGTAGAGATGGCGCGCTGCCGTTCAGCCCGTATATTCGAGTCATCAGCACTCGACTTGGGTATATCCCTTTCCGCGCGATCTGGTTCTGCGTTGCCATCGCTGCTGTCCTCGGATTGCTGTCTCTAATTGCTCCGGCCGCTGCTCAGGCGCTCTTCTCGCTAGCTGTCGCTGGCAACAACGTCGCTTGGGGGACACCGATCTTCTGCCGTATCGTCTGGGGGAGATCAAAGTTCAAGCCCGGTAAGTACATCTGGATGGAACATGTCGCTACTGTGTCTTAGAAATGAAGGACTTAGAGTTTACCGGCTGAAGTGACGTCTAAAGGGCATTTCGCCTCTAAAGCCGGTGGATTGGTCTAGGGCACAGTAGCCGACACTGCCTCCCTCTCCTACTGTGTAGAAATGACAGAATGCTGACGCCGTTCATCTACTATTTCCAGGTCCCGTCTACACTGGACGCTTCAGCATTCCGCTCGCATGGACCGCTATCGTCTTCTTGGTCTTCGGCACGATGCTGAGCATGTTCCCGGTCGGCGGGCCGGATCCTACACCTTCGAGCATGAATTATACGATCGTTATTAATGGGGCAGTGTGGCTGGGAGCGCTGGCGTATTATTTCATCGATGCTCGGAAATGGTATGTCAAAGACCTACGACGCTGGATAAGCTGCTTGCTAACATCGAGACAGGTTCACTGGACCCAAAATCACTCTCAACATGGACGAGTTGAGCGAGAGCCAAGAGCGCGCTATCGTTGAGGAGGGAATCGAGGTCAAGCATGAGGCTCTGCCGGAAGCGGGCACTCAGAACGTTCCACTAGCGAAAGAAGTGTCGAAGGCGTAGAGATGGATCGATGGACGACCTGGTTGGTGGTAGAATATGATACAGCTATAGGTACATGTAGTTTACACAATCTTTGCGATACACCTCTCCTCTGAAGTCGCCGCGGGTCGGTCATCGAGTTTCTCATGTCTTGACGGTCGATTTCCTAGGTCGATTCGGCAAGGAGAAGCGCCGTAGTCGACTCGGGCACGTCCCGCTCGCGGGACCGCATTCAGGTTCGCATCAACTGGAAGACTCCGGGTGAGCCACGGATGGCTTGTTGGTTGGAGAACGGCGCCTGTAGTCGTCGTTCGGCCGCGAGTACCTCCGTCGCTGCCAGTGACCAAGCATGCACCCCACTGACACTATGTTGGCGGGGTGTTCCCACAGCGACTGTCTGCACCTCTGAGACGGGATACACCATCTGTTGTTCACTTCCCGCCTCCGACAAATCTCCTCATACCAGCATCTTTCGCCTTGCCGTTCTTGATCTTTTGCTTCGCTTCGATGGGATGCTCTTTCTCCCATCTCTCATCATCTTTATACGCCTCTATCGCTGCTTCTAGATTCCAGTCTGCTTGCTGCAGGTATAAGACTGCGACGTCATATCTGAGGTGGAGAGGAATACTTCGTCAGCTTTATCAGCTCTGGAGGCCAGACGAAGATCGCTCTAACGGGAGAAGACTTACTCTGCTACCTTGCAACCTACCATCCACCGTCGTAATTTCTGCTTCTTCATTTCTTCCTCTTCGCCTTCGATAGGTCTTGGCGATAACGAGACGCCACCCTTGTAGTACTCTCCAGGTATCAAAACAGTTCGCCGTCCCTGCAGTAGATTGTCCTGGTAGACATTGTTGGTCTTCCTAAGAACGTTGGCCGGTACACCATACGCTAAGCTTAGCGATTGTATACTGTCATCCGGCGTCACGAAATGAAGCACATCCTGTGCTGGCTGTTCGCTCTCCTTCTCCGTTGTCCGCACAGGCTCATGCTGGGAGTACGCTGGTAGCTCGTCCTTTTCGTTCGAGGATGTCGGTATTCGATCATCAAGACTCGAGTATGCCGGCGGATCTCGTAGTCCTTGTGGCAACGACGAAGGCTCCGAAGATATCTGGCAATAAGGACAGTATGACTCGTACCGCTTGTTCTGGTTAAGACATCTCGAGCATATCGACCTGCCGCAGCAGTCTAGATGTCTTCCTGGAAGCAGCGGTTTTTCTGATGCTGGATCGAGACCGCTGTCGTACTTCTGGGCGCAGGTTGCGCAGGCGTCGTCCATGGTTGACGTGATATACTCCAATAAGCGTGCCCAAGTCTTGGTATACATACAGACAGTCGATGAGGCTCAATTGATGACGACGGTCCAGCCTATCGATAGCGCATCGGCCTTGGGACCATTCCCGAGATCGCATCAGCGCCAAATCTCGCCAATTTGCCACCCGATCCGCTGTCTACCGCTGCCCAGGGTCCATGCACAAGGCGAAGCGTCACGGCGGCGGCGTTGACTTTGCTTGCCCGCTTCCTTCTCGACTCTCCCTTCCACGATACACCTATACACCTAATTACGATTGACCGCATACGCTCCTTCCACAACAACCAAACAACAACTTACTAATACCCTTAGCGATCTCATACCGGACCTCCCGCGCGACTCCGAGCTGAACGCCTCCTGATCAGCGACCACTACAACACCGAGCGGACGACTGGGCGAGCGATAAACCTGCGCCGGAGGGCGCCTCTACAACATAACATATCACCGCCGCGAGCATGTTTGACAATACGACCGCACCGGTGAACGCTTACGACATCCCGACACCACCACCTTACACACTCAAACCGCAACCGTCCCTCATACCAGGCATCGCGGACCAACATCTCGTGCTCGCGCTACCTATTATCGCGTACTGGGCGTTTTCGCTGCTCTTCCACCTTATCGATGAATACGATCTGTTCCCGCAGCACAGGCTACACACGCCGGCGGAAGTGCTGAAGAGGAATCATGCCAGTCGGTGGGATGTTTTCCGTGATGTGATCATACAACAGCTCGTGCAGACGGCATTCGGACTGGGTCTGGCGTATTTCGAAGGCGTGCCAACCTATGGAAGTGAAGAGCACGATGTGGCCGTTTGGGCGGGGCGGATCAGACTGGCACAGAGGGGCATTCCAGCACTGCTCGCAACACTGGGAGTTGACTCGGCAGGGCTGGTTGAGAAGCTAGGGAGCGACAACTCGATATTGGCCGGCATGCTCTCAGGCGGCTTCTACCCGACAGAGTTACTCTCCGGCCAATCGACAGCTCCTGCGTTCGCGCAGTGGGAACTAACGGCCGCAAATGCGGTCTACCATATAATCGTCCCGGCTTGCCAATTCCTCCTCGCGATCTGCATCGTCGACACATACCAATACTTTGTACACCGGGGCATGCACATGAACAAGTGGCTCTACACCACGCTGCACTCGCGACACCACAGGCTCTACGTGCCATACGCCTACGGTGCGCTCTACAACCACCCTCTAGAAGGCCTGTTCCTTGATACTGTTGGAACGGGGCTGGCATACTTGATCAGTGGCTTGACTGTAAGGCAATCGATGTGGCTCTTCACGTGCGCCACCATCAAGACCGTGGACGACCACTGCGGGTATGCATTCCCATGGGACCCGCTGCAGCACTTAACGAGCAACAACGCCGGCTACCACGACGTGCACCACCAGAGCTGGGGTATCAAGACTAACTTCTCCCAACCTTTCTTCACCTTCTGGGATCAACTGCTTGGCACGAAGTGGACAGGCGGCGACGTGAGCGCGCGATACGAGCGTGCGAAGATCGCGGCGCAGAAGAAGGTCGACGCCGATGCGAAGGCTGTAACTGCATCGAGGCCGAGAGACAGCGTTTCTGCCGTGAACGCTGAGCCCTACGATGTCAACAACACCTCTTCCGCAGCAAGGACTGCACAGAGTGTCACCGAACCTCGTATACCCGCCGGCAAGGCAGCCATTCAAGCATTGTCCAGCCGACAACAAATTCTCGACGACACTCAAAGTGGCGGCATCGGCGTCTTGGCTGAAGAGTCGACAGAGGAGGTGCGAGAGCGGCAGAAACCCACATTCCGAAGTCCTAGGAAGCGGACGGCGAGTTCGGGTCTCAAGGGCTTCGCTGACAGGGTTGGCGAGAGTCTGCAAGGGCGGAACACGGGTGTGCTGGGGGTGGAGAGTAGGCGGTAGTGGTAATGGCCTGGTATCTTCTTCCTTGGGTATATGTGGAAAGGACGGGAAGATCTGCTCATGATGGGCTCGCTGTAGCAATATGCAGTTCTGGTGTAGTTATACTTCTCTTCTACACCTATCTCACCTTTCTGCTCGTTGTTCATGACCCAGTCGGCTTCAGTTGGTCCGTGAAGCGAGGCTGTGAGGTCGGCGTCTCCCACTTCTGTGCATGCCGTACGCTCACAACGCGTTGACAAGAACAAACAGTGCTTTCTTTTGACTGCCGGTCGACTGAACAACCCACAAATCGAGAGAGTGCCCCGCACGATATCCAGCCTACGCCTGCAGCTGCGATTGTCTCAGCCCCAACCACGCACGGCCATCCGCAACACGTGCGAGCTGGAGATCTCCGCATTCTAACAACACCTTCCAGAAACAACATCGAGCCTCGCCAAACCTCTCCGAGAACTGCCTCGCCGCATTGCTTACACCGATAAGCTATGGGAAGCATGGCTAATACGTCGCCGGTCATTGGTAGACCGCCACTGAGCTCTCATGTGTCCGAGTACTGCCATTGACGATATCCATGCCACGTCAGGGACGAAGAAGAGATCGGCTCGATTGTCAAGAGAGTCTCAAAAGCCATGCGGTTCCTGCACACTTTCCAATCCGCTCGAGAGGAGCTTGTCTGCCATATCCAGTCACTTGCGGTGGGCCGAGACTTGGGTCAAGATGAAGTTCGCCATCCTCGCAGCACTCACGCTGTCTGCGTCCGCGGCCGCAAGCTATGTCAGGAATCTGAACTACAACTCTCCGTCGATCAACCATCCCGGTCTCGGCATCTCTCTGCACAAGGTCAACAAACGTAACACATTGGGCAAGAGATTCGATGCTTCCTCGCTCAACTTCACGCATAGCGTGGCGTCTGGCGACCCATACTCGGACTCGGTGATCCTCTGGCAAGTTTGGCAATCAGTTCAAGAAGGCTCTCGCTGATCTCGGGAACTCGCAGGACACGATGCGCGCCAATGTTTGATTCGGTGAACAGCAACTCGACTGTTAGCGGGAACGTACCGCTCTACAACCACGGCCCCGTCCAGGTCTCGACAGCACCTGTTTGTGTCGAATTCAAGGTCGCGAGGACGGCCAACTTCGCGGAGGTCGAGAGCAGCGGAATGGCATATACGTCGTCCGATATCGATTTCACGGTGAAGGTCGAGGCAAGCAATCTCACCGCCTTCACACGGTACTACTACCAGTTCAACGTCTGCGGCAGCAACAACACCAGCCCGGTCGGACGCACGAAGACCGCTCCCGCGCCAACAGACTACGTGACGAAGCTGGCACTTGCCGTGTACTCCTGCTCCAACTACCCGTTTGGCTTCTTCAACGCCTACGGCAACCCCGCGAGGAAAGACAGCGTGGATTATGTGATCCACCTTGGTGACTATATCTACGAGTACGCCGGCACCGGAGACTATGGCTACGGCTACAGCATCGGACGTGTGCCCGCGCCGTATGGCCGGATCATCTACAGTCTCTACGACTATCGTGCGCGACTGAGCGCTTACCGAGCGGATGAGGACCTGCTGTTGTCCCATGCTACCTACCCTTGGATTCCGGTCTGGGATGATCATGAGGTTGCTGATAATACGTACCGAGATGGCATGGCGTATTTGAATAATACTGAGGATTCTTTTGTTCATGATGGGGGTGTGTCTACGGATCAGAGGAAGATGAATGCTGTGAGGGCTTACTTTGAGTGGATGCCTATTCGTACGTAACCCTTACTAATCTCCTAGCCGCGTACTGAGACTGACTTTGGGTCCTGCTGCAGGTCAGGTAGAGATGAACGACAACTTGCGAATCTGGCGGTCTTTCAAGCTCGGGTCGCTGCTCGACTTGATCATGCTTGACACCCGTCAGTACGACCGCTCTATCACCGACCTCTACTGGAACACCGACTACATCCACGAGATCTCGGATGATGCTAGTCGGACCATGATGGGCTCTCGTCAGGAAAATTGGTTTTACAACCAGCTATCCACCTCCGCTGATCGCGGCGCACGATGGAGACTCATCGGTTCGCAGACCGTCTTCTCTCGTGTCAACGAATCAGTCGCATACGGAAACGTCAACCCCCTCGACTACGACGCCTGGGACGGCTATACCTCCAACCGCAACCGCACGCTGCAGCATCTCACCGACAACAACATCGGCAACAACATCGTCATCTCAGGCGACAGCCACGCCTCCTGGGTTTCCGACCTCGTCTGGATAGACGATGCCGACTACGACGTCGAGACAGGCAAAGGAGCTCTAGGAGCTGAGTTCGGTGGCTCCGCCGTTACGTCTCCTTGCCCATACGGCCAGAACATCAGCATCAGCTCCGCAAATAACTACTCCGACTGGCTCGAGAGCGCGAACCCGGAGTTACACTGGAACGATCTCTACTATCGCGGGTATTTCGAGCTGCACTTTACCTACGATGAAGTTGAGGCGAAGTACTTTGGCCTTCCCACAGTCGTCAACCGCAATCCTTACGAAATCTCGTTGGCCAACTTCACGGTGAAGAGCGGGGACAATCATCTCTCGAGGCCTATTGCGGGTGGGACAGCTGAGGTCGGCAGTTTGAAGGGAGGGAGTGTGATGCAGACGAATGTGACAAATAATACTGAGACGGGGCAGTATTTTATCAGTCATGCGAAGCAGGAGGATCTGAAGTGAGAAAAACTGATAGGGGAGGGTGGTGTTGAACTTGTAGAGTCGCTGATAGTATGAACTTGTCTTATGATCTTCAGATATATGTACCATGTGAATGGGCATGTGAAAGTCCTTCTATCAAAGCAACCGCGACCCCCATTTACGCCACGTGATTCACGCGTCTTAGCGCGAGGTGGGGTTCATTGCAGTAGATGCTTCTTCGCACATGCTTCTCAAACGTAGACACCAGAGCAATCAATCGAACATGCCACCTCGCAAGGAACCTAAGGAGAATGTGGTCTATGCCGCATCGAAACGCAAAGCACCGCCGTTCAAACCACACCGGCCGTCGCAAGTACCGCGAATACCGACGACTGAATCTGAGGCCTCTACAGCGTCAAGACCGGCTGTGCGGCCAGCGCTTGCGAAGAGGAAGCTTTCAGTACGAGATGACAGCGAGGATGAGAGTGCTCAGGCGGATGCAATCGACGATGACGACTCCGACGAAGAGCTAGCCGACAACCCTCTGACAGCCCGACCACGACCGGCTGCGCCAGCGAAGAAGCCACCAGCTAAGCGCAACCCACCCCGACAGCCCTCACCCGTGGCCATCTCAGACGGCGATGACGATGACGCCTTCTCCCCCTTACCCGACCGAGACGCAGCAGCAAGCAATCCTCCACCCGAAGCAAGCCAGCCCGACTCCTCAGTCTCCATCCCACAACCCCTCCTCACCCGCCTCTTGCACGAGCACTTTGCCGACAAGTCCACGCAAATCGACAAGCAAGCTCTTCAAGTCTTCCAAAAGTACATCGAGACGTTCGTCCAAGAGGCGATTGCGCGAGCGGCGCTGCAGAAGCGGGCAGCGGCGGAGGCGGGGATGATCAGCGAGATGGATGCTGGATGGTTGGAGCTCGATGATTTGGAGAAGGTTGCTGGGGGGTTGGTGTTGGACTTTTGATGTCCTTGTATCGTCGCGAGCGGCGTGAGCGTATACCCAAGTCATTGCACCATTGAATGTCCTCTTCAGCGCTTGCTCCCCGTCTTCGCTCTCTTCCCCTTCCTGCCCTCCCCAGTTGACCTGATCTGCCTCTTCCGATCCTCAAGCATTTCCTGCCTCCCGGACACCTTCGACTTCGCCTTCGTCTTCTTCCCCCCCGCCTTCTCTACCCTCCCACTCCTAACCTTCTCCTTCGACTTTCCAGCCCCCCTCTTCAACTGCGCAACCTTGCCCGCCTCAAGCACCCCACTCCCCTTCGCCTCTGCTCTAAGTTGGTCCCACACAGCCTTCTTCGCCTGCCGACTACGGTTGCGCTCTGCCCGCTTCTGCTTCCTGGTCATGCGCTCGAGCGGGATGTCCTGGAGTGATCGCGTGGGACTGGGGAGGGGCTTGAGAACTTCGGCGGGGAGGAGTGGGGCTCTGGGTTGTAAGGAGGTGTTGAATTCGAGGTCTTCTGGGTTTTCTTGTTCGGAGGAGGAGGTGTGGTATTCTTCTTCCATGTCGTGGGCGGTGGTGTTTACGTTGGCTTGGCTGGAGGGTTCTTCTGGATCTTGGGATGACTGGCGCTTGTCCTCCTTGACATTTTTAGGTACTGGAAGAGCCATGATCTCTTGCTGAATGTGCTACTGTGGTAGAGAAGAATTGCGACTACCTTAGAAAATGTCTCGAAACCGAGAGATTCGAACGCAGCCAATCAGACGCCTCAAAATTTGACAAGCAGTTCCTGGAGGCGGAACAAGAACAAGCTTCGACTTCACCACGCCAGCCCTGGGGCTGAACGAGAACGAGACGGCTGATCTATCGCTGTGACTTGATGCCTTGGTTCTTCACCCTGGCGCATCGTGCAGGCCATCAAGACACAACGCTGCCGCGACCTCTTTGTAATCAACTCGACGCCAGGGTGTGTCTTGGAAAGGCCGGAGCGCTGCGTTTGCACACTTTGGAGCATAGCTGAAAACTTGGACGACTACCGGCCAGCTAGAGATTTTGGCCAGATCAGGTTCTAGCACTGATGGCGTTGCTGTATATCGAACGAGTGCGAGGCAAGTATATATAAGTATATGTCAGCTTCCAACATGTCTTCGTGTCCCTTTCTTTGCAACATTTGTTCCTCTTTCCAATGGCCGAACAACAGCCCATCAAGCCTGTCTACGTCTTCGACGGTCCGAGAACATGCTCTCAGGTCTTCGGGAAGATATGGATGGCACATCCACAGCTCGAGCATGTATTCATGCAGTAGGCGTCTAACCTCATCTCGAATCCGATCAGCAGCTTACCCGAACTGCTCAGCATGATGGGTCCATCCGTCTACGGTCCACAGAAGAACACATGGCGGGGCCGTCGGCACTGTCAGGAGGCTGAAGACGCATACAGCAGTCTGACGGAGGCGGCGAACAATGGCGCCAGAATGTTTCCGCCCGAGACTTATGAGAATCAAGCGAAGGAGATCGAACAGACTGTGGCCGCCATTCAGGAGAGGGTGGGTCGTCTTTCCGTCGCGGCCAAACCGCTGCTAACGGTGACAAGGGCAAGATGGCGTGGGCAAAAGACCACACCTTCTGCGTTGTCCCGCCGGAGGTGATCGATACCTGGTTGAGCGGCGAGCCGTGGCCGACAAAACAGAGCGAGAACCCAACACCGTTCAGTAGAGAGTTCTTGGATGGTGTGACGCCGGTGATCCTCTTCCGACATCCGGCTCTGACCATTCCGTCGTGGTGAGTTGCTTCGTCCGCGGGACCATACCGCCCGCTTCGATGCGTGCTAGAGTTGATGGCAAAGGACAGGCTCCGAATGATGAACAACAGCGTCCGGAGCAGGATCGACGACGAAGACTTCCAGATCTGTACAACGCTGTATTGGACTCGGCTTTTGCTGGAGTCGTTTCTGCGGCGGCAGAGTGTCTTGAAAAGTAGCAATCACTGTAGCAAGTCTAAGGATGTACCTCTACCTCCAGAGGTATTGGTGATCGAGACGCAAGACTTCATCGTGAGGCTAGTCAGACTTTATGGTATGATCTTTGCTGACGTTTGGCTTCTTGCAAAAGTACAATACGGAAGCCGTCGTGGACCGGGTTTGCAAGGAGACAGGAGTCAATCGAGATGGTGTCCAGTTCGAGTGGGAGCCTACGCCTGAGGAGCAGCAGCCACCTTCAGTGCTGTACGTGATAGTCGACAGCGAGCTTGCAATGGACCACACTGACGGTATCTCAGCGCCCGCGCCTTTTTCAAGGACATGTTCGGCTCAAAGGGTATTAAGAGAGGAGCCAAGGTTGGTATTTGTCCTGTACGCATGTGGACGCAGCTAACACTGCACTAGCCCGCAGAGGAGTCCATCGATCTCGACCGCAAGCTGGAAGAATGGACAGCAGAGTTCGGGCCCGAGCAGGGGAAGCAGCTGCATGCCGTTGTCATGAGGGAGACGGAGAATTATGAGTATCTGAAGGAACGTAAGACTCACTTTTGATCGGAAGTAAGTTAGAGGGGACGTGAAGTGCTATCGGACGGCTATGCTAGACTTGATCGCGCGAGTCCTGGGCTCGTCATCTGAAGACGAAGAGAGAGGATGGAGTCAATGGAGAAGAGTTGGACGCAGTCTAGTTGAGGACTCAGCCAATCAGAAGCCGCCTAATTCAGCTGACCTCTCTGCTCTCGACGCGAGCACGAAAGGAGTTTCAAAACATCAGCACACCGCCTCTTACCACGCTCTCTCCAATGACCATCGCTATGTGCCTTTGCATTGAGCAAGCAATGCTCCGTACTCAATGGAGATTGGGTTTCCACCTAAACTTGGATCTCACGCACCGTCGACGACGTCTGCGCACCATCCGCCTCCTTGGTCAAACCAGCATCAACAACACCGGATGAAGCTTCCGAAGACCTCTTCTCGGCGTACTCGTCGTCGCTGTCTCTCACCTTCGCCTTCATGAACGGCCAGTGACCCTTCTTCTCATAGTACTGCATGCTGCCAAACGCCAGGATGACGGCAAGCCAGTAGACATTGTATGAGATGACCGAGCCATAGGTCGCAGAATTGGTCCAGCCGAAGAGCGAGTTGAAGACGCCCCAGCCGCCACCGCCGTTGATCTCGGGGTTGCAGCAGTTGACGTGCCAGACGCTCTGCTTGATGTTGTACGAGCCCGGGCCTGACCCGTTCTCAGCGGCATCACCACCGGTGATCTTGCTCCATTGGTGGTTTTGAAGGAACCAGATTGCTTTGGAAAAGAGGCCTGCGGGACAGTCAGTATGTGTGAAGACGTGTGGTTGTTGCTGATGGCTTACCGGCTGCCACTAAGTACAGGAAGCATGTCGAGATGATGAGGAAGACTTGCAGCTTCGCGGAGTTGCCGCCACTACGCTTTGTTAGCGCTGGTGTGGTGTGAGCATGCATTCTGGGCACTCACCGGTAGATAAGGTAGCCAATGGCGATACCAGCAAGCAGTCCACAGATCACGGCCAATGGAAACGACTCAGCTGGCAGACCAAGCCCAACTCCACCAATGAAGACAACCGCCTCTAAGCCTTCACGCAAGACCGTGATGAAAGGCAGCAAGAACATAGCATACTTCTCGCACCAGAGCTTGAAGCGATCACCGGACGTCGTCTTGTGGCGGAGGTCTTGCTTCTCCAATGCGTTGGCCAGCTTGACCCTCCATTTGTCCTGGAGCTTCGAGACACGGAGAAGTGCGGCGCCGACGAGCGAGATGATGATGGTTGCGATGAGACCGAAGACGCCTTCCCAGAGGTCTTCGGTGCCGGAGAAGGTGTCTTTGCCGATGCCGTAGAACTAATACGCTGGTCAGCAGCTTTCGACATGAGGGGACGACCGTCTAGAAGATTTCTTACAGCACCGATCATGCCAGCCCCGATGATGACGCATATCAACAAACCCGCGCCGACACCTGTCCAGACTTGTTTGACGAGCTTCTTGTATACGAACCGATCCCGATCAGGCCCGATGGACTGTTTCAAGAACGCAAGCAGCACCGAGACGATGATGACGGTTTCGAGGCATTCCCTGAAGCAGATGAAGAAGACTGGTATGGCGAAGACGTTCGTCATGGCTTGGAAAACACTCTGATGTTGGAGATGGTGTCTTTCGTGAGTGGTAAGTGAGATGGGAGGAGGATCTGATAAAGCGAGTTATCAGATGTGGAATTTCATATGATCGCACTTGCGGGTTACGACTTGCCTCTCCGCTGGTGAACTGCGCAACCCGCCGAGGTCGGACGCAGAACACGAGAATCAATCCGATGAGGCGCTCGACAATGGGGTGATCTGACAGACTGTGGGGCTTGGCGGACGTCCAGCGGGAGGAGCCCAACGTGGGTGACGACAGCAGACGGCAAGTACAGACTCCAGTTTCACTTCAGAAGACACATTCTCGACACCTGCAACCCACCGTTCGTCCGAAGACCTTATCACAACCACTTTACACTTTCAGGACTGGTTCAGAGTGTCAAACTCTCTCCATACGTGAGGGGCAGTCTCGCCTGTCTCTTTTCTTAGCTTCATTTGATCGGCGAGCTAAGTGAAAAGCCAAATTTTCCGTCGTGCGTTAGCTGTCATTGGCTCGCTCAATCCCCCAAAGGTTCCACTGCTCTGAAGCTGGCAAGAACCTTTATCTGATGCCCGATTGATAACTGGAGCACCTCATCTCCCGTACATACCGGCTAGCTGGAACCTCACGGCCTCTTCTCGACCAGCTCGACCTCGCTCAACGGCCTTGGAGACGTCGCCAGGTTTTCGGAGTATCTCAGACTTCCACCCAGCGACCTTTGCGGCTGCTGCGCGCTCAGAACAAGCGGTCATCTCTTCCAAGCAGCGAGGCGAGGTGATCCGCTTCTATCGTCTCGTGAAAGATCCCGAGCTCTGGTCATATCACGACGTCGTCACTGCGGGTTCCAGTCCATCGACTCGCTAATTCTGCTTGGCGAGAAGTCTTAACCAATCTTTGTGCAGTTCAAGCCTGCGGCCAAGCAATCAGCCGACAGTCGTGGTCTTATCAGATCGTGTTCTGGACTCCGATATTCGGCCCAACGTCTGACGTGCTGCTGAGAAGGTGAAAAGTTGCTGTCCACCTGATCTGATAACATACGGATCGATCTTATCAATCTCTCGACCTTCCAGACAGCATCTCCTACGTTTCTCGAGCTACCGGTGCGCAGAGTGCCGGATCAGAGTCTTCACCACGTCTCAACGATAGCAATGGCTCTCTCACTATCAAACTTCCTGGTCTGTCTCATCGCGCTCCTGCCCAAAGGTCTTCCTAGTGCCATCGCGGCCACAGTCACACACGACTTCAATGTCGGCTGGGTCAGGGGGAATCCAGATGGCATGGCTGAGCGTTCTGTCATTGGCATCAACGGGCAATGGCCGTTACCTCTGTTGAACTTCACAAAGGGTGACCGTGTGATTATCAACCTTCACAACAAGGTACGCGATACACGCCCACCAAGAACATGCTCCCGCTAACTAATGCTTCGCAGCTCGGCAACCAAAGCACCAGTGCGCACTTCCACGGTCTGTACCAGAACGGCACCAACGATATGGATGGGCCTGTAGGAGTCACTCAGTGCGATGTGCCACCAGGACATTCTATGACATACAACTTCACCGTAAGCTCGTCTGCAACCACTAAGGAGTCTGAAGTATTGACAACAAGCAGGTCGACCAACCCGGCACATACTGGTACCATTCTCACACCCGCGGTCAGTATCCCGACGGCTGGAGAGGACAATTTATCATCCACGATCCGGAGAATCCTTTCAGAGGCCAATTTGACGAGGAGATGGCATTCACGGTCTCCGACTGGTACCACGACGAGATGCCTGGACTCCTCACCGACTTCATCAGCCACAAGAATCCTACCGGCGCTGAGCCAGTGCCCAACTCGGCGCTCATGAACGATACGCAAAACTTTACTGTCGCAGTGGAGCCCGGCAAGACCTACTTCTTCCGCTTGACGAACATTGGCGCCTTTGCTGGCCAGTACTTCTGGATTGAGGGCCATAGAATGCGCATCATAGAGGTTGATGGGGTGTACACTCAACCGGCTGAGACGGATATGATCTACCTAACGACTGCACAACGATACGGCTTCTTGGTGACGATGAAGGAGAACAGCTCCTCCAACTTCGCCATGGTCAGCAGTATGGACGAGGTAAGACATCTTACATCCTGGTGTGTGAAGACTATGCTAATGCAACGATCAGAGCCTCTTCGACGTCGTCCCTCCAACGCTCAACCCCAACGTTACCGGCTGGCTTATGTATGATGCCTCAGCACCGAAGCCAGTAGCAAGCCCAATTGAGGCTTTCCATCCCTTTGACGACTTTTCTCTCGTGCCAGAAGACGGCCTTGAGCTCTTTGATCATGTTGACTACTCGTTCAATCTTGATCTGAAGATGGATAATCTTGGAGATGGTGCCAACTAGTATGTGAAGTCCTTCCTCCACCCCCAAAAGGCCAACGCTGACTTACAAAGTGCCTTCTTCAACGACGTCACATATGTCACACCTGTGGTTCCTACCCTCTACAGCGTCCTGACCACCGGCGACAAGGCGTCTGAGGCGGCAGTATATGGCGCTTACACCAACTCTTACGTGCTGAACAAGGGCGACATCGTGGAGATAGTGTTAAACAACGATGACGGTGGCAAGCATCCGTATGTTGACAATGCGCAAAGGACATTTAAGGCATCGCTGACCTTCTGCCTCCCGTGTTGTAGCTTTCATCTCCACGGGCACAATTTTCAGACCGTCTATCGTGCTCCAGCCGGCTCCGGTTTCTACAATGCCAGTGACGATCATTCATTTCCGGCCGCACCCATGCGTCGAGACACGCTTATGGTGAATCCGAATGGCAACTTTGCCATTCGTTTCAGGGCGGACAATCCTGGTGAGTCAGCGCCGTCTGCTCAGAATCCTAGCGCCTTGCTGATGAATGAGCAGGAGTCTGGCTCTTCCACTGCCACATCGACTGGCACCTGGCCACTGGCCTTGCTGCAACCATGATAGAAGCTCCACTCGAGCTGCAAAAGACACTCGACATACCAAAAGACCACTATGACGTGTGTCGCGCGGCCAGGACGCCCGTCTCCGGCAACGCAGCGGGCAACACAATCGATCTGTTGAACCTGCAAAACCAGAACGCCAGTCCTGCACCACTGCCATCAGGCTTCACGGCCCGCGGCATTGTCGCTCTTGTGTTCAGCTGCATAAGCGCATTTCTGGGGATGGCGATGATTGCTTGGTAAGTGTCACCCATCTGCAGGGCAGACGTTGGCTGTGTGATGAAGTGCCGCCGTGTCTCGGCTGTTAGATTGACTCTGCTGACGCTTTGCTGTGACAGGTACGGAGCCGCGCCACTGGGCGCTGCAGAGCTTGAATCTGCGAAGCGATTTGTTGCCAGGGCTGGTCGTACGAAGTAGGGTCTCTCGGTTGTGAAGCGATGGGAAGCGGGCTGGTTGTTTTAGGGTGATCAACAATGTGTTTGACTTGCGGCTGGATGCAGTGATTGTGTGAGGAGAACGATCTATCACATGCGCCATCTTGTCCTCTCTGAAACCGGTCGTCCCCTGTCGCACCAGATCTTGTGTCACCGCTCTCCGAACGCTGTGTAGCCCAGATCGGACAACGACAGATCTCGGAAACCTGAATCTTGGTACCAGTTCGTCCTCTCGTGTTCCGTACGTGCTCCATAGCCGGGTCATCCGTGAAACTGCCCACCCACCTACCATCGCCCCGGGGAAGCTTGCGCAGTGACTTATGCACGCTACAGCAGGTATCCGGCGGGGACCCAATCGTGGGGGATGGATTTGCCGCCGTCTCGTTCGGCCAGCTGCATGTTGGCGAGAAGGTGTCGCTGCATTCGAGCTGCTGCAGTGGAGGGGGCGGCGCGGATCCTGGCTGCTGGTGGCGCTTTACCGGGTGGATCTCTCAACTGCCGCAAGATGAATCGGCGTCGGCGGCGTTTGCGAACGGAGCATGAAGAATTGTTCCACCAGACCCCGTTTGACCTTTCGAAATTGAACTGCTGCGAGGCGCTCAAAGGGGTCGCCGTTCACGTTCGCCAACAAGTAGTTCTGAAGACTTCTAGCCTGCTCGATTGCAGTCGAAGATTTCAACGGCCCACCCACGCCGCACATCACATCCCACCCGACAACATATCAGCCCAGTCCAGCCCTTCGTCTCTTCATCAGCGACCCGGTTTCTTATCTAGGACCTTACCTCCCCGAATCGCTCCTGCACCCGGCGAAATTGCATGCTCACTTCCAGCCTCGAGGCGCTACTATGCACGCTGGCATCTGGTCTAGCTTCCACACGAGCTCTTGTCACGCATAAGTGAGAAAAACGGCATGTTGTCTGCTCGCTTGCGGCGTTCCCTTCCACTTCCGCAGCTGCATTGAGACGAACGACTGCGGGTTGTCGAATGAGTCCGGAAAAGAGATTTATCAGCTCTCACGTCACACTTTCAACTTCAGTAGCGAAAAGTCTACCAGTCTGGAACTCTGCACATTCAACAACATGCCTTCTGCAGCCCGCCACCCGAATCTCTACCAGAGCTATGCCGAGCGCTCTGAGCAGCCGAATCTTACGCCGTTGGCGACGTACTTGCTAAGGTTGATCCACCACAAGAAGACGAATTTGTGCGTCTCGGCTGATGTCTCGACTACCGCGGAGCTTTTGCAACTAGCCGAGGACGTGGGCGACCAAATATGCGTGCTCAAGACGCATGCAGACATCATTCAGGACTTTACGGATAGAACCGCCAGAGGGCTGGCTGAAGTGGCAAGGCGGAAACGCTTCATCATTTTTGAAGATCGAAAGTTTGGGGACATCGGGAGTGCGTTTCTCACTATTGACATGTGAAATCAGCCAGCTAATTTCATTGCCAGATACCGTACAGCTACAATATACAGGAGGCCCGCTGTCGATCGTCCGATGGGCGCAGATTGTGAATGCCCATCTTTTCCCGGGACCGGCTATCATCACTGCGCTGGCGGAGGCGGCCAGGAATGCGATTGCGGCGCACAATACGTCTGTGTCAACGGAGATTTCTGCCTCACCCATAGTCAAGACTGGAGCCCACGATGACTCTGTAGAATCCGAAGAGGAGAGCAGTGCCCAGGACGAGGAGTCAGAAGCCGAAGAGATTGCCGACCCTGACGAAGATCGAAAGGGAAGGAAGCAGTCCGTCGTATCTGTTAGCACCACCATCAGCACCAAGACCGAGACGATAAGTCCGCAGCCCTCGCTACGGCCTACGATGTCGCGGGAGTCGACCCAGGAGTCAGACGAAGATGAAGAGGACGACGACTCTGAAGCAGCTCTAGAGGAGCTGGGCCCGGCACCCTTCTACCGCTCCCTACTCCTGCTCGCTGAGATGTCCTCAAAAGACAACATGCTCACGCCTCAATACACGGACGCCTGCGTGAAGCATGCCCGATCGAACAGAGACTTCGTCATGGGGTTCATCGCCCAACGCTCGCTCAACTCAGAAAAAGACGACAATTTCATCACCATGACACCCGGCGTGCAGCTTGCCGCCGGCGGAGACGCGCATGGGCAGCAGTACAACACTCCTCGAAAAGTCATCGGGGATGGTGGCTCGGACGTGATGATCGTAGGTAGAGGCATCCTGCAGGCCTCTGATCGCAAAAAGACAGCGGCGGAGTACAGGAAGCAAGGGTGGCAGGCGTATGAAGAGCGTTTGAAAGCTGGGAGGAAGCGGAGGTAGAGTGGCTGAGAGGACCGTGTGATTGTTGTGGTGAGAGCGAGCAAGCGATGCATGGAATGGCGTGGCAAAAGTCTTTGACGATACACCTTTCACTTCAGCAAAAATTATACATTGGTCCTTCTGGCGGTGCTGTGCGCTGCTGGGTAGGATATGGCCGTTCTAGCTCATAGCAGCAAGAGTTTCTCACGCAGGCAACAGCACTGATTCAGTCCCGCATCACCTCGTCCAGAACGTTTGCTTGCAAGATCATAGGCCCCTCCACCAGAAGATCCTCCGCTTGCATCTCGGACATCATTTCCTGGTACTTTAGACTGCTCCAGTGTTTTTCGAGCGCTGCCTGGTTCTCATATCTACAGTCGTGTCAGCTCATTTCGAGCACATAGCTGAAACCTCAATGGTCGTACCTTTCCCAAAGAATTATCTGCCGCTTGCCATCCTCGCTAGGAGGTACTTCGAGCACCCGGAATGATAGGATGTAAGGCTCGTTTGCTCTGATGTGGTCTAGGGATTCGGCGAGGAAGGATTTTGTATGGGAGGTTGTTAGATGGATGTGGTGCTAGTAATATGGATGGAGACGTACTTTGTCTATCTTCTCCGGCTTGACGTTCAGGATAGCTGTTACGGTGACTTCTGAGGACATGTTGAAGGTGTTGCGTGGCTTTGGGAGGAAGATTTGAATGCTATTGCTGGCTACGGCCTTCGAGATACTTATACCTGCCTGCAGACACCGCTGCCTCACGTGGGAGGGTGTTTAGAGTTCAACATACGGTTTGGAGGGACAATCCTTCTGCAGCCCAATGATCGAACACATATCGAAGTTTGACTCCGCTGAAGGCGCTGGCTGGGTCAGAAAGTCAGAAAATGGACTTGGATGTTGTCAGAAACAAGATTCAGTCAGAGTGAAGCGTCGGACGACTGGGGCCAGGTCGGGCGAATAGAGTTTCCAGACCCGGACGAAACGGACATAACAGGCTGCTGAAGGCCGTTGAATGGAGTAACCAAGCCCATGTCTTCATGTCCGTCGAGATGCTTCCACAAGTTCCCGCCTCATGCCTGTATTATCACATGTCAGCTTGGCATGTGACACCGAGTAAATGCAATCTTCAGCGGAGTATACCAAGTATTGCGTCACTTGTCTCTTAGACAGTCACGTAAAATAGGTGAGACTCTCTCGCTAGAAACACTGGAGTCCTTCTCCAACCGACCTCCATCCGAGCCGCCCCTCACTTCCTTGTTTGCTGGAGATGTGGTATCGATGCTCGTCGAAGTCCCCATCAATGCCAGCAGTCCGAGTAAGAGTCTCTGCGTACATATCTTCAGTTTCTTGTTCTAGATCTCGTATACCCTACTTGTCCTGTTCTGTACTTGGATACAATGCCAGAGAAGTCTCGCTACAACATCGACACCCCATCCACCGACGTCCTCAGCTACATATATTCTGAAAACGAAACACCAGCAGACGCTCCAATATGGATCGATGCCGACGACACATCCAATTCGCTCTCGCTCAAACAACTTCTGTATTGGGCCAGGAGACTCGGAGTCGGACTCGACAAACTCGGCATCCAACAGAATGAAGCCGTCATGATGTATACCAACAATCACATCTTCATCCCGGTGTTATACTTTGCGGTCGCAGGCTCGGGACGCATATTCACTGGCTGCAACCCTGCTTACGGAGTCGACGAGACATCGTATCAGCTGGAGAATACCGGTTCAAAAGCCATCTTCGTCGAGCCACCTTATCTGGACACGGTCTTGAAGGCGGCGGAGAAGACTGGTGTACCCAGAGACCGCATATTCCTCTTCAGCGACCGGCCTTGCGAGGCAAAGCACGGCATCAAAGACTTCCGCTCAATCCTAGGCTCAGAGCAAGAATCCAGTCAATGGCAATGGCACCGCATGACCCCCCAGGAAAGCAAAACCCGCACAGCCGCCCTCAACTACTCCAGCGGCACCACTGGCCTTCCTAAGGGCGTGATCGTGTCCCACCAAAACATCATCGCCAATGTTGAACAGTCCATCTACATGCGCAACCTCGAACAACCCTCCTCTCCGTCCCCAGAACGCTGGCTAGGCTTTCTCCCTCTCTACCACGCCTACGGCCAGCTCTGGAGCATCGTCGCTGCCGCCATCACGCAGACACCGTGTTATTGCATGCGCAGCTTCAACTACCGAAACTGGCTCTCCCACATCCAAAATCACCACATCACGCACATTCAAACCGCGCCGCCGATCCTGGTTATGCTCGCCAAACGTCCTGAAACCCAAGAATACGACCTCTCCTCCCTCGTCAACGTGCTCTGCGGCGCCGCTCCTTTGTCGAAAGAGTTACAAAACGAAGTCTCCGCCAAATGCGGCCTCAAAGTCATTCAAACATGGGGCATGACGGAGGTCACCTGCTCCTGTCTCCACGTCCCCGGCGGGCGAGACGACCGCTCTGGTAGCGTTGGACTCATCGACCCGAATGCGGAGATGAAGTTGATCAACGATGAGGGGCAGGAAGTCGGACCCGGGGAGCGGGGGGAGATATATGTTCGTGGTCCGAACATTACACTCGGGTACTGGCGAAACGAGCAAGCTACGCGGGATGCCTTTGATGCTGAGGGGTTTTTGAAGACAGGGGATGTAGCGGTGAAGGATGAGGAGGGGTGGCATTGGATCGTTGATCGGAAGAAGGAGTTGATCAAGGTGAAGGGGTTCCAGGTTGCGCCGGCGGAGCTCGAGGCGGTGTTGTTGGAGAATGAGCATGTGGCGGATGCCGCGGTGTGCGCGGTGCAGGGGGAGTATGAGGAGTTGCCTAGGGCGTACGTGGCGTTGAAGGAGGGTAGCAAAGGGAGGGTCAAGGAGGAAGAAGTCCAAAAGTGGATTGAGGGTAGGGTTGCGCGGCATAAGAGACTCGATGGGGGCGTGAGGGTGAGTCATTCAGGTCATCAAAGAGTATGGGACGGGCGAGCTGATCGTATCTCCAGTTCATTGATGAAGTGCCAAAGTCCGTCAGTGGCAAGATTCAGCGCAAGCTGCTACGGGAGTGGGCGAAGACGGACCCGGCAACGACAGCACCCAAGGCGAAGCTGTAGAGGTGTGTACACGTATCTAAATGTCGGACGTATGTGCAGACTACATCTCAGACACATCCTTCACAGCTTGCTCTGCGGAGGCACCAGCTCCTCCACTTTGGCGAACTGGTAGTAGAAGTTCAAGCACTCCTGTTCCAAGTGTCAGCAATGTGTCTCGAACACAGAGAATGCCTTTGCCCAATGCATCCTACCTTATTCGCCAACGTATCACTCGGTTTAATCACCTTCCCACTCACAATCTGCTTCACCGGCAACTCGACCTTCTTCAGATTAATCGTCGTCGGAATCTCCGGCGTCTCAAACACAAACTTCGGCACACACCTCCTCCCGCAATCCCTCGCAATCACGTCCTTCACTCTCTTCACCAACTCGTTCGTGAACTTCTTCCCAGGCTTCATGAGCAGGAACAGCATGACGCTCTCGTCCATGTCCTGTGGCCGTCGCTGACCGACGCAGAGACTGTCTTGCACTTCCTCGCCGAAGGCGTTGTCGAGGGCGTTGTAGATTTCTGCGCTGCCAAAGCGCACGCCGCTGGGGTTTAGCACACCGTCCGCTCGGCCGTGGAGATACACTTGCCCGGTTGTAGGATGGACGGAAATGAAATCCCCATGCGCCCAGACGTTGTCGAATCGCTCGAAATACGCTTTGAAGTACTTCTCCTCCTTGTCGTCCCAGAACTTCACCGGCTGGGTTGGGAAGCCCCGCGTGCAGACCATCTCCCCTTGCTCGCCTGCGGGAAGAGGTTTCCCTGGCACACCCCGGCCGCCTGGCAGGGTTTGGTCGTAGACTTCGACTTTCATGCCGAGCATGGGGGTTTGTGTGCCCCCAACGTAGAGGGGCTTCATCAAAGTATCGCCGGTAAGGCAGGCGGCGAGGTCGGTGCCGCCGGCTATGTTGGCCAGTTGGACGTGGGGTGGGAAGGCGGTGTCGTAGAACCATTCGAATTGGATGTCAGATAACACCATTCCCGTGGAGGTGACACGCCGCAGTTTGCTCAAATCGCATATCTCACGAGGCGCGATGGGGTTCGGTTTGGCTGTGGCGAGGGTCTGGAAGTACCTAGGAGATAGTCCAAGGTCTGTCACGCCTTGGGAAGACCAGAGCTTGATGAAGGAGGTGAGATCGGGTTGGAAGGGCGATCCGTCGTAGAGGATGCAGCGGCCGCCGGAGTTGAGGGAGAGGCAGGAGGACATGTACATGATCCATCCCGTGGTAGTGTATTGCAGCGTGCACATGTCCGATGGATCCGTTGCTGCAGCGTCGCGATGTAGACTCGCCTCCTTCCGATTGTTGATGAGCACAGCGCCAGCAGCATGGACGATGCACTTAGGCATCCCAGTCGTCCCGGAGCTGTAGACGATGAGGAACGGGTCGTTGAAGTCGATCTGCTCGAATCTGAACGTCATATCCCCCTTCGCCGCCTCTGCAAACGTCGCCAACGTCTCACATCGCGGTACAGCAGAAATATCGGCCGCCCTGTCTTGCCAACGAGGCATACTCACCAAACCCTCCAACCCCTCCACCCCCTTCATCCCAGCCTCAAGCTCGACCATCTTCGGCCTCAAATCAATCGTCTTCCCATTATACACCGCCCAATCGTCCACAAAAATCCACCGCGGCTTAATCTGCCTCAACCGATCCAACACCCCTCGACTCCCCATATCCGTCGAACTACTTGAGAAAATCCCTCCCAAAGCCGTCGTCGCAAAGAACACCGTAATCGTATCGAACGAGTTACTCGCGACCACGGCCACTCGATCCCCTTTCCTCACCCCCTTCGCTCTCATGGCATTAGACAGCAACGCCACCCGCTCTCGTAGTTCTTTCCAGGAAACCTGCCGGATCTCCGTGCAGCCTTCTCGAACTTCTGTGATGGCGATCCGGTGGTCCTCTTTGCGGTATGTGGTGCGTTTGGAGGAGTCGGAGGGGTCGGGCCAGAAGAGGACGTTTTCCGCGAAGTTGCACTTTACGCCTGAGAACCAAGGTGGGACGGCGTCCATGCGAGCGGACTCGTCGACGGGGCGGGTGTAGGTGCCGGTGTGGATGATAGGGTGGATGTTGAACAAGAGGCCCCAGAAGTCGGAGCGCCGATTGACGGAGAAGGCGTGCAGGTCGTCCCAGGTCTGGAGGTTGAGGGAGTATCTTTTATTGGCGGTTTGCATGAATTTGGCTGCCAGGGTGGAGTTGGGGTTGGGGTGCTCCCAAAGTTTTCGGGGGATGGGGTGGTCTGTGGCCATGATGGAGGACTTTATTCTTTCAGTCTGCTTGCCTCAAGTAGCTGTTGTGATGCCGACTTGTCCTGGTGTCGGAATGGCCCAAGATATATCGAAGTCCAGTCGTGGAGTGAGGACGTGTTTGAGAGAGGCCCTCTGCTCTGCCCGGCTTGAGATTCTTCCTTCCTAGTCCTGCCCTCCAGTCCTCACAAAACCTATCTGCACATACGGTAGATGGTGGAGTCGAATAGAGTGAATGCTCGGCAGTCGGCTGTTCCAACAAAAAGCGGACCGCGGCAGCATCGTGGGGGCTGGGCTGGGGTTCTGGCGGGGTGGACGTGTGGAGCAGCGAGTCATGTTCTCCCCGAGACCACATTGCTGCTGTAAGGTTACAGGTAGTGCGCAGTGAGGATGAGCGGGAGTCCCTACGTGGGAGAAGAGTAGACACAACGTCCTTGAGCTCCCCCCCCC